TTACCCGGCCGGGTAGACCGGGTAGTAAAGTCTACCCGGCCGGATACCGGGTAAAACAGGCCGGGTATGCCGGGTACCGGGTAACTACCGGTACCCGGGGCAACCCTACTCTTATGCATACACCTCTATAATTTCCCCTCATGTTACAGCCAGTCGTTCGAAAATGGCATAACCATTAATCCTCAATTTGCTCTTCCTCCCAAAATACTTGCGGGGGGTCCGTCACACCAGCGGAATTGAATTTGGTGTCCAGCACAATTACACAATTACGCGTGTCGTTCCCTCCTTAAGTTGGAAATGAAATGTCCTCCGCATTTTACAGCCAGAACTAACTTGAACCTCATGACATTGGATGGAACTACGAAGAGCACGAGCAAACCATAATAGGACAACTTGCATAATTTGACATTGTAAAATAATCTGACCAATAGCCAACACAAACCAACTGACCAAACGATTTCATCTTCTAATACATACAACATCTTTCCACGAGCATAGTCGTCGAATCCAATTTGATTTCAATCTTCCCCTCCTTGCAACATTTAATTTGGCATTTGTCATTTACACTTAAATCTTTCACTTTCATCGTCATGAAGTTAAATTTTTCACTTCGAATTTACATATGTACCAAGTGTTGAATGAACTCAGCTCTTTCACACGCTGAGATTCGATTCAAGTGCAATTTATAAATATATTTATACAACTGGATTCTTCTTAGCAGTGACTGCCAGTCAGTCAATTCAATCAGAACCAATTTATCGTTTGGGATCATCAGCGTCCACGCTATTTTGAGACAAGTTGTAAAAAATACGAGTTAAAGTTCATATGCAGCACTTTTGTTTAGTCAACATTTAATATTTCAAAAAATTAAATTAAATATTTCAGATTTTGATTGATTGATGAAATTTTGATCCAATTTTACACGAAGAATGCACACATAACTTTACACAAATTCAGTCACCCTTATTTTTGACCTTCTTTTACGTAGAATTTAGTGAACAGAACGGAATTGAAAATTTGAAGTAGCTTAGCAGTTCACTTACACTCATCGCCATCATTATCGCTCACTCGCTTAATTTCACACTTTCGTTTGAAATCTCTCTCACTCACACCCTTTGCAAGCAAAAGCTGTATTTAATTTAAAGTGTGACTCACCCTTTGTCAAGAAGGAACTTGTGATGTGATGATATTGACGATGAATGGAGAATACGAGGGAGGAAGGAGTGACAAGTCGACTGTCACTCAAAACATGCATTTATTTATGAATTCTCTCCCCCACCGTTCGTCAATATATACTTATCAGAAAATTATTATTAAGCAATTTTGAGGATGACTAGGCGAGTGAAAGTTGGAACTAAATGGTTTGCACTTAAGTTATGCATCTACAGTCCATTTATTTACCATACGACCCTCGACGTCACAACTGCAATGCTATTAGTAATGAGAGTGATGACGTCGAGGATCGTATGGTAAATAAAACGAGAGTACGTAGGGAAGGAAGAGAAAGGTATTTGTGAGATATTTCATGTAATAATTGTGATTTAATTTTTAGTGAGTAGTGGGAAATTTAATAATGGGGGAGAGATTGGAACATGATGAGGAAAATGAAGACTTTGACGTCAAATTTACTTATCCTGAGTGAGATGAAATGAATCCTGAATGAAAATAGGAAATAGATAGTTTAAGATCAAATTTGTACTTGTGGAAAAACTGCTAATTAAAGCTGAAATTTTACACAAATTTTAGCTTGGTTTCATAGATATTTTGACAAATTCTAATAGTAGTATTATTAAGTTAATTCTCCAGGACTCATTGGTCAGTATCATATATGTATAAACCACATAACAACTTGGCCGTTTGGTTGACCAGTTTCATAAAATGACTGAGCTTTTCCTGCAACTTATGTATTTGCTCAGGCGAGGATCTTTTTGTGGCTATTCCTCGGATTTAGTTAAGCTGTTCCTCAAAGCCAGAGATTTGTGGGCAATTCTATTATTGCAACTCCTTTCTAAATAAGCAGCTTTATTTGCTCGCAGGTTTGTTTAAGTAGTGATTCTCCCCATGTTACGTTATTTCACTGAGGAGTTTATGTTTTACGGACATTTAACTCTTATAATGAAAAACTTATCTGACCTCGACAGACCCACACTTCTTCTCAAAGGCTGTACAATTGTTGTTAGTGTGCAGAAATGTATAGGCCGCAGAAATTCTGTTGATTTAGGCGTGAAGCAATAAAATAAATTCTCCCAGCCAATAATGTCGTATGTACACGGGGTACAATTTATGGCTCTGGAGTTAAACAATTTGTGTGACTTCAAACCAAACCAATTCGAAATTTGACAAGTGTATTTGCACTATTTGAAGATTCAGATCTGCCACAGTTATTCAATTTCTCCCTGTTTATTTAACGATTTTCATGATTACACATTTATTTGCGGATGTTGCTTCAGAATTTCACCAAACCCCGAAATGAAGTCAATTTCCAGGGAAAGTTGTGCCTCCGGGAATTATTGCTTGTTAAGTAAGTAGTTATATTTATGTATCTGTCTACATTTCAGTTTCACTTTCACCAGTCAAATCGATCCCTCACTTACACATCCAATTTCACCTTTATTCATCGTCATCCAATAAATTCAAAGTAAACTAAACCCCAAATTATTTTACATCCTGCCTCCAACTCATCCTCAAACTCATCTCTTTTCAATTTCATACTTTGTTTTAACACTGCTTTCGCCTCGAGGTGTTTTATCTCATCCTTCCTCACTTTCACGGCACGAATTATGTTCGTACAAAACTGTACTGTATCCGGTTTTCATCTCGTTTCGGGTTCTCTTTACATTTCAATCATCTTTCCAACGACTTCATGATCACGTCGCTTCCACGTCTCAAGAAAATTTTTAATGAATTTCCCCTCCGCCACCGAAAAAGAGTCGTCGTCCGACACTATTTCAGTCCTTCTTGGATGGTTCTTATCTCTCAACGGGTCGTGTAGTTGATCGTCTTCAAATCATTACTAAAATTCCTTCCTGGCATAAATATTCGGCTTCTCGCTTTCCGAAAAAAAATGAGATGAATGGGGGAAAGGGTTGCTGGGGACGGGTGCATCATTCAAGCCGCGTATGTACCGTAATGGAGTGAGTTTGCCACATTATGTTATCCAGAAGGAGATGAGATACGAATGGTGGTATCTATTTGCATTTTGGGCTCCCTCCATCGGTTTTCGTGCTGGAAAGAGAGATCGATCTCAACCTGAGCGAAAGGCAAATACAGGAAAAGTTAACAAAGTGATGCACTTAATGTAACTGAAACTTGAGAGATCAACGAAGCGAAGGGTGTGATGAATTTCCTATTTCAAATTGTGTAATGAGGAACATTTAACTTCAAGAAGGTAATGGAATAAGTTTTCTAAAAAAGCTGATGATTTTTTAGTTTTTGAAAATTCGGGTGGATTTCAACCTGATACATGAAATGATATGTTGCAATTTAAATCAGACCAACAGGATTTGAGATATCGAAACCTTTCATCAAGATTAGTCTTTGCTGGAGGAGGGCCAATTAACCACCATTCCGAACACGTGTATAAGTGGGTACACATGTTGTATTTACAAAGTTTGGCCCACACCAACCTTTTCGCAACGTTTGGGAACCTTCCCAAACCATCAGCTTCGTTCTTGTTGAACTTTTTTGAAACTCTGGAGCAGTGAACAAGACAAGGAGAAAAAGAGCACACGGTAGAAAAACTGAATCCCACCCAAAAATTCTCATACTTCGTGGCTTTATTGGTTTAGCTTTCTTTAACGCTGAGAGAAACGTGTACATGCTTTTTATTAAAATGTTTAAAAACAATATTGCCCTGTAAAACATGAGATATTGCAACAAAACTGCATCGCAAAGGGAAATGCAACATATTTTTTATTTCAATTTCAAGGTTGGAAACCTATACAATTTTCTTGTTTCACATTTTCAAGAAATGTCAACTTGTTTCATCGGAATTTAATAGGATTACAATCAAGTGAATCAAACCAAACAAGGACTTGTTTCCAGTCGATAGTGAGGAATTCGTGGCAATTTATCGGGTGAGATAAGCCCACCATCATAAATCAGGGGTGGAATGCTTGGTGAGGCTCGTATTGAAATTAATTTGCCAACACATCGGGTATTAGTCAGTGTCGAACATTTGTCGCAATTCACCTGTGGATTTGAATAAATCAACGGATTAAATCAACCAGGAATCAAATCACACTTAAATTTTAGCCATCCTGACCAAATTGTTGAGCAAACTTATATATTTACTGAATATTTGTCATGCTTGTATTTCACTTAGGAAATGCAAATCTTGTGAAAAGCTTGAAAACCACAAATCAGAATTTAACAAGGCTAGTTCCTCCGTCCGTTATTTCACACAGTGCAATCAAAAATATTTACGACCTCGGTAGAACAGGTTTTGAATGATATTAAGCATGGAGAAATAACGATTAGAACATTTACAGAATGGATTCGTAGATTTGTAATGTGTTTTTTTTCCTCTACGCCATAAAACTACAATTAGAATTTATTTGCAGAGGAGTAAACCAGCAAATCCACAATTGTCTAGTTTTATTTAACAAATTAACGCATCCAACTCGTGGGTGGTTAGTGCTGGTTTTCTAGATAAATAAAAACACACCCAAAATTCTAGGCTGGTTTTTGATGAAAGAGTGAAACAATGTGCGAATGGGCTTGTCAGTCATGGTCATTAATTGAGACGACATGACGCTGTGATAATGACAACCAGGATTTTTTCGCGTCGTTATCCTGTAGGGATGAGGATAACGATATGAAAAAGGTCGGATAAAATATTTATAAGGTAAAAATTTGTTCATGAAATGACTGGTTAAATAAGTTGAATGAGAAATTATGTAGCATATGTATGCGGATAAAAAAACTCGAGTAATATGTGTTAAATTCCCAATCTGATTAGAAATTCAAACATTGATAAATTCTTTTTGTTTAATTTACAGAAGATCGACAACTGGAATCAAAAGTTCTGAATTTCTGACTGTATCCATTTATCACGTATTGTGTGACTATATACACTAATTTGACACTTCCCCATCCTTGAAGTACGTGCATTCTGTGAGGAAAAACATACTTTTTAAACAGTAAAGTGAAAGTTGCCATTTTTACAAATTTTCTAAACTGATGCGTCCGCGTGGAGAAAACCGAGTCGACGACCGTAGATGATTTCGGTGTCTGTGAAGGGGAACAAGGTCGTGGATCACCACGCCCTCATCAGCACCTCCGACTTTGACCACACAGGTACGTAAGACAGACGCATTTTGAGCAATACGTCAAACTGCGATTGACAAATTTGCAATTAACTTATCATTACTTATCGATCCATATATTTTGAAACTTTATCTAAAATTGTCCATATTCATCCAAAAACCAATGACCGAAGAATATCTATTATGTTCCACTTTTATTATTAAGTTATTTGCTTATTCAGCCTGAATGAGTCATCTCTCTCTCTCCATCCAACTCCCCCAACTTTTCTCTTGAAAACGCAAGTTTGCCAACCAGCATCTGTCCACACCCATTTGTCACTATTCATTTCTAACAAAGAACCGTCCTTATCATCCCACGAATCCCAATAACTGTCCAAGTGTCTCCCTGCTCCTAATGGGATACGATTTCCACGAGAAGATTCCACATAATGTGGACCGTTCAAACAAATAAGAACTGCACATGTCGTTGGAAATATTATTTATTTACCTTTGCCCAAAATCATTCAAGTGAGTGTGTCCCCGAAAAACAAATGTTTGCTGTCACTTTTCCACTTTGGCTGAACGGGAGAACAATGCTAGTTATATTGACTTACAGAAAGGAGGGGACCGTATTTTCCGGTGGTGGTGGTTGAAACTGTCTCATGTTTCCGAACTAGGAAAAGTCTTCGGTAATATTGGAGAGAATCTGTATTTAGTGGAGCTGAAGGGTGCAATATGTGCATATAAATATGTACAGAATACTCGTATAAAGGCAGAGAAAGTCGAGTAAGGTGAGATATTGGGGGTATTCATTCATACGAGTCCGCATGTTCGTATCGCAACATAATTTTAAAAAAAGCTGCGACATAAATGCTAGCCTTAGAAATGCGCAAGTTCACAAATGAATTTCAAGTTAATTTTTTTGTTAAACTGGGAACCTTGTTAGGCCTTTTAAGATGGCCTTATAGATTTACCCAGATGTCTGTCTGTCCGTCCGTCTGTGCGTCCGTCTGTGCGCACGATAACTCTCTTTAAACCAAAGCTATCGAGTTGAAATTTTGCACCCGCAAAGTTGCTTGGAGTAGGTTTTTTTTCTAACAATGCGAACTTGTACTAAATACGCCCATTATAAGTTTCCAATAAAGAATTTTCGGACTTATGAATACTGAGTTCCAAGCAGAAAATTATTTGTAAAAAAATTAGTCGCAAATTTTTCAATCAATTCTGAACTCTATAATGTGAACACCTACTCACTTAAGAAACACCATCAAACCAGCCACTTACAGCTCACAGATTTATCTACAGATGTACGTATAAATTTTCTCCAGTGATACAAAATCGAAACAGAGTAAAAGCCACAAATCTCGCAATAACAGATAAAACAAACCCTTCAGCAATGCTAAATTGGAATAAAAATAAGCTTTTCTACAGTGTAGCACCCACACGCTCTCTAAATATGCATTTATACCGATACAACACTACTGGCTCAAATTGTGGGATTGATTATTTGTAGCGATACACATCACCAAATAGGAAAAGATATGAATCAGGCAGCCCTCACTCTTGCCACAATCACAGAATAAAAGTCTGTCTAAATCTGAATCTGTAAAGGCCGGAAGCGAGAAAACTATTCTACAATTTGTGTGCTTTACTCGCCATCACACAACTTCACCGAAGGGAATCTCTGATGGGTGGATTTGGATTGAAGTAAAGTTGGATTGAGCAAACAGAACAGAAAGACACGAATTGAAGAAATTGTTAGGGGTGTGAAGCAAGCACTTGTGGAGGAAAGTTGGTGGATGCGTGTTCGAGTGAAAAAGAGGGGAAAGTGGTGTCGAATAAAAAATTGATGTCGGTTTTTTCCTCAACATGCAGATTTCCTCTAAAGAATGACAGATGGAAACTTAATCACCCGCTTAAAAACCATTGCTTATTTGCATATTTACATGTCTGAATTTTGGATTGACAGAGTTGATGAAGATAAATTGAGAAAAGGTTCCGTTCCGTTAAGGTGTTATTAGAAACACTTTTTAATTTTAAATTTTGTCTGGATCAATACCATTAATAAATCCTGGCTTGATTAGCGCATCACATTTTCCTCTGGGTTTTCCCAGCTGGCAGAAACATCACTTCCATCCATGTCGTCGCTTAAATATGTAATCCATCCTGCAGACAAAAGTATGAAGGGAAAACTTGTTTGATCAAGTTTCCTAAAACAGACATCCCACAAAACCGAGACGCATTTCACTACGATGTCACTCATTTTTGGCTGTGGTTTGTTGGTTCTGGTTGAGTTATGACTCTGGCATTTCATTTCGTCTAGTTTCCCCAAAATCCAAAATATATACTGCCACGTCTGTCACCGAGATGACTAATACTTTCTCCCGCACCAAGTGGTACATATTACGGTCGGTCCGACATCAAAAGCCGACAGTGCCCAAAATTTTCATTGCCAACTCTTATATTACCAAATCTGGATCAGAAATCCAATTTCTTTTCCGTTAGAAATGTTAACTTCAAAGAAAAAGAAAACCGTGGCTGGTTCGCTGGCTGTCAGATGATGGGGAATGAACAACTTAAGCTTTCTGGGGTCCAGTGGCGTGGCTGGTTTGGCGTGTGTATTAGAATATTATTTAAGGAAATGAAACCCGGTTGCGGGTTCGGTTTCTTGTGGAAAAGGCTTAACGATGAATTGTGTGAGATTTTCACCAGCAACACCACGCACCACCAGATTTTCTCCCCTCCACAAAAATGCGGCAGACCAGAGGAAACCAAAACGAGGGGGAAGCAAGCATACTCAGGCTTCAATTAGTTTATTCAGTCAATCAAAATCAAAGTGAAGTGAACCTTACTGGGCACAGAAATCCGGGTCATTTACATTTTAATTAAACGGGCGTGGTTTCCCAAAAGCGTGGACATGCAAAAAAATCTAAATAAATAATTTATATTTACTTAACTTGCAATTTAAAATGCAACATTTTTAACTATTTATGACCATGCCAGTATGTAAATAAATTTGCATATGTATTATTCGCACAGTATAAAATTCCACATACCCTAAAAAAACCTTACACATTTTGAATTTCAGTGTGGACTGGCAAAACATTTGACATGTCATCATCTTCACAAAACAACTTGAGACAAGTCCCTGGGCACGACATGGGGCCATTTCACGACCCCCATCACGCCACCACTATCGACGAGTACGACCCCGACGAAGACGACTATGACGAGGAAGATGAGGGTGAGGATGTCGAACAGGAATTTGGCGAATCTCATGGGGCTGATTTCAACCGAAATTTAGGGTGAGTTGTTATTATAATATTTTTCCCAGAATACCATCATTCGTATACAGAAATAAATTCATAAAGACTCTGAATAATAATATTAGGGAAAATATTTTGCATAAACCAACACGAGGGAGAAAGTTCCCAAAAAGTTTTTCATTATTTATGGGGAAACGGGAATCATTTTTTATTCCGAGAAATTTGACAGACATTTAAGCACGAGGTCTGGAATGGAATACGATCCGGAGATCTTTTCTCTTCTCGGAGAAAAAGTGTCGTGGCTTAAAATTTCTGTCTCATCTGTGAAAATGGACGAACTGAGAATTCTTTTAGATATTTAGGTTTAGCATTGTCTTATTTTTATTCGGAAACGTGTATGCACGCATTTCATACATTTGCAGATAGAATGAAAGAAGGAACTTTTGTAAATAAATGCAATTTATTTTACACAATTTCTTCAAAATTGTACAATAGCATGAAATAGATAAATGCAATGTCATGCAAAGTTGATAAACACTTATTTATTATCTCATTTTTTGAGAAACATACAAATTTCTCGTTGCCAATTGTACTTGCGTGATCTCGACTTTTTTACACATGTTCAAGTTTTGAGAAATTCGGTAAACCGCAATCTTAAACCCAAACAGAATAATATTTTTTAACCGTCTTTCTCTTTCGTACTAAATATTTATGACACGAAATGAAATATCGTTCTTCCCCGTATGATCGGTCGCTTCAGAGATATGTAACATTTAGGATTTTGTTCGTACGTACATTCCATTGTGGTCTGTGGTCGGTCGGTCGGTGGTAAAAGTGCATTCATTTTACATGATTTTATCCCATGTGAGTGGTGAAAGTGGTGAAAGGTTGGACACACTTTTACTACCTCCTCCAAATTTCATCTCTCTCTGTCACTTCCTTCTTCCTGTGTGGATTTAAGTAACTCTCTCCCCCATTTTCTGCCCTTCTCTGCACCCATCCCATTTTTTTGGTACAATGTGAAAGTAAAAAATGCATTTTTTTCTGAATTTTTTCAACCGCCGTCCAATAAATCATTTCCTGGAGAGAAGAAGTCGCTTTTCTTTCTTTTTCTTATGTACCACACAGTTTTCAGAAGTCTCCCCCTCACTCAATAGCTTCGTATCCTATCGTCATCATCATCATCGTCATGATCGTTATCATCAACATGGAATTGCCCCCTCTCTTCTTCTTCTTAGGATGGAATGACGAAGAAAATTAAAGTCTTGGTGGAGAAAGTCTTGTTTTTTTGTGGAGAGACTGGCCGAGGGTCAGATTGGGTAGAGTATTTACCAGTATTGTTAGATAGCAGGGAGGAGAGTAATCAGTTTGAAGGCAATTGGGCATAAGTATTTTGTACAATAGTTTAGGAAACTTGATAAGGAAATCTATTTGCAACATTTTTTTAAGTTTTCTTTTCAAATGGGCAGAAAGTATCTGAAAATACAGTTTAATTTACAACTGACACAACATAACAAAAGCTTTAAGTTTCCCTTTTAGTTCTGAAAAGTGGTTAAAAGTTGCGTTCATCAAATTCTAAGATAACATAAAGTCCGTTGATTTGATTATGAATCAGTTTTCATAGAAATTATAATTTTTTAGTATGCTTCAGGACTTCGAATTTCGACGAATTTGCAGCCACACTTATTGAAATTCTAACCTTTTGTGTTATTACTTTTGTCCCTTCCAACAACTTGGAGAAACTAAAATGGGAAACATTTCAATCGTCTTCTTCGCCATGATCGGTTCACTTGCTTTTATCAGAGTTTCATTATTTTCGATACTCATTCGTGCCGGTGGGAGTGAAACACATGTCATTTCTTTCACCCAACTGCACTGCATTGCACTTCCTGTTTCTCCTGAAGGACGTGGAGATCGCGTTGGACAGGCTGCATTTCCACCCAAAAACTTGCACAATATCCACTCACAGATCCTCCCACCCATCAAGGCACGAGTTTTCCATCTCTTTCTCTCTCGCCAGAATCTCACACCAGAACGAAGGGAAGAAACCAAAAATAAAATCATTTTCTTCCACAAAAAGCAAACCAAACGAGGTTGGAAAGAATAACAAAACTTTACAGTTTTCCATTCTTGTTGATCTTACAAACCCGTTATTTGAGTTTTATTACCAGCGTGAGACAACATCTTCGTCTCAAAATGTCTTGGAACAGATTTTGACTCCAGAAATTCCATTATATTTTTTTCCTAAAAAGTGAAATGCAGTCACATTTCGTTTTTTTTGCAGGGCGATGAAATATGCTGACTTTTTTCTCTCCCTCGTTAAACATATTGAAAGCTGAAGCGCCTCTGTAATTTGCTCTCTCTTTCCGGAAAAATATTGGCGAAAGAGCAGCACCACGTGAAAAAAAATAAAAGAAATGCTGCTTTTGCATTTAATCTTAATTTTTATTGTGCCATTTTTATTTTGTGAAAGCCATGTAAAGCAGGAAAATAATTTCGGTGGCATGTTTACCTTGGCTCAAGGGAGGGCAATAATAATAAAATAATCGTAAAATATGACCGGGTGCGAGTAGCCTTAAATTATCATTTATTAGCAGGAAATGAAGTTGTAAAAGCAAATTACAGAATATATTTACAGACTTTTCCGTATTCGTGTAGAATTTGGTTGTCGTGTTAAGTGGACTTCTCCATTTGGGAAATGAGTTCATGCAAAGTGTCCATTCGGCCAATTTACGGCTCCCATCAGCACCACAAACTTGGCAAACATGAAAGAATTTCACATTTTTCGGTTTATTTATTTAGTTATTTTTCTGAAAAGGAATGCAGCACGAGAATAAGTTTTTGGCGAGTATATGTATCTGAAATAAGCACGCGAATTTTCTGCAGAATTGTGTAGATTATAGATAAAATCTAATTATTTTCTACTTAATTTTTTTTCAATTTAATAATAAAGTGCGTAATAAATTAGCCTCTATTTCGAACAGTACCCAGCATGTCATCCCCTCGTCACCTGCTCCCACGACGACGACAACAACGTCAATTGCCACCCTCCACCCAAACCTTTCATCATCTTCCTCCGAGTATGACGAAGACGCAAATTCGCCACCTCATTTTCTGCGCTTTCTCCGGCAGTTGTCCAACATGACGAGAGACGCGGGGATGGACGTCAGGATGAACTGCGAGGCGGAAGGGGTACCTGCCCCAAGGACGATTAAATGGTTCAAAAACGGAGTGCTCGAGCAATTTCGAGCGGACAGATTTCGAATCAGGCACACTCGCAGAAAGTAAGTTGTATAATATTTTGAAATCTTTATAAAATTGCATGAAATTGTATGAATTTTGACACTTGATGAATTTCATCTCGAAATTTAAAATATGCATGAAATCCAGCAAAATTTAATTGGTTTTCACACTTTCAGAACTTCCCAAGGAAAAAATTCTCCCATTCGAATTGTCGAGTCGACGCTGCGAATTCGTAGTCTGGAAGTGCTAGACAAGGGATTTTACACGTGCGAGGTGTCAGGCGGAGGTGGTTCTTCCAAAAAAATTTCATCTACCGCGATCTTGAACGTTATTCATGACCCAGGTAAGCATTATGTATGCACTTATAACAAGCTTCCCAATTTATGGAGTTGGAATTATCTTATAAAAGATACTGACACTTGGTATCTTTCACCATGTTATACTAATCCTGAAACACTAGTAAACAACTATGTACGTACAAAAGTCAGGAACGTGACGCACGTGCACATTGTAATGAAATCCGCTGATAAACCGATCCTAATCCTGCACCAAAAATGGAAAGAATTACATGCGTTTTTTTCTCTTACACGTTTAAACGTATGTCACATGGATAAGGACTTATTGTCGTCAATCACATCTTATTATCATGACTTTTCTCAATTTGGTCATCCTGATTGAATTTTCAACATGTAAACACGAGGTTTTTGTATGTAGCTATCTTTATTTAATCTGCGATCTGATCAACAAGACATGCAGGATTTTAACCATTTTTCATCATTTCAAAATTCAATTTTCATTATTATTTTGTGCTGAATTTGTGCACACAAATGAAACTGCACTCGCAAATTATCGTTTGATGAGTAACTCATATCGTCGATAAGTAGATACATACACGCACCTTGCATCATCTACGCATAAATTGCGTCAAAAAATTTCCGTGTCAAGTTTGGTCTCACCTTCTCATTACGAATTCATCTGTCACAAGTGTGCTAGTCAGTGCTGTCAGGCTAAATATGAATGTTATTGTTTTTCGTGGACTTGCTCCCAGTTTCAATTGTTCCTTCATTCACGTCCATTGTTTTCCTTGAGACGTGTACATAGTCGGACGCACAAGTTGAATCGAGGAATAAATAATCATAACAGACAAAGACGTGACATGGACACCCGACAGGGCGAGATAGCCAGATATGTGTCCGGTATCGCACTTTTATCCGTGCGTAGGATCAAGACTTGCATACCAAATATTTATGTGTATGTTAGCACTGGGAAAAAGTCAGGTTTTATTTAAAAGATTTTTATTTGTCATAGATCTTATGATTGCTTATCGTGACCATTGTTAAATTGTGAATTTCTCAGGAAGTATTTGCATACATACATCTCACTTATTTAAAATCGTAATGTTTCCGACGTTTATGCAGAAATGCGTGAGTATATGCACCTAACAAAACGTTCTTAATGCATATATATTTCCGGGTATTTTACTAAAACTTAGAATGTTTAATTCACCTGAAATCGAGTTATCGAGACACGTTAATTTATTGTAATTAAGCGTTTGAAAGATTTCTACAATTGGATCATCTCGAGAATGTGAAACACAAAATTAGTTTTGCACAACCTATTATTCCATCCTAAACGACATTTGTATCATTAAACCACTGATTTATAATGATTTGCCTTTCACGACAATCGAAAATACCGAATTAATTAATTCCTTTGCCTCATTTTGTTTGTCATGAATCCACCGAATGTGGTTCAATTTGTGAATGTGGGTGTGGTCCTACCTTTGTAAATAAGTATGTATGTAAACGGCTTGGAGGGGAGCTATTGATTAAATAGGTTGTAAAGAGTGAGCCGAGTGGGCAAAACGGTGAAGAGGGGAGACAGGTGAATCGATGGATGGAAAGGTTGTGGTTTGGCTTCCTCTAATTAATTCCTTTGTCCTTTCTCTTCCGTTCCAGTTGGAGTGACAGAGAGTGAAAGTGTCCCCGTGGGCTGGGTTCGTTTGTCTGCTTCATGCGTCGACGATTTGAAAGTCGAGTTGAGCAAATTCATCTGGAAATTTGTCATGTTCAATAATAATTTGTACCGATCAATTTATGTCATTAGTTAGCGAAGTGAGTGTGTATTAGGGGTGCTCACGTCGAAGTTTTTGTTTGCAAACTAATCGTTGCGAAATAGCCTTGCGAAATAAAAATTCTGGATAAATTTGGGAATAGAAAATTCCAAGGTTTGCAGTAATAGAATTAATGAAATTTCGAAAATTTCGCAAAAACTATATTCTTATCGTGTTACGTAATAAGCTCAAATTTCTAGATATGTAAAGATTACATTGAGGACGATTTTATCGGTTTATTTATTTATCTGTATTTATGACGACGACATCTCCACCAATTTTCGCAAGTGGTCTTATCCCCAGTAAAGATAATGTCGCGTAATTCCTTATCGTCGCCATAGCGCCGTCCCCATAGCGCCGTACTCTCCTCTCACTTCAAAGCGACAGTTCCCATGCCAGCCGGAAATGATTTCCATTACAAATGAGACCCTCCTCAGTTGAGAGAAATGATTGCAATTTTATGCCACTCTTGTAAAAAATATTACTATTACTCGTTCTCATCCTCAGTTTGGTAGATGGGGTCATGAAGTGGAGGGTGAAGATGTAACAACTTCTTATGTCCATCCACTCTGGCTACAGAATTTAATGCGATGTTAATGTTTCTTAGCAAGTCTTACTTCTTCCTGTTGGGTCTGGAGCTGAATAGAAATGGGTAATTGATGGCAACGAGTGGTGCAGCCAGGACGAAGATTACTTTGGTTTGCATTGTCTCTCTTTTCACCAAAAAGACATGCAAGCCAAGCCAAAAAAGTAGCCAGTCTGCTCGCCAATGTCATGGTCCTTCTACTTCAATTGACTGAGATAAAGAAAACCAGAGATTCTTTAATAATATTTGTTCAGCTATCTGAGAAAAATTACTAAAATCTAGAAACTGTCATACAATTCTCATATGTATTCAACTTTACATGAAAATTTTTGCAATTTCAAAATTAGCAAATAAACAACAGGCGATTTACATACGCAAACGTACCGAAATTTGAAATTACAATTTGTAATATGAGGATAACATCATCGCCAACCAGGAAATAATTTGACCCTTGAACATACACCCATACATATTTAACTCACCAAATTTACCATGCACCCACCATACATAACTTTTATTTTCGGCCATTGAAAGAGATAACACCGTCACAAATAATTCTGGATTGCTCTTCTGAAGAGTATTTTGCCAAAGTCCGTTTGAATCATGAGCTCGATATCTGTTCGTCGTTCGTTTCTGTGTGTCCTTTGTGATTTATACTTTTGACGAAACTACGGGGAAGGAGGATGGGTCGAGCCAAAACTTTTGTGAAGTTCACTCCGCTACAGAATAAACATAAAGTGCTTTCAGTTTCCTTTGAAATGAGAGGACGTGGACGATTTGAAGAGCAATCAATAAAATAGAATGGAAACATTATTACGCAGTTGGGAGATAAGTGTGTGCACATATATTCTTAGGTTTATGTACAGAAGTAAAGTAAAGTGAAAGTAAAATGGGTGATCAACTCAATGAATGCACGCTTTCATCCACTAAACTTCCTCCAATGCTGACTATGTACGTAAATATTACACAAAGACTAAAATAGGAAAGAGAATGTTTGTCGGGAAAGATCTAAATTGGATAAGTATGAATTTACTTATCGGACGTTCGCACCCTGTAGAAATTTAAATATGGAATTTACTTACTTTCACCCAGGAATTATATCAGAATAGATTTTTTATGTATGAATTGGTACAAGTTTTTAATGTGTCTGTAAATTACAATTCGGATAATAAAGGTCCAACCAGCCAGAAGCGATTTATTGATGGTTATATAATACCAGGCAAATTATTTTTATTGCAGGTCTTGACTCCGGAGTCATCCCGGATTTTCCCAGCGCATTCGAGTCGTTTCCTGAAATCGGAGAGTCTGGAAAGTATGTAATTTCATGACATCCGGTGCAAAAACATCCATATTTCAGGCATGTTCATATAACTTTTTGTACATTTTTAGCGTGCACAGAATCGACAGTTTCCATCGAATATCTGCAGCAAACACGGGAAATGGTGGTGGTGCTTCATCCAGTGGAAGGACTGATGAGCAGGATTCATTCGTAATGCAACCACCGAAAAATGGCCATGGATTCTGTCAGGTTTGCGATGAAAAAGCTTCATGAAATTAACCGGTGGAGCTAATGAGTCATTTTTGCAATTTTTCAGCCCTACCGTGGTTCAATATGTCGCAAATATTTGGAGAATCGCACAATCTACGTCTCCGCAGAAAATTCGCAAGTCATCTTGGAGACCAAATTAAAGGAAGCCATAAATCTGATCAGACTTTCTCCGTAAGAACAAATTACCAGCAATTATAAAATCGACATTTCTAGAATTTCATAAAATACTTTTTTCCAGTGACATTTCCGAGCAATGTTCCACCTTCGGAATTCCATCCCTTTGTCATTACTCATTTCCAATGTGCACCTCATCCCCAAAAACACAAAGTGGTCACCCACGCCGCCTCTGTCGCGAAGAATGCGAGATTCTCGAGGAATCCGTATGCAGGTCAGAGTACACACTCGCCAAGCACCACCCGCACCTGCCCCTCCCACAGTGCGCCACCCTGCCCCCCGTCGGCTCACCTGATTGGTCGACCTGCCTCCGACTCGGCCTCCCAAACAAACAGGCAGCACTCCCCCTCGTAGACGAAAGTCAGCCCTGTTACAAAGAACGCGGGGTCGAGTATCGGGGTCCAGTCAGTGAAGGCATTTCCGGTCAGCGGTGTCACCCTTGGCAAAGTCAGAAAGAAGAGTACAAATCCGCCGATCACCCAGAATTAATGGGTGGACACAACTTTTGCCGAAATCCGACCGGTGCAGAACAAGGGCCGTGGTGCTACGTGAATCAAAACGGGTTTGGCTCTGGGCGTGTCGTGAAGGAACATTGTCGCGTTGAGCAGTGTGGCTTCTTTGGCTATGGTAAAGTCGAATCAGGCAACTTTTTCGCGAATAATTGGCACATGAGTTGAATTTATTTTTTTTGCACAGATGACAAACTATGGCTCACACTATCTGCCGGGTTATCCTCTCTGTTCCTGGTCCTACTTTTGTGCGTGGTGTGCTGCTGCTGTCGTCGTGGGAGACAATCCAACAAAAAGAAGCCATCCTCCTCACCCACCTTTCTCACAGTGTCGAACCACTCGAATCATCATCCCCTCTCGGGATCCACGCAACACTTGGAGATGAATCATCTCCTAAAAAACCTGAGTGGGTCGGGCACCCGGAGCAACAATAGCGGCGGTGGGGGCAGCATTTTAAACGGGCTAAGCTCGGGAATCTCCTCCTCGTACGAAAAACATACGTACAGCCATCTCAACGTGCCGGAAGTGGCGGTGGGAAACGTTCACCTGTTCGAGGAGCTGGGTTGCAGTGCGTATGGAAAAGTGTACAAGGGCGAAGCTCTGCTCCGAAGTGGTGCAGGTGACGCCAAATTAATTAACTTTTTTAAGAGGTTACATAGATTAACTCTGATTAATCTATTATTTAAGGTGACATGCCAGTCAGAACTGTGATAAAAACGCTGAAACCATCCGCCTCGGCCAAGACGCGGCAGGACTTTTACCGCGAGATTGACCTGATGGGTGACCTGCGCCACCCGAACATTGTTTGTCTTTTGGGCGTCGTGACGCGAGAGGAGCCGCGCTGTCTCCTCTTCGAGCACATGAGTCAGGGCGATCTGCACGAGTTCCTCATAAGCCATTCCCCCCGGGCAGACCCCGCTCTGGCCCCATTTATCCTCCAAGCCAACGAGATGCTCTTCATTGCTACGCAGATCGCGGCGGGGATGGAGTACTTGGCGGCGCACCATTATGTCCACAGGTAGATAAAGAAGTAAATATTTTGTGATGATTTACGATGGGTCTGGTTTACAAGAATTGTTTTTGTTTATCGTAGGGACCTCGCTGCTAGAAATACTCTCGTGGGGGATGGTCTCACGGTGAAAATTTCAGATTTCGGACTTTCGAGAGAGATTTATAATTCAGATTATTACCGTGTTCAGTCGAAATCATTGGTTCCTGTCAGGTGAGTGTGGCAACCTTGTATTTTTGGAGTTGCATGTACATCTGTAATGCTAAATATGCACAATGTAACTGTATACAAATCTTTAGATGGATGCCACCGGAAGCTATCATGTACGGAAAGTTCAGCACAGAATCGGACGTATGGAGCTTTGGCGTTGTTCTGTGGGAGATTTATTCCTACAGTTTACAGGTGAAAGCGCAAGTTGAATCTTACCAAAAAAAATTATGCGATCTTATAATTTTAATTCATCTTTTATCCTTCATTCAGCCATACGTCGGCTTCTCTAATCCAGAAGTGGTCGACATCATCCGCTCTCGTCAACTCCTTCCATGTCCCGACCTCTGTCCTCCCCGCATGTACTCGTTGATGGTCGAATGTTGGGCCGAGCTGCCACATCGACGCCCCTCATTTGAAGAGATCCACTCCCGCCTCAAGCTCTGGCTCCTCCCCCTTCTCGGCCCCACCTCCACCTTCAGCCCGCACATTATCCCGCAAAATTCCCGCTATCCTTTCGTAACTCCGCCTTCCACGGCGAGCAACAATTCCGTCAGCAGCGCTCAGTCGAGCAACGTCACTGGACCGCTGAGCAACAACACGAATTCGACCTCTGTCTCAACCCAGTGGCCGACAGGTCAAGGGTCAACTGGACCTCTCCGTACTTTCCAATCATCAAACAACAATAACAATGGTCACTGCGTCGCATACCAAAGTACACAGATCGTTCACCCAACCGGAAATGGGACAGGATATTCCTCTCCGTCACCACAATATCAAAATGCAACGGTACACTTTCACTCTGGGACAGGGCGGATAAGTCACAATTTGCATTCTCAAGGACAAAACTCTCCTTCCCCGTATAGGGCTTTAATGGAGTCGAAATCTACAAATATTTAAAATGTTCGTCTTTTTATTATAATTATTACAATTCTGTAAAGTTGAAATGTAAACGAGTTGAATATCCAGCTTATTAATTGTGATTGATACAAATTAGTAACGCTTTAATAAATAATCTGACACGGTCTATGAACCGTCTTGTCTTCATGCATTTATGTATCAGTTCAAAGATTTTTATTATGACCAAATTTTGGACACGGTCTCTAAAAGCGGTCCCAAAGCTCCCAAAGTTCAACAATTCATCCGAGATTCTATTGACATTGTGTCAATATTGAATTATGTCCTACCAGCTTTAACCTAAAGATGAATATCTAACTGATAAAACAAGGACAATGACGACATGACGGTGCTTAGACACTAAACGTATTCAGTTGTCCTAAATATATGCGCATATTTATATTCATCAAAAATATGTATCATAAATAAATTTCACTATTTTGACATGTAAATATGTGCATACATATAATTATCTAAATTGATACCCACTTTATTCCTCCCGAATAAATCTTTTCCCCCGTAAACGCCACGCTCGCTCCCAGAAACATTGCCAAAATTAGATAAAATACAGTTTGTATACTTCCGTCCAAATTCATCTGCGATCCTTCATCAATCCTCGTCCTCTCCGTCATATTCATATACCATTTCCTTAATAGTTCCGTCCTCCCATTTTCCTGCGACTTTGAAATAATCCCAGTTGCGTATAAATTCCTAAAATGTGCATCCAACCCAAGTCCTTTCGTGTGCAAGAAACCCCACACTTTCAAAATCGGGGTCAAGTTTTCTTTTCCCAGGAAAAACTCTCTCCTCGGAAACCTTCTTCGTAAAAATTCATACTCCGCTGCCACCATTTCTGACAAATCGATCACCATCCTTTTCGAACAGGACTGTGTTTCCTCCGAAGACACATTTTTAATCCAAAATTGCCGCCTTATGTCGACATGATTATGCTGCGGGTGCAACAAACTGCCCACTCGCAAAATTTCCGTGCTAATCCGTCCCTTACCAATTGCTTGCATAGCATTTCGTAGAAGTTTCGTCAACACATCGTAATATTCATAGCATGCCTTAATTTCTGGACACCTGTCATACTTCAGACGCTCCGTTATTGCAAAGACAGCCTTATTTAAAAACTGTACATTCTTTTTCCTCGAGCTCATTGCGGATCTTAACTTTTTCAGTTCGGCAAGTCCACAAACGCTCAAATTTCGGCAAACTGCGCCAGTGTCTGTAACATTTTCAAAGTAATGAAGCGGTACGGATGGAAGGGGAGAACTGATATCGGTGATGGACATCCCAATATAACTGTTCACCAGGACGAGTGCCACGAATAACCAGAGAGTTGTAAACGCTCGAAATAACGGTATCTTGTACAAAATTAGTGGAATGGAGTACGGTTCATCGAAGAGAGACGAAATGAAAAAGAAAACAGCGGAGAAACTGGTCTTATTCTTAGGAATATATCGAGCTACGTACAAGCGAACTGCCAACGCGGTGAAACACGTCGAAATTATGAGGCATACCCACAAATCTGATTGATAAGGTTTCAAGTAAATTCCAAAGCTTAATTTCGGTTCTCTGTAACAATGTAGGAAATTGTAGCCTTCATAATTCGTCACGATTATGGATTGAACCGTTCGAGATTCGTAAATGGGGAGGGATCCAATTTCCGATTCGACAATAACTTTTGGCTGATTGGACGAGTGACCTAGGTTGCCGATGGCTGTCGAGTTACTTTTCTCTGCGAGGGTGTACAAGACTTGTAAAAGTTCCAAATCTCCAGAAGTTATTGGCAATAATTTTTGACCAGGTACCAGCTTTACCCCGTCATACCGGTAATTGCCAGGCACGTAGAATTGTCAAGTCTCGAATTTAAATTGAGGACTAAAAATTGCAAGGGTGAAGGTCATAGTTTCCATGGGAACAACTATTGGCGATTTTCCAACCGTCATGGGGTACTTGATAAGCTGATTAGAGTTGAGGTGAAATATGATCAAATTTTCGTAGTACTTGCAGTCCTCAGATGACACATGGGTCCATAATTTCCAGGCAAAATATGAACCAATTGTGCCGTTTTGAAATTCTAGTTTGTCTAATTTTGTGAAATGTAGGACAAAATTATGTTCTGGATAGAATTCAGACCTCATATCCGTTCCGATGTGTCTTTCTGTGTATAGGTAACCAACGTCATCCATGAGTAGGCGATGCATCACGGAAAACATTGAGCGCCAAAATAATTCGATAGATTTTTTGGCAGATATGTCGGAACTATGAGTCACTGCTAAAATGCAGTTGAGTTGTTTGATTTTGAAAATGCAGAGCGGGGGATAAGTTCCGTTGGGGTATTTGGTGAAGTGAAGGGTCACTGGGTCATGGGTAGTGATGGTGAGTTGGTCAAAATCGTCCGTGATGATGTGAATATCGCAAATATTTCTGGATAGGTAAATTTCACGGGAAGGATTTTTCTCAGAAAATATGGAGAGTTTCGTGATACTGAAGACAATGTTGATACAGGTCGTTAAAAATATAACCCTGTCACTTAGGCTGGACAGAAACATGGTACTAATTTGTGTTAGAATTTGATGACAGAATTGCACGAAGAAATATACAAAGCGAAATGTTTGAATGTTCATTCTGCACTTCCTGATAACGACGCATTTATCGCACGAATTCTAATTTTAGGCAAAGCCGTCATTTAAATTATAATCTCAATATGTAGTTATGAATAATTAAGCCTTCATTTATACAACGTATATATGTACATACGACTAAACTATACTGGACACTAGTATCCGAGGTAAACATAAAAATTCATGAGAATTCTTATAATTACATATGTAAATAAATATATTTGTGCATAGCCATCAGTATAAACACGTGAATTACTGAGTTGTTCGTGTTACATGCAATTCTTAGGATTATTTCCTTGCACTGAAAATAAGTAGCTTAGTAAACTTGCCAGAATTATTTCTGAGAAATATTTTTGCAATAGAAAAACAAAAATTCGTATTAAGATGATGCTTATCCTGGTTTAGGCCCGACATGCAATTGCGGAAAAATATGGTTAGTTTGATAGTGAATTGAATAAGTAGGTACTAAAAATGCATATGTACACACATAATTTTACGTATTATTGTCCTAAATGTGTACACCTACAAAGTTAATTTTGTCAGCCAATTTTAGATGCTCTTTACATGCAACTTTTTTGATTTATAGGAAATCCGTAGTTTATAATTGTGACATTTGATGGAAGTATCAATAAATACATACTTATTTACATATGTATGTATGTAAGAGTAACAAACTTGGTTGTACATATGTATGTATGGGTTCATGATAATGTGTACTTATCTGCACGCGTAAATACATAGGTATGTACATAAATAAATATATAGGTATATTTACGCACATGATTTTATCAACACCTACATACATAAATACATAGATTCAACATACATACTTATCCTTAGGGCTGAATATACGCAAAAAAGCATGATGATCAACGTATGTATCTTTCTCCATTAATAAATACACTTCTGTTACAGAAGTTCTGTTTCATTTAATGTTATGTATGAAAATATTTACGTATTTACTACACGCATCATCTCGTAGTAAGTAAATATCTCTACCTTCAGCCATACCACAACAAATACGTAAGTAAATACTTATCTATGTGTATACTTATTATTCTTCAACTCAAACCAGGATGTTGTTAATTTCACTCATGTTTACCTCACTTTTACGTGTGCAGAATATGCTGTATTAATAAGCATACCTAAGCCATGACGGATCATCCTATCACAAAAGGACACAATACCACAAGAGATACATGCATATTTGGATGTACACAAGCACAGATAGTCTGTCAAATAATCCGTGTTTGTCAATCTTGTTAGTTTGCTCGTTCCATTTCCTTCATTTGCATCCGTTATAAAAACTACGCCGTTAAAAAGTTACCTGTTATTGTTACTGCTCCCAGAGTGTAATTGAACCTCAATTAGTTAACTACATACATGGAAATTAAAACTGCCATAAACCGCATACCGGTTGCGGAAGTGGGCTGAGAATTAAACCCGTTGGATGCAAATTCATTCATTCTATTTGCGGATAAATTTGTGTTCCAGAAAGCTTGTTGATCCTCAAATGTCTAGAAATGGGAAGACAAAAGTGCGAAAAAGATTTGGCACAAACGTACCAATTTCGGCAACCATGTCTCGGCCTTTATCTGCAGGGTGGGGTCAAATCAATCGCAATTATGGAGCTGGTAAAATAAACTCGAATTTTTTTAACTTTAAAATTTTACGTATTTTTATTTTTCTAGGGTATTCAACTATCAATGTTGGTCATTCTTAGTTGCGGAATACCCGGACATCTCGTAGCTATTGAAGGAGATAAGTTGAAGCAAAATTGGACAGTGTTTTACAGTAATTTTGAGGAACTTTTTTTTTGAAATTAATGACTTCAAAACTTGTCTAATATTTTAATTTTTTGCGTAGTGCGTTCAGTTATTTTGACGTATTACTACTTTTACATATGCACTAATATTTTCCTGACAAGGAAACTATACACCGCGGCAGCAACGGTAAATGCATGTCATGATTTCATAAATACATTAACCTTATCATGACTGATTATTTAAAATTTACAGAGAGATGTGGATAAATTAATGTCCTGGTTAATCCCGTCCATGGTTTTGTACTTGTTCTGGTTTGCGACCCTGCTCTGCCAAACGGTGTACATTGGCCTGGTCCACATCACTGGTGCCGCGACCTGGTGGAGTTTCACGACCTACAAGTTATATTCCTTCTGGGTCGCGTACTCCTTCATTCGGGAAATTAAACGACACGCCGGCCTTAATTTTATCCTCCAGAAGTTAACGGACCAAGAAATTGACGACTTTTTAAAGGGAAGTTCAGCAATTATTAATCAAGAGGAGGAAGGAAAATCGGAGAATTTTCAAGGTATTTTCAAGTTATAAAAACTTGTTGATTTATAATTTTTTATATTCGGAGTTCCGTTTTACTTTGAGTTTACAAATATTCGCAATGATTCGAGGTTCAGAGATTTTCGAGGTACTCATTTTTTAAATTCACATGAATTACAGATCAGCCATACAGAAGAGAGATTGAAATAGACATAAATCGGGTAAAATTTGACGACAAGGCTCCACCCCTTGGCAGCGGGGCTTTCGGGAAAGTTCTTAAAGCCCATCTCCTGCGAGAAGAAGGGAACCCTTTTTCTACACAAGGCGATGAACCTGTCGCCGTAAAGACCGTGTCCCCCAATGCTCATGCGATCTACTTCAAGGCGCTACTATCCGAATTGAAAGTCCTCAGCTATATTGGTCGACATGAAAATATTGTGAATCTAGTTGGTGCATGCACCTCAGCTTTGGGAGAAAGTAAGTAAATTATGGGGTAAATTAGCACAATTCACGCAATTCACTTGGACATTTGTAACTCTACAGACTGTTCAATTTTTGCAAAAATATTTGGCAAACTTTTTCAAGATCAAAAGACGCCCTTTATTTGCGTAAGGCGATTTTCCTAAAGTTTTGCAAAAGTTTAAAGATTTACAGGGTTACGAACATTCAATTCCACATTAGTTATATCTATAAAAGTAATATTTCCCCCATTAAGGGCAACTGTTCGTAATCGTGGAATTTTGCTCATACGGAAGCATGTTAAACTACCTTCGTGGGAATCGTTGCCGCTTTTCTGACACTACAGCACCATCTCGACATTCGCCATGGGAGGTCGTTGCTTGTGATTACGTAGCCATAGATTTCGACAGTCCAACAACCCTGGATTTGATCAAATGGTCAATGCAAACTGCCAAAGGGATGGAGTACATTGCACGGAAAAAGGTTATTCATGGCGACCTGGCTGCAAGAAACGTGCTTCTTACGGGGGACATGACCGCAAAAATTTCCGACTTTGGGTTATCCCACCAACTTTATGATTACTCGTACTTCGTACAAGATGCAGATGTAAGCGGTAATTGAGCTATCTGCAAATTTGCCAAAAATTCTAAAGCTTAAAATACATAGATCCCACTTCCTTGGAAATGGATTTCGCCGGAGGGATTAAAAAGCGCAAAGTTGTCGACGCAAAGTGACGTTTGGTCTTTCGGAATAACGATTTGGGAATATTTTTCCCTTGGTGCGGTTCCTTACGGTTGTTGGAAAACCTTTACTAACGAATTTATTGATGGATTGAGGGCAGGAGATATCAAGTGTGAACGACCTCCTTACGCAACGGATGAAATGTGTGTGCTTACACATGTAAATTTTATTTATGACGATTCATAATCAAATTTCATTTTTTATTGACTAGATATCAAAAAATGTTGCAATGTTGGGACACAACTGCACAGAACAGGCCTTCCTTCATTCAGCTTTCAAACTATTTTGACCAACTTTACCACGAACTCCAGACTTTTCCAGATACGTTGAGCCAAATTTCGCATGCATGAATATTGAATACTACGCAATTTTGCGATGATAGATTTCATCATGCACCTTATCTCGATGATAAGAGTTATTTACCTACAAATGTTACATAAGCAACATTGTACGAAATTACGTATGCACGTTGGCCTCGGAAATCACGAACTCTTGCAGAGGATGAGCTGGCTAACCATGGGGTGCTCGAAATTATGGCATTTCAAGTCAATTTTTTTAATGTCACAAATTTCTTAAAAATAAATATTTTAGGAAATACGGTAAAATTTCATAATCCCAAAAAAACTGCAGATTTATTTAAAACTTGGCTTCCAAATCATCATCGTCATCTTCCTCTTCGACCGGGGTGGTGACTACGACTGCGGGCGCGGCAGTTGCCGCCACGACGGCCGGGGTTGCTGTCCCCAGCGCTGCCAGGAGCTGATCTAAACTGCCCTGCGAGATGACCTGAACACTTGGAGGTTGCGCTTTCGGCGGTGGAGTTACCGGTACGGGGGTGGTCGCTGATTTGAATGGATTTTGGAAATTTATAACGGGAAGGGCGGCAACGCCTTGAAGAATTCCGTTCACCAGAGTGCCCACCCCTTCTAAGGTTTGCGCCGTTTCCGCCGCGCTAGGAACGCCTGGCGCTTCTTCACCGTCATCTTGAGGGAAGGCGACCGGAAGACTGGTAACGGCATAGAGTTGCACCTAAATTTAAGGGTTGCGTTAATTGTGACCTTATTTCATAGAGTAATTCGACTTACCAGCAAAATTGTTAACTTTAGTAGCTGAGACATGTTGAATTTTATTTTTACAGCTCTTTACTTGATCAGTATTTATGCGGTACTGAGGAAAATTATAGATAAATGCAATTCAATGGTAATTCTGATCAGGGGAACTACGTATGTATATGCATGTAATTGAGGAAAGGCTATTATTCAACATGATCCTAAACAATGTCTAGTTAACGGAATAAAACATTCTCGTTTCTAATTAATTTCCAGGTCGTTACTCCCAGTTTTTGCGAAAAATCAACGACACCGAGCAATATCGAATCGTATACCCAGTATAAGAAAATTGAACGTATTTGACTCGACCTCGTGTCAAGCATTCCTTGGTTTTTGTCGTAAGGTCACAGGTCTGAGTCGACAAGTTTGCTGCTCCTCTTTCTTGTAACGCAACTACACGGAAAGAGATTTTCTGATAGGGTCATCAGATCAAAAATGGACGCATTGCTCAATTCGTCCATGCAAAATATAAGGTTAAGATGGCGTGAACAATGATGATAGCACCTTAACTAGATACATGAGACATGCACGCGCATTTATATGCAAATGTAAATATATACCTGTGCATACATACGTGCCAACATCGCTATGATTGATTTGATTGATTGATTTATTAGCAGCCTTTGTGCAGGCCTTAAGGCCCATAAAGGTACATGAATAACTTTAACAACAGCAACGTACAACGGGTTACATATGAAATTTCAATTTTTCAAAACGACAAATACATATTACCAAATTCGATCAATGAGTATAACTATCCAATTTGACAAGTTCAATCAGGACAAATAATACAAGATTATTATCATTACAACTTACATGACAAAGTTTTATACAGTTACAAGATCTTATATGTTAAAACATTACAAGGTAATATCTAACAACGTAACCGGAGACGTGCGCTTTGTACAATTCATATTCTCAATATAGTTTTGTGGTGGTGCGAAGTTGCTCGTAAGGTCAGTATAAATCACGTTTTGCCAAATACATAGTGAAGTAAAGTAAGTATCCAGTTGTGGGCATCATCCACAAGTAGCACTCGGCATCCCAATACAGGCTAAATACATACAGTGCTTAATACTATATACGAGAGCAAGTCGGTCGTTTGTAATTCATCGTACACTGAGAAAAAGTGCAGACAGTGTCAGGTTTCACATTCCAGGCATGGTGAGGTCAGCATCCCAATGCAGTAACACAATTAATTTCCAGGTCGTTACTCCCAGTTTTTGCGAAAAACCAACATCGCTATGTTATAGCACATAAAAAAATGTTTACCCAAAAAGAAAGACGCAAATTGTATCTGATAATTGGTACATATTTATTTATATCATGCTGTTCATCAAACTACATTTTTTAGTTGCACACCAATATTTCGAAACTGGTGACTTTATACTCCTTCCCATTATATGAGAAATACGCATAACCTGGAAAATTTGCATGAATTTTCCCCGGAACTGTTGCAATTTGTCCATTAACACTAATTTGGGAACGACCAATATACAAAGTCTCGCCTTGGCGTGTCCTCCCACCGGCTATTGCATTACTTGGAATATACGTACCTACAAGCAAAACAAACATTTAAGATAACCTCCTAAGCAATTCGTCCATGTGGAAACAATATTTGATTTCACATTTCTTGCGAGGAATTTACTGCTATGTAGAAATTGCAAGATTCAGGCGCCACCCAAATTGATCGGGCTTATTGACTTCATTTCATGTAAGAAATTATGCTTGCAAAAAACAATTTTTTGCAGGAGGTCTTTTTTACGGTATACACTATATGTTTGTAGTTTCATTAAACTCTATAAATTTTCAAGCGGTTAAACTTGTTTCAAAAACTACTAGGGCAAATCTACTCACAAACAAACTTAAATATGTATGTGATAAATTCTTGTGTCTATGCGCTTTACAAAAGCTTAAATTAAAAAATGCAAATTACCCAAGTAAAAATTTGAGCGAATTTCCTCAATTTACCCACCTGGTCGTTGTACCCAACTAAATCCAACGCCTTTCGGATTTGTAAGTGCGTCTCCTGCCTTAAGAGCGACTTCCACATTCCCATAGGACACGTAACAAGTTGAGGAATGAATATTAAATACGCCAGGAATGATGTCTCCTGAGGGGTGAAGACCTCGACAGACGTAGGTTGGTCCAGATACATATGGATCAGATCCCCCAGGAAGCAATGCCGACCTATCTGCAGCTGATAATAGCTGGAAATTTCGGAATCTGTACGAGTGGCAGCCTGAGTTAAGACAATGTTTTTAAATTTTAGTTTACAAGTACTTAGTCGGAGAAATTCAGTGTCTTAAGCCTAGTTTGATAAGAGATGGACATTTAATGTAGATTTCGACAAAAAATGTGCAATCTGCTGAAAATGTGCCCTAATTCTTTATGTATGCACATATAGGTTTTAAACTTGTACAATATTGGCCGTATTCACGACAACCTCTGCAAAAACTAGCCAAATGACCATAATCAACATCACTTCACGAAAATTCGCAAAGATTACTCCGCCAACTATTGCAAAATGTTGGCGTGAGTGCCTACATATTACTAACTAAAAATACTATATTTTCATTTTCTTGTTTCCTTTTTCATACCTCCGCAGTCGTAATATTCATTCAATTTATTCGCATCCAGCACACTGAGGCCTGGAGTAACATCACTTCCACACTTTTCCACATTCGTATTTCTTGGATACCCACCCAAACACCAATAGCACTGGTAGTGCATTTGACTTGCAAAATCATACATGGAATTTAGCACATCGTTACTTGTATCCTTTCCGGGAATATCGTTGGCAGCACAGCCCGGAAAGTGGATAAAGTTGTCCCGATCCGGTCGGGATTGTTCATGCCCCATGCAAAGGCTGTGTCCAAGTCTGCACTCAAGAATTTTTGGGAAAAATGAGTACAATTGGAAAGAAATATATAATAATTTTCTCTTACTCATGCACCATAACGTTTGATGTGCGACATGATCCCCCAAATCGGGCGAATTGGTATCCCCCAGTACGACAAAGGTTGGCCACCCCGCACACTTCGTTGTCAACCTCGATACTTACGTACGCCGCCTCTCCTGGAGATCGGGCGACGAAGCGGATACAAGTTTTCTGATGGTATTCATTAAATGCTTTTTGGACTTCGGTCCTATCGTTGGCACTCAGACTTGAGTGGAATTCATACTTGACCACTCCGCCAGGCCATTTTGTCCAAGGGCGGAAGCTTCTCGTCCCATTATTGGTGGGAAACAACCATTCGTCCGGAGTATTGCAGATGTATCCCTGGGTGGACAAGAAATTCGCAAAAGCGATGATGGCGACGAGGTATAGTGAATTGCTCGACATTTTTCCAAGGGCTAAAGATATTAATTGGCAAAATGGTTTTTGATCCTCTGTCTGGAAAAGCTTTAGTTTTATACCAGAAGTGAAGTGGATCCTTTATGGTCATTTGATCTAAATTAATGGATCATAAGAATTATAATCTGATTCATAAGCCAGAATTCTCAGAAATCAACCTGTGCTGTGGCCCACAGATTCATTTAGTATTTAGTTATCAATATGTGGGTTAGTAGTGTAACGAAAGGATTTTTTGGAGGGGCGTGTGCATTCGTTTATTGTCATAAATGAATTATTATTAATTTAAAAAATGGACAATAAATGCATAAAATGATTTACGTCATTTAAATAGCTTGAAATATACATACATATAAATAGGTAGGTGTTTATATTTTCAATTTATGATATGCTTTTTCCTTGTTATACTATTTAACTATTTACATAATTATGTACATATACATATGTATATTAATTACACAATGATCAACAATAAAGTGTATATGTTGTATGTATGTAGAATTGTAGATTCTCATAATTTTTTTACCAATGCTTATTTGCAAAATACAGACTGGAGAACTCTTAAAAAATTAATGAAATTATGGTATGTAGTTATGCACATTTACATGCATACTTATTTATAGCTATTTGCAAAAAATTATAATTCGAATTAGGCTAAACATTTTAGTTTTCATAAAATTGCCTGTAATTATGCACATGTTTAGATGATCTTCAATTTAACTTTCGTTAATTACCTAACCTACTCAACGTTAAGTTGCAATTGAGAAAACTAGATTAGCCTAATTATATATATTGTATATTGCATTGTTTTAAGTAAAATGATTTTATGTACTTAATCGACACATTTGTATGGGCGTGTTCTAACTAATAATTTAGTACAATTATACTGCATGCAAATATACTGGCGGTGGTGTAGTGCAATAATTGTTAATAATGAAATATTTATTATTTATGTTAAATTTTTCGTTTCACATTTTACAAACATTTATTATTTACTTTGAAAATTCATACTCGTGCTCACATTCATATTATACAATTATATTGTTCATATTATATGTACATTATAGTAACAAACACTCCCTAGTTTTGGCCAAATGTTTTAATTCATGCATAATGCAAATACTACGGACGCAATTATGTTATGAATCTATGCGTATATATATATATATATATATATATATATATAATTTGTGTAGATTTTATACAAAATTAAAGGGATTCGGAAAGCATGCCAAGTTTCCTTGCATTCCATAATCTGGCTTCATCGGCAACATGTGATTAATCGACGCCATCGGATTCACGTGATTCATCGACGCCATCGGATTCATGTGCACCATGGGATCCATTGGCACCAATACGTCGAAGAAGTTGTAAAACTTTCCACTCGTTCGTTGTTGAACCGTTCTCGAAAGCCCGTAGTTTCGGTTGACTGTCTCTGGATGTTCGGGTTCCGCCCAATCGACATGAACAAGCTTACCCCACATTAAAATTTTTCCTGGGATCATCTTCCGGCGAGCCATTGCAGCATCTCTGAGAAATAGTTAGATCAAACTCAATAAAACTATGTAAAAATCAAACCAAATTAATGGTATACTAAATACTTATGTACATACTTATGTGATTCGTACTCTGCGAAAGCAAAACCACGATTCACCGTTTCCGACGTTCTACCAGCTTTAGCTAAGACGCGCACCAAGTTATCCGTCACTCTCGAAAGCTCAAGAAATATCTCCGCTTCACTTTTATCCTTTGGAATACCACCAATAAACAATTTACAATTGTCAACGGATCCAGTGACTCCAATTGGTCGACCTTGGACATTGAAAAATAAGCATTCGATTTATTCATTAAGGTCTTTTAACTTTTTTCACTCACCTTCCGCAATCTCGTAATGGTTTAAAGTGGCAATCGCCCACTTCGCATCTTCAGTGTTATAGTATTGAACGAAACAAAATCCCCGATTGTGCCCATTAAAATCCAACATGAGACGAATTTGGTAAATTTCCCCGATAGGTCGAAACACGTTGTAAACATGAGCTTCGTTCATATATTTTGGTAATTTCCCAACAAATACTTCAGTCCCTACAAAAAATTGAATAAGTATAAAAAATCACAATCTATTATGTTCAAACTTAAATTACTAATAACGAGCACTTCCATACCTTTCATTGGGGTCCGAGTGTCATTTGGGCGAGGTCCAAATGTTCTCTGTCCATTTTCCTGAATTATTGGCATTCCTGTCGCGTCGGCGAGAGCACCAAGTTCTTCAAAGGTTTTCGTCAATAACTTCTCCATATTCTGCATATCTCTTTGTTCTCTCGCCAATACGGACGAACGGGGCTGGAAGCAAAAATAAAATATCACTTGTTGAACACTATTTTTAATGCGACCATCCAAAAAACAAATCCAATTCATGTTCCCCACAAATTATACATATTCTAAAAACCCATTTCATCCCAATCACCATCAATTTAAATTCACAACTACAAACTGAGAAAATTTAAGTAAAATAAAAACTTACATCTAAACGTTCCGCATTCTCTCCAACGACTATGCGAGAAAAAGTTTCCGGAAGTTCTCTTTCTTCTTCCTCGACCTCGGTCTTGAAATTCGAAGCCATAATTTCGTCTTGCTTGAGAATATAACAAACCTCGCTTATCAGTCACTTTTCGCAGAGACGACCTACTAAAAACAACCCTAATTATCTGACGAGAAAGCTACCTTGAAACTCGATTCGTCTACAAAAAGTAAAGAAGCGTAAAGTGAAAATTTCTTGACGAGCTCTACCTCGCACGTCCAACCTAGTCGAAAAACGGAGAAGAAATGAACAGAAAAAGAGAAGAATCTTCCCGGAAGATGAAAAGAAGTGAGGACGAAGGATGGTTGTTCAAGAAGAAGATGCCGACTTTTGGACGCGTCGGAAGCCTTTTGCTGCTATTGCTAAGCGAAGGCAGGAGTAGTGGTGGTGGTGGTCCAGACTTACTGGCACCTTCGTCCAGCAACTTGACGCCGGCAAGTCGCGTTTTTTTTATATGTGATTTACTATAGCGTATTCTTTTTAAGGCTAAGTTTTTTTTGAGACAGGATTTTGCATGATTTTTTCTGGAAGTTTTTTTTCTCGTTTACTTCTTCTGCCTGTGAATGATGATCATTATTGCGAGTAATTAATGCGATCAGGTGAGATTATTATGGGAGAAACATAATGCAGTTTGTTAATGACATTAATTTAATGTGCCCACTGGTGAGGAATTGTGATTTTAATCATGTGAACATTGACAAAATTAGATTGCAAAGATACATTTTTTGCACATTGTAGCTTCAGCAGTCTAGTTTTTTTGTGTGTCACCTTTTTCTTGTAAATTAACGGGACTTTTGTTGTTTTTGGGCATATGTAGTCTTCATATTTATGTCAGCTTCTACATTTTCACGAGAAATTGGGTTCGTTTAAAATCATTCAAAACCAATATCTTTGTCCTTTGTTCTTGATGAGTTTAAATTTAAGTTACTTAATTATGAAGGAAAATATTAGTAAGTAAATAATTATGGGTTGGAAATTTGAGGCAAATTGAGATTGATGCAGATTTCATCATTATGATACATTTTCTTACGAATTAAGAGCTAATGTTGTGATGGGTGATGAAATTGCATGAATCTCAATTTGCCTCAAATTTCCAACCCCTATTCATGAGGGCCGTGGCCGTGGGTGTGATTGGAAGACCCAATATTTTACAAACCTCTATATATCTGTCTTTCATAACATGTTGTTGCATTCACACGAAAGATGCAACATTTGCAGCAAAATGTCATGCAGTTAAAAGTTTGCATGTTGCTTCGGTTAGTGAAACGATTGCACGATGTTGGCAGATGTGCCATGAAAGGACGACTTCTTCCTAAGCACGGATATGGACTACATAACAAGTTTTATTTTATTAGTGAAAACAACATGTTATTGTGACTAATGCTTAATCTAGAACAATTTTGCATATATAGTAATTCGAATTAAATATGGATACGAGAAGTACATGCAATATGCATGCATTTTTTATATTGATTAAAGAAAATGCATATATGAAAGACACATCCACTTTCAGCTTTCAAGTGTACTTTCTCCTCATAATATTTTAAATGGTTCTATTTGTACCAAGAAACAACGTCTCATTATTTTCCTCCTAAGCTTATTATGTAGACTGAGTACATATGTCTTCAACCACTTTGTTGTCTAAAAGGCTCCCGTAATTATAGGTTTATAAATTATAGCATCAAATTAAAATTAGTTTATAGTAAAATAAAAAATAAAAAATAAATACTGGAACCTTGTCCACCAACAACAAAATGTGCATCCCATGTCTTCATGTCTATGTATCCAGATATTTAAAAGTGGAACAACAAGGTTTCGTTCGACCTCAACAACAAACTGCTGCTTCATTTCGCTCTTACCACCGTCACAGAATCCACATGAACAACAATTTTTGCCCACTTTTTATTATATATAAGGATTACAAATGCCAACTATGAAGCAATCCAATAATTTGACTGCAATATTTCCATCACATATTTCTTAACATTTTAAAGCATTCTCGAAAAACGAATCATGGCTGTCATTTTCCAAGTAGTCCTTCTAATCTCGCTGGCGGGTATTGGGGGTGTCGTGGTGGAGGGTTGCAGTGGGGCGGCCGGGGCTGATGGGACATCAAACGGACAGGCGGGTCTAGCGGGGACTGCAGGCGGTCCAGGATGCGATGGGGGAAGGGGTGGAGCTGGCTTCCCTGGAACGAATGTTCCCGGTGGGGCGGGCGGAGCTGGTAAGATTTCTGAAAATAAATTCTAAATTTTGAAGTAAATTATTTTTTAAAAATGCGAATTTCTTAGGTGGTGCGGGTGGAAGTGGGAATACTGCGGGGGGTGCAGGAGGCCATGGTGGGTCTTCCAACACGCTGACGGGTGGGGCTGGTGGAGCCGGTGGGATTCGGTCAGGAACAGGAACTGGTAAGCGTGAATTTCCAATAAATTAGTTCATGTTTGCCTTAAAATTGTGAAATTTGGCATGTTTGGCCTGTTTTAGGTGGTCATGGGGGTAATGGTGGCGATGGTCATCCCGGTGGAGCCCCTGGAGCTGGTGGAGCACCGAACGGTCTTCCTGGATCTGCTGGAAATACACTTCCATGAATTTAGCAACTTAGTGTTCATGACCCCAATTGTTCTGATTACAAGCCTCCACGAGGTTACATAAACACATAAGCACTATTGAAATGAATATTATATTTAAATTAATTACTACTTGAATAAACTCAATATGATTCAAATTAACATCGAATGATGTCTCAAATTTTTATTGCAACAATGATGTTGGAAGCATGCGTGCAAAATCATGAAGTGGCTGAAAGATGTGTATATATTTACATGGATGCATTTTAGGAGGTCATGAAGTGAGGATTTTTTAGATTTTGACATAACTTCATAAATTAAGCAAATTAAGATTAAGAGGAAAGTTTGCACGTATGGTACGAGTTTCTATGTGCATTGCTCTACAAAGTCAAGTTCATTAACTCATGAGTTGTCACGGCCAAGTTCGAGAATTTCCAACTTACTTAAATTAAATCACGTAGCCGTGTACCATTTCTACGAAGTGGTCGCAATCACCATTTCTCGTCCGTGTCGGAAAATAATATGCAGTTATTTTCGTCTGAAAATATAATATCATACATAAATTCTAAATACGTACATATTTACATACCTACTCATACCAATCTAATCCAACCTTCTTGACATTAATTCCATGTATGAAATTTCTTGTATTTTGCGTCATTTGATTGTGTAAAAGAAAATTGCGATATAAATGTACAATTCATTCTCAAAATTCGTTCAGTCAATTCGCACCTTGATCCCCGGAACTTCTAATAATGACGTCTTCAACTAAAATTTACTTGCTTTTGCACTTCTTCAGCAGCATATGGGGGCAGCAATGCCCGTATTCGTCACAATATCAAGAGCAAGGAACTTGTGGTTGCACACGAGATGTAAAACTTATCCGCAGGTTAACCTTTATAGAAAATAATTAACAAAATCAATTTAATTACTTAGTTAACAAAAAGTGAATATCCATTATTCATCATAATTAATTGGGTATTGTCGATACAACATTTCTTTAATTTCACAAGTGAGATTTTGTGATATTTAATCTTTGCAATAATCGGGTTCAATTTTAACTGCATAACACCATTTTAATATGCAACTGGCCCCTTAAATTTCAGCAATCTACCGTCCTGCTCAGTCCCATACGAAGACTTCCCTTCGGCCAGGAATGTTTACGGGAATGCACCCCGTGTCGACCAGTCCTTTCCGACCTGGATTAATTACGAGCTCTTCCAGCGTGGTCAGCAATTTGCGCGAAACAATTTCTGGAGTGTCGGCCTAGCTGCGGCGCTCGGTCGCGCAGCGAACATGAACACGCCAGATATTCGAGATGTCATCATGTTCACGCAGGTCATGTCTTCCTCACCAATCGTGTGTGCCAGAATCCTGTCGTCTTTCGCTGCAAAAAATATGGTATTTTATGCAAATCTTGCCCCACATAATTTGACAATTGCAAATTCTGTACGTTAATTTCGCAAAGTTTACAAAAATCTGTAGGGATGCGTATTTATTGTTAAGAAACGAATTATGTATGTCGTTCACTAAATTTGTATACCTGTGAATCATGAACATTTACAAATTTTGGACAAACAGACAAATCTGAAATTTTGAAAAATTTACCCCACATGCAAATACATAGTTTGCATACTGATATGTGTCATACTTTTCATAGGTATGGTTTCAAGACATTCAAGGTGGCCCACCCCGCGATGACAGCGACTTTCTCCAAACGGTTAATCGAATTAGGTGGATTCACATCAAGGTGGCGCGAGACATTGACGCCAAGCGGAGAAAGGACGCCTACAACCCAGAGATCGTTGACGAGTCTACTTTTGACAATGTTACAATTAACGACGCCGTGTGGGACGCTTTTCAAAAAGATTTGATTGCTTCCCCCATTCCGGAAGTGGAGAGACGACTTCCGCCCCATTTTGAGGAGAGGAATACGTCCACGCCATATTTTAATCAGCAGTCACTCTCCCTCTTTCTCTTCAACGCGTTCGCCTATCCAATTCTGGCTGGTGGAAATTTTGGCATCGTCGGAAGTGACCTCTGGGCATTCAACCATCTCTCGGCAGTGATAGGATATTCCCTTGGAATTGACGACGCCTACAATTTAGCGTTACAACCCAACTTCAAAGAACTGAAGGAATATTATAGCAAAATATTTAAGGGTTACATCGTCCCAGGATTTTTCCACTTGGATAAAAGATCAAAAGTGACACTGGAAAATATTATGAAGGTTCGTGTATAAAAATTAATATTTGTGTTTAACTGCAGAATTATTTTACAAATCACAAGTTAAAGGAATTCAAAATTTCATAAAATTTCTTATACTTAAATTCGTTAATAATTTTTACAAATCTTTTCCATTCAACGAGCGGGGTCACCACAGCGTTATATTTAACATGGAAACTCATTTAGCAAATTAGCTCACAAAATCTGTGTCGTGAGTGGATTCGCAAATTTCGCAAAGCTATAACAACAGTCCTGTTGTCATATTTTGATTTAAGGGTAGGATGACGAACTTAGCAACAAATTTTTACCCCAACTTCCAACCTGATTTTCTTAGCTGAATGAAGTAATACAATTTTTCTGATTTCATGTATTTAATGATAAATTATTTAGCTTCGTATGTTCAATTCACCCTAGTGCATTGAACCAGTACTACTAGAGATAAGTCAATTTTAGTGAACTACGATTTAATTTACTGGGGTAACGTTCTAGGTCTCAATATTACAGATATTGACCTCAAACCAATTTTATTGTGCAGCTAATATGCTGGTGGGGCGGGAGTGATATGGGTCTTTCCGACGATTCTGTTCTTGGCGTGCACAAATTACGGTAATCTAAAATTTTGCATGAAAAATATGCAAATTTTATTTTAAAAGCGGAATTTCAGCATGAAGGGATCAACATGATTGGAAAGACCCATATCACTCCCGCCCCACCAGCATATTAGCTGCACAATAAAATTGGTTTGAGGTCAATATCTGTAATATTGAGACCTAGAACGTTACCCCAGTAAATTAAATCGTAGTTCACTAAAATTGACTTATCTCTAGTAGTACTGGTTCAATGCACTAGGGTGAATTGAACATACGAAGCTAAATAATTTATCATTAAATACATGAAATCAGAAAAATTGTATTACTTCATTCAGCTAAGAAAATCAGGCTGGAAGTTGGGGTAAAAATTTGTTGCTAAGTTCGTCATCCTACCCTTAATTTACATAATTTATTTCCATAATTTGTAAAAAAATCTCATGGTTTCCCAGCAAATATTCTGTGAAATCTAGCAAATTTCGCAAAACTTATGCGTAAGTTATGCTGCTATGCTCAATTTACGAGATTTGTGAAGGCCAACGTGAGTACGCCCATGCGTTTTGGTCGAAACTAAAATGATATTTAGACTTTAATTTACTAATTTTATTATTCACAGGGTACGCAGATAAACATTCCCGGATGGACACTACAACTCTATCTGTACAGGCTCCTCACGGTTGTGATGCGCGTTCCGGGGTACAATCTTCGAAAGTTGTTTACAATCGAGGACACCTTTCAAGACGCGGCTTGGAACGGGGTCACCCTCCCAAACCTTTTGAACAGCAAGAACTACAGGGACGCCACAAATAATAATTCAATCCAGGATTATCTCCGAGTTGGTGAGAGGTATTATGGGGCGAATTATACGAATCAATGGGGCAGAGCCAGATACTCGTTTTACACCCCAATCAGGAACGACTAAATTGATACAGATAATTATTTTAATTTACACAAACCAAAGGAAAGATGTAAAATATGACATGAAAAGAAGAAGTTGATGAAGTTGTAAGTACCGTTTAAAAAAGTTGAAGAAAATTGTTTTCACCAGGTATCGGCTATTTGATTGTATATATATGTACATGTAGTAGAGTGCATAAGCAAACATTTATGAATGTATATATTTAGATTTACTGATCCCACTAAATTCATTTACACTATTATTAAAATACAGTCATTGATAAATTAGGACACTATAGTTTATTTGCTCCTTTTCATCATTGTCATCACTTGTCAAAATTGCATCACATATGGGTAATGGGTATTATATGTATATGCACATATATACACTTACTATGTACATATCTGTATAACTTATCTAGATTGTATACGTCTAAATTAATTACTACTTATAAACATATTTAGATAAATCGCATATACTATTAAGTTAAGTTGTAGAAACCTATTGAGGGTATTCAAGATTCCTTTATACTATTATTCATATCGTAAAATAAGTTGCAACGGTTACGAGATTTTATAAGCGTCCTTCGTAAGATTTTGTCATTAAAAATCACGTTACTAACGAGGGAACCTTTTATAGTGCCCGGAGCTCCCAGCATATCCACTATATGCATTAGACGCAGTTTTTAATACTAGTCCTATGATGTGACAAAATCTCCGTGTCAAAATGACATTTGGTCACGTGGTGACGACTTTGGTGACGCGCAGAACGGTCACGGTCGCCATGCTTTTAGTAGTGCAGGTACCCTTTCAGCTCTTCACTACACGCTCCACACCCATCTCACAGAAATCTCAACTCATTTGTTCACCGATGAGACTAACATCTAACTTAACTATGTATATTTACAATATCATTACAATTTATTTACCACTAGCGTATAGCCCGGCCAAGGCCGGGTTCTAGAGTGGGGGGTGTGCCCAAAGCGAAAAATCCGTCATACTATACTTTAAATAATTCGCAGTGAAGACTTTGTCATACTACATACATACATCAGAGTGAGGGTTTGCCCAAATCATACTGCATTTTAATTAACCTGGTCACAGTACAATTTAATTTCCCCCTGTGGGGGTAGTTGAATAGTTAATTACTTAAATTCCCGTCGCGTGGGAGTAACTGCATAGCTAACTATTTAAATTCCCACGCTTCACGCTCCCGTTAAGTTCCATAAACCCCGTTAACTTCTACAATTAACGCCAAGCTATTGACGGATTCGGATTCAGCATCAAAAATACATTCGAATTGATATGCGACATAACGAATAAGCCATATTTGGACAACACGGTCACGGCAAGGTCACGGGGGCCTCGGAGGTCAAAACCATTAATGGCGTTGGATTCAGCGTAAAAAATACATTCGAATTGATATGCCACTCGCTGTGGGTGGAGTTTCTCAAACTAAAATAATTAATTAATAGTGTTTATCAAGATCACTTATCATGATAACCACTATTGATGAGTGATGTATGTATGTATACTGCTTACTCACTCAATTTACTTGCACACTGCAAATATACAAAGACATTTAATTTGAGATTGATGGCAAGCGTACGTGAAAGTCACGTGCAGGAGAAGTGAGACTCATGCAGAAAATTCATGCATGCAACCGTTGCTCCGCGTCCTTCTTTGTCTCCTCTACGGGGCAATTTGCATTGAGAGCCACAGGGACCCAGGCAGAACTTAACACTAACGCTTTATGGAAGTAGATTTACAAGTTTTCAATATTGATTTTTTTCCTTTAAAATATTGGAGTTTAAAAACTATTCGGAAAAAATATAGCAACTTCTTATGAATTTAAACAAGTGGAGTAATTTTTTCTTCAAAAAGTGCGCGTGAACATTTTGCAACTTTCAAATCCGAACGCAAAAATAACATTGATAAGCCATAAATAATAAATTGTAATGATATTGTAAATATAGTTAAATTAAGTACCAGTGTGCTTAGTGAGTAAATGAGTTGAGAATTCAGTAGCAAGATGAGGAGCGTGTGTCGAAAAGTAGCTGCGCTATTGAAATCATGGGAGAAAGTGACCGTTCGGCGCGTCACTAAAATCGTCACCGCTTGACCAAATGGCATTTTGACACGGAGATTTTGTCACATCATTGGACTAGTATTAAAAACTGCGTCTAATGTATATAGTGGCTATGCTGGGAGCTCCGGGCACTATAAAAGGTTCCCTCGTAAGCTTACGATTTTTACGAAGCTTGGTCCCTTCTTCTTCATAAGCTATACATTTTATGATACTAAGGATACACAGACAATTGTGAATATCCCACATTTGGTTATGTCATGTCACGTATACAATTCATGAATTACGTTAATATTTACTTATGTACTGCCAAACAACATTTTCCATTAGCAGTATCGAATTACGTTACCTATATGTTCATAAGATGATTAAAGCAAAGCCTAATCTAGGCTATCCATTACTCCGACTTAATAATTCAATACTTAATGAATTTTTAATTCCCAATTTACTCTAAACCTATCCTCCCATTTCTGTACCGGATCAAAATAAGTGACATGGTTTGAGTCAAACAGAAATTTTGGATCACTAATGGCGTCCCACTGTCGATGAAGTTTGATCCGAATTTTATCTTCAGCACGCAACATGCTACCTGTTCCTTCCTTAGATTCGATTTTCGCGTTCCTCTCAATCCAGCAATCTTTTTGTCCAACTTGTGTAGAAATTTTGTCGAAATATTGTTCACCCAAGACGCCAAAGTGAAAACCATGATATTCACCATAACGGAATCAATCAGCATGAGAGGAAATACAAGAAATCCAGGCATCTCGATTTCGTCGTGCATCGTTATGCAGACATATTGCGACACAATCTGTAGCGTTGGAATGAAGGCGACCATCGCAGGAATGGTTCGAACCATGAGAAATCCATTAAAGGATTTTTCCAAGAGTTGAATACATCGATACATTCGCATGCAATTTTGATTCTCCGAAATTGTTAGAGATTCCTCAAGACGCCTAAAATTCATAGTTTATGTAAATTAGTTCAAATTCAATGGGCCAATGAAAAGGGTTACATTAAGCATGTTATCAATTGCTGATTTTATCTCAGAAAATTTTCATTCCGTTTAAATATTTGTTTAGTTTTGGTTTCTTCCAAAAATTGGTGTGTTTTATATGTTACATAATTTTCTGTGCTTAAGACGAAAATTAATTATAACATTGGATCGGCCACCTCAAATTGATCGCATGTCTTTGTATTTACATATTTAAATATCTATTTATGTACGAAACTAACCTCGTCAACACTTGAAAGTAGTTCAGGATAGACACAATACCGACAAAGACTGCATAGAATATCCACGTAGCTCCGGAATGCAGAATATGCAGGGACATCCATGTTTCGAACAGAACCACACCCATCAAGTAAGGCTCCTTGGCCCAGTGAATATTGGCACATTTTCCCGACATGGAGAGGAGGAAGGGAGGCGTGCATGGTTGCAAGGTCAAGAGACAGAAAGTCCCCACGGGGATTATGAAGATGGAGAATTGGGCCAGGTAAAGAAACAGAGTCATGATTTGGACTTCGAAGGATTTTTTCATATTTACAGCATCTAAATTCCAGATAAGTATTAAGGTAGGTACACATTTTGAAGAACAGGGACAAAATGTGTGCTAATCTTTTGTGCAAAATTTGTACAAAAATATACAAAGAAAATGTACTTTAAGTTTTTCAAATTTGGCCCATACACCAAACACGTCTCGAAACTTTACTAAACTAATCTTTCAAAATTTGAAAAGTTTGTCTTTAAAATGTGCAAAGTTCGCTTTCAAAATTTGCAATTTTTATGCATACAACATAGACGTAGACTATATTACCTTTAATGCATTTAAACTAAATTTAAGACAGTAATTTAGTACCTGGTAGCAATTCTCTCTCAAATTTTAGAAACGAGTTGACCGCTTGAATGGGAGAAATATTAAGGGAGACATTCCATCGACAACAGAGAAGAAGTATGTAAATTAAGAAGAACGGCAATCCTTGGAATTTCTGTAGCGTTGTCAGCGTTCCTGAGAAGCAGAGGTGAAATAGCAGTACGATACAGTAAATCACAGTCAGGATGCATTGGAACTGGAAAATTCGGATTTTTCTAAAAGATTTTGTCAAAATTAGTTGCTTTGAGTTAACGTCGAATTCGAAAGGGAGGCAGTTTATTATGCCGCATAGTTTTAGATGGTGAACAATCAGGGGGAGGAATTGTGTCGAATACATTTCAGCTTTCTGCCAGAAATTGACAATCTTGATCGTGCTGGACAAAGTTCTGAGAGGAACTGAGAAGGGCAAAGTCGGAGGCGTGGGATTGTACATAGTTAAATATTTTGACTTGTGAGATACATACAACGGGTATTCTATTGTTATCAGATTTAGAGTAATTATATTTGGATAGCTGGTCAAGATAACATTGTGCGAACGTGCAGGGTAAAATTTGCTTACGAGGAAACCTTTTAGCACGTTCAGATCCGAATTGTTTAATATTCATCTCAAACTATGTCAAATTTAATACAATTAAATTAAAAGTCTACCAAAGAAATTTGGAGGTGAATAATAAAGAATGCCAGCAAAGGTGTTAAAATTCAGTATGTATATGTGGCAAAGCGAAAATCTCATCACTAAGGTGGAAACGTTTTGTGAGAGCAAAATTCATGGGTGATTTACAAATGATGAGTGACTATTATAAATGTTTTGGGTAATGGGTCCCCCTGGTTTTGCCGCTGTTTCATTTCGTCCGTAAGTTAACATGGTGGCGGGCGGATTTCAAATTCAAACAGGGGACCCATTACCCAAAAAACGCATAATAATATTAGGCAAAGAGTGGTCATATAATATTCGAAAGGAATGCGAAGTTTGTGTTTATATGTTGGAATTTCGCTTTAAAAATGCTACTTTTTGTGAATATTTTGGTTTGTTCTAATATCTACAAATTAAATTTGATAGTGTTCCATGGTAAAGTTTTAATTGTATTTCGTTTGGCACAGTTTGAGACCAGTATGAATCAATTAGAAAAAGGTTCCCTTGTTAGTGTGATCAATTTATTCTATACTAATCATAAGAACATGAAACAGAAAGTACAGTCACCGCTGAGATTAGACAATTTTATTCCTTTTAAAAGTTAGTAAAAATGAGCTACGCTTTTCTGAAAACCATTTCTGTCATCTCCTGAAAACACTAATTAGCTTTCCATGTACATATATAAATAGGCATATTTATTGCGCAAAGTATTTCATATACGTAAGGTACATAGTTAGATAATTAATTCTTGAATATAATCCTCAAATAATTGAATTCTATATTTTCGTGAAAATCACGCCATCCACGTGGAACATGAATTGATTTTAATTACTGTGATTAATCTGAACGGAAAAGATTTGAAGGATATGCAATTTATCTTTAGGTTGTCAAATAATGCCGTTTTAATCAAATGCCATCAGATTATACATATCTACGTATATACACAAACACGTAGTTAATATTGGTTGGTATATTCTCCAAGGTGAAATAAATACATACTTGCTCTTGATGAATTTATGTATTATCACCGGTTTAAAGCAGTTTCTGTTAATTAATTTCCCCATTGCTTAACTAGAACTTCAATCATTCCATCTACGTACATATTAAGTATGTAAATATATGTACATTATTACAAAGGTTTTCATAAATGTTGAAGGAAGAATCAGGCATAAGCGACGTATGGAATTTATGTTTTATTGCGTTTTACTGACTTGGAGTAAACAATTTATATAAGAGTAACATTACTGTTCGCAAGTATTTAATTAGATCAAACCGTTTTGATTTTCGATGAAAGGTTTCATACATATGTGAAATTAATTAATTTTTGAAAATATCTACTATTGAAGCTAAAGTGCAAATATATATTTTTTGCAATCGCAACTTGTGATTCACAAACAAATACATACAACAGAGGAACTACGTTAATCAAGAAAGTTTCAATCAATTTTTTGTCACAAATTACGGAAGTGAAATTCGTATATTTACAATATCTTTATACAAATCAATTATGTAATAGGCAGAAATATGTACACTGTCGTTCGAAATATATATCACACATCTAAAATATGCATGTACATACATACTTAAGTAGATGATAGGCAGGTTTGGAAACTACAATACTTCTGTCAAAGCTTCAAATTAGAAAGCAAATACATACATATGCATAATACAAAATTAAGGTTATTCAGTATGACATATATCGAAAATGTCACGTAATGGAAATTGTGTCATTAGTTACTAAATGACTAAAACAATCCACCGTTATGCAAAGTAAATGCTAAATAAATAATAATGCCCACCATGAATAGTAGATGAAGTCAAACTCACGGCTGAATTTTTATTTTATTTGCAAGTTAAATTTTATGTGGATTAACTAAATGCAACTTTAAATGATTATAGATAGATTCCACATAAGTAACGAGAAATGAGGTAGTAAAACATTTATTTATTACCCAGATTAGTTTGTTTTTAAAAACAATTTGAAAATTGCAATATAAATCTCAGTCATACAATATGTAACAAAAGTATAGCTACGATGACATATTTTTTATCTCGACATGATGCCGTAATATTTCAACATTGAAACTCCGTACAAAAATGTCAAAAGTATCTGCCGACAATTTCCTCGTCGCCGATTTTTAATGTCGCAGATAGGTCAAAGGTCAGGATTATTTTTCTAAAAAAATTTGAGGCGTCGAAAAAAAAACTTCGTGGATAATTTTTTTTGAACTTTGCAATATTTTTTACTGGATGCGGCATGCGTTTTGAAGAATAATGAGCTTTGGTCGGACCGTGTACGATTTTTTTGGCGCCCACAGGAATTTTTCGCCCAGGACAGGTTGAAGGTCTAAAATCGCCGCCTTGGCGAAAATTAAAAAACTGAAATATACGTTTGCATATAGAGGGTCCGGATATGCAAACGTATATTTCAGTTTTTTAATTTTCGCCAAGGCGGCGATTTTAGACCTTCAACCTGTCCTGGGCGAAAAATTCCTGTGGGCGTCAAAAAAATCGTACACGGTCCGACCAAAGCTCATTATTCTTCAAAACGCATGCCGCATCCAGTAAAAAATATTGCAAAGTTCAAAAAAAATTATCCACGAAGTTTTTTTTTCGACGCCTCAAATTTTTTTAGAAAAATAATCCTGACCTTTGACCTATCTGCGACATTAAAAATCGGCGACGAGGAAATTGTCGGCAGATACTTTTGACATTTTTGTAAGGAGTTTCAATGTTGAAATATTACGGCATCATGTCGAGATAAAAAATATGTCATCGTAGCTATACTTTTGTTACATACTGTACTTTTCTAAACATTGAATTACTCACAATATTCGCAATAAATATAAAATCATTACAGTCAAGACCTTAATTAATCAACTAATTGTGCGTCTTTAGATGAACCTTGTACGTATGCCACACCTTAAACTTCTTCCCACACTTGTCACACGTGTGAACGGTATCCCCATGAATTTGAACATGTCTGTTGTACGTCGGCTTATCAGAAAACTCTTTCCCACACGACTTACACTTGTAGGGCTTTTCACCCGTGTGTGTTCTCAAGTGCGTTATCAGATTTGGTTTCTGAGCAAACGCCTTGGAGCAAAATTCGCACACAAAGTTCTTTTCCTTGAGGTGGACCGCTTTGACATGTCGTTCTAAATCTGCCTCTTGTAAAAATCCTCTCGTACAAGGGGCTCGAGTGCAAACGAAGGGAAGAGTGTCGCCATGCAAAGCTTCGTGACTTTTCAAACTTCTCTTTGAATTTAATACTTTCCCACAATGCGAACACTTTAAGGGATCCACTCCCAACTCGGCGTGATGGACGCGAACCTGGTGTTGTTTGAGGTCAAATAATATGGTAAAGGCTTGGGAGCATAGTTCGCACAGGTGTTCTTTCGGGAGACGAGGGCAATTAGAGTGAAAGATTTCCTGATGTCGAGAGAAGGCTAGTACGCTTGCACATTCTTTGTTGCATACCGAACATACCAATGGGTGTAATTTGGTCGAGATGTTTTTCTCGTGAAAGTGGTCGAGATGGATTTTCCGACCTGACTCGGTCAGGAAGATCAGGTCACATTTATCACAGGGAAATAATTTTGTCTGGTCGGTTTGGTGTACACGGGACAAGTGGATTTCACAACTCGTACGGGACGGAAGAGTAACTTGGCAAATTTTACAAGTAAATTTTTCCACGGGGGCAGATTTTACAGAAGGGTAAGGTTTGATTTTATCCTTTAATCCTCTAGATTTTAGTTGGAATATTTGTTCTTGTAAGGAAATTTTCGGTCCTGTGTAGGGGGTGGAAATAGAAGGATGAGAGATTTTACGATGCATGTAAAGCTTGGTTTTTCTTTGGAACCTTCTCGAACAGTGATCGCAAGGAAATGCATTTTTATCCCCTAAATGAAAATAATTAAAATAATTAATTACTTTGGTTAAAGTTGTAAAAAGGTGTCGTTATATCATTATTTTATATTATCATGAGAATATTGACACGCCGACTTTGTGATATGTGACTCGATCTTTTAATATTGGAATCTGTCAACTTTACGGTTACAAAGCTTGGCGTGAATATTATCCTCTTTTGTATCTGTACCGTAATGATAGCGCAGAATGTGAGCATTAAGGACCCACTCTTGTGCAAAGTGATAACGACAATGTTTGCAGCAGAATTTTCCTTCGTAGCTCTTTTTCTTTTTTCGGGTATATTCTTCTGGTATAGTTTCTGGTTCAATTTGAAGAACTTCTGTGTTAGTCTGGAATTCTTCAACTTTGAAAATTTTGTCAAATAAATGTTCCGTGTCGAGTTTATGATTCGACAGAGCAGAGTCTTGGTCATGATCGGTTTGTTGAGGTGCGATAGTTGTGTGGGGTTGATGTCTAATGTCGATGTGGAGAAGGACAGCCCTAAAGCTTTTGAACGATTTTTGACAAATTTCACACTTGAAGGGCTCAACACCTGTAAATGTTATATATCCAAGAATTAATTATCATGAATTATTTTAAAAATCTTACCTTGATGAACTTGTTGTATATGAACGTCTAAACGGAGAACGCTAGTCAATTTAGCTGGACAGTACGGACAGCTATTCTTCTTCCTACTGGACGGTGTTTTATTGCCATTGACCTTTGCTACGGCGTCGTCAAGTTTAATCTTGGTTGTCATCAATGCAACGCCATTGTTAATGTTAATCTTGGTGCTAATGGACTTTCGTTTCCGCTTTGGTTTAGTGTTGTGTTCCAAGAATTGGTCATCTTCCGAGTCGAATTCATGGTCTGGTTCACCAACCTGAAATTCATTGTCCCTACTCTCGTCGTCTTGCTCCTCGTCCTTGTCAGAATTTGCACGTTCCCTAATTTTCCTTCGGTTTCGTGGTCTCAAAGTTCGTCTGGTAGGAGGGGTGTCTTCAGCCTTAACACTTTGATTAATTAATTCTGAATCTTCTCGTACGGTAATGTCCGGGTTTATGCGAAATGAGTATTTCTCATTTGCACTGCTGTCATCATCATCCTCACCAAAAGTAAAATTAGGACTTGCAATATTTTCTAAATCTTCGTAATTAGGCTCAAATTTTATGGGCATCTGAAAAAAATAAAGGTGTTAGGATTCAAGTTATACAGTATTATAGATACATGAAATTATAATTTTGCATATGATTTTGTTGTGCGGGTACATTGTCGGGTAGTAGTATCGTTTCTGGTACATTTTTGTTTGTTGTTGTCCGCTGTAATTCATATTTCCAAAATTTGCATAATTTATCATACACGTTTAAAAGTATGTCTATATCTAACTGATGCTAATTTTTCACCTGTCTTGTCACGTTGATTTTCAGATCTGGCAGCACCACCTCTTCAAACGAGTCCTGACCCGAACTATGTCTGTCGAAGAAATGTGATAAAATTTTTTCCCTTCTAGAAAGGAAAATTCCGCAGATTTTGCATCGATAAAGTCGTCTTGCTTTTGACATCCCGATTTCTATAATCTTTGCAATCATAACACATAAGGTAATAATATTAATGCTCATTAGCATATATATTGACAATTTCAATCCATCAAGATAATATTTACCTGTGGTTATCAGTTTTCATTTACAAGTTACAACTTGTGCTGAACTGCTGAACAATGTGCAATGTAATGTAAATATGATTTACAAAAACCGGAAATATTTGTATTTTCTATTTCCAGTGGTTTTAATTTTTATATGATAACTTTTTCAGATGAATTAATGAGGTGGATGTTTCACATGTGTGTAATATATTGGTTTGAGGTTTTCTATGCAAATTTTGCATTGCAAAACTTTAAAGTTTATGTTTATTAAATTGACACTTTGACAGTTGTTTTTATTTTCATTTTCCATGTGTTTTTACAGTTAACAGTAGTAAATTTAAGATTGGCAGAACGTCAAATTTGTGGGGCAAGAATATCTGGACGTTGAACAATGCATCATAATGCATGCATTTAAAAAAAAAATGCATGAAAAAGTTTAAATGAATTTATATAAATTTATGTTCACGGTGGAAAACAATGTGATTTGATTTTAGTTTAATTTATGGGAACAATCTTTCTCAATTAACAATTTCAGAAAAGCTAATCAAGTCACTAAATTATGTCCAATTAAAATTTAATTCCCACATTCATCTTTCGATTAACGCAGTTTAACCAAACTAAAAATAAATGTAATCCTTAATCTTAATCCTCATTATTATTCAGGCTTAATTAATCATATCATTTGGCCCGATCCGAGAATGGTTGTATGCATTTGCATGTACATATTTATCGTATGTCCAGTGTTTCTATGCAAATATTTGCGTATGTATCTGTTTTGTTTGTTTATGTATAGCTTTAGTCCGAAATTTACACGAACGAAGTCTGAATCAATTAAGAGTACTCAGGCTCAGTCTGTCAGTTGTCAATTTACTCGAGAATCACTCCTCAGTAAATAACACTACATAGTGCCAACACTTTTACTCGCCGTATGTATTACAAATGTTTCTGCAAATGGTTACATCCTTCTGAATCATGCAGTACTTGTTTATGCTTTTGGTTGACTTGTATGCGTAATATTGTGCACTTTCTTTAAATGCCTTGTTGTCAAGCCATGTCCTCCTGACCATTTTATACGTAACTTGTAAGAAACACGGGTTACACAAAAATTACGAATATAATTACTTTGCCTAACCAACCTAAAATAAAATGTGGAAATATATCATATTTTTTCCGGTACTTGTTAATCACCTGTGGCTAATAAAGTGTCAAAGTTCTCATAATCTTTCCCATTTACTCATCAACGCACCAGTTCGCTACGTCCGCGGCGTTTTTGAAATACCAGAACCACCCACGAGACTTCCCATCATCTACGATACGTATTTCGCAATTATGTTTGAAGTGAAAATGCCAAAATGGGGAATTCAAAATTTTAACAATAATTGTGAAAATGGAAGGAATAGTGGGGGTATTCATTACGAGTTTGCATCGTTAGCAACGTTAGCAAAAAAAGTTGTCATGTTCGCAAAAAAAATTTGGCTTGCAAATTCATTTGCGAACTTGCGTATCTATCTCCAGTATTTAGTTCACAATTTTTTCGAAATTATGTTGCGATGCGAACATGCGAACTTGTAGTTAATACCTCCATTGCATCCTTTGCGATTTTAACAGACGACGTCCTACTAAAACTTAATCCTTTGCTAAATTTACTCAACAATCATGGGAATAAAAAATTAGATATTATCGATTCGGACCATACAGGTGAATAAATAATGCAATTAAATAATTGAAGGGATTCATTACGAGTTCGCAAATTCGAATCACAACATAATTTTTTTAAATGCGAGTAAATATGTACTGGCCTTTGGAGATGCACAAGTTAGCAAATGAATTCTCAAGCCAAACTTTTTTGCGAAACCTGCGAAGTTATGAATACTCTCAATATTTCATAAATAAATAAAATAAAATAAATAAATACTTAACAATATTTTTGCAGTTGAGCACAACGATGGTCCCCTCTTATTCTCAAAGAATATATCTTCTGCTACCTTGGATCACAAACATTTCTGGTTTTACTGCCGTGAAATCATCCCCCACTTTGCGACATTTCACACGACTCGTCCCAAACTAAAAGATTACTACAAATTCATGAACAAGTGCGAAACTGATATCGTCCGAGTCAAGATTAATTCCACCAACGAGCCAATTTCATGTACCAAAAACGGCACCGATATTTTCACCCAAATTCTCGAATCTCACAAATTTACTCAAGCCGTCCAAAGCTGTCGACAGGGTCAGATTCCTTGGACCTTGATTCCTCGCGACCTACTCGCCTCCACCATTCAAGAAAACCTTCACCTTGCCGACTACCAATTTGCTATCCCACTTCACGAAATATCCAAATATTATACCCTCCCATTATCAGATTGTCTCTTTATTGACGACGACGTCCTCCTCGCCAGAGTCTTAATCCCGACCAGATTTCAAGCCAAGGACAAAATGCTCAATCAGTACAAAATGGTACGCTTTGAACCCATAATATTCCACCGGGATGGCGAATTTTGCTGGATTGATGGCCTCAGGGACAAGAGGTTCGTTCCGGATAGCGTATTTCCAGGAAATCTTCACTTGACCTACTGTTCCGACCAGGAGCAGAAATTATGTCGCGTGCAGGTGAATCATTTCTCGTCACAGGATGCCTCAGATCGATGTCCACAAGCGTTGTGGGTGGATGACGAGGACGAAATTTTGTCATCATGTAAATTAAATTGCATTCCTTCAGACAAGCGGCATTTTCAGTATCAACAATACAATTTCATGGACACGCCTGACGACACTTTCATCTACGCTTTGCAGGATGACGATGTCGGCGTGAGTGTCAAATGTGCCAATGGTTCGCAACGCTTTAACATGACTGGGTTTAAATATGGCGCCTGGAATGTTACGTTGCCATGTGGGTGTGAAATTAAAGGGGGGAAAGTTATAGATTTTGAGATAAGTGCGCCTTGTCATGGTAATTTTTTCGTGGAGAAGATAATCCCTTATCATTGGAAAAATGGGACAAATAATGAAAATAGTGGTGACCAGGAAGTTAAACAATCTTTACGTTGTGAATGCCCACACAATTGTTACAGCGAGCGACAAAATCTAATTCTGTGGGGATTGAGTTTCCTGCTTTGTCTTACAACGTGTATTTTGAGCTATTTTGTTGTAATTTTGATGAAATGGAGACGAGATGAACTCTTTAAGACGAACAGGTTAATTTACAGTAATGTCGTGGAAGGTGACGGTGAAAGTATTGCGTTGGCGGAGCAGTGATTTTGTATTGGAAGGGAACAGTATTAAATAATATTTATAATTTTATCGACATTTCCGAAATAAATTTCCATTTAAAAGAGTAGTTACGTTTGATTTTATTTGCATCAAGACACACTAGTGGTTATCACAAAAATATTAAACTTCTATGTAGAAACTCAATAAGTGAAAAATTGAGCTAAAATAATTGTATGAATTTGTACATTAATTGTTTGCATCAGTAGCACTGCACATTTTATAAAAATATAAATAAATAGCTTTAGGTTAACCAATTTACTATCCTACATCTGATAACTCATCAACTACGTGTCACACAATACGCACGCCCGTCCAACCGCCCATCAGAATCTTTGACGACGTCCATCACAGTGACCTGACCCTCGGCAAAGTACAATTTCTTCTCCTGACACCGGAACCATGCACATTCTCGTTGCATCTTGTATTTTTTGGCGTAACCATGAATAACGGTGTATCTGGGCTGAAACATGACCCACGTAATTTCACCCGGCTCAGTCTCACATGTCATGGTGCTGCTTATCTCTGCACTTTTAGTCCAACCATGACTTCGACGCATCGCAGTTTTCAAGGGTTTAATATCTTGCCCAAGATTCCCACCAATCTTCCAACTCCAAGACGTTGACAATTTGAAAGACTGCGTTAAATTGCAGTTTACAGGTGAGGCTGGGTCGCAATTAAGGTTGGGCGAGACCCTTTCTGGATTTCCGAGTTCTTGCCATTCTCCCCATTGCGAAAATTCGGTGTACACTTCGGTATCCTGAAGATAATTGGTGTGGGCACCTCGTCTAATACGTGATGAGGTCGTGGTGGGTGAAATAATTACTATGAGTATGATCAGGTGGGTGACGAAAAACTGCAGTTTACTGGATGACGCCATCGTGTATTATTATCTAGATTAATTACGTTTGGAGATTAAATTAGTACAAAAATTTCTGAAATAGTTAATCCTAACGGAATACTCTTACCTGCCAAATATTAACGGTATATGGATATGTGAATTTTTGTGAGAAACTTTCTGTCGAATTTTGCAACACGGTTGATCACTAACTGTTCTCAAGCGACAGATCTGGATTGCTTATATACATTTGTAAATATGCACGGAAGTCAATGTCAATGGCTCACTAAATATTTCTGGCGTGGAGTTCTTCATGATCTTACCCAAATTGCATGAAAAAGTAAACAGAATTAGCCGGTAGTGATACATGCATGAATGTAATGACGTTACATGTGAGAGGATGGATTGCTCATCTCTTATGATTTCGCATGAGGCAGTTATCTGTAGTCTGGTTCAGATAAGGTGTGATTAATCGCATACTGAATAATTTCACATGTACTTGGTAGTCTCACTCTATTCACGTTACATGCAGAATATGTAGAGAAGTTGTCATCAGTGAATTTATATATGTATCAAAAAACATTGTAAGTTTTGCATATTTTTGCACATTTTTTGCTCTAAAAGTGGAATCGGGGACAAATAAGTTAGTCAACAAATATTACAACTTTCCTACCCCCCAGTCCGTAACAAGTCCCTTGGCCGCTTGCAGAGCCATATTTATCATAGTTTTGCACGCCGTGTTTATCAGTTTGAGATACGTGTCCTTATTTTTCATAATTATTTCCGTAATGATGTCACTGTCATCCTCTGCCCATTTTCCAAGTCCCAGCACTCGGAAGAAAATACTTCCCATGGAAATTTCAAAGTGCTCAAGCACCAGGTTTTGCGACATGAATGAGATCGTAAGTTTGTAAACCTATAGAAAAAATTAATTATAGAAAAATAAACACGTTTGCTTATTTATTTTTCAACAAAGGACTATGTATAAACTATGGATTACGTTCTTAAAATATTTTACCTGATGAAGCGTAATGTTTGAGAATCCAAGTTTTAATTGACCTTTTGTATTTTGGTTGAACATGCGAATTGCCACTTCCGTCTGAAAGTTCGTATTCGTATAGCTAAGCACACTAGGGAATTTGGTACTGAAAAATGTCCCGTTAAAAAATACGTCCTCAAGGCCGAAAACATTGCCAATACCTGTCAACCAATGTTCAACCAAAAATACATATGGGACGTATTTAGTTAATTAATTAACGGATGAAAATGTAGAGAAATTGATGCACATACTGCTCGTAATAGCTTCTCCAACTTTCGTAATGCTTGTCGGATCTCTTGCAACGGCTTTGACATGATCTTCAAAATTTATCTTCGTTAAATCCCCATTAGTGCTGCCTTTCGGTGTTTGATCCACTTTTGGCTTTTCAGGTTGTCCCCAACTGCTCGGACTCGGAATGCTATCCCAACCGAGGGATCGTTGTTGCTGATTAATTGGATTTATTATTGTAAATTATTAAGTAAATATTCCGACTCAAGCAAATGATAAACTTACGGAAGTTTTGTTTAACTCATTTTCAGAATTCGTAACTGCTTGCTGCGAAACGTTCGTGTTTACTGCGGATACCGCAACAAATGCTGTTATGCAAATGTATAATGTACATTGTTTCATGATATTAAGGATATATCGGTTTCAGAAATATGCCTGGATGTTATCCTACCCGATATTAAGATGCGTGTACATAAGTGTATAAATCTAAGACACGAAATTTAATACCATCCGGTATGTACATACATAGTGCCAAACTGTCGGATGCAATTGCAGGCTTCGGAAACAAAGTTATTATTATTGGTTAATGGGTCCATTGTTTAATTACAATTTGTGACACGTGCTTAAATCATGAAAACTAATTTTGGAATTATGGATATTTTCACCTCTCGGCATTTATGTGTGAACATTAATTAAACTAAATACGTGTATTATTTTGGTACATGCGTTTATTGTCAAATTAACTTGTCAAACTCCCAATCACTTCAATATGTAGTAATTGTCATGAAAATTTTGACAGACATTGTACATACGTGAATTTAGCAAAAGGATGCATATTTTCGTACTTATAATCATTAAAAGAATTAATTTTTTGAAATCATTCTGAAATTTTTCTGTATATTTTTATTGACAACGTTTCACAGCCTTCCGGCAAATCGGCATTTAGCCCCCGATTCTTTTCGGTTTCAGCAAAGTGCGTCATAGGTAAAAGTTGTGTATAGAAATTAAAAGCATACAAATGGTTAATATGTCTTCAATATTTTTAAATCTCTCCCTTCATTCAACCAAATTCTGTAGAGCCTTCCCAATCTCAGAAACAATGGTTGCCATATTGGGCGTATTATCCGTCAGTCATACTCCCTCCTAATAAAGTTCATAGGTTAGTATGTCAAATTGTTTACCTTTTTACTAGTTTTTATCGCAGTAACTAGTACCTTGTTGGTGAAAACGAGAGGTCCCCCTAAAATCTGAACTTCAAAGGAAGGCATCACATCGGTCGATTCCCCCGTCTAAATTGAAGGATTAAAATTCTATTACATGAAAGTTGCAAATAATAATCGCCCAGCGAAATATAAAAAAGTGTGCGAAATATTTACGAACGATATGCAACTGTGATGGGAAGCTGCGGTCAAGATCCTCTTGCAGGATTTTGAATTTCTTATCATACCCTCAAGGTTTGCTAAATATGTTCATACACACAAATATAAGTATCCGTAATTGCTTATATTTACGACCCTGTCGCATAATACACAGATCCTTTTTTCTTACCAGTAAGTGATGTGGATCCTTAACTTGCCCTCCATCATTACTCCGGCCATTTTATGAGAATATTTGTGAAACTTTCTCTACCCGTTTATTATTCACTTGATAAGTTGGATACAGTTATTAAGTGCATACACATGCAAATTTACTGACATATGCTCTCGGGTTTTGGCATTAATATGCGTATTTCGTTATTCCCAATATATCACTGTACGATCGTATTTATATCATGTACATATATGCTGAACTACATTTACCATAGAATAAGTAAAGAAGTACAGATGCACAAATGCATGCATAAATGCACATCAATTTATTTTGCTAATTTGTACGTCTATGTTGTGGTATCATACATAGATGTGTATGTATATGTACATAAATACATTCAAAGAAGCCGTTACAAGTTTCCACATATTCGTCGCATTTTGTAGCATGGAATTCGGTATTGTCAATCAATATGACCTTCTATTCTACATGCATACATTCGTGCATAACCACATTTATTATCACCATCACATCAAGTTTTTAATAATATGTGTACATATCTACATATGTACCGAAGCATGTACATATGGACATACGTAAATATGAACAAGCTTTTTTCCTTGCCTGGAGTATATGTATGATTTTGTTTGTGAACTCCATAGTGGTCACCGCCTCGGTTAAATGTGCACAATAATTTGCAATAAATCATATGCATTGCAAATTAATATGCACACTGTCTCTCAGATAGATGTTTTTTAAAGTTTGTAAAGCGTGAATCTCTGCCCTTTTAATTGGGAGTGGTTCTAGTGATGCTAGATTATGTGCATATAGTATTTGTATATGTACACATGTCTCACAGTTTAATATATGTAATTATAATTGATGCAAAATATAACACAAAGGTATTTATATTCCAAAGTTTTTATGTAGGCAAATTATGTACAAATTCAAAATATGCATAAGTGCTATATATTTACGGTATGGTGTTTTAAATATTCTTGAATTTTTGGAAAATTGAACACGGTATCTTTGAATTTTTTGACGGCATCGTAACTGTCGAGCACCTCTTGTCCAGTCGTTTTTTGCATTCTGTCCATTTTTGTAGCGATAAAAACATCAGCCCAAGTTAGTTCTTGACAGACGAGAAAATCCTTGTGTTTCTTTTTCTCAAGTAGTGAATTGAATTTGGATAAGCAATTGGGGAGGTGGACAGCCAAAAACTCTTCCTTATATTTCACCTTAAGAGCTTCATCCTCTTCGTAGAAGTACCTGGCCCAATCTGGAAATTGAATGTATATGCATTTATATACATAATTTACATATAACATATTTTTGCACATTTACAAAACCGAAATTCTACGTAAAAATGTGCATTAGTTTCTAATTAGGAAACAAAGTCATGTCCTATCAATTGCTTCTTATAAATCCTATGAATTTATGCGCTGAATTTTAAATGTGTGAAATAAATCATAAGTCACGAGAGCTTTCATCTATGTTGAGAATATTAAATAGTTGTGATATCATACATACATACTTACATTCGAAGAAGTCGTTAAAGTGGTCCACATATTCGTCGCATTTTGCAGCATGAAATTCTGTGTGGCCAACCAGATTAAATTTTCTTCCGAGATAGCGACAAATCGTGACCGTCTGGGCGAGCGTATCATTGTCAATTTCCAAAACTGGTATTTGTTCCCAGGGCATTGCTACGAAGTGATTTCACAATTATGCATGTGAACTTTACATAACATAAACATTCATCTACATAATCAAGTTAAGTAATCATAAATTAAGTTGTCAACCTGATTTAATTTTCGGCCAATCCTCATCTTTAATCCGGTCGTCTATGAATTCTACACCGGCTGCTGCGAAAATCATCCGGATTGGTTCTCCTCTTCCACCAATGTCGAAATATATCAGTTTATACGACATGGCCGTTAAAGATGGTATTTGGAAAAGTTTTATATGCAAAATGTGTAATTATCACTTGATTTTACTACCTACTTTATCGAGAGAAAACAAAAATATGTGAGAAGATAGCGTGTGCAACCGTATAAATTATTAAATTTTGGGAAATTTTTCTGAATTATATAAGAAAAATCTATGCATATGTACTCTTTAAGTTTGTTTGAAATTAAAGTTAAATAATTTAGTTAATCACAAGCAGCAGATGCTTTTGATTCACTTAAATTATTACGACCTTGAGTCCATCACCACATCAATGATGTTATATTTACATGTATTTATTTAAGTTTTATAATGATCATGTTGAATTATATGTATACCCAATAAAATAAACTCTGGTTAAAAAAATATGCGAAAATAACTGTAGGACTAACCACAAAACGTTAAACTTCACAAGGACATTCAAAATTTGGTATTTGACCTATAGTTATGGTCATATATCTCTCCATATCATGTCACATTTTTTTTTTAATCCACTAAATTGCATACATGCATAGGTACATATTTACCCATACTTGACTCTATGCACATACATACTTTTGAAGCCTGTTGTCGAAATCTAAAACATAACCGAAAAATAATAAAAAAAGTTGCTTTCTTTGGGAGTAAATGACGTGGTAAGTAGACGGACAGAATCGTCTGTTACATAAGTAGGCCATTTAATCTTTAATATAATACCCATAGCCTGCATGTATGTATGTACATATGTATGTACGTACATAGTTGTGATCGTATAAATGCATGCCATTAATTTATGCACATGTGTATGTAGAGGGGTCGCCCCGGGAAGTGGTGGTCAGTTTGTAATTAGTAGCAGGGTAGTAAACAATGGTTTCAGAGATCTTATTTTTTCGTATAATATTGCAAATATATTCAACCACGTACCCTCAAAATTTCATAAGCTTTCCTTGAAAAACAAATTTCGTACGCAACTTCAAAGCGAGGAAGTCGGGAAACGAATTTTTCGAAGTCTTCCGGAAAAGTATTGTTGGCGGACGCTACTAAAAAGACTAAATACGAAGTGGATGATGGATTAAAGTCACTTTTGTTTGAGGATATATTACGTCAGATGTATTTAACATATTATACCAAAATTTGAGACTTTTAGTGTCATTTTGTCGCCATTTTTAGTGACAAATTTCACACCACCACTTCCCGGGGCGAACCCTCTACATAAACCCGGTCTGTGTGCATTATTGCTATGGATTGATCGTACAGAAGAGCTAATGAATTATTTTCACTTACTTAATTCTTATCAAAAGTTTAAGTTATTAATATTTATATTCCTTTCGTACAGTATGTACTTTATCCATACTGCTTAACATTATGCCCCAATGTACACATACTGTATGCATGTATGTCAGAGACACATTACACGCAATTCTCTAATTTCGATAAGTGCAACGATAACCACCATATAATTTTTCGTAATGTTCTTTCTTTATTGTGATTTGCGTTACTAGGTAACTTTCACACTTATCAGTGCCATCATGCTCGTCAACCGATAACTTGAATCACATTCCACTCAAATACAATCATTATATATGATGCATTTCTACAAACTTCTGCAGACGGTAATCACATTTTTAATTTATTTGTACTTAATTTCCCTTCCACAAGTGGTATCAAGAGAAATCCATAGTCTCCCAAAAATTAGCGACCTCTCAACCAACTTCGATAATCCTCACGACTGCGATATGCTAATTTTTCTTGAGGGGGCAACGAACGAAAACTTCGAACCAGATCTAACCACGATAATCACTCTGTTCCATTTAAGCACATACGTCAATATTAGTTATCCAGGCTGGAAACCCGACCAAAGTGACAAATTATACACTAAAATGTCACATTCATCTCCTTGTAAATTTCATATTCTGATCTTGAACGAAAATCATTACGAACAAAATAGCGAGAGCAGCTTAGTGTGGCTATTCGATCAATTCCTATCTGATGGACAGCATCAATTACTACATTATTCAAGTAGTACCAATTACTGGATAAGGCGTAAGGTCAATGTTTACCCCATACTCATGACAAACATGAACAAGTCCGAAGTAACCAGTTTCCTCGTGTGGATTAGCACTGAAATTTCCATTGTTTCGGGCCGAAAGCTAGCAATCTTTTCGAATTTCGGGAACAAGTACAATTTCTGCATCAGTTCTCGCCACGCCAATAGTCTTGGGTTCCTGCTGTGTAAACGGGGACTTAATCACGGGTATACGGAGGGAATTGTGTCACTATTTCAGGAGTTGTCAACTCCTCCAAAGTGGAAATTTATGGTTCTAGATGAACATTCAATATTAATTGATGACTTGTACAAGGTTTCTGCAGCAGCGTCAAACCCCTTCATCACATCAGTGCCAATTAACTATCACCTGATACAAATCCTTCTGTATAAAGAGAATGTGTCATACGCACGGGAAGAGGATCCTTACGCTACCGCTTCATGGAAACCGGTAGAAGTCGCTGCGTACGATTCTTCCCCATTAATTGTTACCTATCTTGGGTGGAAGTTTTTAACCTGTTACTCCAACACATACCTATCCTTCTCCTTTTACACGGCACCATTTCAAGTTGAAGTGTGGTGCGGGATATTCGTCACGGTCGCTACGCTCATCCTGGTACTAGTCTTATTTCAAAAGTATGACGACAGCGATGATACATCTTACCTCTCTCCGTGGCTTTTTATTCTTGCAAATATGCTGGAAGAATCCGGTTCTATTCCACGTTCTATGGAGAAAAAGGCATTTTATCGCTACACGCTGGGTAGCTGGGTCTTGATGTCGGTTATTTTAACAAATTGCTACAACGGATTGATGATCACCAGCCTAAACGCACCACTTCCGGGGTGGGGACCGACTATTTTTCAGGATTAAGTCTGTAATTCAGGGATTGATTATGACGCGTATTTAAATAACAGAGTAAACCTCAAGGGATGGATGGAGCGTTACGGAATCAAAAATTATTTAGATCATTGGACTTCTACAGACATAGCCGTGTTATACGCTCCGATATCTAGTTCGATTAGGATGAAAAACCAGTCTTTGACCTGTTTTAGACTGATGTCACCTCCCATAGTTCTTTATGGTCGTGCGAGCATCCAATTTGTGTGGGCTCTTGTCCATATGGCCCTCAGATTCAAGCGAGAGCAGGATCAAATCGGATCAATTTCACGCCAAACGTTGGTCACGCTAGCTCTTATGAATCCAAAACATTCAATGGAACCCAGTGAACAATTTTACACTAATAATTCAGAGGTAATGGCTAGTATAAACAACTTTAAGGAGTTGGGACAATGTGGGAAATCAGTGTACATCGCAAAATCGTCTGAAATTGCAGCGACGTTAGATTTTCTGGATAAAAAATTTTACGGTGTAAAATTTAATGTTGGGAGTGATGTTTTAATGGACGAATTGTACGGCTGGGTTTTTGATGACCAAGGTTATTCAAAAATTCCCACCTATTTGAAGTATTTGTTAGAGGGTGGAATCCTTGGACGTATGATGGCAGAGGAACAGCGGCGTACATTTGTTGCCGTGAGTACACTACTGCCACCGAAATTTAGGGACAGGGTTAATAAGATGGGTAGTATTGTTACTTTTTATATTTTATTGAGCATCATAGTTTTGTCGGCTTTGGTGTGTTTTTTGGTAGAAAATCGGAACCGTATTAAAACAAATATTATCTCTTTGATGCGTTGGGTAATGGGACTTCTAGGAAATGTGCATATGAGATTGAAAATAAGATTTCTATTCTGGTATGAAATAAATCATTAAAACAGATAGGGACTGACTGCACGCAGATTCATATAAATATGTATACACGTTTATTTACATACATATAATTTTACAAATTGTATGCATACAACATTGTACTGTTTTACAATTTTATTAAACTCAAGAAATATGTAATAGAAAATTACAAATCTTACTTAAAAATGTCATTGTCTTAAAATTTAAAGTATTTTATACATTCGTTTACTGATTCCACTCAGCAGGATTTTCAATATTCTTGTTCACTTGCACCCTATTCTCCAAGACTAGATATTATAATGTAACAAAATTAACACGGCAATTATGTATACGTAGATAATTGGAAATTAGATAAATCAAATTTCAAAATTAATTATACCTGCTCCAACACCACCACCCCCAACAATGCCAACGTGTCACCTCCACTTTATACTCATCCTGTCCATGAATTCCCAAATTTCCAGCCTTCCCCAAACCAGAATCCTCGTACCCTCGAATATCAGTACAATTTCCTCCAGAACATGAAGACCGTTCTTCAAATCCTGTGATGCGGTTATCAACCAAAGATGCTCTTGTCAATCCATCAGCAGGTGCTCCTTTTACCCTTAAAGACAAACTTAAGCAAATTGCAAGTCCAAAGAGTATGAACTTATCCATCGTAAACTAAGTATTTTATGTATGCGGAGAAGTACAGATAAGCAATGCAAGTTCGTGTTGGAGAAATGGTTAAGTTTACTAATATTTTTTGCTTGCAACGTACTGCACTCAGGTTTATATACGACGACGAAAAATTTACATGTACGCATTCCAAAATTAACTTATTATGTGTGCGTATGCATACATTTCCATGCACAACATGTACACAAATAAGTAAATATGTATTTATATCCATATGTGACATTTATTGAGTACGATGTAGTAAATCACTGGAAAATATTTTCCTATCAACAAGCTTGTCTGGATCTTCATCATTATCAATTCATAATGATTTAAAGTTAAAAGTTCCATGAAATATGGAATGACTTGTTGACAGGGAAAAATTACTATACGACATCATAGGTGCGCAGCTTCCAACAGCTTCCGCGTCCGGCGTCCGCTTCCGACCAAAATTTTCGCTTGCAGTGCTTCCGCTTCCGACCAAAAATCGCGCTTCCGACGTCCGGAAGCTGCTTCCGATAGCCCCTACAACATTGCTTCCGGGAGCCTCCGGCGTCCGCTTCCGACCAAAGTTTGTGCTTCCGACTTCCAGCGCCTCCGCTTCCGACTAAAAGTCGCCGCTTCCGACTTCCGGAAGTCGGAAGCTGCGCACCTATGTACGACATATGCTAATTTAATTTGCAACTAACAACTAATGACGATTTTATTTATAAAGATGCGTATTTTTATTTTGAGATGATGCCCTGAATGAATGTCAAATGTGTAAATAATGTCTTGAGATAAGAAAACTTTGTAAACATCACATCCGTATTCCATATAAATTGTTCTAGAGGTTTAAACTTTGAGTGATAATAATATTAATTAAGTATGGGATACGGAATAAAGTGTAACATTGTACGAACAGACAACAATATTTATTTTTGGCTTGTGTGTGTACTATACATACGGTCAATCCTTACATTCAACTCTTATATGTAACAAAATACCAAAATTTCTTCTACATAATATTTTGTAATTTGCGTAACTTCGGTCTTTTGTACATCAAGAAAAACAAGAGTACAAATTCACAAAAATAACTAAACATTTTGGAACAGCTTGAAAGATCGTCAGTATTTAAGAATTTGAGAATAATTATTGTTGGTTAGGCTGATACCAACCAGCAGCCCACTGACCCACCCACATAGATGACGATGACCCAGGAACAACCTCAACAACTGCTTCGTTTTGACTTTCATCCTCTTCTTCCTTCTCCACAATAGTATTAATCAAAATATCATCCTCGCCGTCGTCGGGCAACCCGTCGTTAATTTTCGCCAACATTTTTGCCTTCTTTTCCTTAACCTTCAACCAACTTGACCCACCTCCCCCGTGGGAACGCGTCTCGAGGTGTTGCCTAAGGCCATCTGCCATCTTGAACGACTTTCCGCACAATTTACAGACGTGCGATTTCCCACTAGAGCCATGACGAAGAATATTGTGCCTCTTGAAACTAAAATGTTGGCGGAAACCCATGCTGCAAATGGAACAGAAGAGTTTCGCGTCCCCTGTGTGAATCCTAGAGTGCATTTCGAGGTCGACTTTCCTTCGAAATCTGCGGGGGCATGATTCGCATGCGAATGCGGGGAGAGGCTCAACAACGTCGTGATCTTTAATATGCTGGTCTAAGCTTGACTTTCTTTTATACGCTTTCGGGCAAATGTGACACATAAAAGGATTGACGGGATTGATATTGTGTACATGCCGGTAGTGCTCTTGCATGTCTGAAATTTAAACAGGATCAATATAGTAACTATATTATAGTTCATATAAAAAAATATACATATGTATATACTTGTTGAGAGGTGACATGACCAAACTTACGATTTGGAGTTACAAGTATTCTGTAACATGCGGGACAAGTCCTCTTTTCAAGGGCTGACATGACCATAAGATCGGCGGGAGTAGGTGATGATGGGGTTGATTCTGTTGCACCTGTCGGTGCTAGTGCTTGTACGACATGTTTCTGTTCTGATAGCTCTGTGACAATTATCGGTGCTGGTTGTTCTGTGAAATTTATCTGCACTGGTTGTTCTGTGGAACTTATCGGCGCTAGTTGTTCTGTGGAACTTATTGGCGCTGGTTGTTCTATGGAACTTATCGGCGCTGGTTGTTCTGTGGAACTTATCGGCGCTGGTTGTTCTGTGGAACTTATCGGCGCTGGTTGTTCTGTGGAAATTATCGGTGCTGCCTGCTCTGTGACATTTGTCGGCGTTGCTTGCTCTGTGCAATTTGTAGGTGCTGGTTGGGGTCCATCATCCGATGTCATCATCACTGCACCATTCACCACCACCTCGACAGGTTCAGGTTTCGCTAGTTCGACTTTTATGGTTGTGGGAGGAACACTTCCCTTCATGTGAACGTTTTTCTGATGATATCTCAACCACTCCTCTTTAAAATATGCTTTTCTCATTTTAGAGCAAGGGCCCACATCACACTTAAACTTTGGGATTCTCTCCTTTTTATCGTGATCAATTTTTAGGTGATTGATCAACAGTTTTACACTTTTCCAGGGAGCAGAGCATAGAGGACAGTTAAATTCCTTTCTAGGTTTTTTCTTGTAATAATATGATTTTGGTTTCTTCTCAGACTCGGGTACACGAGGTCGTCCTATCGGTCTTTTTACCACCGCCCCATCAATTATTCGAGGAGGGCAAATGCGCTTTTTACGTACACGTGGCTGTGGCCGTGGCTTTGATTTCCCTAAGAGGATAAAAATAAATCACATTTTCGTATTTTTATACACGTCCATGAGAAGCAAATGACTCACTGTCTTCAGGTTCATGGTCAACATGTTTTATGTCCTGTTCATATTCATCAGAGCTCGAGACTGGTTCTTCCTTTATAACAAAGTCAATGTCAACTTCGTCTTTCAATTTTGTTTCCAATTCTGACTCTGATGATGACCGGGTATCAATATTTTTCACATTTTTTTTCTTTACTGGCTGCTGTCTTGTTTTCTTTTTTCGAGTTCGTCCTCCTTCCAATTAAGAAAATCAAAATAAATTTATCATTTACTTTGCAATTTATTATTTCAAATACTAAGCTCACTTTTTATGAGACTAGGTTGTTCGTCTGGAAGGGACGATGTGTGTAGGTCGGTCCCCTTAATAACCGTCTCCTCCGCATTATCAGGAATAAAATCTGGGAACAACTCTATATCTTCCATTTCCCTACTTTCATCCACATCTATCGAATCAATGAAGTAGGGGGGCAAGAAGGGTGGGGAATTATGTTGGAGTGTGAGATCTGCAATGGCATCATCAGTCTTTTCCTCATCTTAAAACATTAAACAATTTTTTTCATCACCTAAAAGTAACTACTCCGCCACCACTAAATTCTAAATTAATGTGTTGACCCACCTCCTCTCAACCTCTTTCTGATCTCGGTATAGACATCAATCGTGCCCTTCCTACTCCTCCCCTTGCCCAATCCAACCTCTAAATTGGTCAACAAAATTTGGTCTTTAATCTTTCCCTTCAACGCGGAGTATTGTTCTTGAAGAGCAGCAATTTGTTCACATATCGTCTTGCATTCTAAAACCTGATCATAATTTAAAAATATTATTGACCTTGTGCTTTGGTTACATAACTGTGAATGCATGTGTAACTGACCCACCTGAACTTGGCATTTCTTGCAAAACTGGATAACTTCAGATGGATTTTGTCCAGACGAGATGATTGACAAGATCTGCTCCGAAGATAATAGATTCTGGGGGAAGAGACATTTGATAAAGTAAAGGGAACAGAGCTGCCCATCTAATAGACCAAGTGGGGGTGGTTGTCGGAATTTATGCGAACAAATTACGCAACAACGCATCTAAAATAATACAAGTATATTTTAAATTATTTATTATCTGGTCGGAAAATGAAAAAAAAACTTGTGTCTAATGAATTGTGAAAGACATTTACATAAATATGCTACAACAATGTTATTCAGAAACGCACAAATTAAAGTGCATATAGTAATTAGTTTTACACAAATTTTGATTTACCTTAAATCCACATCCACAACCTGCAAACTTGATTTAGTTTTATTATAATTAGAATGTAAAATCGTAAATTTTAGAATGAATGTTGTTTTATTTTATTTCATTACATAGTGAACTGATTGAGCAAATCAGCCGGTTTTAGTAAATACTAGAGTAAAAGCCCGTCCAAGGACGGGGCCTGTGACTCCCAGTACAGGGCGTGGAAAAGCAAGAAACCCGTCATATTATTAAATAATTCCCAGGGTCTACTCGGTCACAGACCCCAAGTGCCTTATATATTCTGGAAGGTATTTATAAAACCTTTCGAATGATACCCCACTTCATGGGTGACATCAGTTGAAAGTTTGGTGACCTGTGACCTTGATTGCTTGAATGGCGTGACCTACACTAATCAAACTATGACCTCTATAACAGCCTTGAAATAAGCTTTCAAATGCGCTATCATACGTTGTTGTATGTAGTCTGGCGCCTGAGTTAGATTTTGACCGTTATTCTAGGTCACGGTGAGGTCACAGACCCAAATTGTCTTATATATTCTGATAGGTATTTAAAAAACCTTTCGAATGACACCCCATTTGTGGGGGGTTATGGGTTGAAATTTTGGTGACCTGTGACCGTTGACCTTGAATGGCGTGACCTTTACTATTGAAACTATGACGGCTCCCACCGTCTTTGACCAAGCTTTCGAATGCGCTATCATACGTTGCTGTAAGTGGTCAGATGGCGGAGGAGTTCATGCCGACACAAATCGGCCGTGCTGAATTAAGTAATAGGATTTTGTGTCGTGCCTCTGGAATGTGAGCGTGAGACACATGTCACGTGTTTAAGCTGGATATTTGCAAAATTATAAATCGACACAGGTGACAGTTAAAATAATGAATTCGTAACTGGACCCTCTTTACTAAAGTGATTATAAAGTTGGCGAATGTGTACTTTACGTGTAAGTTTTCATTCTGTCATTATTTTGTTCATTTTCGACGTGGTGATTTTCTTTCATCATCAACTCATATGTATATATATACTTGCAGTAGTTGCATTGCATTTAATAAAACAGAAATAATTAAATATTTAAGTACTGAAATTCAGGAGCTTTAACATACTTAGCTTTGACATTGTTGGTTTCAGAAAAATGGAAAATATTGAATCCTCCCCGGTCGCGAAGGCACTCTCAAATCCCTTGGTAATGGATTTGCTATTTTGCTTAATTATTAATTAATTAATGACATATTGATTCCACAATATTTGCAGATACTCCGTGAAATCTTCAGCCGTGTAGATGTGTTCAACTTCAACGACGAACTTTTTGCGTTACGACTCGTATGTAAAGTATGGAACGAAGTCTTTGTCTCAATGTCAATTCCAAAAATACGTTTATATGTTCAACCAAAATGGGAAGATGACGGTATATGTGACGCCACCCCCTTTCTCGCTCTATGTATCAATATGACCCCAAAATTGGCCAGATCATTGGTCTTAAACCAAGCAGAGTTTTTCAAACGGGAACAAACAATGGCCTTCACGTCAACAATGATTCACGTCTTTGACAAATTTACTGATTATGTGCAACATCTAGAAGTAACGATAGAGCCCTCACTTATCCCACTGCTGCATCAGATGATGTCCAATTTCTGCCCAAATTTGAAGACAATGATATTTGAGCCGATAAATAAAAGCAAAGCTGGAGGCACTTCCCTTGAAGAAGTTATCTTGCCAGCGCTCCCTCTGACTACAAACCTTACCAAATTCTCCATTAACGCTGAGTGTGGTTTCATTCCTACCCAATTTCAAGCCTTCGCCCAGCTCGTCATCAATTCAGCCCCAAACTTGACAACGTTTGAAACTGTGCCCCATTTCTACCCAGATTTTAGCACGGTTAAAAATCTGAAAATTCTAAGCATAAACACAAGTTTAAAACAACTTGTGCATAACGTGTCTGCCTCTGATTTCAAAGAACTGACAAGAATGTTGGACCAAGTTTCGGGAACTTTGGAAAATTTCCTGATAGATGGCAAGTACACATCCTCATGGAAGACACCTGAGACCGTTCCGACTGCGAAATTTCTCCCAGCCGCAGGCCTTGCTTCTGCCAACTTCAAAATGCCTCCAATGCCAAAACTAACCACCTTATGGAATGACTTCACTGAGATTTTGAGGTTTGGAAACGCACTTGAAGACATCAGACCTGACAAAATGCCCAACTTGACGGAGTTATCGCTGAGCAAGGAACGAACCAAGAGTAGAAGTGTGGGCCATATCATAAGAGCCATAACGGCGAACCCTTCATGTGTGTCTTTCCCTGGTATTAAAAAGCTTTCAATTTCAAACATTCATCACACACAGCCTCTTAGTGGACTAAGGACGGCATTCCCTGCTCTGGAAACGCTAACGATTTCCCGACAATTAGAATCTAATCCGATGTGTATGCTACGCACTATTAGAGCCTGTGTCCCTCTCCAATTGACACATCTTCACTTACAGTATTTAAGCTGTCCAAAGGCTGTGAAGACGCTTTGGAAATGTTTCTCCTCCAATTTGATCATGTTTAAAAGTAAGATATGAGGTTGTAATATTAATGTAATTATGTGCAACTAATGGCGTACGCTTTATATAGCTTTTGCTACGAATCTGCTCGTGTTGCTTTAATTTTTTTTACCTCAGAGGGATAGTGAAGTTGATATTGGGTTTGATAATTTATGTATATATTTTTAAGCCCATCAACTTTACTCCCGAAAAAATACTGTTCCGAGTGTTGTTCCACATTAAAGGTGCCTTATTAAATATTTCAGCCCTTAAAACTTTGGAGATCTTGTGTGGCTACTACGAAACCGATAATAGCATGGAAGACGGCTTGAATCAAAAAGACTTAATCATGGTGAAAGAGGTGCTGACAGAGATGGCTGGAATGATAAGTGTAAAAATACAAAATGTCAAGGTCAGATTTAATCATTTTTCATTAAAATTCAAATTTTGCTTATCATTTGTTTCAATATGTATTTATTGTTTAATTTTAGTTCCAGGGGAAGAATGGACAAGAAATTATCACGTTTATTTTGAAAAATGAGATTCCACTAAGGTTTATCTGAATTTGGCTTCGAATTTTACATTTGAAAGGGAATGAGTACCATTTGCACATACATATGTATTAATTCTAATAAATCTATTCCTTAGTATAGTTTATGAACTATTCCAAACTTGAATAAAATTTGCCCGGTATTTTTCTAGAGATAACACTAAACTTATACATACATATTAATTACGTTATTTTTCTAGAGATAACACTAAACTTATACATACATATTAATTACGTTATTTTTAGAAATTGTGAATATTTTATTAATAAAGCCTGTATCGCATAAAAGCATTATTAAATTTAATCCTTCCCCTGTTTTGGTGGTGTTGACGTAAACTGCAGCAGCACCACGACATAAGTTATTACTTGGCTGAAAATCTAAGATAAAAAACATTCATGTAATCGCAGTTATTAAAAAATAATTACTTCTAATTGATTAGTTTTATCTGCATACCGTAACAATGAAACCATGAGTTATCAGAAAAGTATGAGCTTTAATACCAAGCGGACCCTGTTCAATGTCCAATTTAAGATTGATTACTTCTAAATTGTCCGCATATTCAGGCGATGCGTAATTTTTGGCAATGAAGCCAAAGAACGATTGGAGCTAGTGAAATTGCACAAAAATATATTAGTAAAATATCTCAAATTGCACATTTAATTCAACTTTGCAGTTTATGGAAAAAATATAAAAAACGAATCACCTTTGTAGCTCCAACTGCTGCCAGGAGGAGACATCCACTCAACCAAACGAAGTACGACATAGTGACCACTTTTAACAGTATCGTCGTGCTTGGTTCTATCATTTCAGTGAACGATCTACTAAAATGAACCAACAGATTGGCCACGAATACAACCATGTTGAAACTAAATAATTCATTAATTTGATCGAAAAATGTTTTCAATTCGAAGTACAGATTCCTCACCTAAGAAAAATACAACATTTTTGGTAAACCAGGGCACCTTGTGTTTCACGTAGCGTACATAGCGTTATAAGTAATTCTTCTAATTTTAGAAACGCCTAATTGTTAATATTTAATTCTAGACGATAATTAAGCCCGAAAAAATCATGACGAGATTAATTGAAGCCTCGTGATCTCAATTATCGCTGTTCATTATTTTAAAATTAGTTACATGTTGAATTTCAGTACGTACTTACCACATGAAACGGAACATCTTTCATAAAGTAACGTTCGCAGTCACACCCCAATTTATACGCTAGAAGACAAACGTAAGTGCTTATCCCTAGGACAGCCACGTTCCCAAAGATGGAGAAGTTAATATTTAACACCAATGCAACAACGGATAGAAAAGTTTGCAGAACGGGGATCCCATCCAGATCGAAGTACAAATCCAGACTTAAGGAGCTTTGATTTTTGTACGTCTCTCGAAATAGTGCATCCCCAAATATAACTTTCTCCTGTGTTAGAAATATGATTGATGCGCTCGGAAAGATAATCAGGGCGAAATACATGACCAGAATTTGAAACAGGCCCTGAAACTCGAAAAAATTTGATAGAGAAAGTTAAGAATTATGTAATTATGACCTTTGACACGAGTAAATTTTATTTTAATCAACCAAAGCTGAAGAAAATGTAAATGCATTGCAAGTCGTCTGTTAATCGCTCAAAATTAAATACATAGTCTGCATATTACGAAAGTTTTACACTGTTAGCTGCATTTCACAATGTCCTAAGATGCTAAAGGTGTTGCTTTTATTGTGTATTGTGAATGTGTGCATACAAATAGATTAGGTATATACATGATTATATATTTTCAAGTATTCCAGTACATAACCAAGCCAAACATATCTTTAAGTTAACTTGGACACTATATTGTCATCAACATTTTGAATTTGCATTAAAAATGTATTCATACCAATAATTATATGCATGCATAACTCACAATTCTGGACAACCTGACTTCGGAACCTCCAAATTGCATTCCCAATCTCACAACATTCTCCCATCCCGTTCTCTTAAACCAGATCGTGTATGAGAAAACAGCCGTGCTGAAAATGTAAATTACGTGTCTTGCCATAAAGTAGATTTGTGAAGGATCTACCCGGACGAGGTCAGAAGCTATCCAAAATCCAGTCAGGCTGCTGATACAGATCAAGTAGATTTGATAAGCGTGATTTGCACCACAAATGATCTGTACAAATCCAAACGAATTACTCAGAATGGTTAAAAATACATGAACGTAGCCTAAACTGGCCTAAGCTATAGCCCAAGTTTCATTAATGATTATTGATTAAAAATAAATAAACCAGCTGCCTGCAGTTTTTCTCTGTTCCCATTAAAATTACTTAGAAATTAAGGTACACAACTGTTTCTACAAAATTTTCGTCATAAAGAAAACAAAATTCCATTACTCACTTTACGTAGAAAATTTCCCTTGACCATGAAACCTTGTCCAACTCCTGGGGATAGGATAATCCTGAACGGAGAAAGAAATGCGTAGTACAAGAAACTTGAAAAACTTTCCATGCAGTGCATTATTTCCGAGTTCATTTTATCCACCGGATTTTTTTTGGTGAAAGCAAAATTCAGTATTTTGTCGTTGCGTTTCTCCTTGTTTATGTAATTCATGGTCAATTGAAAGTTGCTTCCAAATGAACTCCATCCAGTGGAAGGGGGTTAACATTCTAAACCAATTTGAATTTTTGCACTGCATTTTTATCATCGCTGTAAATGTTTGCCCAATTCATCAATTTATTTGCACAAACGTCTTAATGGTCCATTGTCCAGTTACGTTGATAAATACTTTTAATTTAATTTGAAGAAAAATCGATTCCATTATCAGTAAATTCGTAAAGCATGCATTATATTCTTAATATTGTCACAAATTACATTAAGATAACTAATTTGTTACGTAACTTCTCAATATGCTAAATTTCTAGCCCGAGTCAAGGCTTATTTAGTATTCATGACGCCCGTCTTTCTATTGTTTTCAGTACATGATAGAGCCAAAGCGGAAATTAGCTGCAAACTTTGCATATTATTAATAAGGCGAGAATGCAGATTATGAGTGGGCGAGTTCGTAAATGACCCAAATGGTCGAGTGGTTGCCCAGTGGGAATCAACAGCACCAAATTTTTAAAAAGGGGGCAGTATAACTTATACTGCCCCCTTATACTGTATAAGCGTCTATCATCTATTATACTGTGGCGAACAAAATTTAATGCAGGATTTACGTCTCATCAACTATGTAAATGTAACATTTTAATCATAATTAGGCAGATTTGCATATTTTCCTATCAACAATACAATTACCAGCTATGCACTTAAATTCCTACATCATGATTGATATATTTATGATTTTTAAATTAAATGATAATATGCATTACAAATACAGAATAGGCTACGTGCGTACATTCGATATGCTACATGTATACAATTAAATTAAATATCTAATTGCACCCACGTAAATTCGACTTCAAATATTTTTAACCACTACGAAACTCTGATTACTAAAAATTATCTACTTATCATTACCAATTCATTGTTGAGTTTTATACAGCACTGGACACACATAGTATATTATCAAATATTTATGTAATACTCACGATTTAATCGATCACACGCAAGTTATTTTAAGCATCCATCCGATAGAAGTATCACGGGACGTATTTATTAAATATGCTCCAGTTTTCAATACAAATACCAAACTTAACCATGATTAACCTGATTAATCACTGTTGATTGATGTGTTGTTTGGCGTCAGAGATTTGAGGCATTTAGTTAATGCATGCTAATCGGTTAGTGTTCGCAGTTTTCACTTTTTCTTTTTCTTAGGTGAGGCATAGTAACCATGACCACATGAAAAAATGCATGGTTACGGCGAAGCCTAAGTATGCAAACAGACCCCCCCCCCCCCCTCCAAATATTCTGCCAAAGATTATGGCGAAACGGCTAATCGTATCAAAATGGTGTAAAAGGCAATCGTGCAGACCTTGCTGCGTAGATGATGCCCGTCAGGTCTAGAGACATGACAATCTAATTTTAAGGCATTTAAAATCGATTTTAAACTTTCAAACGACTGGCAAATTCATTTTTTCCATGAAATGATAGTGCGAGACCCTGATTTTCATGCGCAGTCTATGACGCGCAATCTATAACGTCTGCGCAATCTATAACGCGTCATTTAAAGCAAACCCGAGCGAAATCGGATAAGAAATGAGAGACTTTTCTTGGTGGCACCTGCAACCAGTTATATAATGGTTCTTCATTACTTATAATAAATCCACGTTTCTATTAACAACAAGCGCAATAGAAACATGTAAGACCTGTATGTAAACCTGTATGTATGCAGTATGCACTTTTAGAAATCCAGTAAAATAGTACCAAGCAGTATTCACATTCAGAAATGACTACCAAAGTGGTATTGATAAGTAATACTGTGCGGTAATAGGTCAATATTAAAGCTTTACTATTTCGTTAGTAAATTCTTACCCGCATAATTTTAATATTAATTGTAAGCAGTAACTTGGAATTCTATTAGAGATTTCTAACAGCGTGTATATACATACATTGAATTTCTTGACTATGGGTTCATGGGCGGCGGAGGAATTTAATCTTGTATGCCACGCATCCACACCCACTGGGAATTAATTAGTATACCACGAAACCACACCCACTGGGGATTAAATTGGTATGCTACGCATCCACACCCACTGGGGTATTAATTTGGTAGCTGTTATTGATGACGACTTACAAACTTAAAGACTTAAAGATTTAAAGAGACTTAAAAACAAAAAATAAACTAATTCTTTAAAAAAAACTTAGGTGAGGCTTGCTTAAAAGGAGAAAACAAGCTGTTATCATCGTGTATTAGAATAATGTGCTAAATCAATTTTCATCTCATGATTTATAATTTTCGGTAAACAGAACAGCAAAGTATATGCGTTTGGGACCATTTGCCTCGCCGTGGGCCATTTTGTGAATTAAAATAATTTTAAAATTTATTAGTGTTCAGAGAATTTGTTACACACATGCGGAAAATGCGTCGTATGGAGCGATACATAATTTTTTGGTTAATTTTGTTATCCATAATCGATTTCTGATCATATGTACCAAGCATGAGTTAATTTCCATATACAATATTACATACAATGGCAGAACATGAATTTTTTAAATCTAGACCTATTCTAGAAATATATTCAAAGATTGCAAAATCACAAATTAACAAAGTTTAATTATGACAAAATTTTAATATTTACTTAAGATGGCATATTTGTATTCAATTAATCACGGCCCACGGCGAGACAAATGGTCCCAAACGCATATACTTTGCTGTTCTGGTTACCGAAAATTATAAATCATGAGATGAAAATTGATTTAGCACATCATTCTAATACACGATGATAACAGCTTGTTTTCTCCTTTTAAGCAAGCCTCACCTAAGTTTTTTTTAAAGAAGTAGTTTATTCTTTTTCAGTACATATTTACATTTATGCATAAGCTGTATCTGGGCTTATCTATAACTCAGATATCGTCATCTAAGTTATAATTCAAGCCATCCACCAAAACTAATTTTAGCAAGTATTTAACTCTAAAATGCACCATGTTTAAACACAATATCACTACTTTTGTCCACATAAACCCTGGTCTTTCAGCCACCCACCATCCCACTTTGACAGTATGTATACTAATCTAACCGATTAATTAATCAAAGTCAACCTGTTATCTGTTCCAATTTATATTTACCTCCATTTACGCAAATCAGGGTGGAGTGCTCCCTATATAAATGCTTGGCTGAAAATTCCACCTGATATCACACTCCCGACACGCCTCGCCAATTAACAGCTTTCTGCAATGTTGTCCTCATCCGTCGTCTTATTGTCTCTGGTGGCTGCCACCTTCGCCGGCGTGCCATGGATTCCAGAGCCTCGTGACCAAGCTTGGCTAGACCGTCATGATGGCTTTGTCGAAAACAGTTTGAACAACGGAGCGAACATTAATGTCCTTTTCTACGGAGACTCCATCACCGACGCGTGGAGAAGTACCGGTTTACCAACGTGGAACACGGCGTATGCACCCTTGGGGGCGGCAAACTACGGAATTGGGGGCGACCGAACGGAACACGTTCTTTGGCGAATTCTCAATGGAGAAATCCAAAATTTAAATCCTAAGTTGATCGTGCTGAAAATTGGTGAGTTTTAGGGTGTAAAATATGTAATAATTTTACTCATTAAACTATGTACAGCAATATGCATCGAGAAATCATATGTACAATTTTGCAACAATTTTGCATCAATTCGTAACGATTTGTTACCAAATTGTAACACAATGTTCATTCGAAATTCAAACTTACGATAACTCATGAATGCCTTTGTCCATAATTTTCCATGTTTAAAACACCGATTTCAAAATATCTTTATGAATCTATTTATTTTTCAGGAACCAACAATTATGGCGCTAACACGAACGAAGATATTGCACGAGGCGTTTCCGCAATTATTGACACCCTCCGATCCAACCTTCCAAACACGAAAATTCTTCTCTTGGGCATTTTACCAAGAATCAACGCAGAACAGACCGCAAGAGTGGAAGTTATCAACTCTATGATCTCGATTTGGGATAATGGAAACAGTATTCGATACTTGAACATGATCGACACCTTTTACAGCGGCGATGGAGGATTTAACATTAATTACTACAACCCAGACTTGGTACACTTGTTGGCCCCGGGTTATGCGGCGTGGCAACGGGCAATGGACCCACTCTTCCAAGAAATGTGGAATGCTACCCTTATTGCTTAATTTGACATGAAATTACGAGTATTAAATAAATTTGAGAATGTTGGAAAGAAAATGATCCGATTTTATGTTTTGATTAAATATGAGTAACCAGTTAATGGTGAAGTTTTAAACTGATAAGTATGAAATTCATATAAATTAGTAAATTGTAGCATGACTCGTTTACGCATACTTAAGTCGGAATTAAGGAGTATGAAACAGGGAATAAATCTTGCTCGCACCCGTCCATAAGCGGTGCGAGCAAGCTTATGGCCGGGTGCGAGCAAGATTTATTCCCTGGTATGAAAGTGAGTCATTTAATGAGTAGGATTAGGAGATTAGGATTATGAGACTCCAAATCATGTGGTGCATGAAAAACTAAACAATTTAACATTGACAAATTTATAAGCTATTTAAGTTGCAACTTTTTCTCATTTTCGGATTTAGATGAATTTTAACACAATCTTTAACTCATAATTAGTAGGTGATTATCACTTATTGCATTAACACACGGCGGTCTAACAACTTGCATACTGCAACATGCACATACATATTTAACACTGGCATTTTGTTTTCAGATGAGTTATTTATTCAGCTCGATTGAATAATAGGAGCATGCATACTTTTTTTTTTACTTATCCATCAGGAGTGAGAAGTCATCCGAATTTCCCCGTAAGTGGCATGATATGAAGTGCACCCAAATGCATATTACATTAGTAAATGTATGTATGCATGAACAAACATTGCATACGTTTTACATGGTTGATGGTACATGTATATACGCATTTTGCGTGGTAAATAGATAATTATGTCGGAATAAAAAAAGAAGAATAAAGAGCCCCAAAATAGAATATAGAAAAGAAAATAAAACTAGCATATTTTAATAATTTTCTCATTTATTTTTCTTTCATGTGATTAATAAATTACATATTTTTTGCCAACTGCAGTTAAATCATTCACACATACCTATCTACAAATGTCCTCATACTGGTTCCCTTAGATAATTCTGCATCAAAACTTAAAATTACATAGTATATATCTTAAGAGCAAACTCCACCAACATTCATTATTCCAAAATATGTCATATCCGTATTAAAACTAGAAACTCTGACAATGTCCACCGCCCGGATTACAAGTTGGTCATCGGCATCCAGAAAACGGAGTCCTGCAACGTAACAAGGACCTGCTAGGGCAGGAGTCGTTCTACACTTTAAGAATGGAGCGGAATTAACTTCCACATTGAATCCATTAATGTCATCCGAGCTTATCTGCGAAAATTATAACCAAAATTAGTTTCTCCTTAATCTCCGCAATATCGTTATACACAGATATATTTATGCATGCATCAATATTTTTACCTGCGCATAGATAAAGTAAACCCCAGCCTTCTTCACTGTAAATGCTCCCGTAACGGTCGAGACACCAATGAAACTATCGCTTCGAGAGTAATCTTCGGTGTAAATGGAAGTCGTCGTCATCCAGTCAGCCGCCACCCATTCTTTGAACACGCCATCTGCCGAGGTCAAACGTCCCGTCCCACCAGCCAGGTAATGTCCCGCCAAGGGTTTCGGACCACGGCAAGTACTTTTGTACTGTAAGACGCAAAATCATTGTAAATGTACTGTACTAAACTCTGCTAGCGAATTATGCATATTTGTTTTACAATACCCCAGTAACAGATATTGGTTGTGGAACTATAATCTCCTGCCTCGGGTAATAATTGCTGGCTGGATAGCGAATCCTTTCATCGTAGGGTTGTTGTGTCGTCGTAGTTGTGGGTATGACGACGTCCCTGCTATACCCACCCCCATAAGTTCCCGCCCTGTTGTCATAATTTGACTCGTACGTCCTGTAGCTCGTATGACCGCGGTAGTTTGTCGCGGAAGCCCCCATCCGTTCGTCGTAGGGTTGATGAGTAGTAGTGGTGGTTCTGGGGGTCGTCGTCGTAGTAGTCGTAGTAGGAACCTCCCTCAGTGTGGTGTACTCGTAATCCGTATTTCCAGAGCCGCGGAAATGAAATTCCCTGTACTCAGTTTGACCCGAACTGGTGACGTGACCTCCTCCTTGACTTCTTTGCCGGGTTGTTGGAGAGCCTTCTACAATGACCCGCATGGGAGGGTGATGTTCCCGAGTGATACTTCCAGATCCGGAGGATGATCTACTGGTTTCTTCCACGACATCAATCTGTCCTCCTTGGCGCCTTGTCCCGCTGTAATCTCCCGCCGGAACTGGTATGCTATATTCTCTAACCTCCGTATAATTGTACGATTGCAGGCATGGCGCCACCGTCCCGGCCAAATTACCCCGTCGTGTCGTCGTTGTCGTCGTCGTATTTCCACATCCAGCTGCCCGCATCCCACTCGTGAATGTTTTCCCAAGGCCCAAATCGATTCCGGATGTTCTGAAGACATTTCTCGGATTGTGAAGGATTCCAGCTAACGCAGGCATATTCTGGTTTTGGCGGTTGGATTGCGCCCCAATGTTCAACTCGCTGGACCCGCTTTCACTTTCGTAGCCTTGGTGAGCGCCTAAATTCGTGGAGGAGGAGCCGCCATGGCGAGAATAGTGGACAGTTTCGACACGTGGATGGGTTATGGTGCTGGTTCGAGTGTAGGTCGTTTGTACCCCTGTACTTCCTCCAGCGCCCGCACAAGTGGTGCATCCTCCCAGCGTTCCAATACTTCCACTGGCACCATTGTTATCCTCGATACTTGAACTTTCTCCAACTTCTGGTTCATACCCTCTTCGTTGACTTGACGAAGAAGAATGTGACCGGTATCCGTTGCTTCCTCCGCGAGATGACGCACCTCCCACTGATGACGCACCGCCCAAGTCTTGGTCCTCGTAGGATGTCGGTTCTTGAACTAATTCCATGTTACGATTCGATCGACTGCTGCTGTGGTACGTTCTCGTATGAGTTATGGGACCGTCGTTGGCACGACCTATTTAAGAAATTGGTCAATTTGTGAGTAAAGTCGTGATCATTGAATAGTTATACTTTATATGGAAGCCGAACCTCCGTCATATCTCTCTTCGTGAAATTGGTAGCCATCGATGGGAGGAAGCGTCACTCTAGATAAGAAATCTGCCTCCCTGAAATAACTTTGTTGCCGGATGGGAGGAGTATTTTCTCTTTTGAATCGCACATTTCCATCGGATTCAAGCGATGATGGGATCTAAAAAAAGGGGATTATTTAAGACTCAACTCTTCCCATTTGGTAAATTTTCTAAATAATTTACTTTAAGTTTGTATGTGCATAAAAGTGTAAGTGTGACATAAAATATAACTTTTGGGTCAAGCTGGTGTTAAGAATGCTTAATGAATTTAAAACCCTTTCTTACTTCGAATTATAAAAACTCGAGTATACAGATCTACATCAATCAAACTCAACTTTCAGAAATTTACTGAGATCAATTTTTTTCATAATTTTATCTACGTATGATCGTAATCTACATACACGCTCCTCAGGAATATGTGTTATTTAGTTATTGACATGTTTGTTTGTTCCAATTATCAATTAGCCTCGTCAAACTGCGATAACCACACGCATAAATAAATTGACGTAACTTTTAGCTCGTTAAAGATTCATAATTTGCATGCCAGCGAACCTACTGTCTTGCAATACTTTGTCCTACATACACATGTAAATCTTTAACTGGAATGAATCGTTTTTAATTTTTAGGCCAAGTCTGCCCATTCATTCATGAATATTAATCACTCTTACTTTCCCTTACCTCTGCAAACAGTGCATACAATTAAAATAAAGTTAACGTTAAATCGACTCACATTCAAATTTTCAGGGCCTCCATCCAACACATCGTTTTGGCTTTTCAAACTTATCGAATTCATTAATTCCAACACTCGAGCCTCCAGTTCAGTAATACGGTCCTCATGACCGGTGCATCTCGATAGCTCGACTTCATGATGAATTAGAAGAACAGTAAATAGGACTATGCTAGTTATAAACACGATCTGAAACCAGAATGGAAATATCAACTTTTCTTTCCTTTTCGTACTTGTTAACGTCGGTGGTGGTAACTTGATCGACACAAAATCCGATTTCATTTTAGAATTTTGACAAAATCAGAATAAATTAATGCAAAATCTGCGCTATGTAAATCGCCAACACTCATCCACGACGGATTGATTAATAATGAGCAAAATTGAGAGTAACTTTTGTACCAAGTTAAATAATCATGCATCCACTATATCTTTTGCGAATAACATATTACACCACAAAATCAGGCAGAATTTTAGCAATATGCACATATGCACTTATATTTATATTTACATATTTATGTAAATATGTACTGGAGACGACTTAAATATGCAGACAGATTTGTCGGTCAGAGGTTAAGAGTTCACTTCATTCCGTCATACTTGGAATACCCCATGAATAGAATGCAGACGTCTTTTCTCACTCCAAAAAATTGACATGACATGCATATATTTTTTCATACCATATACACATGCATACATATGCAGTAAACAGATTTTACTGTGTATTTATACTCTATAGTGGTACAAATATATATCTGTTAATCTGATTTCTGATTAAATACATCAATAAGCCATGACATAATGTCAAGCATTCAGTCGACAAAACAATTCTGAGAAGGAATATCCGTTGAAAATTTACTTTACATACATAAATCAAAGTGTGGCTATTAAAACATAATTTTTATTGAGATAAACACATTTACATAAGTGTGATTATATTGCTGGATGATGTCAATAATTGCCAAAAAACAGGTTAATTAAGACATTATAAAGTACTGACCGGGGTTGAAAATATTTAGACTTCTCAAAATATTAGAATGATAATATCATGATAAATAACATAACAAGTAAATATTCCAACCAAATTTCTTACAACACAACGCTGACAAATCCGCTAGAAAGTTAGCAACATATTTATCGTTAACCCGACCGTATTTGATATGTACACCAGTGGGGAAATTTTCTTCAGAAAGTAAAATGACCCAACGTGGGCTTTTAGTGGGGCACAACTTTGAACTATTCTCATTCTCTTCATCATCCTACATTTCCTCCACTCGGTTACAAGATTTGTGGACCCCTCGAAAAGTAACTGTCCTTCGGAATTTACACAAAATGCGACAATGCCCAAGGCAAACGTGGCAAGGGGAAAGATAAAAGATGACGGCTGAGTAACCGTCAATACACCAGTTTTCGACAACCTAAACGTCGAAAAACTCAGCCAAGAGACTAAAAATAATAAAACTGAATTTGATAAGGGAATGATGTATGCCCCATAACAAGAGTGGTACAGTTTATCGACGACTTGGAGCTGTCTGTAGGATGAAGAACAAGCCCGGCACGCCTGCAAATTAGAAGATGGGCGAATTTCCTGATTTTTTCTGCAATGTAAAAGTTAAGTATTGAAGTTAAGATTAGACCAGAAATAATTAACCATTTTCCTCAACTTACCCCAATTTCTTTAAATACACTCCAAGATAATGCGTGTAACAGGAGTATGTAAAGAAAACGAAAAGTGCGCTATTCCAGGAATTCAAAGCCGTAACAAACTCGTACAACGCACTCAACACAAAAATGGTATCGGTTTGCCACGCCGGGTTCAAAATTCCCCAGAAGTACTGAACCCCGTTACTCCTCTTAATAAAGAGAATGCTATTGCACATACATTGCGAATAAGCTGCAGGAACTATCCAGGGAATCATTTTAGAGAAAGTGTCGTCTATTCCTTTGTCATTTTTGGCGGGGGTTTTGACCAGTAAATTGAGAAAGGCCAAGTATTCGTTATGTTTCCACCAAATGGAGACTAGAAAAATGGCACCAATTCCAAAACCAAAGGATCCATAGGCGACATATCCTGAAATTGTAACATATGAACTGTAGTAAATTGCACGCTTTCAAATTTGGTCGTTAAAATTGTCTTTTGGCATTTTGTATTTAAAACGAAAGTCGCACCACATGATTCTTTAGTTGCAAGTAAAATTCCGACTTCCATCAGCAAAAATAACTTCCGGAAGACTAGGAAATGATAGTCAATGCTACAATAAAATGATAACCACAAACCCATATCAAGAACCGGAACGTGTTCAAACCCTCCAAGAAAGAAGATTGCCCAAATCAAGCGGTAGGTTGAGAAAGATCCAGCAAAAACTTGAAAGAGCAAAACTATCCAGCACGTTAACATCCTAATCGGAGCGCCAGATTTAAGAGAAGGTGTACGAATATATGTTTTGTAAATTGTTGAATTATTTCCGTCCTATATATGTGCAAAGATTTTTTTACTACTGAAATAACATTTTGCACAAATTATAATCTAACCTTGACCCTTCGGAATGGAATTGTTCTGCAAATCGAAGAAAATGTGATGCTATCGTTGATCAGTTTCAAAATTTTTTGTGGTAGGATGATCATCTTTAAAGTATTATTTCTCTCACTACAAAGTGTAACGTTTCTCATTTAAAATCGCACCTCAAACTTTTCACATCGAACACTATGATCATTTTATAAATACTAAGCAGGTAAATTCACGAAATTAAACTCGATTAACATTGAGCACGTAAGAGCAAAGAGACAATTTGAAAGAATTAAGACATTATTTTGGAACTCATGGATGTAAATTTGTTTCATGTTTATTGGTCACAAGCTTCCGGAAAATACTTTTTCCTTCATCAGGTGAATTAGAAACTTTGAAAAATTGAGAATTATACAATGGTATACAATTAATAATTGTAATTATGGTTGTCAATTTGAAAGAATTATGTACCTTATTCATAAACAAGGCCCCAAAAAATGGAAAATCTTAGTGAGTCAGCACAATCACAGTTAATAAATAAAATTAGATTGAATAATTTTTTCATCACCGCTCTCGGTATAATTTTTCCTGGAAGCATTAATTAATCATTTAGAATAATTGCCCCCCCCCTCAAAGGGTCTGGAGATTTCATCTGAATAGGAATTAATAGGATATCTAAATTTATATATCGAAATTGTAGATTTTCAACTCTTTCTAAATTTAAAATTCGCAGTTCACAATTATATTTCATATCGATTAATTTATTCAACTTCTCGTTCAATAGTAAAAACGTCATCTTGTAATCTCAATTAATTTAATGAATGCAAGAGTTCATGCGTATGCAAAACTAAATTTACAGTGGACCCAGTAAAAATTATCCCGAGAGCGGTGATGCAAAAGTTATTCAATCTAATTTTATTTATTAACTGTGATTGTGCTGACTCACTAAGATTTCCCATTTTTTGGGGCCTTGTTTATTTAAAACTTGTAATTTGGCTGTCAAAGACATTATTTTTACTGCACAACCGCCGTTATTATCGGCACCTTGAATATTTTTATTAAATTTTTGATTTTCAAACTTGAATAACGCCGTTATTTCTCAACCGATTTAGGTCATTTTGGGCTTAAAATGTCCGAAATGACTTTGACTAAAATATTTTCAATAAGCGAGCATGCTGGGATACACCACTTATGAGTCATAAAAATAAATATGTTTTCAGAGGAAAATTTTTGCACATTTTGGCACATAACTTGGGTAAAAATCAAAAATTCGCCAAGTCGACTAGCACATCTTTTCTAAATTACCTGACAATGATCTGTGCAAAATTTCATCAAAATCGGTTGAGAAATGGCTGAGAAATCGACTTATGTCACTTTTTTTGGGTGGGGTAAATGCATACTTAGCAATTTTTTTTCGTTGTCAGGTATTTGCCTCACTAAGAAAAATGGATCGATCAATTTACATAAGAATGATTATTACCGGTATCTAATCGTTCCCGTTGACATCACTGAAACTTTATTGCTTAATTCTAGCCCTCTCGAAATAGCCCCATTATTAAAGTTGTTTTGCAGAGTTTATACTTTTGGCTTCATAATTATCGGGCAGTAGTTGATAGTAATTATAGAGAAATGCGTAACGTAAAAATGGGTTTGGAATCAAGGGAAGTAAAAAATCGGTACATATGTACATGGCGCATGCATGTGCACATATATTACATTCATTTACAATTTATACAGATTATTTTAATCATATTCTAATGGAAATTTAACTACTTATTCAAATTAGACAACTTATATTATGCAATCATTTTCTTACTCATGCAATTATGAACTCACTTAACAAAATCGTTAAAGTAGAACTCACTTTAAAATATTAGTATTTTTAGTAAATATTAATTATTTTATTTTATTTATATTACTTAAATTATTATTATGTAACTCTATGGGCCTCGGCCTGGAAGGGTTTAGGATCCAAATAAAAATACAAAATACAAAATACAAAATACAAATGTGCACATATATGTACTTATCTAAATATGTGCATACGTATCTGCACTATGTATATAGGCAAGTTCATTTGTTGGTAAATTTAAGCCGCAACTTGAATATCATCTCAATTACTCTGGTATATTGTAACTTGTAACAAACCAATGGAGGAACTTTTTGACCCATAAAATCAACCAAATCATTGCAGAGACATTATCTACGACTAGGGAGCTGCAAATCCGACGAACGTTTAGCATTCAAACCTATAAGTTCAAGACATGAGTCTGGATGCACTACAGTTTGGGATTTTTTTTTACACTAAATGCATTTATCCTGTGGTCAAAGAACATCTAAAAGCTGAATAATTCTGAATTTAAGTATGTATGTACCTGTTTTAACCACTGTGAATATCCGTAAAACGAAAAGCTTTTCGGATATTACTTACTATGCTCTGATATATACGAATGGTGATAGTTTTAATTAATTTATGTATACATACTCAATTTGTATCATGTTGATGAAATGCTCCATAAATTTTCACATATGCACTCTGGAAGTATTTATTTATTCAAGGTTATCATTTATAATTATTTATTTTTCACATTTGCTACTAGATACCAGAAATGATTATCTAGACTAGTTTAATCTGGAAGGTTTGATAATTGAGGTGCTAACTAAATAAACCGAAGCAAAGAAATGTAGCAATAGGGTCAACCAATAATTAACCAATAATTTTCCGAAAAAAATTTGTATACATATTTACATAAATCTACTCCAAACTTTGAACTTCCCATTGTGTTTGATTGCAACATAATTTATTAACTGTCCATAAATACGTGCATATAGTTATGTACGTGTGCTATATGTTGTACCCATTCTGACAGGTATTAACTATGTACATGCACATTTGTTGCACGTATGTATATCACAAGATCAGGGTCAAGTTCGAAATGGTAAACATACCTGACCATTCCTAACCGTGGTGCAGATGTATGTAGGAAGAAGTTCAATGTTAAAGAATTCCTATGAGAACCGGTGATGAACAAGTATTGATCAAGATAAAACATGGCAGGCAAGTTCATCGTATCAAAATAAAGTGATCATGTATATTCCTCAAGTGAAGATCCCACATCCTGTGTACTTTTATTAACCTTTAACATGATTTCCGTAACAATGTGTGTGTTGAAAATTTGATGAATTTCTTTCAGGTACTGCTCAACTTTCCTGAGATAGTAATATCTGCAAATTAACCTAGGTTTAGATCTCTCCAGGGCTATAAGTGGATGTATGTATGTTGGTTTTATTGCTTCAAAAGCAATAAAAAGGTATGAAAATCATGAGAAAGTTGCTCAACTACATAGTCATGTATCATAATGCTAATTAGTCTTGCAATAAGTATTAAACTGGATATAGCTTGACGGAACAATTTAAATAGGAAACATAATTTAAGGATGGATTTATCTTTTGAAGAGGGGCCCCCTTTAAAATTGGTTGCAGCGACGAAATCTTTCTCGGACGGTACCCCTGTATTAAACGGAGTTAATCTCAGCGTGGATAAGGGAACAATGTGAGCGAAGTTAAATTTATGTACTGATGGAAAACGTGCATATTTAGTATTACCATAAATGCAAAAATGAATTTTATGCAACAACAGATATGCCTTACTTGGTCAGAGTGGATGTGGGTAAGAGTAAAATTGTAAAAACTTCTCTGTCATGTTGATCCTGAATTCCATATAACAAATATGTTTAAATTTAGGAAAACGACTCTTCTGTCCTGCATAGGTAATTTTTTAAAACTTATTATTTTACGTGGTTGATTTAAGTTCAAAATTTAATTTCGTAGTTGGACTCCAACGCTTGAACTCTGGGAGAATTGAAATATTTGGTAGAGACATTTCTGATTATAGAAATGGCGTTGCGGGCAGTGTGATAGGATACATGCCACAGGTTAATAAATACATATGTCACGCCGTAGCATTTTTATTTTGAACGTTCAACGTTAGATTTACAAATGTTCATATCCAAGAAATCTCACTTTACGAGTCATTCACGCTGAAGGAAACATTCTTCTACTATGGAATGTTACACTCGATGTCAAAAATCTGTATAAATGATCAGTTGGAAAAGCTGCAAGCTTTACTAGACCTGCCACATGTGGACAAATATGTTGATGAAATCAGGTAATAGTTAACCATTTATTTGTTGCCATTTAACAATATTACTTGTGCTTGATTTTGATTCAGTGGTGGAGAACGTCGCCGAGTTTCGCTGGGAGTCGCGTTATTACATAATCCCGAACTTTTAATCCTTGGTAGTAAAATCATTTAAACAATCAATAGCCTATATCAATTCAAAGATAACAAAATTATACATCTGCAGATGAACCAAGCGTAGGGATAGATCCGCTTTTACGTCAAAAGTAATCACAACTACATTTAAATTTGGATAATTTTGTCTGTAATGTTATTCGAAGGAGAAGTTTTGGTCTGACTAACTTTATGTATTAACATACTTTTACCATGCAGGATATGGGGATACCTCACAAGCTTGGTTAAAATTCAAGAAACCTCGATACTAATCACGACACATTACGTGGAAGAAACAAAGCAATGCGATAAAGTATTACAAAATCGGAACATTATTAAGAACTGAAGGAAAAATTAATTTAATTACATAATTTCAGATCGGTTATTTACGAGATGGAAAAATTTCAATAGAAGATTCTCCATCCGGATTATTAAAAACATATAATGTTACATTACTGGATGATGCCATTCTTGCAGCGTGCAAAGCCAAACAGGAACCTCCAAATTGTGATGGATTATTTATCTCCAAACCGAAAGTAACATGCAGCCCGCAAAACAACGTCGAACTTGCAGCATTCCGTAAACATTCTGACAAATATTCTAAGGAGTCAAGTATCCATGAGAAAACTGTACTCGGCAAGATGGTGGCTAATTATTTACCCGGAGTGAATCAGATTAATCGGGTTTCGCTTACGAGGGAATTTAGCAGCCTGAAAGCACTTGTCAAGCGCAATTGGATAATGAATATACGATTTAAGATGTATGATATTTATCTCCCTACATAATTGGATACATATTTAGAGATTAACGATAATAATGAAAAAAATGACAGGATGTGTGCAAGCCAAATAATAAGCATAATGGTGAGCTGCTTTCTAGCCTTTCACGGCATTGGGCTTGATCCCATCGGTCTGCAAATTGGTGTCGTGAATTATGACAAACCATGTGGAAATGATGTCGCATCCTTTATTGAAGAAATTGGAAATTATAGTACCAACTATAGACCTGGAAACACTGATGACACGGTGAATAATTTTGCCTGTCAGTTTTTACACATTTTAGTCGGCGACGGTACAATTGTGAACTTGGTATGCATGTTTACTCATATTATTCAAAATCAGGATAAATTATGCATATTTATTAATTTTGTGTGACCGACAGGTGCACAAGGATTCAAAGCTTGAAGCTTCAAAATCTTTGAAAATGGGTCACATTCTTGGCTACATTATGATTCCAAGGAATTACTCGGATCATTTGAGAGATCGAATCGTGTTTAATATTCATGCCAATAATGAGACCCTCGATGGATCAACAGTGTCTGTACAACTAGATAACTCAAGTGTGTTATAGGATTTGGCATATGAAAATTTTTTTTTGTATACTTTGTTTTTGATTTTGTTTGAAATTTTAGATTATCTCGTCTCTTACTACGCTAGACAATACATTGTATCAAGCATGTCACAATTATTTGAAAACCTTGCCGTCCGGTTTGGCGTGGATAAACGTGTGGTCAATCTTCCTTTAAAGGTATGACATTTGCCAACAGTACATGTCTACTCATAAGTTCCCGTGAAAGCATTTTTGGTGATCAGTCACAAAGTATTAGAGCTATTGGTTAGAAATTTTTATGGATGAACAAGGTATTAATATTGTTTAGAAATCATAACTCGGTTTTCACAATTTACCCCAGGGGCTTGTACACAAGACATAATTCGTGGCGAAACTGCTCGATCGCGGCACGTACGGATTTCGGGAGAAAAGCGCCCAGATCTTCAGTAAATGTGACCTCAGGCCTTCCACACATGGATGAGATTTAGAGCATACTTGCATTTATACTTTTGACCGTCAGTCACAATTAAAAGGCTTAAGGTCTGCAGATGCTGAGCACCGTTCTACTGATGAAAAAAGACAAAAAAATTAGTTTGAAGCCAGTTTTGGACAATTTTGCACCTTGCACAGGGGCAGAGTCTTGTCGAAAGGTCCAATGTTTATTTTCGTAGGGTTCCTGGTTCTGGTTATTAAATTTGGGGTCTGAAACACCCTGAAAATAATTCTTGGCTCGAACTGTTACTCTTTGCGGTAAGAAACATAGATTTGCGTTCTTCAGCAAACTTGCTCACATTCACACCATCGTGATGACTTCTTATCTTCCGCATACTTAACTGAATGTCAGACTTCTGTAGAGTAAATATCTGGCCATTTTTTAATTTTAAATTTTTTTTCAATGGGGAAAAGTGTGGAACACTTTTTTCATGAAAACGGCGCGTGCCGTGATCGAGCTGCCCATCACGAGTTATGTCTTGCGTGCAAGCCCGTGGACGAAATCTTGAAAAAGAAGCTATGATTTCTAAACAATATTAGTGCCTTGTTCATCCATAAAAATTTCTAACAAATAGCTCTAATACTTTGTGTCTGATCACCAAAAATGCTTTCACGGGAACTTATGAGTAGACTGTGTATAATACCGTTGGCAAATCTGTCAATAATTTGATACTCTAATTAATTCTAATTTCTAGTTCAACCCAATCCATGGTGCTTTAACAGATACTTGGAATCATTATATAGCGCCGGTGTATCTCTTAATGTAAGTAAATATTTGCATACTTAAATATATTTTTTTTAATTTTGAAGGATCTCGACACCTAACTATTTTAGGGTGTGGGGAATCAATTCCACAATTTCCGCAATATTCCACAGTGTCGATAAGACTCAAAGCAGTCTTTCCCGAACACTGGCGACGGGTGTGAAATATCAGACGATCTTATTCTCCTATTACATCACTGACCTTGCCATAATGTTACCGCAAGCTGTGGTAATTTTCACGCATCTCTGGTGGTATCGAGGCGATGTCATTGTTGGGAGCTGGATTTCGATTTTCGTAATTTCCTACGTCCTCCGTGTAAACATCACGGCTTTGACCACCTTACTTGCAGAATGTTCTAGATCTATCATTAACGGAATTTTCGTCAGCGTAGCGATATTGCTGCTTGGCATATACGCGTCAGGTACTTAAATGTTGTCAATGTAGTTTTGGAGCACTGTTTCTAATGTTTTTTGCTATCTATTTTTCTCTTTCAGACACGCTTTGGCCTGTAGAAAGTGTGGCGTGGTGGTACAAGCCGTTATGCTATTGTCTGCCCCTGACAAATCCGAACGGAGCGTTGCGCAGCATTATGACGAGAGGCTGGGGGGTGACAAATCCAAAAGTGTTTTACTATGGGATTTTTATCCCTCTGCTGGTATCTGTAATTGCGTTTTTTATCACTGTTCGAGTTGCAATGGGAAGGAAATTGTATTGAGTGTTGAAATCTGTAAATACACTGAATTTTAGGTATATGTTCATACATGTATGCGTGATTGGGATGCTTCCACTTACAACTAGATTGCAGTAATTTTAAGTCATGTCAAAATTTGAAATACAAATTTTTGCGTAATGTAAAATTACATTGCGCAAAAATCTGTGAATATAATTTTATATTACCTCTGAACGCTTTATGAAAATTTAGCTGAATATAGGAATAAAAGTAACTGCAAATATTTAGAACTAAAATTCGTCTGAAAATCTAGTACTCCTTAAAATTCTTTACATAATGTATTACTCTCGCCTTATGTTTTTTGAAGTTTTTTTAACTCCTTGTCATTTCTTCAAAAATTTCACTATGGTAAACTTAATAAACCGTTGCAAACGAAAGGTAGCAAAGGGGTGAAGCGACATGGTCACACGGTTATCGCACGTCGAAACTATGCCGATTGATGAAATCCCTCCCCCCTCCACAAAAAAGCCTTAAACGGTCAAAACAATAAATTCGACATCTTCGACTGTTTATGTCATCACCGTGGCGCCATGACCTTATGACCTATAACGCCCATATTTGAACTTATCCCGTCCCAAAAAAAATTAAACACACGTTGGCAAAAACCGCATGTTTCAATTCGAAACCGGCGTACAGGGCATTGTACTTCATACGTAAATATTTAGATATGTTTGGTACAAGTTTCACAGGTACTGATTAAGGGACATAATATGGGGACAAGATACATACATATTCCAGAAGGTTGAATATTTCGTGACATGCTGTGGGAGGTGGGGGTAAAGACCACAACCTACACCAGAATGCACACTCTTCAGATTCATTCATTTTAACACAAATTAAACCAATTTTCCTCAATTTCTCGAAGATTTTAAGCATTCCCTGGATTTGAAAAGCATGTAAAGATTATTATCCACGCATGAATTTATTTCCACTCTTGCAGAATTCATAATTTAAATACCGGCTAAAATTTAAGGTAGCCAATAATACAAAATACAGATATTTTGAGAATATAGTATTTTCTAGATGGATATGAAAAAAATAAAACGCAGACTGAAAATTAAACCTGGCCTAGATAATTCCTTATCAAAGCAAAATGTAAATATTGCATTATGAAACTTGTAATTATTCTGTCTTCTATTTATTCACGATTTTCCTACTTCCCTTACAACTTTGGATTACATAAATATATGTAATCGTTGGATCTAATATAGAATTAGGTGAATATCTATTTGCAAATCCTTTTAGTGTGAAAAGTAATTAATTACTCAATTAAGTTGATCATATAATAAATGTAATTAAATTACATTTTAATAAATTATAATACGGTAGCTGATTTAACTGCAATTAAGTTGTTCTTAACTTAATTAATATCTATTGCGTATATGTAGTAGGTTGTAAATTTCCTATGTAAATAATAATTGCATGCACATAAACGGAAGTTTGCTTGTGAGGAAGTCCAGTGTGAACTGATTAATTTGCATAATAATCAAAACACATATTTATTAATAAGTTGTTTATAATTAAAAACGTAGTATTTAAACTGAAGTAGACTCGCTAGGCACTGGGTCTATTGGGATTCTTTGCACTAAATGTATGAAATATTCTGGTTTCAAAGATGGATGAAACGTCTGAATTTAAGTGCATACCTGTTTTGTGCACTATACATTAAAAGCTATTCGGATATTTACTATTTAATAGTTTTAGTACATATTCAATTTGTATCATGTTGATGAAATGTTCCATAAATTTCGACGCATGCAAGCACATGCACTCTGAAAGTACTTATTTATTCAAAGCTATTTATATTTTTTCTTTTTCACATTTGCTACCAGATACCAAAAATGATTATCCAAATAAATTTATAATATGGAAGCTTTGATAATTGAGGCGCTAAATAAAAATATGTTTTCCTCAACCACAAATAAGTATGTGAAGAAAAGTAATAAATGTTTATTGCGTGTTAATTTCAATTTTTCCGGACGTATCGTATTAACAAGAAACTACTTATTTCTTAATAAATCTATTCAAAAACTTTGAACTTCCCAACGCGTTTGGTTGCAACAACCTATTTAATAATTATGCACATATATATAGATATGTATAGATGTGTGTTTGTGCTAAATTATATACTTACATTATGGCAGGTATTAATTATGTACATGTACATTTGTTGCAGATATGTATACCCCAAGAGAACATAAGTAAGTACCTGATCATGGTCAAGTTTGGAATGGTAAACATACATACCTAATCGTGGTACAGATGAAGGAAGAAGTTTCCTTTAAACTGTAACAAAGACAATTGTCGTTTTATGAGAAATGGTTTAATTCAGGACTAATCGTAAGACAGAAGTCGTCCTCAAAAATCGTGGTCATGGTGCTCAAGGAAGACAATCGTAGTTTCTAGACGGTCATTGATTTTCACCATTTTCTCTCAGTGACCTAAAATTTGTTGCAATTTTGAGGGATTTCTCCTATGCCAACACAATGCTAAATTTGAAGATTTTCTTCCCGAAAATTTGGATATTTCCCTATACAACGAAATTCTAAATTTTTGATTTTCAGTTTTTCGAGTTTGAATAAAACTCCTGAATTTCTCCTCCCGTACCATGACCACAACATACTTATAGCTTCCCCGATTTCATGCACTTTCTTGTTATACATGTTAAAGGGTTAAAGTCATTCCTATGAGAACCGGTCATACTGATGAACAAATATTGATAAGATGAAACATGGTAAGTTCATTAGAGCAATATAAAACAATTATGTATGTATGTATGTGCAGTCCCCAAGTGAAGATCCACATCCTGTGTGCTTTAATATGACTCCAGTAACAATGGGTGTTTTGGGAATTTGATGAATTTCTTTCAGATGCAGCCATGGCTATAATGGAACTTGCTCAACTTTCTTGGGGTAACACGTAGCACTTATGTAAAAGTAATATCTACAAATTAACCCAGGTTTAGATCTCCAGGTCTTTAAATGGATGTATGTATGTTGGTTTTACTGCTTCAACACTGACATATCTACATAAATAAAAAGGTATGAAAATCGTGTGAAAGCCGCTTTACTATGAAGTTATGTATTACTTTCAGTCATGTATCATAATGCTAATTAGTCTTGCAATAAGTATTAAACTGGATATAGCTTGACGGAACAATTTAAATAGGAAACATAATTTAAGCATGGATTTATCTTTTGAAGAGGGGCCTCCTTTAAAATTGGTTGCAGTTACGAAATCTTTCTCGGACGGTGTTCCTGTATTAAACGGAGTTAATCTCAGCGTGGATAAGGGAACAATGTGAGAAAAATATACGTATCTACTTATGTACACACCGATGGAACATGTGAATTAGCTAAAAATTCTAAAATAAATTTGATTTGAAAACAGATATGCCCTACTTCGTCAGAGTGGATGTGGGTAAGAGTTAAATTTTAAAAAATATATAACTACGTACTCTGAATAAAATCGAATGCTGATCTTGAATTATTTATTACAAATATATTTAATTTTAGGAAAACGACTCTTCTATCCTGCATAGGTTATTTATTTAAAACTTTTGTTTATTATTTTGCGGGGTTGATTTAAGTTCAAAATTTAATTTCGTAGTTGGACTCCAGCAACTGAACTCTGGGAGGATTGAAATATTTGGTAGAGACATTTCTGATTATAGAAATGGCGTTGCGGGCAGTGTGATAGGATACATGCCACAGGTTAATAAATACATATGTCACGCCGTAGCATTTTTATTTTGAACGTTCAACGTTAGATTTGCAAATGTTCATATCCAAGAAATCTCACTTTACGAGTCATTCACGCTGAAGGAAACATTCTTCTACTATGGAATGTTACACTCGATGTCAAAAATCTGTATAAATGATCAGTTGGAAAAGCTGCAAGCTTTACTAGACCTGCCACATGTGGACAAATATGTTGATGAAATCAGGTAATAGTTAACCATTTATTTGTTGCCATTTAACAATATTACTTGTGCTGGATTTTGATTCAGTGGTGGAGAACGTCGCCGAGTTTCGCTGGGAGTCGCGTTATTACATAATCCCGAACTTTTAATCCTTGGTAGTAAAATCATTTAAACAATCAATAGCCTATATCAATTCAAAGATAAAAAATTATACATCTGCAGATGAACCAAGCGTAGGGATAGATCCGCTTTTACGTCAAAAGTAATCACAACTAAATTTATTGTCGACGAATTTTGTCTGCAATGTCATTCAAAGGAGAAGTTTTGGTCTGACTAATTTTATGCATTGGCACTTTCACCAGGATATGGGGATACCTCACAAGCTTGGTTAAAACTCAACAAACCACGATACTCATCACGACACATTACGTGGAGGAAACAAAGCAATGCGATAAAGTATTACAAAATCGTAAAGTTAAATATTAAGAAATGGACGGAAAATTAATTTCATGTAAAATATACATAATTTCAGATCGGTTATTTACGAGATGGAACAATTTCGATAGAAGGTTCTCCAACCGGATTATTAAAAACATATAATGTTACATTACTGGATGATGCCATTCTTGCAGCGTGCAAAGCCAAACAGGAACCTCCAACTTGTGCTGGGTTATTTATCTCCAAACCGAAAGTAACATGCAAGTCATACAACTCTAAAAATAACGTCCAACTCACATCATTCCGTAAATTCGAGAAATCTTCTAATGAGTCAAGTATCCATGAGAAAACTGTACTCGACAAGATGGCGGCTAATTATTTACCCCACGTGAATCAGATTAATCGGATTTCTCTGACGAGGGAATTTAGCAGCCTGAAAGCACTTGTCAAGCGCAATTGGATAATATACACACGATCTAAAACGTATGCATGACATTTTATGATTCCTAATTATTTGTAGATTAATGATAACAACGAAGAAATTACAGGATTTGTGTATTCCAAATAACAAGCATACTGGTTAGTTGCTTTCTAGCCTTTCACGGCATTGGGCTTGATCCCATCGGGCTGAAAATTGGTGTCGTGAATTATGACAAACCATGTCGGAATGATGTCGCATCCTTTATTGAAGAAATTGGAAATTATAGTACCAACTATAGACCTGGAAACACTGATGACACGGTGAATAATTTTGCCTGTCAGTTTTTGCACATTTTAGTCGGCGACGGTACAGTTGTGAACTTGGTACGCAAACATATGTACTCAAACATATTTATTTATTTCAGAATTACCAAAAATTATGCATATTTATTAATTTTGTGTGACCAACAGTTGCACAAGGATTCAAAGCTTGAAGCTTTAAAATCTTTGAAAATGGGTCGCATTCTTGGCTACATTATGATTCCGAGGAATTACTCGGATCACTTGAGAGACCGAATCGTATTTAATATTCATGCTGATAATGAGACCCTGGATGGATCAACAATGTCTGTGCAACTCGATAACTCGAGTGTGTTGTGGGATTTGGCATATGAAAATTTTTGTATACTTTCTTTTTGAATTTGTTTTGAAATTTTAGATTATCTCGTCTCTTACTACGCTAGAAAATATATTTTATCAAGTTTGGCACAGCTATTTGAGAACCTTGCCGTCCAGTTTGGTGTGGATAAACGTGTAGTCAATCTTCCTCTAAAAGTATGATAATAATGTTACTGGCAAATGTGTGGATGACTTTATAAATACATAATTCTAATTTCTAGTTCAATCCAATCCATGGGTCTCTAACTCTAGCAGATGCTTGGAATCACTATATAGCACCGGTGTATCTCTTAATGTAAGTAAATGCGTACTTACATAAATAGTTTTTTCCAAATTTTTAAGGATTTAAGATACCTAACTATTTTAGGGTATGGGGAATCAATTCCACAATTTCCGCAATATTCCACAGTGTCGATAAGACTCAAAGCAGTCTTTCCCGAACACTGGCGACGGGTGTGAAATATCAGACGATCTTATTCTCCTATTACATCACTGACCTTGCCATAATGTTACCGCAAGCTGTGGTAATTTTCACGCATCTCTGGTGGTATCGAGGCGATGTCATTGTTGGGAGCTGGATTTCGATTTTCGTCATTTTCTACGTCCTCCGTGTAAACATCACGGCTTTGACCACCTTACTTACAGAATGTTGTAGATCCATCATAAATGCAATTTTCGTCAGCGTAGCGATATTGCTGCTTGGCATATACGCTTCAGGTGATTAAGTGTCATCAACTAGGTTTTTAGAGTACTATTTCTAATTATTTTTCTCTTTCAGACACATTTTGGCCTGTAGAAAGTGTGGCGTGGTGGTACAAACCGTTCTGCTATTGTCTGCCCTCGACGAATCCGAACAGAGCGTTGCGCAGCATTATGACGAGAGGCTGGGGGGTGACAAATCCAAAAGTGTTTTACTTTGGGATTTTAATCCCTATGCTGGTATCTGTAATTGCGTTTTTTATCACTGTTCGAGTTGCGATGAGAAGGAAATTGTAATTTTGCGTGAAGAAGTCTGTAAATACACTATACATAGGTATACAGTATTGTGTATTGTATGTACTATTTCTTGCCTTGGATATGTTTCTTGAAGTTGGTCAACCCAATAAAATTCGGTCCACAAGTTAATTTAGATTTATTTCATTAACCGTTTCATTCATTAATATGTCTGTGATGTCCTTATAAATATAAATATCGGCATCATTTCCAACCGCATAATCCATATGGCCCCACGAGGGATCTGGAATTCGGACGATTTTCTTCAAGTTTTTACCCATTACGTTTGCCGTCCTCAAAACATCCTGTAAATAAATCAGCTACAATGTAGCTCAGCATCAGCTTATTACTCTGCCTTTACACTTTTTACATACCTTTGGAACAGATAAGTTATCATTGTCTCCATAATAAATGAAGGTGGGTACGTTATACCGCGACCAGTCATAACTTGGAGGATTTATATTTCCATATCGCCTCACATTTCCCCAAATTCCGTAATCATATTGTCGAAATTTTCCACTTAGCATGTTTTGTGCCACGTGGGATGCAGATCGGACAGAGCTCGTGTCCGGTAAATGTGACAATATTCCTGGTAGCTCGGCCTAAATATTGGGTACAATATTTTATTTTCAAGCAAAGATGTACATGCGCTCAATATTTCAATCCTTACAAAATCTACTCGACAAGGGTCCACCCCCATCAATGCGGAATACACGGAGTAGCAAAATCCGCAATTTATGACAGGGATAGAGCATTGTTTTGTAAATGTTCCATCCGGTATTATGTATCCGGTCGGATTTAAATATCCACCCGTTAAACGTGACACCATTTGCTGGAAAGATACATTGATGCCTCAATAATGTGTAGTTTCACAAAAATCTATGTACTAATCTATGTAAAAATCAATATATGTAAGGGGTGTGCACAGTGGAATTGTTTGTGCGGGTCACCTCATTTGCATAAATCCTACTACATATGCCTATTTTCGAGGATACATGCTTTCTAGATAGGTTGAATGAACTCTGTCTTTCGTGAATGTGTCAAAATATGCAAATGAAGTGGCACGCACAAATAATTCCACTGTACGAATGTATGTAAATATTTACATATTTTCACCTACCATTCCTTTCATTGGCGCCAACACCGGGACCAAAGTTCGGAAAAGGATATTCGTTATACTCGGTTGAAACCCACTTGTGGCTAAGGAGAAAATGCCCCTAATTTTGACCGAAAGTTCGGGACGTGACATAAGTCCGGAGAAGAACTGCGTATTCCCCATCGAGTATCCGACATAATAAAAGCTGGGCTGTGATGTCGTTTCTTCTATGAGATTGAATACTGCAGGGAGGTCGTAGTAACCCATTTCATGAAAACTTGAAAATTTCAAAATACGTTTCAATATTTTTGGAGAGGATTCAATTTAGTCAGCTAACCTAAAATCCCAATATCTCAGATCTCTTTTAGAATTACTGGGAAGGGAGACATGCTCCAGAGAGTACCGTGTCCCCCGAGCATTTCCAAGCCATACGTCAAAACCAGCATCCACCAACATGTACACTATAAGTAATTTTATATTATTATCAATGTGATAATATTTTTCGCTACATTTTTCGCTTATTGCTAAAATCACAATTTTTTGGTCTCTTAATTGTGCATGTCAGATGAGATTGTAAGTGTTGCATTATTTCAAAATCGGTAGTTATCAACATCCGGTAAAAGGTTCTTACCACATTCCTTATTCACATGGTACACACAATATCGGTAACGTGCAACCTAAATATGTCACGAATTAAGTATTCGCACAATTCCTCCGCTGAATTAACTTACGCAAATTTTTCTCAGGTTTCATCCAAACCCATAAAACTGAAGAAGTCGTAAATCCATGCATCAGAAGGACTGGAATCTTCCCAGCACGTGGTGGAGATCGGTTAGAATGCGAGACCCGAAACAAGGTAAGAATGTAGCCATCTTCAGTAACGACCTTGTATGACTGGACAGGATACCCTTGACGTTCGATAAGGTCAGGCTGTCATACATATTAAAAACTTGTCATTTAAATTTAAAGTTAGTTAGATAAGCACTTAAATTGAATTATTTACCGTGGTAAGATTTGCATAAGTTGGATACTCCTCTTTAAAATTTTCCTCACTATTCCAAATATTTGCACATTCTTTCGCATCTTTTATTTTGCATGAAGTATGGCTGAGTTTATCAGTGTTATTATTTATACCTAGTACGATTCCTGATATAAGGTACATTGCAGCGTTAAGTAAATTCACCATGCTTAAATATTGATTACTTAAATACAGTAAAAACACATTCCAAACTTTTATTATTTCGAGAAACCTAGATCACGGTCCACGGCAAGGTGTAAACGCCGAGTCAACTTTGTATTAGAGAAATAGCATTGTAAAAAGTTATGCAGTTTGAGGTACATATGTAATAAACTCGTTTCCTAATATAATCATTCCACGTGTATCCAGTGAATCTATGTAATTTTTTAAATGCATGTCTGTGATATTCATGAGAAATAAATACACTTTTTTCAGAGCTGTACTAGTTACGCAACAAAACTCCGCCAGTTTTTATGAATATGCACATAATGTGGTTTGATAACATGTATAATTATGAAGCGATTCTCTTCAGAATGCTATTTGCTGGATGAATGGAAAATTGTGTGAGAAACAATCCGAACTGGATTATAGGTAGGTATATAATATTTAGGTATCCCTTAGTTTTCTGAATAACCACTCCCACCAATCCTAAGGACCAAATGTGAGCTTATTGGAGCTTGGTTGGTTCTGTTACCACATTGAAAATGAGGCTTAACGAGAAATTTTACAAGTAATATATATGTGAGCAACAATACATATATATGCACGAGTTCGTATATCTGCATACACATATGCGTACAAATGTACATACATAAATACTTACTATGATTACTATGATTAGCGGAATATCAATTTGTTGCAACCTACTTGCTTATAATTTATTCAATTTATTCAACATGTACCATTGCCCAACTATGTAATTGGATATGAGCCAACATCTCAGAAAGAATGAGTAACTTACTCAATTTGTATGTACATATCTATTTATTTACTACATAAATTCGCTAGCCAATGGCACCATCAATATGCTTTTGTACTTATGTACATAAGTTATGTAGGCCCCTTAGAATTAGTGGCGAAATAATAGTCCAGAAAATATGTGCACATTGTCTGTAGCTTGTAGTCCCTTGGAATCAGAAGTAATTTCCATATATGTACATGTGTACATACGTACATACACATGTATACATACGTCTAACATTAACGTACTCATCTTGTACATATATATGAATTTTTTAAATATTATTCTTAAATTTTTACAAGAAATTCGCTAAGATATTTGAACAGCGTATTTTACGATAGAAGGGATGACAAATTTTCACTTTGTGATACCTCATATGTAACAATCCGTGACTAATTAGTAACTGAATAATTAGTTACTTTAATTGCTAGTTAGGCGTGTAATGAAAATTAATTACTGACCAATAATGAGTAAATCTTTAGATCCAAATTATTTCATCGAAGCAAATAAATTAATAATTTTATTATTCAAGTATACAAATCATAAGAGATATTTATCTTGATAAAATAATCAATATCTTTCAGCAAAACTTCCATTAGGTCCCAGCATTCAGAAATACGGTTTTAGTTCAATACCCCCCGTCGCCACTCTTCCCTTAGAATCTTCAACCTCGTCCTGCCCAGGAACTACTGCTCCTTTGACAATCGCCGACCTCGTCAAATTTCTAAGATAGAGAGGCTCAACGACCTTGACCTCATTAATTGCAGACCCCCTTCCATTTGGACTGGTCCACGGGGAGCAGTAAATCCTTGAAGATTTTATGAACCGTGCTGAAATTCAGAAACAGAATTTTAATACAATATAAGTTAATATTTTGAATTTTTAGAAATTAATGAACGTATTTAACCAGCTCACATCGGTTTTCTACTTCCATCCTAACCCCTGTAAGAGCATATCCACTCGCACAATAGGCATTGCTTCCCGAAGTATAGCCAGGGTGGCAGTCCGGCTCCATGGCGTAATCTACCTCCCACGACTGCATTCTGCTAAATCGAATCCCCCTTGTGCCGTTTAAACACTCCCTTGAGTGTGTCATTGACAAATATGGGTGAAGATTCAGTATCGATACTGCCGACGGGGAAAAATATGGCATACAGTGTAGTTTCAGCCCTCCTCTCAGATTGTTACTTCCATCCCACTGAATCTTCTTGACGAACGTGTTACTCGGGCACCTCAGTTCGACCGTGTTTTTGCCACATTTCTTCATACTTGATATTCTGTCGTTCATGCCACTCTGTGGTGTAAATCCTTGAAAATCCCGATCCATCGTCCAAAACCATTTTCCAGAGGGCGGACTGTGTTCATAGGCTTCGACACAGGAGCCGATATCGATTTTGAAGGACAACACGCGGTCGTTTAGTTTGGGTCCTAGATAGTAGTACGAAGCCGAATCCAGGTCGTAGAAGTAGGTGGAACTTCCTGAAAGTGGAAATTGAAGAGTGATTTTTGCAGACTTACAATGGGAGCGCAAACCATGTTCAGCGGGGTTTAATTTTTGACCAGATTAGTTTGCAAAAGGACATTGTTAGTTCAAATTTTTTGACAGATTGGTACGCATACCTTTGTATCCCTGATGTTCCCACATTGTTATCTTAGTCCAGCAATGGACTGCTGAAACAGTGGAAACATTCGACGGCAGAGCAACACGAGAGCAACAATTTCTCTTCTCTCTGCTCTCTATATTATTTTTTGTTTTTAAAAATTTGAAGTTTTTTCGACACCCCCAACTCCGTAATCAGTGTCATCACCTCCCTAGTGACCCCAACAAGATAGTGGTAGATGAATTTTTTTTACCACGACCGTGTCTGACCGTTCTGTGCAACTTTTAAATTTTATAACAACCGGCCTCCCCGTTCCTGCTGAAGTGGACTGTTCCAGAAGCAAAATTCTGCTCACTCCATTCCACTCGTACTTCTTCTGAGGGGATTCCAGCTTATATACGGAGCGTCCTCTACGCCCCAAGTGCTCGGTCGGAGTTTGAGACCGTGCGGTTGTCTGCGGGCTGGCCGCTCTGTTGCACGTAAAGTGCCTTCTTAAGGCGAGATCCGATCCTTTATTTTAGATATCTGTTCATTTATGGTTCACCTTTTCTCTGATTATTGTACGGTTTTTTTGTCGGGCCCTGTCACAATATGACAAAACTGATGACCATCGATGAAGCTGTAATACTCGCGCATCCCTCAACCAACGCAATAGTCCTGATAGGCGGGATGGCTGATGAGGAAAACAGCGAAATCTACAACCTACTTGATTTCGTATATTGGGACGACGACCAAGCTTTGGGACCAGACTGTCACCTCTGCGGACAGGAAATCATCGACGTCTCATCTCCGATTATACACAAAGGAACAAACTACACTGTACTTTTTCAAGATGACCTTGCTGAATCTTGTGCGAATAGTGGAGTATTGCAATGTGTATACTGTTTAAATTTCTTTCACAGAAATAATTGCAGTTTTAAACTTTCTGACAAATCTTTTTGCAACATCTTTGTATCAAAAACCTGGTCATGTCCGAACTGTGTTCCTGATTTCAAGAGCAAATTGACAGTTGTAACTCATAGCAATGATAATAATTTTGTTAATTATGGAAAATTAATGCGCAAATTAGTGAAAATTCTGAATCCTTTATGCAGTCAATATAGGGAAATAGTTTACACAATTAATTGTTTTAGCCATAATTATGATTTATGTATCAGTAACTTTAAGCAATATGGAGTTGGATAAGAACACGAGTAGATCCTATCTGTATGTATACAATGTGGACCTTTTAACTTGGAATTGTATTTTGTTTACAAAAGGCGTTAGGTGATGGTTTTGACGAATTCGCGGGTGAATATCTCTGGCAGGGAGTAGAATTTTGAAGTGATTTTTGGTAGACTGCAAGATAATACTCTCAAAAAGGTATTTCCAAAATTTTAAGGTGATAGCTTCAAAAATGACACCTCCAGTGTCCTCAGAGTTGGAGGGTGCCGTAAAAACACTTTCCAAACTTAAGTACTCGTATAGCATAATAACCTAAGAGGTCAGAGGTGAATTATTCTTAATATTATAACCCTAGATAATCATTGCATGTAATAATAAAAGAATCCACAATGAATTACGTAACGTTGGCCTTCCATTGTCAATGACATTTTTCCATGAAAAGTGATAAATCGGACCGTGCACGGGAAAATTGACCTGCTGACCTTGAATGCAGACCCACTGGGTCAAATGAAGATTGAGGGTAAAGCTGGAAGTGTCCTGAGTAATATTAAACAAAATAGTTAAGATTTTGAGTAAGCAGTCTTGGAGAAGGACCCAAGCTAATCAGCTGACGGGGAATCATAAAAAACTCGTAAACTTATTTGGAAAATTAATGGTCAAATTTTGTTGAAAATAAATTTTAATAACGTTTTTGTGTCCCCTGCTACAGAACTATTTTACCTACAAGGTACAAGTGACAAAATAATAAAATTACCAAGTTTTGGTTAGTTAAATTATTTTTGAAGTTCAACCTTGATGACGACGGAAACTTTTCCAAAAATTTTATTGGGTTTGATGAAAACTCATTTCGTGGGGTGTAACCACTTATCAAAATTTAATCAAAAATATTTACAGTGCAATATACTATATGTACCTTGGATAAAAACAACGTTAGGGATTTTTAGAATCAAAGTCCTAAAATGTGGGGGCCTTAAAAGTCGAGGAGTTGCGTTAACGAGAGCATTCCATTAGGACAAGTATGAAGCTAGACTACAAAAGTGACTTAAAAGATAAGCATGAGACAAAAATGGTTTTATATAGTGAAAAGTATGCTAAGTCTCTTGATAATACTCGCAAAGACGATTTTTGCATCAGGACCTAAGAAAAAAATCTTTTGTTCAACGCCATTTTATAAGAACACTGGTTTGGAAAACTAAAAAAGGACACCTCTCTATATTTGACCTTCCCTCATTTCGCAGAGTACACAAAACCGGAAGCCAGACATGCTTACCTATAGTTTGAGACACGGGCTTTCACATAAAAAATGTTAGAAATCTCTACAACTAAAAACCATCCCGTAATTAAAATATGAATTCGTCAAAACCATGTCCTAACGCCTTTTGTAATCGACCAAAATTTAAGTTTGAGTTGGATTTTTCGACGATTTGTTGCCGTCGGACGTTTCAATTATTTCTTAACGGAAGAAAATAACAAGTTGATTGCTCCGACTTGGGATGAGATCACTGCATTTGACAGCTTTCTCGGATTCCTGACCTCGCTTGGAATTTGCTTCCGAGATAGAATGGCCTTGTATTCAGATGGAATCATTCTTTTGATGGCATTCGTTCTAAATATGGCTGGGAGGGAATTTAAAAAACTAATTACAGGGGCTGGGAAGGTATAAAAAAGCGGCTAAATTCAAATCTGTACATAAATAAATACCTAATAAATTTCCTTAATATCTTGCAGAGTTATGCAGATTGTGACGCAATTCTCAACAATTTCGCGGCCATTAAAGCATTCGCATCCTTAATTAACTCTGCAATGAGCACAATTACGCTCATCTATATTGGCGAATACCTCTTTTACTACTCGGCTCATTTCAATGAAATTTTCCAATTTGGCAATATACACGAAAATTCCCGCAAATTGATTTTCCTCCTAAATATTTTTTTCACTCTTTATTTTTCTGGCGACTTCTGTAAACGCGTAGAAGATGCAATGCTGTCTTGGATTTCATCTGTGACGGAGAGTGGAATGTCAGACGCTTTGTTTTCCAGGGGACGTGTCGCCATTTTGATTAGTGAAGCGAAGTCCCATATTTTTGGATTTTCTGGGAGTATCTTTGTTCTGGACTATGCAGCGATGCTTAATGTAAGAAGTTAGTAATCACGTGTGACTTTTTACAAGCTTAATTAACTGGTGTATAAATAGTTCCTAGCTACAATGATAACGTACTGGATAGTTTGTTCTACTTCGGGAGGACAATGATGCCGACCACATGACCATCATTCGCATATCGCTTGTGGACTATTTTTGGCCGTATGAAATAAGACGGGTTGCAGTAATCTAGTAAAAATGTTTCTAATTGTTCAGAAAAGTGTGTGTAACATCATTAAAATAAACAAACCCAATTTAATTTCAATCTCTTCATTCATATTTGTTTGATATTAAGTGGGTTGAATTTTTCATATAATTTCATAATGGAACTAATTTTGGAACTGTTCAATTTATTTATTAACAATTATCAGAATGATTGGATGTCGACAGATATAACTTAGGTAAATGGAATTGTTAAAGAAATACCACCAATTCTCCGGGAATTGATGGTACAAATATTTGCAAGTTAAGAAAATTAGTTCCATTTGTAATAAAGGAACTCGTCCGGTATTTTTGTACGGGTTGTAAATTTAATAAACGAAAAGCAATTATATGAAGTACCTATTTAGACATGTGCTGGGAGTGTGTATATCACTTAACCATTTATATACGTCAGGATTAAGTAAACGAATCATACATAAGTGGTCTAAAAGCAAACCAACTCGTTCTCAACAAATTAATTGGATTAGTTCTCAATTTACCATCTTATTCATTTTACATGTTGATGATATTAAATTAGGAAAAATTCGTATTTTATACGACGTTCCGCCTTCTTAGAAAAATTATACCTACACAAATATTAACACCAGGCGGTGACAAACTGTGACTTCAGATCGCTAATACGAATTTTTGCACGTCGATAAGCAAATAAGCCCGCCAATTGAGGGATTTTTATTTGCAAACCTACAGCGACAAATGAAGTTATTAATGCTCCATAGCTTGGTAATCCGTGTTAATCACTGAAGATTATACTCGTAATTCGTCCTCAAATAAAATGAAGAAACAGTTCATAATTCCGAAAACGTTTCTGGTTGAGGCAGAAACCCCGATGACCTTAATTCAAGAAGGCATCGAAGTCTTATTCACGATATTTTTCAAGTTTGGTTATTACCTCCTGATAAGCCCGTTCAAAATTGTCAAAATTCCGAGCGATAAATCTCTTCCGACTTATAAATTACACACTGCAAAAGTTCAACAGGTAAAAACACCACTTTCAGACCTTGTTCCTATATACAAATCGAACTAACGTATTAAAATCTAATCGACTTTTTTTTAAATTCCAGTTCTTTTGTGCAATATCGCACGCTCTTCTCATCTTCCAATATTTCTCGGAGGCCCGGAAATTTATTCTCTCCAATAGTTGGAGCACTGTTCTACCTGCCAAATATTTCGACGCGTGTGGCACCTTGGCAAAATTTTTCTACAAGATCATCATTGTCCGAGTATTTTGGAAAGATAGCCATAAATTCGTACAACTTGCAAATTTTATATTGCAAAACTCCGACTTGTTCATCTTCAAAAATCAAAATATTGTATGGAAATATCTCTACATTGCATAGTTTTATCAGTATTTTCAAATTACTTTTTGTATTTATTTATTTGTTATATTTATCCTAGAGAAAGTTGAAGATATTCATTTACACGTTTTGCATATTCATCACCATCAACGCCACCTTTGATATGATTGCTCAGGTGAGCGTTGTCAACCAAGGAATATGCTTAGATTGGATTATTCGCCGATTTGTGGCCGTCGGACGATTCAATTTTTTTGAAACGGAGGTAAACAATAAGCTGATTGCTCCGACTTGGGATGAAATCAATGCGTTTGATATGGTCCGCGGATTTCTGGCCTTCGCTGGAATTTGCTTTCGACAAAGGATGGCTTACTTTTCCGATGGAATAATTCTTGTCATGGCGATCGTTCTAAACGTCGCGGGGAAAAGGTTTAAGGAACTAGTGGACGAAATTAGTCAAAAAAATGTTAAGGTAAAAATTTATCATTTTTACCGCGAACAAATTGGCGGTTAAAGTAAAATCCAACACTGACATTTTTATGCATTATCCCAGAGTTACGCAGATCCTGAACTCGTCCTGCAAAATTTTTCAACCATTAAAGTCCTTTCATCTCAAATTAACTCTGCAATGAGCAAAATTGTGCTGATCTACATTGGGGAGTACCTTTTCTACTATTCTGCCCATTTCAACGACATTTTCGAGGTTGCCGATGTCATGGAAAGTTTTCGGAAATCAATGTTCCTCCTCAATGTGTGTGCCAGCCTTTATTTTTCTGGGGACTGCTGCAAACGCGTGGAAGACGCTATGCTGTCTTGGCTGTCATCTTTTACCGAGTCGGGAATGTCCAACAGTTTTCTTTCCAGTGGACGCGTCGCCATTTTGATCGATGAAGCGAAATCTCACATTGTTGGATTCACTGGCGGAATTTTTGTGCTAGATTATACAGCGATATTTAATGTAAGAAAATACAGTATTAAGTAAATTATTAAAATTTTAACGATACATTTTTATAGTTCTTGGCCACTATGATAACCTACTGGGTCGTGTGCTCTACTTCTGGAGAAAAACAGCAGATATAAAATTATTTCTAAAAATTGTTAAAAATTTGAAGAATTTTAGCAATTTGGATGAACGTATTTGGGACTAAATAAATCAATAATCAATCAATATTATTGGTGGGTAGTGAAAAAAGATGAACAAAGAGTTGTGTAATAATTTGCATTATTCAAGCATACTTTTCGAGATATGTAGGTGTAAATTGCATCGATTAAAATTTCTTGTATTGAATTGCTTCACTAGTTGAATTCATAATACATTTGAGAAAACACTTTGTCAAAGTAGCATCTATGTATATACGGAATTTGCACATGAATGAAACCAATTAGATGTAGTGTTCAGGTTATGTATGCAAATATACTGTACACTTATCTAGTTTATAATATACCACTTAAAATCGTATCTACGTCATGATTAAGTACACAAATGAATCAATCAAATTAACAACGACTTTTCTTGGCGTGCATATGTTCATATTTTACATGCACGTTCTGCACTGATGATTCAGAAATTGGGTGAAGTTCGGCATCACACATATCTAAAGCATTTTTAGTTAAGCCGTAGTTAATTTGTCTCCAGCAAAAATGAAGAAGCAGTTCATAATTTCGAAAATGTTTTTGGTTGAGGAAGAATCCCCGGTGAGCTTTGTGTCAGAGGGGATTGAGGTCTTGTTCATCGTATTTTTCAATTTTGGTTACTACCTTCTCATAACTCCTTTCAGAATCGTGAAAACTTTCAACGATAAGTCTCAACCAACTTATAAATTACACACGTCGAAACTGCAGCAGGTGGATAAAAAATAAATTGCGGATTTTATTTGCTAAAAAATGTCGGACTTTTTAAATCTGCCAAATTTTTGCAATTCCAGATCTTGTGCGTAATATCGCATACACTTCTCCTCTTCCAATATTTCTCAGAGTCTCGAACATTTTTTCTCGCCAATAAATGGACGACGGTTCGACCTGCGAAATATTTTGATGCGTGTGGCACGCTAGCAAAATTTTTCTACAAGGTCTTCATTGTCATCGTGGCTTGGAAGGATCGGGATAAATTTGTAAAACTGGCAAATTTTATTGCACAAAGCTCTCGCTTGTATATCTTCAAGAATCAAAATATAGTAACTTAAAAAAGCATATTTTCATATACCTAAAAAAACTTGTTTTGCACAATTTTGGATTTACAATTTTAGAAATTCTTGAAAGGATTCATCTACACGTTTTGCACATGCATCACTATCAACGCCACGACGGATGTGATTGCACAGGTGATCATAATCAACGAGGGGATAAGTATGGACTGGATTTTTCGAAGATTTGTAGCCGTCGGACGTTACAATTTTTTCTTAGCAGAGAAAAATGATAAGTCAATAGCCCCCACATGGAATGAAATCACAGAATTTGATATTTTTCTCGGATTCCTGACCTCGCTTGGAATTTGTTTCCGACAAAGAATGTCATACTTATCTGACGGGATAATTCTGGTCATGTCAATCGTTCTTAGTGTGGCAGGGAAAGCTTTTAAAAAACTTGTGGAAGAAAATCATCAAAAAAATAATATGGTACGTGCATTTTTTGAACTTTTTGAACTAGATGTGTGCTTCGGCTAGGGTTAGTAACCTGATAAAATCCGACCCGAACGTTAAATACCTATAACATGGATCCGATCCGATAGATCGGATAGATCGGATACTGTCGGATCGGATTGCTCGGACCGGATCCATGTTAAGTAAACAGTCGGATATTGTCAAATCGGATCCACCAACCCTAGCATATTTCACGTGACATAAATTACTACAGTACACAACAAACACAATACATACTACAGTAAAATATATACAGTACACTATAAATAATTTCTGTATTTATTCTAACTCTGAGATCCAAAATTTCAGTACGACGATCCTTCTGTCATCTTACGAAATTTCTCCGCCATCAAGACCCTCTCATTGCAAGTTAATTCAGTCATGAGCAAAATTGTGTTGATGTTCATTGGCGAATACCTCTTCTACTACTCTGCCCATTTTAATGACATTTTAGAAGTTTCCGATTTCATGATGAGCTTTCGCAAATTAATTTTCCTTCTAAATATTTGCGCCAGCCTTTACTTCTCTGGTGATTGCTGTAAAGGCGTAGAAGATTCGATGTTAAGTTGGATTTCATCCGTTACAGAGGCGGGAATGTCAAACATTTTATTTTCCAGGGGACGTGTCGCCATTTTGATTAGTGAAGCAAAATCTCATATCGTTGGAATTTCCGGGGGTATCTTTGTACTGGATTATTCAGCGATATTCAATGTAAGAGATGATGAAAACACTTATGTACGAAATCTAAATTGTCACATATCTATGTACTAAAAGATATACATATTGATAAATATTTAGTTCTTGGCCACCGTGATAACTTACTGGGTCGTTTGCTCTACATCGGGAGGATCCTGATGATGATGATTGTTTGGTAAATTTAGGCATGATTTAATTTATGTAATTTTAATCTTATATAATTTGACTTCAATTCCCCTCACGGCGAGTGAGCCTTTTCCAGTTGTTATGCACGTAAATTTCAAGTTATATAAATAAAATAAAATTCACACCTGTTATCACCTGAAAGTTTGTTGCATGTCAAAGCAAACATAAAACACGATACAAGTATTTGCGTATGTAGACATCAAATGAATTATATAAAGGCTTATCAGGCATTTTTTGATAGTGCAATACATGCAGATACCAGTATTCTAAATAATTTAGTGGTGTTGAAATATTTTAGCGAGTATGCGAATTTACAGCCATGTTAAATGCATACTTTCCGTATCAGGGTTTGATACTGACCACGCTAACATTAAGTGGCTGATATTTCCAAAGTGACATCATGTGATTGTTATCACTGGGCACCTGCGTCATAAAACGACTAAAGATTATTATCAATTTTCAGGTATGCAAATTCTGTTGGGCGGATCTCACTTCACCCAACATGTGGCGGTTGAAAGCACGAATTGAACTCGTTGCTTATCAAATAGACTTTAACCATGCAAAATTCTTTACTATCAAAAATTACTAAATTTTATTTTGATCAAAACTAATTATCAAATAAATAAATTAGATACAAATTTATTCAAAACTAACTCATTTTACCCCATTATTTTCATAATCTTCTAGAAATTCATTTCTCATCTCCTCCGCCGTCAGACACACCGCGATTCCTGATTCGGTTAAGTTTTCGTTCAAATTTCGCCCGCCCAACTGCCCTCCAACGTTCCAGGTTCCCCCGCGAAATTTAATTCCTGATAAAACCTCTACCAAACTAGTGGCTCCTTTTTCGCTAAATTTCTTACTTTCTCTCGATCCTAGAGGGTCGTATGTATGCAATTTCTTGTCTCTCGTATAAAGAACGAACATGACGTAATGGCAATTTGAATTTCCCGCGAATGGCACTAGAATCATTTCTGATTCGTCCGGAATACTTAAGACATGACTTAACGACACCTTCACACTACCGTCGGCACTCGTAATCTGGAGCATGCGCAGTGACGCGGGATAAACTTTCCACCCGCCACGATCCTCCTTCCAAATATCGCGCAATTTAGATAACATAGCTTCCATCAGGTTGGGTAATACAAGACCGACGCCGCATCTCAATTTTTCCGCACTTTCCTCGTTGATCTCTTCAGGATACCACTTTTGAAATAGTGTGTCGCATTTTTCTTCTTCAATTCCAGAATTTCTAATTAAAAGTCGAAACACTGATTTAATCACGACCTCGGAGAAACCTCGGAGTAACAGCGTTTCCACAAAGTCGTAAAGGCAATCAGGAGTTTTCAGCAGTTGGAGAATATAATAGGCTACCGTATAACGTTCGGTGTCATACGAAGCGAAAATTTTCGCCCAGTAGTCTTCATTTATGACATGATCGATATCCTCCAGTCTCAATTGAAACGCGAGAGATACGGTGAGATTCAAATTGTCGAACTGTTGGAGAACAAGAAATTGGTATTAGTGTACAACTTTAATGAGCTTTTCATAATCAACCATCAACCAAATTATTTCAGTGGTGTTTCTATTGATACAGTAAAATCCTAAGTAAAATCAGTATGTATTTTACATGTAGACAATAAATTCTCTAAAACGCCACTACAGTTTTCCATATGCACGTATGTACAGGATCCGCTACTAACACGTGAACGCGGTCACTCTGGAATTGCTCCAAAACGGGTTGGAGTTTCGGTTCCAAATTTTGAGCATAGCGACATATGATTATTGACAAGGGCTGAGCAAAAAATTAGCTCTCTAGATTCAAAAATGACCCTACCATTGACCTTAGAGTAAGAGGGTACCATAAAAACACTTTCCAAACTTAATTTTTCGTACACAGACATAATTAACCACTTCAAAATTCAAGGACAACAAGTTTCGAAAACAGGGATACATAAGGTACTGATAAATGAAGGTCAACAACAACAAGCTCGTACCAAAGGACAACCATCATGCCTCAAACCCGAGTCCGAAAAGTGCTAATTCGGCCCGTGCTTAAGAAAATTGACCTACTGACCTCTAAGGGCAACTCACCACCCCAGAGAGCAGTGGCACGTCTAACCAAAGTGTCATAGACTAGTGTGCGACGAGCAATTAAAATTTTGCAGAAGCAAAAAAGAAGAAAAATCCGAGTCCATCAGCTGACTGAGAAGCATAAACAAAATCGTCGTCTGACCTCCAAAAAATTTTATATAAATTACCTGACAAAAGATAAAAGTGACTTTTTAGTGTCGTTGGATGAAGAATTATTTTCTTTAAAGATACCAACGGTCATAGAAAAATTTACTATACAACCAAAGAAGAAAATAATTCCAGAAGATTGACCATCCCGCACACGGAAAACTTTTGCAACAAGTTCATGGTGGTTGGTGCATTATCTGGTCGTGGTGTCCTCCCACTTATCAAAGTTCCACAAAAAGTGAAGGTAACTACGAAGTACTTCATTGACGTTGTTTTAAAACCGCTTTTGGAGATTCATGTCCCAAAACCATATGGTAAGGACACAAAAAAAGTGATAGTTCATCACGGCGCAGCGTCATCACACACCGCCCTTTTGACCCAGGATTACGCCAAGGACCTGAAAGCTAGACTCAGGATAACAATCATCCAAAATAGTGAAATGCCTGTTAAGTCACTCTATGTAAGTCCAATGGATTTATTCGGCTTTGGATATCTGAAACAAAATCTTTTCTCCGCCACCGAAAAACTTTTGACGGAGTTTGGAAAGTTATGGGAGACGAGTGGTCTAAAGTTGACTTCGCCATGGTCAAATCAGTGTACAGAAGTTGAAATCGCCGATGCCGACTTGTAGCTCGAGAAAAGGGCTTTCACATAAAAAATGTTCGGGACCTAAACTCCAAGCCGTTCAACCAGTAATTGAAGGTCAAAAACGTTCACGTGTTAGTTGCGGAGCCTCCGTATGCATGTGGAGAAACAATGTTGAGACAGAAATGCTGTAGTTGAAAATGTGCAATTTTGCACAAGTTCTTTCTGCAAAAACTTTAAGACTTCCTTTCTGCAAAGCATTACTGTTTCAGGGTTGTTGGAAATCTCCCTTCTTATGTATGTTTGAGGAATAGGAAACTGTAAATTGCCGTATAGCTTAATGTTCAAAATTAAAGGAGAACACTCCAAATTTAGGAATCTCAAAACACCCCTGATTTATAAAAAGAACTTTACGCATTTCACTTCACTTACGTGTGGAAAAGATGGTTCGGCATGAAAGGTTATTGTTTCGGAATCGCTGATATTTTCCAATTCCAAACTATTTTTTGATGGCGATAATACCCAACCTGCGTCATCTTCGCTGCGCCCTTCCGAATCAGAGGAATGGCTGCTGCTGCTGCTACTGCTGCTACTACTACTACTACTACTGATACTGCTGGAAGTCATTATAGTGCCTGTAAAAAAATTACAAAATTATGAAAATCAAAGACTATATTGAAAATTATTATTTGAAATATGTTGATAAGATTACCATGCTTGCGGAATAAGCATAAAGTTGCGAAATTCACAATTGCACAAAAATTCTGCACTGACAAATTTCCTGAATTATTAAAAAATTTCAAAATTTCTTACCCCTAAAATCATCCTTCCCGGAGATATCTCCCCTCGCGAAGAGTTTATTGTGCCGGTACATGACTAACAGCTTCATGGATACTGCACTTTTAGAACTGGACAACCTTCCTTGAATTTTGGAGAAGCTTAATATATCCGAATTAACCCTACCAGATACTCAAATATTTCTCCCTTCAAACACATTGACCAGTGAAAAGAACTCTTTACACACTTTTCTTATATTCCTTTGTATGTAGCACTTGGCCTACATTCCAACATAAATATTTTTAGAATTCTAATTTCGTACGAGTCAAAATTCCGAAAGGTAGAAATTTTGATATATTTATAAAAAGTAGCAGGAACTCGTTATAATAAAGGTGCGATTATGGGTTCACTGGACTTTGAGAATCGACCCTCAAAAATCGAGAGTTCTTGGGATTTAGGTACATATGTAAAATTTTGTCCGTTATGACAAAATGGACTTTTGTACCCTGTACGTACGTTTGGGAAAATTACACTGTTCGCACAACCAGCGTTATGGAGTTTACATATGTGTCCATTTGTTCAATTAATGTAAATAAAAAATCAGTCCTGACGAGATAAAGCAACAATTTGGCAAACAAGATAACACAATATTTGGGTATCAATCTACTTTAAAACAGATACGCAATTTCAATGAAAAGCTTATTACACTTTGATGAATTTGTACATATATTAAAAATATGCAGTAAATAATCTGACAAACCCGAACCAATACGTAATTTATTACCGAGTAGGCTTGCGTCACTGGTTGCTGATTAACGTTTGAGGGCACGAGTCAGCAGTAAGTTCTGGAAAGAAGGATTCCAATTCCCTTAGGCAAATTGAGTGAGGTAATATTTGCAAATGATTAGATAAATATCTGGCCTGGCGTGTGTGCAGTGCAGTAAATTTCTGCCTGAATTTATAGGCTTTTGATTCCTTTCTACGCAGGAGGTACATACAAATCGTTACTATGTACAAAGAGATGGTTTACTCTTATTTATGTACATGCATAATTTTTGACAGACAAATTATGTATTTAACAATGAAAGCGATATGCGTGTTAAGTATTTTTTACTGCAGCCTCCGTGCCAGGGCTCGGAAAAACCCAGGGTTGTAATAAAAAATTATTGGTCCACGGGTTTTAATGAAAAAAATAACGACTCATGGGTTTTAACTGTAGTTGGTTTGTTGGGTTTTTAGCAATAAATTCAACAAAGATTTTCCTCAACTAATTTATTGCAAATGAGATTTTTCGCGCTCAAATTAGCGAAAAATCAAAAAATAAGGGTATGCTTATTGTTTGTAGTCAACAAAATAAAATTGACTCCATGTAAATCTGAGTTTTACAAGCGAAAGACTCGCATTGTCAGTATACATAAATTTAATGCTACATCTTAGGAATTATCCTTAGAAATTGTCGAATATGTAACACAAGTCGTAACAGGATAGTCAAGCGAAAATATGTAAATAGGTACATAGCTATGTACATATTTCCAAGAATTATAAACAGGGTTTACTTTACACACACATGGCAATTTTTTGCGCAATGTGTTTTTTCGGTACGCGTGACAAATAAAGCAAAGAAACGTTTATTAAGTTTCTTAATTTATTATTTATTATTTTTAATATGTTGCATTGCAACAAGGAGATTAATGTAAGATTTTAATAACATAGAAATCATTCATTTTCTAATTTAGGCGTTCCAATGTGTAGCTGCTGTTATACGTATACATGTTTCTAGCGTCCGTGCATGTTTAATTCACGGAATTTTAAATTTTCTGCCGAATTGGATATTTCTGAAAGCAACCCTTTGTTAATTTTATATTATTAATAAATAGAGACATAATATGCTAATTTCCATGTTTAACACAAAACAGATAAATCACCGTGTAAATTAAATATCACAAAAACACCGTGTTTATAAGTTGTAAGTAGGGGAGCGTCCATAAATCACGTGATCGATTAGAGGGGGGGAGGGGGTCTGAAATTTGTCACCAAGTATCACAGGGGGGGGTAGATGGTCAGATGTCACGTGACATGAGTAAAGTTTTTTTAACTTTTGTATATGCCAATAAGTGTCATGAGAGTTATACACGTTTGTGTATATAAATTCTCTTGGCATACCACACGCACGTTATATAAATTTGATTTTCATTTTGCATATTTAGAAACTTGCTTCGACTTATATTCTTGTCTGACTGGCGTATTAAATAGTTATTTACACATGTGTGTAATGTAGCTCTAATTTGATTAATGATTTAAAAATATTGTTATTTCGGACAACATGATTTAATTTGAGCATCATAACCTGTCACGTGACCGGTGGGGGGGGGGGGTAGCGAAATTATCACCACCGATCACCAAGGGGGGGGAGTGGGTCAAAATTGTCCAAAAATCGATCACGTGATTTATGGACGCTCCCTAGAACCCAAAATTTATGTAGGTGCTGACAAATAAGCAATATAGCTTAAATTATTATTATTCTTTTATGTCAATAAGAAATAAAGTACATATGCATATGTAACTTCACACTTCCACCATTCTGCATAATATCTTAATGCATGATTACCACAATAGAAATTCAACTATGTACATTGAATGTTGATCAACGACAAAGACTGTGCTAAGTGCCATTATGCTTACATATGTAAATGTACACAATGTATTTACATATGTGATAACGAGGGAGTACCCGACAAGATTTTGGAAAACGTGACAATGACAATTTATGAGTCGGTTTCAGTTATGCACGTCATTTCCTTACCGATTAAGATACGTATGTATGTATATGTATGTACACAAGGTTGGTAATGCAAGAGTTGTCATGTCAAGTATGTATTATTGAATAAATATTTAAGAGTTATCCTGCTTGCAGACGGACGGACGGACGGACAAACAAAGTCATAAAGTAGCTGAAGCTACTTAATAAATAACGGGACTATCTGCATAAGAGTACATACATGCATGCATACATCGAGTCACTACGTACATGCAATTTATGAAATTTAATTGAATGCGCAATTGTTCCCTTGGTCCACGTGCACATTGTTGTAAAATTGTCGTCGAAAACCTTTGAATGTATGTATGTAGCATATTACGTAGCATATTATGTAGCATATTACGCATATTATGTAATATATTACGGGTTACGAGCTTCTGTACGACGTGTGACGTTAATTTCCCCATTGTAGAATACACTCGTGCGTAGAATGCCTGATTTCCTTGAAATACATGTATGTACATATATGTATATATCTTATCGTCGATCGAAATTAGCCTGTACTAAATTTCTACGTCATTTGGTTTTTATTTGAATTTATCGATGTTTTGTTTTATAAATGCAAATCAAATAACTAAAGAATATTCACTTGTATATTTGTAAGTATGTGCATTTTCACTGCAATTTAGCACAATTCATCAATCGAATTTTAAATTAGCTAATGATCAACAATTTGAAAAATGTAAAAACAATTATGATCTACATATGTATGTACATGTAAGTTGTACGTTTGTATTTACAAACTATATATTGGAATACAAATATTTCATTTTAGAATAAAATCTAAATAATGAGAGATGTGCACAGATGTCCCATTGTTTCATATTTTGTTTTCAAGTCAACTGATTCACTTGGCTGATTGAAACAAAAGATTCGAATAAAATCTGTCTAATTTTATCCGAAATTGGATTTGTGGAGCAGAGAATTTATATAAATGCGATGAATAAAACACATTCTATCACATTTATCGATATATTCACGATTTCACCTTTGTTAAATAAAATTACATATAAACTCAAACCATGAAACTAAAAACTAAATCTTTAACCATTTTCTTATTACTTTCGTCATTTTCTTTCTCGAATTCAACCATATTTCGTGAACAAGATGATAATCGTCTTATCAAAGTAAACCAAGAAGATCCACCTAAATGGGTAACCCAAGAAGAAATTAATGTCCTTCTCGCAAACAAAGCACATTTTATGGATATTACGGATCACAAATCCCCAATTCATGACGTTTACTTAGCGTCACAAGGTTTGTAAATACATTTCAGAAATGTGATCCATCTCCTAAAACACAAATCAAGATTTCACTTTTCAATCTTGTTTTCCAGAATTTCCAGAAACACTTTATTTTCAGTCTTTCATTAAACCAACATTTGAAAATATCAGCATTCCTCGGATGACCACGTTCGTCAACTCCTTGGCCAAGTTCACCACTCGGTACCATAATTCTCAAAGCGGGGTTGACGCTTCAAACTGGATAGCATCCCAGGCCACGGAAGCAATCAATAACAGCAATCGAACAGGCGTTACAGTTGAAAAATTTGCAAATCCATGGCGACAAAACAGTGTCATAGCCCGAATTCAAGGGTCCGATTCTGGGTTAAAGGACGAAATAATCATATTTGGAGCGCACATGGACTCAATTAACTCCAAGAACAGGTTCGACATTAAGTTAATCAAGACAATGTGTCGTTACCACAGTTCAGCCAATATTAATAGTCTCAATTCCTTCGAAATTTTTCTGAGAAGTTATTTGGCCTTTGGAAGATAATACAAATTATCTGCCCCGAAACCTTTCAGATTTTTTTCAGACTATTAATATTGGCTGAACAGTCGCGTAATTTGTTTGTAATATTTATAAGTTTTCGTAATTTGCGACCTCGTTGACATGAAGTTACTTCCAAAATATGTGCGATTTGTTACTGTTACATAGTTTCCTAGATTAGTTTTGACAAAATTACGAAAACCATTACAGAATAATTATGTATACATACCTATGTAAATTATGCATCATTAACGGAACAGGTTCGCTGCAGCGCCAGGATCGGATGACAACGCTGGTGGTTGTGTCACCGTAATGGAAACTTTCCGAGTTTTACTGGCCTCAGATTTTGTGCCGAAAAGGTCGCTCGAATTTCATTTCTATTCCGGAGAAGAGGTCGGGCTCTTAGGATCTGGCCACGTGGCATCCGCCTACTACAGTAAAAGGGCCAAAGTGAGGGCCATGGTCAATTTTGACGTGGTCGGGTATAACGCGGGGAAAAATCAGATTGGTCTAGTGACTGATCACACTGACGCCAAACTGACCAAATTTCTGAACACCGTTGTCCAAGAATATTGCAGTTATACAGCTTTTGAACACGCGGGTACGCATGCTCAGATCACGCGTCCTTTAACCGGTATAAATTTCCCGCCGCGTTTGCGAGTGAATATCCCTTTAATCCAGACATCCACACGAAAAGGGACACCAGCGATAAGATGAGTTTTGAACAGGTAGGAGAATTTGTTAAACTTGCGGTGGCAACAGGGATTGAACTCGGGGAGAAAAGCTGAGCATGTATTTTTTACGTTAAATTGTCAATAAATAAGTTGATTGAAAACAAGTTTTCAAAATTGCACAAGGGATTTCTTTTGCATAAAATTGCATTTCAAATTATTCGTCGTCATTTAACGTAAATCTTGACATCATAATACATGAGAATATGTAGGTTAGCGATTAAATTCTGAACTCGAATGTCTACGTAACAATTGATATTGTAAGTCAATAACTTTGTCCTACATATTTACATAAAATATGGATCAAGCTCGTGTGTAAAAATGATGAACGCATTTATCTCGAAAATTTAGGGTATTTAAACATTTACCAACTCTTGATCAATTCCAATGCGTAACACGAACATAAAGAGTTATAAGAGAAACCGCGAAGTTTCGTTGTCTTGAAACTATGTACATACATAAGTATTTATGCAGTACAAGAAAAATATATACATGGAACTTGAAATACCGATGTTGGATGTGTTCAGCTTATATATAATACGCAAACATATATTAAATCCAACTCGAGTTATATAGCGACGTTTTGTTGGAGTTTATTCATGTAAAATTTGATGTTTATTTGTTTATTAGCACAAGCTTTAGGAAAACAGTGTTTCATTCATCAGATGTAATTGAAATTTTCAAAATTGTATATGCAAATTTAAGTTTAGATATGCATGATATTTTTAGCAATAAACTTTACACTCCACGTCATCTGAAAATACACAAACGCCGTGGTCTGGGTTGAAAATCTGTCTTATATTGCCTGACACCTCTTCAGCGGGGCAGAGGTGCCAGTGTGGGACGAGGGAGCGGTCTGCTGCCCACACGCACAGGTAGAAAGAGTGACAATTCCGAGGGTCGGGGAGGAACTGTCCCAAGTGGTCGCAAGTGACGGGCGGACATTCACGCTGTTGCCGTTGTCCGGTGCCGGCGGGTGATCCGCGGAAACCATTGTATCCGTTATAAGGCGAGCTTGAAGGTAAAAAATGGACGATTTTATTCAGAGATGTGCATAGGTACAGGTAAACTCTAATGCATATGTATTAAAAAGCAGGTTTATTACGATCGGAACGAAGGAAACTAGTTATTATATATTCAAATAAGTTTCTGAAATTTAACATTTGTAGCAATCTTGATTCATCAATTTCAGCTCACCCCGAAAGTCATAATCTCTTAGATCTGCTGTCAATTTTGCATACTTTCTATAACACATTCTTCATGAATTAACCATTTGAACAATTTCTAAATCGGATTAGGAAATGATGTGAATTGAATTTACGACGTTACTCACCATCCACCGTAAATGATGAAAGGAAAATTCCTCTGTCGCGACTTCCGGTGGGTTTGTACATTGTCGTGTGGAAGTTTTGCCTATTTCGACATAAAAAATCATCACAAATATATTTGACATGTAGAAATGATTCTAGATAGTTTATGCTTGTTTATACCATTTTTATTTTTCCTTTATGGAGAGGAATATTGGCGTCCATATTATTACTTTCATTTTTCAGGAGATATCCAAAATTGGAGGATAAAAATATTACTAGGAGCAGGATTTCTAGGATAAGCTGAAAATTAAAAGTATATGCTATAAAACTAATTGCTTAATTAATAGTTTAGTTTTCTGGTAAAAACATGATTTACATGGTCAAATATCAAACCTATGTTAGGATTGAAGATACAAAGGAGTCACAGGTTAAAAAAACTTACGGTTAGCAGATAACTTCTCCCGGGTGCCATAGTATAGATATCTAAACTGCTCACTAATATACTTAATAAGTACTGAAAATTAAGAGCAAACTATGCCATGTGTTCTGCAAGATTGTTAAATTCAACTACCAAACAGGTCGGACTGCGGATACTATGTGAGTTATTTCTTCTGAAAAATCGTGTTCTAAATTTCACAATCAAGTATGATTTTTAAAGAAGGCAGTTGGAATTTTTTCTACAACCCATTTTAACACTCTAGAAGAACAGTTTCACTATGCGTAACAAGTTTGCTGATAATAAAAATTTCCGTGAATAAAAATTCGGATAATTGACCAATTTTGAATCCGGTATACATTTTTCATAAATCGAGTTAGGGTTGTACCCGGGTCAGTTGGGCACAAAAATGCATCCCGCTCTGTATCTTAAACGCTTTGTATCACTAGTTTTTACCGTAGGATTATTAAAAAAATGCCTTAGGTAATTAATTAAGTTGTATAAATTATGCAATTGGACATTGTAGATCCTTGGATTTTTGCGGAACTAGATCATAAAAGAGTGCATGCTTAAACAGTTTGTTTTAAATATGAGAGACTCAAAACTCAAGTTTTCCAGCCGAACAAAGATTGATTTATTTTCATTTAACCTTGGGACCACACCAATTACGAAGGATGTTTAAAAACAAAAATATACTCAACCTCGATTAGGAATAATCTCCGACATAAACTTCTGAATTTGCGTACCCTTGTCATAACTTCAAACATTTAAAATCAGCAACTTCACCCTACACGGAAAATTTTAACCATTCAAGCATAAAACTACAAATTTATCTGTACAATAAGCTTCTAAAATTGGAGTATTTCCCAAAATTTATTAAAAATTTATGCATTCATTTATATATTTTTTTAAATTTCCTAAATGTGTAATATGTTTATATTTATTTCTTTAAACGGTTGAGAAATTTTACAACCATTTTATTTATTAACTGTCAACTTTATCATCTTCAATACTTACAAGATTTACATAGAAACTACTTTAAGCAAGAGGGTTTACATTCCGAGTCCAAGCTACCTGGCCAGATACAAACTTCGAGCCTAATGTCGAAAACTAGTCCAGGTGGACAATCATATTGAAATGATTCGATTTGGCCTCCTGGAAACTTTACACACCGGTAGAAAGATGAGCAACTCCCTGGGTCTACAAGGTATTCCGACTTCGTGCAAATGATAGGTGGACAGCGGATGGGAAGTGATGCCAGCCGATTGTTTCCGCCATAAGGGGAGCTGAAAGGACAAATATTTTTGAATGGCTATTTTGATGAGAGATCTACATAACTAAAATCTACGCTCCAGGTATTGAAAAGTATAGTGGAATTATTTGTGCGTGTCACCTCATTTGCATATTTTAACGCATTCCCGAGAGACATAGAGTTTACTCAACATTGCACAATGTCGCCGAAAATGGGCAGAGTGAAATTTATGCAAAGGAGATGACAAGCCAAAGTAAATGCACTGTATGTAGGTATTTGTTATCGAAGGAACTATTGCGACATATACTGTCGAGATTCATCGCAAATCATAAGTATTTTGGTACATTCGCGAGGGACACAAAGTTGATTAGCGTTGAGAGCTAGAAATTAGCATTGCAATATTTATGAATATTAACATGAAGCGTTGGGTTATAATGAATATCAGTAGTGTACATATTTATTTACATAACTTACTGTTAATTTAATATCTGGAGTTATTGATGACTAAAATTTGACCCACCATCCACCATAAATGATGAAGGGAAAATTCCTCTGTCGTGACTTCCGATTGGTTAGTGTTTTATAATCGTGTGGAAGTTGTGCCTATTTTTTTGGGCAGGAAAATGCACAACAAATAAATTTCACGTAGATGGAGCTGTTGAATTAATTTCTTATATGTTTGTACCAGGCCTGTTCTTCCTGTGTCGAGAAGGGTATTGAGGTCAGTATTATTGCTCCGATTTTTCAGGGGAGATCCAAAACTGGAGGACAAAAATATTACAAACAGCAGGATTTGTAAGTTGATCTGAAAATTGTGAACAAAATGAGTAAACTAATATTTTAATTAATAGTTGAATTTATCAATGAAAACTTGACTAGCGTAGTTACATAAGTATTAAAACTATTTTAGAATTAGGAAAATAGGTACATAAATAGGTGACATATTTTTATGTATATGTATTAACTTACAGTTAGCAAGTAACCTATCTTGGCTATCATAGTGTCTAAAGTTTCAACTAACGCAACAGGAAATGGGGAAATGATTGCTTAAATAATTAAATTAGAAACAAAGATAAATCTTTTGATTAAGGGTAATAAATTCTGCTTCCACACATGCAAGTCGGGCTTTTTATACTGACTGCATTTCATCTGTAAAATCACATTTATTTAAATCCGCCATCAACTATGAATTTTAAAGAAACTGGTTTCAAATTTTTCCGCAACCCTCTTTCACCACCGTAGCAGAATAGTTTTAATTGTAATGGCAAACTTGTTAGTAAAAATTGCGTGAGATAAAAATTCGGACAATTCATGAATTTAAAATCCGGTATAAATTTTTCATAATATCGAGTCTAGTTTGTTTCCAGGTCAGTTGGACCAAAAAATGCATCCGTTCTTGTATCAAGTGTTAAACTAGTTTTTAGCGTTGAATTAATAAAAAAGCGATTTCAGTTAATGGGTTAAGTCTTATATAGCATTTCAAAATAAATTTATACTAAATTAATTTTATTACCCTGAGTAAAGTATGCAATTCAGTGTAATGTACATAGTTACATAGCCTGGCCCAAAATTTGGTGGATAAGACAAGTATTCAGGGAACAGTATTAGTACTATTATTTAGTATATGTATGTACATATGTAGGAATCCGTCAATCAAATATCAAGGTCACATCTTGGCCATACTGGGGACAAACTTGAAAATATGCGAAGATGTCCCATTGTGATGAATTAAAACATTACGTAGCTCTCAATGCTACAGGTTTTGAATTTAAAAATCTAAAATCTTTTATTACACGTACACGAACACGTTACACTCAAAGTGATTTAAGATAATTTTTGCATTTGACCAGTGTCACTGGTGACATGCCGTCGTATGTACACCCCACAATGAATCAATTGTTTCTTAATCTGCTCACATAATTTGAGAATTATTTCCTGTCCATTTTGCTGGAAATTTGTCCTGCCCCGCCACAGTACGGAACGACGATCATCCCGATAGTAAATTATTTAGAAATCATTTGCTAAAGCAAATGCATAATCGCGGAATAAAAGTTAGTGAACAATTCAAATAATCATCAAAATCAGGTAGTTATTATTTATCCACATATTTCACGTTTTTTAAGAGTAATACTTACAAGGAAACATACCGAGGTGTCCAACGAGTTAAGGGTCGACACCTATACCAAAATGACCACAATACATGACTTATTAAACAAACTGAAGGAATTTCCGTGTAAAATTCACTTTTCGTCAAGTTGTGACGATATTTGTGACGAGCGCATGACCATCCGGTTGGCAGCGGGAGAGGTCGGCCGCTGAACGATCAGGTCGACCACAGAGAAGCGTCGTCGTCTTCGGAGATTTCAAATTCTTTCAAATTTTGAAAACAACTTGAAATTCTGAAAAAATTTTGAGAAAATTTTGAAAATTTGAGAAAATTGAAATTTTGAAGAAATTTTTGAAATTTTGAAGAAATTTTTGAAATTTTGAAGAAATTTTTGAAATTTTGAAGAAATTTTTGAAATTTTGAAGAAATTTTTGAGATTTTGAGAATTTTTGAAATTGTGAGAAAATTTTGAAATTTTGAAGAAATTTCAATTTTTTTTCAAAATTTCAAGTGGTTTTCAAAATTTGATAGAATTTGAAATCTCTGAAGACGACGACGCTTCTCTGTGGTCGACCTGATCGTTCAGCGGCCGACCTCTCCCGCTGCCAACCGGATGGTCATGCGCTCGTCACAAATATCGTCACAACTTGACGAAAAGTGAATTTTACACGGAAATTCCTTCAGTTTGTTTAATAAGTCATGTATTGTGGTCATTTTGGTATAGGTGTCGACCCTTAACTCGTTGGACACCTCGGTATGTTTCCTTGTTAGTGAAATAAATAAATATGGCGAAATAAATAAATAGCTAAATTAAAGATACTTACACACACACATCGTAACATTGCGTTATTATAAAATATCAATATTTTAAACAAAATTATCTGTACCAACCACCAGCTCCAAATATTCGAGTTGTGCCTTTGTATTTGTTAATAACTCCAATGTAACATGTTAGATCATGATTCATTTTAGAAACACATTGCAAAATCTCATTCTCACACAATGAATTCCTCTGACAATCGTGAAAGTACGAATTACAATCCCAAACCTGCCTGCCCGGTTCCTGGGAGAAACACTACTTCGTCTGATTTGTCTGTACTCTGACGGTTGGGATTGTATCCGCCATGCAATCCATACGGCGAGCTAAACAAACAAGTACGGATCAATGTTAAAATATTAAAATAATCTATAATCTGACATCAATCGCTGTAAGTCTAAGTTTACATAAAACGGACCACCGTTGAACGGTGGTCCGTTTATAGGAACAAAATCAAGACAAAGCATTAATATTATAAATATTAATGTAATCATCACGGGAGGTTGTCACTTATGTATTAATACAAGATTCCTAAACTTTTTAGCTCGTTTCCGTGGAGTGAATGTATTAGGATTATGTAATGAGGTTGTCCAAGGATGGGCCATCTTTTAAAAATTATTAAAAATTTTCGAGTTGGGGACAGGCACGCATTTTTTGGCGTTGTCACCCGTTGTTGGGTGAGTGAGAAATTATTTTAAAAATTATTTTTGCTACATTTTCTGGGGACTGCTTTTAATTTTTAACTCGATTGCATATTGATGACCATTTTTGTCCCCGATACTTTTATATATTTGTACACGTATTTATATGCATATTTTTATAAAGAGCACAACCAGGTAGATAATTCGAGTTCCGGAGAAAAATTTTCATTTGTCTAAAACTTGACAAAATTTTCATTATTAAATTATCACTCCCACGATAACGGTGGACCTGGAGGACGAAGAGGAGGAGGATAATTTAGTTCTGGAAGATTTTGTAATTGATGAGGTAGCAGCTGCTGGTGCAGATTCAGAAACCACTCCTGCTGATACCGAAGATGAGTTGTTAACGGTATAAGTTTTTAAAATCATGAGGATGTCAATTTTTGTCAAGTTTTTTTAAAGATAAATAAACATTTCTTTATCTGGAACTCGAATTATCCTCCTGGTTGTGGTCGCTATCTTCATAAAAATATGTATACAAATAAGTGTAGAAATATACAAAATTATCGGGGGCAGAAGTGGTCATCAATATCACATAATATGCATTCGAGTTAGAAATGAAAAAGTCCACCGAAAAATAATTTCTCACTCACCCAACAACGGGTGACAACGCCAAAAAATGCGTGCCTGTCCCCAACTCGAAAATTTTTAATAATTTTTAAAAGATGGCCCATCCTTGGACAACCTCATTACATAATCCTAATACATTCACTCCACGGAAACGAGCTAAAAAGTTTAGGAATCTTGGTATTAATAGTAGATCCGTTCATGAAGGGGTTATCCGTTAAATGCGTAACGCTGACCACTATGTGCAGGGTATGGAAAAAATCTATCTTCCCCATATTATGTAGTCAGCTCAGCGTTACGTAATTACAGGACAGTCTCCAATTCTCTAACATAAGAAATACTATTTTCACTACTTCCCTTTCTTTTGTTCATTTATATTATCGGTACGTGTGAGCAAATCAACCATTACAAAAACTTCACTCTAAATCTAAATGTACATACTGTCGAATTTTTATAGCCGGTCACTGCATTTGCGTATATTGACGCGTTCGCGAGAGACATGGAGTTTATTCAACATGGGAAGCCCGAATGGGAAAATGGGTGTAGTAAGATTTATGCAAATGAGGTGACACGCCTAAGTAAGTGACGGTATGTATGTAAAAGACATGCATAAAAAGGTTTGTGCCACCCTTTAATTTTTGTAATGGTCGATTCATTGACGCATAGTACCGATAGTAAACAGAGTACTTAGAGTCCATATATCATCCGAGCGTTGCTCGCGTCTGGTATATAAATCGGAGAATAAATACTTACAAGGGAACCTTAAGTACTGTCACCTTCCGATTTTCTTCCTTTCGATATGAAATTCAGATTTTAGACATTTTGCAAAAATTTTCAATTTCCAATCTGCAGAAATTCAAATATGAAGACAATTTGCAATTTGCAAAAAAATGCAACATGCAAAAAAATTCAAATATGTGGATCACTTTTTGCATATTCATGACTAGCATTAAATGCTAGTCATGAAAGTTTTGTAAGTATGTATATCTATAGTCTATAAACTTCATTTCATCATTCACAATGCTGCTGGCTATGTTAAAATCATTGGATAAATGCACGTTTTGGTTTAGCTCTTGCCAAATATTTCGTGAAAATGTGATTTTGCACCGCATGTTCTATGACAAAGTTTAAATTTCACTAAATTATCTATCGATTAAGGCTATTCGGAAGGAAATCGAGAGGTGACAGTACCTATAAATACATAAGGTTCCCTTGTTAGAAAGAATTTTACGCCTTTTTTGAGGTGCAATGATTTTCATTGCTTAAAAACTTAAGTTTTTAAACATTATGTATTGCAAACTGAAATTCACCATTACCATCCACCATAAATGATGAAGGGATAGTTCTGCTGTCGTGATTTCCGATTGGTTCGTATTTCATAGCTTGGTGAGGTTTGTGTCTAGATTTATTGGTTTGGAGAATTGTGTTAGACATACATACTTAATTTTGAGAGAAAGGGACAGAGTAAATTTAATAGGCTTTGAAATACCAGGTGGATCCCTTCCTCCTGGATGGAAGTATCATATTGATAACTATCGTCTGTATTGTCATTATTGAGTGGCGATCCGAGACTTGAGGATATTAATATAACGAGGATCAAGATTTCTATGACTGTATTGAAAAGTATAGATGAAATTAATTGTCTCAATTAATCACGGAATGTTTGAAAGGGACTAAATTGCTTAAGTAAAAACCTTACCTAACCTTCCGGGTAATAGGGAAACCATCGTGCCAATGTTTTTCGCCATACCGTGGAAATAAAGACCATGAATATTTTAAAATTTCAAATAAGTTGCTAATATTTTTTCCAAGCCGAGAAACAAATCCACTGAAAATCAGTCGGAGTGCGGATATAAACTGAAACTAGAGTAAGTTATGTCGTAATGCAGAGATGCTTTCGTCAGTTTTCGAGTTAGGAAGCTGAAATTTCGGATTCTACACCACCTTGAGTGTCTCTTGGCGGCATTTTTCGGCGTTAAGGTCTCATGTCGAAAATGACCTTAAAAACTGTCACTTCTCGCCATCTTGATTTTCCCATGTTGTAGTAAATACAATGTCCAGTCTCACATAGCCCCATGAATGGGGCATCGTTGGAAAGGTCTTGGCGGGAGGATTAAGAATATATATACTTTTTGGGGTCTGGGACGACCCCCTGATATTTTAGAGGGCGATGAGTAGTATTGAGTTTTCGTCGGTATTTTGCTATATAAGCTCTCAATCTACTGCTGTGTTAAAGTTTGTACACCAAAACTCGTAACATTCTTTGATTTGTAGAAAATCGGGGGGTGGTCCCAGACCCCAAAAAGTATATATATTCTTAATCCTCCCGCCAAGACCTTTCCAACGATGCCCCATTCAAGGGGCTATGTGAGACTGGACATTGTATTTACTACAACATGGGAAAATCAAGATGGCGAGAAGTGACAGTTTTTAAGGTCATTTTCGACATGAGACCTTAACGCCGAAAAATGCCGCCAAGAGACACTCAAGGTGGTGTAGAATCCGAAATTTCAGCTTCCTAACTCAAAAACTGACGAAAGCATCTCTGTACTACGAACCCCTTCCAAAACTCACAAAATTGGCCATAGCGGATGGTTGGAGAAACTTGTTTTCAAAACTTTTACTCTATTACACTAATTTCATGCCCTATGAACTATTTTTGATGGAAATTCGAAAATCAAAAATTCAGCTGCCGAAGCTTACCTATTTGGTACGGACACCGTCAAATGCAGTATCCCAAACTTGCCAGGCCAGTCTTGTCTATGTACACAAATGTCATCTCGCGAAATCGAGATATCAATCCAATTTCGAACCTCAGTACCATCTCGTCGAAAATCAAATTCAGTCAAACTTTACAATCGTTGGATTCCAAATTTTCTAATTTCATACATTTCATTATCATGGATGGAGGTCATGAAAAGCAAAACTAATTTCTGCAGCAAGAAATAAAATTCCTTATTTTCCGTAAAATTCCGTATTCCTTTTCGGATTTTCAATCCCAAACAATATTTTGTACAATTTCACATGCTTACATAATCGATTTGAATTATGCACAATCTAAAATCTATCAACCTTAAATCTATTCGCTTCGGCAAGATCGATCGGGCATACAAATAAATACATGGTTGCTTCCAACAAATTTTTAAAATGTATGTAAAATTTTTTATCCGGATGTTTACAAATGTACATGAGAGTTCGCTTTAATACCTGTTTCTTTCAAGTAAAAACTTCTTCACCCAGAAAAAAAACATACATATAATGGAAACAACATAGCAGGTCACCATATGTATTATGTACAAGGTGAATCATAACAAAGGATGAACTAATCTTTAGAATTGTGTGCATTCAAAGTGTGTCAATTCGTCATTGACTGGATCGATACACAATAGAATATATATTATTCTCCCACATATCAATTGTCTGGTGCACAATATTTATTAAAAGTTGACCTTATCATATTTAGCATATGTATGTATTTGTATCATGCCATACACATGGACCTTGATTACTACACTGTTAGAAATCTGGTATAGGCACACAGGTATTGATTTTTTGGTATAAAAATTATACTGGACCATAAAATTTACTCCCGATAGGGTAAAACTGAGCTATTCCTACGACATATTACTTATTAATACCACTTTGGTTAAGTTACATTTGTATTAATCCCACTTGGTATGATTTTAATACTAGATTTCTAAGGGTGTACATTACATATGTAGTTGGATATAATGTGATTCACTGATTTAAAATATCCAGACCTCCAAGTATGAATAATGCATCTGTACCTGAAATAGGTTGAATTAGGCTGAATGACACAAATGGATTTTCAATAACAAAAATGAAACACTTTTCTTTCATGTTGGTTCTGTCTTGCAAGTTGGTTTCGTATTCATCATTTGACACTTAAAATAACGTGTTACACAACCGTTCATTTAAATTATTTCACGCGTCCTCCCATAATGACCATTATTTCCATCAATCCCTTGGCAATTTTGTCCTTTGCCATCTTAATTTGTATCCCCGATTCGTACCCATTTGTCCAAAATAATGGCAAACGGCTCATCAAAGTCAATGAAATTGAGCCAGCAAAGTGGTTGAACCAAGATGAAATTAATCTTCTGCTGGCAAAACACACCAATTTCATGGATATTACCAACCATGAGTTTCCCACTTACGAGTTTTACTTTGCAAAACATGGTAAGAAAATTCTTAAATCATTACCAAATAAAAACTAATTAATTAAATATCTCATTTTCACAGAATTTCCAGAAAGCCTCCGTTTACACTCCGCTATTAATTCCACCTTCAAAAACATCAATATTTCCCGGATGACCGCATTTGTCGACACCTTTGACAATTACACCAACCGGTACTACAACTCTCAAAGTGGGGTCGACGCCTCAATCTGGCTCGCATCTCAAGTAGCAGGCACGATTAATAATAGCTCATATAACGCTTCCCGCGTCACGGTAGACAAATTTAGACACAGTTGGGCGCAAAATAGTGTCATCGCTAAAATTCTCGGGGCAGATCCAGTCTTAAAGGAAGAAGTTGTCATATTTGGCGCACATCTAGACTCCATAAATTCAAGAAGTCCGGCTCGTGGGGTTGCGCCAGGATCAGATGATAACGCCAGCGGTTGCGTGACATTGCTGGAATCTCTGAGAATTATTTTGCAGTCTAATTTTGTACCGAAGAGGTCGATAGAATTTCATTTTTATGCCGGCGAAGAGGTTGGTCTTCGAGGATCGTTGGATATTGCGGAATCCTACTATAAAAAAGGGGTCAAGGTCGTCGCAATGGTAAATTACGATATAGTTGGATACAACGCGGGGGAAAATGATATTGGGTTTGTGACCGACTATACGAGTAAAAAGCTGACCGATTTTCTGAAAATGGTGGTCAAGGAGTACTGCACGTATGCAGTTGTTGACCACGTTTGTGGCTATGGCTGCTCGGATCACGCGTCGTTTAACAAGTATAAATTTCCGGCTGCCTGCGCCAGTGAAAACCCGATAACTCCGTACATGCATGGGAAGAATGATACGAGTGATAAGATGAGTTTCGAGCAGGTGGGTGAGTTTGTTAAGATGACGATTGCGGCAGGGATAGAATTGGCGGAACTTGTGTAAAAAATTAACTAATTTTACCGGGCCTATATAATTACTTCAAACTAATTACGTAAAATACACACTTCAACACTTTTTTAAGGCAAATCGAAATAAATGCCAGTAATCGTCAGTTAAATTTATTTGTATGTACCACTTCAGGTTACGCAATGTTTTTCGTAAAAAAATTGTTTGGACGCCTATAAATACATGATTGGGTGTGGCTGCTTGTCGACATACTTTACCTTGATGGTTTATGCAATTTTATTAATGTCCTTAAAATAAGCCACGCCGCGTAATATGTTTCTGCAAAATGGGTTTGCCTATTTATCTTACAGTCTGAGGTACCCACTACTTGTAATATTTATTTACTCGTCCGTAATGTCAAGTTGATATGTATAACACATTTCGATAACTTGCATTCTACATATGTACATAAACACTAGTGACAGTTTTATGACATTAAAGTCCGCTTGCACAATTAATTCATACAAATTTCACCATGTTTTAAGCATAATCCGAAATAAAATATGCAATTACAAATTATTCTTCACATATTTTTCTTCATCTCACGACTGTTCGCAACACATACTAACATACTCTTAAAACCGTTCGAAAACTGCACAACTATCGTTATTTCGGCAAACATTGGCCAATTACACTTTGTGCATCCCCTCATATTCGTCACACATCTTGGACGTCACCCCAATTTCGCAAAGAACGGATCCCAACTTTCAACATTGATCAGACTACGCGAGCCAATAAGATTCTGCTGGGCCTTCCTATTCTTCGAACCAGAAGAGGACCCCATAGTCAAGAAAGTTATTGACAATTACTTATTTCGAAAAGATTCCCTAAACTTACCAAGAGATTCGTTTAGAACAATTTACCATTTCGCGCCTTTTATACCGGAAAGGTTACCTACACAGTTTATTCTTTGGATTACAAAAATTCCGCAACAGTTTAAACGTGTCTTTGCACGGTATTCGAGTAACGTTATTTTAGACGTTAGAGAATTTATCCTTCTCTCATTCAGCGATTTTGAAAACAACAATCTGAAATTTCAATATCACAATCGGTACTATGCCACTCACACAAGTTTCATGTTGCCCCAATGGATTGAAATAACATGCTCCCCAGCAGAACCAGATATTTGCCTTCATAACTTTGAACTTGTCTCGCATTCAGTCATCTCGTTAAACAAATATTTTTGGGATATGGGGATTTGGAAAGATCCTTTTGAAATGGTAGACGGGTCTCCGTACGAATCATATTTTAATCATACCGCTCTTTTCGATCAAGTTTATACCACATTTTTTCTCCCCGGTAAAATTGCTGATGACTACGAAATCGCAAAGTTATCAAATTTCGATGAATTTATGGGATTCTATTTACTACGAGAATCACTTTTGCAAGGAAACTGGAGCACACCTAATCAACGTCAATCAGAGAAATATGACCTAGGCCAAAACCAAGAATTAGTGTACGGAGATGTCAGAACCGATGTGATTATCCTGGAGAGAAGATCGTTCGGATTTTTATCGTGTCATGGTGTCGGAGTCCATTCGACTCGATTAGCCCCGATCTTATCTCCTTTCGATTATTTAACTTGGACATTCATACTTACCTCGCTCCTGGTAACTGTCCTGCTTCTAAATATTGCGAATCATGCCATCGGCGCGATTAGTTTCTTCTTCGTGATCGCAGTGTCTTTAGAAAATTCAATTCTCGCGGCATATCAAAATATCATGTTCCCCAAAACGCATAAACTCTCGATTCAAATGATTGTCTCAGTTTACCTCCTACTTCTCGGGACCACCCTTCCGGCTTGGTATAAGACCTCCTTTACCATGGAGATGATCGTCCTTCCAGAAATATCCGTTCCTTGGAGGACAATGATGGACGTGCGAAATTTTAAATTTTATATCGCTCTCGAAAGTATTTTAGATGACTTGACCTTGCACAATTTTTCTAAACAAGATCTCCTCGAATTGTTCGATGTTCGAGTTGGTATGGAGTTACACCTTAGAACCAAATTTCAAGGAAATTCCAAAATTCTGCAAGAATATCGCAACGTGGCGAAGACATTGTACGACGGTACATTTATAAATCGAGATAATAATGCGGATCGTCTAATTTACCCGGTCTCGTATTCGGATCCGGACACATTTGTTGAGAAAATATCAACCTGTGAGAAAGTGGGTTATATGGACTCGACAGAAAATTTGGAAAAACTCGTTCCATATTTGAATGATAATAAGAAGGGGAAAATTTTCATGTTGGGCGAGTCAGGATTTTTCTCGTGGTTACGTGGCTGGCAATTTTTTCCCGTAAAAGGCAGCCATACATTTAAGCGTTTCAAGGGCATGGTTTCTTCTGGAATTTATTCACATTGGGAAAAGTGGTATGAAAGAGAGAAACCGGTCAAATTATTTCGACATTATGCGAATTGGAAATTTCCCAAGGTTTCCGGGACGGTGCCAAGACTTGATTTCAATTCGAAGATATCGACAGCATTTGATATCTGTGGTGTCCTATTTTTGTTAAGCTGTGTCGTTTTACTCCTTGAAATGAGTGTTCATGGAAGTGAGATTGGTAATGTGAAAAAGAAATTCAAGCCATAAGTACTTATCATATGATGAATAGAATTAGCCACTAGTAAAAGCATTGACTTTACCGGAGCCTTTTAAAATACCCGAATGACTCATTTTTATAAAGGAATTTTAAAATGCTCCGATAAAAGTCAATTCTTAATCAGTGGCTAACAGTATTCATCACGTAAATTTGATGTCTAACGTATTCTTAATTTTGTCTAAAAACCCTATTGTTAACTTTTCTGGAAAATACATACATTTATTCCCGACTTTCTGATTAATCATTTTTATCCAATAAAAAAGTATGCATTGAACATCCATATGTACATATTTACATATCTCCATTTACAACTTCACAACCGTACATACTTACCTTTGACCCACATACATAAATCTCTACTGTGATGAAGTGGAAACAATGGGAAATTCTATGAATTGCATTCTGACACTCTAAAACTTTACACCACAGATTAGCCACTCTAAACAGCATGACCATACATAATTGACCTGGCACGCGAATTTTCCTCATTCTCTCAAGAATAATTGATTACGGGAAATCGTCATGCCATCCATCGTGGAGTGCATGGTAAATAAACTATTATATATGGTTATCAGGGTGTTATCATGTATGGAATTTTTGGTCAGTTATGCTACATCATCATAAATTGTACTTACCTGACGTAATATCGTGGATCACATGCATGATGATTTCAACTTAACAAACTTCACTTCCATAGTTTGCAATCACCAAATATTCTCCGCTATCAGTGAAACCAGAAGACTCGTGATTATTACACAGTTATGTAAACATTAAAGGGTTTCAAACAAGCTGTTTTATTTGCAAATGGAATAATTAATTAGATTAAAATAATAATTGAAATGTTAGGGAGATATAGTTAGATGCTAGCCATAGGCGTTCATTTACGTACTATTTACATAATAAACATGGCGTTCAAAATAAACATTTCTAAAACAGACCATACGCTAAATACTTATTCAATGTAGTAGTTCACTTGAATGCTTATAATCTAGTAGCTGAATAAATTGCGTAGAATCATTTTACAACCTTTTATGTACACTTCAATGTCCTTGAATGTATAAGTTTTGAATATAGCTTTAAATTAATTTTCTTTGAAATATGTGTAAAAGCACAATTTAGTCAATTTGAAATATTATACTTGTATACTTTAAAAGTACAAGTTTACCCTTGAATTACCTAGATGTGAAATAATACATTAATTCAAAGTGATTTAGGAACCTTGTCTGCACGTAATGATATAAATACCAATATATGCAGCTATGTGAACCTAACAGAGAGACTGCCTGGAAACAAGAAGAATTTTGCCTAACTGTCAGTTGTTGCAGCTAAACGGTCACCTTGCTGACAAAGTCTCACAATGTAGCTTCGCCCTTCGCCAAGGGTAAGGTTGCAAAAAAACTACACAACTTTACACAGTTTTTATTGACAAGGTACAAATTTGTTTGGATAAATAGTCTGGACAAGTAAGCTGATTAATAACCTGTCCCAAAAATAGTCACGATTTTAATCATTTATTTCTTATTACCAGGATCTCAACCCCCTTCCCAAAATAATCTCAAATTTACGCAATGACTGAAAAAAGTACGTCTATCTGCTCCTGGTTTTTAAAACTTTTCTCCTGCATGGCCGACGATTTCGAGGACGAGAAGAACTTTGTCTTCTTTGCGAACAAAAAGAACTGTCCATTTTCGCAACATTCGCGATATCAAACATGGAAAAAATTTCTAGAAGAGAACAAACCTCGATACGAGAACAATTTCAATTTCGACATAAATTTCTGTAACATCCAAGACCAGTATTATCCTTCGAAGGGGTGGAGAAAGTGTCACTTTAGAAAGTACTATTGCCACTTTAACGACTCCCTGTCTGATCTGGAGGAGAAGGAGGAGGACGAGGAGGAGGGTGTGGTGGACTCAAGCCTTGCCAAAAGGGGAGACCAAATACAAACTAATTTTAAAAAGTGTCACTTTAGTTAGACGAATATCAGTATTTTTTGAAATCACTGAATACGTATGCGAAATTTTTGCATCTGCATAAAGCCACTATTTACAGCACCGTTTACTGATCCTTAGTTCCGTCTTTGTGTACGTTTAATTTAGTGTGCGTTTGTTAAATATGTTATAACACGCTGTCAATTTTATTTTAGAATATGCGTATGTTTGTTACTGATATTGTTTAATTAGGTACACGATTAATGAGTTGAATAATATGTACAAGATGAATGTTAACGATGCACAATTTGGTAATGTAATAAACGTTATTTATTATCAGCATAATACACAGAAATGTATTTGGTGGGTCAACTAATGCCAACGAATCCGCCACTAATTGCAATTTCATCCTCATTTCTTCACAATTTCGCACAAGAATATAACTAATCCAACCCCCGCACCTGACGTGAGGAGATACATGGTTGATAAAATTGAGGAAAAGGACACAACTAAATTTGGTCCGGAGGTGTCATCATTTCGAATTTCGTTCACTTTATTCCTGCTCCGTCGCCCATCCAAACTTGTGAATGATTCATAAATTTCCGACCACTTGGTCACAATACCACCAGCCATGAGGCGGCATATCACCCTATCAGCATACGCTAATAGTACAGACAACAACGGTTTCAATTACCACTACAATTTTATGCTTAATTTATCTGCAACTGTTTTTTTTACTCACGTTTAAAGGATGAAAGTGGACTAATCGGTATTCCCGTCAGTGTCGGGAGTATTTTTTCCTTTGACAATTTATACAAGAGCTGACCCCGTCTATCCGTCAAGACAACTTTCGCCATGAAACCAATAGTTACATCGTATGCAATGCAGGCATGGTCCTTTTTCAAAACGGTTTCGTAACACTAGAACAAAATTACACAAGCACAATGAAAATAATTATTTGTACGCAATCCCTTCGAGTTAATATAAATATTTTCAAATTTTGAAATCGCATACAAATTGAAAGCGTTATAGTGTTTCGGACACATACATATTTTAGGGTAATTTTAAAAAATAACTTTTTCGCAGTTAATTAAATTTAATTCTCGTCTAACCCCATATCGATTTCCCGACGCCTCAAATGCAGTCACCCTCTCAAAAACAGTCCCCTTCTTGAACCCTTTGAGATACATGTCTCGCATAAACCCATCCAAAATAGGTCTAGGAAATCCGGACGATCTCGATATGTTATAATTTGAGACAAAAAGGTCCCTGAACGTCGTCGGAGGTTGGACGTATTTCGGTTGAATCAGAAAAGACACGATGCTCGACTTGTACAAAATACTGACCAAGATACACGTCAAAAGCCAAGATGCCAACACAAGCCGAAAACTAGCCCTGTGTTCACGTGGGGTTAGCGCGTTGCGACAAATTTGCTGATCCAGTAATGGATTCAGTAAATAAATACTTAACGATCCTGGGAACAAGTAACCTCTCCGAGATTCCACAAGAGCAAAAGATACCCAAATTGTAATCATGATTAAGAAATACGATGCAGAAAGACTTATCCAAACTGTGAATGAAAGTGGATTAAGTAAATCATTCAAGATTTCAGTCATTGAGCCACTTAAATTTGCATCGCCTTTCTCCAGTCGAGGTAACGGAGTTATGAAGGCCACGTAATTCATGGAAAAAATTGTCGAAAAATCGACAAAGCTCCAGCGATCGGGATTTACTCCTAAAGGCTCAGCGATGGCTTGAGAGTATTTTTGAAGGGTTGGAGCGAGACCGTCCGTACCTTGAAAAAATTGCAAATTTGAAATCATTTAAATTTCCAACGATTAGATTCTTGGGTTGATTAAAAATTTATTGATCTTTTGCTACCTGCAATTATGGGTATTTTTGTAATAGCTTTTTCTCCCGTTTTTTCGTCGATTTTTGTAACGATTCTCATCCCAATTTTACCACTTCCGTTTACATAATGAATTATTGTGTGGCCAATTCGCATCCCGGGATGTTCAATTGTCGAGGTGCGTACAATACTTCGAGAGTGTTCCTTTCTATATTTTGGCACCATTGGATATGCTGATAACGTAGTTATCATCTCGTGTTTAAAATTTTTCTGAGAATTTTTATAAATCTGGACTAAACTAGACTCATCTTTCCAAGATATTTCAACCCATTTGTGTCTTATTAAACCAAATAGATGATGAACTTCAATATCTGTCCGGAATAAAAATGCGTTTCTTAATACGACCTTTAAATTTCGGGGGACCTTGTACATATCTTCAATCTGTCCTTCTTCTTGATAAAGTAGATTCAGTACGACGAACAGATGCCAATTGTTAAATGGCGAACATGGCGATACAACATTAGATCTGATTTTATCCAATAAAGTGCTAAAGCTATTTTTGTTTTTGGGAAGGACGTACAAATTATGGATCTGGCAGAAAACATGTCTCGGGAAAAGCTTGTAATTAATATTAAGCTTATTAAGCTTATTCACACGAAATCTAAAACTGGACGACTTTGAAATACTTTGTACAAGATCATATTTTGAAATTGACGTGACAACTGGTACTTTGTCCGATATCAAAGTTTGGAAATTATTCAACATGTCTAAACCGTATCGTTGGCTAATATTATGGATGACAATATTCCAATAGGTGGGATTCTGAAATTCTGAAATGTCTCGTATAATTTTTTTCACATTGGAATATTGCAGATTTATTAGTGAAATTCTTTCAGTACTGGAAATTTTTACTGGATTTATTTCATGAGATATTTGTCGGGTTTTAGAAATTGAAATTAGTGCAGGGACTAATTCCGTGGAGACAGCAAGCACAGCAATCAATAGTATCCAAGGCTTAAAACTATGCATTTCAGCTCATTTACGAGACAAAATGACTAAAAAATCAAACTTTTATAATAACGTTTTGAAAATCCATATTTACGTCACGCTGAAATATATGTCAATGCAAATTAAGTAATTCAATTCAATGTTACTCCAGAGGACGAATTGCACAGGTAAATAAATAAATAAGTTAATATATTGCTCGCACACTATACACAGAAGGACATGAATTACAGAAATGCTTGATATTCAAAAAAGTAAACAATAAACAAGCTTCAATAGAAATGTTTTACCAAATTTAACAAGAGAACGACAATTCATAAAATATTATCGGATTTAGAAGTGTTAGCAGGGTTACGCAATCCCAAATTTTACTAAAAATAACACCATGCACGGGTTTTACTGGGTTTCGCCCATTGTTTTTAGTACAATAATACGCCATTTATTTATGAAACATGTACTGATACATATTCTACTAAGGTTCTGTTGAAACACAAATGCAAAATATCCATGGACTTGAGCTAAAATCATAAAACTTAAAAACCCAACATGCCAAAACCCTAGTTCGGAATACCCTGCCATATTTTCCTTCAAATCATAGCTTTCTATTGTCATGCTGTACTTTTTCATGGACAATTCTTCATACACAATGCCAATTGGCATTTGAAAGAAATTGCCTTTATTCCAATTCAACAAAGAAATGTCATTAAGTTGTCATAAACTTTTATCTTGCCGACTAAGGATAAGATAAAGAAGTATCCTAAGTATAAGATATGTACATAGAAGTATGCATGCTTTAATTTATAGCATACATCATAAATTCGTAGCTAAATACATAATGGGCTTAGAGTTGATTGTTTCACAAGTGGGTATAATATAAAAAAAAGCGTCTGCCATAAAAATTAAATAGGTTGGCCTATTATCTAAATATGTATCAGCTTATGAATTTGTATAGACATTGATGGAGACAGTATAACAGTTACCTTTCTTGTTTATGAACTTTTTTTAATAAGAAGTATCTACATACGTGCACAGCCCAAACTTTAGCTGCGACAAATTTTAATAAAAAGCGTGAATTGATCGAATTTTGCTCAGCTTAATTTATTTTCAGCGTTTGTTACCTCAATCTAGAATTAAAACTCTGTTTGCTTAAAAATGTTTTTTATGTATGAACATAATTGTGACTAGTTTTCAAGCGGCGATAAGCTTTTATAACAACTAGAAACACTTAGATAACAAATATGTATTATTCATGTATGTAATTGTGTGTGATTATTTTCGCCAACACTGAAAAGTTTGCGTTAAATAAGTTTTTACGAATTTTAAGTTTTTGTATAATAATTTGAAACACCATAGATAACAACTAAGTACATACATTATAAAACCTTCTTATTTGCATAATAACGTTATTTTCCATAAGGGTTTTATAATGCTAATTCATCTATTCAATAGTGATGAGTCATACAAACAATTATTTTACGTTTCTGTGGAACTGGGGAGTCAATGTATATGTAATCCACACAAAAAAGTATACTTGTATGTATAATTACTAGCACATTGTTGCTATTAATTAACATGGATATGCTCATCAAATTTCCGCTTGAGTTAAAAGACACGTTGATATACGTGAACTTGACCAATATCCTCATCCTCATCAAGCAGCTTACACTTTCTTATGTATGATTTGCCCAAACTCAACTATTCCTGCAAATATGTAGGTCAATTAAGTAGTTATCCATAAACGCATACAACTAAACAAGATGACGTTGAATGGACGTAGGGACTTATTCGTAGAAGTAGACATTTAGAGGACGAAGGGAGTCCTTGCATAAATGATGTATGTATGTAGTTGCCTTCGACAAGGATAACGAATTCCTTTAGCTTTGACACCAAGTATCATGCATTCTTTTTCTACTGCTACGTAAGCTGGATCGTCCAGTATCGTTTTGACCGTTAGACAGATTGGTTAAAAAATTAACAAAATTATTTTTATATTTCTATTTGAAGTAATAAATTTGAAGTGAACTTACCAATTGATCATAAAAATGGGCACCCAATACCCAAACAAAATCAGTGCTTTAGTCGAGCTGAAATCTAAATTGGCAGGTAGTTACTTGACATAAATATTTTTTTTTAATTTACATAAATGTACACATTTTATGACATGCAAATATTTGCATTTAATAAAATTGTTTTTATTAGAGCACCAAAAGTTACACAAGATTGAAGACATACTTGACGATGCAATGCTGATTGGATTTCTTAACGGGAAGAAGTACAATGTTAACGATTCCTTAAAATGTGTAAGCTGATTGAATGATATGCACATATTTTGAAACTTGTATTATTTTTATTTGAGCTTTTATTTCCGTGCAAATACAGTTGGAGCAATTTGTCTACATCAGAACGGAAAAGTATCCCAGTTTTTCTATGAAATATTTGATTCCGTCAACTCTACCAATGTTGGATGTGCAGTGTATTAGGACTTTAAAATATATGGATAAGGGATGTAGGCGCATTGGTGTTGGACAAATTAGTAAGTTAATTATGAGTTTATTTACGTAGTTATCTATGTCCAATTGTTTAATTTTGCTGAATTTCTGATTCCAGGTTTGTGGGATCCATCCAAAAATAATGTGCACGAACTCCTCGCTGAGAACGTTTTACATTTGGACGAATCCATCCGAAATTATATGACACATTCGGAAGGAAACGAATTTATCATGATTATTGACATGGCTGGATTTTGTGTCCAACACTTTAGAAATGCTACTCCGAGTCGGATTGTGCAATATTTCGATTTTTTTCTGGTATGGGCGAGATGTATGTTGAAAACTCTTAGCCATAAAATTAATATATGCAATTTACTGAATAATACTGTTAAAGTTACACATAATTTTAGAACAATGCTCCAGTTAGAGTTGTGGCAATCCATCTACTGAATCTTAGCAAGATGGGGAATATAGTAGTATCCGTGTGTAAGAGATTCATGAAGGAAAAGATACGCAAAAGGGTAACAAATTTACTTAATTGGCATACATAAATACCAAAGGGAGGGCGGCCTGGTGGATACGAATTTGACCTTGAATAACCCCGGAACGGTTTGTCGTAGCGGGTCAAAACTTTGAACAGACGAGCATGTTATCCTCAGATAGTTGTGTGCAAAATTTCAGCCTTCTACTTTGAAAAATGCCTGCCCCACAGCCCCCAGAAGCTGAGACAGTCATTTCAAATAGTTCCAGAAAAAATCTCGCCCGTGTTTGCAAACAATTTTATTTGAATATTCTGTTGAGGAATAGAAGTGAGCTATTGGTGACAATTGACGAAGAACTATTTTCCCTACAAGTTACTAATTGGGTTCGAAGAGCTTACTACACGACAAATGCCGAAAAAAAATTCAAGAAATTTGGTGCTTTTCAGTGAGGAGAACTTTTTTAAACAGTTGATGGTCGTGGGTGCAATGTCCTGTCGTGGTGTCCTCCCACTTATCAAAGTCCCCCAAAAAGTGAAGGAATCTTCGAAGTATTATGTGGACCTTGTACTGAAACCACTTTTAGAATACAATTTTCCTAATTTGCACGGTAAAATAATAATTAAGGTGATTTTTCATCATGACGGAGCGTCCTCCCAGACGGCAAAGTTGACCCAAGATTATGCAAATGACCTTGAACCTAGATTGGGGATAAAAATCATTTGGAATAGTGAAATACCTATACAATCCCCTGATATAAGTCAAATCGACTTGTTTGAGTTCGGATAGATGAAAAGAAAATCTTTCTGTGGGGACCGAATTTTTTAGACGGAGTTTGGAAAAAGTTGAAACGAGTGTCTCAACTTCTGGGGGCTGTGGGGGAGGCATTTTTGAAAGTAGAGAGTTGAATTTTTGCACACAACTATCTGAGGATAACATGCTCTTCTGTTCAAAATTTTGACCCGCTACGACAAACCGTTCCGGGGTTATTCAAGGCCAAATTCGTATCCACCAGGCTGCCCTCCCTTTAGTATTTGTAATTCAAATACAAATGTAAAAATTTAAATATTTTATTACAGCTTTTCATCCACGATGATTTTGCCTCGCTTCATGACCATCTTCCAGCCACCGCTTTACCAGTTTCACTCGGAGGCCATCTCAGTGACGAGGATGCTTTCGAAAACGAATTCGTCCCCGGGATTCGAAACCAAGAAAGGTTTTACACACGAATGGCAGAACTTGCAATGGTGTCTTAATTTTATTTTCATAGGGAAGCAATAAGTATTCAGTGTATGCATGCAAGTATATAGATTACACATTTATTGAACTATACCACAGGTTGAAAAGCACTATACTGGATGAATAATATGCTGAAAATTGTATTTATTTACCTTGTGAGCAATACTATATGTGATATAATTATGGTACTAAATAATTGTGTATGATCTACTAGTAAGTATTTATGTACATGCGTGCGGTAACATGTCATTAATCACCATGATTTCGACATATTTACAATGCCTCGGTGACCGATTGCCCGCACCTAAGAAAAGCTCAAATTTTAATAATTATTTAATTAACAAAATTCCCAGTCCCAGTCAGTTCCCATCTTTACAAATAGTCAAGGATTTTAGAAATTAAAAATGTTTGTATTTATTCTCGTCAGTTGTTCCAGGATAATTGTAAAGTGCCGGTTTTTATATGTTATGTGATATTCATTTGTAAACAGATTAAACCAGACACCATTTATGAATAAACTACTCTAATTCTGTAACAATGTTTATCACCTATTTATGTAACTTGTAACTGCAAAAATAAAAACTAACATTTAAGTTGTTAGGTACATATTTATGTACTTGATACTATCTAATTTAAAATTTAATCATTGACTTCATTTTCTAAGTGAAACGTATCTTTTTTCGATCTTGGCAACCTGTCTTTCTTTTCCGAAGCAACGCCATGGACCCCTTTCAAATGCAGAGATAGCGCTGAGTTCACGGCGAAACCCTTTCCGCACTGGTTGCAGGTGAAAGGCCGCTCTCCAGTGTGAACTGCGCGAATATGACCCTCCAGAACATAAGGATATTGAAATCCTTTGCTACAATGCGGGCACTTGTGAGGAGTGGGGACGACGTAGCCTGCGGTGTGGATACCCTTTATGTGACTCCTCAAATTTTTCTTGGTCTTGAAAGCTTTATCGCACTGCGTACAAGCGTATGGTCGTTCCCCCGTGTGAGATCGCACGTGAATTTTAAGTACGCAAATGCGAACAAAACCAGCCCCACAAATCTGGAATACGGAAGTAATTTTTTAAGTAAGCGGTAATTCATCAAAAATATTATTCAGAATTGGTAGCCTTACTTACGTGGCATTTATGCTTTTTGTCTCCCACGTGAATCTTCTTGTGTAGCTTTAATCCTCCAAACGATGTGAAAGTTCCGCCGCTTTTCCAAAATTGGCAACAAGTTTAAAATTTACGATCATTAAGCATTTATTATTATTTTTTAAATCAAAATTACCATTCATCACAAACGACCGGGTCCTCACCGTGCAACTTAACACGATGCGCCTGTAACGTATTGGGGTCTATAAAAGTGTCGCCACAAGTGTCACATTTGATCAGATGTTTGCCATCATGGCGATCTAGATGAATCTTGAGGTCGAAGGGAAGATAAAACCCTTTCCCACAAATGTGACAAATATGGGGTTTGACTTTGGAGTGGTCTCGGATGAGGTGACGCTCCAGGGTGAGCTTGTCGACGAAGGTGGCGTCACATCGAGAACATTTGAGCGGCCTTTCCCCAGTGTGTGTACGCTCGTGTCTGAAAATAATACGTTTGAGTGAAAAATAAGAAGAAAGAAACGGGAAAATTAACCATTTACTTTTCCATATTTGGCTTATCGTGGTATCCTTTGCCGCAATGTCGGCACCGAAACTTAATATCTCGTATGTGTGTCTCTGCGTGTCGGTCCCGTTTCTCCTCGTTCTTAAATCGAGAGTCGCAAACGTCACAAACGAAGGGTTTGATCCCCTCGATCTCGTGCAGTTTTAAATGTCTTTCCAAGTTTTCCTCGAGACAGAAACCCTTGTCGCACTTGGCACAGGAGAATTTCTTCTCTCCTTTTTCGTGGCGAATGACCATGTGAGCAGCGAGGGTGTTCTTACGCTGACACTTTTTATTGCAAATTCGACACTGATATGGGGCGAGACCTTGGTGCGCACGCTGCAAATGGGCGTTCCTCGCTGCCTGGGTGCGAAACCTTATAGGGCATAACGGCACGATGCACGGGACAGAATGATAGCGAGCGATATGAACATTCAGAGTGGATTCGGAGGCGAAAGATTTGACACAGGAGGTACACTTGTGGAAGAGGAAGGTGGCGTCATGTTTATCTTCAACTTCGTCGTCAGAGGCTTCGATGTAGTCATCATGCTCACTTTTAGGAACCCAATCGTCCTCATCGCCAGGTTCAGATTTCGTATTGTCCTCATCTGATGATTCTGAGTTTGATATTGGAGCGGAGGTTTTCATGGGACGGACCTTATTGAGTGAAATCACAAGACTTTTGACGCACGGGGGTGGAGTGGTTTGTTTTCTGGTGCGGGGTGAAGTCCGTGTTGCTTGCAGGCTGGGAGGTTTTCGGTTTTTGGGCTCCAATTTAATCCGCTTCGACACTTTTGTCTGTTCATTGGGTGAGGAAGAATCGTCTATTTTTCGTTTATTGCTAAAATATACAACTTTAAAAGATTAGCACATTGTCCACGTCCACGTATTAACATACAAATAGTGTCCCTTAATTATTAAAAAATATGTCCAACTTTCATACCAAGGTTTTGCCTTGGTTATTTTCAATGTAGGTCTCCTTTTCGACTTCTTTTGAGAGTGAGGAGTAATACAAAAGGCGCTGTCGTCTTCCTCCTCATCATTGTCAAGTAAATTAGCTTCTTCCTCCTCTGTTTTTTCGACAATTTCTGCGGAATGGGAATTATAGTCGTCATCAAAGAATTGGTCATCCACATCACCGATGGGATCAATATTATCTTCCACTTTGATTTGAACCTCGTCTGATACAAAATTTGCATCATGCTCCTCATTTTCTCCTAACGGAAAGAATAGCATGTCAAATAGTTATTGATTAATAATTGAGTTGAGAAGTGTCCAACCTGTCAGGCGGAAAATCATGTCACGAAGTTCTATAATTTTGTCCCTTTCATGATCCCCATTACTTTGTACCTTAGAAGAAGCATCAAAACTGCTCTGAATTTGCTGAATTTTCGACCTAATTTCCTGCTCTAGGAATGATATTTGGCTCTTCATTTCTTCCATTCTGCTGAAGAGAGGATAACAATTTTTGCAAAATTCGCATATCTTGCCGTCGTCGAATTTAGATTGATGTAAATATTTGTAATTCGGATGGCACGATGCCAGCAGATTGCAGAGGGTTTCAATTTTTATTGTTTTGGGGGACTTTCCTGCGTCATCGTTGTCGAAAACTTGTAAACAAAGTAGGCAGATTGGGTTCGACATTTTGATTAAATCTAAGAATAAACAAAAATGCAGTGAAATGTCATTAATTGATAAGCCCGATTGATAAACTTATGCACATGCAATTTTTAACCTATTAAAACAAGTATTTCATACCGAAGGGCTTGCACTTTTAGCAGAAATACATTACACTTGAGAAGACAAATTAATTGCTTTTTAATTAAGCTACAATTGGATTTAATAATAACTTTCAATTTGCTACCGGTGAGAATCCAGCTGTAAGTATTTTGTATTTTGTTTTGTTTAGGCTATGAACTCGTATTCGTGCCAAAAGTACGTCTCAAAATTTGGATGAAGTAAATACAACAAAGTAAATTGCTTCCAAGTTTCATATGTACATGCAAAACTCAGGCAGGGCACACCACTGGAAACAGGAAGATACGAAAAAAATAAAATATGTAGTATACAGTACAATACTAATTAATTAGATACTAGAGAGTTAGAGATTCCTTGTACTTCGACTGTAGACTGTACTGTGGACTCTAGATGATGACGTCATTAGCTTTTTGTACTAATTCTACAGTCTACAGTAGACAAATTGAAACACGGGCTCAGTTTGTACTACTGTGGAAAAATCAAGGGTTGGCAAGTAGGATATCTCTTGAACGCCTCAATATAATCTAACGCCGTTTTCGCTATCTCGCTTCTAATTTTTAACCCTAGGTCGATTTCGAAAATGGGCTCCCCGTGGTCAAGGTCAAGGTCACCTTGGCGTGACATAAACGCAAAATTCTACCTTAATTTTCATATGTTGTGTCATTTTAAAGGAAATTTCACCAAGAAGTCATCATCGTCAATACTTTTGACCTTCGACCAACCGATGACCGGGAGGACGAGGTCAAAGGTCAAAATTTAAGTGTTGACTGTTCTAGATTTGGGTTTGGGTGATAATTTCAGAAATCGACACAATTTTAAGGTACGAAGACCCCGTGACTACGTAGACCAGGTCAAAGGTCAAAAATGTTGATTTTTTATTTGGAACGTTGCAGACGTGTTTAGTTTGAGGCGGGGAGTTCAGAAACCACTATCATTTCGGCTTATGTCAGCCTGGTGACTGTTGTAAACGAGGTCAAAGGTCAAAAATATCGAATTTTTAGTTTTGAATATTTTAGACGCACTTTGTGTAAGGGGGTTCATTTCGTATATCATGAGTTGATTTGTCTCAATTTTTGACTCATCTATTTCGCGGAGTTTTACAATACAATTTTTCAGAGTACAAAACAATGGAAATTCTCTAGGTCTTTTGAATTTTGTACTAATTTTTGTATTGTACTGTAACTACAGTACAGTACAAGTAAAAATACAAAAAATCTCTAAGTCTCTACTATATAGTATATATAGTATATATAGTATTAAATTAATACTATTAATACATATTTATATCTAATATACTGAGATATTAGTATTAATATATAAATATATCTAAATTTCATGCAGTACAAACTTGCATTTACGCAATTGTGTATATCGTACATATATTTCAATTTTGCAGCATTTTAGAATAGTTAAGGATATAGAAAGATATTAGTTATTAACAATGCATATGTACATGTATGAAGTATGAACATGTACACTATATTTCCCACCTTTGCCAATATGAATTAGTTTTTTTCCCAATTCCAAACAAAATTCATGTTCAAACTTTATGAAATTCGACAACAAAATTGCACACATGTTTACTCAATCGAACCAAATAATTACGATTTCTTATTAAAGTTTAACATATATACATACATACCTACAATATATACATATCTAGATATAGAAATTCCGGGGTCCTGTACGAATTATTTGCGCAGTAAAATAAATAAACCCTTACAAACGAATATAAAAAAGTAGCATCAGACCGATCGAAATGTCCTTTAAAGTGTCACCGTATCCTACAATTATTTATCTGTGACCCTTGTCCTCAATGTCATGAGGTCAAAAATATTAACGTCCCCAAAATCGTTGTCAAATTTCCTTTAAAATGACACCCCATATGACAATTATATATTATGTTGACCCTTGACCTCGTCCGCAAGGTCAGGAGGTCAAAAATATCAGCGTCTCCAAAATCACGGTCAAATTTCCTTAAAAATGACACCCCATATGACAATTATGCATTTTTTGACCTCTGACCTCGTCGCCAAGGTCATAAGGTCAAAAATATTAACGTATTCGAATTCGCGGCGAAATTTCCTTTCAAATGATACCCCATATGAAAATTAACGTGAATTTAATTTTGGACCACACCCCCTGGCGCTGGGGGGTGTGGTCAGACTGACCCCATTTTCGAACTCGATCGAGAACTAAAAATTAGAAGCACAATGGCGAAAACAGGGTTTGATTATGTTGACTCGTTCTGGAGATATCCTGCTTACGGACAGACGGAAGGACAGACGGACAGACGGACGGACAAAACGATCACAATAAGTAGCTGACGCTACTTAATAATCTAAAATTGCGACGGACCACATCGATCAAGAATGCGTCGCATGTACATACAGTCTAGGGATTGGCAGTGAATTCACCTGCTTTGGCCGTGAATTCACGGGCCTGAAAGTCTGCAGATTCACGGGCTTCAAGATAGGAAAAGCTGTGAATTCACGGCCCAGAAGAAAAAATAATTTAAAAATAATTCTAGGGCTGTGAATCTGTAGCTTTTCCTATCTTTAAGGCTGTGATTTCACGGGCTTCAAAATTTTTTATTTTCGTTTTTTGAAAATTTTAATTTTTCTGAAAACTTTTTAAAAAAACGCAGGGGCCCAAAAAATAGGATAATTTTGTTTAAATATTTAGAGGTTTATTAAAAAAAATTCATCCATGCGAAATTCGAAATAACTCAATTTCAATTGAAAAAAATTACATTTCTCAAATAATGCGCACGCTGGCACGTCGAACGCAAACAACAATAAAAAGTTGAAAGTAGTGCCCTGAATATATTTTGAAATTCATGCATTTGTTTATGATATCCTATACTACATGAACTATGCTCAAAATTGAAAGGTAGCCCTACTTGACCACACCCCCACAGGGTGGGGCAAAGTGAGATTTTGGTCAGAATCAACACATTATGAAAAAATATTAAGTTTAACTGTTTAGGACGTTGACCCCACTTGACCACACCCCCGGTATGGGGTAAAGTGAAATTTTGATCAAAATCATCAAATTTTTGATTTTCGGAATTTTCACATAAACTAATCCGTCAAAATTTGAATTTGTGTACATGACCACTCCCACTTGAAGGGGAGTGGTCAGAGTCCAAAATTATGATGATTTCCGAAATATTCTTACAAAATAATGTGTAAAACCGCCACTGTTTGAATTTGTGCATATGACCACTCCCACTCGAAGGGGGAGTGGTGGGAACTTAAAAAACTTAAAATGACAAAGATTTTCGAAATTTTCACACAAAATAATGTGTAAATCCGTCACAATTCTAATTTGTGCATATGACCACACCCCCTCGGAAAGGGGAGTGGTGGGAACTTAAAATGACAAACATTTTGAAAACCTTGATTATTTTGCACAATATGCAAATAGTGGAAGTAAAACTTTGTAGTGTATATAAGATGACTTAAGATAAGCATTCAGTGACAGCCAACCGTCAACCGTGCTAACTGATTGTTCTGATGGGAAATTCACGGCTCTGGAAATTATTTTTTTCCGGGCCGTGAATTCACAGTTTTTCTTATCTTGAAGCCCGTGAATCTGCAGCCTCTCAGGCCCGTGAATTCACGGCCAAAGCAGGTGAATTCACTGCCAATCCCTAGACTGACATACCTTGCAATTTTGTTTTTGGGCAATCATATCAATAGTTAATTACCAAGCGCGTCACAAAATCAAAATCACTTCAAGAATAAAAATAAGTCCAGTAAGACAATTTCTGCCAAATTTAGGTACGTCTAATAAAAATGTAGATGTAACTTATTGTATTTCCATGAATTCTGGTATTTCAAGAAGTTGCATAATACTGTAACTATCAAACTTAATAAGCCCCGGTTCGGGCTAAAAATACAACATACTTACTAGTTGAGTATCACTAATAAATCCTGACCATTCATAATAATTACAAGGCTAAACACATAATCATTTATTACTTGGTTCAACCTCTTTCAAATAAGAATACACGTTGTATGCAGTGAAAGGCAGGTACTATGTATCCATCTACTATGTCCATACATATTTATGTAGTACATCGGTTCGAATAAGATAAAAGGTCGTTCTTAAATTCAACACGGTTTCTTTTCCAGTATGCATTTTGTGCATAATAAAATTTTATTACATTTTACAAAGAATAGAACCTACGACTCGATCACAAGTGTTTCGTAACATCACCATTTATTTAGTCTCATTAAGGATAAGTAAGGAAAGCCAAAAACTGGGGCATGGAGAATAATGAGTTTGTGCATGCAACTTTCATGTATAAAACTAAATATGTCGACAATTTTAGCTATGATAAATGTCCAATATTTAGTCCATGGAAAAGGCCTCCTAAAAGGTTATCTATTTCCCAACGGTCAGTTTAGTCAATATTTTTAAGAAAATAACGAGCAAGAAGTCGTACCATGTCGTGTCATGCACTTATTAATAAACGACCCGAAATGTTTCATATCGCTGTAAAGAATGCGAACCGAATTTCCTCGGATTGATCGTAACATTAACAAAATGTCTGCAAAACGGATAAACTATATTTCTGTTTAAACGAGTACGAAAAGTTATACATACATATGTAACTGACCTTACCTAACCAGCATTGCATATGAAATCGGCCTACTCATACATACATATATATGAATTCATAAATGCATACATACATAGATACATAATCACTAAAAAAATAGGATAATCTCATAAAACTTAACTTATCTAAATTTTTATCCTTATCGCCTCCTCTCAAGTTTCGACAAGATAAATAAGACGACCATATTTGTAAAAGATAACATTTTTGCCTATAATTTTGAAGAAATCCCCACTTTACGAAAATTATTGAGTTTGCCCAATCTTTATTACTTTTTGTATCTTTCTTTCTACATACGTAGAACTGTATTGAATGAATCCTCGCTATCAATACCCTCTCAAGTCCAGTGTGGCTTACTCATGAAATGAAAACTGGCTTATCCCATTAGACATACTTTTCTATGCTGTAGAACTTGGCAATGGGCAGGCAGGCGATAGATACATATAGAAAGTGAAGTGAATCAACCTTTTTTGTATGGACTGGGTCCCAGATGCGTAAAGTTCTGCCAGCCTGGCAATTTTTCACTTTATTTTACACCAAATAATTTTGCAGATAAATTATATAACCACCAAATAAGCGTGGTCCTTACTGGAGTCTGTCTCAATACAAGTAGATATATGGTTAAAGTACAAAAATTCAGTTACATAAGTGAGCAGACAGAATAATTAAGTGGGGAGTGAAATAAAATGTGGTCGTAAATTGGTAATCGTGTAAAGAAAGTATTTTCTTCCAATTAATTAAAAGACGGATTACATACGAGTAGTTTTAAATCATTTGATAGTGTAAGCCTTATAGTAATTTTTAACGAACACTTCATTAAATAAAAAATGTGATTGTACTTCATAAAATAAATACACCTTCTTTTCGTTTTTGCAGGAATTTGTTTCAAAATTATTCCGCAAATTGTTGCATTCGTCATGTCAACTTTTAAAGCACCCCATCCCGTGTGCACTTGTCGTCATAGAACGTCCATATTTGGCGAAAAATCAAAATGTCTGCGATGTGGCAATAATTCCAGAACCACCCTCTCTGCCCAAACCCCGGATGGAATAACCCTCCCACCAGTTACTCCCCCACAAGCTAAGAGATCCCTGTTAGAGTTAAAAAGAATTCGCGAAATTGAGAAAGAAATTGAAGAGCAGGCAAAAATATTTGAGGAAGAATTCCTTGCAAAAAAACGACGAGGAGACGTCCAAACAACTCCGCCTAATTCACCGATAAGTCCTTCAGGAATGTTTCCCCCTTCTGTGTCATCTTCTTCAATTTCACTTCCGCCAAGTTCTTCATCATCATCGCCAATTCTTCCCTCTGTAATTTTACCTACGCCAATTCTTCAAAATTCGCCCAGTTCATCCTCGTTAATCCCACCTGCTGGAATTTCATCCCCCCTTTCACTCCCATCCACACCAAATAAGTCGGTGGCACAATTATCCGCACAAATCACCGAGTTTGAAATGATTTTAGACCAATATAAAGTCCGACCGGGGTCGACGAATTTGCAAAATTTGACACAATCGTTCACAATACCGGCGCATAATAGTGCAACTACTACTTCCCTACCTCCCCCGCCACCACGACAATTTCCACCATTAACAGTTGCACCCCCTCTTTCGTCGCTACTAGCAGGAAATTCTGAATCCGAGGATGACGAGGACAAACAGTGTGTCGTGTGCTTGGAGAGGAAAAAGACGCATATTTTAATACCCTGCGGTCATTACGCGTATTGTGACACATGTGCAAAAACGTTAAAGATTTGTGCCTTGTGTAGAGTTAAGGTGACTAGAAGAGTGAAAGTTTTTGAGGCTTAGTAAACATCGCATAATAATTATTACATAATTTAGAGGGAAAGCTGTACTTTTCGGTTGGAGAAAGTTGCGTAATTTTGGAAAAAATTGTAACTTTCCTCTAGTTTGAGAGTAAATTTCCTGAGGAAGATATTAAGCAAGTATTAATTTACTTAAATATGAACTATGAAATTATTAATAAGACTAGATGAATTTAGTTGTATTGTAATGCATAATTTTATATGAACTATGTACCTACATATATAGACTGTTATGTTTAAATTAGGTATAGATAGAGTATAATAGCGATAGAAATATGACCTTTGAAGTGTCTGAACAATGTAAGCCTTATCATGATTGTGTTGTCAATTACCTATAATGGAGAGAGATACTTGTATGTAAAGAGAAAAGCCGGGATATATTACAGACTGACGATATTATTGTGTGTGCCTTTATTTTCTTATCGTATTTACTATTTACAATTAGGATATTCAGTAAAATACAGCCACTCGAAATAATTTTGTTAAATGTGTAATGTAAGTTGTTGAAAGTTTGCAAACAAACTAATTTACTTAGCGACATTAGAATAAAGCATAACCGTTGAGAGAATTTTGAACGATTAATTAGGGAAGATTCATAAAATACGTAACGTAATGAGTGAGGGGAGGGAGGGGTCGGACTGTTGCGTAACAGGTCGATTTGCGCCACATGTTAAAAAAGGGGGAGGGAGGGGTACAAAAGTAGCCAATTTTGCGCTATGTATTTTATAAGCGTTCCCTTGGGCCTATCATCACAAAACCCGCAATTTTTTTTAACAAACTGACCCACATAATATGCACAACCTGTAATTCATAGTAGATTGGTGTTTATAGAAATGCATAATTTTCATGAGTTTGACTCATGTCTGCAGAAAATGTAAGTTCGTGCTACGAATCGCATTTACAAACGGGTTAAAATAAATAAAAATATTATGTCAGGTATTGGCAGAAAGACAAATGCAAATAAGTCATGCAAAATGATGTCATATGTACTATTATGTACTAACTTCTATGCGTGGTGATGGCTAAGTTTTTTAACAAGCTCAACAATTTGATTGCCTGTAAAATAAAAGATCTCTAAGGTTCGGTTTATTGCCACTATGTACATATTTATTTACATATGTAAATATTGCAAGGCATTTTATACATATGTATGTACATATGTATGTACATTTTATACATATATATATCATACATAGGTATAAAGTGCCCTGAAATTTGGTGTGGTGTGTGGACAAATTTCGCTAAATACCTTATTGGTCTATAAATTTTTTTCATGTACCTATCTCTCCCTAATTGAAAGACGTTTTATCGAATCGTCAAATAAATAAAAAACCAACTAGACAAAACTTATTTTTTCTTATTGAAAACATTTCTTCTCACATTTTTTGTGTCAGTTTGAGTGACAAACTTTCGATGTAAATAAGCCCTCCTCCTCCCTAAAACAATACTACACAAGATATAACGTTGCCAATCTATTTTTTCACCGCACCTAAGAAAAATATGTACTCTAAATACGATACGCGTGTTTTACACCATTGTAATCGTTTTTGATACCTAATTAGATAAAAAAATTAATCCTACAAAATTCATGTAAAATAGGATTAAACAATTCATAGAAAAAAAGTTGGCTACATTTCATTTTTTCATCTTTCCAGGTCAAAACAGCCGACTATATCCGAAATGGTTACGTGCTTGCTGATGGCATTATTCAATGTTTACTTTATGATGTCAGTTTAGGTAGTACGTGCAATATGTCATTCTTTGAATTATAACTTCCAGTATTTAAATTCTTGTAAATTTGCTTAATTCTTAATGGCTCATTAATCACATATATATTCCCTGAAAGCTGGTTGATGTTCCTGGCACTTTAATTTCGGTTAACTTTGCTTATTAATTGAAACTGTACTCCATATCGAGGAGATTACAGCGTGCATAAGTCCAGATTAAACATTACACCCGATTTATGTAAATACATACACATGTAATAATTCATGGAAGATAAAATTTCCAGAAGCTCTTATTAAATACACATGTGTATCGTTATCAAATTAATTTTCAACGTGCTAAGCACGCTGAAAGCAATACATAGATATCTACATACATTTGCTAACCAATTTAGGGAAGTACGATTAGAAAATGCGTTTAATAACCCTGTCCTTTCCCAATTATCCATTCATACTTAATTCTAAGTATTTTTTTAGCTGTCTATATTTATATTTATTTTCTCTAAATAGACACACATGAATATTTATAAATAAAACATCCTGTATTGCATACTTAAACCATAAGAGCAGGAAAAATTCTCCAGTCAGTAGAAAAATATCAACACATTTTGGTTGCAAAATCATGAAACAAGTCAGACGGACATGCACACAATAAAATAGTTGGTGACCAAAACCTTGACTGCATGCAGGCACGTCAACCATTACAACTTTTATTTTGTACTCATTCCACTCAAATTTGTGTATCATGATCTGCTTTTAGATTTTCCAAAATTTAGATGAATTTCCAAAATTAAAATTTCTTTACTCCGAAACATATTTAAGTAACAACTCATCATGTCCACTAAAGATGGTGAAAGTCCATCCTCCTCCACATCCGCCACCCCCATCGCTGAGTGGGGGACTTGGGCTCAAACTCTGGCCGATGCTCAGCCCTTCGACCTTATCGAGATCAACAGATACTACGGACTTTATCAGCACTGGGTGATGTATCTGGGAAAGGGATATGTCATCCATGTCACACAAGTGAGTGATTAGTGGTTCATATCTTATCATCGGTTATCTCATTATTTATTGATATTTCAGGTAAAGGACCGAACTGAAGGACCCGACGCAGAAAAGCGGATCGACAAATTATCCACCCTCGTTCGCCAGGACTACTGTCGGATTAACAATCTTGTCGACTACGCCAAGGAAAAAGGGTCAGATGCACGACGATCGGACGACCTTATTTTCGACGCCATAAAAGACATTGTCCCTGACAGAAGGTTGCACAAAATTAATTACGCCGATATTAATAAAGTTGTCATCGTGCCGTATGCCGTTACTGGAAAAAACTGTGAATTCTACGGAACCCTATGGCGTTACGGGGTAGGGTTTAGCAAGCAGGTGGATTACGGTTTGAGCAAAAATATTCCACCAGAGAAAATGATGGAGAGTGTGGAATTGCTGGCAGAGTTGGAACCAAATCAAGAAGAAAGCGAATACTGATTACCGAGTTTGTCGAGACTTTGCAATTCCAAATTAGTATTATTTACGTTAATGAGAGATTAATGACAGGACTAATTTCATTACAAAATGCATAATTTACTTTAGTGCTGATTAAATTTCTCAATTTTTTTATTTAGAAAAAGCGGGGAATAAGTAAATAAAAAAAGGTTATTGGCGAACTTTATATAATGCACATTGTCTTATTCTACTAATTCCTACTCAATGTATATTATAAATACATATCCTCAGTGCACACACGTACATATACTCATACGTACATCTAAAAATACAAGTAAGTAAATAAATCTGTATCACGGTAAATTCAAGAACTAATACTTCAATATTTTAGCATTATATTTATATACATAATTTGGTTCTAATTTTAGGCGATTTATCCTTCCAAACTTTCTTTTAATCGTTGGGCTCTCAATTTATACAAAACTTTTAAGTACATACTTGCAATTAGTATTACACATTTATTTATCGTGTTTAATCTCTTCTTCCTTAATGCATATGTAAATTATTTGGAAATATATTTCCAGAGTAGCTGTCTCGTCTCACCATCACATAATAATCATCTTACACCACAATGGCTCAAATTCCCTTAAATCAGGACGAAGTCGTAGAAAATATATACGCCACAAACGTTTGGAGAGTTCCTGGAATATCGCAATTCATCACAAAAAATATCCTCAATTTAACCCGATGCTACCTCACAATTGTAGACACACGTTTATCCAACCACCCAATTGTGACGAGAAGACTGAACGAATCCAAAACCCTCTCGACTCTTGACCACCCATCAATCTACAAGATTGAAATTTACCAAAGAAAATTCTCCTCGGCAGAAATCCTTGCCCTCAAAGAACTATATGCCGAGCCAGATATGCCACTATTTCCCCCCTCAAAAAATAGCGAGGATACTGACATGGAAGCAATCTGCATAAAGATGGAACAACCCCACAACGTCTCTGCAACCGGATTCGTCCTAACCAATCACTATCGAAAAGATTCCCCCATATTTCATCAACAGCAAATCGTCATGATACAAAATTTAGTTCAAGTGGTGAACTATTTGCACAAAAAAGTAATCCCGATCAGAGACTTGGTTGCTCACGCGTTATTTTCCGGTGAAAGTGAAACCAACCTAAATTCTCCCCTCGTCAAGGTCAACGTGTCCTTAGCGGCTTTCCCACACGTGGCGTCTATTCCACTACCGGATGACAATGTTAAGCGCTCTCGATATCATGAGGACATAGCCAAATTGAGCACTTTATTCAAATCTATACTAATGTATGGTAATTCTATGATTCTAAATGTGCAAGAATTGATAGCATTACCGCGACATATCACCACGGATCAAATTAAAGTGCAGATCTCCAGCGAAGATAACAAATTCAAGCAGTTAATGTCCATCCTCCGAGATCCTGACGGGACGGATTGGCTGAATGATTTAAAATTTACGCAAAAACTCGGCAAAGGGAGTTTTGGATTTGTGATGGCTGCAATTGATCAAAATCAGGGACATAAAACTGTCGTTAAAATTATAGCAGGTCAGATAATAGATAACTTGGACGATTTGGATGAAGATGATGATGACGATGATGATGAAGATAGCGATGAAGATGAAAATGAAGATGGCGATAAAGATGCTGAAGACGAAATGTTCAAAGCAAGGCGGGAATTTGAAAATATGAAATCGTGCCAACACCCTAATCTTACAAAATTGTATCGATTCAAAGAGAAAACATATTCTCGTCAAGATATAAAGGGTGGCCCAAATGTATCTCCTGAGGAATTTTTTCGTAAAAGTTTAAGATAAAATAGGCTGTAATCTCTGAACCAGCCAATGTTTTATTTTGAAAATTTTACCATACGTAGTCCAATATGGAAGGTCGATCGTGACTATCATAGAATTCAGACAAAAATTTCGGTTGCGCAGCAATAAAAAATAAATCAAAATTTGGAGAAATTGTGATATGTCGGGAAAATAGTAAGGCTACGCAGCAGCAGAAATTTTGCCAACTACAAAAAGCGGCCTGACCGACGTGGAAAGATGTCACCTAACCGAAAAACAACAATTAAGCTCAAGATTTACCCTAAAACCGAAGTTCGGTACTTAGTTGTTCAAAAGAACGAAGTGACTCAAAATGCTTGAAAATTATTAACAAGTAAATTTACGGTACTACAATGTAGAAGGTTGCAAAATCAACGAATTCTAGTCAGGCAACTTGTAAACTTACCAGGAAAACATTACCATCTCCAAAGAACGTTAATTACCGTCTTAAATTTGGAGAAATACTTCAAAAAAGTGGCGATTTGGGTGAAAAAATACAAGGTCAAGAACCAGGGCCTTATTTCCTCTGGACCATTGAATCCCGAATTAAGCTGTATGTAAAATTCAACCTACAAAATATGAGATACAAAACCGCAAAAAAATCGGATGTACCACCCATATGTGTGTTACAATTGGTATCGAAAGTTATGGTTGCGGGTGTTTTTTTGGGCCTGGCGTAAAAACCTTTCAAAGTATGCAAGCATGGCACATATCAAGGTAAAGAATTTTATAGAGAAAATGCAACATAAACACTTTGATAGCATGAGAAACAAGGAATTTTTTCCAAATGTTAGTACTTTTCCGGCAGGATGGTGCTACAAGTCACGCTTCAAAAACCACCATGGCGCTAAATGTAGGGCAGGGTAAATCTGTTTGGGGCAAAGGGGTGTGGTCTACTAAAAATCCGGATGTGGGTGTTTTGGATAACCAATGGGTAATACATAAGTAAAATATGTACATCGATCCAGAACCATGCTCGACAGCAGAGATAACAACGAAAGTTCAAGAAAAGTGTAATTTCATACCAAAAATGACTTTGGAAAGATCATCATAGAGTTTCAACAAAAGCGATGAGGACATTGTTAGGGTGAATTGTTGAAAGACCAAATACTAAGGTATGTGCGGAAATAAACTTGGGTTCACCAAGTCACACGGTTTTGAAAAATAGGGTCTTGTTCTTCTGATAGAAAAGGTCGGGAGATACATTTGGGCCACCCTTTAGATAATCTGCCATCGTTCTGGGACGAAGATTTCGAACAATTTAAGATATTACTGAAAAACTTTGAGAAGAAAAATCATACCGTTTTATGCATCGAGATGGAATTGTGTGGTCCAAATTTGCGGACTTGGTTGGACAAAGAAGCAAGAGAAAGTGCAAACCTGGATCAAATTAAATTGAGAATTATACAAGAATTAATCCAAGGAATGGCATACCTCCATGAGAAAAATATTCTTCATCGAGACCTTAAACCACAAAATGTCTTCTTCGCCTCGCATGAAAATATGTTCCCCGTAAAAATCGGCGATTTCGGTTTTTCTACTTCAGATTTCGGTCTTTCCTGCCCAACTTACAACACAATTTGGGAGGAGGATGATTATGCCGATCGTCTCGGTAAGCTTGACCTGGACAGCTCTCATACTGCAAATCCTGGCGCAGCTGCGTACCAAGCCCCAGAAGTGAAGAATGAAAAGTCCAAAAAGGCAAAATATGGAAAACAAGCCGACATTTTCAGCTTGGGGTTAATAATTTTGGAAATTGTCAAGCTGTTCAAGACCAAGGTGGAAAGAAGCGTAGCGTTTGACAAACTTGTCAAACATAGTGACAACACTATAATTAGCGATGAACTGACCCTCGTCCAGTCCACGAATGTAAAATCCATCATAATTAGCATGACCAAGAAAGACACAACTACCCGATTGACCTCAATGTCTCAAGTTCTTCTGGTCGGACCGGAAGCAAAAGTGGCCACCTCGGAACAATTAAGAGCTGCTTGTACTCTCCCAAGCACAATTATTCTATCGGAAGGAATTTACTCGGGCTCATTTTTACTGACCTCGGACTGCATAAACATCCGTGGAGCTTCGCCTTCTACAACCATATTTCAAATGGAGGACGACTCTTCAACCGAATCCGTTATTACACTTACCGGAAATAACTGCTCAATTTCTAACCTTCAAATTCGTTGTGGGTTAAGAAACCCAGGAATTGAAATTTTGGGAAATCACAACAAGTTGGATAATATTTGGGTATCAAAGGCTATAACAATTCCAGTTAAAGACTATAACGATCTCAACGCCCAAAGAATCCTCATCCAGGCCAGGGCGGACGTACCACCGTGACAAATACAAACATAAGCAATTTAGAGTGTGCCATCCAAATCCGTGGCGACAAGGGTGTGAAAGGTCACAATGTTTTAAGCGATTTAAAAATTACCATGTGCCGGACCGGAGTGGAAATTTGGCCAGGAAATAATACAGTCAGAAATGTTTTCTGCTACGATTGCTTTACCGGAATTATTTTGCGTCATAGTAAACAAAATGTCTTGGAAAATATTTCATGTCGAATTGGCAACAATATTCCCGAGAATTTTGGAATGTATGGAATTTATGTAGAATACGGGACGAAAAATATATTGACAAATATAATTTGTGATAATTATTCCGAAGAGAAAGAATATTATGGAGTTTACGTAGAAAATGAGAAAAATTTGGTGATTAAGGATAGTAATTGTGGTCCAGTGTTTTTGGATGGAGAACATTTACGACTTGAAGGGGTCGACGGAGGAGAAGCAATTATTGCGAAATATGGCTCAGACATGGCATTTGTGAAATGTCGTGCTAAAATATTAAAGCATTTTTTAAAAGAGGATCAGTTCAGTTTAGAAGGTTGCAAATTTGACGAGGTGAAAGTGGAAAGTGAACCAATAAGTGATGATGATGAAGGAGCAGTAGGTGGTCGGCCGATGTAAACCTCAAATTTGAGGGGTGTAACACGTGAATTCATTGAATCTTATATACTCGATTTATGAAGTCGAATTTGTATTTACAATTTAGAGATACATATGTAAATGCACATAATAATTAGGCCTTTTGTAACCAAAAAAGTTTTGTAAGATTATCAAGTTCTCAATAAATTTGTGACTTGCTTTTTAATTTTCAGTAAACTCGTGTAATTTTTCGGATTTTACAAACTTATTGCTACAAATTAATAATTTTACGTATGGCATGTGTATTTAATTTCATCGACTGCACCCCGTCCGTCCCTGCCGAAAAATTGACACCACCAAATGCTTCATAAAATTTAACGGCCTTCGTATTCGTGTCCAATACATCTAATGTGTATCCATGACACCCATTTTCCACGGCAAACTAATTAAAAAATATAATTTCGGTTAAAATTGACTCTATTATCATTGTTTTTTGATTAAAATTATGTAATGCTTACCTGTGCACCTGCTTGGAACAATTTAACCCCAACGCCTTCCCCTCTCTGCTCCCCGTCCACATACAGATCTTCCAAATGAACCAATTTTCCGTGGATGGGATGAAACGTACAGTAAATCAAATTGTACCCCACAAGTCCGCCCTCACCCTCGGCGACGAAGGCGTAATAATCAGGACTGCTTTTTTCAAAACCGTCACGTTGTAAAGCTGTTGTAAAAAGCAGGTCAATATTAACTACTTATACATATTTTGGAAAGTGGGAAAATTGTATAAACTTTTTAAGCCGAACTTCAAAATTTGTGAAGTTTACAAAACTTCTGGGTGTATTTACAATACGACAAACATGTCACTCGTAAATTGAGTATAACTTGCCAAGATTTGTAAAGTTTGCAAAATTTCCTAAAATTTTTGCTTGAAAAAGATGCCATTTATTTGTTCCCAAGTCGGCATGTATGTTTTTTTAGATTTTGACATGAGCACACCCATAGTACGTACGTAAAATGCTTTCTCATAATCCTCAGTGGCGATTCGTCACTGCATATGCGATTTTTTTAACCAATTGGCATACCATTCGCTTCCATTTTCTTATCACCACTTGGCATCTGTGGTCTTTCATACGACGTTCCCAAACCTTGAATCATTTTAGCGATGTTTTCACAATCCTTCACTTGTGCTGGTCTGACTCGAATGTTTGTCCCCTTATTGCTAGAATATTTGGCCAACTTTTGTAGAGCATCCAAACTTAAATGGTAGTGTAACCATCCTTGACCAGTGGAATTTGTGGCGTCGTATTTCACAAGGAATTTCATCCCTGCAACGTTATCCTTTCGAATCTGGAGAGAAATTTCTTGTCCTTTCTCATTAGCAACCTAAATAAAAGTGAATGGGTCACTTCAAATTGAGATTAATTTTAATGAGTGGTTTACTTGACATAAATTGCGTAAAAGGCGAAATCCGACACCTTTTCGGCGATAGGCTTCTCGAACGATGAAAGTGTTAATCTGAATTCCGATACCTTCACCTTCAAATGCGGTGTATTTACTGTTGTAAAGCACCATCCCTAGAATTTGGTCAATCTCGTCAACGGCCACAATTCCGGAGAAAAGTGGTGGCGAATTATTTTTTGGAAACGCAAAAGAGATCAGTTCTGGATTGAAAAATGTGTTTAAAATTGAAATTATTATTTTTCATTTTAACATAAAATATTTATTTTCCACCTTTTTTGTTAACAACGCTCTTTTCTCCGGTATCGGCAGAAAGTTGTTCTATCAACTCGGAAGCCTGGTCTGAATCGGCTTCAACGATTGGTCGAATTTTCAAAGCTTCCATCGTTAAAAAATTGGATATGTACTTTCTAAATTATAAAGTTTTTATGTTAAGCTGTAAATAAATTTTGCCAATGAAAGATTGAAGAGTTTTGCATACACGGTTTTAGTTTGTACTCGTTCGGCCTTGTCGTCCAGGTGGGAGACAAGGTTATCTTGAATGTACTTTGGACATGACTCTGCGTTACAACTGGGATTGCCAGACATGTTACATAACTGATCAATATAATGCAGACGACCAATTATGCATACATATTTACACCATATATTATACGCAGGCATACGAATGTATACATACCAATACTTATATTTCTTCATTGGAGTATAAATTGTATTGGCAAATTTGTATGCAAGTTTGTATTTACATAAATATATATGTACGCATGTTTATATGCGCAGAAGCATAAAATTTCATATGCATAATAATATGTATGTATATGAATGTATACATGACTTGTTGTTTAAGTCACAGGTGCGATATCGAAAAATTTTGTAGGAAACAAAATTCTATTAGTGTTTTCTCAATTATGGCAACGTTTAAATTTTTACGTGTTACCCCACAGACCCTTTTTTGCTTTGACCCCTCACGCGGAGAGAGTTTCCGGCTTACAGTACAGTATTAGGAGTTTATGAGTTAACGGAAAAGAAAAATAACTTGAAAAATGCCTTTATGAAAATCACTTTATTCAATTTTTATGACATTATAACAATATCGCTATTTTTATTGAAAGCCTTAATTTCCCATAAACGTGAGTGCGTACATTGCCCAAGAATTGTCTTAACGTAGCTAATTTACAATTTTATGCATAGGTATGTGTATATATATTTAATAAATTGATTACAAAAACTAAAACAACAAATCATTGCTCTCAAATAATTATCATATCACAAACTTTTCACGATGTGGAATCATATTTCGCATCAAAAGTACCATCCTCCACTTCAGTCTGACCTTTTGATATCCCATTGACCAATGGTGGGTGACTAATTCCTGGATGAAGACCGCGAAGCAGAGCACGAGACATCCAGCCAGGGCATAAAACGCGCCTGAAATATGCTTCAAGGTCAGGTCATCACTTTCAGCAGCGGATGAATGTTCCAATTTGTCCGTTTGGTTAGTCGCCAGCCACCAAGCTCTTTTCGGAAGGCGGACGTTGTAGTACATGTCGTGCATCTCCCACAAATCAGCGAGATGAAATGGTCTCACCCACGAAAGCCAGCGGTCAAAGCCTTCCTTGTAAATAGAACCGGCTTCAAGAGTGAGACCCATGAAGACCTAAATTCAAGAGATCGGTGCATTAATTTAGGAAATTCAGGTCAACTGCGACATGTCCATAAAAATTTTTAACCAACTGGCCAACTGTTCATTAAGTTTGCTGCATGGAAACATATTTCGTACATTTCGTTTCGTACAGCTTGTGTCCTTACCGCATACGTCGTCTCCGGCGCGTACACCAATTTCCTACTGTCTGCATCTGACAGATTCCCATATAGCAGGTAAATTGTTGAAAAGGCGAACGCCAGGCAGGCGTATTTCTTTTCCACGACACGTTCCAAGCATTCTAATCCGTTCCCGGTAATGATTTCCATCTCCTTCACCAGCGTGACGTAGACGGGATCCGTAGATGCTGCCAAAGTATTGTACGCCGCGTCCCCATGTTTAATGAATCCCACGGTGTAGTCAGATGCCACTAACTGCTCGAAAGTTGTCGGGATTTTCTCCAGGACGGGGAAGGCAAGCAGGCTGACCATCTTCGACCTGTGATACAAATCATGCCCAAATTCAGTCAGAAATATGGATCAGTTGGGGTTAAGGTTATTTTTTCCTAACCTGTAAATCGTGGTGATAATCAGTGTAAAAAATAGCCACAAGGCGACAAAACTCCGAAGTGGTGTGAACGTCGGGAGAACACAATCCTGATCCAGATAGCTCGTCATGACGAAAAATATCTGGTGCCGCAACCCCCAATTGTCCTGACTGACGATGCCTCGACGAGCGAAACTCATCGTCTCGCTGGAATCCATGCCAAGAGCGATCATAAATTGTGTAATGAGTTTAAAGATGATGAACGCTGCGAGCGTGGATAATCCGATGCAGGCCCACATGACGAGATCAAACGACCAGAGGAGCGCAGCCGGCGAGAACACCCGGACACCGTAGGTCGTGATGAAGTGTAAGTAGCTAATGTCGAAGAAAGAGTGGGTGAAAGAGACTTGTCGATCTGTTAGCATACATACATAATTTGAATAAATGTTAAAGTTACACATGAGAAATTTTAAATTCAAATTAAGAAAATGTAGTTTATGCTAGCCGAAATTTCTTGATGAACTTTCAGATTTTAATTTCAACTGATAATGGGCCTTATGCATAAGAATAAGTAAATGCTTTCACTCCAAATTTCCCTGTTAAATTTTTCTTTTCGTTGGATATTTTGAGGTAAAAGCATTTGCTTATTTTCATGCATAAGGTAAATTAGGGGTACTCATGTCTACATCAAAAATTCAGTAAATTATTTACCGCATTACCGTAAATGTCACAGCAAAATATCAACGTTTTGACCAAGAATGTTTGACGTGAGCACCCCGCCGAATGTGTCATAGATAATGTATATAACTTACTTCGTTTATTAGTGTTTCCCGTGATGATGGCAACGTCCGCTTTACCAGCCATAACGTCCCCCACAGTTCCTATAAGAAGAATAAAAACAATTACTCAGTTTCGAAATTAATGTTTAAATTATCTACAATCACTTCAGCAAATCTTTTTACCTATCCAAGTTCCATTCGGGAGTTCCAACCCGGTCCCCCCTCCACCAATGTAACTTCCACTTTTTCCCATCGAGAGGAACATGTTATACGTAAAGTTGAACTTTAGCATTAAAAATTCATCAAACAGAGTCTTCCACATGCCACGAACGGCATTGTTCACTCCAATGTACGGAGCCTTGGCTTCGATTCTCGATTTTATGGCGGGAAACGCTATCCTTAACGTTTTTCCCATCATGTTTAGAAGAAAGTCGGGAAAGAAGTTAAAACTGAGGGGGCGTTCTGAAGAGAAATCTATAATCCGAGGCAGCCCTTCGTCACAGTAGAAGCAAACTGAACGGAGAATCAGGTCTCCAGACGGGGTGAAAGTGAGACCAAGTTTGTATTTTGTCTTAGCCGGAAGGAAATCCGATAAGAGGAGGGTTTCCAGTTCGGGTGGTTGTGGGGTTATCCAGATCCAAAAGTCAGACTCTTTCTTAACCATGGGGACGTAGACGGGAGATATCGAACTAAAGGGAAATGTGTGTATACAAATATTAAGATTTCGTTCAGAAATTAGTCCGGCTTATGCGATATTTTCATTCGTTTATCACCATTGTAATTTATTTCCTTGAATAAAACGCTTCTAAAGTAATTATCGGTTAACAATTTTCCTGTAGAGTGGACCAATTTCTCTACTTTTCAACACCCAAAATCAGTACGAAAAATGTCTAGAAGTGTGTAATACCGAAAAAAATGTGATTTTCTTACCTTTTAAGTCCTGCCAAAAACTCTGGCTGAAAATCATCCACCGTGACCACGACAAGTTTACAAACGTCAGCCTTTCTGTTATAATTTTCCACTAATGTCGAGAACTTAATGGTGGAAAGGTTTCCAACCGACGAATGGACGGCATTATAATACGACGAGACTTTCACTCGTTTAACGACATTTGACAACAAATTATTGCCAACTTCACTTTCTCTACTTTGACGGACGAAAAATAGGGCACAGTGGGGATACCGATGGACGATAAGGTCCACCAGAAATATTTCCCCCTTCGTGGTTACGACGCTTCCACGCCCCATGAATGGATGGAAACACGTCAAAATCAAAATACCCCACAGCTTGCACATTTCCTTTTTAGAATGGATTTGTGTAATATTTTTTTATTTGAGGAAAACGTGTATACGTGACGAATTCTTAGGTGACACAAGATGTACATATCCTCATAGGTACATATAGGTGTGGACACTGGCGTGTCATTGATGAAATTTAATGCCATAATCCGCGATTTTGTTGTCTTGCCAATTACAGCAAATTTAATGGGTATCGCATGACATGACTCAAGCCAAATTATGTTGTGTGAATGTATATTGAGTGCTAATGCACTTACATAAGTCCACTAACAAGCCGTGCCAATCTGAATTTGTGTTGGGCTTTATAAATAAATGAAAGTAAACGTTTTCCCGTTGAAGTTCATATGGTATAGTTTCTTCTTGTTTGAAAGTTTGCTTTCTTATTCGCAGGTTAGTTACCCGTGGGCACAATTTGAGGTTGAAATGCAGATATCTGAATTAATCTACGTGCTTGCCGACTTTAATGCTAAATATTTTGCCAGCTTGGCGAATGGAAAGAATTAAATGTGCAACATGCATGGCACTAATTACATACATAATGAATTAATTTTTTGTGTATGATAAGATCAAGAGTGATAGTTTAACAAGACTTTTTTGCAGGACGGTATTTTTCATTTTTTAAGACTTTAAATTTTTCAGATTAACTGCCAAAATCCTCTTTTCTACCGTATAGTCAGGTTTTTGGGTATTGTTTATCAGTAACGATCATCCGTACAGATTGCGTTAAATGTTGTAACACTTAACGACAGGTTCATAGAATCTATCCATAGACAAAGTATTGGTCCATCATATGCATTTTTAGATCAGTTCTAATGCGGCCTGATTTGCTGGAAAAATGGTATCACATCAATGATACATCTTCCATGGGAATCTTTGTCCCATATATAATTTTAGATTTATCTCGACGATCATCTGTACAGATTGTGTCAAGTGTTACACAATTTAACTTAATCTGTACTGATGATCATCTAGATAAATGTGGTTTCCCTGGAAACCTTTGTCCACATTTATCTGAACGATCATCAGTACAGATTACGTTAAATGTTGTAACACTTGACGCAATCTGTACAGATGATCGTCGAGATAAATCTAAAAGTACGCTTGTGGAGAAAGATTCCCATGGAAAATATGGCATTGATGGGATACAATTTTTCCAGCCAACTAAACCCTACAACTGATATAAAGATGCATAGGATGGGCCGATCCATTTGTGTAGATTCGACGAATGTCTCTTAAACTTTAAACAAGGGTCGTGGATATAGATAAATTTATTTAGAAATTCGAGGGTACTTCGTTTCAGATTGTTTAACTGACAATGGAACCTTTTTTAAGCTGCACCTAAATATGTAAATATGTATATAGCTTAGCGAGGTATTTGAAAAAGATTAAGCCAAAAATTAGGATTAGTACTAATCTTTCCGTTGAATGTCATTGTGAGGCATATATTGCCTTGAAAGATTCACAATTCTGCCTGTTTTTATCTCAAATCTAAAACAGGGGAACCGTGAACTTTGCCCCCCAAAAAATGCCCCTTAAAACTGGTCATTCAACGGAAGGATAAGTACCACGTGATTCCTAATGTTTTGCTCGTTTTTTTCATATAACTCGCTAAGTACTTCGAGTGTAGTTTAAAAAACGTTCCATTTTGAGTCAAATCAAATTTAAAACTACATATGTATGCTTATTTTAGTGTACCCCAAGCCCTTCAAATGAAGCAAATACATAAGCCATAATTTACAAGTATCCAGAAGTACTTCCAGTATCAAGAAAGCACAGGTTTAAATATCCAGTATGAGAGGGTAATTTGCTAGTACACACCCAAACCCAAGGATTCTCCATGATAAGCCTTAATTCAGACAATGAATAAATCAAAGCATAAGAAAACGCGATACAGGAAGTTCATTATGAATCAAAAATGAACTCGTTTTTCTCAACTTACTCAATTACATAAGTGTTAGGGTTGCTGTGTACATATTCACATTTGTCGTCAGTATTATCTGATGTCCAATTATCCAAATACACGGTGAAACAATGGATCAAAATTTCATCTGGGTTCGGACTTCGTTCTTTTCAAAGAATTAGACATGTAGAGTTGTAATTGTGATGCATATCTTTCTTTCCATTAAACTCGTTGCATGTCCATTATTGTATTTTCCTATATTTCTATTTGTATCATTGGATACCTGCTCGTCTCATTTTGGTTGCATAACTTTGTTAAATGACAAATCCTGCATTGCTGCAAAGACCTTGAATGTATCACTAATTAATGTAGTATCATTACAAATATTATATTACATACAAAATGAATTATAAATTAAAGCTGCGTTTATACTTTCCTCCTTAGGAACTTGTGCTAATAGTATATTTTAACTATGACGCAAGTTACCAAGGAGTGAAGTATAAACGCAAATTAAATATCAATACGTACAGTTGTAATTTTGGAGGCCGTTAGGCAAGGCATCGCAGCGTTTCAATATTTTTGTACATATTTATCTTTGAATGCCAATGCCAAGTAAGTAAATATCGGTAATAAATAAATGATACATATGTTGTATGTGCATTGAAGATTTTCTGAAGAATTATATCCACAAAAAGAAGTCATTTCTATAAACTATATGGCCGATTTCAAACAAATACCTATGCTATTAATTATGAAGAATTCAATAAGTTTTAAAGTGCAAGAAATTATGCACATTTAAAATTTGCGTAAATATGTATCAAATAAATATGTACTGCAAGTAGATACTTACTTGTACATACATATTTTCAGTTTTCTGCTAATAAAATTCTTGATTCGGAGTAAATAAACTATTAAAAAATTTGTTAAGCATCTTTATATATAAAAAGCAGATGAGGGTTGATTATGTTTGACAGATGGTTCATAAATGTATATTTCTATTCAAGCTAGTTAATGAACAGTAGCGTGTACTGCTCATATCCCTCTAACATACTATCCTCGCACTCAGCCCTTGCACCTCATTTGCATATTTTAACGCATTCGCGAGAGCCATAGAGTTTATTCAACATGGAAAGCTCGTATCGCCGAAAATGGGCTATTGAGATTTATGCAAATGAGGTGCAAAGCCTAAGTACGGGGATAGTATGCACCTCTTTTATAGTGAAGTGATGTTGGTGGTGGCACATATAGCGAAGGCAGGTGCACTGTGTGCGGATCGCTGAAAAAGTGGACAAATTATTTTTGGGTTCGAATCCCAGTCGGGGCATTATTTTGGTTTGCATTTTTGTTGACGTTTTAAGGGTGGAGAGTTCAGAAACCATAATTCCTTTGATGTACAATGACCTGGTGATCGTATGCACGGGATGAAAAGCCGGAAAATTGTATATCTCTCACTTTTCGTCCCGGCCTCACGGTCGCCAGGTCATCGTACATCAAAGGAATTATGGTTTCTGAACCCTCCACCCTTAAAACGTCAACAAAAATGCAAACCAAAATAATGCCCCGACTGGGATTCGAACCCATAAATAATTTGTCCACTTTTTCAGCGATCCGCACACAGTGCACCTGCCTTCGCTATATGTCCCACCACCGCACCAACATCACTTCACTATTATGGTCAACATGCAACCTCGACCATCACGTGCTCGTATCCTCCCCACACTGTTAGTATGGTAGGGATATGAACGCGGGAATCAAATTTTGGTCGAGGTTGCATGCTGAGCATAATATAAAAGAGGTGCATATGTTAGAGGGATATGAGCAGTACACACATATATTATTTAGCTCTTTACATGTTTTGTGGTTATTTATGAGTGTGCCGACTATCAATCATACGAGGATTGGGAGGACATAATTTTCCAGTAGATGAAACAGACCGAGTTATCAAATATCTGAATATTTGAGCAAAAGCTCTATTAAAAATTACACAATATTCTACATATATCTACGTGCACGCGTACCTACATAAGTATACATTTTCTCCATTTTTATAATATTGTACAACAATTAATCTGGAAATATGTGGCTAATCGGGTAACAACATATATTTATGCACATTAGCATACATAAATTATTTAACCAAAGCTCACAAAACCAATTATTGTACACAGAGTAATTTGCACGTTTGTGCACCTCATCGCCACCCTGATTTCCCCAATTTCATCAAGTTACGCTATGTATGTTTGGCGCAATGGGTGGGACCCTTCCATTTCTGGCTGTGCCAACAATCTGACCGCATTCTACGCCTGGGACGATACTCCATCCTCCCCTTGCTTCACACATACTTGGTCCACTCAAGAAAAACGGGACTGGCTCTGGTCCACTTGTAACCGGCCAGGGAGAGAAATTTCGCAAATATTCTTCTACGACACGGTCACCGCTCTGTCCACTCGAGACTGTTCCTCAACCGGAGTACAATGGGTGAAATCAACCATGGCTGAAGGTCACAGGAAGGTACAAGGGTTGAAAATTTACGCCTTATTCTCTGACGGGGGAGAATCAGTCCCGGAACAGAGCCACGTTCCCCACATCGTCTGGTACAATACGGAATGCGCCAACGCCGCCCTCGGAGAACAAATTGATGGCGTCGCGGTCAACAATGAAAACTGGGATGTAACCTGGGATTCGGTCAGGATGGCGAGATATCTCGACAATTTGAACCGAATCGTGATCAATGCTCATACCCAGGAGCCGGTGGGGTCGTTAAAGACCCATTTCTCGGTGGGATGGAGGTGGGGAAAGTCGGGAAATGGGGGGGACATCGTGATTACGTGGGGTGGAAAGAGTCAACCAGTCATGAGACATTTTATCGATATTTTCGACAGCATTGATGTCCAGGTAAGTAAGTTCGGAGAAATTTGGAAATCTTGGCGACTTAGAAGGTAATAATTTTTATAATTTTTCAGGTAGCGTTTGTGACGTCGGACGCAATGGAGGACAGGTTACGAGGAGCTGAATGGGATTATGCTGTTCAACAAGGGAAATCCTTACTGACTACGGCATATATAAATAAGGTGACATTTTACCTCGATTATAAATATCGTCGTTGAAGATGCGCTGTGTCCTAACTCAAAAAGTAGTAGGTGCAACGATGTGCTAATATTAAGCTCCTCGACTTAGCACATAATGTATATTGCATGTTATGGACATTCGACCCATTTTAATGTTTTTTTTAGGCTCTCCCCTGTCAGACGACCTACTTTCCCTTTCCCATCAATGACCTGGACTGTCCAGCGTGGGCTTATGATTACAAAACCGAATCAATGATGTTTCAAGAATTGGACGCTTTTCAGAGTAGAATACCATCTCGAGTGGTTTTGCACCATTTTAGGGGAGCATATTCGTCCGGTGGGATTCCAGATTGGCCAAAACATTGAATTATATTCATTACATTACCAATTTATGTATAAAAATAAGAAGCTGCGTTGAATTAAATATCGTTGCTAAAAAAATAATCAATTTATTTCATACTTTTCATTTCATAATGATTTCGTTTTTTCTGCATAAATTATGCACTTACTTCTCCATAGACAAACTACTTAAGTCAATTATACATAGACTAGCGTATAGCCCGGCCAAGGCCGGGTTCTAGAGTTCCAGTGGGGGGTGTGCCCAAAGCGAAAAATCCGTCATACTATATTTTAAATAATTCCCAGTGGAAACATTGTCATACTACATACATACATCAGACTGAGGGTTTGCCCAAGTCATACTGCATTTTAATTAACCTGGTCACAGTAAAATTTGATTCCCCCCTGTGGGAGTAGTTGAATAGCTAATTACTTAAATTCCCGTCGCGTGGGAGTAACTGCATAGCTAACTATTTAAATTCCCACGCTTCACGCTCCCGTTAAGTTCCATAAACCCCGTTAACTTCTACAATTAACGCCAAGCTATTGACGGATTCGGATTCAGCGTCAAAAATACATTCGAATTGATATGCGACATCACGAATAAGCCAGATTTGGACACCACGGTCACGGCGAGGTCACGGCGGCCTCGCAGGTCAAAACCATTGACGGCGTTGGATTCAGCGTCAAAAATACATTCGAATTGACATGCCACTCGCTGTGGGTAGAGTTTCTCAAACTAAAATAATTAATTAATAGTGTTTATCACGATCACTTATCATGATAACCACTATTGATGAGTGATGTATGTATGTGGGGTGTACATGTTCATGTATTCATTTATTCATGCAGTGCAGTGCATGCATGCAGTGGTTGCTCCGCTTCCTTCTTTGTCTACTGTATGGGGCAATTTGCATTGCGAAGACGGACCCAGGGACCCAGGGATCATACTAACACTTTATTAGAGTAGATTCATGGAAATGACACTTATACATACGTGAATCAAGCTTACGCCCACTTTTCAAGCATATTCCACTATTCTTTGATCTTCTTACTCGTTCAGTCCCTACAGTAATTTCTGTATGCATTTACGTTGTGTTTACCTCTTCAAACTTAAAACAATGCTCGCAAAATTAAAGCTTCCGTCTGTCTTTGTTCTTCCATTGAATGAGTATAATAGCACAAAATACAAAAGATGAAGGCATATGTACATACCTACGTACACATTTATGAGCCTGTAAGCTAATTAAACTTTTTGGAAGGGATTCATCAGCATAAACACATAATTTTATATGTAAACAAAAGAAAGTAGGTACATTCGCAGCAATTCCAATTTCACGACAAGAGGAACTCTATGCAATAAATTTAAGAAATCTCAACAAATTTAGTACTCATGTGAGCATAATATGCACTACGAAGGTCGTAGTACAAACACGTAAACTGAGCCTATACCAAATTTTCCTACTCATTTGTAAAGATTCCTGCTAAAACTAAAACGACTCGAGCCCCCTAAACTCCAAAGTGTTCTTCAAACGATCAAAAAAAATAATTAAATTCCTTTTGTGACTTATAAAATTTCTGCGTAAACACTCTTAAAAATCTGGTATAGTCACGCAGGCATTGATTTCTCGGTATTGAAGTAACCACCGCTTGGTATTAATCTGTAAATATTCTGTAAATATACCGGTCCGTAGAAATTTCCAACCGGAGTGGTAAAACTTTAGTATCGAGCTAATACATACATACTACGTAATAAAAAATAGTAAAAAATATTTTTTTCCGGTATTTTTAATACCGGTTCCGGTAGTGATAAAAATGCCGGAAAATTATTTTTACTCTACCAAATTTGGTATAGTCATTCATACATATATGAATACCGCTTGGTCTTATTTTCATACGGAATTTGTAAGAGTGAACCAAAAAGTCCAACCCAATACATGCAACCCTTGGTAAATACCTACTTACATAAATTGTCAAAACGTCACATTGTCCTCCTCCTCCACAAAGCCTGAAATATTCTCCTTTTTTACATAAATAAATCCATTGACTGGCCCACACCATGAGTAGGCTGATATTGACACGTGTTGGTTAAATTATATAGATCAAAGTAGCCTTCTCGAGCTACATACATACATAAATGCGTTGAATAAGCGCAAACAAAAGTGACGGTGAAAGTAAATCCCCTTCCGTTCCACGGAAATAGCTTTCTCTCTCTGACTTTGTTTCATCTCCGAGAACAGTCAGAGCTGAGATGCCGCCTCCTCAACACCTCATTTCCTCCTCTCGTCCCGTTAAGCTCAAAATTCCAATGTCATGATTACATAGGTCGTGCGATTCAAGATGCTCACTAATCTTACGAGCTATGTTAACGCTACAAGTGGTGCGGGTGCGGCGAGTGAGTCGAAGTGGTTCAAAATAATCGGCACTTCGCTATTCGCGACATGCATCTTTATCAATGTCGCAATTGTCGCCGTGATTGGCAGAGTTTACCGGAAGCGGAAAATTAGGTGAGAAAAAAATAAATGGCGTGTTCAAAAATTCTTAAAATTTAATGAGCTCATTTTAGAGACGTGACTATCCTGATTGGAAATCTGTGCATGGTTGTCATCTACCTCGCGGTACTATCAATCTTATCAATATTCCAGCTTGATAAGAAATTCGCGATGGAATATCTCTGCAACACGTTATACATCCAGAGAGGTGGGGAAAGCATGCTTTATGCAATATATACATGCCGGTGATTGCAACTCAGGGATATGTACATATGTAAACTCGCAAATATTTGTACAAAGATTTTGCAACAATTAAGTCGAAACCAGTACACAAATCTAATATAAGTTCACTTATATAGCTGAAGGCAGTTTTGCGTTTCTCTTATTTTGTACAAATTTGCAGAATGAGTGCAAACCTGTTACACATATAAGCTTACACGGAACTCTTCTTAGTTTGCAAAATAATTGCACAAAAGTTACAGTTTGTTTACAGTAAACTGATCACACACTGAGTTACAAACATCCAATTTAATCCCCTCGTTAAACGTAAACAAAGTGACGATAATTGAATTGATTACAGCCATGGTTTTGAACGTGCTCCCCTTAACAATTCTGTCCATAAGTTACGAGCGGATGAGAAAATTAAAGCCGAGCTTTCCCAAAGTGAAGATTGCCAAAATGTTGCTCGCCATTTGGAGTGTGGCCGTGCTTGCAGCCCTGCCTGCACTTTGGACCATGGAGTATGACCCGGAGAAAGCCATCTGTGTCAAAGTTAGTGAAAGTTGTGGCCATGGTTTCCCATTAATTGGATACGAGCTCAATTTTGGATTTGTTTCAGATGAGTAGTACCGTCCATCGAATGATTTATCACATTGTGCGATGTGTCGTGTTCCATTTTGTGGTCGCAGGTTTGCTCGTTTTTGGTAAGGTGAAAAATAATTGGGCCTTAATTAATGGATACAGATGTATGTCATGTACCTTGTCTGAATATATTTAGAACTGTACAAAGTGCGCTCAAAGTTCAAGTACTTTTACAAAATTAAGGTATTCCATTATTTTTACGTGATTAACATTTTTGCAATTCACTCAATCTCCGTAACAAAACCAACTTGTGTACAAACTCTTCCAAAAAAGCAGCTTACTTACAAATCTCTTCTAAGCCTATCGATCTAAGGCGTTCTTTTATTTTCTATTGTAGAAGCTTGTAAAGTAATTTTGAAAATAAATATTTTCCTTTACTTTATTCGGGAACAAATATGTATCAGCGTCAAATTTTCATTGTTTTCAAGCTGCGTAAGCCGTAGAAAGTTGCAATTTTGACTAAAATTTCTCACAAATTTCCTAAAATAAATACAATTCGGTAAATGTCATAGGTTAATCTTACAAAATTTACACCGTTTATTAAACCATGCACGAATTAATCTTTTGAATAATTCCCCCCTGAAGGTCATCCACTCCGACAAAATCCGCCGGAAAGTACAACGCGTCCGTTTCCTGTATTGCAACTCGATTATATTCATCTGCTTCTGGGTTCCGCTAGGAATTTCCAACATTTTGTACGAAGTGATCCGAAAACCAGACACCAGTTTGCATAAAGAATACCCCGTCGCGATGTACATCGTATCCATCTTGTTCTTCGCGTACGTCATGTGCCTCCCGTTCATTTTACTGTGCACGAGTGATTTATTAAAATCAAAAGACAGATCGAGTCGAACAAAAGTTCGTGAAGAAATAGAAATGACTGTGATTAACTCGGATTTTAGTCGATGTAGCACCCATGGAGTGTCCCATATTCCGAATATCACTGTAACCACGGAGAGTGGAGTTACTACGAATGAGTTAATACAATCAGACAACCAGCTTGTCACGAAGAAAGTGGAAGTCGCAGAAGTGTACGTGTAATACGGAGTCGGGGGTTTAATGAGAAAGCAGCCTTACAACGAATTAATTAGTATTTACATATGAGAAAATCCATTATTTTGTGATACAGAATTCAATGATTTTATCAAGGTTTCCTTTATTACTTACGTTGGTGAAGGGAGCAATCGGGGTATTCACGGCGAGTTCGTATCGTGAGTAATGTTTGCAAACAAATTTTGCCAATTTAAAAAAAAAGTTGACTTGAACACAAGTTGCGAACTTGTCTGTCTCGAAGACAATTATCTACATACATATGCACAATGGGGGAATTCACGACGAGTTCGTGTTGTGAGAGGTGTTACCGTAAAAATATAAAAAGTTCGCAAATTATAGAAAATGACTTGCAAAATAATTTGCCCTACTCCAAAACTAGTATTTATGTGTAGTTTTCAAAAATAAAAATAAAAATATTACGACACGAACTCGCAATGAATACCCTCAATATGTCAGAAATGAATACAACAGGGTTAAATGCGAGTGAGACACGGCTCTAACATTAATTTGGAAATGGTACAGATTGCAAATAAATAGAATTCGGATTTCTGTATAAATAGTTGTTGTATAACTTTCACTCCTCGAGCGAGTGAAAGCAAGGAATGGAAAGCAAGTAACTCGGAAACGATAACCATGGTTATGCTTGAACTGTTTTAGACCAACCTACGTATGCACATGCAGATGTACATACGTGGAAACAGGTACTCGTGTATTTAATCAAAATGTGTAGCATAACCAGATACACGTGGACAACTCGAATGCACACAGGAGAAAGGCAATGTAATGTGAAAAGTTCAAAGGACAGCTCATATGTAACTTAATACTTTCTCAATCATCAAGTGCGACACGCTTGCCTGCTCACAAATGTGTACTCAATTTAACCAAGCAGGAGGAGAAAGGAATATATGCAGTATTATATCAATATAACGTTCAAGATAAAATGAATACATGTATTAAACAGTTAGATTTTTCACTACTATCTTTTTCATAAAAAATAATTGTGTATTATGTAATATCTGAAACGTATAGAAATAAAATTGCAGAGAAAATTACAATCTGATGCCCTTTGATCTAGACCAAATTGTCTTTAATTTAAGACCCGTTTGATTTGAAGGAGATGGCGTGTGTCATATTTATTGATATTAAATATCCCAAAAGTGTTATTATTCAAGATAGAGATAAGATTTTTGTTCATCTGTACCTTTGGTGGAGTTTCCCACGATATGAGCATCATAAGCTCTTTGCTAAAGTTCTCCTTGTGACAAAAGATCAAATTTGAAATATTTTTTATTAACAAATTTAAATGAATTATTTCTTTCTGATTTGTGTCTCGTAAAGAAAATTATGTAGTAGTTTTGCGTCATATCCCACAAAAATTATGTATCACATTAAAACACAAGACTTTTCATATACAGAAAGAAAATACACAAGTGTGATATGAAAACCGTTACAAGAACACAATGCACATTGATTTTGCAAGCATTAAGCAAATCCCACTTTGTGGAGAAAAGAAGTGCGAAATGTACATTGAGAAAGTATGTATGTGCACATTGTTTAAAATCTTATCCTGCATGCAAATACCTGAGATCAAATGTATCCTTATACATATGAAACATAATGATAGTTTTTCTTCCATGTGTAAGTATGTAAATGTTTACGCTTTATACAACCTGCTCGACACATCAATCTCAATTTTTGCAAAATTTCTTCCGAAGTTCCTTACATATTTATGTACGTCCTCCTTAATCGCATCAAGTCCTCCACTTTTTCATCCTCCTTACATACTCAAAAGCTATTGCATAAAGATGAACACCGGTGAAATTTTGAAATACTTTTCATGCACCTCATGATGCAAATATGTATGTACTAGCGTATAAGCCCGTCTCCCGCCGGGCGAGCGAAAATTATGAGCTGGAAATGTCTGTAGGGAACGGAAGTGAAAGCAAATTTTCCGCAACGAAAGTGAGAGTAAAGAAAGTCAAGTTTCGAATGGCGCGAAAATTGAAAACAAATTAAATTTAAAAAATTCAATGTCTAATGGTTGGGATGGTTGTCAGATGGCGGTTATTTTGGGCGGTTATCTTCACTCCACTCCGCAGTGGAGCGACAATTTTTCTATGCTCGCGACTCACTTCTACTTCACTCCTACTCCACTCCACTCCTCAGTGGAGTGACAATTTTTCTATGCTTGCGACTCACTCCCACTCCACTTCCACTCCACTCCGCAGTGGAGTGACAAATTCCGAGTACTCGTGTCTGACTTCTACTCCACTCCCACTTCCACTCCGCAGTGGAGTGACAAATTCTGTGTACTCGTGTCTGACTCCCACTCCCCTTCCACTCCACTCCGCAGTGGAGTGACAAATTCTGCGTACTTCTTTCTGACTCCCACTCCACGTCCACTCCACTCCCCAGTTGAGTGACAATTTTTGTGTGCTCGCGACCACTCCTACTCCACTCCCACTCCACTCCGCAGTAGAGTGATAAATGTAACTCATTTCCACTTCACTTCGCAATGAAATATCCACCCAGCACCATCAGACAACCACTCCCAGATAAGCGCCATCAGACAACCACTCCCAGATAAGCACCATCAGACAACCACTCCCAGATAAGCACCATCAGACAACCACTCCCAGATAAGCACCATCAGACAACCACTCCCAGATAAGCACCATCAGACAACCACTCCCAGATAAGCACATTAGACAACCACTCCCAGATAAGCACCATCAGACAACCACTCCCAGATAAGCGCCATCGGACAACCACTCCCAGATAAGCGCCATCTGACAACCACTCCCAGATAAGCACCATCGGACAACCACCCCCAGATAAGCACCATCAGACAACCACTCCCAGATAAGCGCCATCGGACAACCACTCCCAGATAAGCACCGTCACCCAACCACTCCTAGATAACCACCCCTAGATAACTAACATCTGACTCCTAATTTTTGAATTTTTAATTTGTTTTGAATTTTCGCGCCATTCGAAACTTTACTTTCTCCACTTTCACTTCCGTTTCGGAAAATTGCTTTCACTTCCGTCCCCGACAGACATTTCCAGCTTATAAGATAGATGTAAATAATAAATATGTACATATGTTAATACATGCATGTGATATATGTGTCATTTTAAAGGTTAACTTGGACAACCAGCCAGCTGTTGCGTAACCGCTTATCGGAATAGTTTTTGCTTTTGCGTGCGTATGACGAAACTTATCAGTTACACTCACACTTGTAAGTTGAGTTTGCCGTACCGAACCGAACCGAACCAGTAAAATTTAAAAAACTTGCCGTACCGAACCGTACCGAACCAACAAAAATTAAAAGTTCGCCCGTACCGAACCGTACCGAACCAGCAATTTTTTAAAAGAATGCCGTACCGAACCAGTAAAAATTAAAAAAGTTGCCGTACCGAACCGTACCGAACCTATTTACAAAAATTTCCGTACCGAACCGTACCAAAGCCGTACCGAACCACCTAGATTTCAGCATTTTCCCTTACAAAATGTACTCAATTGAAAAGTTGATGTATAAATATCTCAAGAGACCCCATACCGTACCGAACCGAATCGAACCATTAACATTTAAAAAATTTCCCGTACCGAACCGTACCGAACCAATAAAAATTAAAAGTTCGCCCGTACCGAACCGTACCGAACCAGTAAAAATTGAAAAGTTCACCCGTACCGAACCGTACCGAACCAGTAAAAATTAAAAAGTTCGACCGTACCGAACCCGTACCGAACCTGGTTCGGTACGGGGTTCGGTTCGGTACGTATATTTTCCGTACCAACTGGTTCGCCGTACCACCAACTTACAAGTGTGGTTACACTATTTCGTATTAGTCATCGTGTATATGTACCTGGGTACCTGGGTCTTTTCGTTTGTTGTCATAATTGGCACTCGCTTAGGGGACAAGGTATATGTCAATTTGAAAGATAATTTTCTTATCAACCGCAATATGGTGGATTACTAATATGCATTCATTGTTTAGTGCAAACATACCTAAATTAATGATGAGGGCAAGGACGCCGAGGACAATAATTTTTGCAAGTCTATGGCATTTAATTACTTCAAATTTTCAAAAATAAGAATGTCTACAACTGTAAAATTAATGGTGTTTTCCTAGCATTTTTGAGATTCATGGTATGGCTTTTTTATGCATTGCAGAGTAAAGAATTTTAATTTTTTCCCAAGTTTTCTTTACAAATAAAGATAAATTATTTCCTGTATTCTTCTAATAAATGATTCCGTCCCTTCCAGCAGCATTTAGGATTAGTGGAGTCCAAAAATATATATAATTTTCAAAATTTTATGCAATTTCATTACTAACTCAACTCAAATGATTTTTAAATTTTAAATTTTTAAATTTAATTTTTTTTTTAATTTTAGATTTTTAAACTCGGAAATTTTACGAAAATGTGACTATTTTTCGCACCTCCGGTTTCGTAACGCTGCAGGTGTCAAAATGCTTAAATTTTGATACAATTTATTTTTACCCAAATATTTTTGGCCTATGCGTATGTGTTATCAAAATATCAGTTGTCCACTGAATCCAATTCAATTTTAGGGGGTTGCCCCACCTTATTTACCCCACTGCACTTCAAGTTCAAGTGGGTACCTCACTCCTTACATGACTCACAACTTGTTACATATAATGCAACACTACATTTTATCTTTTATTGACTCATATCAACCACGCCAATTGTTGATAGTAATATGTATGAAGATAACAGCACTTATCTTACTTACTTCTACAAATAACGAGTCTCAAAACTTCCCAGTCTCACTTACCGCTTCACCCATCGGCACGGACGATTTCTTCCATTTACGAGTAATTTAGCCCGCATTTGCGAGAACTTTTTAAAGCCAGTGGGCCAATCTCAACGTCCCAGTCATAGAAATCTCGGTGCGGGGTGAAAATCTCGTCCAAAAAGTAGACAACCTTGACCGGGGTATTATACATACGGATGATTTACTTTGTCTGAAATTTTAAAACTAACAGGTTCAAGGTATACACATAGATAAATGTTGAACTTGTACCATTTTTTGACCCAACATAAATATGCTAATTATTTACACATCTTGCTAGACCAGAGACTCTTAGGTCAAGATGACGAGCAATTTCCGCAAATTTCTACTTCTCCTCTGGAAGAATTACATCCTCCAGAAGCGCCACAAACTTGGGACTTTTATGGAGTTGATGGTCCCCGTCTTCTTCGCTGCGTTCCTTGTGGGCATCCGAGGGAGCATCCCCTCCGACAATGTTACCGAGCCAACAATATTTTACCCCTTTGATGTCAATGATGTCAAAGGCACCAGCGTTGCGAAAGGGTATACACATTGATTAATTGTTTTATCTAATTACCTAAATATTTGGTTTGTTTAATTATGCAAATTTTAATATTAAATAGTTGCGTAATTCTTTACGCCCCGAACACTTCCGCGCTAACGATTGAATTAATGGAATCCCCAGACTCTCCAATGTATCAAACCTATTTCCCTCGAACACCAGAAAACTATACAGGTATAAACTTTGTGTATTTTAGATATTTCAATTGTTATTTATTTAATTTACACGCTTTAATTAACTTTTATTAAACTTGAAGTCATAGGATATGAAACTGAGGAGGAGCTGCTTAGCGAGTATAGAAAGGGAGGTTTCCATGACTGCAAAGGGGTCGGTTCTCCAGACAAAAACAGAGACCCGGTCTTGGCAGCCATTATTTTTAATGATGGTCTTGATCATGAGGAGTGGAGTTCGGTTCGAAATATTAAAGTAAGTAAACTAGTATTTTTTTCAGAAAATTGAAGTTGTCATCCATAATCTTTAAATAGTGGGTGTATTCACAACGACATCGCTTATCTCTCAAATCTAGATATTTATAACTTTGTAAGGTTTTCGAAATTTCATGGGATTTCTAAAAAAATACCTGGAAAACTATCGGATTTGTTCGCAATTTTGTCAGCAATTATGCTTGTTTTTATTTCGAAAAATTATTTTGCAAGCTCTTCTTCTCCATAACTAGGGATAGAAATTACACAATCCATGCAAAACATATCAAAACAAGATAGCTGTGGCAAAAATATATGCGAAAGCATAATTTGCGAATCCCCTCACGACACAAATTTCATAGCCCTTTGAGCTTCACAAAATTTGTTAAATGAGTTGCGACGATAAGAAGTTGTCGTGAGTACACCCAATAAACCTGCAATAAATTTCACAGTATTCTCTGAGATTTCCGGCAAGTCAGCATTCCGCGGATGAAAATGCATATGAACAAGTAATCTAACAAAAATCTAATTTTTAATTGACATGAATTTAGAAAATTGTGCGTAACATATGATTCATTTATAGCCTCGCTGGATGACAGAACTTTTGTATCCAGTGTTCCAAATTTTAGGACCAAGGGAGGCCATTGAAAACATGGGCCTGGAGGATTATCCTGAAAATGAGAACGAGCATCATGGTGGAGAGCCTGGTGAGATGAGATTATAAAAGCATCTGAGGATAAAATGTACTTGTTTTTCATGTATTTTTCATGCATTTAATACACATTGACGCAGGCTACTGGATAGAAGGTTTTCTATACACGCAGAACGCGGTTGAAGCATCAATTCGGAAATTTATGGAAAATGGGAACAGCAACTCATCCATCAACATTCAGTTGGAACGGATGCCTTACCCACCATTTATTGACGATGTGTTTCTCGTCATTTTGAAAGATTTCCTGCCCATGATCCTGGTCTTTTCTTTTATTAATTCGGTCATCAATATCACCAAATCAATCACACTGGAGAAAGAGAAGCGTCTCAAGGTAATAATTAGTTTTGTGTTTTGCATGTGACCCATATTGCAAAAAATTTTTAGCGTAAAAATATTTTGCATGTATCAGTACTTTCAGCTTACATAAAATTATGTAAGTTTGTCATTGGTGTGTTTCTCTATTTGGGGTTGTGACATATGAGTCACGTCATGGTCATTGGGGGTACTCAAGTCACATTAAGTACCACTAAACTCTGATTCTCATAAAATTGAGAACAAGAAAAAATGTAATTTCGATATTTGATCTTCCAATTGACAAATTTCCGAAAATTGTATTTATTCGCAATTTTTCCATGCTTAAGAATTTCAATTTTATCGATCCTAAACACGGATTAACTTTACACAGGAGTCGATGAAGATGATGGGGCTCCCAAATTGGTTGCACTGGTTGGCCTGGTTTATCAAATCCTACCTCCTCATCCTCATCTCAATCGGAATGATGGCACCTCTAATTACTGCCAGAATTTACAATGGTGGTGAATTGGCCATTCTAACCAAGTCCAACGTCACCTTGATCCTCGCCTTTCTACTAAATTACGCCTTCAGCATGGTCACCTTAAGCTTTCTCGTTTCCACTCTGTTTTCATCAGGTAAAAACTTATTCCTAATTTAAGCATTGATTTGTTACCGAACGGTAAAAATAACTTGTCAAAAATGAGAAATTTGTCAATATGGGGAGTAGAAAATTTGAATTTAGTGGACAATTATTGCTATCACTAGGTGGAAAATTGTCACAAACGCAGTGATAATTTTATGACCACATGAATTCCATATTTATGATGTGATTTTTTACGATTTCTATTAATTAGCACCTTTTTTTTACTCAGCAAACTCGGCCGCAACGGGAGCAGGTGTCTTTTTCTTTGTGTCGTACTTGCCCTACACGTTCCTCCAAACGCGATACAACACTTTAAGTAAAGCTGAAAAACTATCAGCCAGTTTTCTAAGCAATACGGGGTTGTCTTTTGGTTGTCAATTAATCGCCATGTGGGAGGGGACAGGGGTGGGCGTGCAGTGGGGCAATTTAAATGAACTCGCATCTCCAGATGACAATTGGACCTTTTTAGACTTGAACCTAATGCTGTTGGCGGATGGGGTGCTGTATCTTCTGATAGCGTTGTATATAGAAGGGGTCTGGCCTGGAGAATTTGGTGAGTGGAAATTTATTTTACTCCTTGATTTTCACATGCATAGTAGGGGTTTTCAAAATAAGAAAAATAAGATCAATGGGCGTATTCACGACAATATTACAAAATATAGCTGGTACCTCGCAAATTGATCAAATGTATCAAGGTTTGAGAGATTTCTTACATCTTTTAGCCGAAAAATGGAAATTTTCGGCTATTGATAACTACTTGCAGTAACAATGAAACGATGTCTTGAGTGAAATGTCAGTACGCCCATCATTTCAGACGACTTGAAACCTAATGCGATTATAATGCGAAAATTGGATACTTTCAAAACACGCATTATTATGTATTTTACTTATAATCATTGCTAAATAAACTTACATTTGGTAACAGGTCTCCCCATGCCATGGTATTTTCCTTTCACGGTAATAAACCTTTTCGCAGCTATTTAACGATAAATTTACATAAATAACTCTTGGATTTATGTACACATATACTGACTATTAACTTTTAAATAGAAATGGTATTGGATTGGGACTTCCCGTGGTGAACACACTGTTTTAGTCAAATCTGCCGACGCGAGGCAAGAAAAGCCTCAAAATTTCGAAAAAGAGCCAAATTCCAAAGCCGGCGTGCAGATTCAAGGACTTACAAAAGTATTTGGGCCTAAAACCGCCGTCAATAATTTGTATCTTAACATGTATGAAAACCAGATCACGGCTTTGCTAGGTAAGCAAACAGTTTATCATAATTTAACCAATTACGACCAACCCCAAATTACTAAATATGTATAATTCTCTCACATCAGGTCACAATGGAGCAGGTTTGTATTTTTTTAATTTTTTTAGAAAATTAGGGATTAATTCTATACTAATACGTGTACAGGTAAAACAACGACGATGAGCATGTTGACGGGATTATTTCCTTCAACCTCAGGCACTGCGATTGTAAACGGGTATGATATCCGAACTGATATCAAATTCGTTCGGGAAAATTTAGGTGGGTTTATTTAGATCCCGTGCAAATCAGTATGAAAATAATGCAAGTATTATTTGGCTAGGTCTCTGTCCCCAGCACAACGTACTCTTTGACGAGATGACGGTTTTGGAACATTTGCAATTTTTTGGAAGGGTAAGTAAACAAATTATTTGTAAGGGTTTGGTTAAGCCAGATTTAAGGCCAATATCTTCTTACTTGCTTAGTTGAAAGGATCCAAGTCACTAAACAAAGAAGTCGCCAGGATGCTCAAAGCTATTAACTTGGAAGACAAAAAGCACGTACAGTCGCAGGCGTTGTCGGGCGGTATGAAAAGACGGCTGAGTTTGGGAATTGCGTTCGTCGGGGGTAGCTCCGTAAGTTAAATATTATTAAAAATCATAGTGTTGGAGGATATTTATAAAAGGTTATATTTTTTAATTTTTCCAGGTCGTACTATTGGAGTAAATATTTTGTTAAATTTTAACAAATTAATTCGACAAACAAAATTGCGGCTCTTTTAAAGAAACATTTATTTTTTTATAAATAGCGAACCAACCAGTGGCCTAGATCCTGGAGCTCGTAGACAAATTTGGGACTTGATTCAACAAGAGAAGAAAAATAGGACGATAATTTTGTCTACACATTTTATGGATGAAGGTGTGTACTTGGTTTCGGGCAATATTAAGTGGCTGGCATTAAGTATCATTACGTGGTTCTTGTCCTTGACATCAAGTCAAAAACTCAATAATATTGTCTGGTTTTGATTAACCTATCGCCATGAAACACGGGTTTTGTAAATCCTCAAACTAGCCTTCACACGATGGGGGATACGTTTTGTTAGTAACGCTAGGAAAAAATTACTTAATAATTTCCTTTCAACTCTTGCAGCTGATTTGTTATCAGACCGTCTTGCAATTATGGCCGACGGGCAAGTACAATGTTGTGGTAGTTCCTTGTTCTTGAAAAAGAAATATGGTAATTTTCTACTTTAATAAATTATACACATAATTCGTGCAAGTTCTAAATAATTGATTCTCCAGGCGGCGGATATCAGTTGATCATTGTGAAAAAACCGGATTGTGATGTCAATCGGATCACAAGCTTTTTAAAGAAACGGATCCCAAATATTGAAATTCAGCAGAATGTTGGGTCTGAATTGTCCTATTCGTTATCTGACGAACTGTCGCCGCTTTTCCCCGATATGTTCGAGGCCATGGAACAGCACAAGGTTGAACTCGGAATCGACTCATACGGCTGTTCCATCACTACAATGGAGGAGGTTTTTATGAGGTTCGTTCTTATTAATACAAATACTCTTTATTAACTTGCGCCATACATAGTTAAATTATAACATTGGGGCAAATTCTAAAGTATAAACGCACCACATGCGTTTATCGCAGTATGTTTTTGAGTATTAAGCAACTTTGGGTGTTTTAAAGTTTCATGAAGTAATTTAACAAGCGGTAAAAAAAATCATACATAAGTTTGCAACTGAATAATCTTGATTTATGTATAAGCTAACTATCATTCGTAATTTTTGTAAGTTTATGAAATTTGCTGGGTAACGAATATAAAATTGATTTGTTTTAGATACGCAATTTAACTTTACATAGTTACAAGGCTTGACGTGAATTGGCCTAAAAAACCTAATCATACAATCAAGTTACAAATCCAAATATATTTCGTATAGGGTCGGGAAGGAAGCAGAGGAAGAATTCCGACTACGAAATGGAAAAAATGCATCCATTCCGGTGGAAATTCATTCCTTGAATTTGCACTCTCAACGAAACTCTGGGATCCCACTTCTACTTCAACAGGCAATTTAATAATTAACCATATTTTCATATTTATCTACTTTCAAAATTACATGACAATTTTGCACACCAAATTTTCAGACTTTTGCCATGATTGTGAAAAAGTTTTTGTACACGATTCGAAACCAAATCCTTATCGCAGTTCAGGTAAAATGATTACTTTTCCTGGTTTAAACTTTTGCACATAATATTGAATATTATTCCTTTATGATGTAGACCATTATTCCCATCGCGTTTCTAATCATTACACTCGTGATGCTCAAGTCACAACCAAATTTGACCAATCCTCCAGGAATGGATCTAAATCTCGGAGTAATTATAAATTAATTTCACTTTTATTAATAAATATCCCAACTAAATTGCGAATATTTAACTAAAATTTTTAACTACAAATAGAAATACACGCAATACGGTCAAATCTACACGGTGATGAACTGTCCAACTAATCCTGGCCTTCCAAATGTCTGTTCCGCCTATAAAAATACTGCGGAAAGCTTCGGCTCTGAAATACTGGAGAGAGAAAACATATACGAGACACTAATACAAACAGTAAGACTTGCTTACAAATTGTTAAGTTATCATTTCCAGAAAACTTACAAATTTTTATTGACAGGCCAGGGATAACCTGCCATCTTACGCATATGGTCACATCGCCGCAATGAGTGACCTCTCTTCCCCCGATAACATCACTTATCGAGGCTTTTTCAACAACCAGCCATACCACGGTCCTCCCGTTGCCCTCAACTTGATCAATAATGCTCTTCTTCAATCTTCGAGTGGTCTGGAGGACGCTTTCATCTCTGTGAGCAACCATCCCCTCCCGCTGGATCAGATTTCTGAAATTAAACAATCTGGAAGTATGCAATCCTCTGGCTTCCAGGTGGGATTTGCTGTCTCCTTCGGGTATGAAACCTTTATGATAAGCATTGGCACACTTAACTGTTTTACATGCATATTTTCATATATTTACATATTTACCGGAATTTGTTGGGTAATTAATTCCTCCTCATCTTCCAGAATGTCCTTCCTGGCCGCAAGTTTTGTCGTGTTTCTCATCAAGGAGAGGGAGACCAACGCCAAGCATTTACAAGTCGTTTCCGGCGTTCGATTTCCCATCTTTTGGATAGCGTCCTTCCTCTTCGACGCGGTCAACTATATCGTCCCATGCATTGGACTGATCATTGTCTTTGCGGCTTTTCAGCATGAAGATTTCAAAAGCGTGGAGATGTTGGGCAACGTTGCCCTCTTGTTGTTGGCGTATGGAGCAAGTGTGATTCCGCTAATGTATCTTTTTTCATTCAGATATAAAATCCCGGCTAGTGGGTGAGTCAAATTAATTACTCTTTACAAATTTGGGGTTCCCTTAATTAAGTATTTATAGTTTGATTTCTTTGACATTGGGCGTATTCACGACAAAATCTTAAATATTTAGCATCACACATAATTTATCAAAATTTGCGAAGCTAAAAATTGAATTGGTAAAATTATATGATTTCGCAAATTTCGGAAAAGCTATAAAAACGATCCGTAATTTGATTTAGTTTTCACGGCTTATGCAGGTTTGTGAAAATCCTATGGTTTTCTCTTCAAAAGTTATTATGTAAAGGTTCTGCTATTATGACCAGTTTGTGAGATTTGCCAAGGTTATCATGACGTGAGCACGCCCAAATTTTTTCATACGCGTATAAAAATTTAAAGTTGAATTTTTCCATTAAAAACATTTTCTAATTATAAGTACATAAGTAGGTGAAAGTTGATGAAATTTAATCCACGTTTGCATGCAATTTTTTTTACAGTTTTACGAGAATGGTGATGTTCAACATTTTCACAGGTTAGAGCAATACTAACATAACTCATTCTGCTAACGACTATATTTCATTAAATTTTGTATATTTCAATCTTGGCCAGGAATCATATGCATGTTAACCGTTTCCATTCTTCAAATTGAAGAACTTGGAGCACAAAAGGGTGCCGAAGTTTGCGAATGGGTTTTCATGGTTTTGCCAAATTTTAACCTGGGATACGGACTGTTACTTCTCTCAGCAAATCATCAACTTCACTCTATCTGTCCAGATTTGCTCAATTTTAACGAAACCTGCGTCCTGTATCCCGACCTTTCTTGCTGCGTTGACTGTAATTAATCTCTAATTATTATCACTGCCAAGTAATTTGGTGCATAATTATTTTTTCTTACTGCCAGATCCAATTCCTTATTTGGGATGGGATGCGCGTGGTATTGGTCGCAATTTGACGTTCAGTGGTGGGCTGGGTGTGGTCTGCTTTGTCATCATTTTCATCAAGGAGTCCAAAATATTGGGATGGATTCGATATTATGTGTGTTGTCATTTCCGGGCAAAGGGGAATGAAAGTTCGGCTCAAAATGCAGCAGTCGACGAAGAAGGCGCGTTAGTCGACTCGGACGTACTGCTGGAAAACATGAGGATTCGAAATACAAAATTGAAACAAATGAACAACACGGACAATCTCATTCTCAGGTTATTATATGTATTTTTTTTTCTCTCTTCGCAAACTAATATTGTTAGACAAATTGTAAAATAATGGCTTTTCGCATTTTGGTTCGGTGGGAAAAGTGTTATTTTCCCGTTCTCTGGATAACTTGGCTTTTACCAATGAAGCCCTCTAATTATGTAAAAATGCTAATAAAAGCTGAAGGATATCTGTTTTTATTTTTAGGGATTTAACAAAAATTTACGGTGGCAACTTTAAAGCTGTTGACAATTTATGCGTAGGAGTTCAGAAGGGAGAATGTTTTGGTAATGATAAAATCGTATTATTTTTTTTTGCAAAAATGATCAAAAACCTCAAAATAAAAATAAAATAAAAATCCTTCGCAGGGCTTTTGGGAATAAACGGAGCAGGAAAATCTACAACATTTAAAAGTATGCCAGTTCTACATTTGCAATTTATGAAATCCATTTCATGCAGTATTTAATCACTTTGTTGAAATGTAGTGTTAACTGGAGACATCCCAGTAACTTCGGGTAACGCATTCATCGATGGTCACAGCGTCAAGACAGAAATTAAAAAAGTCCAACAAAATTTGGGATACTGTCCTCAAGTATGCAACTCTTAAAATTGCATGAAATTACAGATGTGTCTATTTAACTAATTTTTAACTGCATTCTTTAAGTTCGACGCTTTAATACCAGAGTTAACTGGGAGGGAAACTATTCGGCTTTTTGCAAGATTGCGTGGCGTGCATGAAGGAAACATTGAAAATTTGGCGAATACCTTAGCTGCCAGATTGATATTCGACGAGCACATTGATAAGCCATGTGGGACCTACAGGTACAAAACCATTAGAATTTTTATTAAACCCTCTTAACTAAACATTTTTTCATGAAATTCAGTGGCGGAAACAAAAGGAAATTAAGCACTGCTCTCGCTTTGGTTGGCAATCCACCCATGGTAAATCAATATCTCTGCACAACTTGATTAAAATGGAACTATTATTAAATGGTATTAATTACACTTTGCCAGGTGCTTTTAGACGAACCTACGACCGGTGAGTCAAAGATAGTTACTTACGTATAGTTTACAATTAGCTTATCATAGAATTATTTACTACTTAAAGGTATGGATCCCGTTGCACGCCGGCATTTATGGGATGTTATCAGCGAGGTCAGAAATTCTGGGACATCAATTGTCCTGACTTCTCACAGGTATGTACAAATATCCTGCCAATTCCATCCGCTTGCAAAAAAAATACTGCACAATCCAATCATTTTTTTAGCATGGATGAGTGCGAAGCCTTATCTACCCGCATCGCAATCATGGTAAATGGTGGCTTCCGCTGTTTAGGATCTCCACAACACCTTAAAAATAAATTTGGCGAAGGGTACACGCTAATAGCGCAGATTGAAATGGGAATTGAAGAAAGAAGGCTGACGAGACAATCGCTGGTTTGTGAAATCAATCAATTAATATCTAGTTTGAGATATCATTTTGCTAATTTATTATTTCGCACATATTTATTAAGGAATTTGGACGGCGGAGGAGTTCTAACTTGAGAAAAGGCAGTGGAACTGACTTCCTTGCGCAGCCACTGCAACCATGGGAAAAGGAACTGCTACCCTTAAGAAATTATATTGAAGCAACATTCCCAGGTTTGTATTTTTTGGGGATCATTTTAGTTTCGATAAAAATTTGATAAAATTTTGATAAACTGGTTACAATTTTGTAGGGAGCGAATTAAAAGATATCCACGCCGGGTATGTTCATTATCACATTAAAAACACGGCAATAGGTTGGGGATACATGTTCAAGAAAATGGAAGAGGCAAAATCCACCTTCAAAATCGAGGCCTACAGCGTCGGACAAACCAGTTTAGAACAGGTCAAATTAACGTTATGATTTATAATTAAATGAATATATAATAATAATTTATTTAATTGATTAATTTATTTCGAACAGGTCTTCCTTAACTTTTCTAAAACGCAAATTAATCTAGATGAGCAGTGACACGTATGAGATGTAAGGCATCTCAGAAGACGAGTAATAAATTATTTATGAATGAATACCAACCGGCAGACCAGATTTGGATGCTTTTTTATACTTGCATACATAAATGTGTACTAAAAATATGCTGACAACAAAATCTCAATCAGAAAGCGTAGTCGGTATGATTAGGCTCTACCACGTTGCTAATTATTTACCACGAAGTCTGATTACGTATGTGCAGTGTCAATTTTATTGTCAACATATTTTGAGTGTGTTACATACATGTCAATATTCGTGCATATTTACTATCCTCCAAGTTTTTTTTGCAAATTATTAAATACTTTTAGTCAACGATGACGAAGCTGAACTCTGTAACTTTTATGCAAAGAAAGAAAAACAATAAAATTCTTACAATTTTAACCTCATCTTTCAATTTAGACAATACCGGTCAATAAAACAAATCATAAATCCAGATATAAATACATATACAGTGACATAGATACATACATATCTACCTCGCGTAATATTTATGTACACAGAAATATGCATTTAATTTTCATGGAAACTGACATGTTTTCATGTAACCTTTCATTGCAAATAACAATGTACATAAATTTTTCAAACGCATACATGTACATCTCGTAATGCAGCATACAAAAATATTTAAATAAATTCATCCAAGCTAAGGCCCATCAATATCTGTAAACTGGTATTTCTTGGTCTCAAACATTGAAGTGCATGCCTCAAAGTACTCAATTCTAATAACTTATTGCTAATTTAGTGTATTCGTGCATAACCAATTCGCAAAGTACCAGGAATTAATGAGTCATCAGAGTTCATTACAAAATCCTTTGAATACTCGACTGAATGTCATCCTTGTAAATATTTTAATTGAGTGGCAGTGTTTCGATGACCATGGGTTTTGATGGGAAATTTGGGAACATACAGATTTTCATACGTTCATAACTTTTCAATCTCACATTTATATTTTTTAGCATCCACAAAGGAAAACTACCAAATTTCTCAATCAATGTGAAACGACCACACAATATTTAACATTAGTTAACACGTTGTCCCACCCGAATGTTGACATCGACTCCGTCTTCCTCACTTCTTGTAGTTGAACCTGCCCATCAAAATAATCACGATCTCTAAAAAATAACTGGGAAAAAGTGGAAATTTCTAGTTATTTCTAGACCCCATTTGTAACCTGTCAAATAATACGCAACCTTTATTAAAAATCAATCAAATCTGTGGATACGTTTACTGCGTCCCTCAGAAGAAGACGAAGAGAATGCAACTTGTTTTCTTGGACGTCACATGTATGCAAAGCGTACGTGCATAAGGTACTTAACCTAAATAAGCAATTCTTCATATTTACCAAGGATGGGCAAAATGCAGAGACTTCAAAATACAAGCTAAATATTTTGGCAGACTTCATTCAAAATTTTTAATTAATATGCTAAATATTTTCTAAATTAAAATGATGTACGCAAAAATATGTACAAATCAAGTTTCAGTAAATTTCTTGTTTAATGGTGTCGTCATTAAAGGATTTCTTTTGGTTTTAAAAATATGCACAAGTGATGATAATTCAGTTTCAAACTTCTTCATTCATAAGCTTAAAACGCATAAGGGGTAATTTCCCAGAAATGATAAATTCATAATTTTCCAGTATATGTACATATTTAATACGCACTTAATTTTTTAAATTTGAATTAATAAAAATTTTGAAACTGTATTTTGCCGACATCCGATATTTACCCCAAGTGACAACAAATTTCCCCTCAATGCACTCTTGGTCACATGCATAAGTTAGCTATGCATACATACGTAAGCAAAATTTACGCACCTACTTGTGCACTTACTCCTTCAATCTGCAAATCAATGACACAACACAAATGAAGGTTGCAAAACCATGCATATTTTACCATGTTGTCTGGCTCTCTCAAATAAATGTAAACGTAACAATTCGTCATCCATCATTTGCCCACGTAACCAAAATGGAGAGAGCATCTTCAAAAAATATCCTCCTACTAATCAGTCATTTTCTCTTAATAAGTTCGTCTTCAAGTCAAAATCTCATCAGATTTAGTGCCGATGATGCCGTGCGAAGTGACGCGAGAGACTTGCAAATTTTACAACCTCCCGGTTTTATTCCAAACAATGGAGACCTTGGGATTCAATTGTTACTAAAAAGTTCGGTGCAACAGGCGAAGGATTTTGTGTCAACTAGCGAACAACCTGATCAAGCATTTTTTAATTACTCTGGTAATTCTATATGTAAATCATACTCAATGGGCGTACTCACGACAACGTCTTCTTTAACATCGCAACTCATTAAAAAAATTGTGTTGTGAGGGGATTGGAAAAATATGATTTCGAAAATTTCGCAAAACAATAAAAGACAGTCCTGCTTTTATTTAATTTTCAAGGAGTCCTGTAATTTCTATTATTTGTGCTGGAACAAATGAGTTTGCGAAATAATTTTTAGTGGCCGGATGGGTAAAATAACTTGTTGGTGGTTGCAAAAAAAATGCCATGATTTTCAAATAAAAGTTTTCCAAATTTTGCAAATTATATTGCAATGCACAATTTGCGAGCATATCCCAAGTCCGTCGTGAGTATGCCAATTGTAAAAATAATTTCTTAAAATTAATAGTATGCCTTGATTCATTTATTCAGCCGCCTCCGCCAAAGGACACGGATTAGGAGGTCACGTTTACTGCAAATTTACTCCAACCACTCTGAAAATTGGGAGATTATCAAACATAAACATAAAGTCGTATGAAATTCTCACGGGAAAATATCAAATTCGGAAAGACCAAGTCCTCCCCTACTTGACTCAAAGATTGCCAGATTATTGCAAAAAAGAAGAAGTTCTTCCATTAGTCTGCAATCCCAGTTCTCGCTACAGGTAAATATGTAAATTATGATGTCACCTTTACACAAACACATTGCGAAAGGGCATTTCGATAATTTTTCCATTAATTTGTAGAACAATTGATGGGACATGTAACAACATTGGTAATCCATATTGGGGCTCGTCCTTCATCGAGTTTCGGCGTCTGGTACCCTCGGCGTATGAAGATGGTTGGAACGAACCACGTGGCGGAGGATTTCACCTGCCAGCCACAAATCTCCCCAACGTCCGCGCCGTTTCCGTCTCACTTCATCCCGATTATGTTCATCCCGACCAGAAAATGACCAATATGATACCTCAATTTGGACAATTTTTAGGTATGGACTTATTACAATTTTCACTTATTACTAAAGAGTTTTTATTAAGAATTTTATTATATTTAGACCACGACATGACGCTTACACCCGAATCGGATAAAAGGTACGCTTAGTACTCCTAAATAATCATACTAATTTTTGCAGCCATAAATAATTGCATCTCTCCTCATCCCAAACTAGATGTTGTTCCAAAGATTCCAAAAACATGGACTGTTTCCCCATCCGAATTCCAAACAATGATTACTTCTTCTCACAATTAGAGCAACCACAGGAATGCATGGATTTCACTCGATCCACACCTCTCTGTTTTCCCGGTAGTTCTTCCAGCCCCAGTCACGCGCAGCGGGAACAGTTCAACGTCCTCACCGCCTTTGTCGACGCGTCCCATGTGTACGCATCCGAGGTGAATAAAAGCCATTTGCTTCGAGCCTGGTACGGCGGACGGTTTATAACGGACGAAAACCATCCCGGCTTCCTCCCCACGGTAGCCTCCGTCCAAGCCAGGGCGCCCCCCGGAGAGAAACTCCACTTCATGGGTCACTTCTACGGAGGTGAGGAACGCGTCAATGAAATGCCCGCCTTGACCGTGATGCACACCCTCTTTTTCCGGGAACATAACCGTTTGGCGGACCAAATCGCGGGAAAACGGCCGCATTGGGATGACGAAACCATTTTCCAAGAAGCTAGACGAATCCTGGTGGCGGAATGGCAAAACTTTGTGTATGGAGAGTACCTCCCCATAATTTTTGGCGGGAAGACCATGACCCGATACGGGTTGGCATTTGACGACAAGAGAATCTATACCGAGTACAATTCCGCCTTGGATCCCAGTATTTTCCACGCCTTTGCCGACGCCGCGTACCGTTTCGGACACACCTTGTTGAACGGTTTGATCAGAATGATGAAGGGCTTCCAGGTCATGAAGGAGTACAAGATTAGAGACAATTTTTTCGACCACGAGCAGATAACTTTTAACGGGGGAGAAGGATACGACTTAATTTTGGGGGGACTTATGGCACAAAATTCGCAAACTTATGACACCTTCATTACTCAAGATGTCACTAATTTCCTCCTGAAAGAAAAGGGTAACAAATTTGGAGGCGATTTGATAGCGCGGAACTTGCAGCGGGGAAGAGACCACGGTTTACCGGGCTATTTCATGTATCGCGCCCTCTGCGATTTGCCGCCACTGACGGATAATTGGAACAATAGGCCGGCAAATATTCCAGAAAATGTGTGGAATGTTTTGAAAACCTTGTACGTTAGTCCGATGGACATTGATCTCTTTTCTGGAGGGCTGAGCGAAGTTCCCGTCACGGATGGAGTTACTGGACATACGTTTAATTGTTTGAAGGCGCTACAGTTCAAAAGAGCGAAGTATGGGGATCGATACTTTTTTACGCATTCGCATCAGGCCGGATCATTTACGCGAGAGCAGATTCAAACCTTAAGAAGGAGAACGTTGGGAGATGTGATTTGCGAAAATAGTGGGGTCGAAATGACAACAAAGAATGTTTTCAAGATGCCCAGTGAGGAGAATAGAATGATAAGTTGTGGCGACGCTGGGCGGGAAAGATTAAATGTTGAAATGTTTTTAATTAATTAAGTTTGTATCCGTTTTTTATATTTTTTATACGAATAAATTATGTTGCGAATATTTGCAATTTTTGTACGATATTATGAAATATCTTCAATATCTTTGCGTTTTCGGATGTGTTATAATCTGTTGAAAGTATATGTGACACGTAATGTTTAGTTGATTAAATGCAATTATTTAGTTGCCAATTATGTCTATGTATTTAACGCTTTAATACTTTATTCGTTCGTCCATAGTTGCATAATTCTGACGTAGCAATATATCTATGCAATGATTCGCGGAAATTACTAAATGGAGTTATACGACTGAATCAATCCACCAGAATTTGTGTGTTAATATGTACATACGCATACTTATATAATTACATCTTTATTCTCATGTTTAAGATTTAATTTCTTAGTACTAAGAAAATGGAAATCCTTTGAAATTACTGCCTCTTAACTAACATTTAGCCTACATTACCAAGATATCTAGACACATAATTAATTCAGGTCAAATCAGTCCCTGTACTATTTCAGATTTTATCTGAAACCTAACCTATTTCTCAACCAAAGTCCAGTAACATACATAAACTTGCAATTTATCCCTGTATCTGATGAATACAACTAACTTTTACACTCCTTTAAACTCCTACATGTTCAAAAGGCATGAAAAACGGTGTTTTGTACATACGCACGTTAACCTTAATTCTGATCTATGTATGCATACACATGTATTAAAACTTGCACCTTTTTGTCGTCCACATTTTTAACCTTTCTTGGAAAATCGTACTTTCTCTCATAAAAATATACAAGCCATTCGTATTATTTCTGCCACACATTCCCTTAAAAAATGCACTCTTCTCCAAGTCATCACCTCATCCAGTCATACGCTTCCCTCTGTCAAAAATGGGTTCAAATCCACTCCCAGCAAACTTTGGGGCCAACTTGGCCAAGCAAATGTAAGCAATTATCCGTATCTCATAAATTTCATATTCCATCATATTTAGTCTTAATAATACCATTTTATCCGACTTTCCAGCCGTGATTCTCTCCGAGCTGGGGGCATCGGTGGCGGACAACCTCGAGGTGGTCGACCCGCAGGTCAATCTGATGGTCAGGCTGCCCCTCCACCGAATTCCACTTCTAGACGACTCGCATCTGGCACTGGGACCGAAGGGGGTCACCATTTTGAACAGTGCACGGGAGACATCACCCTCACCACGCAGGTCGTCGGCAAGAAGGCACTGACTCCCGACGAGGAGGCGAAAGCAAGACGTGGCGCGGCCCAACTTGCACGGTACGAAACGGAGGAAACTCGTGACATGACGGATGAGCAGTTACATCGTCTCGTTTTGTTGGAGAAGCTGCGAAAATTGAGGGGACTGGGACCGCGTGGCGTTAACGTGGAGGTAGCTCCCGAGCAGGTTCGTCGTCCAGAAATAATTCCTCCAGCGCCAGCAGCCCCCAACGTTCCACTGGGCGCTGTCGTAGATTCCGATACAGAAGACATGCTCGACAGTGACATTTCCGACCTTGAGAACGACAGCGATGCCTAATTAATATTATAATTTGATGTGAATGTTTGCATGCGAATTTATAAATTTTAAATGGTTTCGTATTAATTTCCTGATTAGAAACATTAACAAAATTGATAAGTTTGAGTAAAAAATTACGTGGTGTAGCAATTTCTGCTATTTTGTGGGTGCAAATTTTTTTTAAATAAAACTTTTCAACCTCCATTATCATTTGACCATATCATTAATACATAAGAATTCACTAATGTGGTACAAGAAAAACTAAATCCTTAATGTACAGAGATATCAATTTTGAAACAAATTCATAATTTAATCCAAATTTATTACGGAACCTGTTTTGCTAGATGCATGCATAAATAAAGTTTTATCACTTACAAGGGACACTCATGACCTGTCGTTTGAGTCCAGGGTACCCATTATGTTTTTTAGAATCTACTAGGACCCCAGATGAAGGATGTTAAATCTCATTTTAGTTTAGCATAGAGTAAGAATTTGAGCTTCGTTTCAGAATGAGAGTGCAAAGAGTTTTGGTGTGTGCGTGAGAGAGAGAAGGCATGGCCGTGTGTAATTATTCTAATCTCTTCTCAATTTAATAAATAGTTTAATTAATTTTCGTGATTAGTGGTCACTATTAAATGATAAGTCAGCCGATTCATGTTATATATTTGTTGGTGGAATTGGGACAATAAAATCAGTTTAAAGTGAGCTAGTCATCGAGTCTTGTGTCACTTCATATAACGACAGGATAAGCCAATTTTCCGAGACGGGTCCCAACGGGTAGTTGGATAAATCGCGGTCTCAACATTTTTGGCGCCTGGTATGGGGCTTATCTTGTTCTGCTAAGGAAGTGAAGTGAATAGTTTCGACATCTATCCTGGTGCCCGGCGAGAGCATTGCTGACCCGGCGAGGAGAAGAAGAAGTCGAATTGGACTGACACCTGCCCTTGTGTCCAGCGAGAGCACTGCTGACCTGGCGAGGGAGGAACGTGTTTGGAGAGGAGTCACCATTCTGTTTTGCCTCTTTGAGGGCTCCATCCTGAGCATTCGGGAGCAGCTGAGGTCGAGAGAGTTCCACGATTTGTTGACATTTATTTGTTATTAATTCTTTTCTTTTGCTGGTGTCCTTGAGGTTCTCATCATGGACAAGATTAAGAAGCAGAGAACTACCAAGAGGTGGGCGACCACACGCATCGTAGGAGAAGTGGAAACCGAACTAGCAAAGGAAGAATATGATGAGACCTATCTACGAGTCAAATTACAGAAGCTGAACAGCCTTAGTGAAGAGTTATCGGAGTTGAATCAGAAGGTGAGGGATGGCATGTTAGACGCCAACTCCACCCAGGACGAATTGGATGAAGAGGAAAAGGCGATCGAAGAATATGAAGCAAAGCTAGCGACCGCTATTATGGAAATCAAGGAAGTCCTCTCCACCAATTCAAGCCCTGTCTCAAGTGTCGCCGGAAGTGCGGCGTCAGCTGAAGGCAGGTCGAGTTACAAACTACCGAAAATTGAGCTGACTAAATTCGGCGGAGACGTGAAGGAATGGCTCGGATGGTGGGCTCAGTTCAACGGCATCCATTCAGATGAGAATATGCCAATCAATGTGAAATTTCAATATCTTGTGCAAGCCATCATCCCTGAAAGTAAAGCGCAAGCAGTCATCAAGATTTATCCGAGATCAGACGATAACTACCCATTAGTCATTGCTGCCCTTAAGAAGAGATTTGGGAACGAGAAAATTCTTCGCCAGCTCTACATCCGTGAATTATTGGGCATGGTACTGAAAGCAAGAGACTCAGATAAGAAGATGGGGTTATCTATGCTGCACGATCAATTAAAGGGGAAGTTGAAGGCGTTGGAGTCACTTGGGAAGTTAACAGACCCCAACGAGCTATTGTATCCCCTGGTCGAGTCCTGTTTACCCAACGAGGTCCTCATTGCGTGGCAGAGGAGTCCCTTAAAAGATAAGAAGTTGGAGCAAGGAGAATCAGAACTCGACAATTTGATGACATTTCTGGAGAGGGAGGTGGAAGATGAAGAGGAAAGGTGCCTTGCGAAAAATGGATTGGATCAGACTGCCAAAAAGAAAGGGAGTGGGCAAAAGGATCGAAGCAAGGACAAGGGAGAGTCAGTTCATGAATCATTTAAGAATATGGGATTGGAAGACACCCCTACTTCTGCTGGACTGACGGCTTCCACAGCAAACAAGAATGGCTGCATATTTTGTGACAAGACAAATCACCCGAGTCAGGACTGTTTTAAAGCAAGAAATCTATCATTGGAACAGAAAGAAGAGAAAATAAAAGAGAAAAGAGCTTGCTTCCGGTGCCTGAAAATTGGTCACAATGCTAACAAGTGCAAGGGAGCCGTGAAATGTTTTGGTTGCGGTAAGAATCATCACTTACTAATGTGTCGCGGTGGAGAAAAGAAAGAGACTCCTCCGCCAGAAGAACTCAACCTTTCAGTTATTCGTCATAACAATTTCGCCAAGAGTTAAGATGTGCTATTGAAAGTGGTCGTTGTTCGTGCTGTCGGCCCGAGTGGATCGTGTCGTGTGAGAATGCTAATTGACGAAGGAAGTCAAGTCAGCTATATTGGATCCAGAACGGTGAACATAACGGGTTCGAAATCAAAAGGCACAGAACATGTCAAAAATATCTTACTGGGTGGATATGTGACGGAGCTACATGAAGAAAGCTTGAGAGAAGTGATTGTGAAGAATATGCTGGGGACCATCGAGAAGACATGGATTCTAAGGGAAAAGCCAATTGTGTGTACTTCGCTGCCGAGAATTCCTAAAGGACCATGGGTGGACCAGCTTAAAGCAAAAGGAATAACTTTGTCAGATTTGGACACAGTTAATGTCGACCAGTGTGACGTTGAAATCCTCATTGGCTCAGATTTGCGAGGACAAGTTATGACTGGAAGACGAAGCAATTTGGGAGATGATCTCTATGCAGAGGAAACGATCTTCGGATGGGCGTTGGGTGGACCTCTCAAGTCGAATAAGTCACACCACTCCAATACCGTGATTTCTCTGTTCCAGAGTCAACTTAATGTTCAAGACATGTGGTCATTGGACAGTTTGGGAATTCAGGATCCAATTCAAGTGAAGACAAAGCTCCAAGAAGAGGAAGAAGCCAAAACCCACTTCAAAAATAATGTGTCAAGAAATGAAGATGGGCGGTATTCTGTTGGATTACCTTGGATCGAAAACAGACCTGAATTACCTGTCAATAAATTCGTTGCTGAGAAGAGACTTCAGTCAACAACTAGGAAATTAAAAGATCAAAGTGCAGTGGACATGTACAGCAGTGTGTTCCGGGGGTGGGAGGATGAGCAAATAGTGGAACCAGTCAAGATTGAATTTAAAGAGGATCAAGCTGGTCATTACCTACCGCACCGCCCAGTGTTCAAGCCCGAGAGTCAAACGACACCTGTTCGTCCTGTCTTTGATGCAAGTTGCAAGAGTGTTGGGAAACCGTCTTTAAATGACTGCTTATATAAAGGTCCCAACTTAATTGAGCTCATTCCATCCGTTTTGCATAGATTCAGAGAAAGAAGATTTGGAGTGGTGTCGGACATCCGGAAAGCCTTCCAGATGATTGAGGTGCGAGAGGAGGACAGAGACTATCAAAAATTCCTGTGGTGGGAGGATCAAGTCCAGAACACTGTGAAACCCTTACGTCATACGCGGGCCGTGTTTGGATTGACCTGCAGCCCTTTCCTTCTCGGAGCGGTGTTGGAGCTGCATTTGTCCCATGTGAAGCAAGAATATGAAGCTGTGGCTCGAAAACTGCTCCAATCAATGTACGTGGACAACAGCGTGACCTCATTCAATACTATGCAAGAGTACGAAGATTTTCGCAAGATTTCAACAGATATTTTGGCCGAGGCGAAAATGGATCTTCGTCAGTGGGAATGTAGCGGTGTCAATATTGAACAAGAGGCAATAACTGGTGTACTAGGATTAGTGTGGGATCGACATGATGACACTTTATCCTGTGACGTGCAGCCTGTTATTGTCGATGGACCAGTTACTAAGAGGAAAATATTATCTGTCGTGGCGAAATTGTTCGACCCCATAGGATTCACGTGCCCTGCCACTCTTCAACCAAAGTTGATGCTACAGGAGATGTGGCGAACCGACAAGGGATGGGACGATGAGGTGGAGGAAGAACAAGTTTCAAAATTTATGAAGTGGTGCCAAGAAATTTATCTCTTGTCAAAAATCAAGATTCCAAGGAGGATGATGCTGCGGGCTGAATCAAGTGGTACTCAGTTACATTTATTCACGGACGCGAGTAGCTACGCCTATGCAGCAGTTATCTACATTCGAAGTGAACGAGGACCGGAAGTCAGTGTGCAACTCGTTCAAGCCAAAGCCCGTGTAGCTCCTTTGAAAGGAGGAACAATTCCCAGGCTCGAGTTGATGGGATGCTTAATTGGAGTCCGGTTATTGAATATGGTGCGTGACTCTCTTGATATTCGAATTGATCGAGAGTTTCACTGGACGGACTCCACTACAGCTCTTGCCTGGATTCAGAGAGGGGAAGAGTGGGGGACTTTTGTGGCGAATCGGGTCAAGGAAATAAGAAGTTCGACCTCGGTTTCAAATTGGAGGCATGTCCCTGGCGTACTCAACCCTGCAGATCTTCCGTCGCGTGGTTGCCCTCCAAATGAATTACTTGAGTCGAAATGGTGGGAGGGCGTGAACTGGTTGAAGCGACCTGAAGAAGAATGGCCATCCAACAAATGTGAAGTTGATGAAGATGAGGTACGAAAAGAAGGCAAAGGACGGAAAAGGACAATAATGCAAGTATTCAGAGAAAAGTCCTGGTTCCACTGCAAATTCTCCTCATTTCACAAGACCGTTAGAGTGATGGGATGGATTTTAAGATTCGTGACCAACTGCAACAAGGACAAAACCAAACACGTGAAAGGATCAAGGTTAAGTCACAGTGAATTCAAAGTTGCAGAGCACCAGATTCTCCACGGTATTCAGAAAGAGTGTCTTCGTTCTGATGTCACTGAATTAAAGAAGAAACTTTCCGTGGTGGAGAAAAATGGATTACTTTGTGTGAAGACTCGACTACTAAACAAGGAGGACACTGATTGCTTTCGATGGCCCGTAATTCTCCCCAGTGACCATTATCTAGTGAAGATGATGATAACAGATTTGCATAAGTTATATTCTCATCCTGGAGCACAATTTCTGCTGTGCAAATTAAGAGAGCGATTTTGGATCCTGGGAGGAAGGAAAGCAATGAAGAGAATTATTAGAGCATGTCCAAATTGTCGTAGAAATGATGTGAGACCTTTATGTGTGGAACCTTCTGCACTCCCAACTAATCGTGTGACACCCGGCGAAGTGTACGAGACAACCGGAGTAGACCTGGCTGGCCCCGTGATTCTGAAAGACGGAAGCAAAATGTGGATTGTGCTTTTTACTTGCTCCGTCTACCGGTGCGTTGCGTTTGATGTGGTGTCATCTCTAAGTACGGAAGCATTTATGGGAGCGATGCAGCGGTTCATCAATATTTATGGACGTCCCCGAACCTTCTGCAGTGACAATGGGACTAATTTTGTGGGTGTAGCAAATTTGCTGAAGACGCTGGATTGGGAGGAAATTCTCCAGAAGTGTGACGTGTCAGCGATCAAATGGACTTTGAATCCTCCTTCTGCACCGTGGTGGGGAGGATGGTGGGAGCGTCTGGTGCGATCCATGAAGAATCAATTACGTCGTATGTTGGGAAAGGCTAAATTGACGTGTGAAGAGCTGCGCACCAGTTTATCAGCAGTTCAAGCAACCATCAATGACCGACCGCTGACCGTGTTAACTGAAGATTCTGGTGACCTAATTCCTTTGACTCCATCCATGTTTCTTCATCCCAGTAGGAGTGCCCATTTCCCAGAAGGAGTTATAGTCTGTCAAAGTGGACTTGAAGGGAATTATAAGAAGATGCAAGTTGTTCAAGGTCAACTCCAACAACGATTAAGGACCGAGTACTTGGCTCAATTAGTGCAACGAGGGAATGAGACCAAGGGTGCTAATCTGAAGATTGGAGATGTGGTTCTAATAGGAGCAGAAAACAAGAAGAGGTACGAGTGGCCAATCGGACGTATTGTGGAAATCATTAGAGGACGTGACGGTCACTGCAGAGTCGCCAAAGTGCAAACCGCCCACGACTATGAATTAAAGACGGAGAAGTCCGGCCAGTACACAGTGACGAAGGTGAAGAAGGGACACGTGTTGACAAGACCCCTCCAACGCTTGTACCCAATGGAAATCTCTTCATCGACGGATCTACCAGAGGTGGAGGTGGCTAAAATTCGGGAAAAAGTCAGCGAGCCCCAATGTCAAGATTTTAGCCCCATTCAAGATGTGCCCCACGTGAAGCATACTCGTTTTGGGAGACAAATCAAGAGCCCAACGCGACTTTTATACTGGAATTATGAGTACAGTGTTAATAATGATGTTATGTAAATGTGTATTATTTAATCTTTTGTTCAGGCATTCTCAAAAGAGGTGGGAGCGATGTTAAATCTCATTTTAGTTTAGCATAGAGTAAGAATTTGAGCTTCGTTTCAGAATGAGAGTGCAAAGAGTTTTGGTGTGTGCGTGAGAGAGAGAAGGCATGGCCGTGTGTAATTATTCTAATCTCTTCTCAATTTAATAAATAGTTTAATTAATTTTCGTGATTAGTGGTCACTATTAAATGATAAGTCAGCCGATTCATGTTATATATTTGTTGGTGGAATTGGGACAATAAAATCAGTTTAAAGTGAGCTAGTCATCGAGTCTTGTGTCACTTCATATAACGACAGGATAAGCCAATTTTCCGAGACGGGTCCCAACGGGTAGTTGGATAAATCGCGGTCTCAACAAAGGATTCATTCATATTTCCGTGTAAAACTCATATTTGGCGCCATGACGTGGCGCCAAACTTCAAAATTTGCATTTTCGACCAGTTTCAAACCCCCATAACTTTTGCAGTTTATGTCGGATTTTCAAAATTTTATACTTAAGATGATCACAAAAGTCGAAATTTTTGAGAAAAAAATAAAAATAAAAAATTTCTAATTTTTGAAATATTTTTAGCATTTTTTCGACGAACCCCCGTTTATAAGAAAATTACGAAATTTTGCGAAAAGTTAAAAGTGATAATTTTGGAAAAAATTTCATTGGATACGAAAGTTGAACTCCTTGTCATGATTTTTGCCAAAAATTTTGAAAATCCGTACAGGTTTTCAAAAGTTATGGCGGTTTCAAAAATAAAAACATGCAAATTTGGCGAATTTGGCGCCACGCCATGGCGCCAAATATGAGTTTTACACGGAAATATGAATGAATCTTTCATCTGGGGTCCTAGTAGATTCTGAAAAACATAGTGGGTACCCTGGACTCAAACGACAGGTCGTGAGTGTCCCTTGTTAGATTTCTTTCAATGATGGAAAGAAATGGGTATTGCTACTATATTGTAAAAAACTGCCTGAAAAATGTATAGTGACAATTATGTTTATATTATATAGTAAATATGTGTTTATATGTGTATGAGAATTTGCTGTTTGTTCATATATGTAGATGAATCAGCATCCATTGCGAATGTGCATGCAATGTTAATGCATATGTACATGCATGCCAATAGTCTTGATAAGTGGTGGCGAAAGAGGGTGTACTTTCGTCAAGGGCCATACCACGTTGAATGCACCAGTTCTCGTCCGATCACTGAAGTTAAGCAACGTCGGGCCCGGTTAGTACTTGGATGGGTGACCGCTTGGGAATCCCGGGTGCCCTTGGCGTTCATACTTTTTGCATAATTTTATATTGGCGTCGATGGAAAACATTTTGAAATCTATTCAACTTTAAAAAATGGCCACGAACTTTTCGCAAAATATTAGTTTAGTCATAACAGCTTATGTACATTGAAAAATTATGCACGCGACATGGCATGTCACCAGGGTCGAATGGACACATGTTTGCATGCACTGATTGAATAGAAGTGCAAGCTTTTGGTTTATTAATAAATATGAAAACGACAACTTGATGATTTATTTCAGGTAGATATAAATTATATATACCGAATAATTATTTGGTTGCTAATTGTCCGTTTTTGTACAAGATGGTGACGTACATATTTAAACAATTTTTGATTGATATAATCTTGATTTATTCGAATGTAATCATAGCAATCTTTCTCAAATGAAATTCATCACATTCGACACAAATTCGCCTAATTTCCAGCTTGATTAAAAATAATGATGCATGAAATATGTTGATAAATTGCGTGTATACTCCAAGGTTGACAGCTTATCGATTATTTTTATTGATAAATTATCACTGGAATATTTATATTTAGAAGGACGCGAATAATGTTAAAGCACTAAACTTAAAACCTAATCAATCAATTACGCAATTTCATGACAATACTTGCACATCGGTCTGAAAATTCGATGAAATTTTGCTACCAGGAAATTTCCAAACCTACGGATTTCATTGGAAAAAGATTACATGGATTGAATGCATGGGAAATCACATGAGATTATATTAATGAATAATTGTTCAAATACTTCAATCCCGTATAAAAACGGGCAACTTGCCACCAAATAAATTAGTACAACACATGTAATCATCCATAAAACTAAAAATGAATTTACCACGAATTACGATCGTCATGGTGTTCCTTACCGGGGCGTATTCCGCCCCGAAATCCGAATTTTTACGCACGGTCATTTCATCTAACGAGGGCGAAATTCAGTTAAACCTTCGAAAACCGGGTATCAGACTTCAACATACAGTGTTTGATACTAAATAAGTAATCTTAAGAGTTGAAAAGTCTTATGCATATGCATTTATTTAGAGACCCCAATTTTCCAGGATAACTTCAAGGTCATTTTGTCAACCCGAAGTGAATCTGGTGAAACAATTCTGCTTGATGGAACACCATCGAAGGAAATAATTTCTCAACTTGACGACCAAATCCATATTGATCCGGACTCAAATGCCGTTGTCAGATTGACTACGGTGAACGGACAGACGCAACTGGTACGCTTCAATGCATACCACAATGTTCTGTGTTTAGTCGTCTTTGCCAAAATATTTTGTATGCACTAAAGGTGACCAAATATTCGTTTCTTTTAGTTTGGACATATCAACAATCGCATGATTTCTTATCACGATGGTGAAAATATCCACAAATTAGTAGAGGAGAGTCTGTCCGAGGAGGCGTCTGACTACCGTAAGTAGTCAAACATAATTAAGTATATGAATTACACAGATAAATATATACGCCAAGCACCTTACACTTTCAAATAGTGGAAATTCCTGAGGAAATCAGACTCGCACATCCACCCATCACCGCAAATAGATCCACCGACGCTGTCGTCACCGTAGAATTGCTGATCGTAGTCGACAATATGCTAACTTTACTCTTGGGTGGAGATGTTAACAGGATTTTAGAGTATTACGCCATAGCTGTGAGAAGCGTTAACAACCGATATGCAACTAGCTTAGATCCCAGGGTTACCGTTAAGCTCGTTGGAATTGTAGCAATTCAGGTAAAGAAATGGATAGCTAAACTAGAAAATTTCATAAAGTATAATCATAACTACATTCAGATGACGCAATCTAAAAAATCGTCAAATTTCGGTCTATACTTTGTAGAACATTGCAAATCAACCATTCATCGAAAACCATCGTGGACCTGATGGTAACTACGACCCTAACGGTATTCTACCCGACTTTGGGAGATATCTGGTCACAAACGGGAGTGCCTTCCCTCCCCACGATTTGGGAGCATTGCTTACCGGTGTTAGCATGGGGAACATTGCGGGACTGGCTTATCGCGGTGGAGCGTGTCGGGAAACGGTGAGGGCTTCAATAACTCTAGATGCAGGAGCAGTATTTCGTGGCGTTGGGACTTTAACCCACGAAATGGGACATAAGTGAGACACAATTCCTTAACAAATAAAATTATGTATGTATGATCCCTTATTCTTAATTGTGGTTTCTAGCTTGGGCTCGGCGCATGACGGCGATGCCGTGGCAGGTACGGATTCGTGTCCAAATGAGGACCGTTACCTGATGAGCACAACGGGAGGATTTGGTCCAAATGGATATTACTTTTCAACTTGTAGCAAGGCAATGATGAACACATTTTTTGGGTAAGTTTAAAACCTTCTAATTTGCATAATTCTTGGTCAAATAAATAATTTGTAATTGTTTTGTACTGAAGAACTACGAATGCCAACTGTCTCTATTCTCAAGAGTCTCCAACCTGGCACACACCGTCGCCCCTCTTACCAGGCGATTTGATAAATTTGGACGATTTCTGCCGGGCTTATCGCCCCGAATCATACGTTTCGGATACCCACACCCCTGACGAGCTGTGTCAAAATGTGCGATGCAAATATCGTGCTCCGTGTCCTGCACCGGACGAAAATTTTACCTGTGTCTGGACTGTGACGCTGAATCGGATGGCACCAGATGGCGTTTCCTGTGGGACAGGCGGGGTGAGCTGTAATATATTTAGTATGTTAGAGGACCCGGTCACCGGGTTATGATATTATTGTTACATATTTCCAGAGATGTACCCTGGGCACGTGCCAAAACTGATATCCTTTTAAAACAAATAAGCTGAAAACAAAACACATATTTTAATGGAGTGGATAGAAGAGAGTGAACAACACCTTAGTACTAAATAAATAACAAAATTTAATTGTGAACCTTTATATCGTTAGTTATCTTGCTCAATGATTCCTCATCACGTATACCTTATGACCATCACTTGTTACGCTCCTATGACGATTTTTTTGCAAAAGCTATGAATTTTTCTTACAATGAGGAGGAGGTGTAAGGTGGTTATCACCGATCGAAACCGGAAATTGTTCAGGCCCAGAAATAAGCTGACCCGTATTTTTGCGTTTTTCTGAATGGACATGTTTACATGTTTACGCCCTTGGCGGAATTTAAAAAAAAATTCAGCCAAAATCAGGGTTTTTAAAAATGCTGTAACTTTTCGAATTTTAGCCCGATTTAAAAAAAATAAACCCAATTTGTGTTCAGAATTATATCCCTGAAAATATGAAACTTCATTTTTCAGTATGAAAATTAAAAATTCCCAGAGACGCCAATGAGGTCAACAACTTGGTTTAATTTGAAAATATTCATGAAATTATAATTCTTTCCTGTACATTTTTACACCTGAAGAAGGGGGCAGTTGAACCCTGAAAGCTTATAAATAAATCACTTCAAAGATGTCATCCATGTGATCCGATAATTCTACCTTTAAATTTTATTGGTGTTATTTATATGCAATCATCCATTTAACTCGTAATATAGTAACTTCAACAAAGGTTTCTCAAAGCGCATTTGGGAACTCGCACATGAGCAAGTCAGATTATATTAAAGAAAATAACAATTTATTAAAATTAATCTCATGATTTACTACTTCAATTGAGCTGGCAGTATAGGACGGTGGCTGGAGAATAGCGTGCTAAATTCTTAACACATTTGTGGACATTTCGGTAATATATTGACAGCAAGGTAACAAATCCTCTTGACCAATTCTTCCTTACTTGAGGTGACCTCGTCACCCAAATTTCCAATGTCGTATGCACCAAAGTCTTCCTCTTTCAATTCTGAAAATATATTTAATGTAAGACTAATATTTTTTTAATTTCCGTCCATAATTTCATGTAGTTAAGTAATGTATAGATAAGTAATGTCTCAACACACCATGATCGCTACATATTTCCACCGGCTCAGCCGACATAATCGGTGCCAAGACAAGGCCCCAAATCACGCCGTAAATCTTGCACTGATTCCACTCCTCCATAAAATCCGCCCAGATTAACCCCTCCCCTTTCAGGCATAATTTATCCCCCAAGAACTGCACAAAATGGTCATGATACCACCTGAGATAACCATCCTCCCCACTTTCCAAGTCGTCCAGGGGAACACTCGAGTACAGGAAGTAAGAAATGTCCACCGACCTCGGGGCGCATCTGGCCAATTGGAAATCCAACAGCTTTACTTGATCCGTTTCTCCGTTAAAAAGAATATTATTCGTCCAACAGTCTCCATGATTGATGACGGCATTTTGACTATCCATCCCACCAGAAACTATGGTGTACAAATCGTCCCAAAGTTTGACACCAGCCTCGTCATCACTGCAAAGTTTGTGAAGGATCAACTCCGCTTGCTCGGTGTGACCCGAGGTCCGCAATATTTCCGCGTCCTTGATAAGAATTGCAGTCATCCATGTTTTCATAGAGTCAGGATCGGTCATCCGGCTTCCTTGGGCGGGAAATAGTTTCTCTTCCAACCAGGGATAAGTTTCCATAATTTTAGAGGAATCACCACCAAATTGGGAGTACGAGATGGCATGGAAATAGGCCAGATTTTTTAAAACGGAACGAATCTGATGGGGCGACAAGCCATTGGTACGATCAGCCATGGAGAAACTGGGAAAGAATAATTGTTGTAAAAATTATCAGGAGTTACCACCTCCCACGGCCGATTAAATAACGTTTTGGTGCGAGTCGCAATTTCATGTCATTTATGAACTTTCGGCATGAAATTTCTTTTTATTATTTCCGAATTCCGAGTTTTTAAAATCAATTTTTCTCGAAATTCGGATGTGTTGAAAAATACAATGGTTAACAAAAAACTACATTTTTGCTGGCGTGCGACGCTGTTTTGAATTTACGTACGAGTAAGTAATTATATGCATTTATTTAACTGCGCTTATGCTTCATGATCTCATGACCATTTCCCCATCTCGTAATGTATGTAATATATTTCTTTAGCATTGCGTGATAAGAAGTTATCGTGAAATAAGGAATAAACGCAGTTAAAGCTAATAAAAAAATACGCACCCCTGTCCCCGTAAATCCTCCAGTGCCAAGTAATCATTCGCACCATCGTGAAATGTGGCGTAGCAGGTTGGCCAGCAGGAAAACAATTCTGCTTTTAGCAATCCTAGCTCCTCTTGGAATTTGATAATCTCTGGAAACACTTGTGTGTACATGTTTCCCTCTTTAACAAAGGCGGCCATCTCGTTAATCATTTCTTGTCGGGAGACAGCTCGAGGCATCGCTTTTAGCATAATGTCCAGATTTTCGGTCAAAGTTGGTCCATTATTTAGAAGGATTTTGACCGAGTAGATGATCGACATGTAGTTATCTCCCGGTTTTGTGGCGAGTCTTGAGGTGAATGAAACTACCTCAGAATCTTCCTTGTACGCAGACGCGATTTTTTTGACCACGGACAAAGTCACGATTTCCGGGTGAATGGGAACTTTTTGGATGCATGAATCCGATTGAAGCTTGTCTTCTTGACTCATGATTACGGAATCTAGAAATAAGTATTTAAGAACTAAATTAAAATTACGTCTTTAAAGTAAGTATGTACTTGCGTTTCAATTAAAATCCTTTAGTCTATAGGTTCGTAATATACTTTTCGATGTACAAATTAAATAAGTTTGCACTTGTTTTACGCAAGTTTTGATGTAATAAATTTACGATATGTGTCTTATTTTCAAATCTGATATAAATTTATGAGTAACGATAAAGAATTTTATGCACCAAAACTGATAAAATGAGAAAATTACTTACTTATAAGGTGTAATATGTGTGCATATGCGTCAGTCGGATTACATACTTACTTGATTGGAACAGATGACATGCGAATGGATTTATATTGTATGCTTTGATTGTAGGTGACTCAACACCGCATTACCAAGTGCATAAATCTCACCATACATTACTGAATAAATAATACATACATAATCTCAGTCAGCACAAGTACACAATAAAAGAAACATCGCTATCATCACTTGCTCATGTTGTCTGGGTGACCATCATTGTCAGTCACTAACCCAGGCCAACAAGTCCATCAAGTATGCATTACAATGTATTTAAATGCATTAAGTATTCCAATATTTAGGATTAAAATGGTTTATTCATGTAGCTCATGAAAAGGGCAAGAAAAAGGACCCTTCACGATGAACTTGACGTATGTAATTACATTTGTTTGTTTGGTCAATTGAGTAAAAATCGTAGTTTCGTTGCTGTATACATATGTACATACATGCATATAAATTAAGCTTCTTCTTCTCCACAAAATTATTTTTTCTCCAGTTTCCACACAGTTTCCGGTTTCTTTTGCAGCTTTTTTATGGTAACATTGCCCCATAAGAACCATACCAAACCGATCACAATACAGGCAATTGTTTCGACATAATAGCCATCAAACGTTGTGGTGCACAGTGATCCTGACTCATTTGAAGGGCAGGATTTGAACGTGAGGGGGTCCACCAACCAAAGGGCGGCTGCTCTCGGCCACGCACTCCCCAAGTTAGAAACCGTATTGTACATCGTCATAAATGTGGCGCCATGGGCGGGGTCACTAATTCTTGCGACAAATGCCATCTTTGCGACGAACATTATTGTCTCGACAATCTAAATGTTTACGGTACAAGTAGAATTGAGACTTACAAAATGCATACATAAAATTACAGATTACGTGTTATTCACTCGGGTATTTGTAGCCCAGTAAACTTGCAAATTTTTTATTTTACAAACCTTTGTAAAATATAGTTTGCATAAGTTTGCAACTTTTTGGCAAACTTAGGGTAAGTTTTCGGAGTTTTGCTAGGTTACAAACACCACGCAAGCTTAAGGACTTACTTTAAGTATGGCTTCCACTGCTAGTAAAGTGGGGACGTACCAGGATGGAAATCCGCCGTGGTCATCTTTCACCTCGCCGGTTACCCAAACCATGCCCGCAATTACTCCAGTGGTTAATAAGCTTACAAAAAATTAAAACACAAATTAAATCTGATACAACCCAGGAGTAAAAAATTTTACCTTGTAGCTTACGCAAAAATGTACACCTTCATGAAAAGGCTCATCGGTTTGACTCCTACCGTCCATTTAGAAACCAGGACCGGAACGAGCAAACTTATCGGGATTAATGGGACGGATAGCTGAAAAATTCTCATATGCATTTACTTATCCAGCATCACTAGAAACATATTTATTTCATATTGCAAAACAAGTTAGTATACCTGAGCCTTCACTTCTTTGGGTAATCCCGCCTCGACAAATTTTAATTCGCTGAGGGCATGCACGGCAGCAAATCCAAGCTAGAAAGGTAACGAATGAGATGCATACTTAATTAGGGTATTCGGGTCAATTTTGTAACCTTATATATACATGCATAAACTGTGTAAACTTTGTAAAATTCTGTTAAAAATTGAAATACGGCTGGGGTTATGTACATAAGTAATGTGGGTATTCATTATGAGCTGGTGTGGTTAAGATATTTTTTGCAAAAACACAAGCCATTGGATGCGAAGTTTGCTAATAATTTTGACAGGAAATTTTTGAGATTTTTGCAACCTTTGTCTTGCTGATACCGTTCTTATTGATAAAATCTCATATGAATACCCCAAATATTCGTAAAGTACATATGTAATTCATATTTGCATCAGAAAATTTAGAATGTTTACAAAATATACACAGTTACAAAGGTTAGCGTGAAAATATTCTGCTCACACTGCTGGTGAAATAAAACAGCACACATTTCCGAACGGAGGGTAATTTTAGGATGTCCCAAAGCCGTAAATAACTTGAGACAATGGAATTATTGTTTTTTTCTCCGTCACCATTTTCTGCTCCTGGTTCATCCTCCTCATTCTTGAAAATTAAGAGCAGCGTGGTACAAACGAAGTAAATGATGGACCAGATTCCCATAAAACTGGCGAGAGTGACGATTCCAACCTCGTTGTTGGGCACGGTTCGAAACCATTTGTTCGAGAAGGAGGGTGAATTTAAATTTATGAATACGGCGTAACCTATAAATGCTCCAAAAGATTGTCCTACCGCATTACAGGTGGATGCTAGGCCGACATTTTCTCTAAAATTGGGTGAAAATAGGGGAAATTATGCGCATAATAGGAAGCCATATTCAATGCTAACTTTGTAACTATGTAAATTTTTTGCAATTATGAGAATTTTTTCGCCTAATTTGTAAGATATCATGCAAATTAGATTCCAAAATTTTCAGAGATTTCCACAAATAAAAAGAAAATTGCTTTACGAACTTTACAAAAAAAATATTAAACCTGGCAACTTGCACAGTTACAAAGTTTCGCGTGAATCGATTACAAGCAGAGGACTATCTAATTATTCTTGTGGGATACAAAAATAAGATTTCGCACACAAAAATCGTCGCCCACTTACTTTTTCAGCATAGTCAAAGCCCATCCATCCACCGCTACGTCTTGCGTAGCCGTAAGAAAATTCAGAAAGAAGAAGAACCCCGTGAGCACCCCGATCTGCAGCGAATCGAGTAAATGATCCACCCAAAACGAGAGGAACAACATCGTCCCCCCGATCAAGTACTGGACCGGAATCAACCACGATTTCCTCCTCCCAATTCTTCTAAAATAAATCGCATCCACTAACGGCGCCCACAACAATTTTAACGAAAACGGCCATCCCGCCAGTGAAAACTTGGCCTGCTCCGAATAGGTCACGTTGCGTTCCTGAATGATGAGCGGGATTGAGCCCGCTAAGCCGAGGGGGAGACCTTGCAAGGTGTAAAGGAAAAGGAGAATGCACACACTTCTCCAATCCGTCAACATCCGGGCAAATCCGTGCTTATCTTCTTCCTCACTCACTTCCGTGTGTTTCTCGTCGTCTACCGTGGATATGACCGTCGTGGTGCTGAGCGTCTTCCCGTTCGGGTGGAAAACCCCGGTTTTAAAACACCCGAACATTTTAATTATCTAATTTCACGCAAACTTTACACTTAAAAAATGTGTGTATGGAGGCAGTAACCAGTAACAGTTGATGTGTGCATATGTAGGACCAGAATGAGGAAGGAATACGTGTGTACATATAAACCAGTGAAGAATGACAATCAACAATGAATTCTTTGAGATAGGCAACCCTGACATGCATACATAAATAAATTTAGCAAGCCGTTGTCCTCTGTGTGTACAAAGTTAACGTGGTGGTGCAGTTAGGTGGCTAGTTGGTTGGTAAATATCTACAATGATGCCGAAGACGATGTCAAGTCAGTCTTACCGTAGATATGCCTTGGGCACTGGGTTTTGGTGGTGGGGGACGAAATAGATAGATAAATGATTGAATTGCGTCTTGGCTGACTTGAATCTTAATTATCCTTTAACGAGCGTATTCATTGATAAAGGATGGAGTTATTTTTGCATAAGATTTTCATTATTATCATCGATTTTGAATGTTATTGAGTAATTTTGTAGTATTCATTATGCAGTTGTGATACTGATACATGGAGCAATTTATTTATGAGACTTTCCTTGTCGGCTAATTATCCTCGGAGATAAATGCTACATATTTATATACGTAAGTGTTGAAAATTAATTAGAAATTAAGTAGGGATGGCTGAAATGCATTGTTTTGGTGGCGTCTATTATGTAAAAGTTTGGTCGTCAAGTATTTTATTGGTTTTATGTACATAAACTCGTCAAAAGTTAGATAAATATTCCAATTACAAGAAGGTATTTATAGTTTTATGCTAAGGTTGGTAGCAATGTGGGATTTGTAGGAAGTTTTTTGTCCCCTTGAGAAAAGTTGAATGCAGTTTGTTGCACTGAGGAGGGGAGCTTGCGAGGTTGATAATAACAGATCCTGATGCCCTTTGGATATGTGGTAGGGTCCTATGAGTGTACTAAAACCCTGAAGTGGTTTGACTCCATGGCCACATTTGCGCCCGCCACACCCACTCAAAAATGCTCAAAAACCGCTTTCACTCCAGGTTTCACTCATTCAAATCCACGCCAAAAATCCAATTTTACTCGGATTTTGAAATTTCTTTCACCATTACACTCCCAGATAGTTGCTTTCTTCAATCCAATGTCAAACTCAATTTTGATGATGATTATTTCGCAGGCATAATTTGCGTTGTGGATTACTACAACAATGCTCATTCAGAATTTTAAATTTTAAAAATACTAATAATTTCGAAAATATTGAGTTTGATATCGAATTGAAGAAAGCAACTATCTGGGAGTGTAATGGTGAAAGAAATTTCAAAATCCGAGCAAAATTGGATTTTTGGCGTGGATTTGAGTGAGTGAAAACCGGAGTGAAAGCGGTTTTTGAGCATTTTTGAGTGGGTGTGGCGGGCGCAAATGTGGCCATGGAGTTAAACCACTTCAGGGTTCTAGTACACTCATGGGACCCTACCACATATCCAAAGGGCATCAGGATCTGTTATTATCAACCTCGCAAGCTCCCCTCCTGAAAGGTGTGTAAGGTATGTACATATGGACTAATAATTTGGGTACCCAAAATTCCATTAAAATAAAAGCGCGTGGCTAATGGACGTCTTCATGTCATATCTCCATTCATTCTTTTATACAGTCATTTTTAACTATTGTTCGGTTGATCGTGTATCTAGTTCATTATGTATTTCCTTCGTTGAACCTTTGCTCGTTTGCTCAAATTTAACAAAAACTTATGTATGTACAGGCATGTATTGGGTTTGAAATAAAATTAAAATATGCATATGCTTGAGCACCAAGAAATATGCACACGTGTCAGGAAGATGCAAGATTATTGGTTTGTAATGTGTGGGTTCTTGTTGCTTCTTCAATTCGGATAAAGATGCAGATTGTCAATATGCACATAAATAAATACATATGTGAATACATATTTTTACATTTTTTGGTACATTTGCATTGCAATAAAGGTATGCAAACTAGTGTTTGTCAGTATAAAGAAATAGTGGGATATCCGGCAGGTGTGCTACATATGTAAATACATCCACATCGCAGGTTCCAATTTCAGATTGATTGATTCCCATGAAAACCCATCGCCAGGTCACGCCATAATACGTATGTATGTGTGTAAATATGTGTTGACTTGATATTTTATGTAGAATATCCAGGTACATACGCAGTTTAGATAAATGTATTTCCTGCATGTATGCACGTGTAATGTTGAACAGAAAGGTTAGTTGATGTAAGTATCTATTGTTAATAATGGGAAATTCTATTTATTTTTAGCGTATGCAAAATGGAATGTGCGATTTACAATGACCGGTTTCTGATTGGTGGAACCTTTATACCACAATCAATAACTATTTTTTCTGGCCGAACGATATTGTAAACAATTATCTAAGTCTCAAATTGCCTCAGAGGATAAAGTGAGATTGCAACTAATCGTATCAATGTGCCTCATAATAATTAATACTTTTAAATTAGTAGAAATGTGCACCCAAGATCTGTGGGTGTAATAATAATGATTGAACCAATAGATAATGTAAAACAAAGTCTTGGAGACAGGAATCAGACTTGTAACGTAGAGCCTATTTACATAAGTAATGCTATCCAGGTGTGCTTATATTGATTGAAACATTTGTAGTCAAAAATTCAATCGTGTACTATTACCCATTGTCAGATTTTTATTAAAATTCTTAAGTTTCCAAGTTATCATGATAAAAAAATATTTTCCTACCTACTAAACTTACTTAATTTTACCTATGTACACATAATATTTATCATACAAATATGGAAATCATGAAAAATTTAAGCGTATGGGTGCTGATATTGGCCTCATTATTCTTCTGAATTTTTTATGCAGCGCACCAACACAGTCCTCCAGAAATATAGCACCAATTCGACCAGTTTGGACACAAGCAATTTGGACACTGCAAGAAAATCAATCATGCATTAAGAGTGGTCAACCAACAATTATCAACAATTTGTGCACTATTCTCACGTTTAGCGGGCAGCACCAGTCAGCGATCTCCTCGGTTATCGTGGCATTTGTAAATCCCCCTTTCGCCACAACCTCCGGGGTTGGAAGTGCCTTCCCAGCGAGCACGGACGCCACAAACATCAAGATCACGAAAGCAATGATACTACAGAAATAAGAAATATATTAGTTTTGTATGTATGCTTGAATACAACTTTTAATAAAAGATTAAAACATTATTTAATAAAAATTATTTGAAAACTTACGATTTTGAAGACATGTTAATTTTTGTACGATTTTCCTGTTAATAGTTGCGTAAAGTTCTACAATGAACTTGATTTTTCTGCGAGATTTGTAATACTTTGAAGTAAGCTTGAAACTGATACAGACTCATCACAATTCCTGTCTTTTTATACCCAATTTGTTTACAACATAGAACTATTATTATGCAAAATTGACTAATTGTATTTCAGGGAAATCAGTATCTAACTGAACTGATTAATAAACATACTTGAAAGTATTGACCCATAAAAAACACTACGTAGTTTCGGATGTTTTCCGAGTTTCACGTCACGTCCGCGATTCAATGGTAAGGATTGAAGTAAATCAGATAACAAGTTATCCATATTTGCCCACAGGTGTGTGGCATTGATAAGTTGACCAGTGCGTACCATGTGAGTTGTTTACTAGATTCATCTTGTTGTTTCCTCGATAATGAAATCGGGTTGGAATAATTTTTTTGGCGACAGGCTTATCCAAGTATTGCTCATGCTTATCCTTCACGTGAAATGACGCAAAATTCAAAACAATAACAACAAATGCAAAATCATAAAAAGTTCCCATCTATGCTTCCGTAAGTTTCTAATAAATTTCCAGTGATAAATTGAAGATTTTTTCATTCTCCATTTATTATGTAACACATTTATTATGCAAATAAATAATTACATACGCACATATTTACATATTTATATATACTTATATATACTAATACCTATGTACATAAAAGTGAAATGCAACTGTCCATTTCAAATTTTCCCAAACAACTGTAACTATTTATATGTAAGTCCTTAATTTAAATACAAACTTAATTCGCAAAGTTCCCCATTGCGTTACAATTTTCTGCCCTACTAAAGTACGAAATTCATAAAGGAAACATACAAAAGCCACTAAATTAAGGCCAAATATCAGAATAAACAAGGTCACAATTCCCCCATTCATCATGGCCGATTTTGAGATTTTTTTACCCGTCACGTTTCCCAGAAACCTTTTTTCTTTTATAATTTTCCTCGCTGAGACTTCTACTAAAAGTCGGTCATAAATCCCAGACTCAATCATTGCCCAGTAACCTCTCGATATGTGCGGTATTCTTCCCTCTTGTTCAACCACCCACCCAATCAGACCTCCATTCAGGACATCTCTTCCTTTATGAAAGTCAATCCAGAAATATCGTTTTCGAAGATACTCGATCTCTGCCACTATTAAAGGCGATTCTCCAATAAAGACAGTCTTACCACATGACACGATCTCCTTCTCTGTCGCATATTGCACATCCTGCATGCCAGGATTACCTTCTAACCTCGGTCGCCGTGCGTGCCTTGGATGAAATAAATTCAAGAGAACTCGATTGTGGGATACACGTAGGGGGATTAAAGTCTCAATTTGTCTGAAACTATAGTACCACCAGTACAAGTAGTCTTCGAAGTCGTAAACAAGGCTGCCTTCCAAACGTCCTTGTAAAACAGGGGACAATAATCGAAAACACGAATCGTCTTCGAGAAATGGTATTTCGCTTAACTCTGGGGGGACTGCAAGTTCCAAGTTGTTGTACTGTAATTTCACCCTGAATTCGTCCAAGTAGCGAAGTGTTTCATTCATTTTGGAAAAAACTCTTTCACCAGGGTTTTTGAATCTTTCGCTATGAAATAGTTGTGCATCTTCTAAACTGCAAACCAAATCGGAAAATATTTCCGGTCCGTTTCTCGCCATCGGTGAATTCAATTCGGATATCATCAGACCATTGTATAAATTTATTAAAACCAAACAAGCTAATGTCCATCCTATCAGCAGATATCGAGTATAATCAGGTTTTTCAACTTGGCCCGGAATTGTGCCCCATTTTTCGAACATTACGGCTAAAACAGTCATCCATATTGAAAAGTCTTCTGGTGCTTTTGTAACAAAACGGACAATCAGAACCATTACCAAGTATACCATTACCCCGCCAAACAGTATTGCATACCAAACTTCCCGCTGAAATGGGGCAATGTAAAATCTGAAAGTAATTTCCTTCTCGGAGTAGCAAGATGAAAACTGATAACCAATAAATCCAACTGTAACTTGGATTTTAGTAGGGGACGAATGAATGCTTTCCAGAACATCCAACTTTATTTCTCCATGATACATTAATGAACAGCTTCGACAAAATGACAGGGTCGAATTACTTTTTCGAAATACTGATTGCGCAATATGATGATGTACTGACGTGTTGATATTGCTACGATCAAAAGGATTGATGAATTCAGGATATTTTATTAATTCAACGATATCGCCGCGTTTGTATCCTTTGGGCATGTTGATATCCGTGTTTTCTAACAGAGTCAATTCCCAGTTTTGTAGTTTAGTCTGCATGGCATGAAATTTTTCTAGGAAATTTGACTGCATGTTTGTCACACAGTTAAAATTTTGCATTTCCGGCATTACTCCACTTCTTAGGACGCATAACTCTAATAAACTGTTCATTCTTTGATTGAACACAATTCCGAAATTTTCGATAGAGGATATAGAGAGGTATTTATTAATGGAAACTTTCGCAAATTCTTTCTTATCGTAGTTTGTCACCAGTACGACGTACGTATTGCTTGTCGAGGTGGACCATTCTTCCCCATATTTTCCAAACCGGAAATGCCTATCTGTTCCAAACCTTGTCCAATGGCTAAATTTTGTTTCTTTGCCATCCTCGAGAAATTTGGAGGAAAATAATACGCTTAATTGACAATGAGAAACTCGTGTTTTCGAAATATCGATTGCAAATTTGTCCCAATCTTGGAAACCAACCCAGATACGATGTATCAGAAAATTAGACGCAAAAATTAAAGACGTTGGGAGTAATAAGTTTGGAAATGGCTGGATGTTAGCAGATTCAAGATCGCCATGAACAATTTGAACGTCACAGTTCTCAACTCCTTTCAACAATTTGAATATTTGGATTGTATCCTTTGTTTCGCATGCAACACAATAAAGTGTCAACAATGTGACACAATGTCGAATTACACGTAGGTCCATGGCTGCTAAAAATTAATATGAAATAATGTCGAAAAACAAATGCAAGGGTTTTGAGAGGCACAATACGGACTAAAATTAATAATTAATATGAGACACATGAGTATTCCTACTGCCAACTGCTGAAATTGTCGGAAGTTACATACATGTAAATGTACTTATGTATATAAAACTTTATGAAATAACAAATTATATCAAATTTAATTCCGCTTATACGAGAAAATTAAAGCATGTTGGAGAAAATTGACTGGATATCCTGTGGCTGAAAAAGTTTTTAAAACTTATCTTAATTAACGAACAAAAAATTACCGAACTTTTATCGAAACGCAACTTGTTTGTGTTTTTAGTTAACAGGAAATAATATAATTTAAATTTTAAATCTCTCGAAAATTTTAAACGCTTTGCTCATTCAGACGGAAAACAAGTTACCAAAGTTTCTTGTCTGTATCTAATGGTTTTATAGGTTATCGTTAGAATACATAAGTATATATGTACTTACATATTTATATAAATCCATGGCTAAACTTTCAAACAAATGCAAGTTGTCTGCAAAGTTAACTACGAATATTATTTTAAATTAAAACGCTTCGTTGCTTCATTCATAACGGGGTTTTTGTTGGTAGACATATGTATAGTACATACCGTAAAGACTCTATTTATAGCCGGGTCTAAGGATGGCACAAATCTGAACACAATTTCAAACCGGGTAAAACTAGAGACCCGGGTAAATTATTTTTCGGTTATGCATAACTTGAACCATCTAAAAACGGACACTAAAGTAATGCCATGATTAGGGGCAAGGTTATTAAATTTTTCAAACTTGGGCTCAAGACCCGGCTATAAATAGAGTCTTTACGGTATTTACATTTGTACATTTGTAGGTAAAGTATATTTAGTGCCTCTTATGAATAAATGATTCCTAAATGTTTATCTTATATGTCCAGGTGTCACTAGAGGATCAATAATTTCCATTGTATAGTTTATTTATATTTATTTTTCTTCTTGGATAGTGTCGCAAATAATTGTCACAAAATTGTCTAAAATTAATCAATAATTCCAGGATTTACGGAAGTAAAAATAACTATGAAATTGAGAAAATATGTGACGATTGGATTAAATAAACTAGATTTGATTTTTTGCGATTAGAATTAATTTAACGTTTCATATACATACGTCAGTCCACGAGAGGGATGTCCACATAAGTAGTACCTACTTAATAAGTCTGTCTCCAAACAAATTACTGAATACAAGTTGCTTTATCTAGGAAACAACAATTAACAACGTGTTGCTTATAAACGTATGCATTTAAAATAGAAAACTGATAACGTGTTATCCTTTACACGTGAAGCTCTTAAATATCGAACTGCCACCGTGACGCGAAAAGCGTTCACACGTCGGATGTTTTGACTGAAAACATCCGAAACTACCAAGGTATACGCAGTGTATTTTTGTGGGACAACATTTTCAAGTGGATTTATTAATCAAATAGTGATTTCTCTGAAATGAAATGATCACATTCGCACAACACCTATGTAATAATAGTTGCAATATTGTAAACAAATCGGGTATAAAAAGTAGGGCATTGTGATCAATCTGCATCAGTTTCAATCCTGCCACAAAGTATTTAATACAAAGCCAAAAACTACAAAAACCGAAGTCATTACGGAACTAACGCAAATACTACATAAACAAAATAAAATCCCAGAAAAATAAAATGTCTTCAAAATCGTAAGCTTCCATATTACATATTTTCGTTTTAATAAGTATTTAGATAGTTCTCATTTTATTAAAACTTATGAAAATTGCTCTATTCCCTTAGTATCATTGCTTTCGTGGTCTTGATCTTTGTGGCGTCCGTGCTCGCTGGGAAGGCACTTCCAACCGCAGAGGTCGTGGCCAAAGGTGGATTTACAAACGCCACGATAACCGAGGAGGTCGCTGACTGGTGCTGTCCCCTCAACGTGAGCATAGTTATATAAATTATTAATAATTTGTGATTGATCATAGTGACTAATTTTCTTGCAGTGTCCAAATTGCTGGTGTCCAAACTGGTCGAATTGGTGCTATATTTCTGGAGGACTGTGTTGGTGCGCTGCGTAGATAATAAATGCTAAATGATGGACGACGCCAACATTTACCCTTTAAGTTTTTCCAATTTGTTTACTCATGTACATACTCTGAATATATGAGTGACACTCGTAGGGGATAGAAATAGTATGCATGCATACAAATTAATTTTATAATGCGATATTTGTCACTACCGGAATAAAGGTTTCGAAGGATGAATTTCTTTAAAAAAATTACACCCCTGCACAAAAAATACATACTGCAATATAGGTACTTATTCTGTATTATGTGTCTGTATGTGTAATCGGATTAAGAAATATGCGTATAAAAATCTGCAAAAAAGTAGACGCCAAGGGCACCCGAAATTTTGTCAACTTTTAGTTAAGCCGAAAGTTAAATGATTTCAGAATGTTATATATTTTGAATCCCAGTAACACCAATGTAAAATTGAGCAAAAAAGTAGACGCCAAGGGCACCCGGGATTCCCAAGCGGTCACCCATCCAAGTACTAACCGGGCCCGACGTTGCTTAACTTCAGTGATCGGACGAGAACTGGTGCATTCAACGTGGTATGGCCCTTGACGAAAATACAACATCTTTACCCACCACTTATCACGACAAATTCATGTTTCATATGTACTTATGTATGCGTGCAGTATTTGCTCCACGAGAACACCACAGATTTCATTCATAAATAATCTGTAAGTCCTTGGCAGAACTTTCGTTTCGTTTTTTACTCGGTGAAGTAATTCTATTCCCAGGTTATTTATGTTTCCCACTAAAACTATTTAGTTATTAAACTAGTTATTGAGGTTTCACATTGTTTGTGCTACACATTGCGGCCATTGCAATTCTAATTTGAGAAATGCTTCCAGTGAAGTTAGAGAATATGCACGTACGCAGTGATGATATCGCGCCCTGGATTTATCACATATAATTTTACGACTTATTTTGTAACTACAATGACACGTTGATGATACCTGCAGCATGCAGGCTGTGAATGTATCAGTAAATGCCATATAATACTAACATGCATATATCCTAAATAATGAGTCATACTCCTTATATCAGAAACTCGTATCTACCACCTTGTGAGAAAATTTCAACATTTTCCTCCAAATCGTATAAATAATTATGAGAAATATTTGTCTAGCCAACAAGCACATCATTAATCTTTCTATTAGCGAAAACCAAACAAACTCCTCAAACAAAAACCTTACAAAATGGATCAAGACTTATTTCACATTTTCATGGACTTTATATATAATTTTTTCGAAAATATTATCCTACTTCAAAATCTAGTCCCAACCGTATGCTTATCGGCAGCCATCGGTTACATTTTCTACTGGATTTTCATGAAGGATTACAACTTCGCTGAGGTATTTAAGTTCAAAATCGGTAAAATTGTAACCCTTAAGGTAAACTTTATTCATAGGACTTTGCTGCTCACGGATTTGAACATCTTGATAAAAATGGACTGACTAAGGATGCCAATAAATCATCCAATTCCTACAAAACATATAAGATTAACCAGCTAATGAAGAGGAGAAAAATTGGAAATATTCCTCCACATTATCCAACCGGTTGGTTTTCAATATTGGATTCCGACTCGTTAAAAAGCGGAGAAGTGAAGGAAATCAATGTCTTGGGTGAGGTCATTTGTTGTATGTGCATTACAAGATGGTTAAGAATACTTCTTTCGATGTCCACACAAAAAACACACTTTTCGTTAAAAAATAATCGGTGTTTATTTAATATTATAACTTGGATTTTTGTAGCCCAGTTACCAGTAAAGTGTGCAATTTTTTTTAACCTGGTACACATTTAAAACTAAAAAATGTCCCCGAAATGGACAATTTTACGTTTAATTTGAATGTTTTTAAACCAAAATTGACTGGGTTTAAAAGCTGTGAGTGAATTGCTTCATAGTGTCCTAATACACTTTTCTTCAGGAGAGAATCTGGTCGCCTGGCGTGGAATGGAGTCTGATCAGGTGCACGTTGCAGACGCTTACTGTCCGCACAATGGGGCTCATTTAGGCGTGGGTGGCACCGTGCGAGGGGACTGTATTCAGTGTCCCTTCCATCACTGGAGGTATCGTGGAGGGGATGGGAAATTAGTAGAAATTCCGTACGCAGAAAGGAAGGGGGCATGTAAGGATATCATGCAAATACAAGTTATCAAATAAATTTTTGCAAAGTTTTCCTATCCAAACTCGATTTCAGTTTCCATCCATTTAAAAATGTGGGAAAGTATGGAAGCCAATGGAAACATTTACATTTGGCATGACTCAGATGAGAAGAAATCATCTTGGAGTATCGATATCGTGCCATACATACAAAATAAGAGATGGAAATCCTGTGGGAAGACGGAGTTTGAGATTGCATGTCATATACAGGTAGGCATATTTATTAAGATGAGAAATTTTTATGAGAATCTATCAAATGGATGTGCTCCTACATATGTATGTACATAGTGTACGAAGTGCACGTGGTACTTTTGCCAATTACAAATATTTGCAATAAATCGCATCGCTCAAAAGTCATTTCGCAAATATGTACATCAGAGCGATTGTCAATAATTTCAGGAACTATGTATTCCAGAAATATTGAAAATCCTTGCAATTTCAGAAATTATTATTAATTTCCCTTTTGCACTTTCCCTTGGTTTGAATACGCCTAAAAAACTGAAATGCACGAATTGCAACATTACTTTCAAATACACACAAAACATAACACTTCCGTGGTAACTTATTTTTCAAATCCAGGAAATTATTGAGAATGGTGCGGACATTGCACATCTCGACCCACTTCATGGCTATTCATTTTCTCTCGGAGGGTGGAACATTTTAAAAACTATTTACGAAGCTGAATGGTCACAGGCAGACAAAGAAACGATGGGTGGTCACGTAGCCGTTGCAAAAGTGGGCACGGATATTTGCTTTTTTAACAGGTGGAAATTTTTCCGAACAGATTTAACCATGTATATTGTAAGCAAGATAAAATATTATGATAAAAAAATTTTGAAAGGCTTGATAAATATGTTAATTTTCTAAAGATAGGGCCAGGAATTGTCCAATTCAACTTTGACACAATGTTCGGTTCGGGTGTCATGATTCAGGCGACGACGCCGATAGAACCGCTTTTATGTCTAATTCGCCACCAGTTTTATGTTTCCAACATTTTCCTACGTCCTCTTGGAAAGTTGCTTCTTTACCTGGACAAAAATCAGGTGGGTGCGATATTGAAATATGTATGTACTAATTTTGCCCCAAATCCTATAATTGCTAAAACTCCAAGTTGAAAATACTTGCAACTCTTATGTAATTAAGAATTTTTTGACCAAATGAACAGATTGCAGCAGATATATCGGTTTGGAATCGGAAACAATTTCTGAACAAGCCACGCCTCGCCCGAGAGGACAAATTTATCCCCCTGTTCCGTCGTTGGTATGGACAATTCTACCCGGAACGTAGCCTGCCGAATGGAAATATTCAGGATAAGCGTTCAGATTTTTAGTGAATATGTCATAATTACTCGTTAATAAATAATGCTCATTCATTCTAGTTATTCATTTACTTTAATTACGAGTTATATTAAAATTTGCAAATACTGGTCCAAAATTTTGAAAATATTTTCAAATTTATTTCTCAATGTCTAAATGTTTCGTTGAATTTGTTTCAAGCACTGTCACCACTGCCTTTTTACCATCTTGCAAATTGAATTCAACCCCCACCTTCGTGCAGGTTGTGTTTTTCGTCGCCCATGGAAAGTCGGTTATCGGTGGATGAGACAATGTCAAAAAGTCGGAGAATTTTCCATCCATCATTGAATCCATGATACACTTCAAGTACATGGCGTGGCTGACGAGTAGAATTGAGGACGATTTTTTCGCCACCGAATCTTTTCGAAGGGTGTCAATCATTTCCTGGAAAAATAGATTTCATAATTTACGAAAATTATATGAATAACTTTAAGTTAATGCAAAATAATGCAAAATCAGACAGAATTTCAGTTCTGTCACCATCAGGGTTCGGAAAAACCCTGGGTTTTAATCAAAAATTATAAAACCCATGGGTTTTAATGGGTTTTACCATGTTAATTGGGTTTTATTTGGGTTTTAATGGGTTTTATTGGGTTTAAATGGGTTTTATTGGGTTTTATTAGTTTTAAGTAATAATTTAACATAAATAATTCGGAATTTGTATCTATTCCGAAATTATTTTTGCTTTATAACACTTGAAATCTGTGATGCTATAGGATGGAGTCAAATGTTGATTGGTTCCGAATTTTCATATCTTAGAATAGTAATGAAATAATCTGCTTTAGAATGAATTGAAATAACGTCTTCTAACGTATAGGAGATGTATTTAACTTTTAGAATGTACAGAGGGTTGGGCAAGAAGAAGGAGCCACTCTAATTTTTGGGGTGGCGTGTGATGCACAGTCGCGGCATTTTCAAAATTTGCATATGTCATACCCAGATAGTTAACGAAAATTTAGCACTATTCAGATTTTCCCTACGGTTAAAAATGCCCCTACAGGACCCACCAGATTGCGAGGCACCCATAAAAGTGTTTTCCAAAGACATATTGAGCCAGAGAGCGATAGTTAGAAAACTTGCTGCAAATGGATTTATTGTGGGTCGAAAGTACGTTTATAATGTACTTAAAAACGTTGGAATCAAGCGGAGGGAAAAAGCGGTTAGAGCTCCACCCCCACGGAAAGGATACCCAAGATCCGCTTGAACCAAAAAGTTTATACGGAAAATCAATTTTTTTGCCAAAACGGTAAATCCACCAACTAAAAGTTGCATGGCGAAAATGTTAAACGTTAGTAGGAGAACATTTCTAGAGTCATTCACAATGACCTACAGCAAGTGACTCGTAGGAAATCCCGAGATCATGCTCTCAACCCAACTTATTTCTCACAAAATAGCAGCCTACGCGAAGGATTTTTAAAAAAGTTTGGGTATAACAATTATTCCTACTACAGAAACTCTCGTTAGTTCCTCTGATATCAATCCGATGTTTTTTTTTTGATTTGGGTACTTAAAACACAGCCTTCTAGAAAGGAAAACGCGTACGTTTTGATGGACTTTGGAAAAGTGTTCAGGACGAGTGGTGCAGAATCACTCTGAAAATGGTGTCAAAGGTCATGACTGGTTGGAAAAAGCGACTGAGCCTCGTTAGATAAACTAAAGGGCCTCACATTGAACCAATTACCAAACTTAACAAACGAAAAATGAGGCCGCAATAAATTCAGGCAAAGTGGCTCCTTCTTCTTGCCCAACCCTCTGTAGTTTGAAGGTAAAACTCAATTAAAACCCAATAAAACCCATTAAAACCCTAATAAAACCCACTTAACATGGTAAAACCCAGTGGGTTTTATTCATTTACAACCCATTAAAACCCATTAAAACCCAATAAAACCCAACCCATTAAAACCCAGGTCGGAATACCCTGGTCACCATGATTTTAAGCATTTGTTGACATGCAGTTATCAAAGCCAACCTTAATAAAGTTCTTCTGCTTGGCTTGGAAATCTGCTGAAGTTTCGCTACTTCCAGGAAATTCTAACTGATAAAATTTCTTTCCAGTTGCCAACTCTTTAAACTTTTCTTGCCAAATTGTACTGTCCCAACGGAACGCGGTCAGGTCCCCACAGTCCTGTGAAGCAAATTGTGTCTTATCAATTTGTTAAATAATTAAATTAAAGGTGGTTAAACGAGAAACCTACGCGTTCTTTAAGGCGCGCCTCGACCTTGACCTTCAGCCCCGGAGTGCAGCTGCCTCGACCTTTATGCACGGTCAAGATTCTCTCCGCGGTTTCGACAGCTCTCTGGTAGCTGCTAGCGTAAACGTGGGTAAAATCGGGAAGAACATCGGCTAAAAGTTTCGCCTTGCATATTTAAAAAAATTAATTATGTAAATACATGTATGTATATTTCTACAGGGTTGAAATTTAAATATGTAGATGTGTGCGACTAACTTGATCCCTTCCAGTCTCCGTCAATCCATCAGTCTCCTTGGGAAATTTTTCGTCAGTATTTCCACCGCATTCAGCACTAATTTAGTGAATAGGAATGTATTTCATGAGATAGAATAATTCATAATTCATACATTTAGGTATGCTCATATAAACAAACAATTATTGAGTACAGGAAATTGACGACTTACTGGCGAACAAAATAAATGAAATGTTGCACTTTAGGCGAGGTCATGGCTGGAAATGAAGTGAATTTTGTGTAAAACGTGGCCTTAGTTTGAAATGATTATAACCCTTTGTAGATTTTGAGTATGTATTCATGGAATGACTGCTGGAACAGGACTGGGGTTTATCTATTAATTTACATATCTACCTCTCCATAAAGGCATTCTTTGTTATATTTGTAAAGCCTTTAAATACATACACACTTTTATGTATGTATCACTTTTACATACATTTAGATACGCGTTTATAAAATGCAGTTGGCTAGTCCGCATTTATGTACGCATTGTGGCAAACCCCTAGAACATAAGTGTCTGTCAACATACCAATATTTACAATGGTGAATAGGATTAACATTGGTTTGGTGATTGATATGCAGGCATATTACTTTTCTAAGAATCTCTAACAGTAATGACTGGTAACAATGGCAGCGGAAGCCTGGGGACAGAGGGACAATGTCCCTATGGTTAGTAAATCCCTCTCTCCCCCAATCCTACAATATTTGCCCCCACGACGTCCGCAGCCACTGACTGGTAGGTTAATAGTTCAACATGAATATCTGCTCACGTACCTACTAATGTAATGGCACCTGGTTACATAATGATGAACCAATTAATCAATTTAGATTCGGGATATCAACTCTGTCTGCATAGTGACTTAATCTGATCAAGTGCTATTTTCTCTATGGTCTAATTGTGAATTGTTTTATTAAACAATAAAATAAAGCGGTGCGAATTATTTAACACGATCGGCTTCATAGATTAGAATGTGATAATGTCAATAGTGATGATAATTTAGATTACTTATTAGATTTACAGCACTTTTTGGTGAAGTATGTACGATTTCATAGCGTGGTATATGTATGGCAATTCATTCCAGGAATTAATAAAATAAACCAGATACAAAATTATGTTATGTTTGACATCTTTATGAATATATGTATGTGCGTGTTTCCGTATTAAGTGAATATGTATGATTTCATGCAGTAAATATAATAGGCAGTACTATAAGTATGCGTATTTTCAGTAAATGATGCTGTAAAAGGAGGGGAATTGAATTATCTTAACAAAATCAGAACCAATACATACGTACTTATATTTAGTTAATTTTTATCACTACAAATCTGTAGTGCAGTTTCCAACTAAAATAATATTATTATGCTGGATGTACACACATAATAAAAATACTTAATACATCATAATTTGCATACATAATCCCATGGTCTACACAAGTTAGCATTACTTACATACATAAATGCTTCATGTATGTATTTATGTGAGGTTGTACAGGTGTAATTGCAAAATATGTACATACTGGTCAATTTTTTTTTACTTTGTCTCGCACACATTATGCACATTACATATAGGCCATCCAAAATCGGTTTTTCCGATTTTGTAAAACCGGTTAAAAACCGGTTTTCGATTTACCCGAAAACCGGTTTTATAATTTTCCTGAAAAACGGTTTTGTAAAAAACCGGTTTTATCACACCCGAAAACCGATTTTCGATTTTTGATAAAAATTGTTTTAGAACCACTAAATATTTGTCATTTCTTGTTTTTCGTCCAAAAATAAATTATTCTGAAATATTTTTTTTTTCAAATTAATGCCCTATGTGTGTTCAACTTCAAATTTTACCGCTTTATAATTATCAAATTTTCGAATTTTGTTAGAAAACCGGTTTAAAACCGGTTTTGGATAAAATCGAAAATCGATTTTACGAAAATTTGAAAAACCGGAAAAATCGAAAACCGGTTTTACGAAAGTTTGGCAAAATCGGAAAAATCGAAAACCGGTTTTTCAGAATTTTCCGATTCTGGATGCCCTAATTACATATTTGCAAAAACAAACCTAATCGTATCATCCAACTCCTCAGAAAATTTTGCATGATTGATTCAGATTTTGTATATGTACATATGTACCTATGATCTGAAGTGACACCAAACAATATCACACCAAAATGCAGGCTTGATGTCACGATAACATTAAACTTGTATGCATCTCTGAGATGACATAAATATCAATTTCGTACATATTTACATACACACACTTTATTTACTAACTGACAATCCTTGCTGCACTGCACTTGCCCTTTCATTCAATCCCACCCATTACATGCAGTAAATAAAACAGGTCATCCCACCATAGATTTGTCTCAACAAAATAGTATATAAATTATTGGCTGATCTTTTCTAAGCAGGTTAATAATGTAACTATTAAGCTGAAAGATGACGGCGACGATTATAAGTAAATTTTGCAATTTGTACTTAACATTCAATGCTTGATTAGACATTTGGCTGCATTACGTATGAACTTATTTAATAGCTTGACGCCACCACCACCACCACTGTATTTTCTACTACATACTTGACCACTTGCTACACCAGTAATTAGTTTCCTACAACTTTTTGCAGCTTTGGATTTTTATCCCTTCTGTTCATACTGCTATCAATTTATCATACGTATCCCTTTCCAATATTCTAGCCGCGTACCTATTTACCTAAATGTCAGAGACACTCAACTTGCATCATTGACCTGAACTTGTGCAAAGGGCAGGACGAAGATTATGATGTCGAAACGTTGCACATTTTCGTATGAATGCCAAGATTAAATTGGGAAATATTTCGTGCGACGTAAGCTCATTCTCCCCTTTTGTCCCCTGGGGTACTAAATATTACTGACGTGCCGTCCACCCAATCCAGTCATACTTTAGCCTCTGCTATGTGATAATGTAACACGACCCTCCCACATATTCAAGTTCGGGGTAAATATCCTAAGTGTTCCATGATTTCTTAACATTTTCCAAGATAAATTTCCAAAAATGGGATTCCAATTCTCCTCATTTTTACACCTCCTCCACCGAAAAGTTTTCTCCAAAATGGTGAAAACGGTCTTCATCCTGTTGACATTTTTCACCTATGGGCTCCTCCTCATCCCCACGTTCCTCCTCCTCATGTCCCCCCTGTACCTGTATCGCTACATAATCCGCCACCTCGCCCCCCACTTCCGACCCGACTTTATCCGCATGGTCAACACCCGCGATGGGATCGTGGGGTTGGACTATTTTCAAAAAAGGTGTCACTGTGTCATCAACATTATGCTGACGTACCGTGGAAAGCCAGATTTGGCCCATTTGAGGCACATTTTCCAAACAAAAGTGCTCAACGTCAAGTACAGTGATGAAGGCATCGTGCGAAATGGGAAACGTGGTGATGACTATATTTACGAAAAGTTCACGCATTATTACGAGGCCTGGATGGGACACGCTTTTTGGAAAAAGGAAGAAAATTTCGTGCTGGAGGAGCACATCCGGTTTTGCGAGGAGACGGAGGCGCACCTCAAAGGGCAGGAGGTCGGAGTGATCAGCGAAGACGACGGCAATAATAATAATAATGAGGACAATTTCAAAAATAATAATAATCAAGTCGATTATAAAAATAATGTTAATGAGGACAAAAGTAGTACGAGTGTTGTGACGGAGGAGGATTTCTGCCGAATTATGGGCCCCATAAGTACACGACCGTTCAAGAGGGGGATGTCCCCTTGGGAAATCCTCATTGTGAGAAAGTTCGTCCCCACGGTGGCCAAAGTTCATGGCGATTTCGTCCCCACGACCCCCGTTGGTGGGGAGGATGAAAAGGAAAAGTTTTTATTCGTGTTTAGAGTGCATCACTCGCTTTCGGTGAGGTCTTTTTCAGTTAAGATTGTATGGTAATCCAGTAAATATTGGGTCACTGAATTGCAAAATTTTGCAAATTTTTTAGCCAACCTTAATTTTGATGAGTAAATGTGTATCCTATTTTACTAAATATTTTTTTTGCATTATTAGGACGGCTACTCTCTGCTCAAACTTATCTTGACCAATTTTAGTGACGAAGACATGTCCAAAATTCCACCCCCACCAGTCCGACAATTATCCTTGTTTAAGAAAATTATGGTCTACCTCGGAATCATAATTCTGTCTCCGTACTACCACTTAAAACAATTCGTGATGGACGTGGATCGTAATTTTTGGCATGTCAGGAGAGAGTCAAAGTTGACGCATGACTGGGTGACGATCCGGTCAGAAAAGGTGTCCATGACGGGTCTCAAAGAAATCAGCAAGGCGCAAAAGGTCACAATGACGGCCGTCTTGCTGACCGGATTTGGCACAGGGATTAAATCCTTCCTTAAAAAGACGGGCCAGGAGGAGAAGACGCCAAAAATTATGCGAGCATTTGCACCCATGCCGTGGAAAAAGCATCCCATGAATGGATTAGTGAATCACTGGTGAGTCGGAGGAGAAATTGAAATTACTCGGGTATCTGGGCTAAAAATATGCATTTGCTAATACCATAAATATTAATTGATAAACATAGTGAGCTAACTCACGTCAACCTTCGCATATCTCGCAAATTGCGCATAGCAGTCCTAAATCATGAACTTGCGAGCTTTGCTTTGCGAAATTTGGTAGATTTTGCAAAACGCTGGAAAATCATGGGAGTTTTTTTCCGCAGATTTACCCAGCAATTGGACATTTTCTTATTTTTCAAGATTATTTCGCAGACTTATCCTCGTCATCACCAGCAAGAGAAATTCATGGAAACAATATTAAGATTTAAGCGTTTTTAATAGATTTGCGAGATTGGCTAGATTTGTGGAGTCATATTTTGCGAACCCCTTTGCTTGACTTTTTGCTACATGGTGCGATACAAAATAAGATGTTCTAGAGAGTACGCTCAGTATTTCGAAAATTTTCCGAAAATATTTACATATCACAATTATTATTTTTACGAATATGGTCAAAATAATTTCAATCCTTATTAGGAATTTGGTTTGTAAAACAATCCGTTTTTTATTAATTTTGTACCCTAAGTTATTTTTTGCATAAAATTTTACTAAATCCTGTCCACTTTAAATCTTAGGACGCTCGGCTTCCTCGTGGTCCCTGTGGGATACAACGCTGTGCAGAAGCGTCTCAAAGTGTCCAACAAATCTGTCCAGCTCCTCAAGACGTCGCCCATTCTGTTCACCAACTTTGGCACGGTCCCCATGCTCCTCGCTCCGCCGAGTTGGATCAACCAGTTTTGGGCAACCAACTGGATGACGACCATGATCTTGTCCAACTTCCCTGGACCAAATTTCGCTGTCCTTTCCTTTGAACGGTATCACTTGGAGGATGTGTCCTTCTGGGTGCCACAAATGAAGGGGACGGCCGGCATGGGGGTAGGTTTTCTCAGCTACAACGGTGGCATGCGGATCACTGCGACGATCGACAGGAAGCTCATCCCCACCCATGAAAAGGCAGAGTTGCTGATGCAATGTGTAAATGACGAGTTGAGGAATTTGAGGGGGATTTTAGCCAACGGGGAAGACGTGGTGTAATTATTTATTATATATTTTTTAATTTTGTTAACTCAAGGAATAATGAATAAAATCATAAGTTTTAGATACGATGAATCAGTAATCCAAGTATTAAACCTAATTTTGCATTTTTCACTTTAATAGTCAGACTTATTAATAGGAGGTCAGATCAGAATATAAATCCACGTAATTCTCAAAGAACTTTAGTCATACATACAAATATTTAGTCAATTTATCCCTTAAAAATATTATCCTGCTCCAACATCACTCTAATTTTTGCAAGTACCTCTTCTTTTAACTCTTCGATGACTTCGGTCTGGACCTGCGTCATGATTTCCTTTGCCATCTTGGTAATCAATTTCGGAGGAAATTTAGTCTGCGATGCTGCGTTCACAGCTTCTGGCTCATCCACTGTGTTGCCAGCATAGTCAGCAATCGCCTTTAAATACATGTACACAAATTAAATTGAACGAATTTTTTGCTTTATCACCTCATTATACACCATCTATTAAATATATACCGAAAATGCGTACCTCAACTACATTTTCATCCTCAATATCCGCAAATGCCAATTCCTTCTCTTTAATCTCCAGAATTCTTGTCACGCAAAACTCCTCCAATTTCGTTGCTTTGAATCGCTTCGCCGTCAAGTGCAGAGCGTGAAATTCTTCTCGTGTAGCATTTTCCGACAGAGCTTTCACATCGCCAAAATGCATAAACTGAAATTTTTTGTAAATTTATTAATTTTGTAAACATATATTTTGTAAGTTAGCATGATTTTGTTTAATTACTTCAATCATCCTTTTAAACTGGTCAATGTCCACGTGCTTAAATCCAGTGTTCTCGTTCAAGATGGCGTACCAGTTTCCACTCTTGACGGCCAATGTCATCTGTGATTCCATGATTGTTTTCAAAACTTCCGAACCCTGTGCGATACAGTTCGACTCGATGAATTCGTAATTCTCACGTTGCAAGTAATCGCCAATGATAAAAATAAAGTTGGCCTGCGTTCCGAATGAGCAGCTCGTACTTTCAGGCTCGTAGAGGAAGGAACGGCAGAATACTTTCGTCTGAAATAAAATTCATGAGAAATTTTTGAAATTACTCATTACATTGAATTTGCTAAAAAACATTTAACTTACAAGATATGGCATCAACTTTACAGCCTTTTGATCTCCAGAGTAAGCCATAATTAGTTGGGAATATGGTCGTTTAAAATTTTTGTAAGTTAAATATTTAAATGCTGCGGTGAGTGGGTAAATATTTGAGGCTTAAAAGGCGGACAGATCCGTGACTGGAATGGTACAAGGGACGACTAAGGGAAAAAATTAAATGCGTACTGGATAAAAATGTATGGGTTAAAAGGGTACTCTAAATTTGAGTGGCTCAAGCAGTGGGGGATCTGCCCAAATCAACTTTCCAATTTATATTTAACCATAGTGAGAGACAAAACAATGACATTTTGGAAACACTTGGAAAGAATGTCATATTAAAATATAAGGTATATTTTCTAGTTGTGTGTGGATAAACCTCATTTTGCTAAATGTTTCACAGTTGACAGTTACACCAAATGTACAAAATACTAAAGGGAGGGCAGCCTGGTGGATACGAATTTGGCCTTGAATAACCCCGGAACGGTTTGTCGTAGTGGGTCAAAATTTTGAACAGAAGAGCATGTTATCCTCAGATAGTTGTGTGCAAAAATTCAACTCTCTACTTTCAAAAATGCCTCCCCCACAGCCCCCAGAAGTTGAGACACTCGTTTCAACTTTTTCCAAACTCCGTCTAAAAAATTCGGTCCCCACAGAAAGATTTTCTTTTCATCTATCCGAACTCAAACAAGTCGATTTGACTTATATCAGGGGATTGTATAGGTATTTCACTATTCCAAATGATTTTTATCCCCAATCTAGGTTCAAGGTCATTTGCATAATCTTGGGTCAACTTTGCCGTCTGGGAGGACGCTCCGTCATGATGAAAAATCACCTTAATTATTATTTTACCGTGCAAATTAGGAAAATTGTATTCTAAAAGTGGTTTCAGTACAAGGTCCACATAATACTTCGAAGATTCCTTCACTTTTTGGGGGACTTTGATAAGTGGGAGGACACCACGACAGGACATTGCACCCACGACCATCAACTGTTTAAAAAAGTTCTCCTCACTGAAAAGCACCAAATTTCTTGAATTTTTTTTCGGCATTTGTCGTGTAGTAAGCTCTTCGAACCCAATTAGTAACTTGTAGGGAAAATAGTTCTTCGTCAATTGTCACCAATAGCTCACTTCTATTCCTCAACAGAATATTCAAATAAAATTGTTTGCAAACACGGGCGAGATTTTTTCTGGAACTATTTGAAATGACTGTCTCAGCTTCTGGGGGCTGTGGGGCAGGCATTTTTCAAAGTAGAAGGCTGAAATTTTGCACACAACTATCTGAGGATAACATGCTCGTCTGTTCAAAGTTTTGACCCGCTACGACAAACCGTTCCGGGGTTATTCAAGGTCAAATTCGTATCCACCAGGCCGCCCTCCCTTTGGTACATACGGCATATGTAAACTGCTATTGCGAGCAGTCTTGTACTGTAATGTAAAACCAACTATAACTATAAGTATTCAAAATATGCGTATACAAAGGGGATTCATTATTCCTCCGTACCATTAGTATCGTAAAATAGCTTACAAAGAAAAAAACAAGGGGTCAAGCTTCGTAAGCTTAGTAACGTGATTTTTGGGTGACAAAATCCTTCGACGCTTACAAAATCTTGTAACCGGCGTAACTTATTTTACGATACGAAGAATGATAAGGACACGAAGGAACAATTAATCCCCTCATATGTCATAGTTTGCAATAAATTAATAAAATTGAATGTTGATAAAGCGACTTAGTAAAAAAAATATTTTCAAGGATAACCGCATTTTATGAAATTGTTCGGTTTTATCTGTCTAATTTTAATTATAAATAAAGTTATTCCTTTATTTGTCAATGAGTTCAAAATTTATAATCAAGATCTTGAATATAAAAATAAAATAATATTGCTCAAGAGCAATGGATAAGCCATTTTGTGACTATAATGCCTGCATGTAATTCACTCGGTTTTGGGACTGAAATCGACGCAAACTCATAACGGATTATAGGTAGCTTCTAAACTAGGGAGAGAAAAAATCAAAGCTAAGCTATTCTAAAAACAATTAGAGACCACTAATTCAATACAATAAAAAACTAGTCAGAAATACTAGAAATACTATGTAGATTAGATGACTAACTTCTAGCCTTGATGTCGCTTTTGCGCTTTTTTATGCGTCCTCCAAGTGAAGGTTGTGGCTCAGCAGTACGCTTGATAGTTAAAATGGCCGATTCTGAAATATTAAGATACTAATAATACTAGGAACAGCCAGAATTAAATTATATCTTAGAAAACAAAAATACCTGGTTGGAGCCACCGAACTTGCGTCACTGGACCATATCCTTTCTCGTTTTTCGCCACAATACGAAATAAAATCGCCGGTTGCGTGTTCATGAAAATATAAGCTGAGGCAAGAGAGATATTCTGAACAATGCAATAGTTGAAAGTGCCACAATAAACTTGAAGAAATGAGAGAGATCTTCCAGCCTTTCTATCCACCTAAGATAAAGACAATTAAAATACAAATATGACAAATTTTAATGAAAAACAAATTTAGGAAGGCCTTGCTTCATGGAGATTCCTTGATCCGAGATAGACACAATACTCGAGAGTTTCGCCGTTTCTTGAAGGGTCCCATGAAATCCGTGCTCCTTCCGCTTCCTTGGAAATCGTGATGCATGTTGGCGCTAAAGGAAATCCAGGCACACCAGTTTTATAGGGGCCGGACTGAAAATACAAAATATTTTAGTCTACAGAATCTATCAAATAATGCATGCATAGGTACAAACCTCAGTCCACGGACCCCGACCATATTTGGTAATTGCGGCAATTCGAAACTTGTACTTTGTCCCGGGTTCCAGTTGGACACATTTCTTGCCCAACTCCGAATCTTGTTCCAGGTCCGCGTCTGGGGCCTGACTAGAAATCTGTCCATTGACGAGGAAGTATTGTGTTACTCGGCAAAAGTTAAATTTCGTGTAAACCACGTCACACCATCCATCCTCGTTTTCTTCGTCTTTTGGTGTTTCAGATGTGACGACTGTTGCCTGATTTGGAGCAACAACAGCGACTGGCGGCGAATTGGTGATATCATTTTGACCTGAGAGCGTACTCACTCCCGACGATGATGACGGCGATGCAAGCAAGTTGAAGAGATCCGCATCCTTTAAAAATTGAAGATTGTGTGGAATTGAATACCCGTGGTCAAATTCGTGAGACGGGATTGGATGATTGCTCCCATCAGCAGGAGAGTCTTCAATATTTGAATCCAAGGCGTCGAATGGACTGGGACAAGAGTCAAACAGGGAAAAGTCCAATTGGTCTACATTTCCTAATTCTGGCCAAGCTTCATCAGAAGATTCAAATAATTTAACCGTTTCGTTGCCTGGTTCAGTATTAGTCTTCACACTTTTCTCATTTTCTTCTCGTGCTAAGAGCATCCAAAACTCGTCATCCATTATGGTAATGCCTAGAATTTAATTAGTAATTACAGATAAATTTAATGGTTAATAAATTAAAGTGTGTGGAATCCACACTGTATCATACAGTTATTCAAATGAAAAATTTACCAGATTACTTCACACTATAGCAGGTCAGATTATTAAGTATGTATATAGATTTAATTAACCAATTATTATAAAGGAGTTAATTAAAATGAATGAAGCTGCTGCATATATTTTTTAATATTCTTGTAGACAGCAACAACGACGGAGAAGAACCGGGTTCCTGGTTGCCGCAAAGATTTTGTCTCACCTTCGCCAAATAACTTGCTCTTCGTCCACGTGCACTTTTCTCTTTTCATGAAATTTATTAAGATTATCTATAATTTTATTTAATAACTCACAACACAAGCAATATTGTATTGAAGGTACACTATGTGCTACATGATTTGCTGGCCGTTGTATTTCCTGTCTCCAATATGGATTGCACCGTGAAAGGGATGGAATGGTCAAAAATCATGCAGCATCTTAAATAATGATATCTTTGTTAGAGGCACTGATATATTTTTATGAAAAAAGAACACCATGCAATGCATTTCAACATTTTAATTTCAATGACTTTAGTGATTAAGATCCAGAGAAGTCGTACGTGGTGTATCTCACAAGGGAACCTTACGTACTGTCACCTCTCGATTTCCTTCCGAATAGCCTTAATCGATAGATAATTTAGTGAATCTTAAACTTTGTCATAGAACATGCGGTGCAAAATCACGTTTTCGCGAAATATTTGGCAAGAGCTAACCCAAAACGTGTATTTATCCAATGCTTTTTTTAACATAGCCAGCAGCTTTGTGAATGATGAAATGAAGTTTGTAGACTATAGATATAAAGATATATGTACAAACCGTCCGTAATTTCATGCTGGTCATGAATATGCAAAAAGTGATCTACATGTTTGAATTTTTTTGCATGTTGTATTTTTTAATGCAAATTTTCTTCATATTTGAATTTCTGCAGATTGGAAATTGTAAATTTTTGCAAAATGTCTTAAATCTGAATTTCATAATTATTTAATTCCGGCAAAATGTGAGTTTTTTAAGATTCAAATTTTTCTTATTGAACACAATTGAGAAAATTTTCAACAAATTAAGCTCAAAACATTGAAAAAATTGCAATATGCAGTTTGCAAAAAATTACAAATTATAATTTGCAAACAATTGCAATATTGTTTGCAAATTACAATTTGTAATTTGCAAATTGAAATTTGCAAAAAATTTACAAATTGTAATTTGCAAAACTTTGCAATTTGCCAAAAACGTGCAATATGTAAAAAATTTGAAATTTAAAATTTGCAAAAAAAAATCAAAAAAATTGCAAATATGAGGATCAACTTTTTGCATATCCAGGATCAGCATGAAATTACGGACGTTTTGTATATCTATAGTCTATAAACTTCATTTCATTAACAAAGCTGCGGGCTACATATGTTAAAAGCATTGGATAAATGCACGTTTTGGGTTAGCTCTTGCCAAATATTTTGCGAAAACGTGATTTTGCACCGCATGTTCTATGACAAAGTTTAAGATTCACTAAATTATCTATTGATTAAGGCTATTTGGAAGGAAATCAAGAGGTGACAGTACTTAAGGTTCCCTTGTCAGTAAAAAATTCTTATTTATTTAGACGGACTAAATAGAAAAATAACACACACACTATAAAACACTATAAGACACTATAAAAAATATGTAATATATTTTTTATTGTTGCATGCATATTATGCAACAATAAATTAACGTAATTAATTAATTAGTAATTAATTAATAAACAACATCCAATAAGCTTATTTACACTGTGATTTTTACTTCGCTTGCTGAACCCTTGTCCCTTCTAGCTTAATGGGGAGGTTGTGTTCCTTTATGAAGTCCATCATCTGGTTTAATGTGAGTTTAGTGACCTATTTGGGATATAAATTACTGAAATTTCATAGAATTCATTGGACATGATATGTAATAACGTCGTCACACACTTACCAGTAGTCCATGCATTATTACGGTAGGTATTGCAGCACAAGACAAGAATACAGCTTGCGTCCCTGGTAAGAAGTTTGATCGTCCGATCGATCCCGTTTTACTTTTAGCAATAATATGAAGAGTTTTAAGGCCTATGGAAAATTTAATGTTATATTTTAGTGTAATAAAAATTCTATTTAAAAAATAGACTGTCAGTAATCACCTCTCATTCGTGCCAAGCTTTCCACTGCTTCCCCAGCGTCGAATAATTTACACCTCAGCGTAACATGAACAATGGAATGGTCAAGCTGCCCAAAATTGTAGAAAATTTGAACCATCTCTTGGAAATTGTTCACCTTTTCGTGTGAAGTTAGGTTCCTCTTCTCCGGATAATGTGTTTCCAACTCGAGATTGATGACGTGAGGAAAAAGTGTCCGTACTCGAGAAATCAGATCAGGAGTAGGAGGAAGACAAATTCTAAGGGAGGTTATGTCATAATTTGTAGAGGACATGGATTCGAGTAGATCGACTAGAGCAGTTTCACATTTATGGGAGCTTCTTAACGCGACATTTTGCAGTTTAGGGAGTCGGTGTGAGTTTAAATTGTCCTTCATACCGAAAATGTTTACAGCGTGGACGAACAGTGAAGTCAATTTTGGGAGGCGTGGAAGGATGAAGAGAGATGCCTGCAAATAATTGGTCAGTATTATTAACTCAGCTAATTTATGACGTTTTTATGACTGATAAATTGTCAAATTTATGGAATAAAACTGCGAATATGTACCTTTGCGTGTGACTTATGTTGTCTTAGTTCGACATCTTCTTCAGGCAACCTTCCGAGGACAACTTTCACCACGGAATCCTTCACCTGATCCAACATTTGAACCACCTTGCCCCCTTTATAAGTTTCATCGTCTTGGTAGATTTCATGCGCCTGCGCCGGGTGAAGTTCATCTCTTACGTTAATCCCCAGTGGGAATCCATCATACTCGAAAACTTCCAGTTTTCTACATGTGCTCAAGTCCGGATAGAAATTATCCACTATCCTTAACTGAGTCAAATTTGGAGCGGAATTTATTAGCTTTTGAAACAAGTTGCGAAAATGAGGCATCGGCTTGTTTTTCCCATCGTCTCCTACCCAAAGGGACAACTTCTTTAGGGACGACCGAACAGGAAATGAAGGACATTGCCAAGTCATTAAATACTTCTCGAGGGGGTTAATGTCATCCTCTTCTTCGCGATAATCGAAGAAATAATCTTCCCCATATAAATCGAGGGAGATGGTGGTCAATTTAGCAAATGGGTAATTGGTCAAAGCCTCTGCAATTACTGGACACAGTTCATCCAACACTTGGAAATGGATTTCTTCAAGAGGCTCGTCTTGTATTCTGGATAAGAAAGAGCCAAGATTTTTCGACATACATTCAACACCTGTTATGTCTGAACATGTATCAGTATTGCAATCGTCAGATGCACAATCCACGTTGTAAGAAATATGGCGGACAAGTTTTCCATCGAGTGGGGGCATAGGGCCGAGAGAACAACAAGGAAATAGTTTATCCACAGCGAGAACCGACCTCCTCCCGAGGTGGGTGGTTCCCACCTCGTTCCAAGTTTGACAGACGAGGCGTGCTGTTTTCAATGATGGGAGAGGCAAAGCGTTAAAGATGACGTCCAGCACCTGTATTAGATTAGAATATTTCAAAATACTTAATCTCCACTTCACACTTTTACAAAAATTGTATACAAATCACCAAATTTAAGAATTTATAAATTGTAAGCTCTTTAAGTTTATAAAATTTATTGAATAGAAGAAAATTACGTACGAGAGGGATCGCCAATGCAATGTTTTGTGATTTGGGGTTCATCAGATCGACCTCCTCCACTTCTACGAGAAATTGCCATAAAAGGTGTCGCCATCATGTCAGATGAATTCATCGTCCCCTCTTCGATGCATGCTGGTAGTGCCATTTAGTATTTCGTGTTTTAAAGTCAATTATCCATATGAATTATGAACTAACTGCAAACTGAAAGGATTTAGATTATTTGTTAATATTAAGCTTGATATTTTCATGCCTGCATATGTACATGCATACTTAACTTATATATACTTTAAGTCCAACTTACCTTTAAATTTATGACACGAATTAAATATTAATTACAGAAGACTTTAAAAGTTGAAAGTAAAGAAATATTTAAAAAACCATGAATATTTTCCGTTTAAAAAAATTGGAAGTGTGAAAGAGCCAGTTGGTTGCCTCCACAAACTTTCTATGCTTTTCAATATGTACGCTATCGAAAAAAGGCCGGCAGGCAACTCTTATTCATGCAAATATAAATACTTGTTTGTAGCACCATTACTAGTGGTCTCAACGGTGCGGTTCGGTTCGGTTCTTGGAAGAACCGGTTTGGAACCGGGAACCAGAATTGAAGAACCGAAACAGAACCGAACTATTTTTAGCTGGAACCGAACCGGAACCGGACCAAACCGTGACCGAACCGGCGGTTCGGGTCAAACCGGTAGTATTATTAATATGCAATAAACAACAAACAATGATAATTCACGTGTTTCTGATGAAATTTCACATACAGCCAATAACTTATCTGTATTTAAACAAGCAAATTCTAACACATGTCAACAGCAAAACCACTTATGTATTGAAGTTAGAAAACAATTCCAAGTTTGGGGTGCAAGTGAATCAAGATTTCATTTCGGAAACATTGGGGGTGTAACCAAGTCAAAATTCTATTTTGGAAACTTTGGGGGTGAGACCAAATCAAAATTTCATTTTGGAAGCATTGGGGGTGTAACCAAATCAAAATTTCATTTTGGGAACTTTGGGCGTGTCATCAAGTCAAAATTTCGATTTGGAAACATTGGGGGTGTAACCAAGTCAAAATTTGATTTTGGGAACTTTGGGCGTGTCATCAAGTCAAAATTTCGATTTGGAAACATTGGGGGTGTAACCAAGTCAAAATTTGATTTTGGGAACTTTGGGCGTGTCATCAAGTCAAAATTTCGATTTGGAAACATTGGGGGTGTCACCAAGGCAAAATTTCATTTTGGGAACTTTAGAGGTGCGGCCACGTCAAAATTTCATTTTGGAAACTAGGTGTATTCGGGAAATTCGTAAAACTTTTTCAAAAATATGATTAACTTCGCTAATTGATTTATGTATGAAGTTCGGTTCACCCCGAACCGGTCGGTTCGGTTCGGTTCTCAAAGACTTGGAACCGGAACCGAACCGGTACTAAAAGTTTCGGTTCGGTTCGGTTCTCCGTATAAACCGGAACAGAACCGAGCCATCGGTTCCGGTTCGGTTCTATGAGAACCGAGAACCGTTGAGACCACTAACCATTACGCACATTCATATATATTTATGTTACTGATATTATTATAAATTTTTATAAAAATAACATTTCTCATTCTTATTTCATGATGACAGTACTTTCAATTTTCGCAAAAAGGTATGGAAATGAAAAGCCCAATTGAGACCTATAAAATTGAGTAATTAAATAATATTGAATGATATAATCTTATTTTCTGATGCATGTATGTATGTATCTGCACATGCATATGTACACACATATACACAGATGCATACATATGTATGCATGGACGCATGAACATACTAAAAATTTGTGCATATGTGCATGCACACACTTGCATTAAACTTTAGCTCGTGTAAATTCCATTTCATGAAAACTAAACGATACGAATCCAAGATTTCAACAAACAACGTAAGAAAGAACAATGAATTGGATTTCAGCTAATTGAATAATTAGTACAAATTAACTAAGCCAGTTAACTACCATGAAGAATGTTGGAACTTCTTGCTTGCAAATTTTTACTAATTAACCATTTTTTTCTGGATGAAATTCAATTCGCACTCCATCACCATCTGTAAATTTATCGATTGTGCAACAAGATCTGATTGATTTGTGACTTCCTCGCATACTTTATCAGAAAATGCAATTTGCATGCATTTCGTGCCAATTTTATACGATTTAGAACTCAATTCCTTCTCCAATTTTGCATTCCAAACTGTGCCAATAATAAAGATTTACAGATCTACATACGTCAATATATTTAATTATACTAAAAAAGTTACTAATCCACCAGCCATTTATTCATCAATTAAACCAAAATAAGTAATGGATCAATCAATTGCAAAGTATTTTGCGAAAAAAACTTTGCACATTTCATCTTACCCCGGCTCTAAAAAACTGTTCTTTTTCTCGTCTCATATTATCTTCTCTAAATTTCTTCAACTCTACAACCTCACACGTACATACATAGATATACATTACATTCCTCTGAGAAGAAAATAAATGAGGAGGATGAACAACTAAGACTTTTTGTTATCTTGTTTCGTTCCACATTCCGACTTTGTTTATCTTCTCGGAGTGAAATGATTTTAATTTTACTGTTTGGCCAAGTTTCTTCGCCGAGAGAGATGAATCTTGCCATGTACTTGATTACCTCGGGCAGCTGTGGTCTGTTCTTCTCCATGACAGCTACCATTCTCCTTAATTAGGAGACTTGTTCCTTCAAATTGGCAATAATTATGCAACGTTGGTATGGTTTCAATTTGGAGTATTAACATTTAAATGGCTTGACACTTTTTGTAATAGGCGACCTTATTGGAGCCATAACTCATAATGACACGCAGACACTGAATAATTTGCATAATGAGATAAATAATGATCACCATGCAAAAATTATTTGCAAAACTATTCGCAATAAATCTTTACAAGTAATATCTTTTCATTAAGCAATCCACGCATTTTCTGTGACAATATCCAAAAATGATCCCATTTTACCCCCAAAGTTAAAATTAACCAATCTTCTTATCATATACCCATCAGGTCACAAATTTGCATCAGATAACACTAAAAATCTTTTTAATTGCGCAATTCACACATTTTTCCCTCCCCGCACATGTTACTCATTTAATTTCATTACGATTCTATAAAATTAAATCTTTCCATTTGCATCTGTCGTCCCGGTAGAAAAAAATCTGCTAATATCATCACAAGATTGCAATCTAAGTAATCCAGCCCATGAAATGTGTAAATAAAATAGGAGAAAAATAAAAAACTGTATACGTACGTCTCAAAAAATCCGATATATTTACTTACATATACCAGACCCTCCTCCATCCAAACACTTATTTACAATCCCAACTATCTGATCAAGTGGAAAATGACGCAAAACCATGCAACCAACATTATATATTTTTCTCCTTTGTTCATTCATTTCATGCTGGAAACGTTGTTTATCTATGCATCCCAGAGTTGAAGATGTTAAGTAAAGTTTTTGCGAAACATAAGTAAAGTATAAACCTGTCGTCCACGTATACATGCAAACGCAGGCAGGAAGCCAACATATAAATATGAGAACAAGGCAGAGGAACGGCATCATAAATATTTCTATAGTGGGAGTGTGAGCGTGTGACTATTTGTAACCGCCGTGGCTTCCGTTCGTTTACTTTTCCTTCGGGGATAAATACTCCAAACGACGAAGAAGAAAGACGGCGACCAGGTTATTTTTAATTTCGACGCGGAACACGAAACAATCACAATAAACGTAAGCAACTGGACCAGTTGTTTTGTTATAAATTATTCAATTCGTTACAAGAATTCGGAATACAGAGAGACGCAAAGAAGAAGAAGAGTTGAGAGAACATTTCATAACAAGAAAAAGAGCGAGAAAGTTGGACCCCGTTTCGCACAGATTGTTACAATCAGGTAAATCATTGAGTAAATTTGGCATACCTACATAAATCTTAATTACGGGAAATATTGCAAAAACCCATTAGAAAAATTGCACATTAGTTTCCCTTCTTTTTTTCGATTTCATTTTACCCCAAAAAAGAAACATTGATTGCTTTAACATCGTTTACATTTTTTTGCAGATAAAATAATCCCCGAGAAATTTATTACGTCTCATCACCACGATGGCAGAACTGATTTCCGTTGAAGGTGACGCCTTGCATAACGGAGTTGCAAGTACGTAATCTCTCCATGAATCATATCATTTGCAAACATTTTTATTGCTATTTTCATCCTCCAAGCGTAAATTGTTGCGTCCTTGCGGAATGTTTTCCTTCGTAAAAAATGTGCATATCACATATCTCATTTTTTCCATTAAAAAAGTCAAAATAGAAAATAAATTGCAGATTTAGTTTGTCATCATTGATCAATCAGCACGTTTTAAGAGAAGAGTTAAAATAGACAGGATTGCCCAGCGGAGATACGATACGATACATTTCATCACATTTATGACTCATATTTTGTTTCCGCCGTAGAAAAAAAAAGTTTGTCGTCGTGCACCCACAACAAGAAAAGAGAGGAAATACTTAAGTACATATGTATGAATGTATGAATGTAGGTGCTACTACGTACGTACGTACATACGTATTTATTTATGGTGGAAGCTTAATGTGCAAAAAATAGGAAGAGAGCCAACATGCTAATAATAAACATATGCAAATCTTAAAAACTTGAATCTCAGTAAAGTATGAAGAGGACAGATGAAGAGCAAGGCAGCAGCAGCTTTTCGAAAGTCTTTCCCCTGGACTGGAACAAGCGCAAATTAGACGGGCACAGTTTGCTTTGGCTGGTTATGTGAAGACATATTGCTCAATTTGTACTTGTCAGTGACACTCGGAAGAAAAGGGGTTCGAAAGAGATGTAGAAAACACAAAGTCAGTTTTGGTTGGGTGGTGTTGAGTGAAATTGGATGTGGAAGATTGAGCCAGAGGTGTTTTTATGATGGGTATTTTGAAAGAAATGTGCAAAGAGAATAAGAATTTTTTGCATATGTAGATAAATGGGTCGCGAATTTCGGATAGATTACAGTGACTGCATTTTTCGAGAAATATGCATGCTATTCAAGGCACAGATAAATACCTTGTAAACATGATACATAAATCTTCACAGTTCATGAAAGGGTAGGAGACATGCAGCACATTTGCAAACTGTGCAAATTTCACTTACTTAAACTGTTAACACTATGTATTTACATCATTAAAATTAAGATCGGGTTACACTTGACTCCTTGGTAACTTGCGCCAATGTTATGTTAAAATTTAACTATGGTGCTAAGCAGTGCGGTATAAACAGACTTTTACTTGCGAGTTTTCAAAAATTTGTCACCTTTTTGATAAAAATGTCCTCTCCTTGCCTATTTTTCCAGCCGGGCCCAACACATTCTCCATCAACATGGCCGGCATGAACAACTCCAAACTAGTCGTGGCATTCACCGGGCCGGCCAAACCGCAAGTCATGCTGGCCTCCGAGAAGGGGGGCAATATTAAGTGCACATATTCGAAAGCGGTGGAAGGCGAGTATCAGATGAGCGTGACCTTTGACGACGATCACATTGAGGGCTCCCCCTTCACCGTCGTGGTCAAGTAAACCACCAAGGATGAGGTAAAACGGAAAGGGAAAAAATACGGAAAATTGGTTGTGTTCACTAATACCGATCAGATCTGAAAAATTATTCAAAATGAGAGCTTTTATTAACTAAAAATTTAATTACTACACACAATCTGGAGAAAGTGGGAGAAGAAGTTAAAAATGAAATGAAAACACAGATTTAGTAAAAAGTTATAGAAATTTCATTTGAGAGCTCATTACACTATTTGTTCCTCTTATCCACGCACCATTACCTGCCTATGTACATATCTTGGGTGTACATATAAGTATTTGCATGGATCAAGTCTTGTCCTTATTTACATAATTATGTATTTATAAACCTAAACAGTATTTATTGTTATCGATGAGTATGTATTGGCGGATTTAAAATTATAAAGTGATTGGTCTCCTTTAATTAAAATTCATGATTCGTTCTCATTTAAAAAAAATGTTAAGTTATTAACGTCGTGTTTCGTTAATGTTATGATTCCTCTGTTTGTTTTGTTTGTAAATAAATATGTGAGAGTAAAAAAGTGAATGATTCTTTTTTACATGTTTTAAAATTCTTGCATTCTATTGCGCAGTGAAGTTTGAGAATATATCGTGGCTGAATTTATGATAGATAGCCGATGAATATGGCGATGAATGTCGGAGTGAGAAAATCCACCTGGATGACATTAAATGTTTTGACCTCGTCAAACTTAAGCGATTGACGCAGTTGGGGTGAGATTCACATGCTGTGCGAGTCAACGGAGGATGAGACGTACATAAAATTACGTTGACATGCTGGTGGTAAAAAATTTTAGCAAAATAAAATTTATGTACACTCGGATTTGAAACTTACAACCTCAGACTGTAAATACATGCCTTTACATATATTATTTACTTCGGGTGGCTTTTACGTCACTCGCTGAGCTGTTTTTGTGTATTAAAATGAGTCATCTTTATTTGGACGACTTATTTAAGGCAATAGCCTCGTCATGTGTTCGTTGGAGAATAGCAATTAATTATCATCATAAGTAGATTGATTACGAAATTACGATATCACCTCAGTTAATTAGTACTATATTTTATGATTTGATTGGTATTTGTTATTTAAGCTAACAATACTACAACAAGTGCTACATTTTGCATACAACCTTTGCAATGAATGTCTTTCTCAAAAATCTGGCATCCATTATTTTTTTTATGTTAGCCCGAATTGCATTTAATTTTAGTAAACTCGTACATAATTTAAGAAATACAAAATTTTAAGAAATGGTAGATTTGCTTGCCTTAATATATGTCAGTCTATTTCATGTCTATGTATTTCATGCATGCACGAAGAAACAAGGTAAGTATGATGTTGGACCCAGTCGTCACTCGTCAGTTCTGACCGACTCTGGCTGGATTGCATTGTGATTTCAAAAAATTTGGGTAATCTCGAATAAGGTCGTACTGGTTAAAAAATAATAAAAAATATAAAGAAAGTATGCAGCAAAAATTCGTAAAAAATGCACGCAAATTATATTTACATGAATATATATGTCTTTGTGTCAAGCCTTTAGCACTGTTGATTAATAAACACAAATTGATTATTTCATTCGTCGTATAGTGGTTTAGCGAGCCTTGAGTCCTTGGGTAGTTGTTCCTTGTGTAGTTCCTTGTGTAGTTGTGCCTTGAGTTGTTCCAATAGTTGTACCTTGAGTAGTTGTACCCTGTGTAGTTGTTCCTTGAGTAGTCGTTCCTTGAGTAGTCGTTCCTTGAGTAGTTGTGCCTTGAGTAGTTGTTCCTTGAGTAGTTGGACTCGGCGTTGGTGTCGTTGGTCCAATACCACTAAAATAATCGTCACAATTTACATAAACCATTTTGTAATTTTTTTATAAAAATCAAAAAGTGTCCTACACAATGTCGATGAATGCGCTAACACAGATCTCCAAAAGCTGGTTATCCGTATGGGTTATATATCCACGGAATTCGACAGTTTGTCCTGCCAAAATGTCGTTTGGAACCTGAAAAATAGGAAACGCATGTATAAGTGGGTGGTACATATGAATAGGTTCAAATTATCCGAAACATCACATACCATCGTGTACTTGGCCGTGTAGAGGTATCCAGGCTGAACAGATGACCCCTGCAGCTCGGTGTCAATGATGATCATACAGAAGCCGGTAGTAGTGCAGACTTCTACACGAAGGTTCAACGATGGAGCGGCTGAGCCTGGTAGAAATGAACAAGTATTGACATTTCAGGTCACACTTTTAAAGGTCACACACTTGACTTGACTTACTTGGCATGAAATCATTCTCGCATTCGTAAACTCGACCAGGGGTAAGACTGCATCTTCCTTCACAACCGCTAATCCTCAGTTGGCGTTGCGTCCCAACGCCTCCACATCGCGTGGTATCGACCACGCCTAAAATTCCCACATTTCTGCCATTTTTCAGACCGGTGGGAGTGGCGGAAACTGCGGCCAGCAGAAATGAGACTGCAATGATGATTGACTTCATATTTTTTAGTTGGACTTTTTGAGGGGATCGATTTAGCTTCGGCTTGATCGAGAATACGAATATTACTGAGTTACATAAACTTTGGTTTCATTTTTATATGAAAATGTCGTCCCGTTATCATGACATAGAAGTAAATAAATAAATCCCTCCAGATCCGAGGAGACAAGTTGATCCCTCTTGGAAGGTTTTTAATCATGATTTGGCAGCATGATTTTTCATAAACACGTACATAAATCTAATTAATATATTAAATACCCTTGTTGTTTGAGGTGTGTTGTGTGTAGTTTCGTTTCCCAGTGATAAGTCTATTGATATTGATCTATGTAGTTCCCCTTATTCCACTTAAGTACAAATCATTGAATTCGTGGAGAAAATACGTCAGCCTTGTCACATTCCCACATTTCAATGATCATTACTTCTGTAGATAAAGTTTGACAATGCCATTTTTTATGCGAAATACACTTGGGAATGGTATTACTTGCGTCAGCCACAGACAATATCTGCAAGAGTCATGGATATTCCAAAAAACAAACAATTTCAGGGCAAATAAGTAATTGGGTTAGTGAGTTGATGGGATTAATTACAGTTGAGGGGATTAATTGTAATTGATGTGTGCGTAATTGGCCCTAGAAATGAGTGAAGGATTTCTGAGCAAGAATGAACGCTGACGTTTGACGCAGTAGATAAGATTGCAATAATGCCTTGCACGACCTGGGTTTACAACAAATACATGGTCAAGCATCAAACGGAAAGTTATGCTGGACAGGGAAGGGCTCGAGTTTGTTTGGGCGATAAGCATGCTAATTTATTAGTTTATAATATCTTGCTTTATGAATTCTTCCAGTTATGTATGCATGAAACGCAAAATTTGCCATGCGTGCACATAGTTTTGAACTTAATATAATTAAAATATAAATTGGATTGTTTTTAATTAGGGTAATATTTTGTAACACAGACTCTTCCATAGGTAAAAAAATTGGCTTTCATTATTCGCAGCTTAATCCATGTTCAATTTTCAGACAAGTATAAAATTGTTGGTTTTCGTGCAACGATTTGTTTTACTTTGTACATCTCAATGTTGATAACTGCTGTAACTATATACTATAATTATTCTGGGAGCATGTATTCAAAAATCATTACTCGAGGAAGGATGCATTTTTCAAATTCGTCTCGTCCACCAGATTCACAAGATCTTGAGGAGTTTTTATAGATAAAAGTTAAAAAATGCATTTCCGGGGGTGGATAAGCTGGTAAGATATTTTCTACCTTTGGTAGATTTACAACTGTACCTTAGGCACTCCCACAAAGATTTGGGTCTAAAATTTTTGTGATGTGAGATTCATAAAGAATTTAACACATTTGTTGTTTATCATCTTGCCCCATAGACAAATTGGCAGTGAGGAAGGGCAAAACTCGGACGAAACACTTCCATCAAACAGATGACAGTAAATTGGAAGAATCAATTTTAGTTTGTAAACAGAGTTGACAGTCCTCAATTAATTAAGGGTAAGTAATTTATCAATTTTAATTGTTAATAACACGATTATTAACATAATTAAATTAATTTGATTCCCTTTTGTATACTTGATTTCAGCTTTCGAGACTCGTTACAACTATGGACTCGTTTTTGTATTTTGACGATATCAATGATCCCGCCCTGAATCCTATGCTAATTCCTGTGGTAATGTAATTTACGAGATAACGAACCAGAGTAGCGTGTTGATAAATAAATGTGTTCTCGCTATTTTAACTTTGTTTTTAAATATTTGCATTGTTCTAGGTGGCCCACATGATTCTTGACTATCTTCCCCCTATCGATTTACTATCATGCCGAGGGGTCTGTTCCCTTTGGAAAAAAGTGGCAAATTCACTGCTTGTAGACCAACTTGACCAGCTTCCTCCAGTAACTTTTAAAATAACATGTAAAAAATAATTAACTTAAATGCAACCCATACAAAGTTATTACATCTACTATCACAACCTGCAATATATATGCAATATATATTATATTCTTCTAGCCTTGTCTATAAGGAATCCTGACCGCTCCGTTAGGTCCATCAGGAAGAGCAATGTCCCCGAGTACCTCGATTATTTAGATCCTGAGGATGATGATGCCATCGAGGGTGAATACCCCTTCCAATTCTCGAGCTTTTACTTTAACATGATTTCCCTCAAGAGTTCAAGCATTCAAGATTTTCTCACAGTATTTGGAAATCACATTATAAAGCTGAAGCTCAATTTGGATTCTTTACCGCGCAAGACGTAAATTAAAATTAAAAATTTGTATTTAGTCACTAAACATAATTTAATTCATCTAATTAATTGTTATATTTACTACTAGGCGATCAGTAGGAGAAGTACAAGACTGCATTGATACCAATTTTTCAGATTCTGCATCTGGCATTGATTCAGAAGCAATAACAGAGTACGACCCACAAGGTGACAAATTCTGCGATTCGGAAACCTTCAGACGACTCCTGCTCGAACAGTGTACAAATCTGCAACACTTAGTAATCCTCGGTCTCCCGATGAATGTGGCTGCTAAAGGTTTCCTCAGAGATGACGATTTCGAGGAACCCACGCAAATTGAAAGTATTAAAATTTACCACAAAAGCGGACGGCTGACATATTCTTCTAGTTTTGTTAGACATTTGGTTACCATATGTCCAAACTTGGAAAGTATGGGATTCCACTCGAATTTTTTTAGTGGAAACTACTTTACAGACTATGATCGCATATTCTGCAAGGCTAGTTAATAATTATTGATTTCAAAATAATTACTAGTTACATAATTTTGTTTCTAATGGACAATTATACACAATTTTAGGCTTTACCTTGGATCGAGAACCCAGTGTTCCTGACCGATATCACACTTTCATTTACATCTCGAGAAACACTCGACCTCCTGCTCGATCGAAAGACTGAATTATCCCTGAAACGATTAAGCCTGGGCTTAATTACGACAAATTTTGCCTTGTTGGAGGATAGATTAATCGAATTTTTAGAAGAGCAGAAAGACAGTTTAGAATATTTATCCTTCGGTGCCGCCAAGATGAAGAAGTGGTATGACGGCGCAATGTGCTTTGTACATCATCAGAGGGGTTGCAAAATATGCCTTCGAACCGGAGACCGTATCCGATTTCCGGACTGTATGCCTAAATTGAAAGTCTTGGAGTTAACGGTGCCAATCAACCGGGCAAAAAATTTTACAAGAATAATGGTGCCAAGGATCAATTTAAGGGAACAATTTCCCTCCTTGGAAGCTCTCTGGTTGCCAGAGTCATGCTCAAATAATTCAAACAATGGACTCACATTCTTCACGACAGGGAATGAAGAACGACACGAACAACTGGAGTGGTTACAGTTCAAAGGACGGATCAACGAGGCCACAATGATTCAAATTGGAACACTTTTCCCACACTTGAAAGTTCTACATCTTGGTTTCCAATTACTTCCAGTTTTACAGAAGATTTGGTCCTTTGCTTCCCCCTGCTTGGAAGAGTTAATCATTTCCTTGGGTTGGAACAAGCAGAAAGTTTTTGTCCCACTACATGGCGAAACACCCAGTATCGACTCCTTGTTCACCGGATATACTAAGGAACAACTGCATTACATAAAACAAGATGGAAAATTCGAATTGAGGCCAATCTTGCCATCAATCACCAATTTGAAAAGTAGGCTATAAATGACTTATGTAAATGCAAATTTGAGCCTTTTTATGACGATTTTCTCATTTCAGATTTAAAACGACTTACAATCTGGAACGAGAGCTGTGAAAATTGCGCAAATTGTGCCTATGTGAGAATGGATGACTTTGTGAGTGATATCAGTGTCAAGTTTGCCTTTGAAAAGCTTAAAAAGTTGGAATTTTTGCACGTGGACAAAGAGCATCAGGTATTTAAGTAATTATAAAATAAGTAGTAACTTATTCTTTGCATAAGGCTAATTAGAAAACCTTGATTTTATTTTTGAAAAAGATCTCCAAAGTGGGAAGAAGAATCCTCCGCGAGACGATGGGCTTCTCTGAGGTGAAACTTTCGGGTCAAAAAGACAAGATGAGCGCAGACTGCTCGGATCGGATCGAGATGACCAAAATTGAATCTTTTGCTCAACTTCATCCATATTATGGACGCATCCAGAGAGAACTGCGGGCTGGAATTCCTCCCAGATACGAAAAGAAAGACGAAGATTTTGATGTTCAGAGCTACGAGGAGAAATCAGAGTCGGGCTGGTAGATACATGCTTAGATGTTGATAATTTATTTAGTTATTGACCTTTTGATAAGTATTACATATTAAATACATATTGCAATTACAATATAAGAGTTAGATGCTTAGAGTAGACAGAGATTTTAACTGTTTGTCAATGTTAAATCTTATTAATTAACAATTTCGTTTTACTTGCATATACTACATTTTCAGGAATATGCATTGTAATTTTTTAAAAACATTGGAATAAACTTGAACCGTTGGCAATCTTTTGAGACATGTACATATGTATGCACAATGCTTTATCATTTACAAGTCTGAATCGTTAAAAAATGAGTTATATCCAAAACTCGAGATGAAGGAGTTACGCTAATTTTGAATAGCAAAATAACTTACGCATATCTTTCATCACCATCGTCATCACATCTCCTCACAATGTGGCACGGCCATTGAATTCAATATGTATGTACGTACACATATAGTATTTAGGTTTATAAATCACCATGCACGGTGAAAGTTCCGGACTGCGATAATACACCATGGCACAGACGTTATTTCAGAGTACATATTTTTTATATTCGATTAGCTACACAAACAATTATTTATAAATGCAATATTATACATTTTGTAAACAAATTTCATATCTGCATATATACTATACATACGACTTGCATGCGAAATTGTAACTGAAACCAGACGTGCATATATTATGTTTTGTATGTATATACATGTATGTACGTACATACATACCATGGATGTACATATAATAACAGATACATATATATGTAAATATGTATGTATGCATCTATTTATGCATGGTGATCTGTACACAGATATAATACACACATACACACCTATGAATGAATGTATGATGTACATATGTGTATATAATTGTATACGGCATCTCATATATGTAGATACAGTATAGGCAGAAAGTCATTATACCCTAATACTTTTTGTACATAAAGCCTCATATTGTTCGAGAAGCTTGAGAGGATGAACTGCAATTTTGCACAATTACTTACTATGATGTAAGGTTTCCGGTACCATACTTTGGATAACGGCGTGGCACAAGCAACGACACGGTGAAATTATATCCAAAATTCCGACAGGAAAAAAGTCTTTATACCCCAATTAAAGTTCAATAAAAAATGTGTCCATAATTTGTTTGTGTTAAATAACAGTCAAATTAGCACCTGGGATGTCCTCCCATATCCCTTAGGAAGGCAAAAACACATCCCGGCATCGAGCCAAAAAATAAGCTAGTGACAGAAGTGTCCTAATTCTCCTATTCAAGCTATATGGCGAGGACCAGTCCTTTGAGGTTGGATAGCATGTGCTGTGAAATTTTGGGCTTCACCATTGATCATAAATGTGCATTAACATGCTGTCCGATGATTATGGATGGCAATTCAACAATCAATCTTTTTTGTTGAAAACCAAATCTTCAATAATTTTGATGCATGCTTTGGATCGCCTTACTATTTCACAATATAATTATTCCGCAACGGTTAATTCCTCACGTTACCATCAAATTCCAACTCAGAACGTCGCAGTAGTAGTTGGAGTACATTATTACTTCGATTGTACTAAAGTTTCGGACGCTCTTCCACAACGTCACGCCCAAACAATTCGATTTCCACCCAATTCTTAATGGTTAGCGTACTGTAGTTGATTTTGTCAGCGTCTCTTTACTGAATCCATATTCCACTGGTCCCAATTTGAACCAAACAGGTTGATGTTGACGTCGGCGCACAATATCAGGAGTTTCTAGCATTTAGCCGTCCAATTATCATGATTTTTAGCCCATTTAGAGCTGTCTGCAATATAGGCCTCGCGGAGAAATAGAATTTTCCATGTTGCTCGCTATGCAAATCCATCTTAGGCGATCCTACCCTCTGTAATTCGCACAGAAACTCGAAGATTATATTCTTCCCTCGTTTCCAAGCTGATTTTTGGTGAAGATAACCGTGAAATCTTTGGCTTTTGGAGAACTTGTGTTGATCCGTCCATGGGGGCGTGATCCATGTACATGATAAAGCTGTTAAATTCCATTCGATCCCAAACTTTTTGCAGTTCTGGACTATGCTAGCAACTCATCCATTCTTAATGGGTAGTTAGTCGGTAATTCTTTGGTGTCGAAGCCTTTCATCATCAAAATTTACGACAATTTGTCTCAGGCCGGGGTTAAGATGTGTTTGAGTGATTATGAGCTAATTTAAGTAACGGACAACTAGTTCAGCATTAGACAAATGTTATTTTTCAATTAATAATGAACCATTTGGTGCGTGAAGGGCGATTTAAGATTTTATTTTCAAAAATTACATTAAAAGTACCAAAAAGTCAAAGGGCATAAAGACTTTTTTCCTGTCGGAATTTTGGATATAATTTCACCGTGTCGTTGCTTGTGCCACGCCGTTATCCAAAGTATGGTTCCGGAAACCTTACATCATAGTAAGTAATTGTGCAAAATTGCAGTTCATCCTCTCAAGCTTCTCGAACAATATGAGGCTTTATGTACAAAAAGTATGAGGGTATAATGACTTTCTGCCTATACTGTATTTATGTATGTTGGTAATTCTTATCAATAATACGCTCATTCAACCTCTTCTTGATATTACATTTGTATGTACTATCTAACAGCCAGAAAACGTTTATGCTTCCAGGACAGCAAAGTGTTTTTTAACTACCTAGGGTATCCGAACTCATGTAATACAGATATTGTGTGTTGTTGATTGCATTGAAAATTTGCATGGACATGCAATAATCGATACGAGTGACGAGGTCGTTTGGGATACACATGATAATATTGGACTGGCCATGCAAACCTGCTGCTTAAATCCAACATCACGCCGGCGTTATATCAGTTAAACGTTTCTTGACGTTTTTTAATCAATGTACTACTAAATAAACCGTCGCAAACGCGCATACGGAAGTAGCTTCAGACTACTTCACCCCAACCACTCCCATGACATCGCGAAAACACTCAATTTCACTCCATTTCACCTATAGATTCAATTTTTTAAAATCTCATTTTGCCCCGACCACACCCCCTGGCGCGGAGGGGGTGTGGCACAACTCGGGATCACTTCATTTCACTCTATTTCATCCATAAATCAAATTGCACTATAAATCTCATTTTGCCCCGACCACACCCCCTGGCACCAAGGGGGGTGGTCCGGTTGCCCCCAAAAGTTGATAGGATCCTCCCCCTAGGGTCATATGTATAATGGCGAAAACCGATTTCGATTATCTCAATCCGTTCTTCCGTTATCCTGCTGACAAACGGACAGACAGACAGACAGACAGACAAAGTCTTCGCATAAAGTAGCTGAAGCTACTTAATAATTTGTTAATTTTATCAGGCAATGGTTAACGTACTTATAAATAGCTGGGTAACAAAGACAACACGTTTAGTTGGTAATGTAAACTTGCCCTTGTGCAGACTTATAAATACAATGGGAACTTCCACAACAAGTAAGACACCATCCCCCCAAAATCCCCCCGACTCAGAACCGTCCAATCCACCAAGAACCCCACTTTCTCTCCAGCAGGCCACCATCATTCTTACCAGACACAAATTAGCCACCCCTTGCATCAAAATTTATCACCACAGTCTCGTCTTCAATACTCGAAACACAACTTATACGCTAACCTCATCAGACGGAGGTGACTACGTCATCAGATTTTCAGAGAGTTGGGAAACAAAGACGGAAAATGAGGTGGCCGCAATTTCATACATTGCCAAAAATACGAGTCTCCCTGTCCCAAAAGTGGTCGGCTTTTGTACCGATGTCACCAACTCGCCAACCGGATATGAATACATTCTCATGGAAAAATTAAACGGTGTCTGTCTGGGTGATATTTTTCGAGATTTAAGTCTCCCCCGAAAGAAGTCAGTGGTGGAAAGCGTGGTCCACATTTTGAAAGTTTTCCAATCCTTAAAGTTTGACAAGGCTGGATCTTTCTATTTTAATAAATCAGAAAATAACAATCCTGAACTAGGTCCTTTATTGGGAACTCCAAAGTCACGTCCACAGTGTAATTATCTTGACTACTTGAGTGACCTGATAACCTCAGAGTTGGAAAACCTGCTTAAATCCAAGTTCCTCATGGACGGAGAAGGAGCAGATTTAGTGCATCGCGTAAGAAATTTTAGGGATAAGGTTTGCAACCTGGAAACGACCCCAATTTCCGAAATAGCTCAAAATGTCGAATTTGTTTTTTGTCACGTTGACTTGCACACTTTTAATTTATTGGTGGACGAAGAGACTTTAAAAATTACGGGAATTATCGATTTCGAATTTTCTGGATCGTTTCCCATTGACCAAGAGTGGTATAAGGTCTTCAGTGCTGTGCGGGTTAATAACAAAGCGAGCCATTTTTTCAGAGATGGGTGTAAGTTGCAAGCAAATTGCTTAATAAATATTACAAAATTATGTTAATTATGATTTAATTTCTTCCAATTAAAAAAATTGCAGTGCGAACAATGTCAGATTCCGACACGCTGCAAGAATGTCAGTCTGAAGAGGAGCTTAACATCATAAGAAATCACTTTTTCCAAGAGTGTAAAAACCAAGGGGTCCAAACTCCACGAGACATTCCTGGTCACAATGAACGCGCAGTGTTAAATTATTTTGTCAAATACATTTGTCCGTGGTGGATAGCTGATGAGATCACACCATTGCCAGACAAGTGGAAAAGGGACCGAGATTCTGCTAGGGAACGACTTAAAGTAGTACTGGACATGTATGATGCTTAGTTTTTGTGGCGTTGTAATGAAAATTTGTCTCTTAATAAAATTGAAATGATACTACGAAATGATTTAACTACGAAAAGGTAATATTTATTCTGAGGTCTGAATAAATACACATGGTACGTAAATGTAAATGTATGTCTCTTAAAGCACCATAAAGTTAAATATGTACGACTAAATTAAGAACACATACAAATCATGCACTTGCATGCATGTACATAAATATGTATAATTCCAAGAATAATGGGCGTTTAATAAAAATTGGAACAATGGAATGCCCCAATTTGTGGTAACAACAGAAAAAATAAGTCATTGCGTTAAAAATAAATTATCTAGGACACGAAATGATGTTTGTGTAACTCTGCTTTTAACTGTGGTCACCCTGATTCACATTTCGACATAAAAATCACAGGAGTACTGGATAACTTAAATTTGCACCATCACATATGTAACAATGTAACATTGTTTGTACTGTTAAATACTTAATTTAATACTAATTTCAACAACATTTAGTTAATCATCTTCTTCATCCCCCCTCCTGATCTCTTGCACTCCCGTACTCGTCACCTCCTTCTTCCCCCTCTCCTGCCAGTCAGATATGCACTTAAACGGGTACACAATTTGCACAATGTTTAGCACCATATTGTCCCTAATCACCACTCCCAGCACGACCTCTTCCAGCAAACCTAACGCCAACGTACCCCACCACGGGATCCCATACGCCAACCAGAATCCTGCCGACATGGCGAGCGAGTCGAAGAACGAATTCGTCACAGAGTCGCCACGATATTCCGTCGAAGCTCCAGTTTTTCGGTACCGCTCAATCACACAGGACGTATTTTCTATAATCTCCCACGCCACGGCGGTCACGAGGCCGATTAGAAAGGCGACGTTGACCGTGATGGGTGGATTTGGGAGAGGATAAGTCACGTAAAACATGAGCAGTCCGTGCAACATGTGGGTGAACGTGTACCAATCGGCGATATGTTGCGAATTTTCGGGGGAGTGGATGTCCCCCCACCAGACGCGAAGGCCGGTGGGAGAAATGAGGGGTTGACCCAGCAGGACGAGCACGATGGTTTGGAAGGTCAGCAGTGATACGATGATGATGATATAAATGGGAATGTGAGTGGCTAAGTAGTCTTCTTCCGAAGAATTTGGGGTGTTTTCCTGCAAAAAAAGGAATCAAAGCATGTTACATGTAAATTTTTAAATGAATATTTAACGTGCTAGGTAAACTTACCACATTTTCTTCCTCGGCGAGGATGACATTCCATGAGATGGAAAAAATTACGAGGGAAATTGTCGTGATTAGGATTTTGTTAATTTTTCCCATTTTGTGATACAAATAAATTATTAAGTAGTATGAAATGAATATTTTGTAAGATGACTAGGCTGCTGTCGAATTTGCAGCTGGTTCTTTTATGTATGAGAGAAGAGCAAAGAGGAGACAAGTTTGGAGAAAAACGTGCTGTATTATTGCGTGATTTTATCCAGTATGTGTATATGTATACAAGTTGGTTTGTGTTGTCTTTTTGCGTGGTACATAATGTACACATACATAAATACAAGAATGGATTAGTGTACATATGTCCATATGCATATTTGATAGAGAATGAACGATAAGTGGTGAGCTGTATGTTTCAAGTGAATTGTTTTCATAGCGTGGACTAGATTTATCGACTTTTGTTACTGTGTGAGTTTATTATACAAAATGTAGCTATGGATGTATGTATGTACATATAAGTATGAAGGGAATGTATATATGTATTAGTCTTTAAGTACATACGCTTGGTAAATTTGCATGCAAAACATCCTGCTAATGTCTTTGTCATTGAGAGAGGATGTCATGTCTGGAATCATAATGGATTGCGTTTAATGCGAAATATGTGTGGTGGGTGGTTTGGTTACACGTAAATGGGTTACATTTTTACATTTCTTCTTACGTGCAAATTTGTGTATAGTTAAGCGTGGTGTGTAGTTACATGCATCTGTGATGTAACTACATGTAATCCCCTTAACCAAAACTGATTGAACTATATTTTAAATGAAGCTTTACTGCTAGTTTTAATACTGGGTAATTTGAACGTATGTACCTTATGAATCAAGGCATGTTATATCCAGTATGAATTGCAAATTCAGAATTTGCACCTGAAAAAGGGCAAGGATCTATGAATTAACTATCCGCCGTTGCGGGAAATGAAATTATGTTACAATTTTATCACTAGAACCGGTATCAGGTTTCCAGGTTATTGTGTACTCTAGCACGTGTAATTGACTAATAACTTGTTTGCACACCATCACGCGTCATATGCACTTCCAGATGGTGCAACTATATTTAGCTCTTTTGAAATTGAACAAATGATGAAATGCACTTATCAAATTGCTCACCTGACTTTAATAAAGTCACTAAACACATGTCCTAATACTATTATTGAAGAAATTCGAACGCCCATCAATTAACCATATATATATATTAATTATCTGACTCGAAGAACTGTTTGGCTTAGCCATTGACCATATGCAATTCCTTTTAATTCATAAGTCTGTTCTTTTATGTAAGAATGGTATTGCATAGTAAAACTAATCTCGGGTTTTATCAGCAACAAATTACGTATTTCTCTTTCATGTCACTAATTGCCTAATATTATTTGCACAAACTCGCTGTGTGGAATAGTCACTTTATAGATTCGTTCGTATCAACTTTTTCATGCACTAGCAAATTGACTCTTTCTCCCAATTTAATAAACTTACTTACTTAATTGAACAGAAAAATGAGATTGGAAAAGTGCGCGGATCTTCAACCCACATCTGCCAGCATTTACGTTCCGTTTTACAAGTACTTAAAATATGTGGGAATTTACCCATACGCCTTTGAATTTCACCCTGTGCCCAAAAATTTCACTGGAATCCACCCCCTTCGAAAATTATCCACACAAAAATCCGGACTATTCGTCATTTTCAATAGATTCGTTATTTTAGTAAATTTTATGCAAACATTGTTCCTATTGGCGCAATTAGTTTGGACCATTTCAACCCAACATTCCGATTCTAGCATGATTTTAAATCTGATTGCATGGTTTGGTCTGTATGGTTTGGGGCTGGTCGTCGTTGTGAAACAATTCATGGATGGAGAAGCGATATGTCAGTGGATCACGGAGACTAACGCCATGGAGTTGGAAATTTATGGTGAGTTAAGAAATCGTGTGTAGAATGCAACTCACGAAATTAACTGTTTATGCAATTAATTAACAACTGAAGTTGCTAATAACATGAATCAATCAAGTTGAAAAAACTCCCTAATGCTAACTCGGTAGCATTAGGGATTTTTGCTCACAAGCCTACTAAATTTGCATAACCTGTTGTAAAAATATTTCCAGAAAGATACAACTCCAGAAATCCCTCATCGCACAAAACTGCCTTTCGCAGGCTGGCCATCAAAATGGTCCTGTTCAGCCTTACCGGCGCCGGTATCACGATTACGCATCACCTGCAATATCCAGACTCCCCCGTCTTCATTTACAGCATCTTATCTAAAAGTTCCTACTTCAAGAACCCCTTATTTCTAACTCTGTCCACCATCCTGCACACCCTCTTTATGATTTACGAGCTGGGCTTCATGGTTCAGCACGTCTCAGGCTGCCTCAACTTTTGCCGCGTCCTAGAGTCTTGTTTGAATCTGATGTCGTTTGAAAGTAGGGAGAAATTTGCACCATTCGAATTATTGGTTGAGTTGGATCAAGCGTTAATTTATTATAAAAGATTGGACCACCTTGTCAAAGAATCGAACAAACTGTTTGCCTGGAATTTGGCCATTATAATGGGCGGGTATTCCTTGATGGGGTGCATTGTGGCGTTTCTGCCACTGCATTATTGGGACTCGAACTCACCGCTGATGCTCGGCTATATTTTTCTCTTTGTCACCATGATGTACATATTTTGTCGCACGATTCCCGGAATGGGGAAGGTGTACGAGGTTTCGAAAAGCTTCAGGGTATCGTGGCTACGGGGGGTGTCGTATTCGAAGGATAGCTTAAACCTAGTTGTGGAACAGGGAAATTATTTCAAACTGTTGAAATTGAGACTTCAGTCATGCATCCCGTTCGGGTTCAAGTGTGGAAATTTCTTTTATATTAAAACTTCAACGATTTTGACCTTCTTTTCAGCAATTGCGACATATGTAATTATTTTATTACAACTGGATATTTAATTAATTAGTGAGATGTAAATATATTTGTGGATTATAATGCAAAATAAATGTGTGTATATTTATATATGTTTTATAAGTTCTATCTCATACTTGTCTAAAATGTTTCAAGATTCAACTTAACAAATTGTTCAGTGTGAGATTTTTGATGCATGTACATAATTACGTAGGATGCTTACCAGGTCTAAAATATTGTCAATTATAGATTAATGTTGTATCTGACTTGCATTGTCACAAATAATTTTACATGCGAATAAAATTAATTTACTTATTAAACGTTGTACTTTAATATTTCGCTCTAAAATGCATTCAATAAATTATATTCAGCTCACAAATCATACAAGGTAAAAAATAGAGCACATCTTGGCGTGACGCTTACATACTTTTACCTTTTTAGATACACAAATTTGTACCTTCGTTTTCCCGAAGACATAAGTGGTGTTCAATTGCATGAAAATCGTACAAGTCTTTCTATATCTACATGTGTGTCGATATTACAGGGTAATAATTTCGAAAGGGTTGCACCACAAAGCTGTATATTCAAGGGTTGCACTGGCAACTTCAGCGTGAAATTAAGCACACAAAAATCTATCCAGAAATTAAGTGCTCGCCAGACTACGTCGACTTGTATATATATTTAACAGATCACTTTAATAAAAATCACGCGTAAATATCACGACACAAAATTGACTTATTATTTTTAATACTTCAAATGTATTACATATGTTGAACACCATGGCAGGTTTATATAAACATAAATACGTATCTATAAATATAAACTCTATTCGCATAATAGTATTAGTATAGTATTTATTTATTGATATATGGCCTGCAGCCCTGATCAACATGTCATCATTGATTACAAACATCATTACATTAATAAGTCTCATTACATTAATAAGTCTATTCGCATAATCACAAGGTGTTTATAGCACTTGATCTCAACCCGACATCCAATATCGCCAAAACGGTCCAGGAGGACGAGACAAATTTTCGGTCGCATTTCGTTTCATTCGTTCCCTTTCTTCACGTTGAGCTTGTTCCGTGTTATCAGTTCTGTAACTTTGTGGCGTCGATCGGCTAAGACTCGATTGACCATTATTTTGTCCCGTGGTCGAATTGTAAGAGCTGCAACCAGCATAAATAAACACGTTAATTAAGCATATGCATTTGGAGAATCAAAATTATTGCACATTTGGTTAGAAATCCTTACTTGTGATCCGCACCCATCCGATCTGCAAAACTGGCAAAGTCACTCATACTAATTAATTTGTTTGATTATTTCTCCTCCGCTGATTAAAATTATTTGATGACCGGCACCGCAAATTTTTGGCTTTTATTGGTCTACAGAATGTTTCATAACGCAGTTTGTGCAGTTTAGGGCTTTATTTTACACATCCATCGACGAGCAGTTTGGCAGGTTTTTTGGTCGCTTTGTATAATACAAAAAAATTAAAACGCGTGTAATTCAGTCCGCGTATTAATTCTGTCGGCAAGATAGATATTTTAGTGGGGCTACATACATACATACATACAAACATACTTTAATATATGTGTATTTCCCTAATTGCGATTCGTACATATAGGAATCCGGACACGTAGACTATGAATTCCATGGCACTTAATACAGAGACAAAGTGAACAAAGCAAAAATAATTGCTCATTGACGCGTCTCGTCTCGTCTTTGCATATTTAAAACCAGTTTTGAAGTTGCGAGCGTCATAAGTTGTTCTTAATTTACTTTTCATTCACTTACTTAACCCTTTGATAGTGCAACCTTTGCAGTTTTTATGCATCACAAATTTGATTCCTCTTAAACCGTGTCGGTCAAGTTTTGTTGTTGTTTATACTTTTATGTTATGTATTTTATGGGATAATTTGGTTACATGTAACGTTTTCGTGCTTTTAAAATCAGGTATACAAACATAATAACACAGTCTACATATGCACCTATGTATAACATTAGACGTCAGCATATTTACATATGTAGCTAATTATAGGTGGCCCGACAAATGTGCAAAGACAAATGTGCAAACGACAAACGTGCAAAGACAATTGTGCAAACGATAAATGTGCAACCTGACAAATCTGCAGCCCGATAAATGTGCAAACGATAAATGTGCAGGAATTTTTCTAACAAATAGTACAACATATCTTGACATGATTTAAGCTTAAAATTTAGTTATGGACACGCTTCGGGGACATAATTTAAAATGACAGCAAATAAGGAAATCCTGAATTATTTCAAAGAAATTCAGAATTTTTATATAAATTTATGTACATAATTCCAGGCTATACGATAGGCTAAAATTCACGAATTCACGAAGATGTACGGGGGAATTTATGCACCATAGAAATATTATTTAGTAAAATATTAAGTTAATGATAAATTAATACTGCTCATTATATGTGTATAAGATCAGCAGCTTCAACAGACATCATAAGGGATGTCGCAGCAAGATTAATTTTTCAGAATTCTTATTTTTTGAGGAGATATAATTTGATTTGACTGCTAAAATCATATTAAGATATATTGTACTATTTTTTAGAAAAATTCCTGCACATTTATCGTTTGCACATTTATCGGGCTGCACATTTATCGTTTGCACAAATGTCTTTGCACATTTGTCGTTTGCACATTTGTCTTTGCACATTTGTCACCCCATCCTAATTATATAAGAAAGTCTGTAGTCGAAGTCGCGAACGTAAATATATAGCTGCCTGGTACATAAATATTCATAGCGTTGTATAAGAAACAGAAAAATACCTAAGCTGGAAAGATTATTAAGGGATAAGCAATTTTCCTGGGCCCTGCAGAACCCATTTTTTGTTGTCACGAGCCGATTTGTAACCATTTAATTTTAATTCAACAAGTGCGAACCTGACATAGCCCGAGCCGAGCTAGTCATATTTCTCCTATTTTCCAAATCTCATGTCTATCATATGGTATTTATCAGTAATATTAGATAATTATAAAAAAAACCTATAGTACAGACCTTATTTAGTTCTAGTCGGGTATTTAGTAATTACAAATCTGCCCCCTTTACTACCCGTGGGGCTCGCTTCTTTAAAACCTTGAATATCCAAAGTTGTATGTCGTTTTAGCTGAAAATAACAATTTTTAAAACCAGTATGGTCACCCTTTTAGGTCCTCACGACAAAAAATTCTTGAAATTTACTTGATATTTATTATCCTGGTATATCCGTTCATGCCAAATTTCCGTCTTCTACGACCGTTTTAGAAAACCAGTGGGGGTGACCCTACTGGGTGATTCAAATAGTAATTCGGTCATTACAAGCTGTATCCATAGTCCGTGATTTGTTCATGATTTCGTCATGATTTGATGGTTTCTCGCATCCACACTCCATAATAATTTCAAAAAATATTTTTATTCCGATTTTATAATTGTTATGGTGATTAACATGCTGAAATCATGAACCTGTGAAAGCATCACCAAATCACCAACAAATTACGGACTATGAACACAGGTATTGTACACATATATGTGCATATGACCAATGTCTCGAATATCGGTCTATCAACTTTCAGAATAACAACTTTTAGAAAGGGGTCACCCTATGGGCCACACTGGTTACACCCTGCTTACTTTTAATTGCATACTCTTTCATGGGAAAGAGCAACCTCTCTACCAAATTTCAACTCGATATGGCGATTTTATTAAATCGGTATGGGTCACTCCCTCGGGTCCCTCCAGACAAAAAGTTTCCCAATCTCAATCAATATTCTTCTTTTAGGAGCGATTAGTAATCTCTGTACCAAATTTCAGCTTTCTATGACAATTTTGAAATTTTGGTCAATAATACCCAGCCCATCCAGACGACCCACACCGGTCAACCATAGTCAGATTAATCCGTGACTCTCTAAAGAGAGTCAGAGGACAAATCCGCCCTATAGGGAGGAGCTATTTCATGAGGGACAGTGGAGAAATAAGATGCAGAAGAGTACTCTAATACGGGCTGTAGAATGGCCAATGTTGAGTGGAAGTGGCATCGGCCACCCAAAATTTTTACTAGCATGCCTTCTTATGCCTGAATGCATGCTACAAAATCTGCATGCTAAGTGGCATCGATTTTAGGATTTTAGAATGTCCACCTAACTAGGTCAACCAGTTAACCGATTTGCTCATCTTCGAAATGAACTCATTGTTTGCCCCATACTACATGTGTACCAAATTTCAAGTCGATAGGATAAGGTTAACGAGAGTTATCATAAACCCGATATACAGATAGACATACAGACAGACAGAAGGACGGACACGACGGTTCCAAAAGTTCTGGCTCGGGCTAATTTTATCATCGGAATAATAAAATGAAATTCAAATATGTTACATAGTTACCATAATTTGGTATTTTTGGGCTTGAGTACTGCATATTTTGTTAAAACCCACCCCCTTCGGATGGGATTTTCACATCGATGCCAACATGGAGGATTTGTGAAACATATATAAAATTGAAGGAGAAGACTTGTACGATTTTTTAAAACAGATTTCATAAATCCTCCATGGTGGCAACATGGTCAAAATTAAGGCCACAGAAATACCTTTGTCCCTTAACAATCTTTCTAATAAAGCATGCCTTGACATTATGGTTATGTATGTTGTAAACAGAAATGTACAATTTTACTGACACTGAAGGTCCAAAACTTTTTTGAAGAGATTTGTATAGCATAAAATTCATGACATGTATGTATGTAAATATCCGTACGTTTTATTTTCAAGTCGACACAAACAATTTTACAAACCAATTTTTAACCTACGGCTGGGGTACTTGTTAAATCTGAACTAAAATTATCCCTCACTCTCACCGTCAACTCTAAACAGCAAAATTTCCTCACACCAAAACTTCCGTCATCCTCCGTCCGTCGACACGTCCCAGTCGAAAAGTTGGTTTCGTATTGCTCATCCTGAAACGCCATGGAAATCGTGTTTCTCGTCCTCCACACCAATTTCACCTCTTTCTCTCCGTACAGTTGAGGACTGATCTGCATCCTAAAAGTTCCTCTGTTGTAGTACGGATCCCCACCGGATTGCTTTCCAACGATCTGAATGTTAACCGGGACTCGGCGAAATACCCTTCCCGCCGGGCTAACCAGAACTTCTTGACCTACCCCAGAGGAAGGCAGGGTCAACCAAGATCCAGCACCGGCATAGGAAACATTATAACATCGCAGCTCGGGGGCCCAAATTCGACCACTGGATGGCATCCTGACAAAAGCTACGTCATTAAATTCTGTCGAGTCGAAAGATTTTCGTGGGTCGGTGTACTCCGTGATGACATCGGCGCTAAGAAAAAGTCCAGCGTAAGGAATGCCATTCGTGTAAGAAGTCCCCAAATAGTTTATGATCACGTCGCGAAGGTAGATCTCGACCGCGGTGGCGTCCGGCGTTTCCTCCTCGCCGGGTGTCGATGGGCGAAATTCTTCGTCAGAGTAGCCATACCCGGGGAAGGTTCGCCAAATCAAGGTTCGCATCTTGTCCTGCCAAGACACCGAGGGACCGGGAGGGTCGGCGTTTATGGTTTTGGTTTTGGCGTCGGCAGGTATTGAGGTTATTGTCGGGACGAAGTTTGTTAAGGCAAGAGTTACCGAAATTAGGAGGGAAGTTTTCATTTTTGGAATTTGTTTCTGAGAAATGTGAAAGCTCTTTGGTGTTCAGTGGTTCGTCTTGTTCTCGGAAGTTTGAGAGTTCGAAGAGGTATTTTATGCGAGTGCATTGCAGTCATGGTGGTCGCACGATGGACAGGTTGAAGTTGGATTATGTTAAATTAGACATCAGAGTGAAAGCTGATTTTTAATTCATATTGAGCATGATAAGTGCATATGCCATGAAATACGCAACTAGTGAAGTAATAATCATGCTTTTTGTAGAATAATACATTCAAGAGCACGTCGCATTTGATGAGAACGGCAAAGTCTGTGAGTAATTCTGAGAAATATGTGCTGAATTTAATAGATATGCCCAATTTGGCGTGATTATTATTGGTAGTTAAAGTCCATCAAATTTTATACGACAGAAGAATTGCTGCCTTGACTTTGAGGAAAATAGAGTTAAATAAAGTTTTACATCATTTTGCAGTCTAAATACGTGATCTCTTTGCTCCTAAATATTTTTGGGTACATATTTAAATAGTTTTAACTTTATCAAGTGTGCCTTGTCATAATGCGAAAACCAATTTAATGAGCTCGATTTAGTTCAGCCTGTAGACTACATATTTATGTAATTGCACAATCCCAACAAACTAAATATGAATACGTAACTTATTTATTTCCTAGGAAATACAAAAATAGTTGACAAAACTTAAAAACAAATAGCTAACTCCTGTTAAAACTATTGATATGTATGATATATTTATGTACGCATGTGCACATATATAAAAATATGTATTTATTTATGTATGGATACAATTAAAAATGTAATTGACATTTCTACCTAAATTATTCCATATAGATTTATTTACTATCCATGCTCAATTATGACGCACGCGAGCAAAAAGAAGGGTAAACAGTTCAAAGACAATTTTCCAAAATTACATGGTTCCAAATTGTCGCGATCCTTACCAAGAAAAATCCATTTCCTCTCCCGTCAACCCATGTCGTGCCCTTTGTCGGCTTCAAGCATGAACCTATAACATATTGCGTTTATATGTAGGTTCATACACAGCTTCGAGTCTCGATTCTGGCAAAGCATTATTTATTAGCAGACACGAATTCTATCTATGGCTATAAACAAATCAATGTAATTGTAATACTTTAAATTTGGTAAGAGCGATTTATCAACAAGTTCGAACTCATAAACTTTCTCTAAGAGATGGCTGCATTTGGACGGAATTTCCGTACTTCGGAACTATTTTATTTCCTCGTTTTCTCCTCAAGTTTAACTTCTGGCTATTTGAAAATACCCGATATTTTCAAACTACTCAACGGAATTGAAAATTGCGACGTCCAAATAGTTCACAATAGTCGAAACAACTTTCTCCTCCACCTCGACCACTCTTACTTTATCCCAACGACTATAAACACCTTTGACAAGATAAACCGAAACTTGTCACGATCCATCAATATTTTCTCAGGTCATATTGCCCCCTGCCACCTCAGCTTCCTCGTAATATCAGACACTGCATGGGATAATAATTCATCTTCATCTAATTCATCTAATAGTACGGAAATTATGCTCAAATTGATCAAATTAGCGCACAAGCGACATCTCCGCTTCAAGGATTACAGTCTTAACGAAACGGTATGGATGAGTGGGACGGAACGCTTGTTCGTCACCATGGTAACCCAACGCTCGAAGCCCGAAATGGTGACGCGACTCCACCAATTTCCAACCTTCTCGTATGACGGGGTCGTAGAAAACCTTGGAATTATATTCACTCAAAAGGAACAGGCTGAATTGTGTGTCCTTAAAGGGGGTCAAGTTCCAGGGATGGAGATGCAATGCAATCTCATTTTACCCCTCGATGAAAGACGCGGTAATTTTTTAATCAGTTTCAAAACATTACAGACACGACCAGATCATTGGATTTTGAACGATCTAGTTCATACCGACATAATGACGATGGACATCTCTGTTTGTACTGATTTTAGTGGTATATCATCCTCGGAAATTAACCCATTCGACCGCAAAGGGTCGCACTCTATCCATCTGCATATTGCACTCTCTGTCGTCAAAAGTGATAATGCAACACTAAAATATGGAGCATGTGGATCTATATTTTCGGCGACACTACATTTCGAACCGGCTCAAAGAAATTGGAAACCTTCTACAAAATTAGTGACCACGGGATACACAGGGTTCCAGTTTTTGACTTGTTATTCTGAGAAACAGATTTCCTTCGAGTTTTACATTAGCCCGTTTGAAAGTACGGTTTGGTATCCTTTGTTGGCGGGTGGAATTTCTATAATTCTTGCGTTATCATTATATATCAAATTTGGAACAACACAGAAAAAAGTCTCATTTTCCCCGGTATTATTTGTCTTACGAACACTCCTAGAAGAACCATGTCCTTTTCATAAATCATTGGAGCGGGAACAATTCTTCCGTATCGCTATAGCAGGTTGGATCTTAGTCGCTTTTATTTTGACCAATTGTTACACTGGTTTAATGATTACCGGACTTAATGCCCCATTAGCGGGAAAAGTGCACAAAACATTTCAAGATTTGGTCTGTAACTCGGAACAAGGAATCCACTCCGCGGCGTTGGCCTGGTATCAGGAAACTTTTGACAGACACTATTACCACGAATTTAATCGTGATACAGACCAGTTTAAAAACCCATACTTGTCCCGCCATTGTTTTTCTTTACTTTCCCCACTCATTGGGTGGGATAGTACCCGTCCGAAGTACTTGTTTTCCCAATTTCTTCACGAAGAGGTCATGCACGCTGCTAATTTTACCGCAAAATTACCTCGACAAACCAAACTTGTCTTTAAACTGTTTCATCCCATGCATGCCCATCAGCCAAAACGTAGTATCTTACTTGAATCTGAAACAAGTAGTCAGCGTCGGATCGAAGCGGAAGTTATGTCATGCGGAAAAGTAGCGTTTGTCACCAGATCAGACACTTTAGAGGCAGAGTTTAATTTTTTATCGAGGAAATACCCATCAATTCCGCTTCAAAGGGGGGAAGAAGTATTCGAGCCTGTCCCGAGTGGGTGGATTTTTAGACACGCCGGGGTGTCAAAGGTGCCAAAAGGATATACGACATTGGTTGAGAGGGGGATATATGCCCGATTAGAGAGGGAAGTCTTGGCAAGAAAATTTGTCACGCGTCGAGCCGTGGGATATGTCGTTGGCGTGAAAGGGACGAAAGGAGCCTTAACAATGGATGGGGCTATAATTACACTTTTCATTCTGTGTGGAATAATAAGTGGAATAGCGGCAATTTGTTGGTTGATTGAGTGTAAAAATATCGTGCTAAGGAATCTGAGGATGCTACGATTTTTTAAGAAAAGAAAAGTACAGGACAATTTAATCATTTCATGCAAGGTCAAAAATGTTACTGAAGAAATTGTGCCTAAAACTTAATTATGTATTTTCTCAGGAAATGATAAACTATATTATTATGATTTTATATCTAACCTGAGTCGCGTCGCGTGTATTATATTTAGATTGGAGAAAAGATTCTACATATGCATACGTTGTTATCTATATACATAAATAAATGAGTTAATAAATTTGCATACTCTGCTAAAAGTTCTTATCACCTAAGTGCCTCCATAATCCCAACTAATCTCTGACGCTTATCGTAAATTATAAATGCATGCAATCACTGTTACCACTTTATCAACTAATGAAACATGTACATACATACACATAAGCTCTAACTTCATTCTCTCCCTCTTCACTCTAACACAGACCAAACACTAAATTTCATCTCTACTTATTTCATTATTTGTCATTTTTAAATTTTTCCCAATACTTAAGTTATCATGTCGCACTGCAAGAAATTTACAAGAAACACAATCTCCCCACCCATACACACCAGCCCCTCGACTCTGAGCATGTCACAAATGTCACACCCACAGCGTGAAAATCTATTCAGACAGATCTACCTCAGAAAGGCCAAGTTATCTATGGCGTCTTCCCTGTCAGAACTCTTCGCCCAATTTTCAATCGTAACTATCCACAATTTTATTCTCTTCTAGCTTTAATCACATCTTTGTAAACGGTGTAAATTTTGTAAAATCAGTTTCGAAACTACTGCATAAGTTGCAAAATTTTCGTATTCTTTTTTCAAAATTTACGCTAGTAGATACACAATTTTCGATAAGTCGATCTAATACTATTCTTTCAATTACATATTGCCAGCTCTGTATCGTAGAGTTGCAATTCAACTCGGCCTCCCACCATCCCCCGAATCCTTGGGTTTTGACGATTTACGTCACAGCGACATCGCTCCTCATTACGCACGCGGTCATCTTGCACCTCGCGTTGTGTCAGATGGGCTCCTGTCTTGACCCGGTCATCGCCACGTCGCACCATTCCATGGAAAAATTCGACTTTGACTGGATCCCGTTCCAATCTCTGTTCTTCACCTGGGATTCAGTCTACGTGTTTGGAATATGCGGAGGATTTTGGCTGTTCACATTTTGCTTCATGCTCCTCATGTGGCTAAAGTTTGTGCAGTTTGGTGGTTACATTCCTCTCGGAGGGATCGCTTTGATGACGCCGATTCTCTTAACTGTGTCGATTTATGGGATTATTTTGTACATAAAGGAGAAGAGAGAAAGGGTCCGAGGCAAGGAGGAGTTTGGCGAAAAGCTCGTGTATCAAAGTAGCCAAGAGAGGGACGTTTTTGCAATAATTTTTTGCGACAGGTGTAAAATCCATTTTGAAAAATATTTCACGAGGGATGAAATGTTGCGAATTAATCAGGTAGACGTCCCTTGCTGCAAGTATAGGAAGAGGTTGTTCAGAAAGTTAGAATAATATCTAGGTGTGCATGTATACGTAATAATTTAGCTAGTAGTATAAAGTGTCATTTTGTGTGCTAATAATGATTTTTGCACTGGCAATTATTTGCAGCTTACATATGTGCAAATACATGTGCAGTCGTATTACATAAGTATGCAATGATAAATATGTTATGATAAGTGGTATCTGGCGTGATTTAGAATTATCTACTAGATTTGTTTACACTATTTAGGATTAGTTTTTTTTATCACGGACGCTATAATTGCCGATATTTCAATATATTTACTTAAGTATGGTAAGCTCTCTACCTAGTAGGTCTTAGACGATGGGAGTGAAACATTTATAATTGAATAATTTATAATTTTGTGTAGTTAATAACATGAAAACTTCTCGCATCTAATTTGCCTGATGACAAAAATCGGGATACGTATAAATTTAAATGCATACTAAAGGCATTACACAAAAGAAATAAATACACCATAACCATGGTGGTTTGTGCGTCTCATTTTTTTAAAAGTTTAATAGTTTCGATAAATATTTCCATTTTATATAGTTGTATTTGCTTATTTTGCATGTAAAATGACTTGTCTGAAGTACAAGCTTCTCTCCTGGTAAAAAAAAAACATTTAGCACATTTTGCATATGTAATTCACTATTCACTGTTAAAGTTATTCAAAGAGCGAGTCGTTTCAGTCAGAAATCTCTAGTCCATAGCCACCTGTTAATGCTTATTTATTTACATAGTTCGAAGCGAATTGTGTTAGTAAATGAAAATTACATTAGGAGTTATGTACATTTCCCCGAACTTGAACGCACGTACATACTTATGTACTTACATTACATATCTATTTTTTAACATACTTAAATGCATACATATGTATTCATAAGTAACTAAATACTTATGCACTCTTTCCACTTTTTGCAATTCACTCACACGTCACAATTTGCATGACTAAAGCAGTTTTCATGCTTTATTTTTCCTATCCATGATTCGCATCCTGGAATACACTTGGTACATATGCACCATGAAAAGAATATGAATTTTGTACGGCAAAAATAGTGCATAAGCAAGTTCGTCTGTAATCTCGTCATGACATTTTACAACTTCACACAAATTAACAAGGACAACTGGAACATGGTGGTGGTGGTGGTGGTGGAACTGGAACATTGATGGTTCACCAAATGCACACTATCAGCAACTAGTCAGATATGTGCCGAGTATGTTTGAGTCAGAGGATGGCCACACATATATTTGTAAGCATTGGCATACATCACTTTATCATCTTTATCAGCATATGATGCATTTTCGAGATGTGTCATATCGTCCTGATCTTGCCAAAATTTTATCATTTATTTAATTTCTAAACATACAATTAAATCCATTTTATAACTAATTAACACAACTTCTTAACCCTGATCGCCTCACAAATTTACATATCCGACCATGGACAACAACAATATTCCCACCAAGTTGACCCTGATACCACGATCCGAGTGGGGTGCCCGAGACCCACGAGAAATCCAAGATTTAGTTCTCCCAGTACCCAAAGTTATCATACACCACTCTTTAATGGGAGGAAATGAGTGTCACTCCGTCTCAGATGAGTTCACTCTCGTCAAAAAAATTCAAGATTTCCACATGGACAATGAAAACCGGAAGTGGAGCGATATCGGATACTCGTGAGTATTTAGTGTTTGAATTTTTAGCGGAGATATTATACTCACCTTATAAATATTAGGTTTTTAGTTGGACAATCCGGCACAATTTTTGAAGGTCGTGGATGGCACAGGGTTGGAGCTCATTCTTATGGAAATAACTCCGTTAGTGTTGGAATTTGTTTACTGGGAGATTTTACAGGTGACAAATTATAATTTTTCATAGAATTTTTAAAAACTAATATATGCTTAAATTTTCATTTCTAGATATTCTTCCTCCACCAGAACAATTGAACTCTGTCAAAACTTTGATAGAATACGGAGTAGAGAATTGTTACATAAAAGATGACTATTTACTATTTGGACATCGCGACGTCAGAAATGGGACGGAATGTCCTGGGCAACTTTTTTATACCAAAGTACTTTCTACCTGGTTGAATAAAGCCGTGGCAAAACCGGATGAAATATTTTAACTATACGAAATAATTAAAAACTAAATTAAAAGTATTGTAGATAAACTACACTAAAATTACTAATTGTTACGAAAACATTTTCTTAATCATGAAATACTTGAAACACTAGAAATACTTTAAATTTACATAATTTAACTTGAATATAAATGTATTTAATTCAAAACACTGTTAAAAAATATTTCCTAATACATAAATTACGCATTCATTGTCATAAAAAGTTTTTTGTTCAGTTTATTGCAAAACTTTCGGCTCCGCTTTATGTGGCCAGGTGCAAATTTCATGATACAAATATTCTCCCGGACTGTCGAATCCTTTGCGGACATCTCGGTGACCGTAAAGTTCATATGACTCGCTAATATGGCCATGATCAACCCCGTACTGAATTAATCTTTGCGTCGCATCCATCTGAATTTTCGGAGGAAGATGCACTAAATTCATGTATGGTTGCAAAATATTAGTCACAAAATGTATACTTGTACATATAAAAATCATTATGCAAATTATCAAATTAATATTGATACACATGCACATACATCGAAAATCCCCCATTAAACAAATCCCGAGACTGATTTTGTTGTAGTGAAGAGTATGTGCCCCAGCTTTCGTCCAGCCACGCCCCTCATATATCCGTCCATTTCCACCCACCACAAATCTACATTAAAATTTATAATTAACACAAATGCATTTTTCAATAAGGGTATTCCATACGAGTTGGCATCGTTAGAAACGTTAAAAAAACTAAAGTTAGCAAGTTCGCGAAAAATTAATTTGCGAACTTGCGCATCTCCAAAGCTAGTATTTATGTAGTTCGCATTTAAAAATTATATTGCGATGCGAAAATGCAAACTCGTAATGAGTATCCCCAATATAAATAATCAATTAACGAAATTAATTAATTAATCAGTCTATTTAATAACTATTTATTAGGTACTTACTGGTACCCAATATCATCCCACTTGTTAGAATCCATATGCAAATCTTGAATTTCTCTCATCACTCCTTCACACGCTGAATCATCGGAGCAGTATCCCTCTCCACGGGAGGAGTGGATTATGATGACCATCCCCACCGGAAGGGGTAACGGATCCAGGGGTACTTTCGGTGGACGTGCCCCCCATTCCGACCTGGTCACGAAACACAGCTCCATCTCGTTCCCATCTTCTCGATCTTGTATCCCCCTGGGAATGAACTTGGCAAACAATTCCGACCCCACTTCAGGCCTATCAATTGGTGAAAATGCAACCATTTTTTCCACCAGGTTTACAAAATCTTCCTCCCATTTTCCCCTCAATTTGGTCATAAGTTCGACCACTTTCTCACTATCGAACAAATCCCAGACATTTCCTTTATCCTGATTTGTACAAAGCAGCCTAAACATGATTACCCCGACGGAATAAAGGTCAGATTTATTGGTGGAGGCGGTATGACCAAAAAATACGGTTTCTGGACTTTTATATGGACTGCATCTCGTCTTAATTAAACCTTTCACATTTTCCATGGAAAAGTCAAGTCTATTTCCGTCCAAGTCGTCCCCCCGTAACGCACCCAGACCAAAATCCGCCAACTTTAGCAGCCCATCTTGAAAGAGGACGTTTGCTGGGCGAATGTCGTTATGAACTATGCTTGATTTCTTCAAATATTCCAGAACTGTGAGGAGCTGGGTGAAAATTATTTGAACGGTTGTCATGACAACGCTACTCCGATTGTCCAAGTAATCCTGGAGCGTTCCACCTTCACAGAATTCCATCTTGATGAACATGATCTCCTTGTTGCTGTACTGATTTCTGGAGAAAATTTCATCACGGAAACTTTCCGAGCTGGTTTGGCTTGACATGGTCGTGGTTGTGATGGAGGATGACGTGTCGTCCCCTTTGCAGACAAAGTGATCGTAGTATCCCTTGTCTTCGATCGTGTCAGGCCAGGCGCCATGAATCTTGACGATGTTGACGTGTTCCAATTTCAACAAGATGTCAACCTCATGCACAACTTGGGCCCTTCTCCCGTTCGGGATTGGGATGCATTTTAATGCATACTGTTTCCTATCGGTGGGGTCACGGACGAGGAAAACTTTCCCGAAGTGACCACTACCCAGGAGGATGGAGAAGGGGCGGAGGCGGTGAAGTTTAGAGGGGAGGTGATCCACCAATCTGGCCGGGGCGGCGAGGATACGGTCGTCATTGTAACGTGGGGTAATTAATGACTCCATCGTGCAAAGTGGTCCAAGTGTTTTTGCGAACTTTCATGAAATAAGTTACGAAATATGCGAAATATTTATAAGTATGTGTTTTTGTGACAATATTTTGACAAGGTTTACATCCTTTGTTGAACTAAGGATAAGGATTGTATGAATGGAATAATGCGATAAAAATATTTCCACTATATTGACTTCGTACACAATCTGTATATGTACAATGTGGATACATGGACAAATCTAGGGTGGGATTAAAGAACGTTTTTCATTTGATGTTTGACAGTACTGGGAAAATAGTTATGTTTGTGCTAAGCAGTAAGCAAACAAATAAGATGATGTATGTTGGGAGAAAGGATGTTGATACATAAATATGTCATATTTAGTATATGAATATGATGAAAACGGTGACGATATTGTAGCAAGTGTCGGTTAGGAGAAATACAATGCAGCATCCTTGTTATGTACATTTGCATGCATAAGAATCGCGTCGCCAAAGATTAAGGATCTTACTGCATACAGCTACATGCATTGTACGTGCATAAATATATGTACACGTTTTTACAGATTTTGCCACGTACGTTAAGGATTGGCATGAGTAACTTAAGTAAGTTATTGATGTCCTGTAGGGACGATATATGTGATTTGATTTATAATTCTATCCGAGCAACACGTCAGATCTGGCACCAATAGTCGGCGTTATATGACATCGTTTACTCTGTAAGACGCTGGAATTTTGTTATCGTACTGGAGATGGAGAGGTGACTGTAAAATTACGCTGAAGTTACATGGGATATCATTTATGTTATCGTTATAACGTCGTTGTCATGCTATTGCTATGGCGTGGTATGTATCAACTTACGGCTTGACACTCGATACCGTTTTGGATAATTGTGATTGTGCATGGTGTGTGTGAGTCATTCTGCTATATATTGTCATTAATAAATACTTCTGTGAGTTTGTCCGCTTTTCCTTCAGATAAGTTTCGAACCTTCATGATTCAGAATCTAGTTTTAGTCGTCTTTCAAAAGTGGCATAAAAATTATCAGGTTCGATGTGGATACCTTTTGGCGTCAGAACGGATCTGCTTATCCTTATGTTAAACAAACGTAGTGGCCATTGGGGTACATTTTATTCGCAATGCACATTAAAGTATTTAGCAATATCCAGCCCTCATCGTTACCCAAAAGTTAACCGATACAACATGTCCACGCATGGGTAGAAATTGCATTTCGTTTATTCCAGTGTTAAAAAACTACGTATATACTTATGCATGTAAAAGAAACTTGCCCTGAGTGACACACTATAAACTATTCAAACATGATCAAAATGCTATTTATAAATAATGTCGGTCGCCTTATGCAGATGCATATTTAACATTCAAACCTTTACTATTCAATGAATAGTATTCATTACAAAAATACGTATGTACATTGTGAAATGCAATTTCACAGAAATATGAATATTATGCAAATGTACATTAAGTCTGTGTATACAACTAACAAACGACATATGTAAACTTCATATTGGATTGATATTCTTTATCACATGTCAACTGCAACGTGGATTAAATGTTATTTTTTTCTCTTAGCAAACTGCAACATTAGCTAATCCTAATGTTGCAGTTGTATAATCAATCCTAAGATTTATCCAATAATTGTAAAAATCTTGATTTTAAGTTTACACACGTTCAAATTATTTCAAATCTATTAGTGATAATTTTCCCGTTTCCATCCATCCATCAAATAGTTGAGTACTTCTGTGCATGCATTGATACTCAAGATTGTAGGAAGAAGAGTCTGGATTTATGAAATACCTATTCTGTCTTGGTACCAAAAGTGCATGCCATGCACATATACACATATTTCTTTTGGATACTTCCAATTAGTCACTCATCATCCCATCCATAAATAACATGCTTATCTACATATCGTCCTAACATTAGTACGTATTTATGTACATACATCTAGGCAGACCTACATAACCACATGAACCACTTCCAAGTCAACCCTTGACCCCTAATCTTAAGATCCAGCCGCATAAGCCTGGGTCGCATTCACTCACCAGAGCATAAATGTTATGTATTTCCTGATTTCTTAACCAGTGGAAAATAAAATGATCGCGAATACAGATTACAGCACAGAATCTCAACTCCTCACCCAGGTTAAATGAACTCCGTTTAATATTTTGTAACTAACCTGCACATTTTCATATACATACTTACATTCATTTTTTATACACAGTTAAAGGTGCGGTTGGCTGACGTCAATCATGATCTCAAGGACACCGACATCTTACGATTTCTCCGAGGTAATTAATTAATTATTTTATTATTTCATACTTTGAAATATTTTTTAAAAATAAATTTTAATCCGCAGGCCGTAGTCACAACCTAACTGATGCAGAAAACATGTTAAGAAATGTAAAATGTTTATAAACCGAGATATTTTGTAAATTTTAATACATAATTATGCACAAATTTACGTATGTAGCATATCCAATGGAAAATTGACCATGACTTTAACAAAGCTCTTACTTGGGCTATTGCCCCCCAAGTGAAGGAAGGTTTTCCATTCTGCATCGACGGCCTTGACAAGGATGGCCGCGTTGGTGAGAATACATTTTAAATTAATTAACGTTAATAATAATTGATTTGTAATTTTTTTCGTCCTGCTGACGATCTCAAAATTGAGATTGAAAGCTTGACACCATTTAGAAAACAATAAAGTTTTTCGTATTTGTATATCCATAACGTCCGTAAACAATAATTTTGTACATGTTAATTTTTATGTCACCAATTTTCAGTGATGTATTATCCCTTGGGGCTATGGAAGGGGAGACAGTTTCTTTCGGCCGGGTGGGGACCAGAGTTGGAACGACATCTCTTATACATCGCTGCGTATGGATACCACATCGTGGAGAAAACTACTCCTGGTGGGAAATACCAGGTTATTCTCGACCTTGCTGACCTATCCTATTGGCAGACTACGTATTATGATGGTATGAAATATAAAAGCCTATAAAATCTAAAATATGTAGGAAATTATACCAATATTTGCATTTTTGTGCAGCAATGCAGTTGATACTCCGAGTCTTTAGAGAGTTTGAGCAAAATTTTCCGGAAACGATGGAACGTGCTGTTGTCATTAATGGTATTTATGTTTGGATAATTAGTAAAGTGCATAAATTTGCAAAACATGTACATTTCTAACTAAAAAAAGTAATCTTTTTTCATCAGCCCCATGGATTCTGGACGTTATATTCCCCTTAATTCGGCCAATTTTGACTGGTAGTACGATTCAAAGGTTGGAAATTTATGATAATTCTCCCGAAAAGTGGGTGCCCGTTTTGTTGGATAAAATTCCGATGGGAGGCTTTCCTTCCATGTTTAGAAAGAAATATCAAACCCTTGTTGAAGAGTGGAAAGCCAATAATTAACCAAAACCATAATTTCATTCGTGTGTAAATTTTGTGGCATATTTTTATTTAACACATATTTACATGTACCATTCAATTTGTTGGATTTTGAAAATAAAGACGACACAGTTAATTTAATATTTCATTATATGTATACGTAACAAATTTACTTCCACATCTCGAAAATGTCGCTTCTTCATGTTGTTAATAAGACAGAGGTCAGTAGATGTCAAAACTTGGAGTAGAGTTATGTTATTTTTGTGCTAATCAGGATGTGACCACATAATGTAAACATCAACTTAATAATATTTACCATGCTGGGTCTCATAAATAAATACTGTTAGATGAAGTAGATCACTTATTACACATTTATGTCTGTGCACAAACGTATATATGTATTAAAATGTGAAATACAACGTGACAAAAAAATTTCATTAAAAGAAATATGCTTGGTGTGAGGACCAGGTACATACATTTTATGAATAGGACAGCATGAAACATGATTTATAATATTTAATTCCATTATTCCTTGTATTTACATAGTTAACGCAATAATAATTAATATGTAAATGACATCGTGAAGGTTCACGTAGTTTTCTAACCTTCCCCACTTCCACATTTTACATATGTAATCAGAATGTTTGATTGCCAAGAAATCGACTAGCTTCGTCTGCACCTGAGTCACACAAATTTGTGTGGTCTGTTCTGCCAAATTTTGGCAAAATAATTTGCGAACATGCGAACTCGTAATAAACATCCTCGATACCATTTTGGAACATACATAAAATGCCTCTTAAATAACAATTTGTTTACTGAGAACATTTTTATTGAGAAGTGTGTTTAATATAAAAAATCGTATAAAAAATGTAACTAGTGTAACGTATTTATGACTGAAATTGGTACAAAAACATTCGTCCTTCATTATTTCTGCCTCTCTCCATCCTCCTCCAATAGTTTCGACGCTGCTTTACAACTATCAGCTCGACATTTGTCCAGTGCATCTTTATTTTTCTTATTGATCTTGTCCTGGGCCCGTTTACTCAGTTTTTTCATATCGTCACCAATCATCCCGCCCACCTTGGCGAGCGAATCTCCCACTTTGTCCAGTGCCCCGGAACCTTCCATCATAGCCGCACGTTTGGAACGTCTCCCTTTTTTAGCAGTAGATCCAGTGCTTCCGGTATATTCGGCCATGACCTTCGACCCAGAGGCGACCTGACAAAAGTGCATGAAACATAGAGTAAATAATCAGTCGGTAAATTAATTTAAGCTCGCAACCGGAGAAAATTAATTGGGCAATATGTATAAAAGATAAGCTTAAATCTAGCTTGATTTCAAGGTCATGCTTTCTTTTCGTTTTGATCGAATATAACTTGATAATGGTAATTTAAGCCAAGAACTGATTGGAATTAACAAAATATTTAGTTGAAAGTTTTGTAATAAGTAAATTTGAATGAAATGTAAGGAAATCGCAGCACTTTAGAACTTTATAAACTCCATAAAATTACAAAGAATATGAAATTTTGAATCAAATTTACAGACTTTGCAACCCTTTCAGTTAATGATGTCTGGAAGTTTGAACTTTGTAAAGTAAATTTTCAAAAGTTGCTTGAGAAAGCTTACCCACGAAACCGGTAATTAAGCAAAAAAAATAAGCAGAAATCTGTTTTGCTAATTTTCGACAAAGGACGGTACCCACCTGATCTTGCAACATTTTCATGATTTTTTCTCCCACTTCTGGATTATCTTCCAGTGCAATGAGTCCAATTTCAGTTAAAGTCGTCCCGATTTGACAAATCGTGTCACCGATTTTTTTCGTAAAGTCCAGCACAGTTTCCAACTCTGGGTCTGGAATGACTTGATGACACAGGGGACACGCGTACACTGCCCACACCGTGGGTGCGGCTCCAGCGATGCCGGGGTGACCATAGCCGTACGTCAGGGGTGGGTGTCTCCCCACCAGAGGCAAACCAAAGCCGGGATGTGGAAGATAAGTGTAACCTCCTGTAGATTAAAGCCGCATGGAATTAGGTACATGTACTATTTACGCCAACTTTCTCGTAATATTATAAACTTATCAGGTCAATTTTTAGTTAAAAACAATTTACAACTATGTACATATTTAGCACAACTCAAAATATTTCATTATTTTGCTATTAGAAAATGCACTATAGAAACACGATTTTTTAATTGTTGTAATAGTGCCGTACTTATTTTGGCAAATTTTTAATTAATTGAAGCAATTATTATCCTTCGGATTTTTGGAATCCAGAAAATTTGTAAACTTTTACAACATAAGACGCAAATTTGTAGAAAATTCCCCAATTTTACGAACTTTATTAATTTTCATACACCCCGCATGCAAATTTACCTGCATTATTTTCCGTCACTACAAAATGATTAATCAGTGAACACAACAACGCCAGTAAGACATGGATTGACTGCTCCATGCTAATTTTATTAACTAAAACTCAATCCTTTCCTTAAACAGCGGCTTATTCCTTCCGGTGCGATATGAATCTTGGATTAACGTGTGACAAAAATAAATTATGCGTAATTAATCAGCCACCACAAGTGGCTATTCCATCTCCTCCTTAATTTCAGAAAAGACTGACCAACAAACTTTTTTACAGAAGACGCCAAAAACAAATTGTTCACTATCTTAACGACCTGTGCGATAAGATAGTTAAAAGCGGTACCTGAGTCACTTTCACTTATTGTAGTAGTTGTTTTTGTGCCGTATTGTCGTTGATTTTTGCTTAATAAGTAAGTTACCAAACATTTGGGTGATGGCCCTTGGTTTCACCTGTTATGTTAATATCCATGCCAACGACATCTTAATCTTCTACTACTAAATATAATATATCCATTCTTAAATATGCATATCTATCAAGTTCATTCATTGATATGAAATCACTTTCCGTTGTTGCATCTTTCCCATAAATATTGTAGAAAAAAGAAAAGGAGGAAGCAAGCAATAAAAATGATTTGTTGCATTAATTGTTGTCAGGCTGCTGGATGCGGTTTGCTTACTGAATAAAAGGGGGCTTGTCTCTGATTGAGGTACTTTATATTGCTCTATTATTATCATGTTTGTTTGTTCAATGCATGTAAATAATGGTGTGTCGTTCAGGTGATTAATTATATAACCAATAAAGTTCACTGCGCATTGTGCACAGACAATAGATCGATATTTGTACATAATCAGGCAACACATTAACCTTTATAAATATGAATTCACAAGGATACCTACTTATCAACAATTTTTAGCGCTTATGAACATAAATATTAGTATCAAAGTGTCTACATAATAGTCACAATTGTACAAAAGATTGTGAAACAGCAATAACAAAAAATTCTTTTCTAAATAACTGCCCTAATTTGGACAAAAATCTTAAAAATCTGAATTATTGTCTAATAACAAAGTATTATGTACATGCATAACCCACAATCATAGTTTTCACTTTCACCGATTTTTTTAACAGCACGTCAAAATTATTTAACGCTGAAATCCGTAATGTTTTTCATTCCCATTCATTCCGTTTGTGTAACTAATAAAGCAGAAATGTGAGAATGCTTATTTTTAATTAAATTATTATTATTGCCGTCACCCGTCGCGTGAAACATGTTTCTCTACCAACGTTTGTGACACAGTTGCTCATTGTCAACTTATGTAGGTATGCATGTCTGAATAACGACATAAATTTGACCACCATTCAAGAATATGCGACTAATCAGGGTGCTGCAACTCTTATTAAATTGTCTAATGCGTTTTGATCACGCATGGAAAACCAATACTTAATATGTACATTTTAAGAATGCAAAAAACACATCCAAATTGCAGCACAACTCAAATTGAGCGTCAAAAGCACCAAAAAACGGTAAAAATGCCTCATTAGGAACCCTCATAAAAATCTGTCAGAAGCATATGCGTCCTTATGCTTCAATATATTTGGGATGGACACTAATATCAAACATATCGTACACTGAAAGTGAGATTGAATATACTTATCATTCTGCTTTTCTAGTAAAAACCAGTCTTTGTTCATTCCAACTGTGTGCATATGACCACCAATCAAGAAAAATTGGCACCTTACACCATCCAACATGCCTTGTTAAGCAGGTGGCCTGCCTGCCTGACCTGTGCAGCCCTTACTTTCATTCAGTCGAGTAGAGTTAAGCAATCAAGGTAATTAGTCACTCACTCACAATAGGAATGACAGATTAGAATGGTGACGCGACATAAAAATCGCTAAACTTTACACGTTTATTTGTGTCAAATCACAATGGGTCGGAGGAAAATTTATAATTTAATAAGTAAATTAATTACACGATTTTCTACTAATAAAAAAGTCTCACTTGCTAAAAGGGATCCATTCCACGGCATTAATTCCACCGTCATCGCTGCACTTGAAGGGAGCAAGTAGTTATCAGGTAGGCAATATGCATCCCTTATAATTGGCTGTTAACTACTTTTTGTCGAGATGAATAATTACATTTATTAAGGGATCTTGCTTTTATTAGGTGTTTTTCCTATGTCTGCTGCATACAAATATAAGGCACGATTAAGCATGCCTACTAAAATATGATGCGATCTGTCAACTCATAAGTACTTGTATGCATGTAAATTTAATCACACGAATCACAGAAAATCTAGTCTTCATCTTTTTTTATTTAAATGCAATTATTTAGTCATCAGAGATCCCAGATAAATATGTATGATACACGGAATCAGTAATTGAAAACGAATCCATACTTACCATGTTTTATGAACTATGCAGAATTTCGCAATTGGTGATCAACACGACTACAAAGAATTACATATTAAATAGCTGGCTTACAGCAATAATAGATATTGTATCATGATAATGAGCAGGTTCAATTAGTTTGCGGATGAGCAGGAGAACCTTCATCCAACCACAACCACTAGTTTTTCCTACATATTATTGAAGAAGCAACTTATTTTTTATGACTTGATTAATGGCAATTTCATCAATTCGTTTGAGAGAGAGAGTGAATATCACATATTTATGTATGTTCATATGTCCATTTGTACATAAATATATAGTAAATGTACATGTATGTATGCACATAATAATAATATACAAGCATGTACATACATACACACATAAGTACCTTAACATCCTTATAATCTCGTCTATATGCAAAAGTGGAATCCATAAAATTTGGAATGCCACGAATTTTACCTAATTCTACTCATTTTATTATTTAAGACATGGACAACAAGAAGAGGCGAATCAGGTTTTGATGGCGTCTTTGATGGCACAAGAAAATCAAGTCAACTTGTTTCCAGAGATCAGGACTCGCTTTGTTGGTCAAGTTATGATGTGTCCATCCAATCCAGGAGAAGGATGCATGCATATTAATTATTCCACTTTCCAAAGATACTTACCTTGTATGTCCAGCCATTTGTACATATTTACCTGTTTCTAGCTAGTCCTTCTACGCTGGAGGAGTGCATCAGAACGACGCGTGCCTGGAGGATGGATAGAACCTTGGGAATTACACTCGGACCATGCAACAAGTCGAAGTTTTTCAGCATATTTCAGAATTTTATTATTATGCCGAACTGAATTTCAGCTACAGTGTTGATAACGTAGTGATCGTTCCTAATAAATAATTACGTAATATTAATTCTGACTGAATATTGTTTAGAAGGTTGTGCATACATACATAATCGCAACATGTGGGTACAATTTTTTCGCCATCGGGCACCAGCAGTGGTTACTATTGTGATATTCTTATTAGGAAATGGGTAAGATTTGTGCGGTTTAAAGGGATTTATTGATTTTTATTGGTCATATTCAAGCTCAAGATTAGATATTCATCATTGCAAGAAATTTAATAAAATAAAATTACCAATTGTTGAAAAATTAGTTATATAACTTTCCGTTCCAAGCATAATTTCCCACTTTTTAGCTCAATTTTGAGTCCATCACAATTTACGAATTTACGCATAAATTTATGTCTCACTGATTAATTTAACCCCATAAAACCATTTACAGATTTCCTTCCACAAAGTCAGAAACAGCCGAAAATAGTCTGCACAAAGTCAAACTTGTTAGAAATATCCGTGACTCACACTCTGGCCAGCTTTTCGGGGATGCCGTTGAGACGGAAAATAATATGGGGAAAAAGGCTGGCAAGGATTTAGTCGGATTTTTGCCTCTTCCTCCGGGTTACAACAAATTGGTCATTCCTCTGGGAAATGTCAGCAAAGAAATTTTTGTCATGGTTCACCTTTCCATCAGAGAAGTGACGGATGTCGATTACAACAATGGGGTACGTATCTGCATTTCTTACTTATCTAATTTGCACCAATTCTGCAACTAGATTTCTTACTCTGTTTAATAATCAGCTAAAAATAATTTAAAATTATGGGATCATAAATCACGACATTTTCTTGATTGCAAAAATGTTGGTTTAAAACGTCTTCTATTTTGCATGCAAACTAGTAGAAAATTGTAGCGCATTTTGCTTGCGTATTAGTTTGTGCAAATTTTGTTTCCTTGAGTTCGCCCAATTACAAATTAACATTTTATCGAATATTCATATTGATTCAAGATAATTGAGCTTGACACCGAGCTCGGGATCACTTGGATAGATTGGGAAGTTTGGAAGTTTTTTATTGAAGATGAAGAAGCTCAGAAAAAGGCGGCTGATGGACCTGAAGAGATCACGCTCGACGCAGAGTTTCTCAAACAAATCTGGAAGCCAGATATTTTCATAGGTAAATATTTACGTCGCAAATTTTTCCAAATTTGTTGCGAAAATTACTTAAGATTTGTCAACGACACAAATTTTTCAACTGAATTTTACTTTCCCAGAGGAGATGGAATCCGTCGAAAGCACATCCATCCTCACCAAGCTGGTAAATCTTCGTTTCCTCGTTAAAAATCCGGTGATGCCTGGTGCCATAACGTTCGAGGCGAGACAAACGTTCAAAGTGCGGTGCGATATGAATTTTGAATATTATCCGGCAGACATTCAAGTGTGCCCTATGAACATAAGATCATGTAAATAATTAATTGCAAATAATGATCTCTAAAATCTTTAGAAAATGCTAACTTAATGCATTTGCTCCTAATTTCAACAGATTCATACACCCAAGAACAACTATTTGTTCTGTGGAATCCATCTCAAAGTGTGTTTCTCGACCAGACAGAAGATTCCAATTATGATTTCCAAGTTTCCGATGTCGAACCGGGAGGACGGCTTTATGAAATGTTTACAAAGTCGCAAGCACCCTGCTGTCAACGTAAGAATTGCAAAGTTATATTACAAAATTTACGTAACAATTTTCACGCATTTCAGACCGAAATTATTCCACCCTGTCTTTCAATCTCCAAATGAGAAGAAATATCAACTATCACTTTGTACAGACCTGCCTTCCTTCCATTTTACTCATTTTAATCACTTGGCTCTGCTTCCTACTTCCACCGGATATGGTGGAAGTTCGAATTGGTATTTCTATGACCACGGTATGCATTTGTAAAAATTAAAGTGACACTAATCCAGTACTTACTAAGAACTTACTAAATCCTAGCTACTCACGTTGACCGCAATGTTCGGTGCAGTACGGTAAGAATTTTATAGTTTTCCATAAATATTTTGTCATTTCATAATTCTCTTCTTACAGGGAACAATCACCTCAGGTTTCATACACAATGGCAATAGGTCTGTATAAATATGTACCTTCACAATTTTGTAAAAGTTATCTTCAATCTGCATGAAAAACAAATTAAGGCTTCATTACAAAATCAACCAATTACAATAATATACATGTTTAAAATGGATTTATAGATATCTGGATGGTGTTCTGCATGTTCCTCCTCTTTTTGGCACTGGTCCTATTCACATTCATCTATTGGTGAGACACAGTAATTATGTAAAGTTTACCGGGTTACAAACATCCACGTGCTAAACATTTATGTAGCAAACCCCAATATGACAAATTAATCCTTTCCCAACTTTTCTCAGGTTGCGTAGAAAATCGAGAGAAGATGCCGAAAAGGTTAATAAAGAAACTCAATTAAATGCCTCATATTTTGCAATTATGGATCTATACAAATATACGATTTTACACAGGAAAATTCCGCAAAACTCGACAGCAACGAGGCCGAATCCGGCTTAGAATTAGTCCGTCCCGACCTCAAGACCAGGACTTACACCGGCCTGGGAAAGAACATCAAAAAGTACTCATTTTGGTCATTCGCCATAATTTTTATCACATTCCTCACCCTGTACGGAACCTGGTTAATCGTCGCATCCGATTATTACGCGTGGGACCCGTCGCCCAAATATAACTCGCTCCCAACCCTTGAAAATGGGACGGAGACAGAGAATCGGCTATTTTCCAGGGAGGAAACAGAGTTCAAACCAACCTCGAAAAAGAAAGTGGTCGAATCCACGTTCCGTTTTAAGGATATCTTTAAGCACGTGATTTTCCCAAAGTTGCAAGAACTGGAGGCCAAACGCGGCGGTGGGAGTGAAAGCGAGGAAGAATATGTAGAGTCAGAGGAAACCACGATGGCGAGTATCACCGAAAAAATTGGGGATGATCCTTAAATGCAATATTTTAATTTAGATTAGTTCACATAAAAATATGCAAATATTTGCTACATTACGTAATTGCTCATTTGTAACTGTCGAGGGGATGTCAGATCCCAGTGTAAGATAGGAAGACATTGATATTCTTGATTATCCACGTACTCTATTACATATGCGAATACATATGCATCTGTATGCATACGGACAAGCTCAGCTAGTCCTAAACTTGTCTCAAGTGCAATAAAATTGTTATCGTTAAGCAGAAAAAAACATGAAGGAACTGCGCATTTGTTTTGTTTGGCTGAAAATATAATCTTTAAAAGTTTACACTTAAGTACTTTGAAACTTGACGACAATGTCATCGGTGTCTTCATTTAAACTAAACAATTGATGTTTCTGCCGAAATCAAACCTTGAGCCCAGCAGTCATCCCATTTGGTGCAGTTTTTAATGACTATAAAATAATTGCGATAATGATGGCTTCACATGGGTCATTTAGAAGCATCATTTTACATATGTTACGAGCTTAATGTGCATCTTTCCAATAAAAAAATCCTTTTTACAACCCGTCGAGTTCGATTCGCGTACATAAACAATGTCTGAGAAAATGCAGAAGTTCTGAGTAACCTGATGTACATATTTATTACAGGATGGTTTATAAATAGCGTTTCAACGATGCAAGTGTTGTCTAACGTGAAACATACCTATAAATACTGACACAATTTGGGAGTCATTTTCTGCACAGATTTAAATACTTTTGAAAAACAGAATTGCTAGTTACCTCAAAATCTAAAGTTCTTATTTACCAGGATGGAATTTGACAATTTATCCTGCCTTGTCTTCGAAATCCCATTGTAAGTATTTAAACGAATTAGTTAAGCGTCATACAAATCTATTGGTAAATATTAATTTTTCACATTAAGTAAATTCACTCGGGAGTTTTTAACTGAATAAACTCTATTAAATCAATACGCCCATAAATTAGCAAAAGCTTACAAAAGTTCAAAAACATCTCAAAGTAAAAACTTAGCTCACAAACTTATTGCAAAGTTATACACAGATCAAGGGTGTTTTTTTATTTCATAAAACTTTGCAGAAATAATTTTCGAAATTTTTACAACTTCAGTGTTGCAAACATCCCCGTAGATTTGCACACTGACTCGTTTGATACATATAATTTATACTTCAGATATGTTTTACTTAACCAAAAACCAACGCGACTTTTACTTTCGAGAATGACTAGTATATCAAACTAATATAAAGACTACGACAAAAGAACTACGAACAAACAGCGTATTTTTAATAAATGTTCAACGTACTATCTAAATATGTGCATATTATCCAAATACCTATTATAAACAACGTCATCTTTAATAAGTTCTCATATTTACGTGGAGTAAAAGCATAATTTTTTCATGCGCAGATAATGTCCAAAATCGTGTCCCACATGGGTTGTGACGACTTAAAAAATCTACGCTTAATTTCCCCTGAGTGGGAAATTACCTCAATCCAGTCTCGCTGAGAGAACTTGTCGCTTGTCAATTTGTCCAAGACATGGAATTCTCCCCACTCTGAGACGCCACCACCATGGTCAGGCTATGCCGTGAGTCATCCTACCCCAGACGAGGATCCCTGTGTCCTAGAAATTACCTCATTTTTTACCACAATTGAGCACCAACATTTGAACAGGGTCACATTTCTAAGAATTACCCTCGGAACCAATTCAGACCTTAACTTCGTCCAAAAGTTGATCGGATTCTTCCCACGACTGGAAACATTAGAAATCATCCTGGCCGAATTTAGTATTGGACAAAACGCAGACATTGTAGTTAAATCAACACCATCTGAAAATCCGACTTTGCTAAAATCGTTAATCATCCGTATCGCTAAGGAGTCTAAAATAGCCTTTGCTGAAAAGAAGAATGAAATTGTCATGCTATGTGAAATTCTGGGAATAAACGTGATACAAAATGTCGACAGAATCTACCTTGAAGATTCAGGCAGATTACTTCCCTACATGTTTTACCTCTACGATTGGAAAAAGTTGACACGTGTCCACTTTCCCTACGCTTGTCAGGAAATTCTGGAAAAATTGACTTTACTTCCTTCTTCCTTAAATGAGCTAAAACTCGACAATATTTCCAACTTATACTGGTTGGAAAAAGTTATGACCAGACATATGTCCTCCATTGTTATTTTGGACGTTAGTCTCTTCACCGATGATATTACACACCCCGAACAGTCTGAATTTCCGAAACTTTCCCGTCTGGAAAAATTGTCTTACTCAATTGGAAAACGTGAGGGGTGGCGTTTTTATTAATTGTCAATTATGCACAAATGTACATATCTGACTCTACCTATAATTCTCTAGGAAACCCAAATAGACCATGGTGTGGTACAGGGAGGCGTATGGGTAGGCTTAGGGGTGACTTTAGCTCACCACTGGATCGTTTAGTGGGATTAGATCGTTTGAACATGAGAGGAATACTCCAAGTAAGCTAATTAGTTAGTTATTACAAAGTATACAACATTTTAAAACCATCCAATAATCACATTTACTTGTGGTTTCTTACATACTCTTTTCTGTGCAGGCGGGTAGTGCAGCCTTCAAGGAAAAATTTCCACGCCTAAGACACCTCGAACTGAAACAGCATGGATGCTACCTTAACCTTAGTAGACAAGAAATTCTCTTCTCAAATGTCGATGAAAGCGAGGTACAGATCGATCAAATTGAAGTGTTCATCATGCAATTGCTCAATTTCTATAACCACGAGTTAGATTCATTGGAATTGAATCTTCTCAGCGAGAAATTGAAAATAATTTTTCCGAATGCAAAAATACTTAGGATATGTAAAAATAATTTGACCTGTTAAATTTTTAAAGTGCTAATTTCTGGGAGTGAAGATTATTGCTCGTATTATTGTTGTAAGAAGATTATAAGGAAATCCTGAAACTGTTTAACTATAAAACCACTAGTTGCACCTTATTGATTAAAGATTAGAATTGATCTTTTATTTTTGTCTGCATTTATCCAATTACATTAATTAATTTGTATAACATTTAAATTTTACACTGTTTGCAAATATATAGTAATAGGCACCCACTTAGTCATTTCCAGATATGAGTTTTTGACCACATCGGTGAGTCAGATTGAGGTCTTTGATTCAGAAGACATTAACATGATCAATTTAAGTTGGATTCGACAAATTTTATTTACATGATGAAACCGCATTTTTTTTTGCAAATGTATGTATGGCTGTTTCAATACTGCTGAAAAATGCTTTTGCATTTATAAATGCATTTAACACCCGTGGGAAATGTGTACGGATTACATGAGATATTTATATAGCTGTACCGAATTTGTAATTCACTATTGCTTTCTTTGTTCGGCAAGAATTGATAGAAAAAAATTGACGTACGCAAAAATATTCTGTCCAGACACACATATTTATAGTACAAGTGTGCATCTAAAAGTTTTATTTGTTCCATGAACACGTACATATGCACACGTAAACGTATTTTGCATTCTTGACAAGAGTTTTTATTGAAGAATACTGGTACATTGCATAATTTAGTGTTTCTCTGCATATTTATGTACTTATGCACAATACACACAATAAGGCTAATACACTTTATACACAAAATTAAACCCATCTTAAGTATATGTATGTATGTAGATACATATATATTTTTGTGTACATATTTGTAATTCCATTGAAAACTTTATGAATTGCAATCCTAGATAATATGAAAGTAAAAGGCGCAACAATTTGGGAGTAATAGAAATTTGTTAAATAATTTATAATAAATATGCATTATTCAGAGTTTTATTCATGAATTTTAGTGTAAACCATTGACCTAACAAAGTTGTTTTTATTTTATCTACTTATTTCAATTGGGGTTCTTTAAAATATTCATGTAATAATTTTTACGCTTATTTACTATCAGTTGTAAAATACATTGGCAACATGACGCTTGCTAAAATACATGTTTTACTTATTTTTATCCCCCATCTTTTCTTAATTATCTGTAGCACCAAATTAATCTTGGGACAAACCTCTCACAATTACGGTTTATTAAACTCTTTTCAAAACTGTACGCTCCAAATAACAATAAACCAACAAAATAGTATCCTTGAACTTTCTTCGTTTCAATCCCTCCAAGCCTCAATCACCACTAATTTCTCACCCTTTACTTTAAAGACACATAATAAAATTGATTTACAAGGTGAAATAAAAGGTTGGTTTACAAAAGATATATTACAAATTTTAAGGTGGATTTATACATCACTCGTTGCAAACTTGCGCCAATGTGATAATTTAACTATGGCACAAATTAGCAAGGAGTGCCGTATAAATGCACCTTTATTCCATCTCACTTCATTATTTGCATGTTATTTATTTATCCTAGTATCATCCCCATACGATGACCCCATCCGGTACGACTACCATCAGAGGAAACATTCCCCCTGTTTTCTAAAGCTTTATTTCGTCCAGAAACTACCCCACGAGATTCACCACTCTCTCTTGAAAGCCTTCTGGCGAAACATATTCTACGAGGAACGATCTCTCGCAAACTTGAATAGAATTTCCGACCTAATCCTGATAATCACCGACATACCATTTTTTCTCGAAAAATACGCCGAAATACCGTGGGTTTTCCTCTCCAGCATGGACTACCTTCTAGATGCAGCCGAAACTTTCGACTTTTTCACTCCATCCCCAATGTTTGTCCTTGACACGGTAGAAAACAAACTGTCCCCCGTTTGCTATCACTGTTTGGATAAAGTGTATCGTACAATTAATCTCAAAAATGGTTTAGTAAATTTACCCACAATTTTTAAAATCTGGTCGGACCTGCACCACAATTTTCTCCAGCATCTCGTACTTTCCATCAGAATGCCGCTAATTTCTGAGGAAGCCTGTTACCTCGGAAATATCGTAACCGGTAGAGAAATAGCTTCCACCTGTGCTCTAACGGTGCTTCAAGGACACCACAATTACACCCTGGGCTGGACAAAGGAGGGGAGAACCGTGGTCACAATTGTGTCCGAGTACTACCACGACTATTTGTACATGGACCGATGGTCATACGCCGATATGCGGGAGAGAAATGGACGACACGACGCCATAAACGTGGCGGGAAGGACGGATCATTTCGGGCACATTTTAGTCGTCGAGATATCCCAGAACTTTAGCTTGACTAGATTAGCACAATGTTTCCACTGGCAGTTGTGGCTGTTAGTGGCATCTTCGGGAATAATGGTGTCAATCATGCTATTTTTCTTGGTACATTTTTCCCTTAGGAATTATGCAAATGAATTAGTTTCTTCGTTCCTCATAATTTTCGGAAACTTATCAGAACAGTCACATCCTAATTTGCTGAAAGATACTCGTAATCAAATCCCTCTTTTAAACACGGCCCGAATTTCCATGGCATTTTGGATGTTTATAGCTCTGGGATTTTCGAACTATTACAAATCCATGATTCTTTCCGTGGTTGTCTCACCAGTGAAAATTAGTGAGCCTGACGACATCTCTGAACTCGTCGATAAATCTGATCTCGCCTTTGTGTCGGCACACTATAAAGAATTCGACGCACTTCTGACCCACATTGTGAAAGTTAATGAAGAAATGGGCCTCCAACATCCGTCCATTTTGAAGAAATTGTACGCAAAGTTTGACGATTTTGTGGATGAAGGTGACATCGATGAGGAAGAAATCGAAAGGGACAACTGGTCCTTGATGTTACCGCTTAGCCGACTTTTTGTAAATTCCTTAATGAAACACGTGACCGTAAAGAATGTTACCCTTTCTCCAAAACGGTTCGTTATTTTTGATACAAAACGAACGTTAGAAAAGTTTTCAAATTTTTTGACGGCACAATTTCCGAATTTTCGTGCCATCTGGGGGAAATCTTCGCCAAAAACGGGGGGACTTTCAATGGTCTACAAGTGGAGTTGTAGTCGATTGTTCACCTTCAGTTTTATCGAGCGGGGTGTAATCGCCCTGTACGAGTCTGGACATTACAACATGTGGCAGACTTATTATCATCTTGCGCAAGAATACAGGGAAAGGGTTGCGTACAAGGAGACGTTTAACTGTTTCGGGAGTGAAAGTGTTAGTGGTGGGATTTGTAATCGCCCAACAATTAATCAAGACAATATACGGATAGATGTATTTCTTGGTTATGTTGTCATATTGTTGGTGTTGTGTGCAGTATCGCTGGTCATCTTTGGAGTTGAAGTTACGCTTTCATTTAATACCGGTGGTACATTGGTGCATATTTAGTAATTATTTATTAGTATTTAATAGTTGAAAATTAAATTGTGCATGTAAATAAGTGGACATATTTGTTTTTGAAAATTTTTAGGCCAAACATGTATTTACATGTATGTATTAATGTACGTAGTTCAAAGAGGTTGGATTATTTTTTGAGAGATCTTTTAATGCAAATTTTTACAAGGTTTCAGATAGTAAATTTACTTATGTACATACGACATACATATGTAAAATCATGAGACACAAATATGGATAAAACTAACTTGGTGTTTAAACCGTTAATAAATATTTTATCTGATAAATTAAAGTAGTGGATGTGATTTACATAAATATACCAAACCTGGGTTTAAGACGTACAAATTTAAGTATGTATGTACAGTACATACATATGTATCATGCATGGAAATGCATACATTACATGCATTCGGTATGTGTACAACGCTTACACGAAATATTGATAAAGTTATTAATTCCCTGAAGGTAATTTTATTGAAAGGTCAGCAATGTTCGTACCTTTATATTCTGTGCATGTGACTATTCATATGTACATATCCCTTAAAGAAGTGTATGTATGTATGTAAGTGTATTTCAAAGTAACACATCCTGTCCAGCACAAAAATAATTTACAAAGGTATCATCCCACTCATTCTTCACAGGTAAAGAGGACAACTAGAAACCAGCATTGTCATAAATAAAATAATTCTTAATTCTTTACTCCCCAAACCACCAAGAGGATCACACCCTTCACTTCTCCAGTAACTAAATTTGTGAGTTTAAGTCAGATAAATTCCGCACAAAACTTAAAACAGAATGGCTTCTTCCAGTGGCGTCAAGATTACTAAGGACATTACAAATTTTGTAAGTTTTAAAAATCACGGAAATTTCGAAATATGTAAGTGTACCAATACAAAGTTTCTTATTTTTTCAGAAACCCAAAGTTCCATTCAGCCCGAAAAAACGTGTCACAACTACGGATCGTGCCGAACTTTATGAGCTCTCCAAACAAGGCGAAGGTACAGATTTCATGTTCCTTATCGGGAATTACTGGGACACGACGGACTCTTATGTTCATGTGGATTCCGAAATCGTCTCGCAAGGTTCGAAACGGCTCGCGAAAATTGTGAGGACGGAACGAAAATCCAATGGGGAAAATGCCTGGTATGCAATCTTGTCGCAATCAAATCTGGATTTGGACCAGTTTAAAAGAATGATTGAGGTAATTTCGGACTAATCTTGTAATTTATAATATTTGTGACAAAATATTGTGTCAAATTATTTTGAAATACGCGTCATTCATGGAATATTTCCGAAAATTAACTGGTAGCAAGGAGGTTAATCTTGAAAACTTCGTTATGTATTACATATGTATATCTGTATTTAAGATTTACGCATTTTCTATTTTCTGCGCCACAGTTTATCTACACCGGAAATGTCACCACTTTTCGCAAATCCATCCCATCCAGAAAGGAAATCAGTGACCTTTTAAAAATCGGGGAGCAATTCAAGGCTGTCAAACTGATTGAATTTTGTTTCGACAAGATGATTGCAATCAAAGAGGGAAAGATCGGAAAGGTGGAAACTTCCCTAGCTAAACTTTCACTACGAGATAATCAGGTAATATGACCTATTCATCCCATCAAATATTTAATTAATCGAATGACACGAATTTACAAATGATCCATAGCTTGACGAAGATGACTCGAAACCTGGGCCAGGTTCGCACTCAGACGCAGCCAAGAAATCCGATCTTGTTAAGAAAAAGCTTTTCGACCAGGTTAAAAAAGATTTCGCCGAGACACAAGAGGAGAACACTGAGATTCCTAATTTTCCTATAGAAGGAAAGGAGAATGCAGACGAAGGGGTGGAAAAACCTGATAAATAAAAGCGATTCAAAACAGTCTAAAGTTCTGTTATGAGTTTATAAGTATATTATTTCTAGGTTAATTATTGTTTTTAATTTGGAAAGAAACCTTGAGATTTCTAGAAGTGTATAGATAAGGAGACGAGGAGATTATGCAAAGTTTAAGATCGAAGATTTTATAAAATATTGACATTTCTGGCTAATTTATAATTTAGGTTATTTTCGGTTTTCTCTTTTAAGATATTATTTGTTTTCTAATCCAAGATTAGTTTATTTGCAATTTCTTATGTTTTTATAAATAAATATCATGACTCTTCATGAAATCGGGTATGAAATTGTCAATCCGTAAAATAGACTGGACTTTACTCACATAAATATGCGTGTATCTACATATGTTTGTATGCACATAAATAGTTGCATGAAAGACAAGGATATTTATGTAGTTACATACTTACATATGTACATGAAATGAAGACTAGAGTTGAGGGCACAACAAAAGGTGGATCGGACTAATTTGCATATCATGTTTACATACTTATCAAAATTAATCTGAAGTGTATTTTTGCTCAATGAACCCTCCCACTGGTCGCACTTGGCTTTCCCCTACACCGTTTTTTTACACCGGATTAAAACTGCATGGGTGGCTTCGTTGGTATTATGTACGTAATCGTGGCTAATTAAATATTCTCTAACTTGAGTCAATAAGTTTATGTAGATATGTACTTGTATTTTTTGCACATGATTGGGTGATACATAAAAACTAAGTGACGCACCTCATAAATCGGACATGGATGCATTTATTGATTTCAAACAAAATACGTACTAGTTATGTAATAGATGCTCGCTCAGTTGCAAGCTTCCTTTTCCAAGTACGCGTTCTCATAAATTCCGGAGATCCAGCCACTTTTTGCATCACATTATACATAAAATTTAATATAACGATTCGCTCAATTGTGTAATTAAGACTTTAAAATTGATATTAGCATCTTGCCAATAAGACGCAATAATTCTCAAAAGTATTTGTAAGTAAAACAATTATTTGTTTAAGCTTTTTATGACTTTTTTCATGAAACTTTAAATTCACAATTTCAAAAGTATTTCATAATTCATAATTAATTTCTCAGTATCGAAATGGAAAACGACTTTGAGCTTGGAGATTTTAACCAAAGCCCGAAAAAGGGAATACGCCAAAGATACGTCCTTCCCACCGTCGAAGTGATCAATGAGCGACCATGGAGTCGTTTTTCTCGCTATGGTAACAAACCTCGGACTTTCTCCGCGTCTCCACCAACCTTTGACATGGAAAATGTGGCTTCAGCATCGCCCCCGGAACCAAAATTTAACCGACGAGGAGGAATTGCGTCACTTTTCCAATCCGATGTTGAGCACGTGAGAGTAGGACGCCGGCCTGATCCCCAAACTCGGGAGGAAATACGACCCGTGATAACACCCCTTGACGAGATGATATTTCGTCTCGAGCCAGATTTCGTAAGACATCGACAACTTCAAATGGATAATGAGACCGGAAATGATGACATGAATTGTTTCTATGTAGTATACTGAAGTTGTCGAACGATCACGTAATAATATTGGTAGCACTTCCGGTCATCAATTCTCTGCTCCAGTGGGGATGCAAGTGCAACCAGTTCCAGTTCAACGAAGCACATCTCAACCCATCAATCCTCGAAGTGAGAGCATTTATGATATATTTCCCTAAACAAGGGTAGAAAATTCAGTTTTAAATATTATATATATGTATGTAGCTGAGGAGAATTGATTGTTACGTTTTTATGCACCATAGTATTTGGCAATCAGTGTTTGCAAAATCACATCATTTCTTTGACTATATGGTAAAATGGAACAACTTTCTTTAGTTTAAAACTAGATTCGGATTCGGCATAAAATTCTGAGTTTGTTTTCATCTTTAGCAAATCGAATTTTAAATACAACTTTCTAAATATAAATCGGCTCAAGTCACACATCAAAATGATCAGAATTTTATGATCAATCCCAATATCAAGTTGGTATACAAACTAGTCCTAAAATGTATTTTAAAGAAAGTGTTCACTTTCTCCGAGTTACATATATTACAAATTACAGAAATCATAATTGGTGAAGACATCCAAGGCTTTAAAAATCACAGAAGTCACCTATGTAAATGACAAAGTGGGCGTACTCACGACAACGTCTTATTTCGCATCGCAACTCATTTAGCAAACTTGCGAAGATCAAAATATTTCTGTCGTGAGGGGATTTGCAAAATATGACTTCGCAAAACTCTCCAATCTCGCGAATCTACAGAAAAACACCCATTTTGGCATTGTTTCCATGGATTTCTGTAATTTCTCTTGCATAATTACTTTGCTAAATAATTTTGCGAAATAAGGACATGCTCAATTGCTGGGTAAATTTGCGAAAAAAATCCCATGGTTTTCAAGCAATTTTTTTGCGAAATCTCGCATATCTCGCAAAACTTCGCAAGTTATGTTGCTATGCTCAATTTGCGAAATATGCGAGATATGCTAAGGGTGACGTGAGTACGCTCACAAGTACGTTGTCAGTGTTATTATCCCAGTTGAAACCCTGCCGACAAAGTATTGCGGATTTTTATGGCATCTTTTCTGGAACTAATTTAGAATTTAATTTATCAAACTACAACCAAGATAATATTTTGACTCATTTGTCAAAGTCATACATTTCATTTTACATTTGATACCCAAATTAGACGGCAAGCCATTTTGTACTTACAGACTGTCAACATAACATAATTTATGCGTACAAATGTACATTTTATGTACATTCGTATGCATAACGAAAGGTTCTGACAGTTCTGATAAGCTCTAGATTGGTATGTGTACATATCTAAATTATAAAAATGACGTAGAAAACGGATGTACTGTAGGCTGAACGATTTTTTGCAACACTATCACACTATAAATATAATTTTGCTACCTACACTTTTGCATGCGTGCTCGAATGGTCAATTGTAATTATTCAATTATACTTTGGACGTTATAAAAATTCTAAAAAACTCTAGTTTTCCTTCTATGTATCTTATTAATCTAAATGAATAATTGGTAAACTTATGCAAATTGTTGTTCCTTTTGTGTAATATGTTCCATCCGGTTTAAGAGGTTTAAAGCTCAATTATAAGCTCGATATGAATTACAAAATTACTATAAAGTTAGGACAAACAGTAATAAAAAAATCTAGAAGGAAGTTGGTTTACAGTTAATAAATATGCAAATATATAGTTTCCCTCCTAAGCCTAAAAACTTGATAATATTCTCAGAAACTCCATAATGTTTGCCCTTGCAAATTTTCTATCTTTCTTTACTCACTGCATCCTAGAAATTACAAATTTCCAAGACATAACCAATCTTACCATCGTCACTTCTCCCGTCCTCCGAAAACAAATATCTTACAAAACTCATCCCCCTCCAAAACCTGACATGCGCAAAATGTTTTGTTTCATTCAAGTTCTCAACTTCCAAAATACCACTTTATTCCACAAATTCCTTGAAAATTCCCATCCTAACGAGCGAACTTCGGATTTTATCATTTTTACAAATCCTCTCACGCCTAATCTTGACAAACTTACAAAATATTTACTCACCAAATCCATCATAACTAAAGCAATTTTTCTGCATTTAGACCCCGACCATCACCTTAAAAAAATTCACATTTTAACCCCAAACTTGCAAAAATTTTCAGAACTAAAATGCCCGACTCCGACCTGTTTAGCCACAGAAATTCAAACCTATTGGTCAAATCTGCTCAAAGATATGAACGGATTTCAAGTCTATCTACACAGCAGCGATAGTCACGTCAATTTCGACTCTTCCCTCAGAAACTTTGGCGTAGCAAAATATTATTTCCACTACTGCACCAGTGACGAGGTCAGTCGTTACTCTTCCTATTACAAGACACGAGTCAATATTGTTTTCCCACCCAAATGGTGCATCCTGCTGGATTTCATCCTAAGAAAAAATCTCTCCTCGCCCCAGCAACGAAATGACAAACAAAGCCTAAAATTTGTCAATTTCGCCCCAACCAAAGATGTTCCAACGACCCGTCATATTCGTTTATTTCCTTTCGTACACTACGTTGGAGGCTTGTCGTACACAATTTTCGTAAATAAGAGCGAACTTGCATTAAACCTTTTTTTGACGGAGCCTTTCGATCAGTACACCTGGACCTTTCTAATCGTCTCAGGGATCCTTATGGCGCTTACCATGTCGATTATCGCCTCCCCTGAAAATCGGAAACTTTCCCTCTTTCCGTCCGCCCTTTTTTGGTGTGTCTCAACAATTCTTGAAAACTCGGTGCCTTCAATTGAGAAACAATTAAGGCGCACCCGCCAAGGGGGCTGGCTTATCGCCACCTGGTCCTTAATGATGATCATTATCACAAATACCTACTCTGATCTAGTTTACGTCTTTTTTATGTCCACTCCAACCCCGGTCGGCATTCCGGACACTTTTCCCGCTATTTTGCACCAATCTGATCTAGCCATTTATACTTTTACGCATTCCGCGGATTTCGCCGTGGGAGACAATCTCCTCCACGATGCAAATATTCCAAAGTCTAGAGTCAAAACGGTTGGCGGATATAAACACGATCTCGGCATGTTTAATAAACCCATTGTTGCCCTAAGTTATACTGGATCGGTTGGAGAGATCAAAATAGAAAGGAAATTTGTCGCCTTACTGAGAAATGAGGAATTGATCTACTTCGCGATCTTAATGAGAGGAACGAATAGATTTTTTGAAGTTAGAAATGCTGATTTCCGCCTGGTTAAACTAGCGTGGGGTTGGTACGCGTCAAACAATGTGGTTGGGGAGTCATTTGCAAAACATTTGCAGACCTTCCAGGATAATGGGATTTATTCGTGGTGGGGGATGAGGTATGATAGATTCTTTACGAGGGGGACTAAGCGAATTATTCGGGATGAGGTGAAAAACATTACTGGTGTTGACCATATTGTAGAAGAAACGACGAAACGTCGCCTCTCTCTGGACCAATTGAAGCCCTGCTTTTTAATGCTGTTTTTCAATTATTTCTTCTCTGGTGTTTCTCAGGTGTTTGAATATGTATGGCTTTTCAGTATTTCTAGACATTCTCAGTTCCCAACTGCATAAAAATAAATAGATGTGAAATGATCACTTTACATACATAGTATCTAATCTAATCTTAAGATGATATAAACTAGGGTCTATATGTAGCAATAACAGAGGTACTAATTTTCCTCTATGTACATATGTAAATACCTAAAGTATTTTTCGTAATGTCGAATGCCGTAATTTATAATTCAAGAAAGTTTGACATCCGAAATCTTGGAAATCTGAAGTTTTCATTTATACCTTTATCGAAACTTGGGATCACCTTTGCATCGGAATATCACAGGAGAAACATCTCACTCTTGGAAATTCTACACCGCACGTGTAAGAGTAAACACCTGTAATTGTATGTAAAGATACTTGGAAATCTTACATTTTCAGGATAGTAAAATTATTTACATTAAGTTGCACATTGTCATAAATTATTGTTTTCCTTGTAAATCGCAAATGTATTAATTGCTTTTTCATGCTTACACGTTTGTACATACATCGATAAATACAGACATAAATAGAGATTAATCACAATAAAGATGAAATATGCATACTCAGTAATTCTGTACGCTCTTGCTTATGTACGGACCTACAAAACATGAACTTTTCTGGTAACCAATAAACACAATTCTAGAAAATCTGGGGTCCTGAGTGTGCTAAATGCTTAATCTATTTACGTATGATCTCACATAAACAAGACATCGTCTCACTCACTTTATTGCCCAAATGAGACAGAATGTTTTCACTCGAGAATTCTCTCACTTGCAGATACGCTTCAATTTTATGACACACATCGATTACCGAAAATCAATACACTTAACGGCTCCTTTTATTGACCAGATAATCCTGTTTACACCTTAACATAGCTAGCACTTCGGGGAAACACAGTATATTAGTCACGTAGTCACTCGTACGTATATTGCACCCCCAAACAAAAATACGCTCTCAATATTCTGGCTAAACTCATGCATCTGTCGCCCATTATATAAATCAAAATCCAGACTCCAACGATTTCTTAGTCATAATTGTGGAACATAGATCCCCAGCTCGTACAAAAGTGAGTTGCCAAATAATATAAAAATGACTACTTCCACTCAAACCAGATTCCGTGTTACAAAAAATATTGCAATTCCCTTCACTCTCGAACAAAAGCAGTCACAACACGAATTACCAAACTTTGAAAACTTACCACTTTACGGAAAACTCTCCTGTGCCAGAATTCTACGCTCGTCACCGCTAACCAACACCACCACCCTCGTCGAAAGAAACGGCTTGGTCGACACGGTCCTGAAATGCTACAACCACCACAAAAACCTCATCCTCCGCCCGGACGACGTGTGGATCGCAATCATGACACAGTTTTCCTTCTACGTGAATAAGAATTCGGAAAATTTGCGCACCTCATTTGTCAACTTTAAGGGTAAGAAAACCCTCAAAGTCGACATGGGCGTCGCATCCATCGATACGATACGGTACGACGAATTTGTCAAGATCATGGGAAAAACGGTCGACCTAAATTTAACCGATAGCAAAATCAAGGACTGGATTTTACCCAATTTTTCCACCACGACGGAAAATGATGTCATCTCGTGTGGCGTCATTTTCATGGCGAGCATGCAAAAATATTTTGAATACATTTGTCAGTATACGCTGTGCGGTATTCCGGAAGTAATTTTGGAAGGAAGTGTCGCCGATTGGGTGAAAATTGATAAGCGGCTCGATAAGCTGAAGGAGTACGAGGGGTTAGAAAAGTGGGTGAAGAAGCTGAAGAAGATTCTCCGCCAATTTATTGCTGCAAAAGAAGGCAAAGCCAAGACAAGATGGTGGGGGAGGATTTGCAAGTATGAATATTATAATAAAGGGTGGGGGTCAGGATCGGTGACGAAAACGTTTCTGACGGGGTGGATAACAGCGTTCTGTTTCTTTGATGAGGATGGAAATTTGCAAAATTGTAAGTAATTTTTTCGCAATAAAATATGATTCAACGCCAAGCTTTTTGTAACTTCAGATAAGTTGCAAAATTTTATTATCTTTACAAAATGTAAACAAACCACTGATCTCCAATTCATTTTTTAGGTTATGAATTTGCCTTTGAGATTTTTATACACTTTTCAAATTAATTGTGCAACGTGAAAATCTTACGCTTATAAAAATTTTGCTACATATTTCATTACCTTGAAAATGATACACACGTCTTACGTATTTACTTTGTTTGTGCTTCTGAAAATATTTCTGACCTGTATAACATTTCAAAGTATAATCAGTTAAGTAAACCTCCGCATTAATTGAATTGATGTCTAGTACATGTGCGTGTGTAATTTATCCGCAGATAAGAAGTTAGAGATTCAGAACATTCCACTGAGCTATGTGAACGTGGAAGTTATCCTGGAAGAAAAAATTACCAAGAAGCGGGACCCCACGGTCATGTTTGCAGGACTGGTAGGGATGGAGTGGGAGGAGGATGGGGCAAGTTTAAGACCTTCGGTGGGGTGGGCCATTGCCTTACGACATCCCGATATGATGCTTGATTTTGGTCCAAATTAAATCAGTCCAAAAATTCGAAAAACATGTAATGGATTTGGCTTTATGCAACAACAAATTGGCGTGAAATTTATCATTTGTATTCATTACAATGAGTTGTTACATACCTACTATTACCTACTAGTTGTTGGTATTTGTAAGATGATATAAAACACGTTATTTCCCGAATCAATAATTTGATGAGCAATTGCTACGAATTGTAAGTAAGCAATGGGAACATACTTTAGCTGTTATATGGTAGTATGAAGTACTTAAGTAAGATAAGCTTATAACGATGCATTTAAATATATGCATGAATGGTAGAAATTTATAAGCTACGAGTATTAATTATTGAATTAAATACGGAATTGCTACTATGTACATACATAAGTTCATAAGTACAGGAGTTATGTTTTCATATGGCGACGAATAAATTTAACGAATCAATCCAAACTTTTTCCGTAAATTTTTTTATGCCTGATTTACTTTAGTTTAATTCCTTGTGAAATTGGCATATGTTTTAATACTAGCAAAAATTGCAGCATTTAAACCCCGTAATAAATTTTCGGATCAATGCGAAATGTATCGTGTATAAAATGTATAATGTTTAATTTGACAAACTAAATACAACTTCAAATTTGATACTTATACAGAAGCCTGAACAATTCCAAGCAGCATCTTAGCCTGATCTAGTAGAATTTGGGTTTGATTCAGTAGTAATCTAAGATTAATTGGATTCTCTGGTTCATGGGTGCTTGATTCAGTTGTTGATTCGGTCGTGGTTCCAATGGAGTTTGTCGTAGTTGGAGATTGTGTGGTATGTATTGTTGGGCTAATCGATGTTTCCTGGTTTTCCGTAGGAATTGGTGTGCTCCACGTGGCCGGCTGTCTAACAGTCATTTCCGATCCATCAAAGCAACTTTGCTTCCTACAAAAGGCGTTAGGACATGGTTTTGACGAATTCATACCTTAATTGCGGGATGGTTTTTAGTCGTAGAGATTTCTAACTTTTTTTATGTGAAAGCCCATGTCTCAAACTATAGGTAAGCATATCTGGCTTCCGATTTTGTGTACTCTGCGAAATGAGGCAAGGTCAAATTTGGAGAGGTGTCCTTTTTTAGTTTTCCAAACCAGTGTTCTTATAAAATGGCGTTGAACGAAAGATTTGTTTATTAGGTCCTGATGCAAAATTCGTCTTTGCGACTATTATCAAGGGACTTAGCATGTTTTTCACTATATAAAACCACTTTTATCTCATGCTTATCTTTTAAGTCCCTTTTGTAGTCTAGCTTCATACTTGTCCTAATGGAATACTCTCGTGAACGCAACTCCTCGACTTTTAAGGCCCCCACATTTTACGACTTTGATGCTAAAAATCCCTAACGTGGTTTTTATCCAAGGTACATATAGTATATTGCACTGTAAGTACTTTTGACACAATTTTGATAAGTGGTTAAACCCCACGGACTGAGTTTTCATCAGACCTTATAAATTTTTTGGAAAAGTTCCCGTCGTTTTCGATGTCGAACTTCAGAAATAATCTAACTAACCAAAACGCAATAATTTTATTATTTTGTCACTTGTACCTTGTAGATAAAATAGTTCTGCAGTAGGGGACACAAAAAGATTAGTAAAATTTATTTTCGAAAAAAATTGACCATTAATTTTCCAAATAAGTTCACGAGTTTTTAGGATTCCGCGACAGCTGATTAGCTAGGGTCGTTCTCCAGAACTGTTTACACAAAATCTTCACTGTTTAATTTAATATTATTTGGGACACTTAGAGCTTTGCCCTCAATCTTCATTTGACCGAGTGGGTCCGCTTTCAAGGTCAGCAGGTCAATTTTCCTGTGCACGGTCCGATTTATCAATTTTCATGAAAAAGTATCAGCGACGATGGAGGCCCAACGTTATGTAATTGATGTAGATTCTTTTATTATTACATGCAATGATTATCTAGGGTTGTAATATTAACAATCATTCACCTCTGACCTCATAGGTTATCATGCTATATGAGAAATTCAGTTTGGAAAGTGTTTTTTTGGCTCCTTCCAACTCTGGGGGCACTGGAGGGGGCATTTATAAAGCTATCGGCCTAAAATTTTAAATATATCTTTTTGAGAGTATTATCTTGCAACTGACCAAAAATCAGTTCAAAATTCAACTCCCCACCAGAGATATTCACCCGCGAATTCGTCAAAACCATGTCCTAACGCCTTTTGTATCCAATCGCAGACAGTCATCTACAGGAATTGAATACATACCGATCTGCACATTTCATGATTTAGATGGGTCTACGAAAATATCTCTCATATATGATCTTCTTGCCTGATATTATCAAGTCCAATATGTTGCAGTCCTGTAACATCGAGCAGTAGAACCTCTTATTTTATGTCCGTCAAAATATATTCACTTTTACATGCATACATTATAGACAATAATTACCTGGATAGCATAATTTAGAGCGCACATAAGCTGGTCGGCGACAACATCCTCAAAAGTTATGTTTCTTACACCAGCAGTGTCATCATATAGAAAAGTTTGAATGATGCTTGTGTAAATTGGATATACTTGTTTCCAGTTTTCTGGATACCGTTCCATTGATATATTACCAAAGTAGCTTGTCATTATATTTGTCATATTTGTAAATGTTGCACCATCCAGGTATGCGTTACGATCGCCGTGGGACATTTCAAATACTATATTAGACAGCGACATCGTCCCATCCATTGGTGCATTACCCCACACCGTAAGGCTTAATTTTGCATCTCTCACGTTCCATTGATATTCACCCGTCCCATACATCTCTCCCTCCCCAAGGTTCCACCAACCCCCAATATATGCTGTTTTCCTATTATAAAAAATTATGTTGGTATCGTAACTCCCCGTTATATTTAGGTATGGGAATGTAATATTATATGTGGCTAAAAATGCCCCGCTTTCGCCCAGGAATTGAGTGGAAATTGTCTTGACTCCATCGTTTAGCCCCACAATTTCGGAATTCCTATAAAAAAATGTCGGCAATGTAAATCTTAACTAGCATCTAGAGAACGAACAGATTCCACGTATGTATTTACCAAGCTTTAAAATTTCCAATAGCCCAGTCCGGCTGAGAACTTCTCCACCGCTAGTCTACATCAACGGCGGGAAGATCCACAGCAGTTTCCATAGCAAGTCGCGAAGCGAGGGTCCGAGTTCTATTCCAAGACATTCGCAGTTCCACTGGAACTTGAAAATATAATCCATCATCGGAGTCAAAGGTTTCCAAAAAATTGAAAGCCAAACTTTCAACTATATAATATTTACAAAGTTTGGATTATTAAAAGCAAATGGCTAGAAAAACATGTTTAACAAAGACTGACGTTACCTATGTCGTGTATATTTTCTCCGGACGACGAAGTATACTTAACATTTCCATGTGGAACATTACTTGAATCTTTAGATTTGGGGACACCAATTCCCACGGGAGTGTAAAACGTGCTAAGTGACATGTCAGGCCTGGTTTCGTCAAGAAAATGGAATTGAAAAATCCCGGTTCTCAGACATTCGATGCTAATCGCTTTGTTCACACAATCGGCTAAATGGAAGATTATTTTAAAATTACGTTTTGCGAGGCGCAAGTGGTATGTTTATTGTTTAATTACGTACTCGAAACTAGTAAATCCATAAGCGTGCAATCCTGTAATAGAGTGGAACGATATACTTATGTAGATATGCACGAAACTCCAACGCACGTAGAGTAGACGTGACCCAACTTGGGTTTTTGACTTTTTGTAGATTACAGATATGAAACAAAATTCCTAAAAGTACATATTAGAGTAACACTAAATCCATCTTTGAATTCAGCAAGAAATTTTCAGTATTTTCATTTACTCGAATTTTTGAGTCAAAAGTTTATGCTTAGCATGTAAACCAAACAGGAAACGAGAAATTACTTAAAAATTAAGGTCGTAAATATAGATGCTAAAAATTTCATACTGAATCCGAACATGTAATTTTCATTGATCTATCAATAAGTTGTAGTTTAGTGAAAATTGTTTCAGCTTTCTCCAAAATCTAACAAAGACCCCACAAAAACCCGCAAAATCCCTATTAACCTCCTAGTTACCAGTTATATCTCGGGAATATTCCGTTCCGTACCAATTACACACATTTGTGTAGCAAAATTATTTCCATTAGCTACCAATTACACACGAGATCGTTTTCCATTGCGTACCAGTTACACAAATATGTGTAATTATATCAGGGATTTTAAATATTCTGGTAGTCAACGGAAATCTATCAAGTTGTAATATGCGGGACAAGGTAAAATTTCCAACCATATTTTGGTAGCTAAGAAAAATAATTTTGCTACACAAATGTGTGTAATTAGTAGGCAAAGTAATATTCCGAAAAATAGTTTATGGTAGTCAAGTGATAAAAAATCGTTACACAAATGTGTGTAATTGGTAGCCAAGAGGTTAACCATTGGACTCCGGACATTTGATACCCCAACAAAGACCCAGGGTATCGTTCCCTGCAACCAAGTTGCTGACCACAATTGCAAGACCGTTGAGTCAGGCTTGTCACCGCATTTTTTAGGGTATACTTGTACACAGTATGTTAGTAATTATGTATATGCACCTTACCTCAAACGCATTTTGTAAAGAACATCTAAAAACTTCATTTGCAACGCTCTGAAAATCTAGAAAAAATGAGAATTCGTCCAGATTCCAAGAAAAGAATTTCGGTATGTCCGAAAATGCAGGAATGGTTCGGAACCAGGTTATAATATCCCCATTTCCCCAACCAGTCCAACTTTTTAAGGCTAGATTTGAAAACGCTGAAGTGGGATTGGTAAAATCGAAAGAAACGTTGACATTTGTTATGTTGACGGTCTCATCCAGACGGGCCCTGCCGTCCACTAGTAGAACAAATTCTACCAAACTGAAGGACGAGTTGTAGCTACCTGCACCCGAAATCTCCTGATCTGGTGTAGGAACAGCAAAGGGATAATTTGTAATGTTTGTTTCGTAATTTCCCGAAAATAATAGGGCCGGAATCTGAATCGAAAGTAAAGCTTGGAAATCTCCTTCTGCGTTCAAGAACTTTATAGAAAATTCGTCCTTCAGCTGAGACAAGCCGGAAAACATTCCTTGTCTAAAAACAAAAGAATTTGTAGTTGAATATATGATCATATTAGGTATATTGATATAAAGTATTAATAATAATGTAGGAACCATGTATGAATTTTATCTAAAGTTTCAAGAAAATTGCGTAGCACTGTAAAAATTTCAATCCGTTTAATTTTGCCAAATATCTGCATATACTAATTTCAAAACTAATAAACCGTTGCAAACGAAATGTAGCAATAGGGTGAAACCACATGAGATAACTTTTTATAAGAGAAATATTTTACGTAAATACCATCCCCACGGTCATCGTACGTCAAAACCATGTCGATTTTTGAAATCCCCGCCCCAAAATACGTCTAGAACGTTTGAAAAGACAAAATTCGACATTTTTTGTCCGTCTACACGGTCACACGGTCATCGCACGTCAAAACCATGTCGATTTTTGAAATCCCCGCCCAAAAATACGTCTAAAACGGTCGAAACGACAAATTTCGACATTTTCGACATTTTTTGTCGTCTACACGGTCACACGATCATCGCACGTCAAAACCATGTCGATTTTTGAAATCCCCACCCCAAAATACGTCTAAAACGGTCGAAACGACAAATTTCGACATTTTCGACATTTTTTGTCGTCTACACGGTCACACGGTCATCGCACGTCAAAATTATGTCGATTTTTGAAATCCCCGCCCCAAAATACGTCTAAAACGGTCGAAACAAAAAATTCGACATCTTTGAACGTTGGCGTTGTCGCCGTGGCGACGTGACCTTACGACCTACAATGCCCATCTTCGAACTTGTCCGTACTTTTAAAATTAGAAACACGATGGCGAAAACCGCATATCGAAATTCGAATCCGTTCAATAGTTAGAGCACGAACGGACAGACAGACGGACGGACAAGGCACATCCATAATAGGGTTTCACCCTATAATAATAATGATTTTACTAAAAGCTAGATATACATGAATAAACTTGTTAACATTTTTTAGCAATTTGTGCACAAGAAACTATACCAGCCGAGCATCTCAACTTCGCAATAAACCTAACATCGCGACTGATATAGCTATATAAATATACTTTTCAGGTATATTCGTCTTACCGGCTCTCAATAAATCCGAACATCTCATCAGTGAGCCAACTTGCTATGTAGTCGTACTCCAGATTAAAGTGAAAGTCAAATCTTAACGACGGAATTGGCAACGTATCTTCAATATTTGACAAAATCGATTGTTTGGGGTCGTTTTCGGTACCACTGGAAGGAAACCCGGTCATGCCAGCGATTAATTGAAATTGGTTGTAACTAGTTGATATGACGTTCTGCATGCTGACAAGGGGTGCTGAAAATAAATATTTTAATGTACAGATACATTTCGTAGTACTCTATGTGATTCTTACTTACAAAATACGTCACGGGCTGTGGAGAATTGAGACCCTGAACCCCAGGCAATCTGAAACCTTGCAATCATCAGAATGCAAGTTGTAATTGTAAAATATAGCTTCCTCATTTTGCTTTTTTCTAATGGGTTCAACTCTAAGAATATCATGATTACCCCATTGGACTTATTTTAATTTATATTAAATAATTTCATGCAGTTTTCCTTGTTGCATAAATTGATCTGCACAATAAGTTGATTGCATCACGCGGTTATTTGTTTATCCAGGAGATACCGAGAAGTTATCTTAATTGGAAATTTCCAGAACGCAATTTAATTCGCACATGACTCTGCAACCCCACCGGACACCAGTTCAATTATTAAGTCGGGAAATTAGCTTCATGTCTTTGCCCTGTCCGTCTGGTTCTGATTGAAGCTCTCAAACATGATGGAGCCATGGAGTTAGTGCCATTCGACAACATATCAGGGAGCTAGATGCAAGTTTGTTTTTAACCCCTGCGACAATTTCACGAGGAGGTTAAAAAGGAATTCAACCAATCATTTTGAATTTCAAGGTCGGTTTGAAGTCATATAACGGTCAAATGTCAAGATCATCCAAGCATAACATGTCGGGTATCTGTTTGAAGATATTTTAAAATGGAGCAAAATGCCACTAACAACAGACGCAAGATTTTGGTTTCGCCACTTTGTAACATTCTGTTTCACAAGGGTTTATTTATTTTTCTAAAATACAATTAACTAACTATGTTTGGCTGTCAAAATGACAGCTGAATATGCATCGAGGGTGTCAATCATTTCGTCAAGTTATGAACCGTAATTAATGATTACATTAGACTAAACTGAGCCAACTAAAACAATTAAATATACAAGTGTGTGATGTTTTTACTCACATGCATCAATCAAGTCTTTTAATTCGTACAATATACAGTAGCAGGTAACACGAAAACAAATTTATAACTAGTTGAACCTCGCATAAAGCATTACGACCAGTACTCGCTTGCAGAGATTGATATTCAGGAAAAATTAAAAATCAAATTTAAATTTAGCTCTTATTTTTTTCCGGCAACATTTTTATTTGGTGGAATGGGAATTGATGGCAATCTATTTTGATAAATTAATGCACGTTTATAACAAATTTCAAATGTCTAGGGTGTAATATCGGTTGGAAGTGCATCTTTAAATATTGCATATAAATACTTTTGACAACTAAAACTACGAGTTCGACCGTATGGATAGTTTCAGAATCTGGACAAATTATGTATTAGACATTTAACTACATATTTGCATTATTAAACAGGCCATGCAAGATAGCATAAATCTGGTGTTCCATAATTTTAAAACCCGTGATACACAATAAAATTATTATTTATCACTAGTAACTAGTGCATATGAGAATTATTTATTTAATTGTACCCTTTTTAATCCGATACATTTCCAGCTTGAACTTTTATCTATGTATGTAGGTATTAAATTAAGCTTGCAGACTTTTCGTGAATTTTTATTACTAAAACGACCCGTAAAAATAAATCAGGTTGAAGCAAACGCATTGCATTATGCGATGTGATACTGAATTGTTGGAAAGAAGAAGATCAACTAATTCTTTACACTCTTACTATTTATGTCGGATTATAAATACTAAACATTATTTCGGGTCGACTTAGGGCGTAATTTTGTAGTAGACTTTAGTGGGCAATGACTGGCAGCCAGTAGGATAATTAAGATTAATTGTAAGTGACGATTGCCTATATATGTAAATAGACTTGAGAAAGGTTACATATTAAAATAAGAATTCTTAGGAATAAAAGATGGTTCTGGAATTCACTAACTACGAGTTTTTTTAAGGTACAAAAACCAGTTACATAATTTAGAGTGATACATATGTACAAGTTTTCTCGTACTGAGAATACTTATATTTGGTGACAATTAAATATGCTTAATTCAAACTTAAATAATACGTATTCAACAAAGTAAAATAATAATGCCTACATACATACTTATTTACTCAGTGAAAATTCATTTGAGAAGATATAATTATGTATACTATTATTTACCTGACTGAACATTGTGTAGAAAAATTATACGTTTGGACGCATACATATGTACTTGGGTCTGGGTTTTTATTTTCATACGTAAGTATTTTATAGACCATTATATTTATGGTTTTCCTACATACATACATACACTTAAATAAGTGAAGCAGGTAAATATGCATGGCATAGCACAGATACAAATGTATAATCAAGGGCTGTATAGTGTTTATGTAAATATTATTCTTTTCTTAAATGTATGCCAAACAAATGGGTCTAAACGTCTCTCCTCGAGTGGCAATTTGATACAATGAACCTACCAATTTAATGTACAACTATTGAACTAATAAACAAAGTTTAAACTTGTAGCTGTCAAAGTTTATGTATGTATTTGTGTCTCATGATCAGTAATTTGTGTGCATGCAACTTCTTAAGGGTTTGGGGACGCATGAATAAACATGTGGAGATTTTCACTTTCCTTGCTTATTTTCTTAGTTGAAGGAACTTTAATAAAAAATATCCCCGAATTACATCGTACCTTAAACATTATCTCGGAATTTAACAATTCCAATTTAGAAAAAACGTTACAATTAAATCAAATAATTTCATTGTCTCAAATTCCCCTAGTTCTTGAGAACATTCCAGATTGGAACGTATCAAGAAGTGTGTACTCATTTGATACTTTAACCGTTTCACCTCCTTCCTTGCACTTATCGAATACCTCCCTGATTCCAAAACTTTCAAAAACAAATATCCTTCTTCTTCTCGGATTTATTCCAAATAATTCTCAAACCGAGGCAGCAGATCGTGCATTAATAGCTCACCAAATTACAATGTCGATTATGGAAGTAGTGCAAGTGCTCTCGGTGACGAATCAAAACCCAGACTACATTTTCATTCAGTTTAACTTCCACAATGCGTCAATTGCTAATGAATATCTCACCGAGACAACAATAACTTCAAAGGTTTTCATTATTTTCAGTAGTGACATGGACATGACGAATCCCACACAAAAGATATTTGTCTTATGTTTCCCCTGTGAAAAAACTAAGGCGTTCGAAATAACCGAATTATTGCATAACGACACTACGACAGAACTTCAAATCCTAGTGCTAAACACAACCTTCCTCGATACAATATGGCAAAAAGTTAACCATGCCGATCTTCAAAACACGTTTATTCTCCAAGGCCCAGAAGAAGTTGCACCCATCGGAAAAATCAATCCTAATTGGTGCAGCGCAACATTTGGACGCTTTCTACTATCAAAAGCTTCCTGTGTTTCATTCGTTATTTCGAGAAAGCACAATTTTTCCTATCTTCTAGAAAGAGGGAAAACTATTCCGAACACGAGGATAATTGCGGGTCTACCATTTCATGGAGAAGTAGCGGATAAGGAACTTATCGATTCCATAATCTCCAGCCGATACCGAAATCCGTATCAGTACGTCGTGTACACTGAAGCACTTTGGCAACTTCCCTTCACGTACGTCATCGTCTCAGAAAGTGCGAGAATGAACGACATGTACAGTTTGGTCATGCCTTTTGACAAATTTATTTGGATGGCAAATATCTCCTCGTTATTTTTAGTCGTGATAACATTTACCACATTAACGAATGGTAGCGTTAACGTTAAAAAGAACAAAGTTTTTAAAAACATTACATCCAAACTTTTTTGGACGTTGAGATCGCTTTTTGCCCAACCGAGTACCAATGTTAAACGAGAATTCGACAATCTGTTCAAATTTTCCCCTTGGATCGTTTCATGGTACTTTGTCGCCTTCATACTAGGAATTACGTATCAAGGATCACTTTCGTCTTGTCTGACGGCACAAATTTTGCCAAATGTGCCAAAAACTTTGGAAGAATTGGTTGCATCAACTATTCCAATAATCACCACGACGGCAGGAGGAATTGGAGACAAGCGAATTTCTGTTTTAAAAGAGACTATTAACGATATCAAAATCTACCACAAAAATGGTGACGATCCATTTTTAAATTCTATTTTACGACTGTATAACTCAACAATATTCGTGGACGGAGATGGCATCAATATTTCGTACAATATTTCAACCAGGAAATCCATCGGTGCTGGAGAAAGTGCAACTTTTGTTCTAAAATCTGGCTTATTTGCTGTAATGGACCTTGGCAAAGAACTCGAAACCCTGTTGGAAGGGCTATCTCTGTTGTTACCGAGTTTGGTTGTAATTCGAAATCATGAAATGGCCAAGTTTATAATACGAGTACCGTGGTATGGTCACCGTAATTTTTTGTACCCTCTCTTCTCCCGAGGTCTCGGACAGTTGGAACAGTCCGGGATTTATGAGAGGTGGCAAGTTCTTCAAGATATTAAGGAACGACTGAAAACGTCGAAACGTGCCGTAAGCAGGGAGCAATATCGGGCAATGTTGGTCAAATCTGTTACAAAAGTTAGAGCCGAAGTAAAGTTTGCGGAAGCGGATCCAGTTTCTGTGGAAGTGTTGAAATATGTTTTTATATTGTGTGTCTCATTATCTGGGGGAGGATTGGTTGCATTTTTTAGTGAAATTGTTCCCAAATCCTGGTTGAATTGGAGATTAACGTCGTTAAGTAGGGATAAACACAAATTTTACGTCAAGAAGAATCATATTATTGTCTGGTAAATTTTGTAAGCCTAAAATAGGTAATAATTAATTTACATTCTTACATGTAATAAATTTACATTTAAGCAGAAATCAAAGTTAAATAAATAATTTTTGCGGTTACATATACCAACTCCATGACTTTATTCCAGAGCTTACATATCTTGTACAAATAAGTTTAAACAGCGTAATCATGAGCAGCATTAATTTTACAAATTTCCACATGCGTAAAATGTATCCCTACTCGCCAAGATTATCGGGCCGAAGAATATTCTAGAGTGGCAAGGGTGGTCAATGGTAGGCCGACTTTGCCAACCATTCCCCACTTGAATAATTTAAAAATTCGGTACCCCAAGAAACTACATATCCTCACCCCGAAAGTGGGAAAACGTTGGCAAAAGCATATTTAAAATGCATTTAATAATAAATGTCGGCACGAAGTCGGGCCTTTAGTGGCCAATTATTCCATGCGACGCCACCTATCGTCCGCAGCGTAGAATACAAACTTAAATCGATTTTCAGCACGAGATTCTGGCAGCATGGCTAAAATCACTCTTCCCCCGAAAGATAAATTCGCAGTTGTCGAATTTATTAAGGATGATAATTCTGTATCTATTGTGTCTACAAATTGGTTCATTGACACATCAATAGTCCACTGGCCATCATCACCCAACGTCACATCTATGGTTAAAAAACACAAGGCACCGGAAGAAAATTGGGGTCGACATTCTTGCAAAATTTTGAAAGTTAAAGGTAACTAGATAAATCAATAATTAGTTCAAATATTTGTGCACATTACATAATTACTTTTTTGCTTATTCTAGATACTTTTGAGGATGCGATTATCGTACTTCGATTAGCCGAAAAGTCAAACCAGTCAACATTTGAAACTACTGTGGATGATGAGGAAAGTCATCTTCCTAGACGACGGAAGCGAAATAAGCCAAAGAAGAAGAAAAAATCGTCAACATCTTCATCGTCACCATGCAAGGATTCAGTAGACGGGAGTGATATCGAGGTTCCCACGAAATCATTTACTCTACCCCCCACTTCCAAATCAAAACCAGACGTACTAAATTATTCAAGTGATTCCGAGCACAACGAACCTGCCAACCAATGAAAAGACTAGCGTTTGTGCTGGTAAATACTTAATATAAAATTCATATTTTTAATTGCCGGTTATTATTTTACTTATTTGGTGATACGTTTAATTTTATAATTTTAGTGGGTCCAAATAATAGCCCTATCACATCTGGCCCAAAATTAGTTCTGGTTGATCCTGTAGCACTGACTTCAAAACCTGATGAAAGTGATTCTTCTCGAAGTGTTAGCAATCTACCTGGATACAGTGGGACGGCAGTTGGCAGAAATATTACTCGTAAAAATTTAAACCCATTTAAACATTTTACATGTTTACACTTTTTGTACAATTTTATTGTGTAACTTGCATACATTTATACACAGAATTTGAGAAAATTGTCCTTGAACGGTTGACTAAATTGGAGCAACTCGTCACAGAACTTCTACGACGATCTGGCGGAATTAACATATCAATTCCTTCAAAAATAAAACTGCACAAAATACCTGTGGAGACGGTGGACGAGTTTCAGTCACTCAATGCATGGATAAAGGCGGTGCCAGAGAATCGTGATTGTTTGGTTAGGGTTCAAAATTAAATAAATTATTAAATTATTTAAACCGAACGTCATATATTTATATATATTCACTTTTCAGGTCACCAAGTTGTCTTTAATGGGTGCAAATAGACTGTCCGGTGTCGTTAGCAAAATTTTAGGTAAGGTTTTTGCAAATAATCTTGCGAAAATCACTACTATTACCGGAGCAGGGAAAGATATTGAAGTTGCTTTAAAGGATGCGCCAATTTACCAAGTTATAAGAGGTAAAATAGACAAGTTCAAAACAAGTTAATACAGATTGAAGTGTATTTAAAGATTTGTTTACTTTAGAATCGGTGAGGTTAACTAAGGGCTACAGTTCATCGACGGACCACGAAATTGGAAATTCCGTTGCCGTTTGGTTGAAAGGTGCTGACGATAGAGACGGCGGACGAGAAGTGAGACGAAAAAATGCTCACGTCAAATCGAACAAAAAGAAGACGACGAAAGGAGGAAGTAACATCTCTTCTCCATAATATCGATTGTTCCACTGCATCAACAATTCCAATGTCCACATCGTATCTGACAGGCGAATCAGTGTTAGAATCTCCTATAGTTGGTTTTGGATCTAATAATTTAGAACAGTCACCGAGATCAGAGAGTAACAGTTTTAGCTTTACCAGTTCTGATAATCAAAATGACTCCCTCAATTTAGAGCAGCCAGTATTTTCTCAAAAGATTAGGGAATGGGCTTTGTCTCATAATATTACGCATGTCGCCTTAAAGGACCTTTTACATATATTAACTGAAAATTCCAACTTAGATGTACCCCTTGACCCTCGCACATTATTAGAAACTCCTCGAGTAGTTAAAACTCTTTTTATTTCTGGTGGGGAGTTTGTATACTTTGGAATAGAAAATAATTTGAGAAGATTAATTACAAATTTTGCTGAAATTGTGCAGCCAAAGTCGACAATATTTATCAAATTATTTCAAAGTTTTGGTGATAATCTGGTAACAATATGTGTAGGTGTTGATGGAGTTCCATTGAGCAGAAGCACAAGGTCACAATTTTGGCCAATACTTGGTAAAATTGATCAACTAAAAAATCATTCAGTTTTTGTAATAGGTCTTTTTTATGGCGTCCAAAAGCCGCTTAATTTAGATTTTCTAAATGATTTTGTAAACGAAGCAATAATATTAGAGAAAGATGGGCTAAATCATTTAGGTAAAAAATTTCATTTTAGAGTTTCAAGTATTATTGCGGATGCTCCAGCTAGGAGTTTTATTAAAGGAATTAAAAATCACAATAGTTATTCAGGGTGCGAGAAATGTGTTCAACATGGTGAATTTGGGAAAAGTGTGATTTATACAGAATTAGACTCAGCTTCTCGTACAGATGAATCATTTCGTACACAATTGCACGACCATCACCATAAATTTTTTACCCCTTTATCAAAATTAAAAATAGGTTTAGTGACATAGGTTCCCTACGATTATATGCACATGTGCTGCCTAGGTATCATGCGTAAGCTCCTTCGGCAATGGACTAAAGGGAAATTGCCCCATAGGATGCAAAGTAAAATTATAAACCAAATTTCTGATAGATTTGCAAGTTTTAAAACTTTCATGCCACGTGATTTTCAGCGAAAACCACGAAGTCTAAATGAAGTAGACAATTTTAAGGCAACCGAGTTTAGGACAATCATGCTATACACAGGGCCTGTAGCACTAAAAAATATCCTTCCTACGGAGTATTATAATCATTTCCTCTATTTCCATTGTGCCATGTTCATTCTTTTGTCAGCCAATGCTGATGATCCTGAGTGGAATGCTTTAGCCAAACGATTGTTAGTAAGTTTTGTATCACAATCAAAAGTAGTTTATGACGTAAATTTTATGGTTTATAACGTACACGGATTGCTACATATTAATGAAGATGCTATAAACTTCGGGCGATTGAACAATATTAGTGCGTTTGACTTTGAAAATTTTATGCAGCAACTAAAGAAAATGACCAGGGCAAAAACGTTTTATCTACAACAGGTTGCAAAAAGAATAGTAGAAAATGAAAAATGTAACGGACTTAAAATAAATTTATCCGAAAAATGCGTTGATGATAAGACAAAATTATTACATAACGGTTACTCTTTGATCTCTGGTGAAATTATTATAGTTCGTAGAATTAAGCTAAATAAATGTAATAATATTAAAATAGTTGAATATGACACATTTATCAACAAAAATCCATTGTATGAAAAGCCTATAAATAGTTGTGTATTGGGAATTTTTGTTCTAGAAAATTCTATAAAGAAATCTTGTGAACTGAATTGTTTAGAAATTGCGCATAGATGCATTATGTTACCTTTTAAAGACAATTTTGTTTGTTTTCCACTCTTACATGATATTAAATAAAGAATAAAATAAATTCTGAGTGCGAAATTGGAGTGTTTTGGAAATGATTGGGGAATGGTAGGGACAGTGGCAAGTGATCAGAAACATGTTGGGGGACTGGTGGCTCGCGGTTGGGAAAATTTTTACACACTGTCGGGCCGATAGTTTTTGGCCACCAACGGCCCATCTTCAAACGCGTGGCCAGGATCGTACCTCAGGCCAACGTCGCTGGCCACTCGAAAATATCCTGAGGCCCGATATTATTGGCGACTAGGGGTGTTACCACTTCGGGCAATGGGAACCAAAATTTGCCATCATTATCAAACCTCAATTTCAAGTCAAGCTTCGTTTCCTCATCGACAAGCTCCCAAACGGGGTGGCTGAATAAAATTCAATTTTCTGTCAAAATTCGTTATCCACTAATAAAATTAGTTAATATGCTTACTTATCAGAAAATTGTCCTTCCCATTCAACCTCATTTCCCCAGGGATTTCGAATCCGTATACAAGCAGTTTCCTGTCCATTTTTGAATTCAATTGTTTCACAACTTGTTATGGAATATGCATGCCCGCCAATAATCCCAAGAGACTACAAAAATTAATAGTACTGCAATTAATAAAACGATTTTCTTCGAAATTATGAAAAATTGTAGAAATTATATAATCCTCTATTACACGATCCATCATGGTACAGGCACAACCAACCATTTCTCCAGTTGATAGGGCAGACGAAATCAGTTCATAAAGTTTGTCAAGATCTTGCTTAAATTCCTGGACATAGTGACGCTCTACTTTTCCTCCAGTCAGATTCAGCATGGCCGGACCAATGCCGTCATTTCCATCCAAATTTGCATACGATCCATAAAGTCTGTCGTAAATACATACAAATCTTCTCAGTGGCCGCGAATACAGTGGGGACATTTTGGGACACTATGTAACATTGTAAGATAGGGGAGGGAAGGGTTTAATAACATGGGTAAATGAGGGGGCATCGAATAACTGTGGCGACATTGCCCCTACGCTTCCGCGGCTACTGATTGTTCTCACTAATGCAATAATAAATTGTAGGAATACATAGCTATTTATTTACTTTGCCAACGCTTTCTCTATGAGAGCACTCCAAAATTCTGTCGGGTCGGTGCTATGCATGTAAATCAATTTTCCATTTCTGGTCGGTAGCCTATCGTCAATTATCACATTTTCCCATATTCCATCCTTGAAGAAGCTGTGAAATAAATTCATGTCAAGATTTTATTGCTTCTTTACGGAATACGGAATAGTGAAGAAATAGAATTTCATCAGTACTTGAAGTGACAAACTCCGGCGTAATCACTGCTTCCAGTCCACTCATTGTTAGATGGAATAACTCTGGCAAATAATTTTTTCATTCAGTGTGAGGTTTGCTAGTGCAGCCAGAAACCAGCAGTCGCCTACATAAAGTCAGAAATTACATACAAATACAAATTTTCGAACCTTCATCGTTTGAAAACTGAACAGCTTAAAATAAAAATAAAATTAACCGAGTTCGCCTTGCTTCACATCGAACCGAGCCACACCATCCGTGAAGAATTTAGCTTCTGCATTAATCTCCTAAAGTTTGTCAGTGTCCAATCGTCAGTAAAGCTGTTATCTTATTTATTTTTAAAAATTAAATGCTCCATTGTCAACACGTACATGAGGACGCTTCCATTCAACTTGTAATCGTTCTCCTAACGAATCCATATTAGCTGGAAATTCCTCATCTTCAAATAATTCTCGTTTGGCCAGTTGATCTGCTTTCACCACTTCGAATCGACTACATCCTCCAATATGACCCTTAGCATGAAGATTCAAAAAATCACTTTACCATCATTCAGTCGATTGGTTGACGATTGATTTGATCACAAATACGACTAGGGATGAAAATCAATATTCATGCAACCAATACCAACCTGCCTATTAATGGATGCTTCTGAGGGAACGTAACCATTTTCCTTGTCCATAGGTACGTACAAATTAGACGTCATGGGCGTGACTTTTGCCACGTATTTTGCCGGCAATTCTGCCAATAATTGATCTAATTTTGGATACAATGGTTGATATTCTTCTGGGTCATTCTTCTTGTCTGGAGCTGATTTATTTACAGACTTCAAACGGATCTGGGGCTCTAAGGCGGCTACAAAACGCAAATTTATTCCTTGTAATAATGCATCAATTTAATAATTTAGCGAAATGTCCATCAAGAGCTAACCCATTTCCACATCTTTGTCATTATCTGGACTTTCTATCTTCCATTGTTTCACCACTTTTTTTGTGCTTTTATTCATACGATTGTGATTAAACACAATGAGGGTATTCATTTCGAGTTCGCATCGTTGGCAACGTTCGCAAAAAAATAAAGTTCGCAAGTTCGCAAAACAATTTGGCTTGAAAATTGATTTGCGAACTTGCGCATCTCCAAGGCTAGTATTTAGTTCGCAAAATATTTTTCACAAATTTCGCAATGGGAAAAGTCCATAAATCTCCATTAGTTACCAAAGTTGTGCCATTCAAATTTTTGAATTTTCTTATTTGGTAAATTTCAGATGCAAAATTTCGGTAACTAATGGAAATTAACGTATTTTTCCCATTGCAAAATTCGAGACATTTTAATAAAATTTTACGAACTTTTTCATTTGCGAAGTGTCTTCACTTCGTTGCTTCGCAAAATTCGCAATGTCGAAAAAGTTATGTTGCGATGCGAACATGCGAACTCGTAATGAATACCCACAATGTGTCGTCGAGAAATCAGAATAATTATTTTTAAACAAATAGATGACCTCTTCGTGATAATGACAATTTACATGATATAATAATATGATTTTATGTATTGATTTGAGACTGGTTCCACGTAGGGAAATTTGAACGGGGCTCCAGTATGTCTCGAGATAATTGGAGTTTTGTCCAATTTTATCTCCTCTCTTTGTATTTTTATTTAAAGTTTGACCTCTCCTCTCCTCCTCTTTTAATTAAATTAAATTTCAAGGTGTTCTTTTGTGATTGGTGGAGAGGAGGAGAAGAGGGTGGCCCCTTTTGTAAAAGTAGCGTTCTTTTTGTGTGATATTCCTGCACAATTGTGAAAATTAAACAGTGTCTCTTCAACCTGCAGAACAATAACACGTATTTTGTCCCTCGTCTCTCTGTAACACTCAAAATTTGTAACATTGGCTATTTTGTGTAAAATAAATGACACCGACAAAGTAATTGATTGTGACCACACCGCCGCCTCATTTACGCCTACACGGTCACATTTCGCCATCGCCATTTACACATTAGTCACACAAACACACAAATACAAAGTTCTCTTGAATCCGAAACACAATGCAAAAGGAGAGAATTTGGTAGATGAGTAATCCAATGGTCACTTTATTTAGGAGTAATAGATTGAAAATGATGTATTTGGGGGCTTCCTCTTCCCCGGCCCCCACGAGTAGGTTGACTTTCTTGTCATAATCTTCAATTAGAAGCAGAGGAAAAACCAGTCCAGCAATTTCACCGGCAAGGAAAAGCAAGAAAACTAAGAATTTCCATGGTAACGAAACAACGATTTTCTAAAAGGATTGCGAAATTGAGTCAAAATTAGCTAGCATGAAATACTTAATTAAATGTAAGGAAAAAGTACACATCGTAATAAATCCACGAATTGATTAAATGACTTAATAGTCCCATGATCGCGATTAGTGAAATCGATGTCACTCCCCATATAACAACTTCGTATGACAAGTTGTGTGCATCTAATATTAAAGATTTACATAATTAGCCCCCAGCTACACACCTACTTGCGTAATTACTTTATCAGATAAATATTCCGCATCCCAAGAATTACATGAAATTCTTACCCAATATTTCTGTTATTATGGAAAACTGCTTGATCGTATAGAAGATGAAGCCAAGCGTTATTAGACCCAGGATCTATATATGCACATATGTACATACATTGTACCCATTGCGTATATCACAAATTGCAAAATGGGGTAAATTGTATGGAATCAGTTGACTATACGACTTTGAAAAATGGGAAAAATAAGAATAAAAAGCGGAAATATTTATCGTACTTACATTGTCCATAAATGCAATCAGCCCCGTTAGCAGGAACGATAGTAAAAGAAAATCCATTGGGCTTCGAGTTGATTGACGATTCCTAAGATTTTTAGGTTCCTTACATACATACGTATGTATGTATTTATATTATGCTAATTTTTTAGCCAGATTTTTTTTTCCTCTAAAGATCATAGAGTGTTATCTTTCATGGACCTCGGCCTTCTGGAAAAAGCTGGACGCTGCTAGCCGAAAAGGTGTCACATGTACATAATATTTTTTTAAATAACAAGCCACATAAAATTGCGTATGAACAACTTCAGTAAAAATTAACAACTGCGTTTTTTACTGTGTTTAAATGCGACAAAGGTATGGTCAACAAGTCGTAATTGATTATGAAATGCAGGAAAAGATAACATCGATTTTACTGAGAAGATTCCTGTTCGTGTACCACAAGCCCGTGTATCTTAGTATCTGCATACATACATGCACAAATAAATGAGACATGCAAATGTGACATTTATGTATATGCACTTCAACACATGTGAATCTACATAGGTATGTACCGACAAATAGAGATATGTGGCCAACCAGGGGTTCAAGTAGGTATGTACAATTATATGGCAATTGCCAACTCTTTAAATGAGGGGCTGTTAGGACAGGGTACGCTACTTCGGGTATTTGTGGGCTCGGGTTTTTGTGTACAATTGGGGTGTAAAATCTCGGAAAACCCCCAATCAATCTGGTTCAAGTGCCGGGGGCTTGGAACTTAGGACAGGGGAAACGTCACCCAAAAGTTCCTATCCTCTGGACATTTTAGTTATGCAAGTTACAGGGAAACAGAACCCACTTGTCGCAGGATTTAGCGGGCTTCGATTCCCCGGTACCCTCTTACACAAAAGTTACCATTCCCCGGAACCCAAGATTTTTCTTCGATTTTTCGTAAATTGGATATATTTCGCGAAAAATTTGTATTAGTTCAAATTAACCTCCCACAAATGAGAAACATTGGTTAAAAAGATTAGAATTTTTTATAGTCGCGCAGGTTCCTAAAATCACAAATTTCTGATAAATTTGAGGAGAGGCAAGCCCAAAAAGGTACGGGGAATCGTCACCCAACAAGTATTTATATAAGCAAAAAATAGTTGGGTGACGATTCCCCGTACCTTTTTGGGCTTGCCGCTCCTCAAATTTATCAGAAATTTGTGATTTTAGGAACCTGCGCGACTTTAAAAAATTCTAATTTTTTTATCCAATGTTCCTGATTTGTGGGAGGTTAATTTGAGACAATAAATTTTTTTCCCCGAAATACATCCAATTTATGAAAAATCGAAGAAAAATCTTGGGTTCCGGGGAATGGTAACTTTTGTGTAAGAGGGTACCGGGGAATCGAAGCCCGATAAATCCTGCGACAAGTGGGTTCTGTTTCGGAACTTTTGGGTGACGTTTCCCCTGTCCTAAGTTCCAAGCCCCCGGCACTTGAACCAGACTGCCAATGCTAAATTGAGTTTTGTGGATTCTTCTGGTTTTTTAGTAGGATTTTTCTTAGTGAGGCAAATACCTGACAACGAAAAAAAATTGCTAAGTATGCATTTACCCCACCCAAAAAAAGTGACATAAATCGATTTCTCGGCCATTTCTCAACCGATTTTGATAAAATTTTGCACAGATCATTTTTAGGTAATTTAGAAAGGATGTGCTAGTCGACTTGGCGAATTTTTGATTTTTACCCAAGTTATGTGCCAAAATGTGCAAAAATGTTCCCCTGAAAACATATTTATTTTTATGATTCATAAGTGGTGTATCTCATGCTCGCTTATTGAAAATACTTTAGTCAAAGTCATTCCGGACATTTTAAGCGCAAAATGACCTAAATCGGTTGAGAAATAACGGTGTTATTCAAGTTTGAAAATCAAAAATTTAATAAAAATATTCAGGGTGCCGATAATAACGGCGGTTGTGCAGTAAAAAGAATGTCATTGACAACCAATTACAAGTTTTAAATAAACAAGGCCCCAAAAAATGGGAAATCTTAGTGAGTCAGCACAATCACAGTTAATAAATAAAATTAGATTGAATAACTTTTGCATCACCGCTCTCGGGATATTTTTTACTGGGTCCACTGTAAATTTAGTTTTGCATACGCATGAACTCTTGCATTCATTAAATTAATTGAGATTACAAGATGGCGTTTTTACTATTGAACGAAAAGTTAACTAAATTAATCGATATGAAATATAATTGTGAACTGCGAATTTTAAATTTAGAAAGAGTTGAAAGTCTACAATTTCGATATATAAATTTGGAGATCCTATTAATTCCTATTCTGATGAAATCTCCAGACCCTTTGAGGGTGGGGGCAATTATTCTAAATGATTAATTAATGCTTCCAGGAAAAATTATACCGAGAGCGGTGATGAAAAAATTATTCAATCTAATTTTATTTATTAACTGTGATTGCACTGACTCACTAAGATTTCCCATTTTTTGGGGCCTTGTTTATTTGTTTACGGCCGGTTGAACCAACAAAATTTCTACAACCTAGATTAATACTAATTAAATTTTCATCCGACTTGAATTTTCATAACATGCAAATCTTGGTTTCTATTTGGTTAACTTGTCAAATAATGAACTTTCGACTTTACAGTCCTTAGTGACATATGAAAATGCTTATAATTTCTTGCTGCATATGAACACTGAATTAGTTTTACTCTAATGTATAATTTTAAAAAATTGTTTTAAGCCGCCTCAAAATCTACAAACACCCACAAAAACCCCGGAAAAACCTTACGATTTTTGACCCTTGCCTTAGGGTTATGAAACTTCTCCCGCGTCCGACAACTTCTATACTTCATGAAACCCATAATTCTAAATATATTTTTGAACTATGTTATGCATCGGGCAACATTTTCACACACTTCACCCCACTGCATAATGCCTATAGGAATGTACAACTTGACGCGTATCAAGGTGTCATGGAAAATTTTTGCATAGCCCCGGACACCTGCACAAAGTTGTCACGGTTATCAGATAAGTTCGAATGATCAAAATATTCTCAGATACATATGTATCAGTAAAACGTGAGAAATGTGTAATAGTTTATGAATGTGACCAATTACACGCCGTGATCAACAAAAAATAAGTGATAAGCTTGAATCACAACCATCTCTTTCTACACCATCGACAAAATAATTTGTTAAATGATCACAAATATGTATGTATATATGTATGTAGGTATAAATATGTATGCAAATTAATGAAATCCCAAAAACCGACTTCTTGCAATTTAGCCATCTTTTTCCCGTATTTATTTTTGCCGACTTAACATGATTACTATTTCTTCAAATTATTTCCAATTTTCCACACAGCTTTATTTAATTGGTGCATCCTGTCTGGTCAATTGACCACTGATCCCCAATCCGGAACCCTCCCCCGACCATGAGAGCTTTAAGAAACGACCTCAAATCTGGTTGAATCGTCCTACTGCGAGTCATCGCCATAAGGACTTCTCTCCGGAAGAAGAAAGGCTTATGAATGGCGCACGAGTACATAATCGTCCATGTGGCAAACTCCAAATCGGCTGACATAATGAAGACCTGCGACTCCACTAGAAAATAAAAAATAAAAAATAAGCAAACATTTTAGAAATAAATCATGAAAATAATAAATAAATTCAATAAATTATGAAAATATTTACAGTCGCCATCCACGCCGGAAGTCTTCCTCCACATGGCGCTCATCGGGCTCCTCGTAGCATTCACGGAGATTGGCATATCTTCAGAAAAAGTAGTCCCGTCCGTAATGTTGACGTAACTATGTAATTAAAAGATAAGCAAATCATTAAAGTTGACCTTATCAAACACCTGTCATTGGCGTACGTCACTATATAATTGATTTGTCACGCGTCCAACTTACACTTCTAGGACAGACAAAGTTGGGGGGTCGGTCTCGGTAGGAGCGGAATATACATGCTTTTCACACCTTATAAAAAATAAAAATTTTATGAAATGTTCAACAAAAAATCTTTGCAAATCTTTGACTCACTTCCAATCCGGTTGTGGGAAGTTACCAATGTTGCTCGACCCAACTTCTTGGACGTACCAAGTACCCGCATACTGCACAAGAGATATAGTAGTAAAAGCGGTCATTTTTTAAAGAAAAATTATGAAAAACTTATAAAATACGCGTAGTGAAATCTTACCCGAGAAATGTTCAGATTATGACGTGGCGTAAAATTAAAGATGTTTGAATGGCAAGGAATTCCAATTTGGGCCTGAATTCCAGCAAAGGCAACGAGGAGCAAGGCAATAGTGGTTTTCATGATTTTTTAAAAACTATTTTTGACAAAATCTGTGTCGAATTGTTTTTGCTTCTTCTGTGCAATAATGCTTACTGCTGACTAATAAAATATACAGTTGGGTGTAATTGTTAAAAGAGTGGGATCCAAGTTCACCTTCTACTTATTCCATGTCATGTATCACTTCAGGGTAATCAGTAGAAACGTAATTAATTACATATTTAGTTATTGTGCAGACGAGAATTGGGTTGGCGTAATGCAAAAGATGGATTCGTTTGGTCATGACATGTGAAGATAAGCGTAATATATATATATTCGATTATTCGATTTCATCTGATTGTGAATCAATCAATTTGCATTATCTTAGATATTTGTGACGGGGGCAAGAATGACACAAACTCTCCTAGCTGTGCAATCTGTTATGACATAATGAAAATTAAGCATGAAATCTGGGTCCATATATGTATCAAACAGGTAACGGAATAATTTAAACTAAGCTACCTAAATATGTAAAAAAAAAATACATTGTGAAATTTATTTACCTGTATCATACCACTACCATCCTGAAAGTAATAGCTTGGTCAACTAAAAAAAACCCATTAATAAGAAGCAAACTCTATGTACTTAAATATGTATTTACTACATACATAAATGTGTATATACATACTCACACTTTTTGAAGATATTCATGCCACATTTCATGAAGTACTTAACTTCTATTTTAAAATACAATCGTTTCAAATTATGGTTACACTAAAGTTTAAAAATATTTCCATACATTCAAAAATACTACGACTAATTGGTAATTACATTAATTATTTATTAATTATATACATAGGTAGTTCGAGACAAAGCTGACATATACATTCCATATATTCCATATGTATATATGTATGTATGTACATATGTATTATGTATACAGGTTTATTTTGGTGTGCGTGCAGATTAAAATTCTAGCATCGAAGTCTGAATCTGCATTTGAAAAAAAGTCAAAAGTCCATGCACACCTGCTTCGCAACTAATATATACACATATGTACATACATACACACATACATATTTACCTACTGATACGTCCTGCATGCAAACATATGTACATCTACATACACAAATATAAATACGTACGTACGTACATACTTATATAACCAACGTAATTGTACTTATTGCTTTTTGCGCATACAGTAAAATACATATCTACATACATACGGATTGCACCCAATGTATGTTTAATTTTTGATGTCACGTAGTTAAACTTAGACTAACGAATCAGACAATTTTAAATTTTAATTAGTGAAATTATATAACGCCAAATGTTATGCTTTAAACGTATTATGAGTCGATTGCCGTGGATTTAATTAAGCCTATTTTCGTCTCTATCATCATGGATAATCGATTTCGGTCAGAAAGAACAAGCTCATTGTTTTGCATATACCAATCTAACACAAATGTCCTGAACCTATCGGAGATTTTTCAAATACACAAACCGTGATACATACCGGGTTAAATTTCCAAATGAAATGTCGAGATGGCAGTGCCAAAAATCCACACAATTTATCTTTGACAATTGGCAAATGCTTCTCTGTTAACATTGTGTGACGGGTTGCTAGACAAATACGTCACGTGTGTCCACATCAGTGTGATTGGTCGAAAGAATAGGCGGCGTTCGCCCAGCAACCGAACCCACAATACACAAGCACAAAAACGACAGGTGTTTCATACAATTACATAAATTTAAAATGCTAATACTACGGTATTACTTACATAAGTATTTTAAATCGTACTACGCATATGTTCACGTTAAGGACCGACAATCACTTATCTGCCGTGAACCAGCTCCCGTTTGCATAAAAAGTAGCATTATAGTATTTTATGCATGTATTCAAGAACTAACAATCATCCAGCAGATCCTATTCTATTAATAAATTTGATATAAAAACATCCCAAAATCCTAATCCGAGCATCAGACGACAATCTACAGTCATGGCAATCCTAAGAATTCTCCTCTTGGTCGTGGTCACCACCTCGTCAGCATGGGCGGGCTGCACCATCTCGAAAGACGTCAAAGGGACGTCCACCGTCGTCTTTACATTGTCACCCACCCCAACCGAAGTCATTAATCAGCTCGGCATGAGCAACATGCTCTCCCCTGTCGCACTAATTGACAAACTTCAAAGCTACTCTGATACGGCGAATTCTCTCATGAAAACCGTTACAGATAAGATGAAGGTATTTAAAAATTTCAAAAATTTCAAGAAATTTTGTCTTCAGAAATAACAAAATTTCTTTAATTTTAGGCCCTCAACCCATTCGGCTCACTCCTCCCCATTCCAGAATGTCGGTATTACTGGATTTCGAACCAATTGTTTTGCGACAATGTCAACTCTGCCATTATCGCCCCAATCTGCGGCATGTTTACAACAATTACGAACGTGACCAACCCCATCAGTCTACCACTGCCTCAGTTAGACTCGATCCCACTGACTTGCGAGAATGATCTCGATGGGCGTCCCTGGGGCTTGGAAAAAATTCAGGCACCAGAAACTTGGGCACTTGGCTACAATGGAACTGGAGTGGTATGTATGGAAATGTATTCTAGATTTTCAAAATTTCCAGAATTTATATACAGAAACATTCTCTACATTTTTCCAGGTCGTCGCCAACATTGACACCGGCGTGCGTTACACCCATGTTGAACTTCGCGACAATATGCGTCCCTTCTTCAACTGGTTTGACCCCTACAATTTCTCCACAAACGTGCCCAGCGACACGAACGGTCACGGTTCCCACACCATGGGAACGATGGTCGGAAAGAATGTCGGTGTGGCTCCTGGCGCCACTTGGATTGCTTGTCGAGGTTGTGGCACTGCTTCGTGCGATAACGAGCAACTCCTCGCCTGCGGACAATTCTTATCTTGCCCCGATAACAAGACCCAGTCCTGCTCTACCCGCCCCGACGTGATCAACAACAGCTGGGGTGGCGGGATCGGAAACACTTTTTATCTCGGCGTTCTCTCGGTTTGGAAGGCTATGGGGATTTCGTTCTTCTTCTCGTCGGGTAACTCTGGACCGGCCTGTTCCACCGTGATGTCCCCGGCAGACAGCAACTATACGAAATACGGTCATTTGTCGGTAGGGTCGACCGCTTGCAATGACAAGATTGCTTCGTACTCGTCCACCGGACCATCGCAGGCGGCCGATTACATGGCCGGACTCGGAGTTCAAATCGTCGTCCCGGGAAGTAACGTTCGTTCCGCTTGGAACACGTCGGACACCGCGTACAATACGATTTCCGGTACTAGCATGGCAAGCCCGCATTCGACGGGAGCGGGGGCGGTGATTTTGTCGAAAAATAAGGCTCTCACTCCAGAACAGGTGTATGCTGCGATGATGAGTACGGCCTATAGGGACCCTGCCATTACTAATTCGGCAGCTTACTGTACCAGCAGTTCGGCTGATCTGTCTGGATATCCAAACAATGTGTATGGATATGGACGCGTTAATCTGTTGGAGGCTGTAAAGGTGGTGTAAAATTTTGATGTTAAAAGAATTTCGATATTATCCGGAAAATTTTTGAATTTGACCAATTAATCTATGCAAATAAATAAAATGTCAAAAAATTGATTTCACAACGTGTTTCGACATGATGTCATGTCGAAAGCTTGTCCAAGCTTTCGACATGACATCATGCACATCATTTTGGAGTAGGTGAATTTTTAAATCTTTGAAAGACTTTATTGTTTTATCTCATGCTGTCGAATAAGATTTGTCAATACTTGAACAAGACCTTGAAAGTCTTCGGAACTTTTTTGAGAACCATGTTTTCGCTCAATTTGAATTTTTGGAATTAAGTACTTATAACATTGATATTAAATTAACGTAACCTCAAGAACAAATATTGATAAGTTATTTTGTCATAACTTCTACAGGCAATTTAGTGATAAATCTAATCCAGCCGAAACGTTTGCATTGAATTGTGTAAAAATAAATACGTTTAGTATTAAATGTACAGAATGATATATTTTAAGTATGTAATCAAATCATGTCACATATTTCAACACTCAACACTGTCAACTGTGCGTCGTTATGCATAGTATTGAACTATTTAATTAAACTTAAAATATAGTTATCAATAACTTACATACTCCAGATGGAAGAAATTGTTTTGACCACTTGAACTTACCAAAAAGAAAATCAGTATACTTAAATATGTACTACATACATATATATGTACATGAACATATCTTTCGTTCATCATGCTAACAAACTAACGAAGTAAGAAAGAATCATATTTAATACACATATCTTCTAAACTTTATCCAGCTCGCATAATTGTATATACAAATGCGTGCTGCTTAAGATCATTTAGTTTTACAAGATAATCCGCTTAATATTAATTTCATGTAAATGGAATGATTCATTTCAATAAGATCGTTTCCATATATACATAACTAATAAAATTATTAATCTTGTGAAACGTAATACAGTCAATGGAAAAAGTATTGGCAACCCCCACGCCAGCTAAATAAAATTGGCTGTAGCCATGGAATGCATTATACAATTGGCATGAAAATTTGTACGCATTTAGCAAATATAATGTAGTTTTCGATTATAATCATGTTTTATTGATTAAAATTAGATTAACACAGTTTTTAAACAATTTGTTGGAAAATTTGCAAAATTAACCCGCAAAAAGTATTGGCAACCCTTAACTTAAAAAATTATAAATCAATAAAACGCAAATTTTATTGCGACAAACTGCTTCTAGTAATACATATCACCTCCCCTCGACACAATAAGAGCAGAAATACGCATTGTAATTGATTGGAAAAATCTTTTTATAACGCTTTTTAACATGTCTGCCTAATCTTCGTTTGAAATTTTGTCCAGCTCGTTTTTTGACGAGTGGTTTTCCATCAGTCTCTCCTTTCTCAACCCAGACAATCAGATTCACATCGGTAGACTGTGCAACCAACGAGAGAAGCTTAACCTCGTAGATCCCCAAAAACTTGCATTGCTAATTTGGCTACATGTTTGGGGTCACTGCATTTTTGGAACATTAAATTCCTTTCTAGGTCAGGTTTTTGCAAAATAATTTCAAATTATCGCTTGGAATGATTATTTAGACCTCATTGGTCATAACTTCATCGATAATTACCAGCTTACTACGCAACGACCTAGTCATTCAACCCCAAACCATAATCGATCCTATTCCGAGCTTGACTCCCAGACGGCAGCATTCATATTTGAGGGCCTCATTTTGCATCCTCCAAACTCTAACCATCGAACCCGCACCGAATAAGTTAAATTTACTTATGTGAGACCACTAGACCCTTCTTCATCCGTTGGAAGTCTATTTAGTTTAGGGTGGTATTTAGCTGATTTAAATACCTTGAGTTGGTTCGTTTCGGGGGCCTTCTCTTCTATGGGGCTACTGGACCCTAAAACCCCTTGGTAGGATTTTTGATTGATCACCATATTGTATGAAATATTGACTCCACAGTTGGTTCTCAAATTCTAATTGGTTTTGGATGTTGAAATCTTCCGATTTCAAGTAATTTGTTGCTTGATTCATCATTTGCCTTTGGGCGAAGGTGACTTTTTTCTTCCGCAACCATGGAAAAGCAGAAACTAAAATTGCCATTTTATATTTCTTGGCTACATTTCCAATAGTAAATATGAAAAAGTATGTTTTCCATTGATTTTTAGATATCCAGGTTTTTTTTGCGAAAAATAAATGAATATTTCTTGCCGCGCCAAATATAACTCGTTTGGTGTCGCCATTTTGGTTCCAGACAACACAACTGCTGACTTAAAATGTAGCTATCGTCATATTTTGTCGCCTAATTAACTTACCGTAATGAAATGGGGTAGGTGATTAAGAATATTGTTCCGTGTAATTAATTTGGCCACATGTTGCCAATACTTTTTGCGGGTTAATTTTGCAAATTTTCCAACAAATTATTTAAAAACTGTGTTAATCTAATTTTAATCATTAAAACATGATTATAATCGAAAACTACATTATATTTGCTAAATGCGAACATATTTTCACGCCAATTGTATAATGCACTCCAAGGCTACAGCCAATTTTATTTAGCTGGCGTGGGGGTTGCCAATACTTTTTCCATTGACTGTAGGTGCTAAATCTCAAGATATTTAAGCCACGATCTGATCTAATTTTATCTCAGTTTTGCCCATTTATAAGACTTGCATAACTGGTCCAGTAAACTTTCCAAATTTGGGAATATGATTTCCAAAATGTGGAAATTTATCATGTTTCTAATTTTCATTATTTTTCCGTCACTGATAATTTCAACAACGCCACAAACTCCTTCCGTTTTATTGGCAAGGTCTCGGCTTCGGGTAGATTATGGCGAAATTTGCAACAAAACTGTCCGATGTAAGAGTGAAGCTTGGCTGACGTGTGATCACGAACAGGGACGTTTTGTCTGTATCAAGCAAGTGAAATGGTATACCTTCCAGATAAGCGAAAATGTGTAGCGTTTATTGGTGAGAGATGTAAATTCGGGATGGCAGATGAAGATGACAACGATAATGGTCATGCAAGATTAAAATGGTGAGAAATAATAAGATTTTGCATTTTTCTTGATGAAATGCGAATAAATATTTCAACTTTGATCTCTAATTCAAACCACAGGTATGAGCTTGCCGAATGTGTTGAGGGTGCCGTATGCAACACGGATGGTATTTGTCAATGCCCTGACACATTCTATGAAGACTTTGATGCAAACAAATGCACGTTGAGGAAAGATTTTGGTGAGGCATGCGGATCAAGTTTGGAATGCAATTTGCAAAAGATGTTGATATGTGGGGGAAATCGGACATGTGAATGTTTCAACCCGGACGAGATGACATATATCAGGATTGATAATGAATCAAGTAGTTGCAAAGTGAAAGTTGGCAGAAACTGCATCGGAGTGTTTGACACATTTAGGCAAGCCATCAGGAATCAGATAATAGCGTCAAATGGAACTGTAAGTTCTTGCATAAGTAAATGCAAATCTTATATTTCTAAAATTTCCACTAACAATTTGGTAAATACGGGACAATAAGAGGTGGTTAGTAGTTTAATATGCCCATATATGTACATATACGTAAATTTTGCAAGTCTGCAATAAGGTATTAGTCTAAAATCTTACGTGGTTACTTCCGGTCACATTTATGCGACTTAAACCAGGTTTATGTGAAATGTAAATTTTTTGACTCTTTCATATTAACTTCCAAAACTTATCAAGAAATTTATAAATATTGCTCGTCACTTCATATCCAATGAAATCTTCGACCCACCATACCATAACGGATGGACGAAATTCAATGCTGTTTCTGCCATAAAATACACAATTAATTTTATACATCCTTTTAATTCCATATTTTTGAATAATACTAATCGAATTGTTTAATTATCGAACATGTAGAACCCTGAAGAACAGGATCCAAGCCTTGAACTTATCTACTCCATTTTGAACCAATTTGGCCCTGTCTGCGCGAATGGTTCATATTGCTACAATGCTACCTGCTCTTGTCCTCAAGATTATTATGTGGACTATGAGGCAGCTGAATGCATCCCGGTTAAGCGAATTGACGATCGCTGCACTTCAGACAATCAGTGTAATGCCACTATGAAATTAATCTGCATTGAGGGAACGTGTCAGTGTGACCCCGACAAATACGTTCGAAATAAACAAGATTTTTCGGTAAAGGGTTGGCAATGGTATTCTTACATTGTCCCAAAGGATATTTGCTTAGCGAAGGTGAGAATTAAATGACTAAGTTTGTGGTGAATAATTATTTCATGCAAGCATCGTAACTTGATTTTAATTCAATAGTAATTAAACTGTATTTTTGTTGGTGGCAGGTTGGATCTGATTGTTTCTTTCACCAAGGCCCCTATAGCAACACTTATTCACTTGCTGAAAATGCCTTTTGCTTCCAACAAGCCGAATGCGACCGTTCTTTATTGAAGTGCAAATGTCCAAGTGGGTTTTCTCCAACGAGGGATAACTTGTGTGGAAAGGCTTACGACATGGAATGTTCAATAGATCAGCCATGTAGCGATGAGTTTGTCTGCAGCCCGTAAGTTTCAACCATTATAGAATTCTGAAGGTGAAGTTGGCATTGGATTAGACATGAAGCTATCACCAAAAATAAATACGTAGCGTAAGAAACTGCTCGACTGACAATGGAACCTTTTTTCAAGCTACACCGGGATCGACTAGCGAATTATCTCAAAAAATCAAGCCAAAAATTATGAGTCACGTGACACTTATCTTTCTGTTGAATGGCCCCTTTGAAGAAAAATATTGGGGGTCAAAGTTCGCACTCGTCCCTTGTTTTCGCCCCGTGATGGAAAAAGCAAGAGAAGATTTGCTCAAAAATTGAACTTAATCACCAATATTTTTCTTCAAAGGGGCCATTCAACGGAAAGATAAGTGTCACGTGACTCATAATTTTTGGCTTGATTTTTTGAGATGAACAAAATAGTCATGAAACCATATAGGGCATACATATATAGGACGATTTTGAAGAAAAAAATTATAAAATATCGAAAACTGGTTTTTGAGCGTGATAAAACTGGTTTTTAGGCAACATTTATACCGGTTTTAAGTTAAATCGAAAACCGGGGAAATCTGTTTTAGATGTCCTATTGCATAATCATCTATAGAAAATATTTATAAGTGTATTTGTATACGTGGCCATTGCAAAGCTACTTGTAATGAGAGTTATGACATCGAGGGTTTTATAGCAGAAAAACAGGAATATTGTGTGTAATTAAAAAAATGCAAAATTATAAAACCTAAATTTTATTAATTAGATCATATATTCATAAGTTTATTTGTTTATAATTTAAGCGATCCATCCAATATTATGAAGTGTCTTTGTCCAAACGAAGGACTCCAAAAATATGAAGGGTACTCGGGAGATGATAACGTGGTTAGCTGTCGCGGTCAGGTTGGAACCCCTTGTGAAGCAGAGGATATGAATTCCTGCGTGAAAAATGCAGCATGTGTCCGTAACGTAAGTGAAAATAACAAATAATAGGAAACTTGCATTGCTATTTTTTAGAAAATGTATATTGGGATATTTATTTACATTTATATATAACACCAACGTTCTGAGGAGGGGAGCTTCCGTGCTTGCCAATATTAGATTTTAATGTCATGGAGTCCAATCATTTCAGGGTGTTGGAGTTAGTACGTTCCTCGGATATTAAATACCACATATCAAAAGGGCTTCGAAATCTGTTATTGGAAAGTACGGAAGCTCTCTAATCTATATTCAATGGTCTCATTTTTGTCAATATTTTATGTACTACATATTGTGAGATATACGTGAGATGTACAATTTTACGACTGAGAGAGAAACGTAAGTTTTGTGTATTATCGAATAACGTAACAATGCAAACTCCTATATTTTGAAGCAATATAACCAAGGTTAGTCATGGAGAGATCTCTTCTTCCATACATATATTCTTATACTTATTCTTATACGTATTCTTGTCTCCATAACTACAATAATTGTATATCGGCTTGAATATAACAATATGTTTGAATATAAGTTTATTTACTTAAATATGAGACTGAAAAATTTGTTGAATTATGAAATTAATTCATACGTAATTAAATATCACAGGAGGTTGACACCACACAATTTATCTGCAAATGCAAAACCGGGTTCGTTCCTTCATTTGACCGGCAGTGTCACATTAGTCATGGATATCCATGTGAAACTATAAAATATGGAGCAAGCCAATGTGATCATCTTGCCGGATTGAAATGTAGGATAGAAACTGTACGAAAAACGAATAAATCTGTGACGGAATATCGTCAGGTTTGCTCATGTCCCAACAAGGCTGATATGTATGATTTGGAGAGAAGAACTTGCGCACGGGGGCTTGGAGTTTCTTGCAAGTATATAATTGCACACATTTTTAGAAAATTTAATAATCCAACTGTATAATTGTAACACGTAATACTTGGAAAACATACGTTGTAATCATTTTTCCAGCACAAACGACGACTGTCTCACGAACGGGCTATGTCGTAAGGAAAATGACAAACTTCCTGGAAATTGTGAATGCAAGAAGGACTTCATCCAGCATACTGGGAGGTGCATCAAATTTTCTTCCTCCACAAGTGATTTACTTGCGGATAATATTACCGACACTCGGCCCGGTTTGGGAGGCAATGAAGCGGAAAATCCAGAATTCGGCTTGACATGGGATGACTTCCATGATAAAGATTTGGATAAATTTTAGCAAGTAGAAGCAATTATTGTTACATTTAATTCTAAAATCCGAAGAATTCTGGAATAAAACTAAAACAAGACATTCCCAAATTAAGTTAAGTCTAAATTTACCGAATAAAATTTTAAATGGCCCTCATTTCAACCAATTAATTAAGCTTTTTATTACATAAAGTCGGTAATAACACGTCAAGAATGACCGTAGTGTGTGATTGCAACCACATTCTAAGATTTTTTTACTGAGTTTTGTGTCACAATTCACAACACCTTAGTTATGCAAATTTATGCAACGTATATAAATACATAAATTCAATCTCAGATTATTTCAACCTTTACTTTATTACATGGCAACTAGCTAGTAGCTATAATAAAATTAGTTTTTGTCGCCCCACAATTTATCCACAATTTCATGAGCAGGTACTTCCCATCGACATATGGGCGCAGAAACCACTGCAACAATGCCAGTTTTCGAGGCAGTGAGCATTTTTATATCCACATCTGAAATAACTTCTTCCCTCGTGGCGATGGCGATGCAGTCCAGCACATCGTCCCCAATTACCACCATCTCCTGGGCCACGCATGATGTCACAATATCCGCAGCATTTTTCAGGGTTGGAAGGATTCCGTATTTCACATGGGGTCCATTTCGCCCAACATTGATTCCACTGACGAGGTCCCCAAAAATTCTAAATAGATTTTAGGACACATTTTATAGAAAATTTAATAATTTTTACTGCATAAAAAGTTATAGGATCCCGTACAGCAGGTCTTGGTTCCGAGTTTACGGCCTGAATTAACCCCAGAATAGCAACCACAGCCACATAGGCAGTTATTCGTCGCGAAATTAGGTTCATCATCGTCCTGAGGCTTTATCCAGTTCGGGGAAGGACATTGAATGACGAGCTCTTTTAGCAGCAATTTAAAATCGATACGATTTAAATAAACTCCATTAAGATATTTTACTGTTACATTGTTAAATGTACATACTATGTACAACAAGATTGTTAAATCCTTCAGACCAATTTGGCTAGGGATTTAATTTTTTTAATATCTACACAACCTTAACCTCCTATATAAGTATTGTGTCTTGAGTCTGAGCTTAGCAAAACTTGCAAAGACGAAATATTAAAAATACAAGGGCAACCTTCAAACCCTTTGTATGTACACAAAGTCAATCAATAAATTCAATATTTCTTTCTTGTCATTTTCTAAGAGCTATTGGTCGTCGAAGAATCACATAATTTTCAAATTCCTTCTCCCTGGAAGCAATACCATGGCGACCCTTCAAGTCCAAGTATGCTTTGCCATTCTGATAATCATGTGCGGCTTTATGCTGTCGGAAGGATTCCACTGGCGGAAAGCAGAGCTAGATTACTACGACGACTACTATTTGCCCAGGGTGAATATTTTGGTGTACTAATTATCAGCAGCTCAGAGCCAATTAACATATTTTTCTTTGGCCTTCCAGGGACGCGCCTACTGTCGGGTGAAGTATGAAGTCTGTGGCGATAACACGCACTAACGGTGCTGCGCTGGCCTTGGGTGTGCCCGCACCCCACACGGACGAATGTGTACATGAGTATCTCGCTGTCAGGCATTATTATCTACGCTGTCCTTGGGTCACGATCTGGATCAAATTCGAATGTCCATTAACAATTTAAAAAGTAAATGTGTATGGTGTGGTTATAACTTTATTGAGATTTGCACACACCCGAAAACTAAATCCATATGGAAATGTATAATTTTACGTGTAACAAATAAGCAATTTATTATTATTTTTGATCCCCCATCTTGATTTAAAATGTATGTATAAGGATTTAGTATTAATTCTGACGTCCTCGTCATAGCAAAATGTACACATTTCACTGGAAATGTGTACACCTGGATATAAAACGGAACTACAGAATACTACAGATACATAAATGAGCATAATTTGTTGGTTGTTGTCTGTGTAGCAAATTCTATATATGTTTTGCTCCATTAAAGATAAAACTATTTGTCACACTATTATTGTAGTGCCAATTTCCAACTAAGTATTTTATACCTCGTACAGGTGCATAAAATAATAATTGTTTGCTAAAAATCCGACAATCAAACAGTACGAACTGGTCTTTATATTACGAACCTTCTGTGTATTAATTAACATGAAAATGTCCACCGAAATATGGTGCATCGATAGTTTCGCGATGTATCGTGGTCGTGCATAATAATTTTATCTATTTGAGTATTTGACTACTTCGTAAAATTTTCCATAAAATTAAAATCCTTCCACGAACTTGAAAAACATTTCGTTTGAAAACGATGATGCATTTCATAAATTAAAAAATCATGGAATCTTTGGGTATAAAATGCAGCGGAGAAACTGCAACCAGACATCACATCTTCTGCACATCATTTAATAAATCAACAAATACAAGCCATGAATTCCAAACTTATCGCAGTTTTTCTCTTCGTTACGGTCTTGGTTGTTATGACAACCATGGTTGAAGGACAGAATTGTCCTGACGGGAATGGATGGGCCTGCTGGGCGGATCAAGGTCGCAGAGATAGCAATTGCCCTCGTAAGCTCAACACTTTATTTTTTATTTTTTTTTATAAATTTGGCAAAAAATGTAAATATACATATAATTAATTTCCAGCACGTGGGTGGCTCCGCTACTGGAACCGAAAAGGCGGCTTCCTGGGATTGCAAACCTGTCACTGTTGTGGGCGTTAAATTTATCAAGGGAGAAGTTTCAATAAATGTATTTCAAAATTCAAAATTAATCGAAATCGAATAAAATAAATATTTTATTGGAAAATTTCATGATTAATAACCAAAATCTGAGACAAAACAATTTCAACATGACTATTATTTATTATGGGATAAGTTAACTTTTCTCCAACTGTAACTATGTACATGCCTATATATTTTCCACATATGTGCATCGTTTATATGCATGCATGCATGTACATCGTCATTAGGAAACATTTTAGTCTGGATCATTTCTCAATATGAAATTCCCCAAAGTTGTTTCTTCAACCCTTTCCAAATACATATTTATGGATCGGTCCAATTTTCCTCCGCTGTTCCACAACAACATGAAAAATTGCATTAATTCGTTTTGTGAAGTTACAGACTGTAACTTACAGTCCATAAAACTTGTAGCAACAAAAACTCAAGATAAAGCTCATGGCATATATCTATGTATGAATGTATGTATGTACATATGTATAATCACATAATACGTATTACAAAATCCTATGTCATATGTATGTATATAGTAATATGAACTACATAAATAAATAGATTGCATACAGATAAAACCCGGATGCTCCTCATACATGCATAGCTACATACCATTACGAATGTACTTCAATCTGGGAGAAATCAGCAAGTTTGCTAATCTTCAAACTTTCATACGATCATAAAGAATATAAACTTTGAAAGTATTTAAAGTTATGTACGTTGTGAACTAAATTAACAGATTTTTGTCGTTCTTGTGCATATGTATCATGAAATCGATCTGCATACGTAGGTAAATTGTCACTAAAAATGCTTAGATCAACTTGTAATATTTTTCTGACCTGCTTTTTATGATATAACTGGACTTTTCATTGTCAATGACTTGTGTGTTTAGATAAAAAAATTATATATGTACATGGACAAATTGCATACATACTTATGTATACTTCCTCCCATATAAATAAGTCATTCAAAATATTTTCTACTGATTTGAACAATGCATTAATTCCTAGTTTATCATGTAAAGTAAATATTTTGAAATATACAAACATATATTAAATTATACCAGTCCAAGTCTGAACTTTAGTTCCTGAAATCATGGTGAATATTTTCTAAAAATAAGCAGCATAATTTATTTGTCAAATATGTTGTCCCCATGCAAGTGAATCAGCTCCTTTACCGGAAAAGTGCATTGACTCATTCACTACGAACAATAAAGCTTATGAAACCATTACATAATACATCGTAGATATATGGAATATATTGCGTCAAATTGCGTGCACGGATTATGTAGAGATAAGATAAATACACTCTTAAAAATAATGTCACTCTTTTGAAAAGCAAATGCACTTTCAATTCTATACATACTATATAAGTAAACTAAATGTACAAAATCCAGAGTAAACTTTACTCTTTACCAATTTAATATTTCTTTGGGATTTAGGATAGTCTACTTAGCCTGTATCATTAATATACTTAAATAGAATTGAGAGCGCATTTACTTTAAAAAAAATGTAATTGTTTTTAAGAGGGCACTATATATCCGTGGTACGAATTGGCCAGACTAATTCGATCGGTATGAAAGACTTCATTTGTCACCATACAATTTTTGCGTAATTTGTTGCATCCAATGTATACTTACCTTGGGTAAATATCTGTAATTACAAATCTCAGTTGAGTCATAACCAGTGATTCATGGTCATACATGTTTACCTTCCTGCAACCTAACCTAACCTAACCTGCATAGTCAACGCTTATCCATCAAACAGTGCATGTACATAAGCCCCGTTGACATTTACTAGCGGTCAGAACGTTTAGTGCCGAACTTTCTTCTTGGTCAGCAACTATTTAAATATTTTCGAAACTTTTGTTATTTTATATTATATAAATAACTAAAAGTAACTCGATAACTAGTGCTCGCGAGTTTTAGTTTCGTGCGTATTTAGCACGTTATTTTACATATCTGTAAACAGTGGAAAATGGGTTAAAGTTAAAATTTTGAAAAGTTTCAGAGCCAGAGCCAATTTTCATTAAATAATAAAAATGGGACAGTATTTATTTCAAACACTTTTTTATTCGACAATTTTTAGCCTCCATTCTTCCGCTTCTGATATTTCACCATCAGAAGTGACATCATTTCCCATTTGTGAAAAATTAACCTTGTCGGCACGATTGGACACTGGGTCAACTCCTCAATCTCCAGAGTTCCTTATGAATACACTTCTTGCACGTTTAATGGCACATCTGCCATTGCCAAGTATATTAAAAGTCATCAAGAATTGTTGAACGACATTAAATTAACGGTAAAGATTAAAGTCTCGAAAAATTCGGACAAATTTCTTCCACTCGTATTCACTATAAAACAACAACGACATCAATATAAAATATTGCGGTTACCGTTCAACTACGAGGAAATAGTCAACAACAGATCCAATCCCGATGGCCAGACAACGGTTGAAGAGTAAGTTGATGGGCTACTTGTGCACATTTTTCTCTGGAAAAATATTTATGCAGAAAAATTATTGTGCAGAACGCATTCTATTTCTGCACAACAATTTTTGGCAGTTAGAATGCAGCTTGCATAATAAAGATGTACAAAAATTTTGCGCATCATATGCATACATACATACATCGTGTACTTATTTGTAGGATAAGTGACTGGTATTACGAAGCTGGGGGGACATTGTGCATCGACCATGGAAAGAAACATGGACCCGAGTTTGATTTTGAACTCCTAATCACTGTAGAAACACCGGGAGGAACTATTCGGAGTATTGATTTTTCATTGCTTCTTACAATTGAAAAAGGGATATTTCTCAAGTATACTAAAAAAAACCTTATAAATTTCTCTGGGCTAAAATATACATCACTCTATTACATTACTCTATTCCCAATGTTGAATGTGTTTGAAAACCATTTACATATGTAACCAGGTTGACGGATTCTACAGTAACTGAAATTCTATCCCCAACCGTGTCAACATTTTACCTTTTTGATTTTGCAAATAAAAACTATGACGAGGCCGCGAATCTGACGGTACTAATCACTTCGTTGGTGGACAACCCTCCTTGCACAATGATTTCTGTGCAGGACCCTTTCGTAAGTTCTATGAAAAAATAGACCAGGAGATCTTACATGCATAAATAATTCGCGTGTGCATTTATGTACATAAATACTAATATCTATGTAATTACGCAAATAACAAGTGTCCAGTATACGACGTGGAGCGGACGATAAATTACGAAGGCAATTCGCAACCAATGCTAAAACAAGGGGTCAAACACATCAATGTATGTATTTAACCATTTAATCTGTGAAAGTGGCATACATATGTCGCTTTGGCGAGTTGTCCATAATTCGTGACAAAGGCATATGTCATCGCCAAAATCCGCTCCATACCCCGTGACGATGACATATGTTGCCACAGAAAACCTTACCTTAATTCGTGGCGTAGACGTTTGTCGTTCCTAGGCAAATTCGCCATAATTCGTGACGTCGACATTTGTTTTTAGCCCGAACCAGGGCTTCTGTAATTGTCATGTCCGTTCGTCCGTCCGTCCGTCCGTCTTTCGATAACTCTGGAACGAGTTGGCCGATTGACTTGAAATTTTTACTAGATGCATATTGGACAAAGTTAGGAACCGAGTTCGAAGATGGGCAAAAGCGGTCCCCTGGTTGACCCGTAGGTGTCATCTGGGTGGGTGGGTATTATGCACCAAAATTTCGAAATTGTCGTAGAAAGCTGAAATTTGGTGCAGAGGTAGTAAATGGGTCCTAAAGGAAGGATATGAACCCAAATTCGAAAAATTTTTATGTTGAGGGACCCTATGATAAGGGACTCCAACTGATTTTGCAAAGTCGTAATATCGAACTGAAATTTGGCATTTAGTTTTCTTATGGCTCTTCATGGAAGAATATACATTGGAATCTGGAAAATTTTCATCTGGAAGGACCCTATGGGGTGACCCCCAACAATTTTCAGGGATTAACATGGAAAGCTGAAATTAGGACTAGAGATCTGCCTTCTCATGAAATAATAGGAAGTTAAATATGAACAAAAATTTGCAGAGGGACACTAGGGGGTGGTCCACACCGATTTCTTAAAATTGATATAATCAGCTGAAATTTAGTATGGAGTCGAGAAATAACTTAGGATTAGCATTTACCCCATAGGGTACCTCAAGATAAAAATATATTCAATTCCACGTTATATTCTTCCATTGCAAGTCATTATAAACTTTCACGCAAATTTTGAATTTTCGTTACCCTTGACCCCCGACACCCATATGACCCCTACCGGCCAACCACTTGACCGATCGAACCAGTCTTCGAACTCGAGTTGTGTATTTGGATGGTCTATATGTGTGGAAAATATCAAGTCGATCGGATAATTTTTAAAAGAGTTATCATCGTACAGATGGACAACACGGGTACATAAGCCTTGGGTCGGGCTAAAAATTAAGAATTGTTTGTGAAAATGTTGCCACGGAGTAACATATTTGACTGGCATTTTTTGGTTACGAATAATGATCCCTTAAAAATAAACCTCCCTCACGAATTAAGATAACTCTACTGTCGCCTGGTGACACGAATTATGGACATCATGACTTTTACTTGTCCTCTTTAAATGGTTAATTTAGCTTGTGTTATACTTCTTTATTTATGTACCTACTGGAGAAATTAGTCTTCATGCACCAATAATTATTACCGTGATATGTAGCAATGGGAAATGACCGGTAGAGTGGATTCCTTCAGGGGTGGGTTCGCCATTGCCATCGTGGTTCTGAGCGATGACAAACTTTGCACCTCCGAAGGTGAAGATGATGACCATCATAACCATCAAGTTGAAAGGAAAAATCGGTTGCAGATTCAAATTTATCCTTCCGCTTGGGACAAGACAAAGGAGGGTCAACCCTCCCTTTGGAACCTTCCCTTTGTGATTGTATACTTCACATGCAGTTATGTGGCCTCACTTTCCATATACTTGATTATACGGTAAGAATACTTTCCTTCTTTCTTTGCCAGTTTAACCAATCTAGAAGTGTTGTTAAATTTATTAGGATTACATATGTATGTATATTGGGCGTATTCTCGACAACGTTCAATTTATCTAGCATAGCAACTCATTCAGAAAATTTTCGCAGCCCAAAAAGTTATGTTTTGAAACAATTCGCACAATATGTATGATTTCGCAAAGCTTGATATCCTATTTTGATTTAGTTTGCTTTGCATGGATTCTGTAAGTTACATCTTGTTATGGAAAAATTAGTTTGCGAAGTGTACATGTAATTTTGGGAAGAAACTGCTCAGTTCTTAAGTAAATACACATATGAAAAATTCTATGGTTTTCTAGCAAAAGTTTTGCGAAATCTTGCAAATGTCATAAAATTTTGCAAGCTGTTTTGCTGTGTTCAGTTTGCGAGATAAACGAAGGTTGTCCTAAGTATGCCCAACGTTTTAGTTTCTAAATGATCAAGTCAAAACCAAATTATTCCTCTTGGCTAGGAGTTCTCGGTTAGAAATAATTCCAGCAGTCGCTGTGGTAAGGTACCATGCAGACGATTATGAGTAAGCATTTATCTAATATTTACGTATGTATCTTCAAAACGGTAAATATTTTTGCCAAGTGTTTACCATATTTATGTTTTTACAACTGAAGACTTTTGGGAAAAGCTAGAGTCCTTTTACAACCTTTAACGGTGGCCGAGTCAAGAGCAGCCGCCCAAGAACACGACATAGACCAACATCGCCATTACCTACCGGACGCCATACATGCTACTTTGCACTACTTCTTTGGCGTGGTCATATTCATATTTACACGGATAATGGTAAGCCTTATCTCAAAACCAGGCAGAGATACATATGTGCAACACAAATATATCTGTGCACCAGAATTGTGAGAGATGTATGTAAACTCCGTTTCACAGAGATCATCACATGGAGTACATTAGCCGAATGAGCCGAATTATTTGATTATTATTTGAGTTATTATTTGACACCACTTATTTTTATTTTGGCGTAAAAATCATACGAAATTGAATAATTTAAACGCCAAAATAAAAATTACTGGTGTCGAATAATAAAATAATTCGCTCATTCGGCTAATGTACTCGATGTGGTGATCTCACGTGATGTGAAACGGAGTTTATGTACATACGTACATATTTTGAATATCATGCGTAGGCACTAACAACGTCGGCAGACTTGTCAAGCTGCTACTTCAACAATGTATGTTCCTACCGGTCCCACCTCTTTCCGGCGTCATCTCTATCAATGAAGTTTTACGAAATGAACGCCATCACGTCAAGTTTTGTTTTCACGGTGGCAGGAATTACTCTGCTGATTTATCTCGTTTTAAGAAGACTCGTCTGGCCGAATAGAACAATTTTTATCCAAGCAGCTGTCCCATTTATTAATGATCCCAACCACCCTCCACGAGCCATTGGTCAGTAATACAGACTTTTAAGAAGTAAAAATTAGGAACCGAAGTGAATGATCATTTTTTACAAATTATAGAATGCGGAATTCCTGACAAGTCCGGGATTGACACTGCTTTCGCGATGATGTTGATTCTGAAGGGAATTATTTCTGCCATGTATCACGTTTGTCCTAACTTGAGCAGCTATCTTCTTGGTAATACATACATACAAGTACTTTAGCTGAATTTAGTGCATGCAATTTTTTAAAGTTGAATTTTGTTAGATGCTCCATGCACCGATATGCTTTATATTCTCTCATGGATCCGTGTCTGCCAGCTTCGACACCCAACATACATGTCCCCGTAAGGATGCTGATCACAAGGCTACAAGGCCTGATTTCCTACACCCTTTACATTTCTTGCACTGCACTGCAAAACATGCAAGAAATGCAAAAAATATGCGCCACCTAACGGCTCGCCCTTCTATCATAATTATAGGCTATAAAGCGCTTATATCTTGCATTTCTGGCACTCCTGCAAGAAATTGTGCCTGCGAATAAACAATTTTTTGCAGTTGTTTTTCACGCAAACCCTGCAAAGCTACATAATTGCGAAGCACTACATTTAAATATTATGTACATAACCAATATTTTCTCCACAGATTTTGGGCCACAATCATCGCAGTGGTCAACAATTTTCTAGAACTATTTCTCGCTATGGGATATTATTCACAAAAAGATACAATCGATCACCTAATTTTCCACTATGTAAAATTGGTCCTACTAGAGCTGGCCTTTACCTTGCACGCATTCTACTTTTACTACCTCGGGTATTATCAAGAGCTGAAAGATGATGATGACGATGCTCAACGTAAATATGTTCACATTAAATAAAATTCCAGATACCACAAAGCTGTCTGAAAATGATGTTTTAATCTAGATTTTGAAGCGGTGACATCTCTGACCAAGATGTTCTCAATTTTTTGGAGACGATTCACATGGGACCAACTGATACGACCAGATCGCTCAATTTCTTTATTTGTGATTATTTTACAATGGTTTTTGAACACACTCGTGATAATTCCTCCAATATTTTTTGGGTGGCCGATTCGCGATCTGCATTCCGAACAAGTCTTGTTACTGGTTGAGTTTAACATAATCTTCGTCATCGTGGTCCACTTTATTTGCAAGGTAGTAAATTATTCCTAAGCAGTAAGTTTCTTGTAAAATTTGAATTGGTTTTAATAATTGAATCGGCAGGTCGCTGAAGAACGCCGCTTCTCGATAAAGGATGTTGTCAGTTGGATTTGCTTCGCAGTTTACTTGGCCGCATTTACCATGCGAGAATATCTCTCCGAACTTCCCTCCACATTCGAATGACATCTTACGCAGGCAGAATCCGCGGATTTGAATCAACCCTGCCTCTGGGGACCTTGGGATAAACATGACTTTCATCATTTCTTGAGTTCGTCCAGTTTCCTGTTTTTGTATCTGGTAAGACAGTATTGCATCATTATGGAGAAAGTAATAAATTAAGTATTAGTAAAATTAGTAATTCACCGCTTGTTATGTGTAACAGACTATGGTGACAATGAATGATTCGTGTGTAAGGATTCCTTCCGTGGATATCAAAATTTTTTGAGGGGTTACAAATTTTCTATGTGAATAAAGCACACGTGTGATATAAATAGTTGCAAATATGTTGAAATAAATTTCATAAGGGAATAAAACCATTAATACGTGAACAATTATTGAATGCACCTTCAACCGCGATATGTATGCAAAAACGTTTTTGTGTCAATCTCTCGTATTTTTATAATCTTGAATGCAAGTAACAATCTCCGATGACAGGCTTACCCACATGACACTTGCATACACATGACAACTATTTAGCCAGTCTTCAATGAATGAACTAACCTTAATGTCATAAATTTTCACTACTAAAATAATAAATTATAAATTATCTGGAGCTCAAATAATCTACATTTGTGTACATATGTACGTACAAGTACCCTAAATTTAATTGGAAGCCCTTAGCAGAACTTTGATACATATTTATTTATTTTTTATGATACTCAAGTTCATAAACGCTGAACTGTGCCTAACGAATTTACACGTATGTACTATATCCAGCATTACTAGGGTTCCGGAAGCAGAAAATGACTATGAGACACCTTAAGGTTCAGGGAAATTGAGACACTAAAATTAAATACGATAAGATTACCTCAGTAATTTTGTTAGCATGCTCCTACTCGCGGTATATGTATGTAGCACTATGATGAAACATTCACAGTTTTAGGACTTGAAATTTGGCAATAGTTTCATCGATAGTGACAGTTCTAAGGAGGAGGATGCTCATGCCCATGCTTTCCCATGAACAAACTCATGCCTTGTTATGTTTATGTATCACAGAACCTATTTTGCATGGCCGGTACACAAGTCAAACATCATTACTGCGTGCGAAAAGCCGAAGTTATCGGAGGTTTAGAGATAAGCAAAGAACGTTTTTGCAACATATGTATATAGATATGTATTGATCCATTACCTGGTTAAATCAAAATGTCAACGTCAGGAAAAAGAGCTTGCTCTGCTATACTCATCCTTATTTCTAATTGTTCGCGATCATCCTTGAATCAGGAGAAAATGATCTAAAAAAAAGTACCTAGCTTGCAGGCAGATTAAACTATGGATCTTCAAGCTACAAAAATAAAATCGAATATTTCGGTAACCGTAAATAAATTAAATATTTTGAATCATTTTTTTTAAATAGAACTGTTTGTGTGATTTACAGAAACTTGTAGTTGGAGTTACTTCGATCGTATCACTATTCGAATTTTCCTTACTTCCGCAATCAAACGAAAATTCCATCGACTTGACTCTAATATTTCATCACATTCAATTCTTTTTCACTCTAGCGTTAGCCCTAAAAGTATTTAGCATCCCATTTTTATGTGAAATTCTCGAAATTGAGAATGGAAAAAATTCGGTATCATGGATAATTAGCTTATTCGTAGTCCAAAATGTAGTCGTTTTTTACAAGATCCTTCAAATCCTTTCCATTTTTGGTAATGATCAAGCCACATATTTTGCATATTATTATGTCACACTCTTAAGCAGATATGTATCCGTAGGAATTTTATTATTGAATGAACTATACGGTGAAAGACTAGTTGAGGCTTATCAGAAACTTGAGATAAGAAAATCAATCGCACACGCAATAAAAGTTATATCGCTTCTGAAGCCATACTTTCTCCCGAAAAGTTATAAGGCGAGAGTGTCGGCAGGAATCTGTGTGCTTTTAGTACTCATTGACCTCCCTGTGGACTTGCTCAAGCAAATTTTGGACAAACAAATCGGTAAGAAAAAACATAAGGTTGTAATGAAATAAAGTCAAGCAACGGTATAATACATACACATAAATACTCGCCGAAACGGAGTATCGAAAAAATGCTACATGTTTGCCTCCGCCTTATTTGCTACCAAACTCGAAAATATCTAATTTGACATTTTTGAGATTCGACATATTTGACCTTTGACTTCGACTTTGACTTGACCTTTGACTACTCGAGGTAGAAGTACATACATATGTACATACATCAAAATTGCAACGATTTCTGAAATCCCTGACCTGAACAACGTCTAACTCCGTCAAAACAAGAAATTCGATATGTTTGACAATTGTCTTACTTTAAATTTAGATGTCAATATTCGAAATCAGAACTCTAAAAGGTTGACTCGTTCCAGAGTTATCGCACTGACAGACAGACGGACTAGCAAATCGATCTCAATAATTATCCGCTCATTATTAATAATCAAATGCAATTATTCACTTCATTATTATTTATCTTGCCTTTAGTGGACTCGATGACTTTCACCTCATCTAGAACTAACATCACCGACAATGACACAAGCCACACAAATGCCAAGCTCGAGCTGAATATGTCCAACTTTCGCTGGGAACTGCTCCTTCTCATAGCCGTGTTAAAGTTGTCCTCAAGGTACGGGATGACTCATACTATTCGCACCTACTTGTGGAGAAATGTTGAATCTGACTCTGAAGGCAGATTGCAGGTAAACCTTATTCCCCACTGAATTTTACAAATCATACAAAATATAATTATTTACACCGACTCCCCATTTTTCCCTAGGTCGAGATTTACACCAAACTACAGCATCAAAGTGTCCGATGGCACTTGGAACAAGGGACAGGCGGTCGTCTCACCAAATTGCAGTCGGCGTCTTCATACTTTACCTACTTTTTGAAACAAATGTTACTCAAAGTAATTCCCGAGTGGTTGACCTTGTACGTCTCAATAACCCACCTCACCGTTCGATACCCATGGAAGATAACCTCCATCGTCCTAGTCACCACGGGTTTCCTCGTGGTCGCCAAGTTTATAATGTCCACGTGGAAAACGAGCTTGGAAAAGATAAACAAGAAGGATTCCAATGAAAAGATGAAGAAATCCGTGGATGCCCTGCTCAACTATGAGACCGTGAAATACTTTTGCAAGGAGCGATACGAAGTGGACAGGTTCAAGGAAGCATTTCAGGAGTCGAAACTGCTCAAATTTAATTCTCACTTTGCCAATACGATGTCCTGGTTTTTGGAGAATGTGGTTCGAATGGTGGGTCAGACGGCAGCGAAAATGTGGTGTTACTGGATGGTACTGGGAGACTCGGAACTCACTCTGGGTGACTATGTCATGCTAGAAGCGTTCTTTTGGAGTACGTATCAACCCTTCGACTCGATGAGTTGGGTGTATGAGTAAGTTAGCAAACAAACTTGGGATGTAATTATAATTATCTACGTATGCAATTTGCATAATGCAAATGTGTAATATTTAACAGGTGGGGACAGAAAGTTATAATTAATGCGGCCGACGTTGTGGAATTATTGGAACTCACCCCAGAAATTTGCGATGATCCAAATGCTCCTAATTTAGAGGTCGCTGAGGGGGAGGTTAGATTTGAAAATGTGTCATTTAGCTACGTGCCAGAGAGGGAAGTCCTGTCTGAGATAAGCTTCAGGGTGGAAGCTGGGAAAACCATGGCATTAGTAATTACACAATAATCTGAATTAGCAATAATTATATAAATCAATACACAATTATATTTACCACAGGTTGGTCCAACCGGCTCGGGCAAATCGACCGTTATGAAATTGATATTTAGACTTTACAACTCGTCATCTGGACGGATTTTAATTGATAATCAGGATGTAACCAAAGTTACACAAGCTTCTCTACGGGGAGCAATTGGAGTTGTTCCTCAAGATTGTGTACTCTTCGATGATACGATTACGTACGGATGTATAATTTTATTCGCTATGCATAATATTTCTTGTTAATGATAAACCCCATTTATATATCTGACAATGAGTTTAGAAATAATATCAAGTATGGAAAGCCTACCGATGAAATGGATCAAATCACGGAAAATGATGTTCAACATGCAGCAAAATGTGCTTACATCCATGACGCAATTTTAGAATTTCCAGATAAATATGACAGCAAGGTGTGTTAGACGGTAGAAAATTAAAATAGTTGGTAAATCCGATAATATAAATTGCACATCACATATTTTCAGGTAGGAGAAAGGGGTTTGAAGCTCAGCGGCGGTGAGAATCAGGTATGTACATAAACACAAAAATGTTCATATGAAGTATGTAAATGAAGGTATTTACGACGACTTCGCATCGTTAGAAAAAAAAACGCATATTAAGTTCGCAAAATTGTCTTGAACATCCATTTATGCGAACTTGACTATTTGGTTCGCAGATTTTTTTTCAAAATTATGTTGCAAAAGTTTGCATGCGAACTCGGAATAAATGCCACCATGTTTTCTATCGTATTGCAAAATTTAATTTCATTCAATTTAAACATAGCGAATAGCCATTGCCAGAACTATTCTGAAAAATCCTCCAATTCTCATCCTCGACGAAGCCACATCAGCCCTTGATACAAAAACTGAACGAAAAATTCAATCCGTCCTCAAAAACATTTGCAAAAATCGGACGAGTCTGATCGTGGCTCACAGACTGTCGACGATAACGCATGCCGACGAAATTATCGTTCTCATGGGAGGGCGAATAGTTGAGAGTGGATCGTAAGTAAAATAATATTATTCTACTTTAAAGCATGCATTTCATTTATTATCGAGAGGAAGTGTGAGCATGTATGTAAATGAGTTATAATTAATTTGCAGACATGAAACTCTCCTGGCGAAAGGTGGGGAATACGCGTCCATGTGGATGGATCAGTTGGAGAAGAAAGACCATGAAACAGCGATTAGTTGATCAATGTGTGGCCATCATCATGAAATAAATATACATTAATTTTTGGAAACACGTTGATTAATAAACACGTTAATAGTTAATTACAAGTCATAAGATAGAGCAGTTTTACACATGACACATGCATACAAATTCATACGACATTGCAGTGCATTAAAGGACTGACAATTGCGTAATTATATGTACATAGATATGTAGAGTTCATACAAACGGAAGATTTTATGCGTAATCTATAATTATATTTATGTGAATCTTCACTAAGATTGCTTTTGGAAATTTTGTAATTTACTTTTATGAATTTATTTCATGCGGTCCAGATATGTAAGTACATATATATTTAAGTACACGCATGTCATAACTTAGAATGCTACCCTTCTCGTGTAAATTGTAGGATATGTTTCATTGCATTGGGTGAAAGTCAAAATTCCAAGAAAGTGTTTCCCAATATTTTCATATGCGGACCAAAGACCTGCATTATGGTATAAATTTATGTTGATATTGCCCTCTAAATACTGTGAATGATCAATTATGAATGAATCAATTGGTTGTATATTACATATACAATATTTCTTCAAACAAAGGAAAAAAACAATTTCATTTTATTTCGTCAAAATTTCCAACTTTATAACCGTTCCTTTATTATGAAATAGTTCAAAATTGTTAAATTTACTTGCAATTGCAAGAATTTCCGTCTCCGTGGGCGGAACAGGTGCAGCCCACGCAGATACCATTCACCTTGCTTTCCCCTGTAGCATTAAATGACCAATAGATGACTTTCATCTTATCGCGCAACTCCAGTGGAATGGGGACGTCACCAAAGTGGGAAATATTGGCTCGCTTGGCGTCATCCGTAGTTTCCCAGAATTTGGGGGCACAACGGCGAAGTCCAAAAATATTTTCGACACCAAGACGCTTCAGAGTTGCGAATAAATCGGCCACAAATGCCGGTGGGGGTGGTTCCCGGTGGGAAGTTTCCCCATCTCCTCGCATCTCGAACTCGAAGGGATGAATGTCTCCGTCAGAATCAAATGCCCACGTCATTGCCAGAACGGAAGTCGCCCCCTTGTTGTCCCGGCTGAGTCCGAATGATTCAAAATGATCCAGATTGCCCGGGCCTTGCACCTTGTTCACTGCAAAAGGAAAATAATTTTGGAAAATTAAAGATCAATAGGAGATTTACGTCGAAGAAAATTAGTTTGCCTCGTTGTTGAAAATTGAGAGTATAAATTTTGTAGAAAGAAATTCGAATTTTAAAAGTGTATGTATGTTCAAGAATAATTACCTTTTGAATGAAATTTCCAAGGCAGAGCAACACTAATCTGGCCATCGGATGAGTCAAAGTCCACTAAAATCTCGTCAGAATCCAGATCGAAGTGGCGATGGGCGACGAGAAACCCGAAATCGGAGAAAACTCCATGCTTTACGAAGACACGACCCACCGTGCCCAAGATGTCGGAAATGTTGAGACGCTCTAGTTTTGGAATTACTAGTGGAAGCAGGGGAACATTCCGGTAGATTTCTGGATCGTAGGAAACCATGTTTGTTTTCTAGATTCAGATTCTTTGAAAATTTATTCTTCGGATTTATTTATGTCTGCAGTTTAGAATTGTTGAAGTGTAATGACAAATTCGACTTCAAAGATCCGCTTTTATACTGGAAAAAGGATGGGAAATGATGCATTTTCATGACAGAATTGTGTACAACAGTCATAAAAATTAAGAGTTGTTCATGAATTGTAATAAAATTAAATATTTGCTGACTAAATGGAGTGTCATTGAGCATCATAAAGAAAGGATCGGAGGTCTCACGCACTCTGATTACTAATTTATTACACTAGCTCGGACATATTCAAATAAGGGGACATTTTTTACTTCGAAAAATATTTTGTTCTCACAAGCTCGTAAACTCAAATCTTAGAATTCTTGAAAGTAGAGATTGAGTGCTTGTATTAATTTTTTGAATTTAATGACAACTGTTATTTGGGAATTATTTATAACGACGATGCACAGATTTCACCAAGCAGTCATTTGATCGCTAGTTGAGTTGGTAGGGATATCTTTGTACTAAAGTATAAACTTACAAAAATTGGGGTACACTTCATGAAGTCTGAGACATATAAGTACATGAATTCAGTAAAAGGATTATTTATCCTTTATCCTTCTCTAGCAAAAAAGTATCGATACCGGAAAAACACGCGGTTTAAGTTAAATAAGCAATCAATTAACGTGAATGATTTATTAACGCAGTTCAATCTCCTGTCAATTAAAGAACGTCGTGACTTATTTCTGTACAAATATGCGTTTAAAAAACTTTTGCACTCTATTAGTTCGTCTTCAGGGAGGCGTACTTGGCCCCTATTGACCGTCCCATCTTATACGTTTGCACAAAAATCGATACATTATCGAGCAGTTAAACTTTGGAACAAACTACCTAGGGATTGGGACCCCAACATGAGTTATGTTAAATTTGTACAATCATGTCGTGAATATATAATTAATAAGCGTTCTGATGACTATTATTATTATTTATGAAGTAAATGTTAGAACAATGTAGTTAGATATTTTTATGCTTCGTATATAGTTATAGCATTTTGTGTCATGGTTTGCAAACCAGTTATTGTTAACTGATATCCATTTACACGTGAATAAAAGTTGAAATGAAATGAAATGAAAGTAAATAGGTTTTCATGAACTGCTTAATTACCCATTAATTCTGCCAAGTCAAATCAACAAAATCTTATACAGTAACTACCGGATATGCCATGGATTGCATGCCTTTCTCACACTCTCTCTCAGTCGTAACCTGGGTTTAAAGTGGTACATACATACATACATATGTACATATTTCTTATATTTCCCAATGAGTACTTGCAAAACCATGAATTTATATAGTATACATGTTCATGTTTATATCCTATACATGTTCATGTGCAAAACTTGTAAAGGTGAACATATGTAAGTAATATGTAAATTTTAAGTAGTATGTATTTCAACCATTTTGCATATTTAGATACTGATTAAATATTCTATTGAGGCACAAACTAGCAATTTTTTAGAGAATTAAATATCCTCGTTAGATTGTGTGCTCATCATATTTCTTGTAGTCTTTATTTTATGAAACATTAAATAATCGATAGACCATTTTTCTGTCTAAATAAATATGTAGTCAAGTAGCTGATTGAGTGTGGTACAAACTTGTTGAGCTAGTGAACAAAATTGTCAATTATCAGTCATATTTCTATTCTTGTTTTCATGTTTCATATTTCTTTCCATATCAATCACGTCAATCATATTTCTATATTCATACTGCCGTATATTTTATGCAGTTGAGTGAATCCTTTTACTGATGTACTTAAGAATGACACCTCATTATACTAAATCTCGATATTATAATATGTGTCACACGTGTCACACAAAAATGAAATTATGAAGGTCGTCCTGTAATGTTCCAAAGTTTGCTAGTAGATTTATTTGGTCATCCTTAATTGCGGCCAGATATATTTATAATGCATAATCCGAAATTGTCATAAAATTGTACCCCGTCATGATTTTATTAAGCTGTATGTACATATGAAAACCTATAACCACAACTTAACGTCCACAACAGTAACAGGTTTGCAGTCCAAAGAACCCACCGCGTTTTGACCACCAGCGTACCCACCCACGTTCTGAAAATGAGATAATTTGATTTTTTTACAATCTTATGACCAAAATTTAAAAAAAACTTTATACTCACCATTACAATTTCGGTCTCTCCTACCCCTGTTAGCCCAGCAAGCCCAACCGTTCGCATCCGGGCAATTCTGTCCTTCCACCATGGTTGTCATGACAACCAAAACGGTAACGAAGAGAAACACAGCGATAATTTTCGAATTCATGATTTTTTCGTGTTAGACGATTCAATCATGTGATTACTGTAGGTGAAGTGCATTTTTATATACAAATTGAACTGTGATTTTTAATTTATTAAATTTCAAGTCGTCAGGAGGAATTCGTGGAAGTATTACAATTTAGTGGAAAAGTTCCACTGACTACTGAATAAATAAATGTATGTATATACAATGACATCGCGAAGTATTGAGGCGTCATATTTTGCATTATCTCGCCGTGGTAATTTAATCTCATTCTTCGACTTTCATGCTTTTTCTGCATATAAATTGGTACGTCTAAATTTATGATTCTGTAAAAACTTCCATTATTTCACCCAGCTGTGTATATAGTGTAGTTTATCTAGAATTTTGTAAAAGAAAGTATTTAATAAATGTGTCTAATAAATTGGCACATGATTGCATGTCTTATTAAGCTGACTCATCAAAGTACATAGAAAATGTATTTTTACAAACAACACGGATAACATTAACATCACTTTTTTGTTGTTGCATTTTTATAAAAAAATAATTTATCAGGTAACAATGGCAATGAGGGTAATAGTTATTTCTTCGTATCCGTAGTATTGTAAAATAGTTTACGAAGAAAAAACAAAGGGTCAGGTTTAGTAAAAATCGTAAGCGTAGTGACTTGATTTTCGACAAAATCTTATGATACTTACAAAATTTCGTAACCGGTATTTTATTCCAGTTAAACGTTTACATTTCGTAAAATTTCTCGTATTTTGCTCAATAAAACAAATCTAACAATCACTACGCTAACCTTAGATTTCATGAAAATCTTTGATGAAAAATAAATGTGGACTAGTTCATGCCCGTATATATTTAGTTAACTTTTTCATTAAGGATAAGTATAAACAATTTTTTTCTAACATGTGCATATCCCTTAGGCAGTAGGGAGTGGCAAAGGGGGAGGACAAACTCCTACTAATCCTAAGGTGTAACGAGTTTTTTTACCTCATCTGTAGCATAGTAAGCTATTTACGCATGAATGACGACATCGGTACACATTCGAAGTTAGAAATACAATGCTGTCTTCAAGGTTCAAAATATCATAAATGCAGTTCCAGACGACAATACATGCATACCTATGTATAAAACTTTTTAGAGAATATTGTGCAAATGAAGAACACTACGACAAAATTGCGAAGTTACATACATACGTTTGCACATATACTTAAATAAATATTTTTCTTACATTCACATAAAATTTTTAAAACCAGACGCATGCATAACTTGTACAATGTAACGAACCATTGTTAAATGACTAAATTAATGGCATTTAACTTTTAAATATCACAAAAAGACATTTAAAGAAAAAGATTGTTTAAAAAATGACAAAGCTCACTCCAAACCATTTTTCTCTCTATTGATCAGCTTCTTCGTGACATAAATACGAAGGTCTAAATATTTCTGAAATCCGGCCCAGATAAAAAAACCATTTAAGATATGAAGCTCTTTTTGGTAAAAATAGAAATATTTCAGTTTTCACATTTTTATGTAATTTTTCCCAATTAAAAATTTACTCTTGCACAGATTTTGTTCGCTATGATCACTGTTATCCTAACTCTGCTTGGTAACAAGGCTGATTCGCTGCCATTGCCGGAAGACGACGCGCCGCCACCACAACCACCACGCTTCATAAGCGGAAGAGCGTTTCTGTCCAGTATGAAAAAGAAGGATGACCCACCCAACCCAGTGAAATAGGAAGAATTCTGAAATTCAGGAACGAGTTGGAAACTAACGTTGTAAAATATTTAGTATCGACATGCATACGTAGGCCTAACAATAAATAAAGCGTTACAACGCAAATATGTAAATATGTAACCAGAGAGTGAAACTTTACGTAAAAATATTATTAAACTTGATCAAAATAGTCGACGCCATAGCATTGCAACAACATGATTGAATGATTCGTACATTTTTCCAGTAATGTGTCCTTCAGAAGTCTAATAACCATAAAATTGTTATAAAAAAAGTGCGAAAATTCGTAAAAACGTAGATTTCCTTAAGAGTGGACTGGGTAGATTTACATATGTAAATACGTAATCTACCCATTAACCCTACAGAGTTTACCCTATTGCATTACCAGTCTAGAGTTTAAAGAATAGTGAAAAGATAATATAATCCGTTAAATCATACCAATTTAAGTATAAACGAGTCAACTGTTCATTCAGTAATTCAATTTGGTCCGTTCTCTCATACTTATCCTCCCCAGTTAAGTACATATAAATACAAATATCGTCTCTCCATACAGCAAAACGCACAAAAAATTGCACAATGCTCAATACAATAAAGCATAGAATTCTCTGTTAATTGATCATGATTAGATTAGAGTCACGAGTTTTTATCATGACAGGCCAAATATAACAGACCCTGAAATCACTTGTCATCCAGTCTTCTTGTTCATCTCTAGTCGAACGGCGAAAGTATATTTATTTCTGCTAAAAAACCGGTAAAGAAATTATTACTTATATGCTTTTTGGCTTGTTGAAACCGTTTTTGCTCTAATTTTTCTGCAAAGTTATAAATGTGTCTAATATATATTTCGCACGACTTGTACTTATTGCTCTCCAAGTTCTTCTTTTTGGGGGTTCGTTTATGTCAATTGCATGCGATTTTCATAAATACATACATGCGTATTCATGTCAAAAATATTTAATATTTTTTCTTAACGAAATATGTATTACAATTAGACCCAAAAGCAACATTTATCCGATATTAAAGATTCGAAAGATAAATATTTTTCGCATTTTTCGAATTTACAGGTGTGCCTTCTAAATTTTCCAAATCATGGCGTCCGAAGTGTTCCAATCCGCTTTTGCTTCGAGCTTAGAATATACCGCAGAAGAAAAAGAAAAAATATCCCAGCTCCGGAACAATGTTGCCGATCTTGGTCTACAAGGAGATCAACTTGATGATTCATTTCTCGTCAAATGGTTACGAGCAAGGTATCTCGATCTTCCCAAGGTATGCAAACTACAAATTTTTAATATAATTATGTACGATTTTTAATGTACAATAAATAATAAAATAATAAATAAAATACAATTTTGTATTTTTTAAAGGCAGAAGAGATGTTACGAAAATCCATGAAATGGCGGAAAGAAAACGAAGTTGACACCATTTTGGAACGAGAGGGTCACACAATTCCCCCCGACATGGTGAAATTGGGTCCTATCGCGTTCTGCGGGATTTCGAAGGATGGCTACGGCGTGTTCGTTGCCCCCTGGGGGAGACACGACTTACGTTCCCATATTGAAAAATATGGGACGGAAGAGTGTCTGAAATATAATACGATATTTATGGAAAAAATGGTCAAAATTATGCAAGACGAGGGAGCCAAGGTTGGCATGAAGGTCACACAAATGATCGAAATTGCTGATTTTGAAGGGTAAGAATATATGCAAATATATTTCTGCAAACTGAGAAAAATGCATATTTATAAAAATGTTCATTCATTTCGCAGATATTCATACCGACAAATGGCTACGAAGCAATGTCGCGAATTCATGATTAAAATGCAAACCTCCATGGATGAGAACTACCCAGAAATACTGCGATACGCAATGTTCATCAATGTTCCCAAAGTTTTCGCACTCATTTACAACATGCTTAAACCCTTCATGCCTAAAGCGACCCTGGATAAGATTGATATTTACGGACCAGACAAGGAAAAGTGGGCAGCAGTTGTGAAACAAAAGTTCCCAGTGGAGAGAATTCCCCCGCACTGGGGAGGCACGCTTCTAGGAGAAGATGACTATTGTAGTGGTGACCCCATTTGGATTCAAGGCCCGGATAATATGACCGCCTTTATGAGAGGTGACTAAAAAAATTATATTTGTTTGTGTGAAATTGTTGATACATCATGGTCACTAGTATTTTTGAATATGGTATTTTGTACATATTTACATACATTTCATAATGTATTTTTCATAATTATTTACATGTTCATTTATGGAACAAACCCACGGGCAGTCTAGGGATTGGCAGTGAATTCACCTGCTTTGGCCGTGAATTCACGGGCCTGAAAGTCTGCAGATTCACGGGCTTCAAGATAGGAAAAGCTGTGAATTCACGGCCCAGAAGAAAAAATAATTTAAAAATAATTCTAGGGCTGTGAATCTGCAGCTTTTCCTATCTTGAAGGCTGTGATTTCACGGGCTTCAAAATTTTTTATTTTCGTTTTTTGAAAATTTTAATTTTTCTGAAAACTTTTTAAAAAAACGCAGGGGCCCAAAAAATAGGATAATTTTGTTTACATATTTAGAGGTTTATTTTTAAAAAATTCATCCATGCGAAATTCGAAATAACTCAATTTCAATTGAAAAAAATTACATTTCTCAAATAATGCGCACGCTGGCACGTCGAACGCAAACAACAATAAAAAGTTGAAAGTAGTGCCCTGAATATATTCTGAAATTCATGCATTTGTTTATGATATCCTATACTACATGAACTATGCTCAAAATTGAAAGGAGGCCCCACTTGACCACACCCACAGGGTGGGGCAAAGTGAGATTTTGGTCAGCATCAACACATTATGAAAAAATATTAAGTTTAACTGTTCGGGACGTTGACCCTACTTGACCACACCCCCGGTATGGGGTAAAGTGAGATTTTGATCAAAATCAACAAATTTTTGATTTTCGGAATTTTCACATAAACTAATCCGTCAAAACTTGAATTTGTGTACAAGGGGAGTGGTCAGAGTCCAAAATTATGATGATTTCCGAAATATTCTTACAAAATAATGTGTAAAACCGCCACTGTTTGAATTTGTGCATATGACCACTCCTACTCGAAGGGGGAGTGGTGGGAACTTAAAAAACTTAAAATGACAAAGATTTTCGAAATTTTCACACAAAATAATGTGTAAATCCGTCACAATTCTAATTTGTGCATATGACCACACCCCCTCGGAAAGGGGAGTGGTGGGAACTTAAAATGACAAACATTTTGAAAACCTTGATTATTTTGCACAATATGCAAATAGTGGAAGTAAAACTTTGTAGTGTATATAAGATGACTTAAGATAAGCATTCAGTGACAGCCAACCGTCAACCGTGCTAACTGATTGTTCTGATGGGAAATTCACGGCTCTGGAAATTATTTTTTTCCGGGCCGTGAATTCACAGTTTTTCTTATCTTGAAGCCCGTGAATCTGCAGCCTCTCAGGCCCGTGAATTCACGGCCAAAGCAGGTGAATTCACTGCCAATCCCTAGACTGACGGGGTAGACTCTTTCTCTTCTTTTAAAGAGCATCAACTCTACTAGTATTCAGTTAGAATGATAAGTGTCAGTTACATAAATTTATGATAAGCGTAGTACAGCACGATAACACAGTATATACCTAAGTATATGTAACTGGCATTTGTGTATACATATGCAAAATTACTGGAAGAATGTATCCCACCGAGGTGGGGATGTGGAATTGTGAGAACAATACAGCATACAAATTTAAATTTCCCTATCCCTGCAATGTCATCTATCTAACTCCTCCCCTTCCTATCTTACAATGGTATTGCCTCCATAACGTCCCACTTGAATAAAACATTTATAAGTTATGGCTACAATGGATATATGTAGATAAATACTTTTACAAAATTTAGTTATGGAAAATGTCTCCCTTTTCAGGATTAACTGAGGAGGACGCCGCCTTTGAGAAGGTGACCATTGCTGCACGTGAGCGATACATTCAAGAAGTCGAAGTCTTAGGGAAGGATACAATTATCGAGTGGAAATTCAAATCCGAAGGGCACGATGTCGGATTTCAATTATTTTATTCAAAGGAGGCTCGTGCCAAGAAGGATAAATCGGTCGATATCATTCCTCTCTCTCGAGTCGATGCCCACACTCAGGTGCAAGTGGGATCACACGTTTGTGAAAATGAGGGAATTTATTCCCTCGTTTTTGACAATGGATTCAGTCTTATGAAAGCCAAGACGGTCATGTATCAAATATCGTTCGTTGATCCAGCCACCAGTCAAGATAACCCTGAAGCTTAACATGAGAAGCTAATTGATTACTAATTGATTTGAGTATTAATTGTAAAAATCAATGCAAAAAGTAAATAAATAAATCGTTATTATCCGTTTTCAAATTTGTCGTTATTATCCGTTTTCAAATTTGAAACCACTTAATTTCATACCATTCTCATTTTTTTGTCAACCGAAACGTACATAATTTCCACCGTTTATGAAATATTTCAAGAAAATTATTATGCACACTTTTATGACCATTCAAGCTTAAGCATTTACATAATTATTTGTAGAGGGTAATGCATACAACTATTACGGTAATAATAAACCAATGGTTATTTATATCAACACATAAAGTTCCTGGCAATTCTGTAATTATCAAATGGTTATGAAAGAACAATTAAAATGTTGACTACTTTGTTTTGTACGGATATCCAAATCCGGCCTAGTTCTCAATAAATACTGGAAAAATAGGTAGTAAAATAATCTCTCATTTCACAAGCTTTTGAAACAAGGAATGTGTAACACAAGAAATTAAACTTGATCAAAATCATCAAAAATGAATAAATTCCTCTTAATCATTCTCTTAGTGGCGATTACATCAACAGTTGTTGAGGTAGGTTTACTAATATGTAAATTGATTCATTAGTCTCATCTAGCAATTAAATCTGAATTACTCAGTCTCGAAATGTCGCAGAATTAAAATATTACGAGCAACACATAATTTTTAATAGACATTTTATTTTATAAAATTGATCTTATTTTTTATTTCCAGGCGAGACGCCGTCGGTTTCGATGGACTGATCCGTGGGACGACATGGTTGACGGGATGGCTCGTGCTTGGGGCTTCAAAAAGCGTCATGGTCGGAGCAGTTCGTCAGAATCGGATTCTTCTTCCGATTCCAGATCAGGCTCGTATGAGCGACGTCGACACGGACGCCATCGACGACGCCACGGCAGACACTAAAAGAATACAAACAATTTTTGGTTAATGGATAGATTTTCAATAAACAATCTCATAGTGTTACTTATAAAGTTTTGTGGAATTTCGCATATAATGATTCGATACATACATAATTCCGTACAAATTTCACAAGTATAATAATTAAAGAATTCGTGTTGAAGAGATGCAGAAATTCATAAAAAGTAGATTTCCGATGAACGAGTTAATGGGTAGATTCAAAATCTACCCAATCACCCAACAAAACCCATTAGTTTCGAGTTTAAAGGATAATAAATCCAGTCGTATTATCTGACACGTGGTTAAATAAGAGCGTTATAAATACGTTCAGTAAACATGTATGAGTGATTACAAAAGTACGAGTAAACAATTAAAACGAACAACCAACGTTGCCTTCCAGCAACTTAATTGCAGATAAGCCATTGTTTTTCAGTGTGCAAACAAGCACTCGAAAAACCAACAAGTCTTATCATGTCTGCCCACTTACCTCTTCACTGTACTTAAACACCATTAGCTTTGTACAAATACATACTTGAAATCATAAGGCATTAAGCTAATCAATTTCACCCTTAAATTTTTCCCATGAGAAAAACGTATTTAATCTCGGTTCACCAAGTCACTTGCTCACAAATAAGTTTCTTCACAAGTTGTAAGAGTATAATAATTTTCAAAAATGTGGCTGATTTCCATAACACTACTCTTCGCCACACTTTGGCTGCTACGATATTTCTTCAAGAATCACAATTCCGCAAAATTAACGTACTGGAAAAAACAAGGATGGCCCATTCTCGAAGAAACCATTTCCGGCTGGGACGTATTCACGGGAAAGGGAAACGTGTCTGACTCGGATGTCGAGTACTACAAGGAGTTGGAGCGTCAAAAAGAGCCGTGCGGTGTGGTGACAGAATTGGGAACGCCCATCGTCGTCGTTAGAGACTTGGATCTCGTAAAAGATATTTTTATCAAGGTTTGACATACATAAATACGTGTTAATTGGCATACTCACGATAGCGCCTTATTTAGAATCGCAACTCATTTAGCAAAGTTACTATGTTTACAAAATTAGATTTTATTAAATTTAACTGTTTCTTAAAACCTAGGATTTTGATCACTTCACGGATCGACGAGCATTTGGCGATGTCGATAGAATCTTTAAGGATGGCTTATTCGGTTTGGAGGGGCGACCATGGAAAAATATGAGGACCTTTTTAAGCCCGACATTTACTTCGGGAAGGATTCGTAAAATGTTTTGTCATTTTGAAAAGTATGCTGAAAAAAACTTCATAAATTTATCATTTGTTCACATTTTAACTAAATGAATTCTTTTTACTCAACAGGAGTGCCAACAACTTGACAAAGTTCATTAAAAGCCACCACCTCTCCAAAAATGCGACCCACTTCGACATCCCCGTGGTCTACACGATGCGAAAATTTTCCATGCAAGTCATCACATCAGCCGCGTTCGGACTGAAGGTGGACTCGTTTCAGGATAACGACGTCGTCCCCATGGCAGAACGAATCTTTGTGTTTCCGATCTGGCAAAAAATACAGATGCTTATTTCCCAACAATTTCCGAAACTGTCGAGTTTCTTAAAATTAAAGATATTTGATTTTGAAGCGGCCGACTTTTTCTGGGGACTAATTTCCTCAGCGTTAAAAACTAGGAAAGAAAATGGGGTCAAGGGGAATAAAATGTAGAATTGTGTAAAATTTTCAAATTTTGCAAAAAAAAAATTGCAAACTTTGCAAAAATTTGCGCTTAAATTTACAATCTTAACGTGGATGGTTTCACATTTACCTATTTAGACTAATTATCATTGCAGAGGTGCTGCGACTGTATCCATCCGTGGCGAGGCTGGACCGAATTTGCAATAATGACTACGCCTTACCGGAAACGAAAAATGGTGGAAAACGACGAATAATCCGGAAGGGAACTGTGATAGCCGTGCCAGCTGATGCATTTCACAAAGATGAGCAATATTTCCCAAATCCGTTCAAGTTTGACCCGACCCGATTCAATCAGGAAAATAAAGCCAAGAGGAACCCTTACGCTTACATGCCGTTCGGAATCGGTCCTCGAAGTTGTATTGGTATGAATTTATACTTTAAAAGATAAGGATCGAAGGAAGGATTTGACTTATTCATTTACGTATTTATTATTTTAACAGGGATGAGGTTTGCTATTGTGGAGACGAAAGTCGCGTTGGCATATATTGTGCGAAATTTCACAATAAGACCGACAGCAGGGACCCCAATACCGGAGAAAATGGAAAAGGACATTCTGGGTTACAAAGTTGCATCGAATGTCAATCTTCAATTCGTACCGAGAAAATAATTATTTTATGTCAGGCAGTTTTAATATCGAACTTAAATTAGTCAGCGATTTGATTTTCGTCGTAATCGTCAACAATAATGTTAATATTTATAATTTATGTGATACTTAATGATTATAATTTACTGAAAAGTCGATTTAAAAAACATTAGCTTGTATTATTTATATTGATAAATTTTCTCAATAAATAATGGGCGTATGTACGCACAACAACCTTTGCATATCTCGAGAATTGAGCATAACAATATAAGCTTACGAAATTTACGAACTAACATTTTGACCATCTTCTCATCAAACAAATTTTTGGAGCTTCACAAATTTGCAAAATGAGGTCCCATTGCTGAAAAATGTCGTGTATGCCCAAGATACATGAATATGTACCTATGTACGTCGTACACGATTTCAACTCAATAATCCGAAATGATAAAATTCATAAGTGCACTCTAACAATAAGTGGATTTATGGGGAGCAAATGAACCAAAGTTGCAAAACTGTGTTAGTTAAATAAATACAGATATTCAATTTTTAGACGAAAATATAACGATACATTTATTAACATACGAGTTTTATCATCCATAACGCCAGTTTGTGTACCAATGTGAGTAGAAAACTATTTTATTCGTTAACTATTTTAACTATTTATTTAACTATTTTATTATTCGAGTAAATATATAAATTGTGAATATACACTGTCACCGGACGTAATATGTATTACATATGTACATAATACATAGGTATTTACATTTAAACAATGAGGGTATTCACGCACCCTTGGTAACTACGTAAACAGCGTAAAATCCGTAAACTTACAAACGTTTACAAACAGCTTCCCGTGAATTCACTTTCGCAATTATTTTCGTAAAAATTTATCTGATAATTGAAACAAAATGCCGATCATTTCCAGAAAACGGAAATTAATGGAAGAAATTTGTGGAGCTGCATTTATTGATATAATAAATACCACGAACAGTGAAGGCTGTTCCTATAAAAATTTCGAAATTCAACCCTCCTAAATTCTAATCCTAAATCACACTAAATCTTAGCTGAATATATAACTTCTTAGAAATCGGTATCGGTCACCCCAACGGGTCCCGGATGTGATTTTTTACCAATTCCACTTCATATTCTTCCATTAGGAGCCTTTAGCAGCCTCTATACCAAATTTCAGCTCGATTGGATGATTTTGAAAAATCGGTATGGGTCACCCCTTCGGGTACCTCCAGATGAAAAATTTTCCAATTTCACTTCATATTCTTTCATTAGGAGCCATTAGCAACCTCTATGCCAAATTTCTGTATCGAACAAATTTTTTTCTTCCGCAAATTGAGTTTACAAAATACTTTACAAAATTAAAAGACGCCTGTGAGCTGCGTAAGTTTACAAAAGTTTGTAAACTGATTTTCCTTGACAATTTTTGTAAAAGTTTGTAAACGTTTGTAAGTTTACGGATTTTACGCTGTTTACGTAGTTATGAAGGAGGGCGTGAATTGCCTCAATGTAAATAAATGTATGTCAAATGAACATGGAAAGAAAAATAATAAAAGTTTAAACAATGTGGAGAAAATTGTACTGATATGAAAATCTGAAATTTTCTAGATAGGTAATTAAACTAACACTGCTCGGTGTTCACCATTGTCCATGTGTCACCATTTACCAATGCGTTTCAAACCGAATGATTATCAACATTAAGTACAATGTCTTTAAAAACAAGCGAAAAGAAAATGTGTCGATAAGTTAACCTACGCCAACAAACCAGTGATCACAAAATCCAAAATAGTTTTGTAATAAACCGATTTAAATGAAGTCTTCATATCAAACAAGACGACGTCTCCACACGCCATTCGCCATCCCACGGGCTTCAAACACACGGCCTTCCTCTTCAAATATTTTGACGTGTACAACGCTCCTTTCCATCCGTGCAGCAATTCTTCCACATCTTCACGCACCTTTAACGTCAACGGGATCAAGAGCTTCATCAGCACCGCGATATTCAACGCCACCGATGGAAACAGTTGGTAAATGGCGAATGGAAGATGGTCATAGAATCGGATCGTGATAAATATGAGGATGATCTCCAAAATTAGGGCATGTCCGGCTAAAAGGAAGATAAAATTGTCCCCCGGTCCACTCAACCCTTGCAACACGAGGCAGAAATGTGTATACTTGGTCACACACAATTTCAAATTGGCGCCCCCACTTTTTGGAATTTTGCATAACGCTGCCACATTTTTGTTGCATGAATCTATCACCACGGAGAGAATGTGAATTATGAAAGACATATTTCTGCAGATATTCGTTGCTACACAAAACGTGACGAAATATCGGATAACGTAGATTACGCAGAGGACTGGAGTAGATTGAGAGCTTCCCAAGATTCGGGTAATCATTACGTAGCAAGGGTCAATTTTAAGATAAATGACGCCAATTGGGAGTGACGGGGGTATGACGGCGTGAAGGAGGGCGGCTCCTTGGAGAGCGAGAGAGATGACCATGTCCATCCGTGCTGCTGGTTCGGGACCCACTTTTAAATTTTCAGACTCAAATTGTAGCATTCTCGAAAATCCTGAGCAAATATCTGACCCAGAATAAATTTCTCCAATAGTGACGAATAATCCAGACCCGGTGTACACCATGCAAATTATGTAGGACAGTGTCATGAAAAGTGGGAGAATTTCATCCTTTGAAAAGAGATGTTGAAAGAGGAGAAAAATGCAGCAACCAGAGGTGAAAACGAGATTTAGTACGATTTCCGTGCAGAACCAAATCCAACATTTTTTAGAATTATATGTAAATTTATGTTTGGATGCATCATAGCTTAAGGGACGTTTCCAACTCCATCGGTACAAACTTTGATTGAAGGAAAGAGAGGTCAGCAGGTCCCCACTGGAAATCGAGGGGTGGAGAAAAAAACGTAAAATTTTGATGAGTTGAAACTTATCCATGGGTCTGAAGTAAAAATGTGTGCTTAATTATTAAGTTGCTAAAAATATGTAGTATCACTGCGAGTATGTAAATACAATTCCAAAAAATAAACTATTGATTGTTATGTTGTGGAAATAAACAAGTATTTAAAACTATAGAATTTATATAATGCTCCTTGAAGGACAAATGTGAGATTATCGATTTGCTCCTTAATTTGTCATTCTGATTAGATTGGGTAAACAAACAAAGCAACTAAAACAATATGCATATGTATATACGTAAGAAACTTTTATAACTTCATTTACAAAATTGATATGAATATAGCAAAAAGCTTCATAAGCAAGCATTATTTATTCATTAATATCCACGTGCATATGAAGGTAACAAATTGATTGTCTGTTATGAGTACTTTTCGTTAGATTCTAGTTAAACAATAATAATTTTGCAATATCCAATATCGACAAATTAGGGCTATTCGGGAATTAATCAGACTCCTCAGTGAGAAGTCCTCAAACTCCAAAGAGTACACTCAAACAATAACTATGCAAATTCGAAACAAACGACTATGATTTTTTTAAACTCGATGTGTTTCGACCAAATCCTCTCTTTAACATTAGATTGCTAAATACAACATTGTCCTATTCCGTTAAAGTCATGTGCAGAAAAACGCTCAGAATTTCATGCTGCATCCAAATGTACATTATAAATACTTCCCAAGTTAAGAAGTTATATTAGCAAGCATAATGCATACTTACTTTACCATTGCTATCTTCATGCATTGCCATTTTATTGTTGGACTACTGACAGCACGTACATACAAAAAGGTTCAATGCATGATGTCTTAATTTGTTGATGCATACCTACATACATATGTTTATCGAAAATGATGATTATCAATAATTCTACAAGCTTTCAAAATATCGTATGTAATTGAACTCCAACCTGATTTATGTATATATAAATCAATCAACCGCAACATGACACGTATGTATAACATTTACATTTTCAACAATTCTACCCCTTCCAATGCATTACAAAGTCAAGTTGTTGATTGCATATTTTGAAGTGCAAGCATCAAATACTTTTCATTTGCATATCTGCAATTCTGCTAAAGCTAAATTTATATTGTGTGCACATGACAATTCCTGCCTACGTTAATCAAGTACCATTGTGTCCATGCCAGTCAGTCATGCTTCAATGGGGTCACTATTCCAACCAGCACAAATATCTGTATTCGCTCATTCACCAACATCAAATCAGAAACCCACGCCGCCTGCAAAAAATTCCATTTAAAAAATAAATTCATTCACTCTCCACATAGTAAACACATCCTTCCTTGCATATACATCCATACCGGCAGGAGTATGTCCATACGTACATACGTACAAACGTGTATATTTATATGTCATCATCCTCATCATCAAGTGTTTAATCATGCCACGAGCTATCTTATCTGGTCACTGGTCTGAAATTTGTACGTCGTTTTCAATGTCACCAGTTCATTCCCTGCCGAAAACTGGTGAACATTTATTCAAGTCGTGTTACATAAATTATTCTTTCAATGTCATCTTATAAATAATGGACGGAGAACCCAAATCTTACACAATATTCAATAATTCTCAAGTAAGACGAAAGTTTCTCTTTACATTGTTTATTTGTTTCGATGTTACCAGTAATTTTCGTAAATGTTTATTTTGACTGCGAATTACACACATTTTGGGCAGAATTATTGATAAAATTAGATAACTTTTGCACACGAGATTAAGCTGTTACCAGTTACGCAAATTTAAATGGTTGATTCCCATTAACAAATTTGAAAGTTTATCGAATTGCAAAATTCTGAGGAAATTTTACTTTTAACAACTAACCTTCTTAGCCCTGCGGGATATCATTTACTAATATTTGCAGGATAAATGCGTGTAATTCGTATTTAAAATAGGTCAAATTTTTAGTGGTTAATTACACTTTTATACGCTTAGATATTCTCCAAAATAGCGTCCTACCTGCCCCTCCACGACTTAAAGAATGGTCGTCTCGTCTGCCACAACTGGGCGACCGAGCTTGGTCCCACCTTGGAAAAATCGACCTTTGTCGACCTTTCGAAACCCAACTATCTCCAAACCTTACGACTTTATAATTCCTCCATTGAAAAAAATGAGACTTTTACCCACTCAAACTTCGTCATCCGGCATGACACCTCCTCCTCCGATTCTGCCGTCTACAACGTCATGATACTCCAATTATTCACCTTTATGAAAGAAACTTATGGCGAGGAGGTCAAGTGCTTACACATCATTTTGGGCGATTCTTGTCCCGGATTTCTCAATAGGTTGTTACAACTCGTACCAAATCTTAAAGTCTTGGAGGTAACGTGTACTAATTCATTTTCACTGGCAAACACGCCAAACGTGGTTAATCTCTCGGTCAGGAGAAAGTTTCCGGTCTTGGAAACGTTAAAGTTTCGCAGTGAGATCACCTCGCAGATGGAACGACGCGCCATGATGGCCACCCTGTTGACCGTGCTGTTTAGAAATTGTCCCCACAATATTAAGCGGGTGGAGGTATGGGACCCCGCAATTCAGTCGGGCATTGGGTTAGCAGCGTTTAAAATTGTGGCAAAGTTGGAACTTAAAAACTGGACGGATTTAAGAATTCCGTTCTTTGGGAATGCCATGGTTCCCGTGATCCTGGGGTTGAACCAGAGGTTAAGTGTGATAAAAGTGGGGGGTATTTATCCCGGAAGTTTCCCATCGTTGAGGAGGATTTTGGAGAAACATTCGGCGACCTTGACGATTCTACAAGTGACTTTGGGAAGTATGAGGACGTGTCCGAATGAGGCAGAACTTAAGAGTATGCAGACGCAAAATTTCGACTTTCCAAGGTTACCCGTACTTAAGAAGATGACCTGCTCGGTGGGAAAATGTAGGTGAAAGTGGTGCAAAAAAATGTTCAAAAATTGTAATTGACTCTAATTTTGGCAAAATTATATTACGACTCTCTAAACGATTTGGCAGTTTTACGCAATTTTAAATCGGCGTGAATTTTTAGCATAATTTGTGCATTATGGAAATATTAATAATTTTTTTAAACAATGTTTCAGTTCCACAAAACACATCCGTGACTTGGGAAGGCGTCATTTCACTCTACGACCGCGCTATTTTACGCATCCTGGTAAAAATGCTGGTTAAAAATTGTATGCAATGTATGTATCTAAATATCTCAAATTTTATTTAGAGTAGCAAATTCGCCGAGAAATATCCACAACTTACACAGTTAGATTTGACCTTTTCTGGAAGTTTGTCTCCACGGCGGTCCAACTTTTTCGCAAATATTGACCAGATTCCGCAAGTGAAGAATTTATCGGTAGAACTCAAACGTTGGGGGCGCACAGCCGGACGAGATGTGTGGGTTCTTCGATTAATCGATATATTTCCGAATGTTAGAAATCCTATAATAATTGAGCCTAAGGAAGATTAATTAATGAGACAGTATTAATTTTTAATTTAATAAAATTGATAAGAAGTGTGAAACATGATGACTAATTAATTGTATCAATAGTTTTGGGTTATGAAGTAAAGAATGGTAAATCGAAAGTGTATTAAGCGTATGTACGCATTTATCAGTTCATGCGGGTAGTTCATGCATGTATCTATGTACATATAATTAGATAACAGGTTCGCAGTATCGATGGGATGTTTGTAACAGACCTTGAAAGCGTACGAGTGGCCGAATCCTTGTAAATTTCAGATTTGATACGTATTCAGATATACGAGTATGTATGCACGTACATACATATGTAATGTTAATTGCACCATTGCAAATTTCTAAATAACCTGTACACTACCTCAACAGGTGCATTTTGTCCATATGATTTTTTACGGTATTCATGACATTGCCAATCTAACAGAATAAATGTTGTGACTGATAAATAAATACTGTATGGTTACCTATCTACATATGCATATTATTTATTAACTATATATGTATACCTGTAAATATGTGCATCAATTATGTACATATGTATGTATGTATCATGAGCTGGGATTTGGCAAGGTTCGAATCTTGTTGATATTCACAATAGGTTTGAGATTGTATCATTGTATGAACTAAATACATGAAGATGAAAGTTTAGCCTGGTGACAACAAGAAATCGAAATGTACACATGCTCGTAACATAAAATCAGACTCATATCCTATTGCCGTATTGTTCGTAACTAAATACCTAATCCAAAACTGTCCAACTTTAAACTGTGCATGGAAAATTTAGACTTTGATACGACCTCATCTCCCTAATCATAAAGCACGTAGTTCATCTGGATGGTCCAGATACAATCGGACAGCTGAAAAACGTAGTCTCGTGTGTCATGACTAATGCCAAACTCAGCGTTCACGATGTTCACCAATACAAACTATGATCAATTACCTTCAAGTGTTTGTTGATTGGGTTAAACAGGTTGGATTTTGCACACCACAGACCGCTTGAAACATGATTTAAGAACGCCACCGTGCACAAAAAATTCCTTTCAATATTACATAAACGCCCTCAAATAATATGCCTGCGCAAAAATCAAGTTGGTACTTTGAATGTCAGATCTACATATACAATTGAATTCATATCAGAAAAATAGATTAATTAAGAGGCATTCCTCCAGTCATGTCCCATTATCCTGGACAATGTTCAACTTGATAAGATGGCAATCAAATTTATTTATAACACTAAAATTGGTCGACATCTCTTATTAAATACGCAGTAAACCTGCTATCAACCGATCAACGTGTGCAAAAAATCCACTCAATCACCCTTTGCGAACGACTCCCTCGGGTACAAATAGCGGACCGGACCGCACCTCGTTTCATTCCAGACTTAACATCGGGACTGAAAACACATCAATTAAATCTGCTAAACATGAAACTCTTCCTGACTTTCGGCCTTCTCTTGGCATGTGGGGCGACACTGTCCTCTGCGCAATGGAACACAGTCACGGGGTACGCCACTCTCAATGGTGGAACAACAGGTAAATATGCAAAAATACCTCACAGACATAAAATTATTGCAAAAAAAACACCCAACTTACATAATTTTCTTCTATAATTCTCCTCCCAGGTGGTCAAGGCGGTGAGACGGTCTACGTATCCAACGAGGCCCAACTTGTAGCCGCTGTGACCGGCAATGATCCCCGCATCGTCAAAATCACATCTATGATTACACTTTCCGACGTCGTTCGACCTGGTTCAAACAAAACTATTCTCGGCGCTAGTCCCGGCGCAGGCGTTACTGGATCCGGTTTCTACATCCGCCGCGTACAAAACGTCATTGTCCGTGGTCTTCAAATCTCCTACTCTATCGCGCCCGACGATGGCGTCTCCATCGACGAGGCGACCAACGTCTGGATCGACCATAATGAATTCTTCGCAGATCGAGAACACGGCAAGGATTACTACGACGGTCAATTGGACGTGAAACATGCCGCTGATTGGATCACCGTTTCTTGGAACAAATTCCACGATTCTTACAAGACCAGTTTGGTTGGACATTCTGACAACAATGCGGGCGAAGATACTGGAAAGGTAGGCTTAATAAAGTAGAAAAATGTGGTCAAGTAATATTCGGGAGAATTTATTACGAAGAGCCCTAGCCACAAAATAATTTTTTTTAAATGTGAACTAAATATGTATGTACTAGCCTTGGATATACGCAAGTTTTTGCAATTTCAAGTCAAAATTTTTTGCAAACTTTTTTTTGTTTTTGCCAACGAATATTCTATTAAATTCTTAATTTTATGCAAATCTAGCTCCACATTACGTACAACAACAACTGGTTCACTGATGTCGGTTCTCGCCTTCCATCTCTCCGATTCGGAACGGGTCACATTTACAACAATTTGTACGAAAGGGTGGACATTTCTGGGATTAATAGTCGCATGGGGGCACAAGTCTTGGTCGAGAGGAATATCTTCATCGACGTGGTGACACCATTGACCACGGATTTGGACAGTGACCTCGAAGGTTTCGCCGTCGAGAGGGAAAACGACTGGGGTGATTCGGAGCCAAATATTACGCAAGAAGGATCCTTCACCAACCCACCTTATTCCTACGAAATGGAGGCACTTAACCGAGTTGCTGCAGTCGTTCGGGCTGGCGCTGGGAATACGATTAGTTTCCCATAATTTGACTGAGATTTCAATTCGAATGTTGAGCATTTAAATTATTCGTGATATTTGTTAAAATTTTAAATAAATTATTAAACAATAAAATCTATTATAGCAGAACAATAAAATTATTAGTGAGGTTATTTTACATGCATAAATATACAATTGCATGAATCCGAAGCTGCAAGGCAAGTAATAGGAGTACGCGTAAGGTGCCATTTTGGTGATCAAGCTTGTGTTTAGGGGTCTTCCTTCAAACACATACGAAATTAACAATTTGAGAAAAATGCTATACTTATGCCACATATTATAAGAGAAGCAGGCTGGTCTGGAATTAAGATACATAATCTCTCCTAATTTCAAATCTGAGTATATTGATTATTTGTTATATACTTCTAACACATTAGGCGCAAGTAATATTGAAAGAAATGTTTTTTACCACAATGGCCCCCTGGGGATGAGTCTGTCAGTTCATTTATAAAATCATTTTTAATTAATTTCTTAAACACTATAAAAGTGACATATAAAAATGATTTATTTTATAAGAAGTAATTTAATTTATTCCATTATTTACTACGTATAATGGCAGGTACATTACATAAAATCTGGAGTTTACATGTATAGCAAACTGCTGTTCGGTTGTTTCTTTATACAATTATGAACATATTTGGACAGTTTAACATGTTATAAGCTAGCTTACACATTTCAAATTATATATATTTTCTGAATTTATCTGTAGCAATTCAAGATCTACATTAATATTATCTGAAATCGAGTCATATTTACCTTTGCATAAAACATAGCGAGCACTTGAGCTTATCGCTCTTTCCAAAAATCCATACAGTATTTGTGAAATTTAAAATTGACATAACAAGAGCTTGTACCACAGTAGTTTTTTGCTTTGCAGCTACCACATTTTCGCCAAGCGACCATAATGCACGTTTACATTTCTTAACCGTCATAGAGCAATACGAAAGGCTAGGTCCTCATTGCACCCCATGCATTTTAACAATTTGTACCTTTTATAGTGGTTGCCATTTAATTTAACTACAATTTCTTCCTGTTTTAATTCGTATTTCTTACTTATTTGAAATCCATATATTCGCATTTATCATCATTACATAAATCTTGTCTGTTACATTACATCCAATTACTATCACAAACATATCTAGATCATCCTTTAGCTTTCTTATGTATAACATTTTCAAGTTTGAAAAATATACAATTTTAATAAATAAATCTCCGAAACTTTATACTTGGTACTACCCATTAAGTAAATATGTAATTGTTAGTTTATAAGTAATATACACATGTTGGCTTAAATATCAACATCAAGGTATTTTATGTATCTTAGTCAAAGCGAAATATTTAGAAATTTCAAATAATTTCAAATAAGTCGGGTGAACACTTCTTCACCCGTAATAATTTCCACATATCGTATGTAATAGCTAACATGCAAATACTGATCCATCTCATATTGGTCAATCCAACTGTACGTTAGTGGACAACGTCGTCGTAATGTGGTGGCACTGGGAGACAAAAATATTTGCAAAATCAATTATATGTACATCAAAACACAATTTATGATTCTTGAAACACTTACACGTCTGAATCGACGCTATTGACGATCTTCTCGACCCCAGTTGCGAATATGAGGGTGGAAATATGGACAAGAGCGACATCGACCGTATCGATAAGAACGAGGGTGACCTTCTCCTAGGGATTTGTGCCAGGGCAGCATCATATTCGTCCCCTTCTCGGGGAACGGTGGATGGAATCGGTGCTTTAGAAACGGTTCCCAAGGTGACAGGTATACTCCCACTAGCCGTTTTTAAATCCATGGTGACAATCTGAATCTGCACGATTAAAAAAATTTCAGAATACATGTGCAGCACAATTCTAATTTCAGACCATTCTTACCTCAATTTCATACCCGATACTAAAAAACGTATCACACGTTGAGCAGTATGACGGAACTTTGACACAGTTCCCACTAAACTTTCCCCTTCGTTCACACATCTCTCTTTTCAAGAACCGTTTAAACGTTACACAATCCAAAACCCTGGACTCCGCATCATTCTCTCCGTCAAGTCGTACCTTTTGCAGGAGAGAAATCTCAACTTTTTTAACCCCGACGCGTAACGAGTCCAACAATCTGACAGTGAATGGGATGCTTTCACTAATGAGAAATTCATCTCGTGGCAGTTCAACGGCGACTTTCACCCCATCCACGCGCACTTCTTGCTCTATTAAACTTGTCAAATGAGGTCCCCGACAGATTTCAAGTTGGCCTGGGAACTGAATCACTTTCTCCTTGATGGTCACATAGTCGCCATACTTTTTCATAAGAACGACAAGTTTGTGCTCAATGGAAAATAAGGCCGAGTCAAACGTTGGTGGTGGTGGCAATTCATCCTGTGCGTTTAAAACGAAGGGAAATTTAATAAAGGTGAAGAGATCAGCTTTCACGGCTGCTTTTCTTATTCCGCATAATCGACGAAATGTTGGAGAAAGTTCGGTCCGATTTTTAACAATTAAATCGACACTGGTCTCTCCATATTTTAAAGTGGAACACAGCTCGATGAATAATCCTGGACAGAGAAAAAGTCAAGTTTGTACATGCATTAATGTAAGTTTTGTAAAGTTGCAAAGTTTAAGAAATTAGAAATATGCATGCAGCTGTACACTTACCAGAGTGTGACCTATTCATGATAACTTCCACAATTCCGGATATCGCACCATCACTGGCAATCTTACTCACTAATATGTTGACCCGGTCAGGAATTTGCTGTGGTCTTTTGGTCTCTGCAGCAACCTGAAAAATCGCAGTGGGAGGATTTTCTTGGTTAGCGTCCACCATAAGCTGTTGAGTACGGGCTACTAAAGCATGGTTTAACATAGCCATGGTTTTAATTTTTATGAAGATTGTTAGAAATTGCGGTGTAAATACACAAACCACTCCTCACTCTCAGACGGTGGAATGGTAAAAGCAGGATAAGAATGTTATGGGTTCGCATCACGTCGGAAAATATCGATCGGTTTTACAGAGAAATGTCTCCTTTTTCGACATACATGCATACTCCACTTGCCTACATTTCTTGAATGTTTTTAGTTCGCAAATTTATACTGCATATGTACATGTGTATGTGTGTAATAGTGGAGGATTTATATGTCAAACAAGAAATTTCATAAGAACTTGAATTTTAATCAATGTTCATTTTTAGCAAACATTCAACATGTGTACATGTATACCTACATACATATGTATGAATGTTCACATACATATATGTACATACATACTTGAAACTTGTTTTATGTAAATATACATATTTGAGCTAAAGAGAAAGAATGAGGAGTAAATCAATAAATAAATAAGCATTTAGTCAAATCATTTTATTCTACACCAATACATGAATACTTGTATGCTATTCAGAAGCATATAAATACATAAGAATCAATACAATGAAATTGAATATGAACTGAATTGAACACGTGTATACATCTTTACCATTTCGGTTACCTGCATGAAGCAATTCGAAATCCGTAAAAACTTACACGAATTTAATCAATATACGACAGTAAATTATGATCTGCATCATCATCTCTATCTATTTCCAATGAAATCTATCTAATCTATGCACACCAAGCTTGTAACTCCGCAGCCATAAAAGAGAATGTGCAACAAAAATATAACACGCATGAGAATTTACTATACATGTTGTTGGGCGAACCATTACTGTTGACTGTGTTATTAGTTACAGTATGGATATAGCATAGGTAACGTTCTGATGATCTCATCCTCAGGATTGAATGTCACACACTATCCTATACATGCCCAACTTAACAAAGAGGAAAGGGTTAAATTCGCTGGTTTCGCACAACTTTTGCTGTGATGTACATGCAACCAATTCGCAGAAATAAAACGTTCAAACGTTGATATCAGGTTACTATTGGGATGATGAAATGTCATGATATTAAATCCTATGCATCGAACTTCGTGATACCATTCGCACATTTATCTGAATCAGTACCACTGAAGCTTCTCTACATATTTTGATAAAAAAAATTTCAAATTTTTTTGAAATCCCACCTATAAATTAATAATAATATTTTCCAAATAAATCTAACTATGCAGTCGCACCAAAACACTTCCATCCACTCCTTGCTCTCGCCCGAGTACACCGCAAAGTGCAAGGAGGGACAGGATGGGACAATTAATTGCGTAAATTTGGATCTTCGCGAGTTAGGACTGAATTATAAAATCGCATACGTCTTGGAAAACGTGTTCTCACCGGAGGAATGTGTTTCTTTAATTAATCGTTCCGAAGAGCTCGGTTATGCTCCGGTTCTTAGTAATTATGGGGCCAGGAAGGGACAACGTGTGAGTCACAGAGATTGTTACAGGGTTCTAGTAGATGATAAGGAATTCGTGGATATCATGATGGAACGGATGGGTCACCTACTCCCGTCAAGATTCAAGCAGCATAAACTCATCGAGATTAATGAACGGTTACGATTCATGAGGTAAATTTCATACATTTTCTTAAATAAATTTTTAGTTTTTGATGACAAGATGCTGATATTTTGAAAATGCTTCAGACAGATCCGTTTAAAGTAAAGTTTTAGCTACATTACGAAAATTACTCAATTTTTTTCGCTAGGTTTTGATTTTTTTTGTTAATTTTTCGAAATTGTTAAGCAACAAATGAATATATGTAAATTTGATAAAAACAATGTATTTATTCTCCGAAAATTTATTTTCTTCTCGATATAAATATTCATATTTATATCTATGTATAGATATGTTCCCGGAGACAAATTTAAGAAACACTATGACGCCGCTTACACCCGTCCGGATGGAAGTGCGACTACATTTATCACCCTGCAAACATATCTGAACGATGTACCAAAGCATGATGGGGGTTCGACGAGGTTTCTCTCTACTAAAAGTTCCTCCCCCAATAAGGTCCCCAAATCCATCGAAGTTCAACCAAAGGCTGGGTCTGTGCTAGTTTTTGAGCACAGACTCTGGCACGAGGGGAGTTTACTGACATCCGGAAACAAATACACTTTCCGGACCGATGTTTTGTACCAATTAAGGGAAGATGAGAGGACAACAAGATGAGTACATTCTGCAAGCGAAAATTCAAGTAATCCATCACTTATCAGAGAATTGTGCAGATTTGTGCAATTTGTAACTATGCAGATCTGATGTGTAATTTGACAAAAGTTTATTCTGAATTGAATAGTAGAAAGTAGTTAATAAATTATTATATTTAAATACATTATTTAAATTCTGTATTGTTCACAATGTCATAATTCATCATTGGTTTAGACGTTAACACATCTCTAATTATTTTTTATTCTTAAAATTCAACCGCAATTTCGTTACAATTGACGAAATTTTGTTCCTAGGGTACACTTTATCAAATTGCTAGAAATAAATTTCAATTTTTAAACCAACTACAAAAATGAACTATAAAATACATTGTATCCTTTTAATTTGGCACCAGTGCCATTTGTATCAGTGCTCGCACTTTGCCTACATGTTGTCACTGTGTCAGTATTGATTTGTGTATTTGTATCCAAGAATATTGTAATATTTACACTCTTAAGAGAAAATATTATGTATGTATGACTAAGTATTTATGAACATGCATTTACATATGTGCAACTTAATTAGTTAAACTCACAACTTCTACTTGGCCCCAAAATCCCCAACAAATCGGTCCCTGTTATTTCTATTGAACCTTTGATTGTAGTTCAGAACGATTCTGTAATTGTCAAATGTGGAGGATGGTATTCTTTTCCACGGGGGACTGTTGGCTGGGTCCAGGTCTCCAATCATTTCTCCCGTTATGATTCCCACAAACAAAATGTTCATCACGACTAAAACAGTGGGGGAAAGTAACAGCATTTTGACTTCTGGAAGAAAGAAATCAGGAAATTTATTAATATCAAGGGTACCCATGCAAATTTGGAAAAACTTCAGAGATACATGTTTATTAAATGTTAAATAAAAAATTAAATATATGGGTTTTCACTTACAAATTATGTTGAGGTTGTCGAAATATGAGGTGGTTTTGCATTGGACTAAGAAATTATGCGTTAGTCCGATCTCTTTTGTACTCTGTTTGTGTTTTTAAACGAAACAAAACTGGACACAACAATAATAGCGATACATAAGTGGACCGATTCAGTGTTTACCGGTTAGAGTAAATTGTTCATTTATGTAATTATCTAGCACTAAAGTGTTTCAGGATGTATACATGCATAACAAATTCATTAAATGTGCATACATGCGTCCAACCAGGAAGCAAGCAACAATTAAATATCATGAACAAATCAGCCCGTCCACAGGTGATCTTTAAACCACAGGTGATTATTTAAGTCTAATGAGAACGACCAACTTATTTACCAACATGAGGAATACTTTGTTGTTTTACTTACATACTCCTTAACAGCCGGTCTGTTTACTAAACAATTTTAATTACAGATGATGCAGTATTTGTATGCACTCTCCATTATGTTGATGGAAAATACCTATACTTAATAGTGGACTTTGTCCCGTCATAAAACTTTTTCTAATCTCGATTGGAAAAACATACATACGTACTTATATAACTATTTGTAGAATAAATTCAGCTTAATGAGTAAAATTCGAAACACACCTTGGGAGCGTGTTCAAAGTATCGCTAATTGTTTAACCTTACTTTGTTTGAAAGTGCATCGAGTGTGCATACATAAGTACACTTGCATATATGCTGTATTATATACATACATATGCTATATTATATATGCATGTGTAGTTATCGAAATTTGGCATGTACAGGCACCAACATATGCTACATCATAATATAACATTAATTCCCATTCTGTTCGCTATAAATTTTTCAGGAAAAATTAAAAACCAAACGGAATAAGGGTGACATTTGGTTTTTGATTTTTCCTGAAAAATTTATAGCGAACGAAATGGGAATTGATGTTATATTATGATGTAGCATATGTTGGTGCCTGTACATGCCAAATTTCGCATCTCTAGGTCAAAGTTTAAAATTGGCTAGAATAGGTGAGAGCGCGTGCACGCTCGATTCCCATCAAAACAGGACTTTTTAGACATCGCAGATCCGAGCCCAGCTTCAGTATGTATTAAGGTCCATAAATAAGACAATCTTCCATTACACCATCTTTATAAGTGTGTGGGTGATTATACATTGTTACAGTAATACATAGCATGCAAATACGTAACAATTTATGGTATTGACAACATATTTTATTTATTTTTATACTTATCGTTAATCAACCGGAACTCGGAAGACAACTTGTCTTCCGAGTTCCGGTTGCCTCGTCTCACGTTGCAACGTGAGACGAGGCAACAACAGTAATATTATCAATGGGATAAATGGGATATCATTGATATCCCATTTGGTTTCACCCTACATTTCTTTGAAACGTTTTATTAAAATGTTGAAACGTTGTGACTTGGTTTTACCGAGTCAACCCGAACAATTTGATTACAGCATGCTTATGTACATAGGTATGCAGCATTGTGTGCCGCAACTTATGCAGTTAGTGTTATCTTTTACCATGGATTGTTAAGCCCAGCTAAATATTTGTTGCTAGCCATCCTCAACTCATTCCACACACAATCACATGTGGGGACATAATTCTTATTTTTCTACCCGAGACTCGGATTCCGAGTTTGAATGATTAACTAAATACTTGATTAAAACGTTTTCTCTAAATATTTTCTACAAACAAAATTATATATTTAATTTAAGAAGTAGCCTTAAATAAGCACCTTAACGCTTTTGTTGCAGCAGTAACTAAAATATATCAAGGAAACAATACATTCTGAAAATAAATTTAAAAAAATCCCAAACCATAATTAGCCGAAAACATACAACTTCCCTCACAAATTCTAAAACAAAATGGCATTTCCCCCAAGTCACGGATCAAATTCAGCCTCCTCCCTCGACAAATTTAAATCAGATCTACATCAAGAACTCGAAAATCTGACCAATCCCACCGTAACGGAACAAACTACGTGGATGTGTACCAACAAAGAATTGAACATAATAGGACAGCTTGACTACATCAAAAAGAACAAGGATCAACATGACGGCTCTGCCAGCATATGTATCACCCGAACTTCGACCACAATGTTTCACTCACTTCCGGAAGGATGGACTGGAAATGATATGGAGTTAAGCGACTTGAATCGCGTAGGGATTTCCACATTAGCTAAAAATCCTAACATCGTCCTCTGGGGAAAGTATTTTCTCTGTCGGACGATAACCGAGGCGTCCAAAATTGTCGCGATGGAGACCGTGGTGGATGATCCCGTCGGAAAATGGGGAGTTCGTCTTGCACTTTACAACTGGTCACCAGACTCGTCCGTGGAGAGCACTGATTTCCAAGAAGTCCTGCCCCTTGGTGTGTACTTAATTGTGAGGAATCCATGGTTCAAATCTACTGCTAGTGGGGGACTTGTCGTTCGCTGTGATAACCCCGCATTCGTGGACTTGATTACCCCGAAAGATATGGAAAATAGATTTCCAGGTGAGTACATAATTTTATAAATCAATTCATTCCTCCAAAATCGGAACAAAGTGGATGTCACCACATTCGTAACGATTTTTGACCTAAGAGTTACATAATTCAGGTGCGGCATTCTTTAAAGTATGAAAAATTTGTAAAATATTTAATTATCCGCATTTTCCAGGACTGAAATGGAAATCTGCAGTTCCTTCGATCCACTTTCAACATGTCCCATTTTGGCAGAAATATACTTCAGATTTAGAAATATTCAATATTTCCAAGACATTGGGCAACAAGGCGTTTGTTTCGAAGCGATACACGGACGCGGTTCGTTGGTACAATGTGGCTCTTAAATACTCTCAAGATGATGGCCAGAAGGTCACCCTGTGCTGTAACTTGTCTGCCACGTGTGTCAACTATGGCTGCCCCCAAACCGGACTTTTCTACGCTGAGGAGGCATTAAAACTTGGAGAGAAGAAAAACGAAAGAGCTATTTACAGGAAAGCCAAGGCTTTATTGGAGTTAGGAAATTATGAGGAGACATTGACTTTTCTGGAGGAAACATTCATACAGAATGGACATCTCGGGGAAATGACTGATTTCCAGAACTTGGTAAAATTGGCGAAACATCGCAAGTAATGAAATTTTCCGCACTCTTCTAAATAGAAAATCCAACAAACATTGCTTTGCTTGAAATTATCTGAAATTACATTTAATAGATGTGGGGTCAAATTTTTAGAAATGGGAAATTTTTAAGTGCTTAATGCATATATTTTATTTAGCAAATTATGTTATTTCAGGTTGAAAATCTTCAAACCGGACCAATTAGTCGCATTTATAAAGCCTCCCTCAACCCCATTGGATACGTCATATCTTCAAGAAATCCATTCCAGTTCTTTCATCATATCTCCAGTTGCGGGTAAAGGTCGCGGTGTCCTCGCCACTCGAGACATTCCTGCCGGAACGGTCCTCCTCGGTTGCAAAGTATTTGCACACTATGGCGAAAAAATTGAAAAATCGCAACTGTATTTCAGCAGCAATATCGGTTCGAAGACGGCTCACTCGAAACCCGGGCATGATCAAGTTGTAGCACAAATCGCCAACAAATTACTAATTGAACCCAGTCTCGGAAACGCGATTTATTCACTCACGGCAGGACATGAGCTTGGATTTTTGACTCCAGGTGACGTCAGGACAAAATCTGTCGACATGAAACGGCTTGATCGCATCGTGTCCATTAATTCATTCGGAACGGATGAGAAAATGGAGGGACACAACCAATATTCGGGTGTATGGATTTTGCCATCATTCTTTAACCACTCGTGTACAGAGGCAAACGTGACGTGGAATGTGTACGAAGATTACATGATCTTACGGACGAGCAAACTCGTGAAGCAAGGCGAAGAGCTCTTCTTATTATACGTCGCCCCTACCAAAACGTATGAGGAAAGACTGAACTGTTTTAAAGGACATGGTATTTTTTGCTTAATTTTTAAAACGAAAATTCTTGAGGCAATTCATGCATTTTTTTTCTATTCCGGTAATAAAAGTAAATTTTATATCTGCGTTTCTTCTCAAGTTTGAAAAAATTATGAAGGAAAATGTTTTTTGTTAAGTCCCGTGATGAAGGGCATCATTCTTAAATTATTATTTACACTGTTTCCTGAGATACAAAAATTTGCATGGATTATTTCAGTGATCCAATTCGAATTTTTAATAAATTATCTTTGAATTCTATTTTCACAGAGTTTCAATGTTCCTGTCCCCTCTGCATTTTGGACTCCTCTGAACCCAATGCAATAAAAGTTAAGCGAGCCAAAATACTGGCAAAATTGAATGCTTGGAAATCCGAAGATTACCGATGTGACTCCTCCAAAGTTGGGAAGGCTTTGAAAAAAGTTAAAATCTTGCAAAATTTGCGAGAATCATACAATCCGTGTCTCTTGGAGGACTCGATATATGCATTGGGCGATGCTCTGTATGGGTTCTGGGATTTTAAGAAATGTGCTGATTTACTCTCGATGTGCATTAACGTTGCAGAAGAAATTGGTGATAGAGTCCAAGGGTTCAAATTACGGATAAATCTGATCCGATGTTTCATTGAAATTGGAGATTTGGATAATTTGAACAAAGAAATCGACACCTTGAAGAAAGATGCAGTTATTTTATTCGGTTGTTTAGAAGCTTGTTCGGTTTTTGGTAGCGTAACTGTGAATGACTTGAAGACTAAATGCAATATCGACATTTATCAATAGAAGTGACCTGGAACTTCGCAATATTAGACTGGGAATACACATGCACATTTGTTATATTTTTATATTTGGTATCTTTATTTACACGAGGTTCATGTGAATATAAATGACGAAAAATTTAAGGTGTATGTAAAATCTGCCCAATGCTCCCAAAACCGAGTTTTTGATTGTACTAAATTTGTAATGGTTATGGTTATTGTTTTGATAAGCCAATCAAAAAATTGGATTGCGACTACCTAATTGGAAGCATCATGGCATGATAATAACATAGAATCTTGATTAGACTTAACTGAGAAGTGAGAATGTGCAAGACGTTTTTGCGTAAGTTTTTCTAACAATTATTTGAATATATGTACATATTTAGTTATAAAATAAAACCTTACATTCATAAAATAATGAGTAAGTACTACAAAATTTCAAAAATTATTCCAATGTCCATGTGTACTTCTTAATTCGATAAGAGCCACCTAATGTGAACGGGTAAAATACCTTTATCAGAAAACAACAGAGTAATCCACTTAACGATTTAATACCTTAACTTGTCATCCATCACGATATCCATCACTTATCTGACATGAACTGGATTGGTGCACCCTGCAATTAATGCGCTTACGTTGCCACTATGTAGCATATTCACTTTGCACTCGTTACTTGTTGAACTGCAGAGCAAGTAACTTAACATTTGCAAGAAATTAAATATTTTACAATAAAATGAAGTTGGCAGCCTTCCTATTCGGGACTATTCCCCTGGTTATCAACTTCTACGTGAAAAAGTACATTGAAGATGACAAAGCCGTCACGCTTAGAGATCTTGAAGGCGATTTTGGAATACCGAGGATCAAAAGTTATGATTTCATTGTGGGTACGCAAATTTTACAAGTTTTTTTCATACCCTTATCAACATTGTACTACATATGTACCTATCTACATTGTATATTTTATTTAGTCGGGGGTGGTACGGCCGGATGTGTAGTGGCGGGTCGCTTATCTGAAAAATTTAACGTTTTACTTCTGGAATCTGGCGGAAATCCTGTGCCTCAAAGCGAGGTCAACTTCTTCACCCGACAAGTTGCCACCGATCCGGACAGTAATTATTTGTACAAATCGATCCCACAAAGAAATATGTCCCTCAGTAATGGTGGGGTAAGCCGAATATGTACCTTTTTTTTCTGTAGTAAAAATCTGAAAAAAATGTGATTAATTACATATTTTAACCCCCGTATGTCCAGATTGTAGGTCTCGAAACCGGTAAAATGTTAGGGGGGTCGGGATCCCACAATGACCTTTGCCATCAAAGGGGGTCTCCTCACGACTGGGACAGTTACGCAGCCATGGTCGGCGACGCGTCGTGGTCATATCAAAATGTGTTGCCTTTGTTTAAGAAGACTGAAAATTTTGTGGGACAATTGCTCAATCCTGAAGAGTCAGGTGAGTGGGTGTTACTTATCCTTGAATATTATCTTATCACGCATAATGCTTCATTCTGCTACAACAGATTACTACGGATACGATGGGCCACTCACGGTTGGGACGCATTTGCCAGCAATATTCTCTAAATGGGCTGAAGCTGGGATTGAACTTGGTTATCCTGTCGCAGATCCTAATGCACAACAAATCCCGAGTTTATAACCTTATTAAATGTTAATTTTTCATTAAATTATTTAATCGTGTGTCACTTGTTAAACAGGTTTCGCCCCGATACAAAAATTAATAGGAGAAGATGGACGTCGTGTCAGCACGTACAAAAGTTACATCGCTCCGTTTGAAGCTACCAGGCAAAATCTGACCGTCGTCCGGTACTCGACCGTAACAAGGGTATGTGTGTATTTGATTACCCCCCCAAAGGTATATTTTTAACTCAAGGAAATTAATTGAAAAAAATTACCCTCAGATTCTCCTCGACTCGTCCAACCGTGCCTACGGCGTGGCCTATTTGCGACATGGCATCCCCCAAATTGCCCACGCATCGAAGGAAGTTATCCTCAGCGCGGGAGCAATTAATTCTCCTTTGGTCCTCATGATGTCGGGCATTGGACCTCGAGATGTTTTAGAGGCGGCTGAGGTAATAGGAAATTTGGCGTCGACTTTACTACCTTAAGTCAAATTTGTCTTCAAAATTTGCTAAATTTGAAACAACGAATGCCATTTCGCATAGATTCCTGTTCTCGTCGACCTACCAAACGTCGGACAAAATCTGGCCGATCATGTCTTCCTTTACCTTGGACCTTACTCTTTTAACTCGTCTGCCGCCCCATTTCTTCCCAGAATTCGTGAAGAGGATCTCGAAGAAGCTCTCACGACCTATTTGAACACCGGGGTCAGTAGTAGTGTTTTTAAATTTGTTTATAATAATTTTTTCTTATTTATTTTTAGTTTGGTGAGTTTGGCGAATTACAAGAAGGACCCCAAGTCTTTTACGTGTCTAGCAGAGCCGTAGCAGAAGGTCAAGGGACATGGCCGGATGCAAGAATCAACCTTGATGCAGCCTGCCCCATGATTATGGATGACGATGTCGAATCCCAAGCGTGTTTCTTTTTTGAACTAGACCGACCAAAATCAAGGGGGTCTGTTTCCTTAAATACGGACGCTTATGTTTCCGGAGTGACGAATTTTGTTGAGCTGGCGGACATTGATTTTAATGGGTTCAGTGATCCGACTGATCTTGAACTTCTGATTGAAGGCAAGCTAATTAATTAAAAATTAATTGACCTGTTGCATTTTTCGGATTAAATATGTAAATTTTCCTACTAGGAATTGACCTGGTTTCTGATATTATTGAGACTCGAGCGTTTCAATCGATGGGGGCTTCGTACGCTGGAACACCGATTAGCGGCTGTACCGGCGTCCCCTTCCTCTCTCGAGAGTACTGGGTTTGCTATATCAACCAACTGTCTACCACTGCGATTCACATGGTTGGAACTTGCGCAATGGGGGCTGTGACCGACTCAAAACTGAGGTGCGTACCCCTACAAGGAATTTCTTGATAATATCAACATCAAAATATTAATTTGAAACATAAAATCGTAGAGTATTTGGCGTCCCTGGCCTTCGAGTTGTCGATGCCTCAGTTCTGCCCGCCACACCAAACGCTAATCTTAACTACCCGGTCATTCTAGTCGGGGAGAAGGCAGCTGAAGACATTATGCGGGACTGGGGAGGTCGAGCTAGTCAAAATAACGCATAATAAATAAATAAGTATCAATCATTGTTGACGAATGGATGTGATAAATCATTCCCTGGGTGTTTCACTTGTTGGCAAATGAATTTGATATGAATAAAATATGGTGTATAAAATCTGAAATAACTATGGATATGATTTGTATCCATTATAATTCGAATTTGTTTCTTGAATGGCATCATTACTTACATATGCTCATTAACTGGTCAAAGTTAACATTACTAACGATAACCTTTCATGGGATTTCGTGTGGTTGAAGTGTTTTAAGGATATGTAAACAATTGTAAATCCTCTACATCCTGTTATTGACGAGATAATGCAGATGAACAAATTCCGACAAAACTGGCGACATGCGGGTATCCAATCTCCACGATATGCTTAAATATGTAAACTCACACTACTACATGTTTTATTTGTATGTATTTATATACTTCGTGCAGTGATAGGTATGATAAATAAACTGATAAAATCGTCTTTTACTAACATGTTCGCAAACTAATATGCAAAATATGATTATTCATGTATTACATACTCGCGAACCATCATCGAAGGATTCGGCTAATAATTGTCAAACATGACAGAAAATTCAAAAACTACTTCAAAAACAGACGGATATTGTTTCCCGTAAGAAACCCATTTTCCAAATACTGCATCTTTCCTTGTTTAATCGTATCATGTAAATTTATCTATAGGATTGTGATAAATTCTTGCTTCGATATTGAAGAAAACAACACAACCACCAAGCATAGACACCCGTGCTGCAGAATTTTTATCCTTACCATCTACACTTTCATATTCGTTGGCTTAATTACGTAAGCTAGTCCTAAAATATTTATATACATCGACAGAAACTTGGGGGTGCTCACGGCAACTTATTATTTGGCATTACAACTAAAATTTACGAACCTCAACAAATTGTTTTGTAAGAAGACTCACAGAGTATGATTTCGCAAACCCCTTAAAAACAGAATCATGTTACGTTAATTTGAATTGTTTAATTTGCATGAATTTCTGTACCTTTTATTGCTTGTGATGCATATGGGAAATAATCTTTCGAAATAAAAACATGCCCAGTACATTTTCGAACAGAATCCCGTAATTCTCTAGCAAAAAGTTTACAAAATCTCCCTGCAAAACTTTACACTTTGCAATTAACAAAACTCTGGTTGTCGCGAGTACGCCTGCATTATCTCACTTCTTTCATTATTACAGACGTATTCTCCTTACCAAAAACGAATATCAAACATCTTATCCTGTAACCGCTGTGGCATCAACGATGAAACTCAGAGGTGTGCTTGACACTCGAAATATTCGCGTGACCGACCTGCACCCCGTTTTTCGAAAAGATTCCCACATCTATCTCCGTATTTGGGACTCGTTAGACTTAATCCCATCAAGAGGTGATACATCAAAAAATGGACTCATTGTCATTACAAACGTGGCCGTTACAGCAGATCAAACACTTTCCGATGGTGTTTGCCCTGAGGTGCATATGTATTTACATGCATCCTCAATAAATGAAGGAACGTTTAATGCAAAAATTATTGCATTTTCCAGGACGTCGATAGCAAATTGTTTCTCTGCACATCGAACAAAGATTGTCCTAAAGGGGAGCAAAAGCTGAAGGGACACGGCATTATGACGGGAAAATGTGTCAACAGCGATATTGAGAAGGATAAGAGAACATGCGAAATAAGTGGATGGTGCCCCGTCGCACGGAGCACTCGACCGTTATTGTACGTACATAAATATGTAGTTAACATCTTGTCTTATCTTAGGGCCTTGGATGGCGACTGGATCTGCCATAAGAAATTAGAATTTTTCATCCTACCCTCATTCCATGTCTTTAAATGCTAATTTTTAAAAGTGCAGGAATTTGAAGAAATGGGTTAAATTTCATTAATAAATTTCTCTTTAATGAAATTTATGTTACGTACATAGTGTAATCTTGATTATTTTTTATTTATTTAGCATGATTTATTTAATCCAAAAAAGAGTTTTAAAAAACACAAAATTTTCATTATAAACTTGTCAGACCCCATTGCACATGGGAAATTACCTGATCAAGCCAGTCAGTCTATTAGTTACAAATATTTCAACTAAGGTACAAGTACATACATACCCAGGGTGCATAAACTTTTTTGTTGTCCGTGGTTTCTCCTAAGGGGGTGATGCTAGGATGAAAATTTTTATTCAAAAATTAAAAATTGGGGAATTGCATGCACTTTTGCCATGGAAACCACCCAAATTCAAAGCAAAATTGCATGCAATTCCCCAACTTTTAATTTTTGAATAAAAATTTTCATCCTGGCATCACCCCCTTAGGAGAAACCACGGACAACAAAAAAGTTTATGCACCCTGATACATACCTAAAATTAAATATTAGAGTAAAAGAGCGGTTTAGAAGTGATGCTCGATAATTAGTCAACGAAATATCAGTTAAAATAGCTGGACTTCAGTTTCTTTTTGAAAACAGCGTAGCTTGACTCGAATTTTAGCTCTTTATTTAAACCATTCCATAAATTTACACCAGCGAAATTAAAAGTATTTAGACCATGAGAGGTCCTCGGTTTAACAGAGCTAACCAGAGCATTATGAGATCTTCTGGTGTCATGATTGTGAACATCACAAATTTTGGTAAAATACTCGTCAAAATATGGAACAGAAATATTTTTAATTATCTTAAACATTATACATAGTGTCCTAAAGTCACACAAGTCTTTGGGAAACATCCACTTTAGTTCATTTTTTAGCCACTGGATCAAACTTACGTTTGGACAACACCAGTCTAGCAAGGGACCTTATAACTTTTTCAACAACACCTAAGTATTTATCGTATGTTCGACCCCATACCCAAACCATATAGCTACAAATTGACATTACGACTGCCGTACCAATAATTGCTAGCGAATTTTTAGAAAAATATTGCTTAACAGAGTACAAAGATCTGATCCTAAAATATGCTATTTTTGACAGGTGTTGAACATGAAATTTACAACTTAGGTTTGGATCAATAATAAATCCCACACACTTTAGCCTATCTGAACATCTTATCACAGTATCTAATAGAGTAAAACTAAATGTGTTTAATTGCTTGAGATTTTGAGGAGTACCAAGTAATAACAATTTTGTTTTATCGGGGTGCAGGGTCATACCATTTAATTCAACATATTTGGCTAGATTATTCATGTCCGCGTTTATTCTAGTTTTTAGTAATTCCAGCTCCTGCACCCTCCCTATAAAAAGAAAATAATTGTCATCAGCAAAATAAAATGGTTCACCTTCACTCAAGACTTCAGGTAGGTCGTTTAACTGGAAAGAGAACAGTCTTGGCAGTAAAAAATGGCAGTCCCAGTATACTGCCAGCAGGGACTCCTGCCAAAGTGCGCTTAATTTTCGAATTAGCACCATTTACACTTACATACTGTACTTGGTTGGTTAAGTAGTCACGGAGCCAGTGGCCAGTCAGATATTTGATACTTTGCCCATAATTTCTCGAGTAATTTACCACGAGGAACAGAGTTGAAGGCCTTTGCAAAATCTGTGCTAATTAGAGCACAAATAAAGCCCTTATCGATCATCATTTTGATCTTATCAGTTAACGCTAACACTAAGTGCTCTGTGCTATGCCCTTTCCGAAAACCAAACTGCCGATTTGACAAGGTCTTATTTTTCTCGATAAAATCCTCCAACTTATTGCTATAAATCTTTTCCATTAATGACAGAATATTTGAGGTAATTGAAAGTTACAGGGATCCTTTGCACAGTTTGTCTTTGGAATTGGGACTACTTTGGAACATTTCAGCGCATTTGGTACTAAACCAGATACAAAAGACTTGTTAATTAGCGACAATAATGTTTCATTTACAATAGGGAGAGAGAAAATATTATTTAGCATATACTTAGAGATACCGGTGGGATCAGGGGATTTCGAGCCTTTGTGTTTCAAACTCTTCCACGCTCGGTACATATCAAAGGACGTAACTTTATTGACAGAGAAACGTTCAAGGTTATCCCTCTTTAAATCCTGGAATAATAACGTGTCATAGGGTGTCACACCCTGTGGAAAACCTAAGTTACAATAGTACTCATTAATTAAGTTTACATCAATAGAATCGCTAATGTTTCCCTGGACTTTTCCAAAACTTAACCCAAAGTTTTTTAGTGTAGCCCAAACACCGAGCTTTTTAATTGAGCGGTCTGTACTCTTTAACACATCATTTTTGAGCGACTTTGCGACAAAGTGGTTTAACGATTTGTACTCATGTCTGTTGTACTCGGACCCCCACTTTTTCCACAACTTGTAATGGTATTCACGCTGCTTTATCAAGCGCCTGGAACCTGAGGATACTATTATTTGTTTTCTGCTGGACAGTGAAATTGTTCGTTGTATGGGCGCCTCACTGTCGTATAAAGAAGTAATACAGTTTATAAATTTATCACAATCTGAGAGGTCAACTCCGTCCTGAATAACTTTTGTAAATATTTAGAGCAGAAACTATCACGATTAAAATGTTTAAAGTTACGCCTGTACATCACAAGTTTATTTTTAGGTTGAGGTCTTATATTTTAGTTTACTATACATAGACAGTGGTCAGAAATCCCTTGCTCAGTGACATAACAAGCAGTAATATCTACAGATTGAGTTTGTTTGACAATTATCAAATCTAGCAAATTTCCACCCCGAGTAGGAGTAGTTACAATCTGTTTCAACCCATGTGCCTCCAATATATATTTAAGTTTATTCCCTTTTTCACTATTTTCTGCCATGTTTACATTTAAGTCACCCAAAATAAACACTTTTCTTTTCCCCCTGCTTAAGTACGACATTACTTTATCCAGATTAGGAAAATCTGCACTCTTATGCTCTGGTCGATAGAAACAACCAATTACAATAGATTTCATATTACACACTTGAATCGATAAACATAAATATTCTAAGCAAGAGGGATCGGACCAGTCAATATTAGTTAAGGATATTTCATTTACTTTTAAATCATTTCTCACCAATATTGCAACTCCAGCCCCTCGAGTAGATCGGTCCTTTCTGTACATTACAAAGTTTGTAGGAATGCAATACTCACTGTCAGGTCTAAACCATGTTTCTGTTAAACATAAAATGTCAAGGTTAAAGTCATTTAAAATCTGCAAAATACTACTAAACTTATGGTTATAAGATCGAACATTTTGATGACCAATTAAAATAGTACGCTTAGTTGCTAGTCAGTTAGTTTCCATGTTTGACACATCCACTCGATGTATCTTGGATTGTTGGGAGTCATGTTCACAGTCATTCTTCCGCTTTGAAAGTCGTGTGGCCATCCGCTCAGACGATGTTGCGCCCGTCCCTTTTACAACCCTCGCTTTAGATTTTTCCTTCCATTCCGTTTGCTCTTGACGTGTTAGATCTTTTCTCACTGAGATGGTCTTAAATTCGGTCCTGTCCTTCAACATAGAACAGTTTTTTAATGCCTGGGTTTTTTGCTGAACTGTGGATAAGTTAATCCGGATAGGACGAGGCTTTCTTCCTTCAGGGTCACCAATTCGGTTGTCGTGTAGAGGACCCACCCATTCAGGTACAATTACTTTCATTAATTGTGCCGCAACATTTAACCCTTCCGTCGATTCAGGCACTCCCATCAGAATAATATTGCACATCCGGATTAGCCTCTGCTTTTGCTCGACAAACTCCTCTCTTACTTCTTGCAGCAGCGTGTCTTTAATTGATTCACGTAAAAGTTTTTCTTCGACACCGATTATCCTTGCCTCCATTGTAGTTTGACCCTCTTTCAAGGAAGATATTTCTCCTTCCATTTTTTCGCGCCAAGCGCCAAGGTCCTTAACCACGTCAGAGAGTTGTTTCGACAGTGTTTCTTGATGCTTCAGAATGTTCGCCTCCATCCCCTCCATTTGCTTCTTTAAGACGTCCATGTAAAGATTTGTTTCACACGAGTAATTTACAAGGTTATTTCAGGTTCTCAAATAAAATAAAAAATGGTGAAGATATGTATCTTGCCTATAAAGGCTCTTTAAAGAGCATGGAGGTGGGCCAACAAGCGAAAAGAGTGACGATCATATTCAGGTCACTCCCTTGGTGTGGTAATCCACCTCCCCCTAAGAAATTAGGGTAAAAACTTGTCCCCACGACCAAATCCGTCCACAAAAAAGAAATTTGTCCGGGGGTGGGAAGAATGAGTAGCAGCAGGAGCACCAACAGCTACTTCCTTACACTTGATTTCTTAATCGCAAAAGTCTAACTTTAAAATTGGTCAGAACTATCAAAATTGCGAAATTGTGGGGATAATTTTTGTATCTTAATGAACAGTGGGTACAGCTCTTTAAAATGATACTAATTTCAACTTTATAATAGCAGTTTAAAATTTTTTATTTCTATTTATTCGTAGAGTTAAATGAACATATGTACACGTTAATAATTCAGTCCTAAAGGGGGGCAAAAGCTGAAGGGACACGGCATTATGACGGGAAAATGTGTCAACAGCGATATTGAGAAGGATAAGAGAACATGCGAAATAAGTGGATGGTGCCCCGTCGCACGGAGCACTCGACCGTTATTGTACGTACATAAATATGTAGTTAACATCTTGTCTTATCTTAGTGCCTTGGATGGCGACTGGATCTGCCATAAGAAATTAGAATTTTTCATCCTACCCTCATTCCATGTCTTTAAATGCTAATTTTTAAAAGTGCAGGAATTTGAAGAAATGGGTTAAATTTCATTAATAAATTTCTCTTTAATGAAATTTATGTTACGTACATAGTGTAATCTTGATTATTGTTATTACAAATGTATGGTTTTGAAATAAATTAGGTAGTTTACTAAATAATATGCCAGATTAAATTTCTGTAGAAATGAACGTACCAGAATTAACTTTACATTTAAGAAATCTAAATTTCATCATCATCAAATTCATGAAGTTTATGCAGTTTTTAAAGTTTACGTTTAAAGACATCGGGTTTAAGTAAGATGAGATAAAAACGTAAAATTTCTAATGGAAGATGATATGCGCCCTTAAAACTAGAAAATATGTAACTGTGTTTGTGTTCTTAATTTCGCCTACCTGATTTTATATAGAAATTCTGGAAAAGCGCTCTTGTCGGATGCACATATCCTCACAGTTTTCTTAAAATCTACCGCCGAAATAGCTGCATTGGATGTCTCGTTGAATAATATCAAACAAGTTCAAAATATGAAGAATGGACCAAATTTTGAAACTTGTATTTTTAATCAAACCTCAGAAACTGACCGACACTGTCCAAGATTTCGGCTTCACGACATTGTAAAATATGCAACCCAAGACGGAAGTGACCGCTTTGACTTTAACGAAGTAGCCCTATCGGGTGGTGTATTTATGCTGAAGGTGGAATACGACTGTGACCTGGATATCATTCCGCTCGAAAATTGTCTCCCTTCGTATAGCTTTAAGCGAGTCGACGTTCCCCACTTTGAAGGAGATAGCATTAAACAAGCCTCGCAGGGTTACTCGTAAGTATGGAGGATGATTCCTCAAACTTTTAACCCCATTTATACCAATTACGTCATGCCACGCATTTTAAAAATCCAGACTTTTCAAAATTTCTCGAAACTAGGAGTATTTCGTGGAAAACTCTATGGTAAAAAGTTCACTTTTTTGGATATTTTCTTCCCAGGTTTGGGAATTTTCCCTGTACCTACCAATGTTAAAAACTGGATTTTTAGTGACTTTCGTCAAGAAAAACTCAAAACTGGAAAACCGGTTGAAATAAATATTGGTCTTTTATGGGAAATCATGGAAATTTAATTGGTTTCTACCAAATGTAGTAATGAATTCAATATCCTACTACTCAAGGGATTTTTTTAGAATTATGAGACTCAGTGCGGTTGATAATTGCAAAACCGTATGTCCATCTTTCAGATCCGTCAGCTACTCTGCGTATAATAAAAGAACTGTAGTTCTGTATGACGGGATCAGAATCGTAGTGCATGTTGAGGGACAGGTGAGAAAGATTACATTCGACGCCGTGTACGACGAGCTGGCACTGTTCTTCAGCTGGTGTTCCACTGTGGTGAGCTTACTTAATTTATGTTAAGGACGCATCAATTGTGTAATGAAATTATGAAATTTCTTCTCTATTTTTATGTAGTTTGGTATTATGGGATTTTTCGTCGGTTGCTTACTACTTCCTTACCTCAAACGAGATATCGCCACCACGTCCAATTGCAAGGGCTGGTTCTGCACAAATTTTACTTGTGAACGGTTTGAATGCTGTCCAAATCCAAACGTTGGATCAAAAAATTCTCCTGGACATCAACTTACCGTTTGGAATGAGGGGCGGGAATATGATTTGGTCAACAAAAAAACAAATACATTGTAGCTCATTACTTCTATTCAAGCAGAAGATCATCTATTTACAATTATTGAATCAAACGAATGCAATAATTCTTAAAGAAGTCTTACCACACTTATTTACAGTATTCATGAATTTACATGTAGTTTATGAATGACTAGCGTATAGCCCGGCCAAGGCCGGGTTCTAGAGTTCCAGTGGGGGGTGTGCCCAAAGCGAAAAATCCGTCATACTATACATTAAATAATTCCCAGTGGAGACTTTGTCATACCACATACATACATCAGAGTGAGGGTTTGCCCAAGTCATACTGCTTTTTAATTAACCTGGTCACAGTAAAATTTGATTTCCCCCTGTGGGAGTAGTTGAATAGCTAATTACTTAAATTCCCGTCGTGTGGGAGTAACTGCATAGTTAACAATTTAAATTCCCACGCTTCACGCTCCCGTTCAGTTCCATAAACCCCGTTAACTTCTATAATTAACGCCAAGCTATTGACGGATTCGGATTCAGCGTCAAAAATACATTCGAATTGATATGCCACTCGCTGTGGGTGGAGTTTCTCAAACTAAAATAATTAATTAATAGTGTTTATCACGATCACTTATCATGATAACTACTATTGATAAGTGATGTATGTATGTGAGGTAGCATGTACATGTTTATGCATGGATTCATGCCATGCATGCAGTGGTGGCTTCCTTCTTTGTCTCCTCTACGGGGCAACTTGCATTGAGAGCCACAGGGACCCAGCCAGCCAGGCAGCCAGAACTTAACACTAACGCTTTATTAGAGTAGATTGCACCAACATTTACATATTCACATTGGTTTTTTGTCACAAAAATAAAAAAATGGATGCGTATATACCTAGCGTAAAACTTGTTTAAAGGAACGAACATATTCTAACGAGTTATTCGAATTTTAGATTCGTACACAGTCCCGTTATTAAATTAATTTTATTTAAGTAGATAATTACATAATTCATAAATACTTGAAGGCATGGGTGACCTTAATTTGATAATGTAATGCTGGAGTGGGCATAAATGTGATCATGAGAAAATCCATTTTTAAGAAAACGTACAAACTGGAATCCTACAGATTTCATGTAATCCTTCAACTTCTCATCCGTCTTATTGCGAACCTCAATTGACAGCGTCTAACGAAACAAGGAAAATTTATCCATCGAATTTACCCATCACTTCATCAAAAATAAATTTGGTCACAATTTTATAAAAGGATTAATTACCATACAAATTACGCACCTTTATAAGTACAGCTTCCCACGGAATTGTTTTTAACACTGACAGCTCGGCTCCTTCAATGTCTAGGCTAAAGTAGTCCACCGTTGTCACGTTGATGGCACGGAGGATCGAATAAAGTGGGAAACATTGAGCCTCGAATGACCTGTAATCGCCTTCATTCCCAAGGAATGCTCCCCATCCGTTCATATACGTCCACCCCGTCATGGATTTATGTTGTTGCATCTTGACCTGAAGGATTATTATGCAATATTGTAATAATTCTCACCAAATTCGGAAGGATTATACCCAGTACTCGCAAAAGAACTGTTACAAGAACAACTTATCGTAGCAACCACAGTTTGTCGAATTTTGGAAAAATAAGCACATAACTGAAAAGCCAATGAAATTCTGTATAGGAAACATTATTCACCTTTCATAATTTCAACCTCATTAGGCGACACGAGCCAGGAGACTTCGTGTCCACTTGACGATCGCGGTACGCATCCGTTCAAAAAAATATTGGTGTCATTTCTAGAGGATAGATTTTTTCTCGTACTCCAAGCTTGTGTAGGGTTTAGCACATGTATCTAGCTTCAATTTGGATCACATATCATATTCCAGAAGGTTGAGGTTCGGCGATGATGAATTTTATTCTTGGTCCGAAATGGAGTCAAGAATTTTGGACTTTAACCACCAATTTACTATTTTGGCTTTATGAATAGGACGTGAGCCGTCCTTAAATGCCTAGTGGCTATTTTTGAGTCGAGAGTGGTTCATTAGTACCCCAATTCGCTCGATAACTCGAAAAAATATTTTTTGACACGAAATTTCGACCTCTGAGGATGAAAAATCACTTTTCCGACCAAATCCTAATTAAAGAATCACAGAAGCAGTATGGTGGGTCCAATTAATATTTTTGAAATTTGTGTAAGTAATATGGACTAGTGGGGTGTAGACAGTGCTTTTGCTTATTTTATATGGCCTCAAGGGTGAAATTTTGCTCATCTTTTCAAAATATTTATTTTCATTTTTCAAGCGCGTACCGCACGATCAGCGCCTGGCTTCTTATGGCTCTATTTTTACTTAACGTGCGGTTGGCAAGTATTTCTCCTCACGCCTTAAAGACATAAGTTCAATGTCTAGTTTAAGGGCCCGGGACATAGTTTTACTCAACCCGTTCATTAGCAGGAAAATTTTTCTTAGGGTCCGGCATGAATTTGGACAAATTCAGGTTTTCTGCACCTTCATGATTTTGTATGACCTTTTTGACCGTTCCTTTCCACCTTTGTTTCACTCAATGGGTATGTTTCCCTGCTGATTTGAGTATACAAAGTTGTGTGTCAACTGGAGCGACGGTGGCGCACATACCCATCTGTGTATTATTTAGTTGCTAGGTGAGAAGTGGTGGCGCTCGGGTGCAACACCTACCAGTGTATTATTAGTTGGTGAATGTGCATAGACGGCGCTCATAGTGTGGCTACTATCGCTCGTCCAGTACTTCTTCTAGATAGAACAGTATAGTTCTGTGGTTTCACTCATCAAGACTACTGGTGTCAGTGGATCGTTTTAAAGTTCGGTCGATGATCTTGCGATCAGTTCCGATTTTTATTGAGTAATTGAAAAACGAAGAATTTTATTGTTTACCAAAATGTTGCCAAAAAATCGCAACATGTCTTCTTCACCAGTCTATCAATTTGGCACCTTGGGTCACAAAAATTTTTGAAACATTGTTTCTGACGGACAATTGCATGGAGATTTCAATAAAAAATAGTACAACTTTCTAAAAAAATGTCTAGCCTGCTGTTATGTATGTTAATTCACCCGGGAAATCTTGTAACACTTCTTTTGCGGGTACTAGGTATATACCAGACTACAAAATCGTTATGGGCAATTTTTTTCCCCAATTCGAATTTTAGTTGCCTAATAACTTAAACTAAGATTGGACCTTGATTGGAAATGTGTGCGGAGATAAGCATGCCGAAGATATCCAAGAACGACGGTTCCGTTTACGAAGTGCAAGAAGTGGGTAAGGATCCGCTTCTACGAGAAGTCCAGTCCACCCATGACGCATTTCGAGAGGTAACGTATTACTGTAAAATTCTCCGTCGTGGGCCCCACACTCCAAGAAGAATCCGTTATTCTGTACATAAATATGGAAATTTTTAAGAAGTGATTCAATTGATAAAGTCATGCGAAGTTTGCGAACCTTATTTCCCAGAATTTTATAGATAAACCGATACATTTCCTGCTGTTCGAAAGTATGCTTGAAATGAACGTCCTTTCCGCTTAGAACTACTTTTCCCTCGGTGGCCGGCGGTTGCAGGAATTTTTGTCGAATATACCCCAGTATGTTGGCATCATCTTGAGCAAGTCGCAAATTTCCGCTGGCAACGGCAAAGTCGTCCAACAATTCCTTGACTGGATCCTGCAAAGTACTGAAATTTAATATTTGCATAACTACTTGACACAATTATACATAAATAATATGAAGTTACCTTATAATCTGACCTGACAAGATAAATTAATACTAATACGAGCGGAATATAGACGAAGAAAAGGACAAGACATCTTTTCGTACAAAATAAATGAAGATATCCCATTTTTGGATCGGAATGTTTCAGCGACGTCATTTTCACGGTGACGATGCTGTGAAATTCTGCCGTTTATTAGGTTTATTTCGATTTTAAATTATGAGTTATGTGTCGACTAGAATAATTAATTTAATCCTCGTGAGTACTATTTAAGTTCTAAATATTAGCAATTTCGGCAATTGAAAGCAGCAACCATAAACAGTAAACATGTTTTAAAAGGCTCGCTTTAATTACGTAAGATGTGGTAAGCCGATATTTACTAAAACAAACATGTTACGAATTCCATTTGCTAAATGGAAAGTACTTTTTCGAAAGTATTTAATATTTCTTTTTCAACATTTACATTTAACAATGCATTTATTTACTTACAATTTATCATTCAGTTTCGTTTTCATTTCAATACAAACATGTAACATCTATGTATATACGTATAACAATACATTATGATTACTTGTATTTGTTATCAATATATGTAGAAATATTTCTAAAATTTCGACAAAAACACTTTAATAAATACGTACATGATTCATGACTAAGGCATACATATACCGAATTATATACCAATTATAAATTCCAATCCAAATGACCCAATCGCAATAACGCACACGAGACAAAACAATGCAAAGGTTTCTCTTAGATTCCCACCCATTTTCAATTGCTCCCAGCGGTTCTTCAAGCTTTCCGATTTCTTAATAAACTGCGATATTTCCTTCTCCTTTGTTACTCGGTACCACTTCTGCGCCAAGCCTGACGACATCATCCCCGATATTCGTGAAAGTACTGTGGCGTCTCCCCAATTTAGTACGGCCCAACCCTTCGCCATCTTTTCGAGTGGCTGAGCACTCTTGCTAACAGCATATTCTGGATTAATCGCTTCCAAATTGGCACGCACAAGCTCAACATGATCAGACCACGAGACCAGCGCGATTTTTCTGCTACAATTCGAAACAAGCCGAATAAGCGAATCCCGTCCGAATATAATTTCGCTATAATTTTCGGGTACCCTTGCAACGTTTCGAATTCGGTTAATCAATGAAGGCGTCTCGTTTCCATCTGTAACGTTTGGAAATATTGATAACAACGAGAATACGGAATTAATAGCGTCAATTTCTTCCGGATTGGACGTAGTATTTACGACAGTCAGGTAAAATGACGTGTCGATGGGAATGGTGTAAATTATAAATTTATTTTCAAGTAGTTCTTGGAATCGGGAATATCTCGGTACAGCTCGTGGAACAGTTTGACGTTTGACGTACTCGCCTTTGTAAGAATTTGAAACGACGAGACAGCAGAGGATCCAACAGCTGCAAATTATACGTGCAAATAAAGCTCCACGATGACTCGCGTTCTTTTCTGGATACCCCGCCACCTGGTAAAGTCGAGCTGAATTCTGCGCTTCGAATTCGAAATAAGAACTGAGTTGCGCCCAGCTGTTACTTTGCTCGAGAAGGCCTCCATAAGCGAGGTAGAGCATATTTTCAGTGAAATTATTTCCCCAACCCAAAATAAAATATCCGATCGATAAGGACACAGTGACAAGAATTCCAGTGATAAGGATGAATAGCCAGGTGAAGCCATCTAGTGGTGTTGTCAGGCTGGGGCTGGAAATTCCGCCAGAATTCCTTTCTTTCTGATGACACGTTGTAAATTCGAGCCCCTGAATTTTATAAGGTAGTAAATATACTGAAAACGCGTCCATGATGACCGTTGGGATAGTTGACACTTCCCATGCAATTCTGGAGTGCGAATTGGCCATGAAAAATTTCTCATGTTTGACATCGTCCGATGAGTCCTCAATTTGGGGCATTGTTGTACAATCATCTCCTAATCCGGTCACTGTTGCGTTTGGGAACGCTACCTTGAAGAGGATCATGTCCAACGGCATGTCGCTATGGTGTTCGCGAAAGTATAAGTATTTAAAATTTGGAGTCTTTATAGCTGCACTGATTTGTGCATATTTTTCTTCAACGTCATCCGCATCGATAACCCGATGACTAAGTTTCCAATTAGCATTTACTACTGATCTCGTCAACGAGGAAATGTAAGAATTCCACTCCACCAGGGAATGAAAAGTTGATGAAAAGCGGACGTATTGAAGATGACATTTTACACATAGTTCACAAATAAAGTAAAGTTGTGCTACGTCGTTTCTTTTTAAACTAGCTTCCCGCTCAAAATCGGAAAGTGCTAGAACACACAGCAGACTTGGGTCAATATAAGACGCTTTCTTCACATAAATAAGAGACGACGCCCATGCTGTCCATTTAATTGAGTCGAATATGTCCGTGACCAAAATCCGGTAGTACGAATTTTCCGATGTTTTAAACGACAATTTTGCATATTCTCCTCTCTCGGGACCAACATTGGTCTTCTGGTGGGCAATACGCAAGTCATCCGTTATCGTGAGGAAATTTTCCAGCGTTCCAAATTGGATGGGAGGGTACAAGTGAAACTCGACGGCACACACGGTTCGCGGTATCGGGTTAACGGCCACGGTCCAGTTTGGATGGACATCGACATATGCAGATAACATTTTATCGCTCGAGTCGATTTTCGTATACAATTTTGCATACGCAACTTTAAGCTTGAATCTGGTTATCGGGATGGAGGATGAAATTATCCAATTTGTCCCGGTGTAGTCGAACAGTACGATAAGACAGGGTTGAAATATTCGTATCAAGTTTGCAAATTCTGGTGGAGCGAGGGTTAGATTTACTGGGCTTGGTAATGTCACCAACATGGTTATCAAAATCCATGAAATTTCTTTCAATTTCATCATTTTATATGTAAATGTGTAACTTTTATGTTTCCGAAAAAATTAAGTACATGTTGAGTGTGCAATTTTCGGGTGATTTCAACAAGCGCATATACCTATTTTAGTAAACATATATGTGTGATTGGACTGGAAGTATATAATCGATAAATAATTTGAAAATACACATAAACGTTATGAAAATGTGAAGCACGTGTGGTGAAATAAATGCTTGGCATTTACTGTAATCCAACTTATGTACATCAATATCGATATATATCAAGTTTGTATAAAGGAGACATGCTCTTTGATTGTTTGAGTCTGTCACTCTTCTAAAATATGTATTTGCTAAGTAATTTAATTCGGTTTATTTCATTCATATTAATTCGGCGTCCCTATGTACATATGCAATACAAGTTTGCGACCCTTGTTCAAAATATAGTTTATAAAGATATATACTCCATTTTAACACCTAAACAGCATCCAGCTAAAGTTATTGGACTGAACGAAAGAAATTCCTGTCAATCCACCAATGTTACATGAAACCTTTTGCATATGTACTTTTCCAAAGCTTTACCCGTTTAATAAAATTAATAGGTGAAAATACCACTTCCTCTTTATCGGCTACTTCAATTCTGTTTCTGAAGTTTTGTATCAAAGTTTTAAATTTTAATAACCTACTCCATTTCTGCTGATTCGATTTTGTCTCAATTTTAAAAATCGGGCACAAGCGTATGAATGAATACCTATGCACATATATTTGTAAACAATGTGCATGTATAGTATTTATTACTTTTAATCTGAATGTAGGATTAAAAGATTATCGCCAGCGTTTATCGTATTTAGAATTGGGTTTAATTGCATATAAATTATAATTTGAATGCATACATATGTAAATAAGCAAATAAATGAAGTTGAAGTATATAATTCATTGAAAATCTTTCTCTTCATTTATTTTAATTCAGATGCGTAAACATCAATATCTATCACAAAACATTGTCATTTCCTTCTGTGGTTCGAGTTGATTCAAGTAATATTTGCGTAGAGTGGTTGTCATGTATTTTTATGTGTATGTAAAGTTCGTCATCCTGGCTTTTTCGTGAATTTTGTAATCAGTTAAATTGTACATGCATACTTGATACCACCTTATCGGAATGAATTATGTATGCATGTATAAGGCTAAATAGTTCACAGGAATATCTATGCACAACTTTGTGCATCACCACCCTTGCAGATTTACAATATATTCTACAAATTATAAAGAACCCAGACTTATCCAACTTTAGAGTTAAAGCAAATAAAATTGTAGTTAATTACCTCCTAACTTTTAAAATATTTACTTCCATCGTTAATAAGATTAAAATAAAATCATTCTTGTCACAAAATCATATCTGAAAGTTTCAAGATGCAACTTAAACATCGTGCGTACATTCTTCAACCATGCTGGGGTTTCTATTTGCAAGGATCTGTAAAAGTTCTGGCTCTGGTGGAAATTGTGCGATATTCAATACATGCACTAATAAGTTTTGTATATTTTAAATTTCACAAAATTTTAGGGTATCCAATTCGCCACATTTTTCATCTTCGGCTACCATGACGTTATCCAAGAAGACATTTTTGAGCGTAAATGTGAAAGCAAGCAAGATTGGGGTAATAAATGGTAAACTTGTTATTTTTCTCGTAATGAAAATTAACTATGCAAATCTTCTCTAGTCTTGCTTACACTTTGGATTTATACGCATCTTCACAAGATAATTTCCATCATTGTTGCAATTATTTTGTTCAATGCCGCAACTAAGGTATGTCTCCAAATTAAGATTTAGTGAATAATATTCTTTGCATGATTTCCATTTTTTTAGAGGGCTAAAACAACCCTAAAATGCTGCCTATTTGCCGAAATTTTTTTCTACTTGGGCCTCCTAGCTTCAATCGTTACTCTAAATGTCGTGCTTCGGGGCAACTGGATTCTCCCGATTGATATTGTATTTTTGGTGTACAAAATCTACTCCTTTTGGGTATTGCATTCCTTTATTCGAGAAATTACTCAGAACGATAAGGCCTTTGGAGCCGACAATGCATTATCGGACGCCGAATTGGACGATTTTTTCTCCGAGGATGGATACAACTCATTTCACGGTGGTTATGCATTCATACTCACAAGGGACACTCACGACCTGTCGTTTGAGTCCAGGGTATCCACTATGTTTTTTTAGAATTAACTAAGACCCCAGATGAAGGATCCATTCATATTTCCGGAAATATGAATGGATCCTTCATCTGGGGTCCAAGTAAAAAACATAGTGGGTACCCTGAACTGTAACGACAGGTCGTGAAGGTCCCTTGTTAAACATTTGTCCAGATATTTCTTTTATTTCTTGAAAACTTAATAAATTTTGCAGGAACCGCGTATAAGAAAGAGTTCGAAATTCCTATATCCAATCTGCGCATCGATTCTTTAATCGCACGCACACGTCAGGAGAGGTTCGAAATCTATAAGGCCAAACTATCCACAATTAACGGCACCACAGGACTTTGTGAGGTGAAAACCGTCGCTGTCAAAAGTGCGCATACAGAAAATTTCATGCCATTGATGAGAGAACTTATGATACTGAATTGTATCGGAAAGCATGAGAATCTAGTCAATCTGATCGGAGCATGCACGATGGATGTCAAGCAAAGTGTGCATAATATCCAATTTTTGATTTTAATTAATGTCAAAAATCCCACAAATCTTTGATTTTCTAGGAAATCTATCCCTCGTAATGGAATACTGTTCATTTGGAGACTTGTTATCCTATCTTATTGCCAATAAAAATTGGTTTATGACCGATATGGGGGATTGGAGCAATTCGCACAGGTTACATATTAGATTTGCGTACTTAGGAATACATCCTTAGAAATACCCATACAATACTAAATTGTTTCATTTTATCCCCAATTTCGTAGTGACTATGCAGCTTGGCAAAGTACTTTAATCTTATCGGACTTGTTACGATGGGCGGCTGATACGGCCAGAGGCATGGAATTCATTGCCAGCGAAAGGGTATGTTTCTTACTATTCGCAATTTTAATAAGCCTACATATATACTCAAACAAAGCATCTCTTCATCAGGTAATTCACGGAGATTTGGCTGCGAGAAATGTACTGCTTTCGTTTGATCGCAGAGCAAAAATTACTAATTTTGGCCTAACTACTACAACCTTCGCACATCAAAATAATGTAAGTACGCATAATTGTTTCGCCCAACAAGTACGCTCTTAGAAAACCGGTATTAAATCATTACTGATCGTAGCACATATGACCCTACAGTAATAACCGTTCAGTAATGTTGTGGTAGTGAAAAATTTACCACTCGCAATGGGGACGCAAACCATATTCAACCAAGATTATTTTTTTGACCAACTTAGTTTGCTAGATCAAATCTTTAGAAATAACATTTAGTGTGGCAAAATTCAGGGCGTTATAGGTTCCGCAAGTTCGGTTTTTGCTCAAGGAAAAAAACAGTGTCCAATTTCCAGTTTTCGGAAATTTGCGGCACCCATAACTCTCCGAATTTTGCACATCTGCGCGAATGTTATTTCTAAATAGTTGATCTATCAAACTAAGGTGGTCAAAAAATAATTTGGGTTGAACATGGTTTGCGCCCCCATAGTGAGAAACAATCTACTACCAATCCAATAGGAAGTTATACACTTATAACCAAATCAATACCAGTACGGGGTATATACAAATGTAGGTATGTGACTACGAGATTTTAAACGTGTACAGAAGTACCGTATGTATTAGTACATAATGCACAAAAAACGGTGTATCACTACCGTTTTCGTGCGATAAACATGTTTCTTGCCTGCCAAATTAATTCGAAAAAATGCTTAAAGTAACTGATTTGGCAAAAAATTAACTCCACATGATATTTAAACATAGGACAACTTACCCCTTAAATGGATGTCCCCCGAAGCGATAACTGATCTAAGGTTCTCAACCTACTCTGACGTCTATTCGTACGGGATCACTTTATGGGAATATTTCTCAGCCGGTCAAACGCCTTACGCAGAGAATAGGTATTATGACACCAATTTTATTGAGCAGTTAAAAAGTGGTGAATTACGACCTGGACGCCCTGAATTTGCCAGTGAAGAAATGTGAGAAAAATTTATGCCAACTGGGTTTCCATGAAAACTACATATGTAAATTGCTTCTGTTTGATACATACATATGCATGCGTTTAGATACCAAGAGATGAGCAAATGTTGGGCATTGGATCCTACAAGTAGACCAACCTTTACCGAATTGAGAATCACTTTTGAAAAGCTTTACATGGAGCATGAAAAAAGTCTGGGGTCGAATTATTTACGGAGAATGTAGGTTAATACATAAATTAAGTGTATTTTTCATGAAAATGTTTCATGCATACGTGCAAAAAGACGGCTGTACACTCCGCAAGTAATTTATTTACACGAAATTAAGTTAAAAAACTTCCTAATTACCATAATAAATACTTCCAAATATTTATCTATTTCTATACGTATGTATGCACTTCCTTATGATTAATCTTGACTCGTTTACGTATATACATTCATACATATTTACTGCGTGTATATATGTATGACGCACGCTGTATTTAGAATTTTGTTATCTGGCGTCAATAAATATAACAACACAACTTTTATTTGCATCATTTACCTACGCAGATGAACTTCATTTGATGAAGAGTACAATCAACTTGTCAGGATGTTTATAAATACATGAAACACACAAAAATGATTTGTTGGCGAGAAAAGCCTAATCTTTAATAAAACAGTACGGTGGCGCCGGCATTATTGTATATTTTTTATCATGTTTATGTACATAAAATCAGGATATTCGCTGAAAATAAACTGTTATCGTTAGTGCGATAGTAGGTGCAAAATTATGTAGGTTTTATTAAGACGTTTATCGTAAATAAACTACAGCAAAAGTTCGTTCAAACCAGCATTGAAGATTCATTTACCAGTTTCATAGTTGATTTGTGTAATATTTACGATTTCAGACGATTTCGACGTCAGAAAAAACTATCTAGAAAACTATCTAGAAAAAGCTAGAACTCATTAAAAAATTAACAAAATGTCTCCATCTAAAATAATTCAGACCAAACTACACAAAATTTTAACGTTAATTAAACCTTAAACCTGCATAACGTTCCATATTCCTTGCTAAAATTAAATCGAAATATGAAATTTGGCCAGATTTTCTTACCATGTTTGGGAATCTATTTGCAAGGAGCTGTGAAAGCGTTGGCACTGGTGGAAATTGTTTGTAAAAATTACAATTTTCTTCTTTAATGTGGCAATTCACGCAACCCCTTGATAAATTTGCAATATCCTTAAATTCCTTGAAATTATAAAATTTTACAAAATTTTATAAATATTTCGAACTTCGAAATTCGAAGGAAAATTAGATTTTTGTCAACTTACTCAGACCAAGGACGTCTCTTTATTTTGTAAAAGTTTGCAAAATTATTTGATAAAACTTACTAATTTTGCAAGTTACCAGTGACCGCGTGGATTGCTCCAATAATTATCATACCTCGCTAAATTACATTTTTTCAGTGTGTGGAAATTGGAACCATTGTAATTTTTGGATACAACGATTTTCATGGTCTACCAAAATATTTTCGGGGGGATAAGAGCGATCCAATCGTTTGGTGTACGGATTTCATCATTTAGTAAATTAATTATTTTCATCAGTTAATCATAGCTTAAAATTATCTAATATTCAAATTGTTATTACACAAGTATGCATCTGCATGTGGGCGTACTGCTACCTTTACCACCTCATCGCGATATTTATTGCATGTTTTTTATGCAAAAGTGCAAGCAGTGTACGTCAGTTTACATACATATTTCGTAATTTTTAATTTTTAATAGTTACTATTTTGGATTTAATTTTTTATAGCGAGATGCAATCGGATTGAGGAACTGTTTGCTGGCTTCAATTCTAACTTATTTGGCCCTATTTGTTGTCCTCATTATATTGAACTTACTCGCATCGGAGCACATGATCCCACTCATCGGACTGGACTCGGTATTTGCAGCCTATAAGATCTACTCATTTTGGATCATTTACAACTTTATCCAAGACATTGACTCGAATGGGCGACTCGATCCAGTTCTCACCATTTTAAGCGATGCGGAATTAGATCTTTTTCTCAACGGGGGTAGATCCCGTTCTTCGAGAGGGTCGTTTCTTAGTGGGTGCAAATTTACATATTTAGTTTACTTAGCGTACTCACGATAACGTCCTGAATATTTCGCAATCCACTTATGGTCGAAGAATTAAAATTAGGTACATTTTTCAATGCTTTACTTATGCAGAAATGTGCTTAATTATAATGCCTCGACCAAGCTAACTAGCGCAATTTGTGTCGCAAGGAAATTCGCAAGATATGAATTCTCAAATTTTGCAAATCGATAAGACAGTTCTCTTATATGTATTTAAATTTGGTATCCATGAATTATTTCCAATTTCTAAATCATTTAATTTAGATGATGAGTTTGCTAAATAATCTTGCGAAATAAGAATATTATGCCCATGCCCATTTACTATTTACTGGGTAAATTTGGGAAAAAATCTTACGGTTTTCCAGCAAAAGTTTAGCGAAATGTTCCAAATTTCGCAAAACTTCGTAACTTATGTTGCCATTCTCAAATTGGGAAATATACTAACAATGCGATGACGCCAGCGGTCTCGCTCCGATTTTGACGAAACAACGATAATTATGTAACCTTACACAAATAATTGAACACGTGTTTCGGGATTTTTCATAATGCTCAGCTTAAACGAAATTATGACGTGATCCGTGAGCGAGAATTTCCATTTCTACCGTGACATTTTTCTCGTGAGGGAGAAAAATCCTGATTCACGCTTAGCGATTCCATCATAATTGTGTTTAAACTTAAAATGGTGGTTTTCTACCGATTCAAATTGCTCGCACAAATTTTGAAAATTTTGAAAATTCAACAAACCAGAAATTTCGAAAAATCAAAATTTTTGAAAACCAGATTTTTCTTAAGTTACTCAATCGAATTTTTTTAAGTCATTCAATTTCCGCTACAACCGAAATCACGCGTCTTCATGAAAAAGTAAAAATACGGGTAGAGTTATTTCGGTTGTGGCTGAATCTTGGAATAAATTAAGGATTTATCGAAATGCGGTAAATTTTCAAATCTTTATCCGGTTTCAAAAATGCATAAAGATTTTTCACATAGTTTCATTGAGTAACTTAAGAAAAATCTGGTTTTCAAAAATTTTGATTTTTCGAAATTTCTGGTTTGTTGAATTTTCAAAATTTTCAAAATTTTCAAAATTTTCAAAATTTTTCAAAATTTGTGTGAGCAATTTGAAATCGGTAGAAAACCACTTCATGCCCACGCATTTTAAGTTTAAACAAAATTATGATGGAATCGCTAAGCGTGAATCTGGATTTTTCTCCCTCACGAGAAAAATGCCACGGTAGAAACGGAAATTCTCGCTCACGGATCACGTCATAATTTCGTTTAAGCTGAGCATTATGAAAAATCCCGAAACACGTGTTCAATTATTTGTGTAAGGTTACATAATTATCGTTGTTTCGTCAAAATCGGAGCGAGACCGCTGGCGTCATCGCATTGTAAGGTTGACGTGAGTAAGCTCAATGTCTTCATACCATGCCCATTAATTGTGAACTTGAATTTCACAGCGACGCCATACCAGAAAGCATTTGAAATTCCAATCTCCAACTTGGTCATAAATTACATCACTCCACTCGGAAAGGGTAACTTTGGTGTTGTATATAAGGCCAACTTCTTAGCAGAGGAAGATCTACCTGGCCACATGAACGAGCGCATTGTCGCTGTTAAAACGGTACCTCGGTTTGCGACAAGTCAACATTTTATGCAATTGTTGAGAGAGTTGCAAATTTTGAATTATATTGGAAACCATGACAATATCGTTAATCTAATTGGAGCCTGCACCACTGATGTTAAGCAAAGTATGTCCACTACACATATTTTGAATATGTAAATGAACTTATCATCTATTCAAGGTATTTGTACATGATAGTTTGCTTGGGATTAATTTGAGGTAAACGTTCAGGCATTAGCACCAAATTAATCCCTAAGAGCTAAACCTTGTCAAGCACTGAAGTGCAGACAATCCTATTTATTTTCAGCTTTACGATGCAAACTTTCACGAAAATTTAGTTGTCATTACAAGTTTTGTATAAAATTAGATACATTTTTCAGAAAAAATTTTTATCGTTCTGGAATACTGCGGACTGGGGAGCATGCTGGAATACCTGAGGTCGAATAGGGCCGAGTTGACGTCAGAATGTGATACAGAAAGCCTTTCTAGAAACTCAGAGTAAGAAATTTGTATAACAAGACCAATATTCTCTTATTTGTGCATATTTAATTTCTTAAGTTTATCTTAGCAACAATGCACCTTTGACTGGGCTGTGTTTCCGTGACCTTGTCAAGTGGGCTATGGAGACGGCCAGTGGCATGAAATACATTGCCGACAAAAAAGTAGATCTAACAAGATCAGAGGTCGAGGCCACGCCGCCTGCTGTCGCCCCCAGTACTAGTAGCATTATAGTAGCATTTTATTTGCCGTCGCATAAATATAAAACTGATTTCCTACTCATTCCACATTGAGACTGGAAAAATTGGTACCACGGCCGCCGCAAACATTGGTTGGCGTCGACCTCTAACCTAGTAGCTAATCCATCAATTGGACAAAAACTTGAAGCTTATTTCGTTAGGTTATTCACGGCGACCTTGCTGCTCGAAACATCCTTCTCACGTTCGACCGGAGAGTGAAAATCGGGGATTTCGGGATGTCAAACCAAGTATTTCACTGCAAGCATCGCTGGACGAAAGCTAACGTGATGGTAAATACCATTGGCAAAATTGCATGCGATTTTTTCTTTATAAGTACCTACAATCCTTCAAAAATATTCAGATACCGTGGAGATGGATGGCCATCGAAGGGATTTTGGATAAAAATTTCTCCCTGAGCTGTGACATTTGGTCGTACGGTATCACAGTGTGGGAGTTTTTCTCAGGTGGCGAGGTGCCCTACGTGGGAATGGAGTATGGCCCTGATTACATTCAACAGCTTCGAAGTGGCGAGCTGAGATTGGAATGCCCAGAATACGGAAATGAAGAAATGTACAGATTTAAATCTATTTGTTGGGGATATTTATTACGAGTTCGCATTTTCACATCATAATATACGTACATAGATACATACTTTTGAAAAAAAAACTGCCAACTAAATACTAGCCCTCGACATGGGCAAGGTCGCAATGAGGGCAACGTCTTTAACTTCATTTTTTGATAACATTGCTAACGATGCAAACTCGTAATAAATACCTTCATTATTTCAGCAAAAAAATATCTATGGGAAAAATATACATTTATTTAGCTGTTTCTTGCTTTGCTATGACAGATACCAAGAACTTTGCAAGTGCTGGAAGTTAGATCCCACAGAAAGGCCAGGATTTGCCGAGCTCAAGTTATTCTTTAAAAAAATATACTCAAACTTAGGTCAAGATCGTCGCCATGTGTCGATTCGAATGTATGATTCCGATATTGAAGAAGTTGACTGCTAACTATCTCAAGTTTTAAAGACCTCTTAATTTTTACAAAATGATGCATTTTAAATACGACTATGTACAAAAATTAAGCAAATGTTTAGAACAATTATTTTCAAAATGAGTAATCTCATCAATTTTTTTTCATTAAACTCTGAATTGTTTATTTACTTATTTCCCTTGTCCAGAATATAAAGATACTTTCAATTTTAACACATAAAGAGCATCCATTAGGTTATTAGCGAAAGAAATCCCTGTCAAACCATCAATGTCACATAAAAACTGAAGTCTTGTGCATATGTATACATACTTATTTCCAGAGCGTGACCCGTTTAATAAAATTACTTGCTAAAAATACCTCTTACATTTTAGTGGCTAATTAAACTTACAATGTTGTTAGTTTCTGAAGTTCTGCATCAAATATAATACGGTCAAGGTACTCCATTTTTCCTAATTCTATTATGTCTCAATTTTAAAGATCGTGCATCCTGTTCATGCATGCACTTATGTATATATGTATGCAAGTAAATAATGCGTACACATGTATAGTATTTAGTACCTTTATTAACCTGGATGTCAGATTAAAAGTTTATCGTTAGGGTTTGCATTCATAAATATACATAAATAAATACATGCGTAGTTGCAGTAATTCATTGAAAATATCTTTCCTACGAGGATCATCAGATACGCATCAGATCATTCCTCATATGATACGCAAACATATCTAAATATCTCACAAAACATTGACTTTTCATTTCGGTGGTTCGAGTTAATTTAAATAATATCTGCGTAGAGTGGTTGTTTTTTATGTAAATATTTGAAATTGAAGTTCGTCATCATGGGATTTTCGTGAATTTTGTAATCAGTTGGATTATACATACATAACTTGGTATATATTAGAATGTTATTATGTATGTGTCGGGTTGCTAAACAGTTCACAGAAATATGCACAACTTTATGCATCATCAGCTTTGCAGGTTTATTTACAACTTATAAAGAAGCAAAATTTATCCAATTTTAGTAACTTAAGCAAGCAAAAGTAGTTAATTATATTGTAATTTTTCAGATACTTCCATCGTAAATGAGATTAAATTAAGATAATTCGTATCACAAAATCATATCAGCCGACCTTGGTTCGTTGGATTCAAATTTACGACCGTTTCAACATGAAACTTACACTTTGGGTGTACATATTTCAACCTTGCTGGGGTTTCTATTTGCAAGGATCCGTAAAAGTTCTGGCTCTGGTGGAAATTGTGCGATACTTTATAAATACATTAATTAATACATACCTTTGTTGGAATTTGTACGTTATAAGTCTTACAAAATCTTTAGGGTGTCCAAGTCGCCGCATTTTTTATCTTCGGCTACCATGACGTTATCCAAGATGACATTTTTGAGCGTAAATATGAAAGCCTGTGTGATTGGGGTAATGTTAACCTTGTTATTTTTTGTCTAGAAATTAAATTAACTGTGCACGCTTATTTTCTCTAGCTTTGCTCACACTTTGGATTTATATGCAAATTGAAAAGATAATGTCCATCATTCTTGCAATCATTTTGTTTAATGCTGCAACTCAAGTAAGTCTCTAAAATTATTAATTAGGGAATTTTATTCTTTGCAACGTTTCAATTTTTAGAGGGCTAAGACAACCCTAAAATGCTGCCTATTTGCCGCAATTTTTTTCTACCTGACCCTACTAGCTGCAATCATTACTATAAATTTCGTTCTTCGGGACAACCTGATTCTCCCGATTGCAGTGAGTATTGTGTTTTTTGTGTACAAAATCTACTCCTTTTGGGTATTGTATTCCTTTATTCGAGAAATTACGATGAACGGTGAAACCGATGGATCCAGTAACAAGTTAACGGATGCTGAATTGGACGATTTTTTCATGGAGGGTGGACATAACTCATTCCACGGTGGTTATTAACACACAGATAATTCTCATCAGATATTTTTCTAATTTCATGAAAACTTTTCCAATATTGCAGGAACCGGGTATAACAAGGAATTCGAAATTCCTATATCCAATCTGCGCATCGATTATTTAATCGCACGCTCACGTCCGGAGAGTTTCGGAATCTATAAGGCCGAACTATCCAAAATTAACGGCACTACTGGACTTCGTGAGGTGAAAACTGTGGCTGTCAAAACTGCGCATAGAGAAAATTTCATGCCATTGATGAGAGAACTTATGATACTGAATTGTATCGGAAAGCATAAGAATTTAGTCAATCTGATCGGAGCATGTACGAAGGATGTCAAGCAAAGTGTGCATTATATCCAATTTTTAATTTTAGATAAATAATGTCAAAAATCGCACTAATCTTTGATTTCCAGGAAAGCTTTACCTCGTAATGGAATACTGTTCATTTGGAGACTTGTTATCTTATCTAATTGCCAACAAAGAGGGGTTGATGACCGATGCAGATATGGGGAATTGGAGCAATTCGCACAGGTTACATAGATTTGTATACTTAGGATTAGCATCTTGAGAACTAAATACCCACCCACACTTAAAATACAGAGATATCGCATTTTATCCCCAATTTCGTAGTGACTACACTGCCTGGCGAAGTACCTTAAGCTTATCGGACTTGTTAAGATGGGCGGCTGATACGGCCAGAGGGATGGAATTCATTGCAAGCGAAAGGGTATGTTTCTCACTATTCGAAATTTTAATAAGCCCACTCAAACAAAGTATGTATCCATTCATCAGGTAATTCACGGAGATCTGGCGGCGAGAAATGTCCTGCTTTCGTTTGATCGCAGAGCAAAAATTACTAATTTTGGGCTTTCTACCAAACTGTACACAACCTTCGCACATCAAAACAATGTAAGTACGCATAATTGTTTCAGCCAACCAATATAGAATGCACAGAAACGGCGTATCCGTGACATTTCCGTACGACATATTTTTCCTGACTGTCAAGTTATTTAAAAAATATTTAAGCTAGCTGATTTGGTCATAATTTACTTATGCTAATCTTATATCTTATGCTAATATATTTGTACACAGGACAATTTACCCCTTAAATGGATGTCCCCCGAAGCGATAACTGATCTAAGGTTCTCAACCTACTCTGACGTCTATTCGTACGGGATCACTTTATGGGAATATTTCTCAGCCGGTCAAACGCCTTACGCAGAGAATAGGTATTATGACACCAATTTTATTGAGCAGTTAAAAAGTGGTGAATTACGACCTGGACGCCCTGAATTTGCCAGTGAAGAAATGTGAGAAAAATTTATGCCAACTGGGTTTCCATGAAAACTACATATGTAAATTGCTTCTGTTTGATACATACATATGCATGCGTTTAGATACCAAGAGATGAGCAAATGTTGGGCATTGGATCCTACAAGTAGACCAACCTTTACCGAATTGAGAATCACTTTTGAAAAGCTTTACATGGAGCATGAAAACAAGTCTGGGGTCGAATTATTTAGGGAGAATATAGTTTAATGCATAAATACTTAACTACCATATTCATCCCGATGTTACATAAGTACAACAAGACGACTGAATACCTTTCGCAAGTACTTTATTCCTACAAAGTTACGTAAAAGAACTCCCTAATTAGCATAATAAATAATTTCAAGTATTTTCCGAATTCTGTATGTAGATATTAGACATTCGTCCCCAGGATTACACTTGGCTCATTTACGTAGGCCCAATTTGTAGCCCAAATTACCATCTGATATCCCAAGGTTATTTTGGCATCCCTGCTGAAGTTCATGTATTACTTTGGGGGTCGCTACAGGAGCTGGACGATTTTTTTATTTTTTGAATTCAACATTCCTCCTCCCCTCATACATATCTAAAACTCTGCAAATTGCTCCATTATGAATTTTTTCTCTTTCGAAGTGACTATTAACCATTATCCAGACGCGCTCGCACACTTTTTCGTAGTAGTGGCAAATTTTTTTGCGAGTTGCTCTGAATTTTTTGTTCTCATTTTTGAACTAATCGAGATATCGACCTCCGGTTTTCGGATTTGGGTAGTCAATCGCATGGACTACAAAACTACCGCGTTCAAACTCAGTGACAATTTTTCTTTGATACAAATAAATATACTTTTTCAAATGTTTCTTTACTTCTGGACCGAATCCTATGTACATATTTAGGTACGTACATACATACATACATATTTATTTACTGTTGAATGTGTGTATGACGCATTCCGTGGAATTTGTTATCCTGGTATCAATAAATAATTACAACTCTTGTATTCGCATCATTTACCTACGCAGATGAAATTCATTTGATGAAGAGTACAATCAACTTGTCAGGATGTTTATAAATACATAAAACACACAAAAATGATTTGTGGTGAGCGAAGATAAATCTTCAACAAAACAGAACAGCGGCGCCGGCATTCCTTTGTGTTTTTAATCATGTTTACATCAAATCAGGATATTCGCTGAAAATAAACTTTCGTCATGATGTGATGTCAGGTGCAAAATTACGTAGGTTCATATTTGGTAAGACATTTATCGCAAATAAAGTACAGCAAAAAGTCGTTCAAACAAGCATTACAGATTCATTGTACCAGTTTCATACAGTGGCGGATTTGTGTGTCAAAGTTTACGATTTTGAGATCAGTAATTACTGTACTAACTAAAGATAACACTGCTAAAGCTCATTAAAAAGTTAGCAAAATGTGTCTATCTATATCTAAAATAATTCAGATCAAACTACACAAAACTTTAATATTAGTTAAGCCTTAAATCTGCATAACGTTCCATATTCTTTGCTAAAATTAAGCGGAAATATGAAATTTGGCCAAATTTGTTTACCATGTCTGGGATTCTATTTGCAAGGGGCTGTCAAAGCGTTGGCACTGGTGGAAATTGTTCGCAAAAATTTACCATTATCTTATTTAACAAGACAATTCACGCAACCCCTTGATAAAATTGCAATACCCGTAAATTCCTTGAAATTATAAAATTTTACAAAATTTTACAAATATTTCGAAGGAAAATTATATTACAGGTTTTTGTCAACTTACTAATACTCAGACCGAGGACGCCTCTTTATTTTGTAAAAGTTGGCAAAATTATTTTACAAAACTTACGAATTTTGCAAGTTACCAGTAACCGCGTGAATTGCTTCAACAATTATCATACCTCGCTAAATTACATTTTTTTCAGTGTGTGGAAATTGGAACCATTGTAATTTTTGGATACAGCGATTTCCATCATCCTCCAACATATTTCGAGGGGGATAAAAGCGATCCAATAGTTTGGTGTAAGGATTGCGGCATTTATTAAATTGATTATTTTCATCAGTTAATCATAGCTTAAAATTATCTAATATTCAAATTTTTATTACACAAGTATGCATCTGCTCGTGGATTTACTGTTACCTTTACAACTTCATCGCGATAACCATTGCATGTTTTTTATACCAAAATGCAACCAATGTGCGTAGGTTTACAGATCTGTACATGTTTCGTAGTTTTTAATTTTTAAGTAATTATTTTTAATTTATGTTTTCTAGCGATATGCAATCGGATTGAAGAATTGTTTAATAGGTTCAATTGTCATCTATTTAGCCCTATTTGTTGTCATCATTATATTGAACGTACTCGCATCGGAGCACATGATCCCACTCATCGCACTGGACTCGGTATTTGCAGCCTATAAGATCTACTCGTTTTGGATCATTTATAACTTTATTCAAGAAATTGACTCGAATGGGCCAACCGATGAAGTTCTCACTATTTTTAGCGATGCGGAATTAGATCTCTTTCTCAACGGGGGTAGATCCCGTTCTTCGAGGGGGTCGTTTCTTAGTAGGTGCAAATTTACGTATTTAATTTACTTAGCGTACTCACGATAACATTCTATTTCGTATCACAACATATTTGCTTAGCTAATTTGAGAAATTCAGAAAATTTGTGTGGTGAGGGAATTCGTAAAATTTGATTTCGCGAACGTCGCAAATCTGTACAAACAATTCTAGTTGTCTTATTTTAATTTGGTTTACATGAATGACTTGCAATTTCTAAGGTATTTACTACAGAGGATGAGTTTGCGAACTCATCATAAAAACGTGCCCAATTGCTGGGTAAATTTGTGAAAAAAATCCTATGGTTATCCAGTAAAGGTTTTGCGACATGTCGTAAGTTATGTTGCTCAATTTACGAGATTTTATGCGAGAGCTAAGGTTGACGTGAGTAGCCCACTGTCCATCTGCATATATATTTTGCCATTAATTGCGAACTTGATTTTCACAGCGACCCCATACCAGAAAGAATTTGAAATTCCACTCTCCAAATTGGTCATAAATTACATCACTCCACTCGGAAAGGGTAACTTTGGTGTTGTATATAAGGCCAACTTCTTAGCAGAGGAAGATCTACCTGGCCACATGAACGAGCGCATGGTCGCTGTTAAAACGGTACCTCGGTTTGCGACAAGTCAACATTTTATGCAATTGTTGAGAGAGTTACAAATTTTGAATTATATTGGAAACCATGACAATATCGTTAATCTAATTGGAGCCTGCACCACTGATGTTAAGCAAAGTATGTCCACTACACATATTTTAAATATGTTAATAACCTTATCATTTACTCAAGGTTTTTGCACATGATGGTTTGCTTGGGATTAATTTGAAGTCAACATTCAGGCATTAGTACAAATTATCCCCCAGCAATCACCAAGTGCAAAAACCTTGTTATGTACTAAAGTGCAGACAGACAATCCTACATATTTACAGTTTTACGATGCAAATTTTCACAAAAATTGGCATCGCAGAATTTTGTATATAGTTTGGTACATTTCGCAGAAAAAATTTTTATTGTGCTGGAATACTGCGGGCTGGGGAGCATGCTGGAATACCTGAGGTCAAATAGGGCGGAGTTGGCGTCAGAAAGTGATTCAGATAGCATGTCTAGCAACTCGGAGTAAGAAGTTTGTGTAACAACTAACAACACCAATATTCTCATATTGTTTATGTGTATTTAGTTGCTTAAATTGATTTTAGCAACAATGCACCTTTGACTGGGCTGTGTTTCCGTGATCTCGTCAAATGGGCTATAGAAACAGCCAGTGGCATGAAATATATTGCCGACAAACTAGTAAACCTAACAAGATCAGAGGCCGACTCCTCCAGTAGAATTTTATGCGTTGCCACTGCCGATAAATCTGATTTCCTATTCATTCCTTTAACATTGAGACACCGCAAAATTTGTGGGCGTCGACCTCTGACCTACATTAATCGTAGTTAATCCATCACTTGGATGAAAGCTTAATACGTATTTTTGTTAGGTTATTCATGGCGACCTTGCTGCTCGAAACATCCTTCTCACGTTCGACCGGAGAGTGAAAATCGGGGATTTCGGAATGTCGAACCAAGTATTTCACTGCAAGCATCGCTGGACGAAAGCTAACGTGATGGTACGGAAAGAGGGGTACTTCAAAAATAGCATGAACTTTTCCTGTACAATCTACAATCCTACAAAAATTATTCAGATACCGTGGAGATGGATGGCCATCGAAGGGATTTTGGATAAAAATTTCTCCCTGAGTTGTGACATTTGGTCTTATGGGATCACAATTTGGGAGTTTTTCTCAGGTGGGGAGGTGCCCTACGTGGGAATAGAATATGGCCCCGATTTCATTCAACAGCTTCAAAGCGGCGAATTAAGATTGGAATGCCCACAATATGCAAATCAAGAAATGTATCTAGATAAATCTATTTATTTGGGGTATTCATTACAAGCTCGCACGTTCACATCGCAAATTCGCAATATAATTTTGTAAAAAATTGCAACTATCTAAATACTAGCCCTGGAGATGCACAAGTTCGGAAATGAATTTTCAAGCCTGAATTTTTTGCAAAATTCTTCAACTTTGCTAACGATGCGAATTCGTAATGAATACCCCTATTATTTAACCAAAGAAAACATTTATACAAAATTGTGGTGCATTTAATTTACTTTTGCTGTGACAGATACCAAGAACTTTGCAAATGTTGGAGGCTGGATCCCACCGAACGACCAGGATTTGGCGAGCTCAAGTTATTCTTTGAAAAATTATACTCAAATGTAGGTCAAGATCATGTGTCAATAAATATGCATGATGAAGAAATTGACTGCTAAGTGCCATCTCTAGTTTTAAAGACCTCATAATTTTTACAAAATGATGTATTTTAAATACGACTATGTACAAAAATTAAGCAAATTGTTAGAATTATTTTTAGTAATATAAGTAATCTCATACCAATTTTTATTAAACTCTTAATTGTTTATTTAATTATTTATTTAGCATCTTATAAACAAAACAAATATCGAGACAATCTACTCAACAGTCACATTTTACGCCTTACATATATTTAAATGTGTCAAATTATGTAGTTGGTCATCCACCAAACCAACCCCTAACCGTACCCCAAGTCTTGCTCACCTCTCTCCCAACATTTTGCACGATCTCTTTCGGTTTTTCTGTCACCTGGGCCCACGTTTTTTGCGTATTCTTTTCAAAATTTTCCAAAATCTCTTTCGGTTTTTCCGTCACCTTGTCCCAAAGTTGTGGAAAGTTTTCAATCACAGGGGCCAACGTGGATAGCAACCTTCTCCCACCTTCCGGCAAATTTACATCTCTTGGCGTCACAATTTGAAAAGGACTTTGTCCTGGGAGGCGATTCACTCTGACAGAAAGGTGACAGTCCCCTTCGTCTTCGCCTTTAGGACAATCATCAACATTGTCGCAGACTCGCTTGCCGTGAATACAAATTGGCGTCCCGGGACATCTAAATCTTCCGTCGGGACAAGTCGAGCAGCCCGCTTCATCCTGGCCGTCACTGCAGTCCAAATTTCCATCGCATCGTTGCCCCCTTTCAATACATTCTGGCAATCCGATACACCTTACGCGGCCGTTCGTGCACCACTCGCAACCCTGTTCGTCATCCCCGCTTGGGCAGTCTAATGAACCGTCGCACTTTTTAGTCCCATTGATACACGTCATAGTTTCCCGGCATCGGTACAGGCTCGGATTTGAGCAAGCTTTACAGCCAATCTCATCCTTCGCGTGGGGACAGTCGATCACCCCATCGCACCTTTTTTCGTTCGGGATACATTTTGTCGAACCTGGACAGCGGAAGGACCCGTCCACGCAGGTCCGACAGTCTAATTCGTCATCTGAGTTGGGACATTGTGTCACGCCGTCGCAAACATTGTCCCGCGGTAGGCAGATGGTGCTATTTTGGCAGCGATATCTGTTCATGGTGCAGGTCGTGCAGGCAGACTCGTCCTCTCCTTGGGGGCAATCTATCTCGCCATCACAGAGGGCCGTTTTAGGAAGGCAGTCGGGCGAGAAGGGGCAGCGGAAGTTGTCCGTGGGGCAAGGTTCGCAACCGTTTTCTTCTAATTCGTCGGCCCAATCGACACAGTCGATAACGCCGTCACAGAATTTGAGGAGCGGGATACACTTATCTTCTCCGATGCAGTAGAACGAGTTGTAGCCGCATTTGCTGGTGCTGAATGAATAGAAAAATAATAAGTGCTGGGGAATTATTTTTAAAAAGCATTAAAAAATTCTAACTTGTGTCTCTCCATGATTGACTGAATAAATTCCTGAAATTCTGCTACGTTCGTGTAAACGCCGGGTCTCCTCTCGGCTAATTTGCATGCCTGGCCATACGAAACAATTCCTACGACGACCTTTTCTCCAGTAGAGGTATTCACTGTAAGCGCAGCTCCTGAGTCTCCTTCGCACGCGTCGTATTTCTCGTCCCCCGCACATATCATGGTTTTTGGTAGAATGTCAAATTGGTCTCGACCTATGCACGCAGTCACTGTGACGTTGACTTTGAGCAGATTTCGGGACATGTTTGCAACCAGTGTGGCTCCCCATCCCGCTACAGTCGCCACGGTTCCAACTGAAATATTTGCAAAAAATTATACATTCTTTTCTGGGGGCGTACTCACGACAGTGTCAGGGATTTATTTAGCATGTCAACTTATTTATCTAGCAGATTTGCGAGGCTAAAAAAATTTATGTTGCAAAATATAACTTCGCATATCTCGCAAATTTAGTTTTTGTTATTGTTTTCATGGATTTCTGTCATTTCTCTTGCCGGTGATGCGTGAGATTCAGTTTGGGGAATAATTTTGCGAAACAAAAATAGCATACTAATTTACTGGGTAAAGAAGGGTATCTGTTATGGTGATCGTTTTGAGCTAAATTTCGATGAGTTTTGAATTATTTTGATAAGAAATTAAGGCGATTTTTTGGGCTAATATATCTTATCAAAATTCGGTTGGTTGTCAGTGGTTTTTGATTAGTAAATAGCGCTCAATGATTCTTACCCCGATTTAAGACTTGGGGAACCGTTTTGCCAGTCTGTCTGTTCGTATGTCTGTTCATTTTCAACTTTGTCAGATGAACCCCGATTAATTGCAAACTTGGCGAGTTGGCAAATTATACTATCAAACAATTATTCAGCATGTCTACTATAACTCCAAGGGTCCTGCTTGAGTCACTTCCAACCCATGAATGTAATCAATGTTTTTTTCTTGTCGGGCTTTGGTTTATAAACATTGGAAATGTTATGCAAAATTGTAGCAATGCGCAACATGGTTACCATTTTATTAATACCTGTGGTAATTTTGCATGGTTTCCATTTCATTCCATGTTTTTTGATACATTTGAATTAATTTCTCGAAACCTAGAAATGTACCATCTTCAATTCTTTGATGAAAAATCACCAATAGTATGACCATCAACATATGCAAATATATTTGCAAAAGGGTCAATTTTGTACCATCCAACGAAAATTTAGTTTATTCCAACCAAAATTAATAATTTGGCCAATAATGCAATGGGCAACGGGTTTAATTTTTGTGTCCAACGAAAATGTAAAAGCATCCGACGAAATTTTACATATCATATTACTTTACTTTGCCTATCATATTATTGACAGTATACATAAATGGATAGATATATATGGGTATGTATCTATTTTCATCATTCACAATTACCATCACTAACTCTCATTTCTTCCCAATTCTCATTCAACTTTTGTCAGGCCATTCCTTGTTATTTCGTAAAACAATTAACGAAAATGTCAGATTTTCAGCGACTAAATAATTATCAATCCGACTCTGAAGACTCGGTTGAATAAACCCCACAAAGAAGCAAAAACTTAATCACGAATTTATTTCCTATAATTAGGAAATAAAGCACTTACAGAGAGAGAGTTCCGTTAAGGCAATATTTTGGATGTATTATGAAACTTCTGCTAAATTGGACTCGACAGAAACCCTGATAATCCAGACAGTAAATTGTTTCAAATTACACCATCAGTTTCAAATTTGCTGATCAAAATCATATACTTTGGCAAGGGAGAAAGCAGGACTTCGATTTAGGAACGTGAGTGAAACTTCCATGCCATGTATTTCACCAGCAGGAAATAAATCTATTCGAAAGGATGAAATTGATAGAATCCTCGGGTTAATCAAAAGAATGTATTAGCAAAGGTTTGAGTCGTACGCTTCAAGTAAACCGGCGTTCTGGATTATCAATTTTAAATTGCATGACTGGATTTCTTCCACTTGTTCTTGCTCTATATTAAAAAAAGTATATGTATGCAAGTATATTGCTGGAATTCGAATAATTAGCAAGATATTTGTTGTACCGGATAATCTTAAGACTGATGTAATTGGAAGCTAAGCTAAGCGCGGTCGAAAAAAGTTAGTTGGAAATGCTTTGATTGTTGACTAAATATTTATACCTTCTTATTTATCGTAAGGATTTCGTTTATTTCTTATTTGGAAATTTAATTATTTTGTTGTGCATTTTAATGAAAGTTGTTGCAAAATAAATCAATTCGTTGCGCATTTCATAATTGGCGAAATTATTAATTTTGGTTGGATAAAGCTATATTTTCGTTGGACGGTTAAATTGGCACCCTTTGCAAAATCGTTTGTGGTCTTCATATTTTAATCTGCGCTTTTGTTTTTGGCCTATCTAACTACGTGTTAAACATAGCCCAGGAGAATATTTCTTTCTCCACTTGTGGGCATGTACCATTCCTGAAATTTTCAGGAATGGTAGTTCGATAGTTGTATGACATCATATAAAAAATTCAGAAATATCGCTGGTGGGCTTCATAGTCTTATAATTAACCAAAATTTAGCCCAAACCGATCACCATAACAGATTTCCTTCTTTGCGAAAAATAAAATCCCATGGTTTTCCAGCAATAGTTTTGAAAAATCTCGTAAATTTCCCAAACTTCGCAAGTTATATTGTTTTGCTCAATTTACAAGACATGCGAAATATATATGTTAAGATTGACGTGAGTAGGGTCGATAGTCAATAGTTGTAAAATTTTGAAATTTTTACTCTAGAATCTAAAAATACTCGTTCTATGTAATTTCTCATTTTGTCATTTTATGGATTCACTCACAATTCACTTTCTCTGGTCTTTTATAAATCGAAATTGTTTCCACATACTGGTTCAGTCGGAGTGGCGAGGACAAGACCAAAATCGCAATATCGTTTGCCCATTTTCGCCCTTTATTGTAGTCTGGATGAGTCCAGATTTTGGCGACCCCTTTGACCTGCTCATGCCTCCTGTCCTCTATCTTGGTCAGGCCAGCGTACACGTTCCACTCTTCCGGCGCGGAATCGATGACGCAATGGGCCGCCGTGAGGACCAGAACGGACGTCAGGATCGAACCAGAACAATGTTTCGTCTCGTTTTGTCTGACCGCCTCGAAGAAAACTTGGTACGGAAATTCCCCCAAGTTGGAGGGCAGACCGCGCAGGATTTTTGTCACTTCTGGTAGCACCGTTGTTGTCGGAGGAGTGGTAAATGGCGACAGGGAGACGGTATCCATTAGTGGCGACACGTGGTCACTGGTCACGTTCCCCATTGTTTTTTTTTATATATGTGTGTAGTAGTGTGAACTAGATATAAGTATTTTGACTCTCACTATTTGCAAATTATTAGGTTTTTACAATGTGAGTAAATGTTGGTGATGTTAATCTTGATGGTTGTACGTACTGCAGACTGTGTACATACATGTGTAGTTTTGCACTAAAAACTGATCTTGAGATGGAATGAGAGTGATTGATCTGATCAGGCAAGTCACGACTCATCAAATGATCATTACACAGTAAACATAAATCAAGTGAACTTTTGACTTCTGGTTTTACCAGGAATTTCATGCGAATCTTACTCCATCATTAAGTTTTGGAGTTTAGATACATAAGCAGTATACACACATTTTGACATGATATGCATGAACTGGTGAAAGGATAAGTTTTTATTGATACAATTGAGAAATACATAGCTTCTCCGACTCCCCCGTTTTTTGTAAATTGAACTCTTTGATGGTTTCTTTAAATTTTATTAACAAATCAGAATTCACGTATTCATCGTCTCCCTGGTCTGCTTGATCTTCTGACACATCTGCCTTGATGCTGCGAGTAATGTTGACCTCTGGGACATGTTATCACCAGAACGTTTGTGGCCTGTTTCTCCTGATCTGTGGAAGGTTCAGGTGGATCTTGTGCCGCTACAGGACTCCAGGTGGCAGCCAAGATAATGGAAACCAGGAGGAAATAGTACACAAGAAGACTGGTTGACTTACGCGTCATGGTGAAAATCATGCAAAATACCTGCAAAATAATATATTATTTTACCAGAGCTAATATAATCCCATCTGTCTGTCCGTCCGTCGTTCCGTTCGTCCGTCTATGTATGTTTAGTACATATATCTCATAACCCTGGCTCAGTATGTATTGTCCAATTAAAAAATATTTTATGATACATGCATATTTATATAAATATATTTAGTTAGAATTCTTTGGACAAGTGGAAGCCACTTAATTTAGTTGCTCACACTAATTTTTTATGACAAAACCTAGTACGTTTGTGTAAGGGTTGATAATTTCTTAGCAAATATGTAAAAAGTAAATTCAACTCGCAGAAGTTTTATTATAGGAAATATGTATGTATGTACATTTTATATCATCTACTTCCATAAAGCGTTAGTGTTAAGTTCTGCCTGGGTCCCTGTGGCTCTCAATGCAAATTGCCCCGTAGAGGAGACAAAGAAGGACGCGGAGCAACGGTTGCATGCATGAATTTTCTGCATGAGTCTCACTTCGCCTGCACGTGACTTTCACGTACGCTTGCCATCAATCTCAAATTAAATGTCTTTGTATATTTGCAGTGTGCAAGTAAATTGAGTGAGTGAGCAGTATACATACATACATCACTCATCAATAGTGGTTATCATGATAAGTGATCTTGATAAACACTATTAATTAATTATTTTAGTTTGAGAAACTCCACTCACAGCGAGTGGCATATCAATTCGAATGTATTTTTTACGCTGAATCCAACGCCATTAATGGTTTTGACCTCCGAGGCCCCCGTGACCTTGCCGTGACCGTGTTGTCCAAATATGGCTTATTCGTTATGTCGCATATCGATTCGAATGTATTTTTGATGCTGAATCCGAATCCGTCAATAGCTTGGCGTTAATTGTAGAAGTTAACGGGGTTTATGGAACTTAACGGGAGCGTGAAGCGTGGGAATTTAAATAGTTAGCTATGCAGTTACTCCCACGCGACGGGAATTTAAGTAATTAACTATTCAACTACCCCCACAGGGGGAAATTAAATTGTACTGTGACCAGGTTAATTAAAATGCAGTATGATTTGGGCAAACCCTCACTCTGATGTATGTATGTAGTATGACAAAGTCTTCACTGCGAATTATTTAAAGTATAGTATGACGGATTTTTCGCTTTGGGCACACCCCCCACTCTAGAACCCGGCCTTGGCCGGGCTATACGCTAGTGAAATAATAAATTGTACATCTATAAATTCTAATGGAGGGTACATACATATGTACATAACACAACATTTGTCAGGCTAAGCGAAGTTGTATTGAGTCTTAAACTAAGCTTAAATTATGCAATGCACTCAAAACTTACCCAATTCCCATGAGACGAATCAATTTCTTGAATTTCAACCAAAAATTGTGATCCAGAGTGCTTAAACTCTACCAAGTAACAAAGTATGATCCGATTTCTCAGAAAGCAATTTACAACTCTACTCTCACTTCAAACCTAGCCAGTGTCCACATTATGTATGCACATATGTATGCACATATATGTACGTGTGTACATATGCATGTACATAAATATGAAGTCAGGGTAAATATCTAGCTTTGGTTACATAAATCGTGATATGAGACGACGTATGATAAAAATGAAAATTCGTGCAAAATTCGCTGAATTTTGCTACCCTCCTCATTCATGGTTTGGTCAACATTGATAACATAGATTGTACGATTTCTTCTCATTGGCGTTTGGATTCCCACTGACCAATGGCAAATAAATCTATCCCGTACAAATCTTATGAAAAGTTAAATGCTGAATAGTTTCTTTTTATGGTTGTGTATTGCGAATAGTGTGCCTATTATGAACACTACAAGTACATAAGTATTTAACATATACATATATACATATACATATGCAAACGTACATGTTTACCTGAAAATACTGGTACCGAAAATCTAAAATAATTCATATGTACACATGAATTAGTCTAGTGGACTGGTAATTAATAAATACGTAGATTTATGTAAGCTTCCAGTTATAAGATTTGAACAGATACATACCTACATACCTATGATGGGTATTATATTATGCATATAAATATGTGCACTAATTACTGGATTGTGAAATTTCGAACGATGTGCATAATTTAATTGCACTTATTCCCATGAAGATTTATTGTGTAAGATAAAAGCATGTATTTACATACATGTACTTACATACGTACATATAGATATATATTTGTACATAAATACATAACTACGTACATATTCTTCTCAGTTACGCATAATCAGATTGGCAGAGTGGAACTGCTGCAAAACTGCAAGGAACGTCCACCCAGAGGAAATCACTGTTCCGAATAATGGCACAATTTTCCTCCCGGCCTCCACCCTGATGATTAGGGTCCCAGTTAGAATAGTCAGCTTGTACTGGTGATGACAACCCTTGACCTTGACCAACCCAATGCCACTGACCTTCAGAACCAATATCCCAAATTCCAAGCCACAAATGACGATAAACTACAAGTTTAAAGAACTTATTAAACAAAATTTACTTTTTCTTTTAATTTTTAATAAAAACTACTTACACTGTGTTTCATTAAAGTGATGTTGTACAGTCGATTGTTCATCATGATTGGAAATTGAGGCAGGTTGTAGGTCATGTGAGTGACAAAACTCGACAAATTCCATATAAGTGTGTGACTATATGTAAAGTAGACGTATGTATTTATGTAACACTGAAATAAAAATTTAACCCCAATGATTGCTATTGCATGTTACTTACAAATCCTTCAGCTTCCCTGTAAAAGGTTTTGTTCTCGAACGAGCCAATCTCAAGCAGTCCTACCAAATAAATAAAAGAATAAAAACTCACGCTAGACCGTACATATTTGAGTTTTTAAGAAATATATCAAGTGTTCCGAGCTGGCATTTTTTCTTTAAAAATATGTTTTAGGATTTTAGAAATATTTCGTAGTCGTGACGCGTTGTAATGGCATAGGAAATCGTTGTGATAAACCTCCGTGGGATTATACTATTTATTACTAATTGGACACACAAACAGTTTGTGCGAAATTAACTAATTTCAATCGAACCTGCCGAGTTGACCGTGTAAAACACATTGGATGCTGTAACCATCATAAAAACAATGACGGGTACTGCCCTCATTATGAAATGGTTTCGTTGGTTTACAAACTGCAAGTAGAAAATATTTTTATTTGGGGGTTTCAGCTAACCTCAACCTTGCAATAATTTTTAACACAAAAGAATGATTAATTAGATGCATGCATAAAAGTAGTTATAATTATTATGTATTTTTGCAATGTCGACTCAATGCTTATCACTGATGAGAAAATCTTATCACTTAATTAATTTTCACATACATATGTACTATGTGTAGTGTGTAACACTTGGTAAAAGTCTTATCGAATTATGAGGTGATAGATGACATAACTGATATGAAGTCAAACTAGACTGATTCGGTTCATACATAATCTCCCATTTTGACAATATTACCGATGATTCCCCAAAATCAAGACATACTCGTACAAATGCATTTATGTAAATGTAGGGAAATAATTATTTTTGTGAATGAACACACAGACCAAGTATGAAAGATAAGTGCTTGAACATAATTATAGTTTAAATGCAATTATATGTACTTATGCATTTACGGTTGCAGGAAAATCCAATGAGTAAATTGAAACCTACATACATACTTAGAAATGTATATATATGTACATACATACATACTATAATTAATTATTTCGGTATTTAAGACATTTTACTTGATAAATACATTTATTACAGCAAGCTTTCTTATATGCATGCATACTTATATATCTCTTTATATATATGCATGTATATTGTAGCTCATTGCTATTGTATTGTATTGTAAAATGATGGAGCGAGATATTTTCTTCAATTAAGCATTCACGTACACTTTCGTCTAGTCTTCCTCCTACCAAACCAGGTAGCATAATTATGTAATACTTTTTTTACTAGTAGTTGGTAATGCTACCAACAATAAATGAAAGCCTACAGTGTACATAATATATATGTACATATGCACGTACGTACGATGTACATTCATACTTACATCACATCCTGCATGCTTTGATCAAACACTGTAATCAGTGATACTGATATCACGATTCTCATAACAACAACCAGAAAATAAAGCAGTCCGAACCACATCATGACTCATCTCCAGTCAGTTAGTGATACTCGTACATTTATACTCCTCAGCTGACATGACCAATTCCAACCAAATAGTTACTAAACATCTCTTCCAGAATGGGCAATACCACCTCGAATTCGTGTCCATTTCTTGAAATTCACACCACTCCAAATCAATCTCTGCAAGAAACTTGCACATTTCAAACAGATTGCTGCCCATCCGATTTTTCTACTTGTGTCATTTCCACCTTTGACAAGATCAAATTGCAGCAACAATTCAAACCCGATTGTCAACTTCACCTCACCCTAATCGCACATGGCTACGCGTCCAATATTCGGAAGAGAGGGGAAAATTTCCCTGAAATTAAGGACGCCATTCTCACCCAAGCCGTTGACCCACACCTCGTAATCCTCCTGGATTGGAGTAGTCATGCCGGAACCCCGTTAAATTATAAGATTGCGGTGCAAAACGTGCTGGAAATTGCGGTTAAGATAGCACCTTTTCTAACCGGTGTGAGAAATCATTACAAGAATCAAGTTCACATTCATGCCATCGGTTTTAGTCTGGGGGCACATCTGGTCGGTGCAATTGCGAAAGCGGCTCGTCAAGAGGGGACAATTAATTTATTCAATAGGATAACCGCGTTGGACCCGGCGGGCGCCGTGGTGGTTAATTCGGGTGGGATCTCGTCCTTGTTTCGACACCATGGGTTCCCATGCTTAGCACGGGATGATGCAAATATGTAAGTTTGCATAATTATGGGAGCATTACTGGCTGACAGTCATACATACAGAATAAATTTCGCCAATTTCATATCTTGTATGATTTCATATATGTTGTCACTTTTTGAAAAACTTCAATTCATTAAGTAACGAATTTATGTATGCAATTCTTAAATTTTATAACATTTTTTACTTGAAAAAGTGATTTAGATGGTCAAATTTTAAATGTGGGATTAAGTTAAAAATTGCAATTTGTACATAATTCCTCCATCATTCTTCTTTCTTGTCTGATTCATTTGTGTAATTTATTTCCTCAGGGTCGACGTAATTCATACGACCGACTGTTTGGGAACTGATCAAAATTTGGGAACCGTTGATTTCTTCACTTGGGGTAAATTCTTGTTCGATTCAAAACTGTAAAGTTCTCGGATACGAACAATTGTGTATTGTAATTACAGATATTTCCACCTCGAGGAAAATGAACTGGGGATATTTAGACCATTTCAACCACATCGGTGTAACAAAGCTGTTCCTGGATAGCATCCTGGAACGGGAGAAATTTCAAACGAACAAGTCAGTAATTTTAGGAGCTAATGGTTTCAAATATACAAATTCCGACGGACACGAAGTCACAATGGGATATTTCTGCGAACCGAAAACTAAAGGACTGTATTTATTTTTAGAATAATTCCATCATATGCACATAGAACCACACATTTTCTAATACTTACATACGTAAGCAATTGACCTTATTAATTCCATTGTTGAGAATAAGAATCTGATCTAAATATTTCGGAATTTGTCCGAGTTGGAAAATTATTAAACATGCATATCGCATACAAAAACCAATATTGAATATTGCTAAATCAATGCATCCGTTTCTTTCAGCCAAGTTAAAGCGTTAGTTTATTTTAGGTGATAAATACCAATCTATGGTTATCCTTGTGTGTGTATGTATATATGTAAATACATATGTCTATTATTCGGACTATACCAGAAAAATAATTCGTTCCATGAGGCTGAGATAAAGTTTAATGAAATTCGCTGCGAGGTGTGGTGACAGGAAGGCACATAATCAACAAAATTGTTCAAAAGTCTAGTTATCTTATGCAGATAAGAAGTAAACGCGCTTTTTACACAAACGATATGTTACTGTATGAAGGATTGGGAAATTATATACTCAGGCAAATTCCAAACTAAACTATTAGTCATGCACGATTTCTTTTAACTATTGGTTACTTTATGTAAGCTCCGTCTAGCTGAGGGGCTGATCAGTTTGGAAAGAGAAGCGTTCGTATATGCTATTATTTTTTTTATTAATACGTGCTTTTGCGTTATTAAGTAATCAAGCTAATTTTTTTTAAAATCTTTATCCAAAATCTTCAATAATTTTCATCGTTCAGTTGTAAGGACTCCAAGTTGTGCAAAAAGTGATCCGACGGACTTATGCTGCGCAAAAAGAAGTAGTATAGAGCAGGTTTCCAGAGTTCGTGCTCGATTATATAATCGAATTTAGGTTGCGCTGACCAGATGTGTTATACATATGAACTGGAAGTACATATGTATGTTCCTCATTTTCTGATACAATCATAAACATATATGCCAAATAAGGCTCCCATTAAACGCTAAATTTCTTAATTGAGTTCCTACCACCGTCATACGTAAGTTAAAATGGTTAAATCATTCACCAAGCCAAATGTGCACTTACTTACGTAAATATATAAATATATAGATACATAAATTCAGTTTTAGGCTGCCCATCCTATGGCAAATATGGATAGACTTCAAAGGAAAAGTATGCAATCTTTGCATTTATCCGAACTATACTTGAAGTGAGTTAGTTATGTGCTGTGCGAATGGAGCTAAACTCACGAGAAACCCTAGTCTCAGCACAAGGTACTTCAGGTTTAAGCTCCACCCGCACAGTACATAACTCGTTCACTTTATGTATAGTCTTCGGAAACTCTTTAGTAAGTGCATTATTTAAAGAAGAACGACATGTGACATTTAATTTAAAACATGCACGCAAATCTATAAACCTGTTGATATCTGCTCATAATAGATCCTCACCAAAATCATCTCCTTCCTGGGATTCCATGACTTACAAAATCTACTCCTCGTATCTCCCTCATGGGACAGAAAGACAATCCAAACGCGGTTGGAGACCTTGGCAATTGTGCATTTATCTAAGAAAATAATTCACTTGCCACCTTTATTATCAAAAATCGTCTCCATCTTCAAAGTGTCCAAGAGAGACTATGGTACAGTGTCAGCGCTGTGGTCACGAGTGTCACCTCGCGATAAGGCGTCGAAACAATGGATCAACAACTTGCCACCTATCTGGTCAAGTTATAGGGTTATCCACCCTTGGTACCTTACCCCGAACCACGCCGACAAAATCCTCCACTTTTTTGCCCAACCAGATATCCAAGATAGAATAACCTTCCTCCGATTAACTCTCTGGCCTGAAGCAAGCCTCTCATTCGTCCACCAACTGCTCGGGCTATTACCAAACTTGCAAAAATTAGAAATAATCCTGAATCACTTTAACGTCGGGCAAAAGCTGGACGAGGTAAAGCCCAATGTATGTCAAAATTTAAAATCCTTCACAATTTGCCTCCTCAAAACTGAGCAATGTGCAGGGCGCATGGCCCCCGAAGACTTAACAATGCTCTGCGCCGCACTGAATATGAGAGCCATGCATAACGTGAAAAGCCTACAAGTTCGGGATTGTGAAGGATACCGCAGGGAGTCGTTTCTTCACTATGACGACTGGCAAAACTTGACCCATGTCGATTTCGACTGCTCAAGTCACGAAATGTTAACGAAATTAAGTTTGATACCTAACTTGGCCTTAAAAAGACTCAAACTTGGGTACCTTGATAACTTCAGTCTTCCATTGTTGCATCAAATTTTAACCACGATTTCGGGCACCCTTGAAATATTGGACATCGAATTGGCTACTAATGAAGAACTGGATCATATTCCCAGCCAGTTTGACTTTCCGACTTTGCCACGCTTGGAGAAATTTTCATATTCGGTTGGACAGAGTGAGAGTAGAATATTTTTAAGTAGCCTTAATTAAATTAAATTAGTATAATAATTTTTTAACTTAATTATTTTTCATAGTTAGCAAAGCTCTCCAGATAGCGCGGTACTGGGACCCGACAGCAACTTTATGGGCCGCAGTGGAAAGTTTCCTACTCCTGGACGGTTTGAATATGAGGGAAATCTTTAAGGTAAAGGGTGCCAGAAGGAAGTAGTTGAATTTTTAATTGATATTTAAATTATAAATTGGAAAATAATTATGCTCTTTAACTTATCAGGGTGGCAATGCAACTTTTACTGAGAAATTTCCACTCCTCCGAAATCTGGAACTGAGACAGATTGAAATGTACAAGAACAATTGTGACATATTTTTCTCACGTATTAAAGAAGGCTGCGTAGTATTTCCTAGGGTTAAATTATTTTCACTGGAATTGCCAGAAACGTGGAAGAATTCAGCAGGATTGACCAGGTTGAAGGAAAAGTTGACAAGTTTTTTCCCAAATGTGGTTGAAATGCACATTTCTCCGTGAAGAATGGAATATCATCGTTTTACATAAACAATAAATTAAAACAAAATACATTAGAACCAAACATAAATTCATGGACTCGATGAACGTCAGATTAAACTTCAAGAGTTAGACATGTTGAAACCCAAAATTGTTTAACTATTTATATACTTATTTGACTTATTTATATACTTATTTATATACTTATACTTATACTTTGACTTATTTATATACTTATAATGACAATAAATCAAGGGAACCTAAATATTTCGGTATCTACATACATATATGTACATGTTCCTCAAAATTGTGCTTTTGAAAAAATGGTATCACACTGAAAACCAATGGAAAATGCATTCCAACGAAATGATTCCTCACCAAACTCGAGGAAAATGCCGGGTGCTGTTTTTCTCTCTGCCACTTTCTCTGCTCGGAGAAAGTAAGTGAGAGACTAGCAGGGATTTCTTGCATAATAAGATGTGCGATTTGTCACTAAACATCTTGGTCGATATAATCGTCATCATCATCAGAGTTGGAAAAACTCAGGATTAGAGACTGCATGGGGATAATTGGGATTAACTAATTTCTAATTCTTGATCCAGTAATGCCACAATCTTACTAAAAATAAATACTGCCCATAACTAACTTGTTCTATGTAAATTACAATTCCTCAATTCTTAATCAATTTTCCCCAATAAATCACACAACTTATTTGATTTAAGAAAACAGATCAAAATCTTTGCACGCACCTCCCCCTCAATCCACTCGAGATAAATATGTGCATCTCACACCAAGATACATTTAAGCCTCCCTCTACTTATTCATAGCGTGTGTCCATTCGTCCATACCCACGCTACTTAAACTTGCCTATATATAAATACTTGTATCTATATCTTGGAGAAAGTCGAGCAAGTGTCGGCTTGCTCGTCTCCTGGTGAAAATAGCCCTCGACCGGGTGAAGGAATGGATATCGATCCAACCCCATACGTATTCCTACCGGTTCTCCAAGTGTACATAAGCGCAACGTTGCAGTGAAGTGGGTTCGATGGCTCCCATTCTTGCGGCACCCCGATTTTGTGAAGCTTTGCACTTGTAGCTTTCTCCCACTACTTTCTCCAGCCTTACAAAATTCTCCACTGCCAAAAAATACCTTGCGAGATAACAAGTTATCAATTTTAACTGCCATTAAACTCCGATTAGGGAAAAACACCCCGGTCGGTCAGCATGGGAATGGAACGGCTAATGAGCCCCTGCTTCTTCGGGATCACGCTCCAACAAGGGGCACAACTCATCGCTGCCATAAATATCGTGAGTTTTGCAAATATTTATAAAGACAATTTTGAAGAGAAATTTAAAACCTGTGTGAATCCTGATAGGTTTTGGGGGTCTGGTTCGTCATCATCTTTACCTTGTATTGCGTCACGATTGGAGCTGAAGTTAATGGTATAATAAAATTCTTATTACTTTAAAGTTAATTATGGCAAATAATATTAAATAGTCAAAAGTTGGCAGGTATATATGTAGTGAAACCTGAAGAAATTAGGGAGAGGGTAGAGCCATGAATTATATATGTGACCCGTGTTTTTCCTTGTTGAAATGTATTGGGCTTTATAAAATGCTAACCCCACCTGGTCTTTATCACTATTTACATATTATACTGTACAGTCAGATCGATTACGCTGCCCGGGGATTGCACCTCACAACAACAATTCTCCATCGAAAACTTATATACGCACATAATCACTCTATTTTCATGTCCCAAATATTTATTGGTGTTTGTGATGCATGTGTAATTTACATACATAGGGGGAAAGCAACGAGAAACTTATGACAACTTATGCGTTGCGTTTTTAATTATGCGTTTTTAATTTATTTAGTCAGATTTATGTACATATTTAATCTCAAATGTAGTTTATTGAGCTTACTTTACATTGCAACTCAGAAAATTTACGAATGTAAGGACAATTGTTTCATGGGGGATTCGCAAAATAAGATTTCGTAAATTTCTCAAATCTATTTATAAAACCAATTCTTGTTATCCTAATTAGATTTACGTAGTTTCATGGGTTTCTATAATTTGTTTTATGGTTGATAGGATAAGTGTGTGAAATAATAATACGAGCATGACATAAACCCATGCACACTTACTGAAAAAGTTTTCCATCAAAAATCCCATGTTTTCTAGAAAAAGTGCTCCTAAACTTTCCAAATTATGCTCATTGTCAGTTTGGGATATGTGTGACATGCATCCGATATAGCTTGTCATAAGTACGCCTAATATCTATGTATGTACATACCTCAAAATACTTAGCATGCAAATTTTTCTCTATTTTGCAGAAGTCGCCGGGGGCGAACTTACCGGTATGATTATCGCGTACTGGGTGATCGTTTGCGTCCTCGTCTTTATCAGTGCCATCATGAATTTTATCCTCTTGTTCAAGGGGGCAAATGAGGTAACCTCATCTGTTATTTCAAATTTATCTTAAAATTTTGCTAATTTTGCTATCTTCTTTTTTAATATGAATAGAGGTCACCCAAAAAGGTGAAATTCTTTCTCATCGCGCTGGTCGTCATCGTCGTGGTGGGATTTATCGCCACCCTCGTGCGACACTTTTCCATCGCCACGTTCTTCATCACGTTGCTGTCCGACCTGCCCGTCGTGTACGAGTTGTGGGTCGTGTACTGCTTTTACAAGGAGATTTCCAACGTGGATCAGTACACTGGAGAAACCGGAGGAAATTATCAGGAGCCGTAAACACATATTTGATTAAAACAGTTCAAAGTTTCAATAATTTTACTTATTACGTGTCACTGAGCGGGTTCACGTCAACCTTTGTAACTTTGTGTGTCAGTAAATGGTAACGAAACGACATCATGAGCGAGGCATAATTTTTGGAGAATTTACATATGTACACACATCGTTTCCAAAGTTGACGATGTGAACTCGCTCAATGAATAATTTATAATTCCTCTGCTCATTAAGTTAATTAATCGTGTATGTAAATATTTATTCGAGCTGAAGAAGAAGAAAATGGAGAAGAAAATCATAGTGCGAATAATTGTTGCCACTTATCATCGTTAAAATTAAGACAAATTGTGCAATATTATGTACGTGGAATTGTGTTCTACATATTTTTGTGAGGGATGCTGACTAGCATGCGTCAGAATTCGAGCAGTGGTGCGGAGAGAATTTATTATGGGATATTTTATTTTATTGATAATAATACATAATTGAAATCAGATCAATAATTCAATAAAACTAATTCCAGTGTTGTGAAAAATTTGGTGCTTTATTTCAGTTGGCAATGTAAATGATGACGAAAAATGGCTTCGGAAAATTTGTACTTGCAAATGAAAGTGGTGAAAGAGTTCAATTAAGGGTCGAATGAAAAAGTTGGGTGAAAGCTCTTCATCCTTGAAGTTTTAGGAAATTTTACCAAATTTGTGACTTAAAAATTTTAAATTTCCACACACGCTTGACTTTGACTCCCCCAGGAATAAAAAGTCGTCCTAAAATAATACTATTCGCCTCGCCAAGAAAAACTACCAATTAACAAAAACTAATTATCGAGCACGACATGAGGTTAAATTTAACATATTTGACATGTGTGCATTATTTATTTGCCGCGTCTTGAATTAGCCTGATAAATGACAAGTATTGGAACTAATAAGCAATTACACATCGAATAAAGTTGACGCGACTCTGGAGGAGACGACGCCCAGAAAACAATGACAATTGGTTAGCAGACTCTCGTCCACAAACTGTTATGCCAAAGATCCGACATGAGGGGACATGCCAGGTTCGGGACACTTCTATTATTAGGATACTGAGTACGAGAGAAAGAGAGAGAGAGAGAGGTGTTCAGTATGGATTTAGCTTTAGGATAAGTGTGGCTTGAGCCATGGTCTTAGTTAAGGATAAGTAGTCAGAGTTATGGAAATAAAGGAAAGTTTAAGAAAAACATCCCGAATCTGTCGACCACGGTTATTCCGCACCCCTCATAGCCATCGTCGTTCGTAACAAAACACAAGCATAAATTGCTCGATACCTCCGAAATCTTGAGAATTTATTTTTTTGCATCAACTTATCCTTAGCAATGGATAAAATAAAGAATCCATCATTATTCTTCATAGACATTCCTCCTAAAATTAACCCAATTAAGGTTGTAAAATCCTTGCATGCTAATTCACATATGCCGAACAGAGACAACGATACAATCACTAATGTCAAAAAAGAAGCAAAGTTTTACGAAGTTGTCAAAATTTACAGTATTTTATTCTATATTTCACGCCTTTTTGGCTTTCTCCCTGTAAGAATTATATCAAACAAGGGTGCAACACGGCTTGAATTTAAATTAAAGTCGGCATGGTTCGCGTACTGCGTCATCATCACAATTTTAATGTATTTCGCGCTCATAACCTACTTTCTAAACAGGGAGTTCAATATTGACCTTGGTTTCCAAGTGTGAGTCGTTCATTCTCAATTTTTTGATCGAGTGTCTAAATTATGTTGCGATGAAATTTTCAGATTTACTCGTGCCGCGGAATCGGACGGATTTTTTCAAAACCGACAAGCCCCCACAAAATCATCTACGGTCCTCGTAATTGACCGCGCATTTCAAGTAATGCTCCCTATATACGGATTCGTCAATACGACCTCCGTCCGCATACAAATTAACAAATTTGTCCGCTTTGTCAATACCTGGTCAGAAATTTCTAAACATTTCGACACCGCTTTTGGATCCGATTATGCCATGAATTTAAATTGCTTACTCCAGTTTAAAAAAGGATTGAGCTTCGTACTAATCTTCACCTATTGTTCAACACTCTATAAAGCCGTCACATATCCAGGCCGCATGTTAACCGAGGAATTCGCACTGTTTGATATATTTCTGAAATTTAGTTTCGTCGCATTTGTCACCACTGCGTTCACGATTTCCACAGCTAACACACTTTTAAGTTTAGTGACGGTGTGGATCTTTTACAGAGAGGTGATGAAATCCGATTCTACATACTTTCTTTTTTCTCCGTTTTTATCAAATGCATAATTGTCAATTTTCAGATCCTACACGGGATTCGCACCCAGTATGAAAACGGCATCCGAATAACGGATCGTCACGTTAATGAGTGGAAATCCTTGATTATTTCGGTCCGAGAACAAGTCAAGATTTTTGAGGAAATTAGTTCAATTCCGGAGTTGAATGACTTGTTTTTCTTTTTTGTATCGAGTTTGTGCATTTCTTACATGGCATTTAGCCTCGTCTTGGAGAATGTGGAGGAGAGTGGAGCCATGATCCCGTATGCTGTGGGTGGTTTGGTATTTTCCATGGCGAGGACGTACATGAAGGGAAGTTTGGCCGAAGTTTTGAAAGAAGAGGTGTGCATTTTTATGCGAAATTTGTATGTTCGAATTACTGAATTATGATGCCACATTTTCTTGAGCAGGAACAAAAAATTGCAAGGTTTATAGTATCCATGAGACCAGAGGGAGGGCAATGTTTCCAAGAAATGGAAAGAGCTGGAGAGCATTATATCGATTCCAGGGCACGTGTTGAAGTATGTAAATAAGCTATTACTAAATAAAGAATTGAAGTTTCCCTGATATTTTTTATATTTTCTTAGATGCAACTAATTTCGAACATGATATTAACAAATCCTACCCAAGTTACGTTTGGAAATGTGATTGTTCTCAATAAGAAGTTACTATTGTCCGTAAGTTGTACATGTAACGATAATTTTAATTTATGAAAATAAATGCATACAGAATTTTTAATAATGTGATAATTTAAGGTGTGCAGCAATCTTGCGTCGTATCTTGTTGTTCTCCTTCAATTTAAGAGACCAGCATAATTTTTAAATAAGTATGTAAATGCCTCAATAAATCATGTGAACAAAAAGAGCTTAACCAGATTTATAAATACAACATGCCGTGAAAAAAAAACTTTATTTCTTCTCCGTTGATTGCATAGATAAATATTTAGATGTTTAGATGTCTTTATTCGTATTTAAGCAATTTTCACACCCATGCATATTTTATCAACGACTATTTGTATTTAGATAAAATTACGAACTGTCCACTGATTGGAATTGATAGATAATAACCACGTACGTTGTAATGGCAGCAATCATCTAGAAATATGTAAGAGTTTTCAACATATTTAAAAAACTTATACTAAAATATCAAAAATTCCAAATCTTACTGAGATCAAAAGTCGCAAATTCAAATCCAGCATCGAATTTGCAATAATTATCGGATCAAGGGACGGAAACTCCTTAAATTCGTGTTTCTGTAAAAGTAGACGATGCCAATTAAAGATATACCTTCAATATTTATTTAATTGACTAATTAACAAACCTGATTATTTGTAGATTGGCTCAATTTATATATCGCAATTTTCTCAGCTACCCAAGTCATGCGTGACTCATCATGGTCATCATAATCAATAAACTTAACCCTTTTAGCAAACATTCTACTTTTCTCTTCCAATTCACTCGAACTATTTACCAAGCAATAAAAGTAAGTGGTAGACAATGCCAATTTTACCAGATTAAATCCACCCGAAAAAGTGTCCTTCGTACTGAACGATATCACAACGAAATAAATCGAATATAACAAATTTCCTAAAGTATAAACAACATAAATATTCAAAACCCTGCCAAACAGGGAGTTAAATTCTTGCACATTGTTGTCCAAACGGTAATAAAATTCCACCATGCTCCTAACTTTCCCCAAATTTGTCAACCATTTCCGGTTCAGCTCATCCCGTAAAACGTTCAGCAATCGAGTCACACAAAGTTCATAGCTCATCACAAAATAAATGACTCCATGAAGACAAAAATTCGTCAGGAAATCAAGCCAACTGAAAGATAGGTCTCGCATGAAGCCGATAATATTGAAATCCGAATTCACAACGTTCGTGAAATATAGATACACCCCAGTCGAAAAGGAGGACATTGTTACTTGCAGAGATATATGGACAACACATTTCACACTGATTTTCCTTAAGAATGTTTTTAGGGTGCCCTCCTCGTGGGCAAAATTTGCCTCCAAAATGGTAACAATGGCGGTGAATTTCTGCCAGAATGTGGCAACACGTTTCCTACTAGTGACGAGATACAACCTGATGAGCAAGGGACATATGATGGAACAAAATCCCCAACAACTTGTGACCGCGCTGAAGGTATTGCGTCCCTTGGAGACATATTCCGCAGTTATCTGCTCGTAATGGTCGGGATCCTGGCTATTTGTCATGGGGGAAAGTGTGAGTAGTGTGTAGAAAATGGGGAGTAATGTGGATGGGGATTTGTACCAGGGGGGACAGTCGAGCGAGAGGGGTTTTCTGGAACCGGGCGTTGTGATGGATAATGGAAGGAAACCGGCGAATTGTTGTATTCGAAAAGGTAACTTAGCCCCGTGCAGGAGGGATTTTGTCGGTGCGGGGGGAATTATTAGATGAGGCCGGATTTGCATTTTTCTAGCGAAAAGGAATCACTACCTTTATCAATACGGAGAAAGTTCCGAATGAATAAGTACGTAGTTAATATTATACCTTGGCCAGAAAAATAATTGTCCTGTGAATTATGTATCAATTGAGGGTTATTATACTGGCTTATTAGTACCAGAAAATAAAAAAAACTTAGGCGTAACACTAGAGAAGTCCGTTGTTTGTTTGGGATGGTACTTATTCACTCCATTAAAAAAATTAATAACAAACAAAAACCTCGTCGAAATATGTGCGCACATACATTTTAAAGCGTGCTTTGTACAAATTTCATGTCGTGTGAAGATTTGGGGGTTGAAGGGTGCATAATATTGAACAATTATGGGAAGTACTTTTGCTTCCAAATAAATTTGCAAAGGCAGTTCTTTGTTCCCTATCTTTTGAGGCAATAACTTAAATAAATAACCACTGAGGTCGTTGTACTTGTACGCACTTGATGTTGAAAAATTCCTAATAACCCCACTACGTAAGAATATTAATAGTGGCCAAATGCATGGAGAACAGGTCGAACAAATTACCTAAATTACTGCTATGACCGCATGCATTTATGTAGATAAATATAAAGTAAATTCAACTACATAACGTTGTCACACAAGTAGGGACAAAGTGCTTATCCATTACATTGCGTTGACGAAATATGTACATTTGCTTAATCAAATCTACACGCCATGTAAGTACTAACCTAAGTAAATATTATGTAATATACTTTACAGTAGCATTCATACACATAGATAAATCAATCATATCTGAAACAATTAGCAGCACATGTATTTTGTTTTATGCACTTGCCTAAAATGCATGCTTATATTACATGTCGATCCATCATAAAGAGCACAATAAGTATATAACTTAAATATTTTTTATATATTGTACACCTTTTATGCAAAATGTATTCATAAGTTGTACATATGTATATATGAAGTGAATGCATTTCATAACACTCACATTATCAATAAAAAAGACATTAATAATACGTTTACGTTTATGATTGAGATTGATCAGTATCGTTTAATAATTACTGATCGGTACAATGTTTATAAATTTGCCGACGAGCTCTCCATCATCTTTTGTCCTACGGTCCCATTTAAATTAACAATACAACTATTTATTGTTTCAGTCAGCTTCGTGCGTAAATGTGGCGCTTTTAAAGACCAGAGTGGCATTTTAACTGTCCCATTTTTACGTCAAGTCAAAATGCAAACAATGAAACGAATTCGTTATTTTTCGAATAAAATCCTACATATAAACCGAGATTTGACCAGTCTATAAATCCCACTTGAAGTTGACACTCTCTAAGTAGCTGATCTAAACTCTAATTTGAAGTCATAATGGGAACAATTATTCCTCCAACTTTTGTCTCATTTTTCGAATATTGCTACCACTTGGGAGTCGTTCCGTTTCGATTCAAAATTCCAAAAGATAAAGATGCGGAGCAAGATCCGATTCCAAAATTGGGTGGTGGAGAATATATTCTAGAAACAAATCTTAAGCAAATGGTACATTTACTTGGCAAATTTTCACAATGTAGTAAAACATTTTTTTAATCTCCACGTTTTGCAGGTATTTTGCGGTATCGTGCATTTCCTTGTTATCCTGTACTCCCTCATGTCCACTATGACCGCACTTCTAAATAACGAAATAACTGGTGTAATTTCTTATTTTGCTGTGATCCTGCCCTTCGTATCGTCATTTCTAACCATTTCGTTCAGTTCCTTTGTGTGGAGATTTCGTCAGGGAAGAATCACTGACATGATAACACAGTCCATCAAGTATTTCGAGCATTGCAAGAAATCACGAGTAAGTCTTTTAATTGGCAGGACTTATGTAGACATGTAAACAATAATTTCTTAAATTTTCCCATTACGGGAATTGCAAACACTATGTAAATTTCTTCCTAGCGTGCTCCATAACTTGAACGCTAAATTATTCCAACTTTCAGGGATTTCCTAAAACGGACCTAATTTACATAGTCATCAGCATCCTTCCCTTCATCCTCCCAGGCCTCGTGTCGATCTTTTCCCACCTCATCAACTACGACCTCTCCCACAATTTCTACAATTACGTCTCATCAGCCCGGTCATTTTGGAGTGCGTCCTACTTCCACGGAATCCCCGATAACTCTGTTACATCCTACAGCACACTATTTGGTTACATCATCCTCTCCACGTTCCACTTGACCGCCACCCTCTGCACCTTTTCTTTCATGGTGTTTATGCAAACCGGACTGTTTTTGGGAGTCATGGTCCTGCACGAAGCTGCGTGCGCGTTCACATCAAAATTGGGGAACAAGTCGCCCGACCATTATTTCGACTCGTACACGTTGCTGGCACAATGGCAGGATCTGAAATCCTTGTCGAAATCAATAAATCACGCCATGGGAACGTTGCTAAGCTTTCTTTTTGTCATGGAAACGATGGAAATCATCACGATTGTAGGCTCCATGCCGAATGGTGATTACTACGCGGATGCACTGAGCCTGTACTTGATCTTCTTCAGTGTCACGTACCTCGTTTTGGCGGCCTGGATTTGTGACGAGGTTTGTACAAAAATGCGTACATGACAAATCATAAATGCAAGATCATTTTGCTAATACAATTTTCATATATAGGTGTCTAAATTCCGCGAATATCTACTCGACCAGGATCACATCGTGATCCCGTCAGACGTGAGGATGTCCCTTGTCTCGGGAGACTTAAATGGTCACCCAGTTGGGATTAAAATTTTTGGCACGTTTGTTGCCAGCAGTAAGGTTTTAGTAAATGTGAGTCTTACATTCTCGCCCATTAAATGATTTAAATGTAAATTATAAAAATTTGTTTTTTAGATGCTTCTCATCGTGATGGGCCTTTTTGTCGTGATTATACAAACCGGTGGACATACAAAGGTCGATTGTTCTTGTAATCAGAATGAAGAGTATGCTAAAACAACGACATTGATGAACCGGATGACATCTTTTGCGCCCATAGAAATCTCATCGTCCACTAGTATACCACCCACTACGACACCACCCACTACGACACCGCCCATTACTACACTACTAACTACTACACCACCCACTTAAGAGTAGAATTAAACGTAGAGTGGTCTGATCAGCACGTTCAGAATTCAACAAACTTTGATCGAAGTCGCAAAAAAATGATGCTTAAGGGTTGGGTAACCTTGCTTGTATTTAGTTAACGATTTACATTTGACTTTGTTCATATTCTATGTAAATATGTATGTTGTATGTACGCACATTACATACGCTCGTATTTCGGATTTCGGTACAAATTCGTACAATAGAATTTATGTATGCTAGTATGCATTAAATTCATGGCTTTCATTTTATATATTAGTAATACGTATATATGTATGTCGGTAAAAAACGATCTATTCACTGTTGATTGACTTGCATGCATGGAAATAAATGGGAAACTTGGGTGATTATATACACATCTAAATATGTGCATGTGTACATTGAACATATTAACCGTTTGCATTTTCAATTTAATGTAAAAATGCTGCACATATTCAATTGGCGAGCATATCGGCAAAATACAGCTCATATTATTACGAGTAACACCATCTTTACAAATTACTTCGAAATTTAGAAAAACATACACATGTGACAAATATAATTCCTTATCTAACCTTATCAAAACTTATAAGTACTTGATGTCCTTATCCTATCGCTTGGCAAATGTGGCTTGAAACGGGTACGGTTTTAAAGTTAATCCAGGCCTCATGTCTAACCTGGGCTTTTCATGACCTTTCGGAACGCTCAACTTGTACCGTTGCAGAAGTGAGGTGGTCAACAAAAAGGCAACAATGTTCGCATGCAGTTCTCCAGGACAGTTTCTCTTCCCTGAGGAAAAAAGTTAATTTTTAATTTTTAATAATTTTTTAGACTAACGCAACTACAGTAAATAACTTACCAAACGAAAAAGAGATAATATTTCCTGCATTCACAACTTGTCCGTCCTCGTTAAGAAAACGTTCCGGTCTGAATGCATCGGGATCTGTCCAATTTTCTTCGCTTTCATTGTACAGCCGCGTGTCGGCCATGATAATGGTATCCTAAGAAAAAGTACATAAATGCCCATATAGAAATACTATCCATCAATTAAATATTTTTCATTATGTAATTCCGCACCTTTTTAATAATGTAGTCCTTATAAGCAAGATCTGACAGAGCGCGACGAGGCAACAGATTCTGGAGGACTCGACCCTTCCTATGCGTCTCCAAGAAGAAGGCTTGAAGGTACGGCATCCTAATTTTATCAAAATATGCATTTTCTTAGCGATTCAACTTAAATCAAATCTTTTAAGCATACTCTTTTCTATCTGAAAAACGAAAGGCTCTCCCATCCGGGGCAACTTTTAAAATTTCTCGATAAATCTTCTCCTGTACATCCGGATAAGTTACGAGGTACAGCATCACAAACTCCATGTAAGTGCTGGACGTGTCGGTACTGGCGAGATGCAAGTCTTGAAATGTGAGCTGGAAATTTTCACCTGAATAAATAAACATAGGTTAACTAATTATTAGTTAAGCTTAATTTGTTCATCTTAAATTTCACTACTATTAAAAATCTTCGGATCCGTGCTACAATTTTGAACAAAGGCTTCCAATAAATTTGTCGGGGTTATATGTGATGTAGTCCATTTTTCTTGCATTTCCTTGAACAAGTTCTGCAAATTGGATAAAATACTTGTTTAAGTATGTACATTATTTAAAAATTTGAAATCCTAACGTTGAAATTTTAAATTTTTGAATTTTGTTCTATGATCCTTACTAGTGCGACTGTATTTGACGTGTTGAAATAATCCATTTGCACATCGTATCCTAACGCCTTTGGAAAGACGAATCTCAAAAATGGAAATGCATTGACGATCCCTGTCCCAAAAATGCTGGCTCGAATGAAAGCATCTCCTTTCTCCGCTAGTGTTTTGATGTACGGTTCGTCTTTGGAGAAAGCTGACCAACAATCATTTGCCACATGATCGAAAGAATGGAATCGTTGAAGAGAAGCTCGACATCGAGGTCACAACTCTTCTTATCAGTTCTGATCTTGTCGTCAATTGAGGCGAATAAGCGCTGGGATGCATCCTGAAAATTTCATGTTTAAAATCTGCACCCTTTAAATTTATGTACGTGTTGAATATTCTTTCACCTGAATGAAATGTTCCATGTCGGAAGATTTGCCGAAACCGAATTCTCGTAAAGTTTTAAACGCCCAAGGTCTCAACTTTTCCCAAACTTCTCCTTCAGAAAGGGCAATTCCTAAATTTTTATTAAAACTTCGATCTGCAAACATTCCAGAGAAATCTCGAGCAAAGGTGGCTTCATTGGTGAAGATGGTTTGTATGGCTTCTTTCGATGTGAGGATGACTGTTGGCGAAATGAAAGTAATCCTTAGTATATCATCTTTAATTTTCATGCATGTATCCGCAATTAGGAAATTACTTAAATTATGGAGGCATTGGCATTGATTACCAATGAATGACAAAAATTGTACCCACCTGTCCTTTTGGATCCCATCTATCTTTAAGGAATATATTTCCCCATATTTTTCTGCCAGTGTTCCCATTGATAAGGTCATGTTATCCGATGCCTTTGCCAAATCGAGCAGATTTCCTATAATTGGCCATGGTTTTGGCCCTGAACAAAAATGAACGGCTTAATAACATCAAGGTTTTCAAATCATCCCAAATTTTTCAGAATAAATTCACAAATGTAAAGTGCTACTTGTATTTGTATGTAACTCGTGAAGCGTGTAAAATAAAATTGCATACCAGGTGGTTCCTTATTACTATGATCATGTTTTAATACTAAATAGTAAATTATCAGGAAAGCAATAACTGCGAGAGCGTAATAGGCAAACATCTTTCTCCAACGAAACAAATTTAGCTACTGAGATTATGTAACTAAAATAGTGCGATCATTGACATTTTATCTATATAAATGCATGTAAATATTGCATCGCTTAAATGAATTGATTGTAAAAAGTGGTATGTCCAGTATATTGTTTAGGATGAGAGCAAGTAAGTTTAGCATATACATACGGGAAGATTTCGACACGTGCAGCCTTGGACTGGAGAAGGGCATTTACATATGTGCATATTCTGAATGTATGTACTTACTATTTATATATGCATCATACATGATGCATATGTATATGTATACATATACACATGCACATACATATATAATGCGTATGAAATCATGGAATATTTCACGACAACTTGATCTTATGTCCAGTTCAGCCGGTGATACAAAATTGTACACAAAAAAATCTGCTTTGTTCCATGCTGGGTTAACAAAAACAGGATTGGACACTTGGTTAATAAGTGTTTTATATTTTGTGGGACTGACCAATTACATGCAGCAACATATTTAACAGCAATTTTATTGAGATGGGTATCATATTCATGTTCATATAACTATTTATTAGATTAGATAACTGTACATATATACGTGCAAAAACCAGAACCATCCTTTAACCTCTCGTCTTGCAATTCTACAAAATTGTGTTTTTGCACTATTTTGGGAATTGCAGATTTCACCATAAACTTATTTCAACTATCGTAATGCACCACAGATATGTAAACCAATTCATATGCATAAACTTATTATTAAATAATATATTTACCAATTTAATCAGTTGCAATCAACATAGGTAGTAGACTACTTTATTTATGCAGTGTCAGTTTTCCACGATTTTTTAAGTTTCATAAATTAACAAGGCGTAACATTCATAGTTAAAATTTGTCAGATTCATTAATTACATAGATACATGCAAACTCGCATCAACAACATGCAAACAGTAAGGTTTAAAAAATAACTTGTCTCTTGGAGTGAAAGTTCAATCTCATCTCACTCCATCCAAAAGTATGAAAATTCCACCAAAATCACAACCGGCTTATTCACAGCCTTCACATACATTTAAATAATAATTTTTCGTACCATACCCAAACTTATTAAGCAATTGCAAAATTATAAGCAATTAATCATTTTCATTTAGCTGTACACTTCCGTAGAACTGAAGCCAATGGCCCCTAAGGAAATCCCTCGTGGTCCCTTGCTCACGACATTTAAAAATCTGGTAAACAAAATTATACGAGTATATCTATCCGTACAGCCTAAAGATACAGTTTCGAAAAAAAAAGAGTTCAAGTACATTACCGAACTAGTCTTCTTTATCCAATCACAAGATGTCAACATTGTCAACAGATGTTTAAAACACATGGAGCAAGTGGTAAGGTTTTGGACAAATGCAAAAATATCAAGTCACTTATTTGAATCATTATATTTTATTTTTCAATTTGTTAATACTTATGTAGATGAAGACAAATGACAAATATTGGGTCGCGTTCTGTTGGGCTTATTCGGTTATTATTAATCAAGGGTCAAAGAAAAGCACTCCTTTTTTAAAACAACTCTATAAATTCTGTGTCGAACATCAGGCCGAGGTTTGTTCGTCTATTTTGTGCATTGTTTAAAACAATTTGAACAGTTTTTGCAAATAAGAATTGCTAATTGTGCATTACAACAAATAATTTTATTTTATTTTTAGTCGCTGCTCGACCTCCACAAAATCATGGTTATGATGGACTGCACTAAAAGATTTGGTCCACTCGACCAAGAACAACTAATGATACCGGTAGATATAGGATCATCCCGAGAAGTGAGATATTGCACCATGGAACAAATTATCACTACAAGAGCCCAATTATTCTCGGCAGAAATCAAAACTTTGCACGACATTGCCCCAGCCGCGTTTGGAAATAAACCTGTTGATTACTACGAAAACATTCAGGATATAGACATTAGAAAAAAATTTGATTTCCGTGAGTTCCACAAACTAAAGAACAAGCTGAGGACATATATTCAGTCTGGTGGTAGTCTCATGATGGTGCCCAGCCTAATCAGAGAAATGGTGGATATTAGTCATGATAATGCTCTAAAAGCCAATTGGACGATTATCACAATTCTGAACCATCTTAATCAGGAGTACCGCACACAGCCTTACAGTGTTGTGGAAGCGTTATCCTTTCTCTGGGTATACGTCGGGATTTTGCTGAGAAGAAAAAAAGTGACAGGGGACAATTTAGTGCTCACGGCAGGCGAGAACAAGATGTTTGCCAATTTGTTCGAGGCAGCCGTGCGCACAGACATTGACAAGGTGAAGTATGATTTTGCTTGACTTATAATTTTATTAATTAATTTAATTTGTTTTGGTTAATCATAAATCTTGCAGAATATGAATCACATTCTAAACCTTTGGAGCGTGATATGCACATTGCACAACCCATCCTCCAGTAGTACCTCTGGAGAGCAAGGGCCATTCTATCGAACACATATCCTAATCAGGACTTGCTCCTCAAAAAGCTCATTTATGATCCAAATGTATTCTTCATAGAATTGTCAAGCAGAGAAATTCATGATCCAATGATAACCGACTCTGTTACCGATCCGTACGGTAAAACGAAATTGAAAATTCAAAAGAAACGAAAACGTGACCAAGAATCAGACAAGTCATGTCAACTGGTAACAAATTGTACTGCCATTCAGACCCCTACCAGTTCATCCATTTCTAAGAAAAAGAAAATTAAAACTGAGAAGCAATCCCAACATGATGACGCCGCAACAAATCCGCCAATTAAAGAAGAAAGACAAGAGAAATATTTCACCCCACCAGCAAATGAAGAAAATGACGCCACTATGCCAAACATTCCGACTTCGGATGATCCCTTGTTCATCACCGATCCCAATGTCGTGATAAGAATGAACCCCACCCTATTTCCCTCCTACGACACACTTGGTTGGTCTGCCAGAATGCTTCTTCCCTCCAAGAGGACGAAGAAACCCAGAACAAGTGAAGATGTTCCGCTCCCCGTTAATTCCCATGCTCCAATAATCCCACCAAATTGTTACGAAACAATTCTTCCTATTGATTTTACACCGGATGAGTACACCGAACAGATGCTTGCTGATAATTATTATGCTCAAGGGGTCAAACTTGTAGATGGGAGTCATCGCGTCGTTTTCTATCATAAACTGAAGAGTGAATACTTGATGTGATATAATATTTATTTATTTACTTATTCATCTTAATTGTGCAAATTAATTCCGCTCAACCAATTTAGTCATAGTACCGTAATGAAGGTAGCCGAGAATCCGCTGCACAAATATTTAGTTAGATAAATATACTGTGATATATTTACATAGATATGTACATATTTTGATCATAAACGAATCCATAGACGAACCGTTGTAACTCGAAAGAATATACGCAACATACGTAAATAAATGTTTTTTAAATAATAGAATATTACCAGTAAAATGTGAACTTATCACGCTCTGATAAAAGTATGCGAATAATTTATATATTAAAGTACATAGGTGCACACGCTTTTTCTGCAATAATTTTGAGATTCAGTGTCAGTGTCATGGTCAATTTAAATGGCTAGTTGCTTGACATCTGGACAAGTTCATTTAAGTACGAGTATGTAACATGAGACAATATACAATATACACGCAAAACTAAAATATGTACATAGAAAGGCATATACCACATATGCAAATTGCACCAGCTTCACTGCAATATTGTTCCAATCAACTTTTCATAATCATCTTACAAACGTCTTCATCATCATTTCTCACCTTGTCATGCCCTCATCGTCACGTTCTTCATTTCATTCTAACCACAAATTTGCATAATCAATGCAAATTTTAGGTATTTATGACGCAAAAAAATATACCAAGTAAATATGTACTTCTTCCTTCCTCTACTCGTGCTGTATTTATCTATAAGGGATTAAATCTGGTCAGAACAAGTTCCATGTTTTGTCTTAATTCCGGAAGGATGCTGCTTGCTTATTATCACGTTATTCAGAAATTGCATGATTTATGTATCTATTATTTATCAGATTTGAAGATATAGTATCTTAATTTTGCCCTCTTGTTCCTGTTATGACGACTCGCTAAAGGGGTGACGAGGAACGTATGCATTTATCCCAGTCCAAGGGCACCAGCATCATCTCCGCAATAAAAGTGAGTTTCCTTCTCAACCTGATTCATTGCAGTTTCACGTCTGTCATCAAACGCATCATCATCAGAAATGAACAAGACGCTTTGTTCTCTATTTTTGGGGGCTGCCTTGTGCTCCCTGGTCTCTAGCCAGTCTACTTCTTGTCGAGGTGCGTAAAGATTTTCATACTTTCCACAATTTCAAAAATTTTGGTAAATATGGATAACAACAAAAATTATCCGTCATGTAATGTAGGAGCGAGGACCACTCAATTCCGAGACAACCGTGGTGTGTCACACAATTATTTGTTCTCTTGGGAAAATGGACCCACCTCAAATTTAAATCTGGACTGGGATGGTGCACAAAAAATTTGCAGAGAACATTGCATGGACCTCGTCAGCATAGAGACTGGAGGAGAAAATGATTTTATCAAGGTGAGATTAGAACTTATCATAAGAATATGCAAAAAATACATTTCCAAAATTATCCAAACGAAGAGTTCATAAAATTTTATGATGACCACTCGCATCAAAGATCGACCCTAGTTTACCAAAAGTGCATCCCCAAAAAATTATTTCTAAAATTTCCAAAAATGCAAATTAAAGTTAATATTTAATTCTACTTCTTAATCAACAGCAACGCATCGCATCTGGCGCAGTGAAGTACATTTGGACCAGTGGGCGACGAAACCCGGGCTTTGACCTCGTCAACAGTTGGTACTGGGCTGGTTCAGGAGCTCGAATTGGACCCACCAACAATCGTGCCAATGGCGACTGGTCCCACACCGGAGGAGCTAAAAAACCTCAGCCAGATAATAGAGAAAATACCCCCGGAGATTTCGGATATCGGGTAAGTTGCTGGACTTTTTTACAGTTTAAGGTTCCAAATTTATAATTATTTCTGTATATTCAGGGTTACGAGGAACACTGCCTGTCATTCCTTAACAATTTTTACCAAGACGGGATCCGCTGGCATGATGTAAGTAAATTAAGGCGGAATCAATTTACACTTTACACTTTACACATTACACTTTGGCAATTTTCAAGTAACACGTATCAATTTTTAAGTCGTAATTCTGAAATAGAATCTCGTCCATTTATCCTCATCGTTATTTTTTCCCAAGTTTTTCAATTCCAGATTGAAAAACTCCTACACTTGATGATTACACATAAATTAGTATGAGTATGATTTAATTCTAAATTACTATTCTTAGGTTGCCTGCTACCACACCAAGCCATTCGTTTGTGAGAGTCAGTAATATACATATTTAATGTACATATATTTGTTGTGACGTGCGCCATTAATTCTAAAATAAATTATTTGAAAATAAGTGAAAATAAATATGTCATAAATAGAAATATATGTAGTAAATCCGTAAAGATTTACTTGCAGCATCAATCAAGTTCATACTAGTCAACATTAATTAATTCCTAGATTGATTTGCACCAAAATTCATGAACACAGTATTTTTGTATGTACATGTACATATACATCCATATATATTTTTTAATTGTCAGCAAAACACGAAGAAAGTTAGTACTTTTATGCTTAATAATCTGCACGAGTGAAAATGATACATGTCAAAACGGAGGCAGTTTGAGACTGGACTATGTATGTATGTACATTGAATTACAGACAGGATTATAAGACAGAAAGAATTTATACAAAATCGATGTAAATGCATATATTGTTACATAAGTCATTTGTATGGTACAGTACCTATGGTAGGTACATACTACATACTTACAAAATGTGTATACGAATCAAGGTCAGAGTGCAATTTTCCTAGGCTTTTCAACTACTATTTAATCTCATCTATAGAAATTTCTTACGCCATAAAGGCATGCAGGGTCTTCGCAGCCGAGAAATAAATATGTAATGGCAGAGGGAAACCCAGACTAATTTGTCAGACTTTGTAACATGGTTCTACATTCTACACGTACCCACTTTTACCATTTTTTTCAAGCTACTTATCTATTTAAATTGTTATTTACTTTACTTTTGACATTTACGTGTGCGATGGATGTGACACGTTAAATTCAACGAAATCGTATGTTATGTCCAGCACATTACTGAAGGTTGAACCTCTTCGCACTTGAAACCTTCTTAAAGAGCCCGAATTGTTTTTAATTAAATTTTCCATCATCATTCGATACTACAGAACGTTACAAACATAGATACATATGAATAAAACGTATATAATCACATGTGCTTATGCAAATACCTTTACATATATTGGCATACGTACATATGAACATCCCTGAAATTCTCACACATTTTGGAACATGCACACATATACCATTTTGCAAGGTGAAAGTTCAACATGATAATTAAATTAGGAAATCCGAATTTACACGGTATTAAGTTTCATCCAATTTATCGTATATGTAGCGTATTTACTTACCGACTGCGTCTGACACATTTTTATTTAATCAGCAGATCAAAGCATCCTGATCAAATAGTTGAGAAAATAAATAGCCCTTAGTCCTCTCTCGGATCAAACCTTTCTCTCACTTGCCTCCGCAAATAAAGTGTCAGACGGAGTTGAGATCCCGTCTTTCAAGCATGTCAAGCTCTGCTCACCGTATTTGCCAACTGTTGCATGGCTGACATGAAACAGTCATCTCCTCATAAGTAAATACGTGCATAAAGGGATTTCATTTCGCTAAGTACTTGTCAGCATGATTACAAATCATACGAATCAAACCAACTCTGGTGAAAGTGGGGACAAAAGCAGTGGCTTTAATTTCTTCAAAGTAATCGGGACAACTTTATACGTTACGTGTATAATTATCAATGTTGGGATCGTGTCAGTGATTTGCAGAGTTTACAGGAAGCGGAAAGTAAGGTTAGTTACTCAGTTATTTGATTGAAAATACTGAAATAATTAACGAAGGCCTTGGTAGCATTGTAAATACATAAAATCCGTAAATTCTGTATAAATACTTACAAACTTTGACAAGTATTTCTGAGGAGAATTAGGGTACAAAATTTTGTAAACTTATTCAGATCAAGGCCGTCTTTTTACATAAATATGTTGCAAAAGTTAGTAAAATTATCTTACAAAAGTTACGAATTTTACAAGTTATCAATTACTATGTGAATTGTCTCAATAAATCTGACTACAAATTATGGTTGTGTATGTATGTAAATATGTTTTAGAGATATGGCAATCCTGATCGGAAATTTGTGCACTGTTGTCGTATACAGTGCGGTGCTCTCTATTTTGTCAATATTCGAATTTGACAAAAGGTTGAGATTGGAATATCTCTGTAATGCGATATACATTCAGAGAGGTAAATATATGAAAAAAGTCAGCGTTTGCGATAAAAATGAGTGCATGGGAAAATTGCGTATTAATTGCAGCGATGGCGTTAAATTTGCTCCCCTTAACAATTCTGTCCATAAGTTACGAGCGGATGAGAAAATTAAAGCCGAGCTTTCCCAAAGTGAAAATTGCCAAAATGTTGCTCGCCATTTGGAGTGTGGCCGTGTTCGCAGCTCTGCCTGCACTCTGGACCATGGAGTACGATTCGGAGAAAGCTGTCTGTGTCAAAGTTGGTGAAAGCCCAATTAGACGTCTTAATTAATTAATGGAAACCTATTTATAAATGTGTAGCCAAGCCATTTTCTCAACTTTGTTACGTATGTGTGCAGGTTGCAACCTTGCACAGGATGGTTTTCCAAGTTGTGAGAAGTATTATATTTCACTTCGTAGTGGGAGGCGTCCTAATTTTTGGTAAGATTTCGAAATATAGCAATTAAATTTGATGCCAAGTTATGCGTGATTTTATTTCATACAGAATTATACATTGTTCGCTCAAAATTCAAGTACTTGTACAAAGTTAAGGTCAGTACTAAATTTCATTTTATATGAAAATATATCATCCTGTATTTATCAGGAGAATTTTAAAAATATATGTACACCAATTACATAAAATTTACAAAATTACCAACCGTGACAAACCTTATAATCAATGCCAATTTGTTACAGGTCGTTCATACGGATAAAATCCGAAGGAAAGTTCAACGTGTCCGGTTCCTTTATTGTAATTCGATCATCTTTGTCAGCTACTGGATTCCCCTCGGAATTTTCAACATTTGTTACGAGCTGACCCGAAAACCTTCCACGCGTCTCCTTAAAGAATATCCCACCGCGATGTACATCGTGTCAATTCTGTTCTTCGTGTACGTCATGTGCCTTCCACTCATATTATTGTGGGCGAGTGATTTATTACGAGGCAGGAAGAAATCTGGCCACGCTGGGATTGAGATGAGGATGAGTAACTCGGATTTTAGTCGGCACAGCACGCAGGGAATTGTGACATGTCACATTCCGAACATTACAATAACAACGGAGCGTAATGAAATAATTCAACGTGATACTCAGGCTGTGATGATGCAACAGGTGCAAGTTGAGGTTTATGTGTAATTCGTGTTTTTTATTAAGACCCTGTCAAACACACATGTATGTATCTTGCCAATTTATTAAGAATGACATGTTTGGTACCTTTGTACATTTTCCGGTATGTGTAATAAGCCAATTCACATATGTAGATATTTACAACCTAACAAGATTCCTAAGCTTTTTCTCTGTGTGTTTCCTCCTAAGGAGAAACCACGGACAACAAAAAAGTTTATGCACTCTGGTGTTTCCTTGAGTACATTAAATGTGTATGATAAGTATTTAGCGTTACATAACGTTCTTTAGTAACCTAAGTATCTAGATAGATACTAGTAAAATCCATAAACATACTGAAAAGGTTGTTCAAGTGTAGAGAAAAAAGATTGTCAAGGAAGATCACCTTATAAATTTATTGTAAGTTTGCTTACAAAGATGCAGGGCATCCTTTTATATTTTTACAGTTTATAAACTATAAAATACTGTGTCAACTGTCTCAATGTATGTACACACAATTTACTTGAAGTCCTGTATCAGGTTAGCCAAGTTTATAATGAATGTTTAATTTCCACTAGCTGTACTTTGTCCAATCGAAATGTTGGAGTTGTTTTATATAAGTCAACGTGTATGTACATAATCCGATGAATTAATATATATGTATGTACGTACATACAGACATTTATGATACTTATGTAGATGGTTGCGAATTTGGTGCAAATAAGTACCTTATACTTTGACATTTATGAATTTGTAGTATTACATGTATTTATCAGCACAATAGTAAATATAGGCACATAATTGAATTTGAATGAAGTCTTTCATACATACTTAGCTTGAGAGATTACGGCTAACTTTCTCTCCGGGAGAGAAAGTGAAACTATGGGAATGTTGCGGTCTGTCGGGATAAGCTTACACGCTATGCTATGCCCTTTCTCACTTGGAAACACAATTACTCGGATATTTGATCAAATTCTCAAACTTCTGCCTGGAGCAAGCTTTTGGTTGAAAGGAATCCGAGAAGAGTATTTGTGGAAATTACATTGATACGCAATTTATTGTGGTAGAACTTTATAAATCTATGTAGAACAGTAGAATTTGGGCTGCTATTAATGACTATGTGTGGATAATGACATATTATGTACGTATTTATGTACCTATGTGCGTAATGTCAAATCCTTTCAATAACATTTTGAACAATCCTATTTGTGTGACAGATGAAAGAAAGTCAATTAATCCGTCAAATTCATAGCAGGCTTTCACGCGCAGATGTGTACATTTTCCCCACCCGTGATTGATAAATGTTTTTACATGTGTGAAACCATTTTGAAATGTCTGAAATCAAATGATTACTTTCTATCAATATAGGTAGGTACATATGGATTTTTAAAATGAGCAAATGTCAGTAAAATTGCTTTAACGTGAAATGATATTTGGATTAGATCAAGTAACGACTGGGGGCTATTTTTTCTAAGTAAATTACCTGCTCGGCTGCATTTTTAGACTGCAGATTCTGCAAAATCTGCAGTGCAGAATATATATGTTTAGTACTGAAGCAGTGTTTTTTTATTTTTTCAATGAGGTAAATTGAGACTTTTATTTGTCTAGTGATCAAAAATTATTTTTCTATAGCATGTGCATGAGGTGCGTATGTATTTATTTGCTACTGGAAAGTATCTATGTACTTATGTACATACATTTGTGGAATTGTAATTGCAACCTTTTTTCATTTGAGGAAAGTCTGATTAAGCTTCATTTTTATTGAGCAGATTTAAAAACATGATAATGTTGTGGCCTGTTTTTTTGAGTATTGGACGATCATAGAATATCATAATTATTTACATATACTTATTTCTAACGTATCCGATTAATGAAACTTAAAATGAATCCAATTCCTAACTTAATATCAAAGAGCTTAGGATGACTGCTGTAACTTGCAGGACAACAAAACCCTCAAACTTTCCTGCAGAACTATCACCATTTCCAGTTGTTGTTGGAATCGTGGGAGTGGTTACGTCTGTCGGTGTCGTAACTAGAGTTGAGGTCGGAACTGTTGGGTTGGTTGTGACCTGTTCAGGATTACAAACGTCTTCTGGAACATACTCGATCAAGCCTTCTGGATACCTCGTTTCAACGACTTGTCCATTGCATCCCGATATTTGCGGTCCATTCAACCGTTCCAAAGAATACGCATCTTGAAACTCCTTCGTCCAGTTAAACTTGTAGCTTACGAGGTCAAAAAAGTCTCCGGCCAGTTCGACCGGCGTGTCGATGTGGTATCGCGTACCCGTAGCCTCTTGCACTTTGTGATACGTCTCCACCCCAAAGTCAGCCAAGTGCTTGCTCACATCGTACGACGACATGCATGACATTCCAGCACTTGGCCAGTACCAGATCAGATTTTGACACATTTCTTCATACGTGGAATATCCCCCAATCACAGCTTCACCATTTTTCCAAGAGGAGCTGTAAGTGCATTCGACGGAGAGCTGGTCACCTGGCAGCAGGATCCTGGGCTGCAGGAGGATCTTGTTCTGTTGGAAATCAAAGTCGTAATGGTCATCGTAATCGAGCCATGGCAATTCCAAGTTTCCTCTAAAGTGACGAGTCCTCATTTTCCTTCCTGTCGATAATATTTACAAATAGAGGAATGAGATAATAATCAAACAAATTAAGCAAAATGTGTGCAAATTTAAATTTCAATAAATTTGTTGTCTGGGTACAATTAGCTGTAAAAAATCTACAAATTTTGTACGTACGAAGAGCGTCTTACAATTTTGCAAACATTTGTAAAAAATAATAGAGCGTAGTTACGCTAACCTTTACAAATCTTACGAAAGCATAGCGATCTCCATTTGTGATTGTTTGTGGAAGTTGAGAGATTTTTACAAAATTTTTGCTGGAAAACCATGGATTTTTTGTAAAATTACCCAGCAACTGACTGGGAATGTTTTTAGCTCTCACTAGCAAACTCAATCCTCTCAATTCTCAACCGCAATTGATAGAAATTTCAGAAATGAATGAAAATTAAATAAAACGTTTTCTGAATTTTTGAACTTTTTTAGGTTCGCAAATTTGCTAAATGATTTTCGATGCTAAATAAGGCGTTATCCTGAGTACACCCAATATAAAACTTATTACCAAATCAATACCCTCCAATTTAAAAAGTAACGGATTTGCTCACCAGATTTATGCGAGTGCTGCATTGAGGCAAACACCGTGATCCCTTCAGGTCTGATACCGGTCCTCGTGCACTCCGGACTGCAGTGACCGACCACCTTGAAATTATCCGTCATTGGGGGCACCGTCAACCCCACATCGACCATCTGCCCCAACGCAATTATTCCTGCATCAATGGGCCGAAGTTCGTCCGTGTAGTACATGGCCAGGCCAGATTCGAAACGAAGGCCCTCGATCAAGGCCGGATTATCGTAATGAATTTCCAACATGTAGTAATGCGGAATTGCGCCGTGCTCCCCGATCGGAAAACCCACATTGTCAGGAAATATCATCATCTGCAATCAAATAAAAATTCTAGCATTAAATCCTTGCCCATCTCTCAGAAATAATTATGCACGTACTTTGCCACCCTTGGCCCAAGTGTACATGACCGACTGACAAAGTGCGACCGGAAGGGTTTGTGTGCTGTGGCAATGATCGCCAATGACACCATTTTCATACGTGAACTCATCAAAGATTTCCTCCTCCGTCTGGTTACTTCCCGTGGGAACTTTGCAGTTGTAAATGACGAAGTGATGCGTGTGCTGGAAGGAGTCGAGGGACGGTAGGATTTATCGAACTGATGGAAAATTAAGGGAAGTCTGTTAATTAAAATTTACACATATTCACATATGAAAATTATTTAAGTCTCAACTTACTGCAACCACGTGATGCTTTCCACTGAGGATGGGTCCTTTGTGAAACGTGCACCAGTACGACGTGTCCAGCGCTGGCATTGTTGTTGTCACCGAAACTGTGAAGTTTGCCAAAGCGGTCACATCCATTTCCGGCGCTGCGGTGTGAATCAAGTTCGTGCTTTTAGTCCCTCGAGTAGTCGGTCCGTGATAAGTGATCGTGTCGGTGGATCCCAACGCCCAAATGATACGGTTCGTGTCATTCTAAAGTATGGAATTAGTTAATTTGATGTCAAAATTGGGCATAAATTGGTCACAGTCGTCCCTCACCCCGATTGGATAGTCTTCATCATCGCAGGTATTTAAGAGACGAGAGAATCTTAAAATCGTCTTATTCTCAGAAACCTCCTCGCTCGCGTATATCAATTCCCAATCTGATTTCGCATCTAAAACGGGAGCCATTTCACCAACGCCGTGATAGTCCTGAAGAAACTAAGATTTTCAGCATTTATCTTAATTAGATTAAACTAAAACTTTTACCCCAGAATAAACTGTGCCATCCTCCTTAACGCCCGCAATGAAAATGTCGGCATCCGTCATTGTTCCCGAAGGAGAAATGCCAAACCCCACAAAACCAAGGGACTCTGCTTCTAACTCAAATTCAATCGTGTCGCCGATTACTTCCCATCGTAAAATCAATTTCCCTTCCCCATCTAAAGTTTCTTGGTTGATGTAATCTCTCGGAATTGATAATGCCAATGAGGCCGGAATTGTTAGCAGAAGAAATATTACGTTTTTCTGCATCTTCAATATCGATTGACTTGTATTTACTTGAACGAGACAAGGTTAACTGTGTTCATGAATCCGAAAACGGTCCAATTTATGCTGTCCCAAAGTAGGCTTGTAAGCGGTGGATGGGTGCATACCTCCGATAAGTGAGTCAAAATCTCGTGAGGGATGTAAGTTCAATTGACAGGTTGAGGTATTTCTTTTTTTTGTCTGAGGTGGGGAATCACAAGGTGGTGTGCAAATTATTTTTTTGGCGATTGAGTCGCACATCATATTGTTATCAAAACATGCATTTTGACATCGTATCAACAAGTGCCATTTGACATTACAAATTATATGCTTGCTTGAATAAAGATTACAAATTTACGATCCGCATGATCTGTGACTCAGTTCCTACTCGAGAACAGGTGGAAGATTTTATGAATGAACTTGGATAAGATAAATACATACTTATTTACACGTAAATTAATTAACTAATTTCTATTAAAATGGTTGGTAAGTACCATGTGATAGTATGCATTTCCGTGGGTAGACGATTTAGTGTCACGCGAGTGTGTAGAAGGTGTAATAGGTACAATTAAGTTAATGATTAATTGGAAATATGATCATAACTTAATTAGCAGTAAAAAATGACGCCACTACGCCAAACACTCAGATTTCGGATGACCCCTTGTTCATCACTAATCCCAGTGATGAGAATGAATCCCACCCTTTTTCCCTCCGAAGATTATTAGAAAAAAGGAGTAAATTTGATTCATAACTCATCAATCATGAGTTTGAAAGAGAACCCAGGCCCAGCCACTAGAAGCAATCATAGCTCATGTGCTGTACGAAATTTTATGCAAAACCGGGACAAGAAACCTAAATACATAAATTAATATTAAATTGCACCTTTTCAGATTTGGCATTAAGATTTCCATCCAGTGCAGAATTAAACATGTACATACTTCTTCAAATATCCTCATCAAAAGTTTGATTTTAATTAAAAGGAGACATGTAAGTCAAAGGTATAAATCTCAGGTTGCATAAGTATGTACATATATACATATATACATACATATATATGTAGGTATGCCCGTATCGCGAATAAGATATGTACGTACATAGAATAACCGTCATTCTCGTTATCAATCTTATTCGAAGAATACGGATATTTCGTAAGTAGAGTGAAAATGTGCATATTCAGCAAAATAGGAAGATTGCTGTCCATTCATAACTCGCATGTTATAGGAATGTTATACATACTTAAATCTCATTCGAAATACGATAATTTTTTCCATCTACATATATCTTTAAAGTGTGAAGTGTATAAACTGGCAAAATTTATTAATTAACCACGCCATTTATTTTCATTCAAAAAGATGAAGATGAGTGGTTAATATTAAATATCTAACCAAATCCACTATTCTAGCTTTAACAAGCCGGAATGGAATGAATGAAAGGCTAAATAAATTAGTCGCGCTAAGACTTCAAGGCAACCACATCACTCCAACCAATGAAATTTGCAAGCTTCTATAAGAAATTACATAAATACGTATATTCATAAATGAATCCATGGATAAATGCAAACTTTGGTTGAGATGAGTTCGGTAGGAATGTCATAGAAAATTTTAGTACAAGAGATCGCGACTTCCACGGCCAGAGTCCACTATACAAAAGTACATGCTACAAGTGCATGTATTACATATTTATGTACATATTTGCATATATGCATATATTTATATATGTATCTTCATAATGCCTAAAACGAACTTCTTACTAATACTTGAAAGATGTCGAAGATGGTTCATTACAGATATCTACTAGACGAGTTTTATTCCCTAAATATCAATACCGCATCCGATCCAGATACAGTATCTGGATCGGATGCGGTTGGATATCCAACTCTAACGACTCCCAAATCATATCTAGCAATGCTTAAGACAAGTTATGTCATCATACTTATATTCTTCCATGGTACACAAATGTGCGTTATCTTGACACATAGTGGACATGATTCGTTCCGCCAGCATGGATGAGGTAGCTGAAAGTAAAAATGATCTCACTGGAAGATATTTTTAGACTGATGGTGATTTTTATTAAACAACTTGGTTTTAAGGTTTTGACAGTACATAGGAGACATTCATACATATGTAATAATATGTGGTCAGAAGTGACCATACAAACTACGCAGAGTTATGCTCAAACGAAGTGTCCCTTCTAATGAGGCATAAAAACAAAAGGACCCTTTTAATCCCTTGTCCTGGGAAAAAGGTTGGAAAATGCTCAGCCCTCATAAAAGTCGACAAACTTAAAAATTGATAAATATGGAAAACTTTGTTAACATGCATATTTTAACAGTAGCAAGTTAGTTTCGTGCATATTTTGGTGCTTAACTTCATTTCTCTTCTGGAGGACATGTCTTCAATTTATTAGTGACTCGGAAGTTCTGTGTGGTTTAACTCCCCTCAGGCGTCCAGCTAATTATAGATCGGTCAAAACCCAAGAAATATAATTAAGAAAGACGACAGTGCTTTAAATCTCAAGGCTTGAAACAGTTGCGGCGATATGTAAGTAAAGTTTGAAAGTAGTATATTTTGTTAAAAATGTCGTCCTTTCTCAATTTCATACAAGGTACTTACGATTAGTCACATTTCTGATGCCATAGCATGGCATACACTTTAACAGTTCTGTTAAATATTGATAAAAAAGGCTTCATATTTTAATCTGCACAGCACGGAGAAGACATTTAAATGCAATTTAAGTATTAGCTTAGTTAGCTAACTGAACAACAGGGTTTATTTATGTAAATATGTGCATAAAAATTAGCGTCAAGTTATAGATGACGTCATTCACCTTACCCGATTTATTTTTTGACGCAGTGCTAGGATTATGTATTTAGTCACTATGCAAAAACTTTAAGGTTTACACATTAGTTCATCCTTTATGTGGGATAAGTGTATCATAAAAAAGCTCTAATTTTTCTACTATTTGTAAATTCATAACAAAATATTTTGTCTGGTCAAGTTATGTCTGTATGCTTACATATGTATCGTGGGATAAAGACCCGTGTTGCTTGTTACCGTAGGAATATGGAAGTCGTAAATATGAAAGTATAAAATATTTCCAAGAGGAAAGGGTGCCAGTCGGGTATATTGGTTTCATTTTTCATTTCGCACTTACATATTTTATTATGACGATAAATAAGTCAGGTTCTAGAAACTACCTGAGTTTCAATCGCAAGGTTGAGATTTGGGTGTACTTTATCCTTCCGTATCTAAACTCATAATTTACTTATTTTCGCCTCTTTGGATGCAATTGTCTTTTCTGAGCATGACCACTAAACTTAATTGTCTCAACTTATTTCGTTTCTCCGAAATGACACTTTCAACATTTGAACCCGGCTTATCACCAGCCAATCAACGCTGATGACTCAACAGCCAAACAAGATAAAGATATAGTAGATAAAACAAGAGAACAGAATAGAGGCACGTATGCATCTATGTTTATTGAAGTCAAACAGCGTAACAAAATCAATAATAAGATAAAAAGTGCATATTTATTGTTTGGGTCTCATTCGGTCTAAAGTCTGTGTTTCATTCCTATCTGTAAGTTAGTTACCAATGGTAACTTACCACCGCATTAGCAACATACACATTTAACAAGCGTGAGGGTCAAAAAGTCCAAAAAGGACGTGAGCGGAGTGTTTATTGTATTTTACAATCATGACGCAAATATTAATCCTAAGTATAAACATACATATGTACATAGATCCAAAGTTCAAACCTGCATAAAATTTCTAGTAAGTACTATGTAGCATATCCAAGATCACTTTCCTTCCTAGAAATTTAATCATGTGTAAAGACTGGCGATAGGAAATGATTGACCACCAGATTGTCTGGCATATGCCGTCGTCGCTGGTCTGGGTGTCTTTAATCCTAAGTACATGGTTAAGAAATATGTAAGTAACCTAACTAACCACCCCATATATGAGCGATCTTGTAAGTATTTCTATTCCATGTAACCACCCCATGAAGAACATCATTAATTTCAGAATATACAATTCTTTGTCATTTCAACCTGACTACAAATTCAATCTCATCCTATCCCACGTGCTCATTTTACATAGCATATTGCATATTTTTACCCATGTACATAAAGTAAAGTGTCGCAGACGGAATCCGACTGGTCTCAATTTTCCCAGCGCAACATTATTCCCAACCCGTCTCGTCTCACCTCGAGTCTCAGAAAAATCTCATTCCTCCCAGTTGCACTGTACTAATCCTAAGCCAAGAATGATACCATAGCATAACCATAGCAAGCGATATACAGTACGCTAAGCTGTACAGATATTTGGAATGATTAGGTATATAAAAATATCAAACACATTGCAAGGACACGATTCATTTATTTAACTTTTGCTGCCTCAACCAACCACCACCACCATCATCAGATTAATCACTGTTGTAGTTATAACAAGCGGAAGCAACATCAATTTTTGCAAATCGTTGCATTATTGTTATTAGGAATTTAATGCGTAGTACAATACACAATACTTTCCATTGTTTTATCACTCTCTCAGGTGTTCTCGTTGATTCCTGCATGGCTGACTTAACAAATAAACCCTCCAAACGAATGTAAATAAGTAGCGTCAGACCGATTCAAGTTTCCTTTAAAGTTTCCGTATATGACCTCGTCCCAACGGTCATGAGGTCAAAAATATTAACGTCCTTGAAATCGCAGTCAAATTTCCTTCAAAATGATATCCCATATGACAGTTACGTATTTTTTGACCTTTGACCTCGTCCTGAAGGTCATGAGGTCAAAAATTTTAACGCCATTGAATTCGTGGTGAAATTTCCTTTAAAATGACACCCCATATGAAAATTAATGTTAAATTTAATTTGGACCACACCCCCTGGCGCTGTGGGGTGTGGTCCGATTGACCCCATTTTCGAACTCGACCGAGAACTAAAAATTAGAAGCACAATGGCGAAAACGGGGTTTGATTATGTTGAGGCATTCTAAAGATATCCTGCTTACGGACGGACGGACGGACGGACAAAACGATCACAATAAGTAGCTGACGCTACTTAATAACAAGTAAGTGCAAGTTTGAACGTTGCTCATTCATTCGTCCTTCCGCCGCCCGCCACTCGACAAATACCAAGTTCGATCTCCATATCCAATGTGTACTTGGAGTGGAGAAGAAGACAAAAAATAATTCTTACGAGCTTAAATTTTCTTGAAAAATTGTTACAGAATGAATACTCTGAATTGTGGGCATACTAAATATCGTGTAAGTTTGCGGTTAGTGAAATTTACGTAGCAAATTTGTTACTGCTTGTTCGAATTAATTGTAAGTAGGTTAAGGTCAGACTTTTACTATTTTTTGTGTTTGTTTACTTTCCGCGTTAAAATTGTCGAGGTGCCGTCGTTTTCTTGGTGTGAATACTGCGCAGAATATAATTACTTTTGACGGGAAAATGGTTCTAGAGCGATTTTGAATTTTAGTTCTGCTTGTGAAACTACAATTTATATGTATTTGTTTGTACAAATAATTACAAGGACGGGTTCACAGTTAATTAACTGAACACATGATTGACAAGGGTATTCTATGTTTTCCTTGTTGTCGCGAAAATTAATTTGAAATTAACCGTCACTATTAATTTTTTAGTGGAAGAATGGAACGCTATTATTGATAAAGATGTATTGCTTGCAGTTTGTGGTTCATATTTGGAGAGAGATAAACAAAAGTAGTTCTGATTTCACCTGGACAAATTAACCTTTTTGATCAGTTTGTCCCAAATACAAAACATGGAATACATGCAATTAATGTGCACTGATATGAAATACGACCCAGTAAATAATTAATTAACTGATAAGTTTTATCATTTATTGTCACGTACAGCTTTCATCCAGCTGCCTTAAACAAAAAAGGGGACAACTTTGATGGATTCTTCATCTCTTCCTTTCTCTAGTCTTCCTGTGAAGTGGATGAATGTGACGTGCCATGGGAAGAAAGTTATTGATTGAATTCTTAATGATTTTTATTGACTTTACTAGTCAATAACTGAGGATGGAAAGGTATTTAATTGTTTTGAACTTTTCTTTGTACAAATTATTAAGTTCTTTTACATTATTGAAGTTTTCTGGCAGTTGCAAATTCGTTTTGCTAAATTAACCACCATGTTGATTTTATTCATTCATTCATTTATTACTTTTTCGCACACACCAAAAAAATTTCAATCATTGTTTTTATCAATTCGTTTGTTAGGGACGACAACAATGTACTGTTTGACTACGGACATTCGAGTACTCAGCCCGTCAATCAGAGTGGGAGTGGGGTGGGAGAAAGTGACGCTAATATCACTAGATCTGACAACAGGGACAATGGTAGAAGCAGGAATGACTATGATTCCCGAAAAAGTGGTGACACGCGACGAGGAGAACGGCGCGGAGGCTTTTTAAATACGCGTGGTCGTGGCCGTGGACGTGGGTTAGAATTCCGAGGTCCCAGACGGGGCAGCTTACGAGGCCGCGGTGGTCGAGGTTCAGATAGGAGACCTTTTCGACCTGAGAGGAGTTCCGTACGTCGTCTAGTTAATGATTGCCTAATCTCTAAGTATTTAGTAATTACACAATTAATTGGTGTTACACTTTTAGGACAACGGTGCCTCGAGAACAATGTCACCACCACCTGACATATTTTCTGAAAGGGAGCGAAAGGAACGGTAAACTGTGGCGACAAAGATGTGCCAAATTTTAATTTTTTTAATCCATAAATTTTACTTAGTTATTGTTGTTTAATTCAATTTGTTACTGAATTTGGTAATAAGTATTAATATGTCATGTCACACAGGTGTCGGAATCCTTCCCCAAATAGAAGTAACAGCCGTCAGAGGTCTGACAATACACATAAGGATTCAGAACGTGACAGATCGACTAGTCCATCACCATCACGACGACAACGAGGGACGGCGAGTCCTGGATTAACAAAACCACGGTATAATTATGCACTACTTAATAGAGAAAAATTTTACAACTAATTTGATTATTTAATAAAATTAGCTCAATGGATTAAATTTTTTTTTGATTAAATATCTTTATTATACTTTCAGAAAGAAAACATATTATTACAGTGGAGAGGTCTTCGAAGACTACGAAGAAGAATCTTGTCACTCAAATAATTCGCAATCTCCGCCACCACCCAAGAGACAAAGGGATTCTGATTCACCTCAATCTCAACGATACCGAGGTCGGGGAAGGGGTAGAGGACGAGGTGGTGATAGGTTGGTTATCAAAGTTCTCATTAGTAGGCTGAATCATGGCTCTGCATTAATGACTGTGCAAATTTCTTAATTTAGATACAACAAACCGTACCGTGCACCATCCTTTAGATCTCGATCGCCTCGTAACAAGGAGCGTAATTATAGACAAAACGATGGTGGGAGAGAACCCAGTAATATGGATAATGCCTCAAGAAAACGGCCAGCAGAATCTTTTGTGTTAGTTCGATATTTTGTATTGTTACTCATTTCACCAATGTATTTTGAAGGGCTATGCCTTATTTTTTAGGCTTAACAAATCACGAGCACCACAATCATCACCGAATGTTGTAGAGAACTGGGAGGAAGATGATGTCGTGGATCCACGACTGAGGAGCAAGGAGGCTGGAATTTACAGTGCAGTGGCACTGGCAAAGTAAGTTGACGAGGCATTTCTAATTAGCTTACTAACTTTGTATGCTTATTGTAAACTTATTATTATTTTGATATTTTTTAAGATTGAAAGATCGTCCCTTGAGGCCTATGCAAACAAACTCAGCTCAGGCACCACAAGTTCCATTTACGTCCCCTGATAGTAACACAAGTCCGTGGAGTCCTGTAGCTGGAAGTCCACAGCTAGCGACACCACAAAAACCGTCCCCTCAGCTTGCACCGTCGCCCGAAATTACCCCGGTTTCAATTCCACCACCAAAACCATCTCCGCTACCGGTCCCACCTCCCAATTTTTCTTCAACTTCACCACCAAAGAAAATACCTTCACCTCCACGCCCAGAAGAAATTCGCCAACAGTTACCCCCACGGCCAGGACAAATTCACCAACAGCCACCCCCACGGCCAGAACAAATTCGCCAACAGCCAGCCGCACGGCAAGAGGAAATTCGCCAACAGCAACCCCCACGGTCAATACAAATCCGCCTACAAATTCCCACACGGCCGGTACAAACTCCCCCACGACCGTTACAAATTCCCACACGACCGGTGCAAATTGGTCCACGGCCGATGCAAATTCCTCCACGGCCGGTGCAAATTGGCCCACGACAGGTTCAAATTCCCCCCCGACCGGTGCAAATTCCTCCACGGCCAAAAACTCCTGCGTTAACAAATGCAAGCTCTACAACAACTATCCCCAAGTCGTCAAATCAATCCTCTACTAAAACGAGCAATATTCGCAAAGAAAATAAAACACCGAGCTTTGAAGTTCCCAAACCGTCTGCGCCTTTGAGCAGTTTATTCATTTTTGAAAGTAATGCAAAAGACATGGATCGATTGCAAAACTCTATTGAAACGGTGACCATAGTTGATAACGTCCCTACGTCCCCAAGTGATATGTCCGATGGTGGATCCGACATATCAACAAAACAAAATCGACCAAATTCAAATCTTATAGATAAATCGATGACAAGCTCAGGGGAATGCTCAAGTTCTAGGAAATCTAATAAATCTGTTCACACTGCACAAGACAAAACGTACAACCCAGGAAATTGTATCCCCGCTATACCTCCAAGAGCTATTCGTGACCTTGCCAAACCTGCTCATTCCAAATCTGGCTCCACGGCTAAATCTCTTCAAAATCAACCAAAATTATCGAAAGGATCTTCGGTTGATTCCACACCGTTAAACCCAAAACAGAAAAATGATTCTATAGCCGATAAAGACTCCCGTCATGAACGGAAAAGACCTATCATCAAGTTGTCTCCAAACTTGGTGGCAGATCCCCTTCCAAAGGCAAATGATACTACCATTATTGGTCTTTCCGACTCTGATTCAGATACCAGTAGCGTCATGATTATCGAGAATCCGTCTCCAACACTTCCTCCTACCCAAACTTCCAATCCATCTCCAACACTTCCTCCTCCCCAAACTTCCAATCCATCTCTAAAACCTACTCCTCCCCAAACTTCCAATCCATCTCTAAAACCTACTCCTCTGCAAACTTCCAATCCATCTCCAAAACCTACTCCTCCCCAAACTTCCAATCCATCTCCAAAACCTACTCCTCCCCAAACTTCCAATCCATCTCCAAAACCTACTCCTCCCCAAACTTCCAATCCAGGACCTTCCAAACCAGCACATTCTGACGTTCCCGCCGATAAGGACGAGACTAGTGAGAAGGCTCAAGCTATTCTTGAACAATATCGACAAGGTATGTACATTTTTATATCGCTTATTTAATTCATTGTATTTGCATACTCATTAAAAATATTTTAATTAACGCAGCACAAATTTTATTTTTAGATGAGGAAAAGAAAATTCGCTTTCAAAATACTTTACGCATGTGGAAAGAGAGACAGGCTCCGGCATCTTTAGAGGCATCCTCTAAAGAGAATGAGACGCATGATGGGATGGTGGAATCTGACGGGAGTGATGTGACAACAGTAGTTACCGAGCAGTCCGATCACGATGATAGAATTATCCTCGCTTATACCCCCGCCTCAGAGTCATCTTCTGAGGCTGAGGACAATAGTGATAATAATGCGGAAGAAGAGGGTGAATGTTCTCCTTCTCCATATAACGAGACCAATGCGAAAAGCACATCATATTCTCCCGTATCGTCATCATCAAATGTAGGATCGCCAATTCATGAGTCTGAAGAAACTCAGAACAGATCTCAATCCAACCAGGTTCACAAGTCAGGTGAGCCAGGAACAAGTTCTACAGCAGCTACTTCTTGCACAACGAATAATGAAACTCCAGTATCAAATTTGGATCAAATTAGCAGTGACGACGAAGATTGTGGGATTATTGCAAATCCTGCATCCACAAATGTATACAGCCCCATCTCCAACCCAGATAATGACCAAGATGCTGGCAATGTACCAAGCCATTTAAATGTTCAAAATACTGATGAGAATGATGAAGTGACACGATCTCAAATTCAAGTGATTTCTACCAAGGATGACAACTCTCTCGTGGTCGGTCTAAATGAGGCAGATGTGACAACAGAGTCATTAGTGGTAAAACCTTTAACGTCTAGTCAATCGATCGAGTTGGAGCAACCACCGCCACACACTTTGTTGAGTAATACTCAACAGGACAAATTAATAGAAGATCAAACCACAATAAGCACTGAACTAGAAAAAAATGTAAATGGCACTTGCCAAGGTGAGCCACAGGAGCATGAAGAAAATTTAAAATCGGACAGCATGGAAATTTGTAGTGTGTCAAATACCAACACTCAAACTGTAAACAATTCAGACATTATTTTACCAGAGAAAAGTCCTAGTGACACTTGCCAAGTCGACAAATTACCGGAGCCTGGAGGAAATTTAGAATCGGACAGCATGGAAATTTCTAATGTATCAAATACCAACACTCTGGCTATAAATAATTCTGACATTATTTCACCGGAGCAAAGTTCCAGTGAGGCTTTCCAAGATGACAAATTACCGGAACTTGAATCGGGCCGTACGGAGATTTCTAATTTATCAAACAATCTAACCATACATATTTCTGACATTATTTCAATAATTAATTCAACAACACTAACAATACCCCAAACTCTCGACACACGAGAGGAAGGCGCACCTCAAACGTGTCCCGCTATTCAGGAAGATCAAGTCAGTTCTTCTCAAATTAGCGGTACGGTAACAATTCAAGAAAATACTTCCACTGATAAGGAACCAATTGTTAATCATGAAATGGATACCACCGAGGGTGACAATTCGTCTTCTACCAATTGTTCGAACTCGTCCATAATTGCACAAGGAGATAGATTGGACACTACCAACTTGTCCCTTCGTAGTGACCTTGTCCATGTCGACATGGACTCATTCCTCGCCGCTTGTGAATCACCAGCACAGATCAGATCAGTCGGGGAAACTTCAAATAGTCCAGAGTGTGCACTAGAAAAAGAATCGTTGGTTGGGCAACCACCACCAGCAGAAATCACGAATCAAGATACTTTGTCCACTCTCCTGGGAACCGATATCTCTTTGATAGTAGAACCACCTTGTTCCACAAATTCCCCAATAAATGTACCAGAACAAGTAGAAATTAGCACTCTCCCCTCCTCGTTGCCTAATTTTGGGGTTGAAACCAACGTAATTGTTCCAAATCCTTGTGTAACAATTAACACTCACTCTTCAGTCGAAGAACTCGTGACACCACCTCCACCACCCATCGAAACTGACCGTGTAAACTCAGATACCGTGGAAACCACCGTATATACAACGTCAAATTCGTTTGAAAATATTCCCCTCGAAATCGTAACAATAGATGACAATGACGAAGAATCGCAAGTCCAGGGGCCACATAGCGTCAACCAATTTTCCAATATTAATCTTAATCTTGCCACTACTAGTCAAGGTTCCGGTGGAAACGGTGGAGAAAGTGAAATTCCTGCCCTTCGTATTCGAGGGGACCTATTCTCCACGACCAGTGAAGACCGTACTCAAACCATCCTGACAGAAATGGACCCAAAAGCAACATTGATCGCAGCAAAGATCAATGCATCCATACAAAATTTCCTTGCTGCAAGTCCTGGTCCAGAAAAATCCCTCGCCTTTCGCAAGCTTCGCGACATGTTCATATTGAGTTTGGCCATCGTGGACTACTCCAACGTCAAAATAGAGTCGGAGAACTTGTCAACAATATACGACATCCCTGAGAGTTATTACAATTACTCTGAAGTAGAGAGAATCCCGATTGAAGTTATGGCGGACTATTTTCTCAAACTAATCGCCATATCACTTTTCCTCGGTGAATCGGCATGTTCGAACTGGGAGACAAATCTCTCCTTGCTTCACTACCGGATTAGCCGCGTCCTAAATTATTACATTATAAGGACGGAAAATATTGGCGAAACGGAAGGAACTCTGCAAAATATTATCGTCGCTATAAAGCCGAAAATTTCTCGATTCAAGATTACCCTTGAACAAATAACGCAAACTTGGGACCACGTGAGGACATTCCACATCAGGACACAAGTCGATAAATCTTGTGTCCTCTTTGACCAACTTCAAGTTGGATTTAAAGGATTCAGCAAACAGTTGGACAACATTGTATGTAAGATAAGAGAAAATGTGTACCGCGGAAAAAATGTCACCCCTCCCCCGCAGGACAGCGAGAGTCAAGAGTATTCATTTAAGAACGATATGAAAATATTGTTCGAAATAAGTGGACGGCAATTCGAAGCGAACCCGAAAGAAACGGCGGCGGGAGTGGCGCCTAATGCCACCATACGATCTGCGCGCATTCAACAGTACAATATGCCCGTCGCAACCCCTGCTGGATCTCCATTCGGATCGAGCAGACCTCAAACTCCTGCCGGGCGTGGGGGTGCACGTCGACCTTCGAGAGGGGAACCGGGCACCGGTCGCCAGTCGAGGCCAAGTACCCCTCAGAACATACAGCCTGTTTCCACCAGGATGGCCAGTTCTCCAAATGCTACTAATACTGCTACTAATAATGTCACTAGTCGAATCCATCTCGGAGGCCCGATCATGCGGGAGGCCCCGAGGACAGCTAATCAATCGCAGCAACAACAACCCGTTGCCCAAATTCCGTCTTATTCATCAAACCTGGTACCCGGGTATACCAACTCGCAAATTGTTCCGACACAACCGAGAACACAAACCTCAACAGTCAGAACGACCCATGTCCCTGACCAATACATTAATAATATGAATAGTTCCACAAGTTATTCATTACAGCAGCAATTCCTTCCACAAAATCAGCCTGGTCTGGAAGTCTATCGAACTTCGCCGCAAAATATGACCCCACCTGAGCCGAGGTCAAGTCAGTCTTCTCCAGTATTGAATATTAGCCAGCTATTACAAAGTAGTGGGAGAGTGCCGTCGCAAAATGTAAGAATTCAAGTTTTATTACATGTGTAAATTATTCTTTTAAAGAAACTCAGTGTACTAATTAACTAATTTGTTTGGAAATATTTACGTAGATGTACCAACAACAACAGGTAGCGACTAGCTATAATAATAACTACAATCCTCCTTCACCGGAGGAAGTTGAATATGTCGGAATGGCAAGAAGCAGCGTCCTCCCGACCAACCAATTTCAAGGACAGCAGCAGCAGCAACAACAACAACAACTGATTTATGCACCCCAACTGAACAATCAGAACATGAGTCGGGGACATAATAACAACCAGCATGCCTCGTACTATCAACAACAACAACAAACACAAATCCAACACCAAAGGCAAACAGAAGTTCAGAGGCAGCCGATTCATCTAGCATCACCGATGGTCCACCCACCTCCGCCACCATATCAACCACCGCAAGTTTCTCTGCCACCGAATAACGAAGTGGCCAGATTTTTAAGCGCTTGCAACACCCAACTCATTTATAATGGGATGAATAACTCGGGCAATGATCAGGTAGTTACATCAATAAGTTTAACCGAACTTATTTACATTTATGAATGATGTCGGTACTAAATCTTGATTTATTTTGCAGATGTGAACTCGGGGAAGTGTGATGTTGCTGACATGGATAACCTGCATGCAAATAAATAATGATAAAACCACGGACCATACCTTTACCACTTTCAAAAAATATTTAAATACGCAACTAATTCAATTTGCCTGTAAACCTAGTACAAAGGAATAATCGAGCAGAATGCACTATTCTCATTTTCTGTGGCCTTCCTTAAAATAATATGACATTTACATTATTTACGATGAAATATTTATATCAACTATTATATGTAAGTACCGAGATATTTATTAATTACGATAGTTTAGTGCAGCTTATTTATTCGTTTGACATATTGTCAACTGTTCTGAGATTGCTAAAAAAATCGAGATTTGTAACTTAATTCTTCTACTTTGACCACCGTAATCTACTTATAAGCCATAATGTAATAATATATACATAACAATTTTTAAATGCCTGCTCAAATGTAACAGTGATACTTAGTTTGCCAATGTTGTGAAATACTCTTGCTTATTCTATTCCTGTTATGGCATGTTAGTTATTTTATATTTTGTACACCTACTTTTTGTACTACTGTAATTATTAATTTGTAACTTTCCCAAAATTTCATGGAATGTTGGACAGTACAAATAAATACATATGTATAACTTCCCCGAGTTTTACGTAACATGAAAATATTAAAACAACAAATTGGGCGTTTTTGTGATAATTTACTTATTCAGATTAGGTTGGACGATTTTTAATCCAACTCATGCATATGTACATACATAAATACATACTGGTCAAAAATTCTTCCCAGGGGCAAATGAGGAGTTACATAAGTTCAGCGATGAGCAAAATCGGTGAAGTGGTGGTGACCGGTGGGGTCGTTGGTTCAGAATGGTCGTAAAATCCGGGATGGTATTCGGAATCTTGGTCATATTTGTGTATCAAAGTGAAAATACAATGTCACAACCATCAAATTCTTATTTTAAAGGTTGGCCCCACTGATTTTCAAAAATGGTCGTAGAAGACAGATTTTATGCACTATGCATGCACAAAAATAATAATATTGTGAACACCTTATACTTAATATTTACATACAGCTCTATGATTGTATGTGTAGTTTTCCGCAGTGTCCGATACATCTCGTATGATGTAATACTCTTTCAGGTTCATGCAAAAAACACTGTCCATCCATGCACGATTGACTTGGTATGCTAGAGGCTGCATGTAAATACTTTACATATCTAAATTGCCGAGAATTAAAATGATATAATACATTAACTCAAGGACATCCCATCAGTTCTTACGATTTAGTGTGGTTTTACTGTGTCACCCATCCGTAATACGGATTCCGTAATCTACGAATTTTTAATATGGTCCTTTTGCACCCAGAGCGTCATCCTTGTTTATCATAATGATCACTTTCACTCAAGCTATTTCTGCAGAAAGGATACTCTTTATTTTACCACTGGCTTCGAGAAGTGAGACTATTTGTTCACCCCTTTAGCGAAAGAATTGGCTTTAAAGGAACACAATATTACATTCGTGACGCCTTCTCCTTCCAACATCAAGCTAAATAACTTTAAGGAAATCGTCCCAATTGCTCCTCTTGTGTTGGAGGACCTTGACAATGTCGCCACTGATCCAATCGAAAGCAGGAGACGAAGTCAGAACAAGTTTACGTGGATTATGTCATTTGAGTTTCAATTTATTTTCGATGCATGTCATGCAGTTTTCAACAACCCAGAATTTCAAGAACTACTTGAGGAGCAGTTTGATTTGATAATTATTAGCTCAAATTTCAACAATTGTTTTGACGGCTTGATACATAAATTTCAAACTCCATTTATCAGCATGAGCCGCATGCCGGTATCGGGATACATTGCACAAATGATGGGAATGCGTATGCCACCGTCTTTTGTCCCGAATCCAATGTTGGAATTTTCGGATGACATGACCTTTTCGCAACGTTTGGTCAACTCTCTGTTGACTTGGGCGTTTGATTATCTTTTCGTTGGGTTGTTGTGCCTTCAAACACAGAAATCTATAGAAAATATCTCGGACAAGACTATCGCGATGTGGCTGAGATTGAATCCAATGTCAGCATGATTTTCAGTAATAGTCATTTCTCCATCAACAACCCGAGACCAATTTTCCAAGATATTGAAGAAATTGGGGGAATTCATTGCAGGGGAGCTGAGTCATTATCAAAGGTCAGCGCAAACTAGCACAACACGCATCAGGTCATTTACATAACGTAGCATTACAATTTCCTAATTTTATTTACAAAGATTTGTACGAGTGGCTGTCTGCTGCGCCGGATGGTTTCATTTTCTTTAGTTTGGGAACCGTGATAAAAGGAGTCACTCTTCCGGAGGAGACGAGAAAAATGTTCTTAAATGCGTTTTCTAGATTAAAGCAAAGGGTGCTTTGGAAATTTGAATCTGAGCAAATGGCAGACCTTCAAATTGAAACGTTAAATTGAATAAATGGTTACCTCAGCAGGTAAGCTGACTCTGTTGTTGTGAATGATAGATATTTACAAGAATATTTATTTACATCGCATATATTTTCCTGACCAGGTCACAAGAACATCAAGTTATTCATAAGTCACGGAGGACTTTTGAGCACTCAGGAGAGCACTTATCATGGCGTCCTAATTTTAGGAATCCCGAAATACTGGACTTGACCGAGGAGAAATTGGAATTTGCCATTAATTATGTTTGAACAATTCAACGTGAGCATTATTTATCAGGTTTTTTTTCCTTAAAGCAGTTGAGTTTGTAAAACTTATGTTGGCGCGAGTTGTCCTCTGAATACTGCTGTGTTCTGGACGGAGTATGTTTTGCGGCACAAAGGTGCCTCTCACTTGAGGTCCACAGCTCGAAAACTCACCACCTTCCAGTACCATTCGTTCAACGTTATCATGTTCCTCGTGACCACTGTCCTAGTTTTCATTTTGGTGCTAGTACAGCTTTTCAGATTGTGCTGTTGTAGAAATTCGACTACTGACAACGTACTTTTAAAGAAAAAACGGAAATAACTCAACAAAATTCCAAACAATAAATAAAATGAATTACCCAATAATGTTTATGTATGTATGTATGCTCATGCATCTTTTATTAACAAATCTTGCAGGTTTTACATAATTTCATATTTTTCGAAGCATAAAACTTTTTTCATATTTCATTTTGTCGTTCGTTATATATTTTTTTGAGGACATGCCAATTTAACTTTTTTTAAACGGAGGACACCACTGATTGTGAGCTGCAGGCTATGTTTGAAATCTCTTGGCGATGGGATACACCACTTTGGTGCGGGATCAGCATGAAAGTGATAAAAGTGACGTTTTAACTTTCGATTATGTATAGTAAGAATAAGAAGCTAATTTTTCTACCGGTGGGATCCTATTCCATTCCGATTACTAAAAATTCAACAGAAATTTAATATTTAATATGCATGAGAAGAATAACGAAATTTATTGTATACAAACAAATCAGATCTTGTTTTATCATCTTCGAACGATATTGATGTATGATAGCTTAAAATTCGCGTAATTTTGTGTACATAAGGAATACGGAAATAAATTTATTACCTCCCTGGTAGCATTATTTCGCGGCGTCGTATGTATGATACAATGTTGGATATGCAATATGCATTTCCTAATGTGCATGATTAATTTATTTTCATCACGTAAATAACCGAAAACACATGCATAAATATGCACTTATGTATTTGTGACATGTAACGAACTTTCAAGTACAAATGTGCAGTTGAACGTGACTAGATGACTAAATTTGCATGATGTTACAAGTTCAAGATATCCGACATTCTTAATGTGCTTAGGGTTGGCAATTTAATGACAACTTATCGAAATTCGGAAGCACTTTAGGTTTTGATGGACTGATCATTTTTATATTAAATGCACATTTCATTTATCCTTGTTTGCATTTTGCATAAGATGTATGTACATCTAAGGAACCTTATATGTAAATGACGAGACCATGATAATCCAAAGTTTGCATGCAATTATTTAGATAACTTTTTTTATTTTTTTATTTTTTATTGATTTTACATACATTAAACACTGCATTCAATTCACTAAGGATTTTTTATATGGAACTTGTACCGTCTCGCCAATGGCGAGACGGTACGATTTATGTATGTATTCATGTAGAGAAAAAACATAATCTGTACTGTTTAATTACAGACTGGAGTTTCCACTGTTGAATTGATCAAAATAAAATTTCTTACAAAAAATGCACATATACTAATCCTCATTGTTTTGATACATTTATTATTCGACGCTGTGAAATAAAATAAAATTGGACGCATTTGCATTAAGTGGCTTTGCGAAGTTAGACTTTGAGTATAACAATCAAAATCATTGATCCAATCTTTGAATCAATCTTTGAACCCGAATTTTTTAACGCAATTACTTTCCATGCTTAAAAATAATTGAAAACTCTATTATTCACTAAAAAAATATGGCATTTATTCTAAATTTAACAGCTTTGTTATTGTACAACTTCCAAAGTAAAAACATATTTATTACTTAGATTTAATTACACACTTTATTTATATCCTCTTTTCAACATTTTGTCTCTTTGTTCGTATATGTCAACCAACATAAATATGATCATATATATATCTTCTTATCCACTTCCGGTCCACTACACCTAAAAACAGTAGGATGCGCATATGTCAATTCATGCAGGACGAACTACAATTCCACACATTGTCAGTTCACTAAATATTTATTAGGCAAACTTATTATTGGTTTCCAGAAAAACCTTGACAGGATCTCAACCTGGTCAAAACAACTAATCGTCTCACTCTTCATTTACATAGCTTACATACAACGAGTTGGACATAGATTACTAAAATTCCCTGTAGCACGTGCAAAAATTAAGTTCTCATGCACATGGAACATTTGCCACCTCTCAGCACGACAATAATAGGTATATAGTATACTCAATAATTGTATAATTCGCCACTGTCAAGATACATATCTTAATTAACAAGTCATCATTTTGGTACACATTTTCTTTAACAGTCTCCAAAGTTCAAATCCAGTTTCTCCCTCTTAACAGTAGTAAAATGCGCTTCATAATTTTAATAGTATTCTGTTCCCTCGTCAATTTCGGATCAACGGCTAACATATTATTTTACTTTGTGGTGTCCGGTTACTCGCATAGGATTGGGGTGTGGCCAATTATACAGCGATTGGCCGAATCTGGTCATAACGTCACATTTTTGTCGCCTTACCCCAACAAAAACCAGGTCGCTCAATCCCACCACGTCAACATTACGGACTATGTTCCTCATAATTGTAAGATTTTTGCGAAAATAAACATGCATACATATATGCAATTAATTATATATTATATTAATTATATATTATATAATTATATTTATTTATATTATAATTATATTATATAATTATATTATATAATTATATTGCATTATATATTATATATTATATTAATTAATTATTATAATTATTTCATAATTACAGTGGCGAAAGACATTGGTATAATGGACATTGACAAAATCGGTCTCCGTCTCCGCGAGGGTGTCGCAGGAATTGAAAACATGTGGAGTCATGTGGACCAGTTGGCCATTCGGAGCTGCGAAGCCTTAATGAAGAAGCCTGAATTTCAGACTTGGGTGGAAACATCTTCCTTTGATTTAATAGTTTCAAACACAATGTACAACGAGTGTGGGTACGGTCTGGTTCACAAATTTGGTGCGAAACATATCGCCTACTCGTCAACGACCCATATGATGTGGTAATTTTTTTTAAAGCTGCTAAATTTCAAAATAATCTGGCAAAAAAAATCGGCTTGAAAATTTATTTGCGCATCTCCAAGAGTAGTATTTGGTCCGCAAATTTTTCCAAATGATTTTTCGATCCGAGCATGCGAACTCGTATTGAATACCCCCAATATATCTCAAAAATTAGGTTTAAAGATGCTTACGCCTACCCGGATGAAAACCTGCCCGAAATTCAAACCCAGTACGCCAAAGACATGACATTTTTTCAAAGTCTACGGAACGAGCTGGTTTCCCTGTCCTGGCAATGGTGGCGATACAGGTCGACATTTCCGAAGATTGAAGCCATCTTGCGAGACAGACTGGAACTTGACGATTTGCCCCCGATCGATGTCATAGAGCGAAACACCAGTCTCATTTTCACTAACACGCATCCCAGCGAGGAATATGCGAGATCTTTACCCCCGAATTTTATCGGCATTGGAGGAACGCACTGTTCTGACGAAAGGAAACCTTTGCCAGAGGTCGGATTTATTAGAAAGATTTGCAAATGCGAATAATTTTCTAATTTGTAACAAAAATCTGACAGGATTTGGAAAGTTTTATAACGAACTCGTCAACCAAGGGATTCATACTTTTGAGTTTTGGAACATACGCAGATTTGTCAAGTTTGCCGAAATACTTGCAAAATTATTTTTTCAATGCGATGTCGAAAGTCCCGGATATGAAGTTTATAGTCAAATTTAATGCGAAACCTCCATACGGATTGGCCAGCAATATTAAAACAGTCAACTGGATACCTCAGCAGGATTTGATAGGTACCTACATAGATAATTTTCTAAAAAGTTATAAATTAAATAAAATTATTTATTCGCAAAAAACATTTCACTCATTTTTAGCACATCCAAAAATTAAGGCATTCATCGGTCATGGCGGTGTCCTGGGGACGCAGGAAGCGATTTACCACGCCGTTCCGATGATTGTTATCCCTTTCTTTTCCGACCAAGACTACCAAGCAGCACGAGCTCATCAGAGGGAAACCGCAATTGCTCTGGAAATTCGGGAGTTAACGGAGGAAAAATTGTTAACGGCAATTTTACAAGTTCTCAACAATCCAAAGTATTTGTTAGCCAAATATTTCAAAAAAAAATCTCAAGCTAAATTAATCTCAAAATTAAACCATTCCCAGATATAAGGAAAATACGGCCAGAATTTCTAAATTTTTCCGAGACCGTCCTTCTCCACCGGTAGAAAGTGCGGTTTGGTGGATCGAATACGTTCTCCGACATGACGCCTGCTGCTCCCACTTGAGACCGATCGGCCTTCAGAGGACGTGGTACGAGAGAAGGATGCTCGACATTTGGGGATTCATAGCTTTTTGTGGAATCACCATTTTTGCCATTTTAGTATTCGCGATTTACCACTTGTTTAGTGGAGTTCTCAATTTATTGATTTGCTCGAAAATCAAACTAGATTAGCAACGGGTTTTACTTTTTCTAGACTTATTTATCTTTACAAATAAAAATGTATCCTGCTTTTTGTCTTAATCCGCAGTTGTCAAGTGTCAAATTTATGATTGCTTAATCAATCGACATGATCTTGATCTTGAACCACTTGTACTTTTACTCTTAATGGTTCCCTACGATACGCCTGCATTTCCTCGTATTCATGACAGTAGGGAAACCTGTTTAACAACAAATGCATCTATTCAATGTCAATAAGGTTTTCCTCATTTGATTCATGTCATGCAATTTGGAGCAGGAAATATTTGTACATGATTCACCTATAAGGAATTGAGACCCACATCAATTAATATGTAGAAACAGGAACCAAAATTAGGCAGTTAAATCCTAATTAGTTTATGGTTAACTTCCACTTTTATTTTTTATCTTAACCTTGGAAACATGACAAATAAATAAAAAATAGCATATTGCTAATTAACCTATTCATGTCAAGATTTTACTTGTAGAAGGAAGACACAATTTCCTTACATGCACTTAATTTGCATACTTTCCATAGAAGTCTCCTTGGAGCTGGCGAATACCAGATTGGATAAATTGTTCCACTCGGAAATACAATTATCCAAATATTTTGATGTATCGTCCACGTTGGAAAAATACTCGTCAAATCCACTCACACCCAGATAACCGGCTCCGTCATAGGGGTAAAATCTCACATCGTAGGCATATCCTGGTCAAAATTTGTTTTAGAAATTTTATTTTGTTATAATTCATAAAAATCTGAATGGGTTGGATTTATGTCGACAAATTGACTATGCATATTTGCTCACCTGAATTTTCCGCTACAGCAATATTCACTCCTGTAAAAGGAACGTTAACTTCGTCCCCGTGAAGGTACAATTTCTCCTCATGTCCGAAAATATTGTTCACCATGACGGTAGCCTCGGGTTGATATTGTATCAATTTTTTCAAAATGGGCAGTGGTAATGATCCCAGCAAATTATAGTACCAATTCAAAATTTCGGGTATGCCCGAGGATCTAAAAGCTGCGACCCGGTTGCGAATTAAGAGTAATCGTTTTACCGAATCTTCCTCTCCGATTGGCAGTAAAATGGCGCCAGTTGTCCTAATTACACACATAATTAAGTAAGCTGAAATTTTTTAAAATCCCGCCATAACTTATACATACACTCACAAATGATTCATCAAAACGTCCCGATGATTTTTAGCGGGCAGGATGAACGCAACTTTAATATGGGTATCGATTTTCAGACCTCTTTTAAGATAAGCGTCCCTTATTCCGGCAGCTACACCGGCGAGGAGGAGAGTGATAAAGTCGACGCGATACGCATTTTTTATCCTCTTTAAGTCTGCCATTGACAAGGAGTTGGTCGTCATGGAAAATATGTCACAGGAGTCTTTCTCGAGGTGGAAATCTGATCATTTACATTTCATAAAATTACATAATAATTTTATCACTATAATTTATTTTTTGATAATTTACATACACTGTTGGGGAACACGAGTATTGTCAAATTCCACGTTGACGACGTATTCAACTATGGCGTAAGGGAGGCGTAAAAATTTCGACACTTTCGACAGCGATGATCCACCCGAATTTTTCCTCTCGACGGTTGTCGGCACAGGCAAAGTATCGATTGCATCGTCAAACAATTTTCTCACAAGTTTAAAAACCGATCGACCATCGCAAAGGACATGAGCGCATCTCCAAATTAGAAACGTTCTGCCACCACCACGCGGCGTGTCGACGTTTTCCACGAGGAGAAATTCCCAGAGTGGTGAATCCTTCTGCCAAACTCTTCCGTGGGAGGCGTAGTTGTACAGTTTGCTCAAATTTTCGGGATTTGTGAAGTCCAATTTTGGAAATTCTCTCTCTATGGGAATCGACAGTAATTTGTGTGACACATTTCCTCATATTTTTTCAAAAACGAAATATTGGGGGGATTCATTACGAGTTGGCATCTTCGCATTGCAACGTATTTAATTTTAAAAAAATTGTGAATTAAAATATGTGCATACTACTGTTCAGCCAATATGTATGTATTAATACATACTTATAATAAGTCTGAAAAAATCTGAAAGGTTTCCTCGGAGATTGTTTTATATTATTTTCCAAAAACCAAATAACCTCTGAGAAAATGTTCCAATGAATTGACACTATTAATATTGGCTGAACAGTATCCAGAACAAGTTCGCAAACGAAATTTGCAAGCCAAATTTTTTGCCAACTTGCGAACTTTTTGTGTGCTGACGTTGCTAACGATACGATTTCGAACTCGTCATGAATACCCTCATTATCTCGCATCTCACCATTTACATATTTTATTTGATTCTTGATATCAAAACTTTCGCACTTCTCCCAAAAATAGTAGCCCCACCATTGCACCAATTTGCATTGAAGTTCAGGGTATAGAGTAGCTGAATCGTTCGATTTTTTTCTATGGTCTAAAACCTTGAATTCAAAATTTTTCCTAAGTTTTTCAATGTCGAAGCGACTACTGTTTACTTCCAGGATTGTAACGATTGTCATCGCCTTTCTTGTGAAAGTTGGACCCGCATCTGTATTAAGAGACGTTTTGAAAATTTTCTCAGCCAAGAATTAAATAATTTTTTTCAAAATCTTACCAAACAAGGTGCTCATGTCATGCAGGATATGTAGTAGCTTGCCCCTTTGAAATATCTTTGCTGCCAGAATGACACATATTCTGTGAATTCGACACAAAACTAGGGGGATGAAGAAAAGTGGGGGCAAAGCGAGAATGAAAAGTATCGTTAAAATTAGTATGGCCACCATTTTAAGACTAAATGCTAGCAATTTTACTTAGCATTGAGATAGTATTTAGTTGTCCAGGAGTTATTTGCATGTTGCATATCCATACTTTTTGGTCAAGGAACAGGTTTTTCCTGCGCAGCCATGCTGTGAGCATATATGTAAATATGTATTGTGCATGCACGTGTGTGGTAATTGCCTAGGAAATATGTAAAAATCAAGATGATATCAATTTATTTTATTACTTTCTTTCATACATTTAAGCATAGTTGGTGGTAAATTATAATGTAAAAATAAAATTAGATCTTAAAATAAAATAAAAATAACTAGAGCCAAAGATATATGTAGCAATTTCCTTACTGGAGAATGTAGATAAATAAATATATTTTGAGGAGCATCATTCTTAATAAAGAAGAAGAAAAGTGTGTAAATTTGTATGCATAAATTATGGATGCATGCATAATTACGATAAGTTTAAATTGTTCGTGTGTCTAATTTTTAGCATAATGCGTAAGTACTTAGGTATGTATTCGAAACATTGTACAGTTGTATTTGTAAATATTCATATGTTAGATAAGTCTATTTATCTATTTTGTAGGGTACGATGTTATGTCGTCGAAATTTAATGTTTCAGTAGCGGGAAAACTAGTAAAAACAAGAATGTGATCAATTATAAATACAGGTTATAAATTTACATAACCAGTTAGTGCAACTAGTCGATTTGTAATGTTTTCATAGTATACACATTTACATATTTGAAGTACCATAATGTGTTTACTGTTTACGAGTTTTAGTCCTACATGCATTAAATACATTAACTTTATGTGGTCGACGTACGAAAATTCCCGAAATACTTCGAACATTCGCACCATACACAACAAGATCCAGGCTTGTCGATGAACTATGTAGGACAATTTAAAAAGTTTTACTTTCTTCATACATTTTCAAATCGTATTATATTCGTTCATAGCACATTCTGTTGTGACTTACCTCAATCGTACATACCCTGTGCACATGTTGAAGTCAACATTGGTTTAACATTAATTAAAACTATTTAATTGAATATTCTCTGAAGCTGGAAATTAAATTATCCTACGAGATGCCTTTTGTGCTAACTAGTGGTTAATTTGTTGTGGCAAAATGGCTTTATTGTTTTAATATGTAAAAATATGTAGAACATTTAGTCTATCCATCCATACAATTATCTAGCTCTCCTCTTGTACGACCTGACCTCGTGGTTTTCCCCTAATTGTAGACAATTGACTAACATTACGACGTAAATGCATTTAAAATCTGTAAATAGTGATATGTTTCCCCCTCCAGTTTTTTAAGTGTGAGTTATACGTATGTATGCATGAACACTATTATGTAAAGTTCGAAATGCTTTGGCACCGATTAGACGAAATACCGACTAAAATTCCGGTGTCTCAATTGTATATTAATTTTTCATTGTTATCATCAAAGTTATCATATTTACATACTATCGCAAGATTAATGGACAGATGTCATTTTTGTTGATTCACAATAACCAGCCATTGTAAATCCGAAACATATTTATGTAAATTGTTATGTAAATTTTTATGTAATAGATTTTTTATATGATTTGATGACTACAACATGTATTTCCTGAACTTCAGGATATAAATGATTTCTTTTGAAATGTATTTCTACCAAATATGAAGGGAATAAGCTATTATTATTATTAAAATCATTTTACACACAAATCTCAGAAACCAATATACGGATTAACCGAACTTAAAACTTGGATATTTAATACGAGAAGTGATTGAAAATCTGTAGCATAACGTGTGCAGTATTTTTTTAAATATACAAATAAGTATTTAATGCGCCTATTTCAGCACAATACAAGAATTTTGATTTATTTGTACATAGACAATTTATGTGTGCGAATTTACATATGTATACCTACATTTAGATCCTGTTATATGTTCAAATCTATGCATCAGATTTCGAATAAATTGAATATAATGAACGCATACTTGCATATGTATGTACATAGGAGGCAGGTGATATTACAAACATATTTATAATGATTAAATTCCAGGGATCGTACAACTTAATCATTTCGGGACTACCATCGATTAAACTTGACGGAAGACACACATTGTTCCAATGTAATCACTGCCGTACAAACTTCAAAACCAATTAGTTGTTCATATACTGCGTGAACAAGTAAAGTGTTGCACGCAGATACATAGATCAGATCAGATCAGTTTAGAGAAATATAAATATAGAAATCATATCGTTTCACTATTCCCATGGATATATTAATTAGCTTGACGCGAGTTTGAAACATTTTCACAGTAAAATATGTACATACATACGTACATATCTAAAAAACGAAATTTTCTACTAAACCGCTCTCCATATTTGTAGGATTAAAAAATGGCCCTACATCGAAATCGCTCATCAAACGTGTACCGTAAAAATATAATTGTACCTTTTGTATTCCAAAATTTTTAAGTTTATGTGTATTTTCTATTTTATTTTTATGGATTTTTTACACACATATAGCTCGATTGTTTTGAAATATTAGAAATGATCTGCAATTTTTGATGTATGGAAATTTACACAAAATCTCAAAAGATTTTAAAAACCTCTGCATTAAAATTTACTTAAATCAGGTCAGGTTCCAATCCGCATGCAACACTATCCATGCTGCCCTGCCCACTACAATTCGAACCTCGTGAATACGCTATGCATCACTCTTACGCAACCCGTCATCCTCTTGCACCCCAAGCGTCCTTATCAAAACCAAGCTTGACAACCCATTCAATCCTACTTATCAACACACTTTATAATCCATCTCGTGATAATTTTGCAATATCGTCAACACCTTATAAAAGAGGTGACATTGGTCATAACTCAATTTACTGGATCCACACCTTTTCAACAACCTCCAAAAATGTTCAAGGTTTTCGCCCTCGTCGCCCTCTTCGCTACGGGCTCCATCGCCTCGGCGATCAGCTCTGCCGTCGTTGTAAAGAAAGGGGTCGCCCCCTTTGATGGCACCACGCTCGGAGTGGTCCAGCCGGTAAGGAGCCACGCTTAAAAAATCATTAAAGTGTGATAATTAATTTGCATTTCTGTTTAAATTTAAGGTCGGCCGTTGCGGTGGTGTAGGTCCGTTCAATTAAATTAATTCTTACCTTGACTTATATTTTGAGGTAGTAAAGGAGCAAAATTATCTGCAGGTACACCACTCCAGTTGAGAATTTCGGGATGTGAAGGCTACTGTGAATTGCAACCTGGATCAATTTATAATTGTGAAGAGGACTTTATGCCCAGTATGTCAATCAACTTTTAATTAATGTAGCGTACTAACTAGCTAATTATGTACTTTGCCCCTGATAAGGCATGGCTGCACCCTCACTCATTCTGAAGATTGAAATCTGCATGTCTGCCGGATTCTGCATGATCATCTTGGAGACCGAGCTGGCCAACTCTTCCGTCCAGCCAGGATTTATCTACACGGCGAAGTACTCCATTGTCCCCAACGATATCTTGTCCGGACAGACCGTCGAATTCAAAGCCTATATTAGCGCGTCAGACACTATGCGTTTGGAGATTTGCGTGTCTGCCTTTGTCGACATTCTTTTCGGAGTTGGCAGATAAGCTGAGTTTTATTGTCAGATTTTGAAAAACAATAAGAATTTGAAATTTGCTTTATGTACATACTCATATGCTGAATATGTATGAGTGAAAATTGAAATAAATCAGCTATTTAATTAAATGTTTAAAAAGGGACAAGTCTTTGAGATAAATTAAATGACGCAGCATAGGCGCTGTTCATAAACTTCGTAACGCTGCCTAACTATGGGAAGATAGGAATTTTCCCTATCCTGCCCATACTGGCCAGCGTTACGAAGTTTACGAACAGCGCCATATGCTGGTAATGATCCTATGCACTTATCATCGGTATACAGTGGCGGCGGAAGATGACGTCATTGGGGGGACATTGGTATCCTGTCAATGTTAAGAAGTCCCGCCTTCTTATATCCTGCAACGATAATGTCCCCACGATGACGTCATCTTCCGCCGCCACTGTCGGTATAGATGTATGTATACATGTACAACTCTGATTTATTGCTTGACGACCTAATTATTCGCATTGCTGGACATTTTACGCTAGTATGGTGTTCATGGGAAATAATAAAATTATGAAAAATGTACGTATGTACATAAATTAGTACCTAAAATAGTGCGTCATCGCCGTTTGCAAAGTACGAATTATATTTCAATGCATTCGTCTCATTCTTATGTTGGTTGATGTTAACATCATCAACTTTATGAAGTTGATGAATCACCATCGTATACTTTCATATAGGTGCATATTTATGCATTAAAACAATGTGAGAATTATTCGAAATTTATTTGCCGTATGATTAAATGTCTTATACCATGCATATTGACACATGTTCAGATATATATGTATGTAGTATGTACATGATCCCGTTCAATAAACCCTATTTTCGTCGCTTTCTATAACTTATAATAAATACAGGATGTGGATTAATGAAATGGCAATTTTTGAAATCTTTGGACTTTTTCATGTAAACGTGTAGATCCAGAGAGTATGAGAGAGTTATACAAAAATTTGAAGAGTTGAACATGGAATGAGCTATAACTACTATACGATTTTTGTACACATGTGTGGTTATAATTCTACATACATATGTATATAGATTCCGCATCAATTTTATTGAATATAAATTAAATGATATAACAATTAACAAATTAGGTATGTATTCACAAATCTGTATATTTAATATGCAATGCAAATTTCGCTTTTTACTGTTGTTCTTAATACTCATTCATTTTTTAAATCATATGAGCACTGAGCAGTACATAATTTCATGCACTCAAAAATTTGGCCTTGGTGATGAAACTACCAAGCTAAATTTATATTCAACTTTATCTAGAACCAATTATTTCATCCTACATACGCGTAACGTAGCTTTGTCATCAGCTACAGTGAGATATATATTATCACAAAACGCTTGGTAACTAACAATAAATACATAAGCTCACTACATCTATAAATAAATCAGTCCAGTTTTTTTTAGCTCAATAGTCTCTTCATATTTTTGTTAAATGTCAATTAATCCAATCCAACCGTCTTCTAAACCAGTGCATCAATTTTCTCCTTAATCGCAGCCACAGCATCGTCCCCACTCTTCAAAATATTTCCACTCCTCGCATCCCCACTGGCCTTCATTTCTCCGACAATCTTCCTAATTGCGTCCCCATTGCTGCCAACGTCCTTCACCAACTCGATCAACTTGGTCACACCTTGGACATATATTTGCGCCGCGTCGTCAAGTGTGTCCCTTGCCTCGAGTATCGTGTCCTGTGATCCATCAAATTTTATTCATCCAGGTTCATTTTTTATAAACAATTTCAGGAAAAATATATACCTGCAACCCGTCCAAATCCTGCCTCAACTTTTTCCCCGTCGCCTCCTCCGTCCCGCTTAGCATGGCGACCCTCTCCTTGCACCACAGACCACCCCCGTTGAGCAAATAGTATGATTTGTTATCCCTCTTGCCCTCCAGGAACCAGAGGGTAGCCTTTAACTTCATCTTGGCCCAGAGACAGATTGGGTCCGCGGCCCAGCTGTTGAGCGAATCGACAAGTCCACCAAGTCGTGGGACAAGAATTTTTGTGTTATCATTTGCCTCCTTAACTTGCGAAAGAAGGGACTCCAACTGTTTTTTGAGCAGTGGTTTGACCTCGGAGGGTTGTGTCCCTTGCGCAATAAGGTCGACGATGGATTGAAACTCAGGGCGCAGGCTGGCGTTGGCGTTTGTGACTCCTTGTAAATACCAAGACCTGGCGTCAGATGTTAGCTTGTCGAGATCTGGAGGAGTGTACACGTCCCGGCGGGCGGTGGAGGCAGAAACTGAAAACAGATTTATTTTGACACGTTTAAACTAAAGAAAATTTTAACAGACTTTAATATGCCGGTTATTTAGAAAAATGTGATTTCTTGAACGATTCTATCTTTTTTTTCTTACAACATTTCAAACCCATTTTATCCCCTAATAAGAAACAATTTGTAAATACTAACCTGCAGAAATCATCCTCGTAGTAGTCGTAAATAATAGAACGAAAGAAAGTTTACTCGAGATTGCACGTCTGATCACCTACAATTAAGCAGAAAAATACTCCTTCAGTTCAGACAAAAACTCCAGACAGATTAGATGATACTGTACACGTCGTATTTACCATTGTACATAAAGTTGGGTAGATACTTTTTGTTAGTTGTAAAAAGAAGTGACTGGAAGGAAATGATTGTTGTTTGTTGCGTATTATATGTGTTCATATACATACAGGCATGTGTATTTTGTATACGTGACTCAGCACAGCAGGATAGATAGAAAGTAATCTGTTGGCTAAAATCGCATGCTACTGTGGATGAAGTTCTAACCCTGCAGACTTATTACACCGCTTTGTAGCATTAATTTCACGACGTCACCGGTCAAAAAAATTTTTTCCTCCAAACTGGTCCAAAATAAAAGTCTAGCATGGGAATAGTATAGAAAAATTATTTTTAGCGTTCTATGACCCCTGGGTCATGAATTAAGGGCCCCTGAAGGGTCAAATAGCGTTCCCTGATAACCCCATGCAAATGGGGTATCAAATTAATCCCCTGGACCAGGGGAACCAGAAAAATATTTTTATAAATTTTTATGACCCTTGAGTCGTGAACTAGGAGCCCTTGAAGGGTTAAATATCACTCCCTCACAACTAAAGGCAAGTGGGGTATCAAATTAATCCCCTGGACAAGGGGAACCCAAAAAATATTTTTCTGGATTTTTTTGACCCTCAGGTCAAGAGTTAAGGGCCCCCGAAGGGTCAAAATAGTAACCATGGTAACCCCATGCAAGTGGGGTATCAAATTAATCCCCTGGCAAAGGGCAAGCATAAAAATATTTTCCTGAATTTTTTTGACCTATAGGTCAAGAGTTAAGGGTCCCTGAAGGGTCAACATAGTAACCATGGTAACCAGGCTTCATAGCCTGTCTCAGGCAGCATACTTATGTTTGTATAAACTGGTCCCTTTCTCATATACATATCTTTATGCACCATCTTGTTTGGGGAAGGATTGGGTTAATGGTTGGGGTGATGAATATCCCCTAAAAACTGATGCATTATAAATATATGAGGTGATGGGAGACCCCTTATCCTTGCTGGCTTCTCCAGTCGACATTTTGAAATTTAAGTTTTGGAGTTTGTACTTACTGGTATCCGCTCAATTATTAATTTTTAAAATTGAAGATGACGTTGCATAACTTAATTTATGGAACACTGTATGTGTTATATATAGTTCATTGTGTTTGTGGTAAAAGTTGCGCGAATGTCGATAAAATAGAAATAGATAAACAGGTTAAAGTTGTGTGTGATGAGACGGATAACCTGGGTGGATTGGTTATCTGGTTCAAGGAGACATTACCATCCAATTGCAGTGGATTTCTGATATGTAATCAAACGATGTGTATGGAAATTAATGAAACTGTTATGTTCTTCAGTGACACTATCAAAATTGAAGAAGTAGAGTATGAAAATAAAAAGATACGGGTATGGGGAAGTGAAAGCTATGTAACTTTTTATTTTAAAAGTTTCGTGGATGCCAGCCGTTATCTACTAAATAACATCACAATTTCAAACGCCAACCACACATTTCCATCCAATAAACTATCCGACTTAACTCAGGAAAAAATTAGTGACACTTATTGTAATATAGCGGCTGAAACGAAGAACTGTACCACCAAGCAAGCAGTAACTAAAGCTATTCAAGGCACTACTCCTCTTCCTTCTGCATGCACAGTTCTAATTCTGTGCAACCAAATATCATGCATCAGGTTCAACTACACAAGTCTCCTGCATTCAGCCTTCTTTGCCAGAAAGCACACGTTTATTCCTACCAACGAAGGTAAATTGCCATCTTGCTTTCATCTTCGTCAAGATGCATTTTTCCATCCTGGATCTCTCCGACGCCCACGTGGTATTATACTTTCCTTGGAGAAAGCTAAAGTTAAAAAGGCGCCAAGCGGATTACCTTTCAATCTCCCTGGATATAGGTAATTGGTTATTTTGGATGAGTTTTTTTATTTTTGAAGTTGCGATTGGAATCTTTATGAAATGATTCTTTATTAACATAATTTTATTATTGGTATTAATTAAGATATTGCGGGCCTGCCACCGATATTGAGAAGCAGGATGATCTCGGTGGCCCAATAAATGCTGTTGGTAATTGTTGCCCAATTTATGCTCATACACTAACCAAGTCAAATTTGTGAAAATTAATTTTATAATTTTTGTGTTGATATTATTCACAGATGCAGCATGCCGCAAACATGACGTCGATTATTTGCTAGGGGTTCTACCATCAGAGGCAGACGAGGCACTTCTAACTACTGTGCAATTACATCGAAAAGATCTGTTCCCACTTTTTGCGGCCGCAATGAGTGCCAAAAAATATTTCGAAAGTCAAATTGGAGGGTCCTATACATCCTTCTTATATTTCTACCCAGCAGGATTTTATCCCAGTTTAACTTTGCATTTTGCACATGAAACGGTGTACGATAAAACTTCAGCAGGAACACTAACAACTGCTCGTGCCATCTGGGAAGGCCAAGCTCAGGAGTCAAAGTGGATAAGTATTCTGCAAAATATTTGGCTAGGGAGCTGCTACACGGTGGATCCAGAAACTAATGTAAATCCACCGCATATCGATGTAAGATTATATTTTTGCACTATTAATGCTAGCTCAGATTCATCGATTTATTGTCTGAGAGCACAGACGCATTTCATACAAGTTTATCACTTTTAGCAAAAACAGTCTGACATGAATTCCCTCGTCATGCCATGCTCAAATGTGGATGAAATGGACACCAATGCAGACGCACTTGTGAGAAATATTGCAACATATTTATAAATAGCAGCGACCGCGGATGTTGTGGGGGACATCGTGAAATTGTTATTGTAGTAACAAGCTCATGTACGTTTTTGTTCTGATCAATACAGGAGGATGGTGATGGAGATGATGAACGTGGGCACTGTGGACAACGTGAAGAGTTAGGGGAAGGGTCAGCTCCTGGCGGTGAATCACCAATGGACACTTCAAATACAGAGTATGCATCCAAGAGTACAGAAGGTGAAGATACATGTGTGGGAACAGACATTTACCCAACGGCCCCTTACAAAGGGGGATGTAGGATGATTTTGAACGAATTTGCAACCAAGAATGATGATAACCAGATTTCGTTTATTGAACATGTTCGTATTTCCCCAAAAGGCGCTCGTCCTCCAAAAACTAATTCACTTAACGGATTCGTTGAAATAATCCTTGTGGGCGGGATGACTATCCACCAAGTAATGTACGCATCTTTCCAGAACAAGATCTTCTCAATCATACAAGAGAAACAAACTACGCAACGCAAAATAAAAAATTTCTACTTTGTCCTCGGATCGAAACAAGTTGCACCAGATATGTTGTTTTCTGACAGCCAGATTACTAGTGACCATCTCGAAGGAATCTTACCTGCCGAGTCATTGACGTACTGCATAATTTTACTTCACTTCGGACACAATCAAGGGCAATTTCATCAAGCAGTTCAATCTTTTTCACTAATCCAAAATGTTCCACCCGGCAGTGACACGGTAGGCTATCTCCCAACCCCCATAAACGACGAAAAGATGAACCTTATAAACGAGTTCATTCAAGATGTCCTAATTGTTGGTCCTCCTTGTCCGGATTCTGAGTGTGGATATTTCTATTCCCTTCTCAGAGCTAAAGAACAGGTATTGGGGGAAGGTGAAATGCGAATTCCTTTATCTGATGTTCCTAGACGGAATGATGGAACCAAACCTTACCTTAGTCTTTCGAGGTGCAGTCCTACGAGTTTTCCTATGCAACAATTAGCCTTTGAAATTGAGAAAGCAACACCGAAAGCGAAAAACGACTGTAAACAACCAAATACTAAACTCCCATTCCAACTACTTGGTGTTTCACTACAGGCGACAGCTCAAAAGTTAATTGTCAACGCCAAAGTATTCTTTGACAGTAACCAGGTACAGTGTGAAATACTAACAGGAAACTCTGTCACCAAAACTAGCCAGATTCTAGGAATTGGAGAGAGAACAGTTTATCAGACAATGGAGAATTACAAAACGAATAGTATAAAAACACCTGGTAAGAAACGTATTAGACCAACGCCAGTGATGGATCAGTTTGACGACTTCCGAACTGAGCACGTTAAACGAATCATTCATCAATTCTATGCTAATAATCAAGCACCAACAATGCATAACGTATACACAAAACTGATGGAGGAAGTCAAGGAAGAAGAAGATGGTCGGATAGCCCGAGGAGAAACTCTTACAGCGTTCAAATGTTCCAAGTGGACGTTAAGAAAACTCATTAAGCAATTAGGATTTAGATTCAAAACTGTTGATAAGCGAGCAGTTATCCTCATGAGATCAGACATCGTGCAGAAGCGATATGAATATCTGTCCGTAATGATTAAAAATCGTCAGTCCGAGAACCCATGTCACGGGAGGCACACTTAACTTGACCAGATATCCTCGTGACAAGCTTACTTATCTGGACTAGTACCTCTTCCGTAATATAACTTTACTTGAAATCTAGACTTTGGCTACTTATGCCCTAAAAATGACTTTGATAATGCTTTCAGCGCTTGACTTGACTTTAGGATGATGAAATCTTAACTTTAACTCGCAATTAAAATAACCAAGCTTGTAAATACTTATTTTTGGAAATTAAAATGGAGCTTTATTTCAATCAAACTATTTGGCATGAACAGCAAAAATCACACTTCCTCTCTCTTCGAGTTCAACTTACAGACTACTTATTTTTTACAAATGGCTACTTTTTTTTTTTTTTTTTTTAAACTTATTACCAGGCCAACGCGCCCCTTTTCTTCTCATTCACCCTCTTACACTTAATCAATATCCGAATCCTTCAACAACCCACTCAATACATAGGTAATGTACATACATAGGTAATGTACATACGTACATAGGTAATGTACGTACATAGGTAATGTACGTACATAGGTAATGTGTACCGCCATAAGGATCATTTTCTACAATTATAATTACCATTCAAAAAACTTATCGATGACTTATTTCGTAATTCCTAAATGCTAAATGGTGGACAAATTTCTTAAAATAATATTATAAATTATTTTACACTCCCTACGGTCCCACGACAACCCAAAATGTGTTGTCTACACAGGTTTGGCTGATTAAATATCAAAAATGTTTTAATTTAATTTAATATAATTATTAATGCATTATATTTATTCAGATGAAACGTGGGTCGATAGTTATGCTAGAACTGGAAAAGGCTGGGTTATTAATTCACCAAAGTCATTTCATGAAGCGGCTTTATACTCCTTCCAAAACCCGAAAATTTCTAGAGGACCACGTATCATTGTGATGCATGCAGGTGCAGTTCAACTATCCACATTAAATAGGAAATTATTTCAAAATAATAATTATCTTCACAGGTGGAGAGGATGGATTCGTACCTGGCGCTATGAAGGTATATCCAGTATCAAAGAAGAAAGTCCAGATGGATTACCACGCAAACGTTAACGGTGTCGCTTACATGGCTTGGTGGAAGGATCTTAATCAAAAGATAAAAGATAATTATGGTCCATGCATAATTGTTATTGATAACGGTAATATCATCCAATAATTTGTATTTGTAAATTCCATTTTAATTTGAATTTCATTTATTTAAATTTGTCAGCTCCGTATCACAGCACCAAGGAAGCCCCAAAATCTACATCCCGAAAACAAGAGCTATACGACTGGCTGAATGATAATTTAGAGGGCCCTGAAAAGCTGAAACTAAAACCTGTAAAGCAAATGAGACGACCTGAATTATGGAAAATGGTTCAAGACCTTAAAAACGGAAATGAATATTACATTGTGGATAAGGAGGCATTGAAATATGGAAACACTGTTGTCCGGTAAAGTTATTTTCTATTCATGGGTAATTTACTAATAATTTGTAATATTTATTTAAACACTGTATTTACGTATTTTCCAGATTACCCACATATAACTGGTAAGAACTGGTAATCATAGGTAACGGTAATAAGAATATTCATGTAATAACTATTTTTAGCGACTTGAACCCAATTGAGTACGTGTGGAAAGACATCAAGCACGCAGTTAGGGCTGCAAACACACAGGGGACCGCTGAGTTTGCACAAGCTGAGGCTGAGAGAATTATGACAACATACACAAAGGAACAATGGCAGAAACACATCAAACATGTGCACCGGTTCGTAAAACCAAGATTCGCTATTATGGGAATAATTCGCAATTTCTACATTATTATTGTAAATAGATTGGAGGACGAGTATTGGAAAAATGATGGACATTTTGATGACTTCCTTGATGACTTCCAAACACGTGTAGCTTCAGCCAACCCCATTCGAGTGAGTTCTTGGTGACAGTAAACTATTAGTAAAAAAATACATAACTTATACATAATATACAGATTACAGCAGCAGATGATGTGTCTGACGACGAAGATGAGGACCCTGACGATGTTGACGAAGTAGTTGATAGATTCCGAATGCAAATACACAATGATATTGAATACTCACAGGCTGGGGAAGAAGAAGACTTGCCTGAAGAAGAATGTGCAACTTCTAGGAGGAGATTAACCTTCCCACCAGAATCAACCTAGATTTTAACTTCAATGGATTCAATACATAATAAATATTATAAATAGTGAATCCGATTTGTACATAGTGTTAAGAATTATTATTCATTAAATTTGTACGAAATTTTCAAAAATATGCCTACCCCTCTCTACTTAACATTCTTGCAAAACTGAAAACTTTAAAATAATGTCCCGTTTAGTAAAATACAATAAGTTATTATTTGACCCTTCAGGGGCCCTTAACTCTTGACCTATACGTCACAAAAACCAAAAAATATTTTTCTGATTCCCCTGGTCCAGGGGATTAATTTGATACCCCATTCACCTTAGTTACCATGGTTACTATGTTGACCCTTCAGGGACCCTTAACTCTTGACCTATAGGTCAAAAAAATTCAGGAAAATATTTTTATGCTTGCCCTTTGCCAGGGGATTAATTTGATACCCCACTTGCATGGGGTTACCATGGTTACTATTTTGACCCTTCGGGGGCCCTTAACTCTTGACCTGAGGGTCAAAAAAATCCAGAAAAATATTTTTTGGGTTCCCCTTGTCCAGGGGATTAATTTGATACCCCACTTGCCTTTAGTTGTGAGGGAGTGATATTTAACCCTTCAAGGGCTCCTAGTTCACGACTCAAGGGTCATAAAAATTTATAAAAATATTTTTCTGGTTCCCCTGGTCCAGGGGATTAATTTGATACCCCATTTGCATGGGGTTATCAGGGAACGCTATTTGACCCTTCAGGGGCCCTTAATTCATGACCCAGGGGTCATAGAACGCTAAAAATAATTTTTCTATACTATTCCCATGCTAGACTTTTATTTTGGACCAGTTTGGAGGAAAAAATTTTTTTGACCGGTGACGTCGTGAAATTAATGCTACAAAGCGGTGTAATAAGTCTGCAGGGTTAGAACTTCATCCACAGTAAAGTAAAGACAAACAGATCACAAAATTTAACCCTTTCCTCACTGGTCTGGATTCGGGAGAACGACGAATGTCACGAATCTATGTATGTATCGAGTTGCAAATGATGCTTATGTTCTCATGGAAATGTACAGATTTATTTTTAAGTGAAGACAGTCACTTAACGATACACATAATTGGGAAACTTGTGACTCACAAGTTGTAGTTAAACTGCATGGTCATCGTGATACTGTTGTTCTGCAGGTTTAGTAGGTACGCATATGAAAAAATTGTTATTGTCAAATATTTACAAGTTTTTGCACGCAGCTAGAAATACACATAAATAAGTACTTATATGATACTTGAATGAAGCAATCGTGTTATTAACGTCACGTTTTGACGTGATTTAAATCGAGATTTATGATTTGAATTCGTTAGTATGTAAATAATATTCATAACCACTTCATAACATATTCGTTTCTAAATTCTGAAGTACTTTTATTAAGCGATTTATACGATTCTTTGCTAATAATTGACACTGGATGCAGAAATTTGCTATGCTATATATACATATGATAGATGTATCTATATTTGGATTAATTATTGCTTATCACGAGTAAAGAATAATGTACAATTCAATTCCGTACAAAATATGTTTTCAGTTAAATTGTACATTGCATGCATAACTAAAATTTTTAGTACATATTCAATCGAGTTTGTTTGGACAATGGTTTGCACTCCACAGAAAAACAAGCGTGGGCTAAACTATAAAGTTGTCAACAACGTTGTCAAAGAGATGTTATCCATAAATAGCTCTCTCCTCGAGATGTGATTTTCTCCACGCACAAAATCCTATATCAAATTCCTTCCAAGGAGAGAGTAATGTCAAAGCAATCTACCAATGACAAAGTACCACCTCTCCGATTTCGTGTACTGATATTCGTTAATGTGATATGGAATTTATGTAATAAAAATGAAGACATGTGGCAAAAAAATCAATAGATTTCGTAACATTTCTAAAATAAAATGTGTTCAAACTTAAAAATCAGCCTCCCAATTCAACATTTTTTACAATCGGCTCATTTTCAGGTACAAACATACTTAATTAGATACAATTATTACAATTAATGATCCAAAAACCAGTCACACTGGCAATTGTGCTTACTCATTAAATGCTAAAAGTAACATCATTCAGACATACTTTCTTATCAGTATGCATTCCTACATACATATGCAAATGCACATATGTGTACATGCAGGCAAGTCTATGTTTCTGCCAGTGATAATCCATACATAACAGCTTAATCTAATAAAAATCAGTGCAAAATCAATACTACATCCTCCCCCAACAACAATGCAGCTTTTTTCAGGCATGGTACATACATACTTATGTAAAACTCGCAAGATTTCGCATCTCCCTTATGAATATCCGGACCGGAAAGAACTCTGGTGTTGAGGCTAATCTATCTCGTCCATACACATGTCAAGCATGTCATCATTACGGATCTTGTTTCCCTGTCGAGGAGAGAATAAAGCTGTCCCTGGAGGGAAAGGTGAGTCCTATAAGCACACAACATGATCCACAGGTGAAGGTGAAAGCACGACACGCGCACAGAGCGATTTCTCCAAATCAAGGACAAGTTGTTACCCTTGGTTGCAGCCAGCGTGGAGGCGGATGCTATTACTTTCTCCGGGAGTGAGTGCTTTCTCCCTGCTTTCTCCATTTTCTCGGCAGCTTTCCCCACGTCCTCTCCTGCTTTCTCCTCTCCTCCGAAATAACATCTCGTCCTTACCCGCACACACGGGAAATTGGGCTCAATATTATTTTCGTGTCGGCGTAGAACACTTAGATATTTATCCGCAAGATAATATTCGTTTGTTGTCAAAACTTGGAAACAAAATGTCCCGTTATGTTTGCAAACTTTACAAGATCTTGGAGGAGGAATCTAGCCGCGATGAAGGCGGTAAGTGATAATTACATAGTAAAAACACAATTACGCCAAATTTTAATTAACGAGTTTATCCTAATTTCAATAATTTAAACAGATTCCCCACCACCACACAAACCTGAAACTCAATCAACAGGTCCGCCCTCCGAGACATCGCTCGCCCTCATGAATCCTCTGGTACAACGATATTCCGCATAATTCGCAGTAATGTGTGCCAATTTATATATACCCTTTTGAACTTTCCTATAGATTCTCGACTCCATTTTCTCCAAGTTGGACACCCGAACTTTAAAGATCGCCCGACAAATTTGTCAAACTTGGGCGGACATTGGCGCCACCCATCTCGCCACGCGGACCTACTTCATGACCTGCCACATGCTCCCACATCACTGCTCCAGAATCCTGCCCCCCTTCAACCCCAAGCTCGCAAAGATTGTCAAAGTCATATTTTGCAATTGCAGAAATCCCGAAAACAACTTACTCAAGGAAATCCGGCATGAAATCATGACCAAAAACTTTTTCACCTTATTCACGCAAATTCATGAGGTAACGGAAGTGCTGGACTTCTCCATCAATTCAAACTTCTCTCTGGCTCCGTTAATAAGGTCGTTGTCCATCTTGAAATTTCCGCACTTGAAAGAATTGACCCTTCACGAACCACACGTTCCGGAGGAAGCCATTTCCCAAAATCAGTTGTGCATGCTTCCCAAACGGCCAAGTTTGACGAGATTGAATGTCCACTTGGCCAGGGAGAAATCTCCGTTTGGTCAAATTTTGCAAAAATTGGTCAATGCAGCACCCAATTTGGGAATTTTGCAAATTTCTGGAAATCAGACGCCATGCTTGGCTGAGTGCAAGATGTTGAAATGCTTGGAGTTCAAGGGGACCTACAAACACACGGGACAGGTCATGTTCAGCATGCAGAAATTGAATGGGATGTTGGCCGATGTGAAGAATTCGCTGGTTGAACTGGTCCTTAAAATGGATGATCTCGAGGGTAAGGTTTCAACCGCTGGGAATTATAATGTGGTGAGTGCTAATTTTTAGTCTAATTATGAATGTATGACACATTGGGCGTACTCACGCCATGTAAACTTAGCAATTAAACATAAGTTTGAGATTCAGTAAACATTTTGCTGAAATGGGATTTTTTTTCAAAATTTTCCCTAGCAAAAAAACAACTCAGAAAAATTCTTAATGTTTTTTAGGACGAAAATTTTACTCTGCCAACAATGCCGCTCCTCATAATCCTCACCGTACTGGAAGTCGACCTATTTTCCATCCAGAATGATTGGTCCCCAAAGAAAGTTCCCGTCTTGAAGGAGCTGTATCTCCGTTCGAAAAAACGACTCGGCGTGAGTTCCTGCGTCTCCGCCCTGCACATTCCGCACGATCGGCTAGAATCTCTGGAACTTTGGGGGGATGGCACGGTCGACTCGGTCAAACGGATTCGTCAGATATTTCCAACCTTGAAGAATTTAGAGGTTGTCATGATCTGCCCGGATTTGACGGATGAAAACAAAATGCGACACTTTACCCGACGCATTGAAGCTTTCGGCAAGTTGAACAGAGACCATTTAACCATCACGGTGTCGAGAATTCATCGCTTCATATATGCGATGATTGCACTGGATGCCATTTCCAGACTTAAGGGTAATCATTACACAAAATAATGAGGGTATGCATTGCGAGTTTGCATCTTTATTAACAAAAAAATTAAGTTCGAAAATTCGCAAAAATATTTGCTTGCGAATTGATTTGCGAACTTGTGCATCTCCTACATATGTATGTAGGGAAGTATTTAGCTCGTAAAAAGTTTAAAAAATGCAGATATATGAGCCGAACATGTGAACTCGCAAATGAATACCTAGAATATAAAAGTTCGCAAAATTGTGCAAAATTATATATCCCTTACTAATTTTAGCATCCGTCGTCGTCAACCTCGAGTTCACTCGTTCCGCATATATCGACAGCTACAACAAACCTGGATTTGAGGTTATGCTTCAGTCATGCAAGCAGATTAGCAAAATTACCTTTGAAGGAGAGGGGGTAACAAGAATTTACATATGCAAATTTTTATGCGTAAACATAAGTAAAATAATTAATTGCACACGCATTTTTCAGATTATTCCCCTCATCGGAAAGAACCTGGTCACCAAGTCGGGCAACTTATTGCCAGTTACTATCATATCAAGACCGGTGATTAGCATGGACATCCGACTCTTGTTGGATGAAGACCTTCAAAATATGTAAAATCCAACATCTTCGTCCACAACCAGCAGGGTAATGACTCATGTAACATATGAATGTATAACACATTTTGTCACCAAATGTGTATGTACACAGTAAATGATTCCGAGCCATTGTTTACTGTGCATATGCAAATAATGCCATCCTTGTTGTCTCTTTATTTAATAAAAAGAACTCAGTAAAGCGTAAAGATGCAACAAAAATGGGAAGAAATAAAAACATACATGCATACACATTTGCAAAAAAAGTACGAAATTGGTTACATGAGCCATACATAAAACAGTTTATTTAACTAATTGGTGATGTTTATTAACCTGATAAAATCATGACCTAGGATAACTTGAAAGTAATAAATGTGTGATGAATATATTTGATGTTATATGCATAACTTTACGTAACATAGCTTAATTTTGTAAAAAAATCTGTCCAATAAAACCCACCCACAACAAAGTAATGCCTAATCTTTACATAATTTTCACTTTTTCGGACTACACCAGACCCACTCTATTTCATGGGATTTTATAAACCCAACCTTCTCCATCAACTTGTTCGACGGGGTGTTGCCAATTTCCACCTGCACGTTTGGAATTAGTCCCCTAGCTCCAGCCACCTGACAGACCTTTTTCATCGTGAGATACCCGTAACCTTTGCCTCGTACTTTCTCCGACGTAAATAACGCGTTGATTGAGCCCATAGTAAAAATTGATACGCAACTGACTAGTTCAGAATCAGGTCCGAAATAAACGCCGGCCGACCCGATGCAGCTTATTTGTTCCGACATGACAGCTTCAGCCCCTGGGAAGGCAAATTTCCAATTGTCCACGACAAATTTAGCGTCGCTTGGAGAAAGTTGGGAAATTTTGAGGTTTTCTTGGTCAACAGATCTGATGAAAATTAGAGATTCGTTAAAATCAATGTTGTTGGCCAAGTGCACATGCATACAATTCTATTAATTAATGTGGGTTAGTAATTCACTCGGTGGCAACTTGCGCCCAAGATGTGGTGAAAATTAGCATTTAGTGAAGTATAATACCCTTTGATGTCCTCATCCCGTATATTCCTCGCCACATCGAGTGGAACGTAGAGAAAATCACATTTCGACGTCCTGTCCAGATTTTCTCGTCTTTTGCACATATCAATAATCTTGGCAGAATATGCTATATCGACAGCACAGAAAAATACTTTGCCATCCCAATTAACCAATTTCTCAAAGGCAGAGTTCATCTCCTCCGTTGGGTTGGGTGGGGTCGAAACGATTATCGAGGTATCATTTGCATTCTAAGAACATCAATTTTATTTTACAAATTTCAGAACAAAATTTCAAAATTTTGTATCTAGAGAGTTTTACCTGACGTTGCATAATTATGACAAGAAACACATTTTCTTCGTCTGGTTCATAATTTCCAGAAAATGCATAAATTTTCGTCATAGTTGAGGGTGGATGTATCCCCTTAATTTTCATTTGTAGCACATTGTAGCCCTATAAATTTAAGTAAAAAATAGTTATTAATTTTGAACCATGTCAGTTAACTTGTATGTAGTTATATATGCACCATGCTTGATTTTGGTAGCCTGGACTCCAAAGTGGTAACCAACTTTGTGTAGTCTTCTTCCTTGACTTTGGTAAACGACATGTTTAACTATGTAGTTACAAAATATGAAAATCTATTTGTTTAGCCCTTTCAGGTTGATGAGTAAAGTTTCTTTGTAATATTTAATTACAATTTTTGAGTGCAATACTACAAATGCCGTTCACTTGATCACAGACTGATCTACAACATTCTATCCGGACTGATGAAAGCTCATCCCTCAAGCTGACATGGACTAAATTACTTACGTAATAACAGCATACAGACTATCGTCGAATGTATGCATACATACATATATCAGTAAATTTTATGATTGATGTATATGTAATACAGCAGCGTTGCAGGCATTGATAATATAGGTATGTGTATTTACATACGTATGTATGTACTTATGTACATATAACTATGCTATTCTTTACCCAGAGCTCTTTCCATTTATGTACATATTTATGTATCATGCTAATTATTCTTTCTGGAAAAAGTTTATCTTGCAAGCTGGATCGTTCCATGGTAAGTATGCATACATAGTTATGAAAGTTTCCGTGAGCAGGGCCTCCGCGTGCAGGTGGTAGGTGGTGACGCGCACCAGGGCCGGGCCCCGAAGGGGCCGGGCCCGCGTCATAGGAAATTCTGGATTTCATAAGATTTTTCCCACAAATTTAATTTTTAAATTCTAATGCAAGCTCAGAATACGAGAGGTTCTTTTTCAAAGTTTAGTGTACTATATTTAGGCTTAGGAAGTAGGGTTCCAGCCGGTAGCGAAAAAAAAATCCGCTACCCGAAGTCCAACAAAATCAACCAACGACCAAATTGAAATCGAGTCAATTAATTGTTATTTTTCGCTGATAACTACTTTGAGATAATTCTATGAAAGTGGTGCATGGCAGAATTCGCTTGACTTACTTAATTGGATTTTAAAACAAACTTTGTGGTTTGCAATGCGGGGATACGATTTGGACGGCACTAATTTTATGTTGGTGAATCAAATCAAATTATAGTGTTTTCATGAATTTACATGTTTTCGCCTGGTCCTGAATTCGTAAGTCAATTTTGACTGCAATTCAAGGCTTTTCTAAATGTTGCATAATTTTCGTATTTTAACCTCATTTCAAAAATTTAAAAAATTATTTGTTCAATATTACTCTCTTCCCTAAAAATTTTATTTCAAATTTTGCGCTATTACTGAATTTTAAAAATGCTTGAACGCAAAATATGTTAATTCAAAATTTTTAAAAGCTTGCAGTTCTAAGAACTATATACTTAATTTAATTCCGAACAAACGTACCCAGTACTCGCAAAAGAACTGTTACAAGAATTCTCGGGTAAATTAAGCAGGCAAAACAATTTTTTAGAAAGTTGTACTATTTTTTATTGAAATCTCCATGCAATTGTTCATCAGAAATGGTGGTTCCAAAATTTTTATGACCCAAGGTACAAATATGATATACTGTTGAAGACGGCGTGTCGAGATTTTCTACCAACATTTGGTAAGCAAACAAGTCCGACATTTTTTAATTGATCAATAAAAGTCGGACCTGATCACAAGTTGATCGACTCTCTCTTAAAATGATTCGCTGATACTGGAAATGTTGATGAGTGAAAAAAAGTGAAAAGGAACGTAAAAAGGTCATAAAAAATCATGAAGGTTCAGCAAACCTGAATTCGTCCAAATTCATACCAGACCCTAACAAAAATTTCCCTGCAAATTGTTAGGCTAAATAGAACAATGTTTCGGGCCCTCAAACTAAACGTTGGACTTATGTCTTTAAGATATGAGGACAAACACTTGCGAACATTACGGCAAGTAAACATCCGGTACGCGCTTGAAAAATGAAAACAAACATTTTTAAAAGATGCGCAAACTTTCACAATTGAGGCCATATAAAATAAGCAAAAGGACCGTGTCTACATACACCCCCCCAGTTCATATTATTCACACAAATTTCAAAAATATCAATTTAATCCACCATCCTGCTTCTGTGAATTTTTTATGGGGCGTAAGGTGGATTTGGTCAGAAAAAGTGATCTTTCTACCTCTAGGGGTAAGCTTTCATATCAAAAAAAAAACTTTTTTGAAGTTTTCGAGCGAAGCCATTCCCAATACAAAAGTAGCCTCTAGACATTTAAGGACAGCTCAGGTCTTGCTCATCATGCCAAAATACTAAATGGGCGATTGAAATAAAAAAATTCCTGCCTCCATTTTGGACCAAGTATAAAATTCATCATCACTGAACCTCAACCTCTGGAATACGATTTATGGTCCAAACTGAAGCTATATATATGTGCAAAACCTCATATAGGTTTGGAGTCCGACAAAAATATCCCATCTAGAAATACCACCAATATCCCTTGGAACGCATGCGTACCGCAATCGCGAAGTTGACACCAAGACTCCGGGCTCGTGTCGTTTTATTAGGTTGAAATTTTATAAAGCAAAGTGTTTCTTATACAGAATTTCATTGGTTTTTCAGTGATGTAATTATTTTTTCAAAATTGTATAAACTGGGCTCGCTACAGTAAGGTTTTCTTGTAACAGTTCTTTTGCGACTACTGGGTATATTTTAATTTCTTAACTCAGGTTAAAATTCGAGAAGCCAGTGTTTCTTAAAAAACCCTAATTTTCTTTCATTTCATTTCATTTCAACTTTTATTCACGTGTAAATGGATATCAGTTAACAATAACTGGTTTGCAAACCATGACACATTCTTAATGAATGCTCAATTTAATTAAAAATCCCGCCAACGATTTCTCATTCAAGAAAACGCAAAAATATGGGTCCGCTTATTTATCTGCAGAACAATTTAAAATTACTTACAATGGGGGTCTCCCAACGTTCTCAAGGATTTGGACCAAATTAGTGTAAATCGATCACAAATATAATTAGTATGAAATTTGCAAATAGCACCATCTACCAAGGCTCAAATTTAGCGGGATATTTGCATAAGAAGAGAAGAAAGCTCACACCCAAGGCTGGCAATTTTTTCATGTTTTAAATTTGCTGCGCATTTTTCCCGCTTTGGTAACGCTGATGGTGATCTTATTTAGGGCGAAAATTTAATAAAGACTGAACTATCCATACCCGCGCGCCGAGCTGGTTTGGTAGTTCTAGCTAACCGCAAAATAGGCGGGTATGCTACGTGGCAACCCAATTAAGCGCTTGTTCAAAATTACAAAATTGACAAGGGGCCGGGCCTTCCTACATTTCACCAGGGCCGGAATTTTCACACTTATGCACTGTCCGTGGGTAATTATATAAGCATGCCATTTTTATCCTAACTTACATTTTAAAGAATTTCAGTTTTTTATATACGTGCTTAAGCATGCAAGTACATATCATACATATGTACGTAAAAATATTTAATGGTTCTCAAAAATAAAACTATTATGTTTTGAATATTAAATCATCTGTTTATTCGTATGCTTTACCCATAGATACTTTAATACTTGAATTATACATATACATATGTAATGCACATCGCACGAGTACATTGCATACATATGTAACAATTACTAACAATCTGGAAAACTTAGGGTTAGCTAATCTACCAAAATGCAGAATTAATATTGGCAAAAAGATCATTCCACATATGTAACTAATCACATCTATGTTTGTTGTCTGATATCTACATACATACATATTAATAATATGGTATTATATGTACATGGGACATTGAAAAATTCATAACAGCACTATAAAATAATGAAGAAATTGGTCAACAGTTCCGGCTAAATGAAGATTTTCAGGTTTATGTACATATATTGACAATAAATTTCGCGTGCATATACAGTCCATTATGCTTATACAGATACATACATAGTGCATCACTTATCCAAATTTGACCATGAGTTGTTGTTGTGTATTTGATAACATTTACATGCATACAAAATACAATAAAACTGCTACGCATATATTGCTTGGAAATCGCAGATAACTGATAGTTATTGTCCTTGCATGTAATTTTCGGCATCAAAATAAACGCTAAAAAACATTTTGTTCCTGAGAAATTCAAATCCCTCTGTTTATAAGCAATACGGAAAACCAAACATTTCTGGAAACCGATGCTGCACTTCAACTTCTCTCCATGGTCAGGATTTTCATATAAAAAGGCACAGGTTTGCATGAAAATGTATCATCACTAACATTCACCCTTTGACATCAACAACTTCAAATTCCCATAAACCTTCAAAACCTCCAATACAATGAAGCTTTTCATTTTCATCGCCATAATTGCGACTGCATCTGCAACCCCAGTGGACGAAAAAGAGGGGGACAACATCGGGGAACCATTGTACCAAACGACCGATTACCTCTACGTCAATGACGACTTCAACTCCATCCAGCAATCTGGACTTTGCCTGGCTGAAACTAATTCCGTTCGGGCAAGAAACGGCAAGGGGCCACTCGCTTGGGATGGCAGGGTAACAAACCGATTTCAATTAAATTGTCCTACATAATTATGTATCCAGATAAATATTCTGTTAAATGTATGCCCACAGTTGGAATCAGCCGCTCGAAACCACAACAATGTTATGGTGGCGAAGAACTGTTTTAGTCATCAATGTCCTGGAGAGCCAAATTTGGGAACCAGGGTCAGCCAAGTCGGGTATACTTGGACCAGCATTGGGGAAAATATTGCCAGCGGTTATCCAGATTGCAATGCCGTGGTGAATGGCTGGATGAACTCGGCCGGTCATAGAGAAAACATTCTGAGAGATTATTTGCAAGTCGGGTGTCACAGGGCTAATCAATACTGGACTTGCGTTTATGCCCGAGGACGCTAATTTTAGTGGAAGTTTGATGGAAGACTTGTACAATGAGCTGTTAATTAAATACCTACTAATCCATAATTAGTTTCTTTCGAATAAAGATTGATACAGATATACATTGCTTGCAATATGGATTTATGAATGATTTGTAAGATGTACATTTTTTATAAGGAAACTAATAATAAAAACAATAACAAAAAACATAAATTATATATTTTATTACATAAACACTAGTGGAGTTTTTAAATTTACATTTAAAAGCTTCTCATTCTCGGCAATTTTACCTTGGCATCCAATCCTGCAAAGTGAGACGAGGCGACCTCGCGCGTCTTCTTCGCAATGAGGCTGGCTGGACTAACTCCGGCAAACGAGTGGATGTGAATCCTCTCCTCTTCAAAAAACAGCAAACGTTAGCAGTTATTTTCGAAAAACTCTTTAAAAAATTTAACTGGAAAGTATCAACAAGTTTTGAGAGGTTGGGTACAACAAAATGGAGCAGGATCCAAATCACGGATCTCAATCTTCTAATTCTGCTCAAAGTTCACAGGTGAAATTTAATTGATTGACACTTGTTTCACTAGAAATTTTTATATTCTCTCCTTCTCAATATCTAGATTACATCATCCCAAGGTCATATGATGCCAGAGAGCTTTGATGGTGGTGGTCAAGAAGGCAATTACTCCTCGATAAGCCATGACCAAAATCAATCGACTCCTCTTGACCTATCGGTGACGGGATACATTCCGTCTAGCACGCAAGACGCCTTGGAGTATTTGGACCAAGTGAAAGATAAATTTAGAAATCAGCCTCAAGTCTACAATGACTTTTTAGAAATTTTGACGACATACAAATCCGGAGAGTGAGTTATTTTGACCTTTTGAAATTTTAAAACCTTGTCAACTTTTGCGAGTCATAGACTGTGACTACCAATTTACATATTAGATAATTCAAATTTCTTAAAAAAAACTCTAACATATTCCATAATGTGGTTTCTTGTTAATCTTAGTGGTCTAATTTTCTGATTAAAAATGTTACTCCTTTTCCAGCGTCAACATACATGGCGTAATTTCACGAGTGGCCAACTTATTTCGTGGCTTTCCTGAGCTGATCATTAGCTTCAATCCGTTTCTTCCGGAAGGATGCAAGATTATTCAAGTAGATGAACAAGGATTCCAAACCTTGTATCGAGTGTACGGCGAGACGGACTATATGTTGAAAAATGAGCCCTTCGTTCCTCCTCCGGCAGCAGCTGTTTTATCGTCACCTCCCACCTTGCCACCGCCGCCGCCGCCGTCACAGCAGGTAGCACTTTTTCAACCGGAGGACAACAACGTTCGACAAATTATGCAAACCTCCTTCTTCAGCGGTGGACCCATGTCTTCGTCGTCCATTCCGGTAGCATACTCTCAAGCCCGCTCGTCTTACGGAGACCTAAATCAAGTTGCTAGTTTCTACCAAAGTCCGCGTTATGAGACCATCTCGCCTCCTTTAGATGACACAATGACATTGAGTTACCCCGATATTAATTTTGTGAGCGTGGTTGAGCCACCGACCTCTTCTACATCTGCACATGCATATTCATCACTCGAAGGAACTGAGCTCCCCTGGGAACCAATCAAATTTGAAGATGCGATTACCTATGTTAACAAAATCAGGGTAATTAAATATTGATACCATTCCTAACAACTTTATTCTAACCTTGTCAACTGTGCAAATCATGTGATATGAGTAAGATCCAAATTTTAGATAGGATACCAGATTTGATTTTTTACTATTTCAACTTGTACGAATTTACAAATATGTCTTGTCAAGACAGTCTTGACAAACCGAATATGTAATATTGTAAATATTTTGGATATTTAGGAAAGACTCCGTGACGATCCAGAAACATATAATAAGTTTCTGCGGGTCCTCGAAACAAACGTCCACAAAACTCCACAGATGAATGATGCTGACCACATGGAACCATGCACTACCGAAGTTTATTCGGAAATGGCTAAAATATTTCAAAACCAGGAAGATTTACTTAAAGAATTTGTCCAATTTATCATCCCTCCAAACTGCGTAAGTTGCAGTTTATACTATCTACTTTGTAATTCTTAATTAATTATTATCGAACAATTTAATGTTATATTTAGCGTTCCATAAATCAGGGTCAAGTTCCAGAACCAGTGCCCGAGTTGCCTAAAAAATCTGTAAAATTCGCTCTGCCAGCCACCAGTGTTCCTATTGCACAACCAACCCCGTCCAAAAGGGGACGTCCTAAAGGTGTACTTAAAAATAATACGTCCAGGGACCAAAGTGCACTGAAGAAAATTAGGAAGCCTAAAGATCAAAGTATTCATAAACAACGAAAATCACCTAATATGCCTGCCTTTGCTGCGTTGCTTCCTGATTGTCCAGTTAGCAAGACAAACCTTGCCACTCCCAATAAAGTTATCCCAGCAACTGATGCGCCACAGCATGGGATATTGGAAGAAAGCGCATTTTTATCCGAGGTAAGTTTAGTGTGTTTCCAATTGGGTTCTTGTGCTAAACTGATGCATTTATTTATTCTGGTTATATAGTGCCAATCAGTGTTGAAACCTCACTTTGTATTTGACGACGTTAAGCGATGCTTGCGCCACTTTTTCGAGGGATTAATTCCTCGCAAGCATGTTTTGGAAATGGCTAAGCCACTTTTCGCTAAGCACCCGGAGATGTACCGACAGCTACGGAAATTTTTGAATACTCATAAGAAGCAGGCCACTTGTGAACCTGTGTCACAACCACAATTGACTCCAGAAAAGCCAAAAGAATCTGTAACTCAGCCACAGCTGACTCCAAAAAAGCCAAAACAATCTGTAACTCAACCCAAATCAACTCCAGAAAAGACCAATGAACAAACTTTGAAAAGGGGGAAACAATGTGAGCAGAAATTTTATTAATTAGCTAAATACATATTGCCATTCATATGCTCATATTTAAATCAATTTATCATGCTAATCTAAATACCACCTTCATAATTCGAATTAGATCACTCAACTTTTAAAAAAGTAGGAACGAGTTACGTACTTGTTCCGGAAGACCAAGTCCCTGAGATCTGCTCGGGTCGAACCGCCCTTTGCAACGAAGTTCTTAACGACAGGATTTTCTCGTGTCCAAAAAATAAAAGTTTTCTCATGCCGAAAAAATCTCGCTACGAAGCTACTCTCGGTTGTTGTGAGAATGAACGATTCGAGGTAATTACTACATGTATAATTTAATATGCACATTATTTTTCAAGTTACCCGTAAATATGCAACTTACATATTTTTAATCAAGCTTGACTATTCGATCGACTCAAATGCCGAGACAATTAGGACATTCGAAGCCGTCTTACACCGCGGGGCGCGAATGCGTGCAGAGGAACGAAATTCCTATCAACTCTCCAACTCTTTGGGTGGCACTTCGGACATTATCAATATCCTATCTATTCGTCGCATTTATGGAGAAAGAGCTGACAAAACTATCGAACGTCTGAAACGACAACCCATCTCCTCTATTCCGGCCGTACTGAAGCAGTTGAAGTCGTTGGACCAAAAATTGCGAAAAGAGAGGGATAGTAAAAACCAAACTTGGAAAGACCTAATGGATCGACATTACTTGAAGTCGTTGGATCATCAGTCATTCAGTTTTAAACAGACTGACGTCCAAATGATTCGCTCGACATGGTTGGTCAACGAGATTAAAACTATTTACGATAAGGTGAATTTATCAAGTTTTTCGTGCATTCTATAATCCAATTCGAAAATAACCTTTTATTTTTACTTGTTAGCGACACGATAAAAACAATGAAATTCCGGGGACTGGACCTCACTTGAATTTTCAATACTTTGGACATGTCATGCTGGATGAAACTATCAATCTCCTATTGCACCATGTCCGACGCCAAATTCAGACTCATGAAAAGGAAAAAATTAAAAAGTTGCTGAAGAAATTCATTCCAAATTTGTTCAATCATACCAGAATGAAATTGCCTCATAAAAAAGTTGAACAAGGTTTGTTGAAAATACTTAAAATATGATTCAACTCTGAAGTTAAATCTTTCAAATATTTTAAACAGGTGGCAGTCAAAAACGTCCACTCGATGTTGTACAAAATGTGACTCCGAGGACCAAGGCAGCTTACAAATCGTACGCAAACACGAACAGCATGCCGAATGTTGACGGATATGTAGTTGACCCTGGTACCCCGAAGGTAGGCGAATCCAGGAGAACGGTCTATAAGCGGCGATCTATACGAAGGCAGAGAGAAAATATTGAAGGTGAGCGGCGATCCAAAAAGGAAAATTCGTCAAGTGTACTTGCAGCTCCGCAGAGAGATCAGGTATGCAGTGGCATGTCTGTTTTTGTTAGCGACTATGTAATATGTAATTATTGTGTTTTTATTTTATGCAAAGGCCGAAACGTACACACTCTTCTACGTCAACAATGATTGGTACGTGTTCTTGCGTCTGTATCAAATAATTTTGGAGCGTCTTCAAAAGATGTCGGATACGGCAGCGAAGACTGAAGTAGAACCGATTGGCGTGGACCAACCTGCTGTGAACTTAGGATTGAGGGCACCAAGTTAGTTCATTTTGTTATGCATAATATTTGATTTGGATTTGACCTGAGAAAAAATCCACTTTTATGTACATACATCTATCTTCTAGATAAACTACAACCAGACGAGTACTTCCCTGAATTCATTAAAATGTTGAAAGATGTTTTGGATGGGGGCATGGAACTGGCAAAATATGAGGAAAAAATGCGTGAATTGTTCGGCATTCACGCCTACATTTGTTTCACGATGAACAAAGTTGTAACGAACGCTGTACGACAGGTTGGTTAATAGAATTCTATAAAAGCTAAATGTGAATGTTGTTAAAAACTTATTAATTTACAGCTGCAAACGTTAGCCTCCGACAAAATGTGTATCCAATTTACGGATTTATTCTCCCAAGCCGTCAAAGAAGAAGCTGCTGGAGGACCCTCTAATACTTCCGATGATCGTTCACAAGCGGAAGAAACTTACCAAGAACTCGCACAGAAGATTGATCCGAGCGGAAATTGTTACAAAGTTATTTTCGTGAGTCATTTATCGACTTCTTAAACATGACTTTAACTAACCTTCGTTCTCTTTCTGCTCACCAGCACCACAAGTCACTCCGGATGACAATGGAACTCTTGGACGGTGATAATCTTGAACGAAACGGTTGAGAGAAGTCCCAAACCCTGTGGCGTAACAGTCGAACGAACATGGTCTCGGATTTTCGTACCTGAAAATATTTTTTTTTACATCACAGGAAGAAATTTTACCTAATTTTTATAACGTTTTTATAATTCATTTCAATCTAAAATTTTATTCATAGTTTTTGCTGAGCATAATCTTTTCAGAAAATTTTAAATAAATGCAGATTTTCTTTTTTATATAACTTATCATTTACTAGTCTACGTCGTTAGCAAGAGCGTCGTTAGAATACTTAGCACCTGGTACAGAAACCTGATAAAGGTTGAATGTTTCAAGACAAAAAATGGTAATCCCGTCCTCAGCCGAATAATCCAGAACGACGCGACAATTTTCCCCTTTACACTTTTCCTCCTATACTTTGAGACGCAATTTGTAATAAATTTTTCCGCCCGGTCCGATAGTCCTGCAGTTATTCGGATTTCGACATACCTGAAATTTTATCAAAATTATCAAAATTCCACCTCTAAAAAAGTATCTCAATCCCATACTCACGTTACAAGGATGGAGCAAAATACACCAAAAAGTGTCAGGATGCTTGTCGCCCTATGAATCCGGTCTAACCACTTCATCGCCATGTAGCTCGACACCACGCACATGATCAACATGCCCAAGAGATGCACTCCCACCAGAATATTACCAAATATTACATTTGCAAATTTGTCCATGACCTGGAGTTGTCGATATATTCGTAGTAGTCAATACTATCGGAAACTGAAACCAGACCAGCTTTCCTCCAACGAGTCCTGTTTTGTGGAACTTTTCTTTCAGGAATTATAAGTATCGAGAGCCATACTCCGATAGAATAGGTGTAAAGTACCCCGTAAATTAAGTAGTGACAAATTACGTTGCACACCTGGAAAATAAGAGTATTTGTGATTAAATAGTGGACAAATTGCTACTTTAAGGAGAAATTGTTGCCGTATTGTATTTTTTAACCAGAAAAAATTATACTCGTGACTCATTTAGCAAATTTGCAAAGTCTCCAAAAATTTATGTCGTGAGGGGATTTGCAAAATGTGAGTTCGCAAAGGTTATCGCAGCCTTGTTATCCTAATTTGAGGATGGTTTCAATTTCTATTACTTGTAGTGGAGAGGATAAACTTGCAAAAAAATCCCATGGCTTTTAAGCAAATTTTAACGAAATTCACAAAACTTCGCAAGTTATATTGCCATGTTTATAATTTTCGAGATACATAAAATATTGACTTGTGAGTAGCATCCTTAGATAGATACATACGTTTCTCACCTGTAATACGAAATACGTAATGCATCCCATCAGTGGAAAATATTTCCATTCCGCCCTCAACCGGATATGGAACACATCCCTTAAAAATCGGTTGATCGGGTCGACTTTATCCAGCAGTACAAACCCATGCAACACCGGGATAACTGCGGTCGTCACGCTTATTAAAATCAGCAACGATTCCGTAACAACCATTTGCAATTGTAACTTTTCCCGGTATTTCGTAACCATCAGGCTTTTCAGGACAACATTTTGCGACCCTTTTCTCATCCCTTCGTCCAGGGACATGAGTACGTTAAAAATCTTGACGTGTTCTTTCCGCCTCATCGCGACCAGGAGGATGAGGGCAGCACTCAAACTGACCAATACACCGAGGTCGATATCCACCACAAACTGCGTCCGGTTGATTTTGGTCTCCCAAATCCGGAGGTACATTCTCGACATGGATATCGTGCAATAGGTCAAGGTCAAAAGTGTAAAGAATACGTAAACCAGAAAGTTTTGCCATTTTGAGACACCCAACCGAACACGGTCTCCCACAGGTTGGCAAATGTTAAAGGCTGCACATCTCGAGATATCCGTGAAGCGTTGTCGTGAGCAAATAATTTTGAGCATGCGACGAGACAACATGATTGCACAGTGGTGAAAATGACACCGAAAGAGGGGCGATGAACTAAAATATAAATGTTTCTGGAGATTTATATTTAGTTGTAATTTTTGCAATTAATCGTGTACGTATGTATTTATTACCTAGGAAAATATTCCTTAGTCGAATGTACACTCAAGTGCACTGTTACTTGCGCACGATATTTGTGCATGATATTAAATAGTTTCCAGGAAAGTCAGCTTATAATTTACTTACAATTAAAATTAGGAAATAATTTATTCAGTATTGTTATTACTCTGTAATTATTTATGGAAGCATTTCAATGACCTCGTTTTTCTCCAGGGAATGTATAGAAAATTTTATTTCGCCAAATATAGAATAATTGACATGAAATGCACTTGAAGAAAAATGTAGGCATTTAAATTTAAACGCATTTGTGCATATGTATGTATGTTTATTTAAATACATATGTTTGGAACAATACATAGTTCATATCATCATTATTATCTTATGCATACTCCCAATGCGAATTTTTGACTGGTCGAAATTTTTAATTGTCGTGGTGATATATTTGATTAGCCAATTAAAAATCGGATTGAGAGCATGACATGGTGATGACATGAACTATAGAGTGGTTATGGCTGCATATTCTAGATAAATGCATAAATATTTCTAGTAAATTGTTCCATACTTGACGAAATAAAATTTTTTCATGCAGATTCAATTATGTGCCTGGATTTTTAGTCATAACCCCTAACGAACCTAACCTGCTACGATTACTTGCATACTCTCTGCGGAAATCTGTACTTCAATACGTACACTGGATTGGCATATGAACATATGTATGTGCATACAAGTAATCTCGTTCTGGCAATCACGAAAACTATAAAAAAATAAGAATATCTCTTATGATCCAATGAGGGATTCTAAACCGATGAGATTTTTTAAAAATAATTTCAGGTTCTCAACGGAAATCAGTGATTTGCGTATATACTTTATTTATCTACTACTTGCAAAGATTCGCTGTAGGCTGTAACGATAAAAAATAACTAGTACCGTTTTTACAACAAGGTCTGTAGGGTATTTATGTAGGTATGTATACATAATTTAATAAATATGTTCTATAATCTATCATAAATCATTTAATCAGGCGCTTAACTTCCAAATATAGATAATTCATGCTTATGATCATGCACATACAGTATGTCACTTTATTGTAGATGCAAGCCTTGTATGCATTATATAAATCACAAATACTCCACAACGGGTTAATATTTCAAATTCGTTTTTAGACCAATTATTAGCAATATTTCATACTACATTTGTGCAAAATTTCAAATGAATTGGGCTAAAACTGGTGAAGTTATAGATACTTAAATGTCAAAAAGTTGCAAATTGCACGCCACAAAATTGTAGATGCAGCTGAGTTTAATTACGATAACGACCCAGTCTTTCAGTCTACATACAAATTTTGTTCGGGAATGTTTATTTTGTGTAAGTACAGTTGTTTATATTGTCAATAGAAAATATTTTGTAGAAATTTTATTCCAAAATCGTACATGACAGCGAGGTCAATCCAGGATTTCGGGCGGAAAATGTCGTGAGTTATAAAAAAGGGTTAAGTTGTGGAAAAATTTTCGGAGAACATGAAATTTAACAAAATATTGTCAAAAGAATGGGATTAGATGGAAACTCTTGTGAACAATCACGACCGTGGTCAAAAACGCAGCACATCGCCGAGTGAGGATGATGCAATTATAAGAACAGTGAGGATAATCCTCGTCTGTTCAAATCAAAAATTTCGAAAAGTGTTTAAAGTGACCTTTGAACTGATGACCACCTATAATGGATTAGAAACAGGCAGATATTCACTGAATTATCGGGAGATTTGGCAAAATAAACATGTAAGATCTCAAGGAGAGGCCATAAGAAATACTTAGCCTTGGTTAGGCAGAAGTCAGGACGTCCGTTTGTGACAGGAAAAAATTTTAGTTTCTAGATTACACCAAAATTCCATTTCCTGGTTCAGATGGAGTGACCAGAGTGTGGTGGAATCAGAACCAAAGTTCGATAAAGTGATTTCTGGGACCAATTGTAAAAAAATAGACTTGTCAAGGAAATAATAATAATAATAATAATAATAGTATTTATTATACTGATCTTATCATAATATGTGATACAAAAAAACACCTCATGTTATAAAATAGAGAAGGAGACTCTACCAACATTTAGTTAAGTAAGCAACATACATGGTTTCGACAGTTTACAAACTCTCTAAGCCACTACTATTAGTTGGAATGATACTTAACAATACTTATAACTAAACACAATTAACTAAACACAATTTTTATCTTTCAGCATTAGAATAGTTTCATACTTGCAACTAAATATAGTGTTTTTTTCCCTGTATTCAGAATTGATTAATCTAATTAAGGTAGGTAATGTTGAGTTATAATATTTTGCATTTTTAATATTGGTCTGATGAACAATATTAGTCTTTCTTAACATCATACTTGATGAACCAGTACCGAATTCAGGCAAAAATACAGAATAACGACCAATTATTAGTTTAAACCCGAATTTTTTAAGTGAAATGTCCCTACGCATTTCAAGAGATTCAATTTTGAAAGAATTCAATACATCAATATAATTAGTATGATCGACCCGTTTTCTTAAAATAATGGATAAAGCAATTTTTTGCACTTTTTCAAGTTTGTGAATAAGTTTGATTGGTAAACCGGGACCCCAAATGACCGCACAATATTCTAAACCAGATCTAATATATACATTAAAAACATGAATTAATTCCGAAATAGAAAAACCAGACTTGAATAATTTTTTTAATTGATACAATTTGCCCACTGCTAAAGACACAATTTTAGAAATGTGATAGTTCCACTCATATTTCGAGGTGAAGTGAACTCCTAATAATTTTAACTTGTCAACAACAGGAATTTTAACATTATTTATATAGAAATCTGTGGAAAAATTTAATTTCCTACCACCAAAGTTTACAACTAGAATTTCACATTTGAGGGGATTAGGTTTCATATTAATTTCGGAACACGCCTTAGAAAGGACATCAAGAGCTTTCTGCATGTTTGGGAGATTATTACCCACAACTCTTTCTACAATTACAAGATCATCAACAAATCCTGCTTGACAAAAATTTAGAAATTTAGAAATTATTTCAAGATCCAGCTTGTTTAAAACCGAATTCATTACCACAATAAATAGTAATGGAGCCAGCTTTGTTCCAGCCGGTGCTCCACAGGAAAT